TGCTTTTGTGTGCGCGCTTTTGATTGGTTAAAAATTGGTGTGGCTAGAAGGGTACAAAGCAAAAGCGGGGCTCTGGTCTGAGCTCGCTGAGATAAATAAAACGGGGACTTTTCGGCTAAAAAAACATGCGCACGAAGCTTTATTATATTAAACGGTTTAAAATTTAAACGTTTAAAAATTTAAAATAATTTAAAAATAATTTAAAAATTTTTAAACGGTTTAAACTTAATTAAATAATATATAAACCGTAAATATATAATTTAATTTTTTAAATAAAAATAAAATAATTTAATTAAATAAATATATTATAAAATTTAAATATCCTAAGAAAAAATTATAAATATATAGTTTAAGTTTTAAGCTAATCAAGTGCGGGAACGCTTGAATAAGGAACCGCTAATTACATTAAGCAGGGTATATGTAGTTAAGAATAATAAACGGAATGTTTACGGTAAAAATATACCCCCATGCGGCGGTAAGGTACGTTGTTGGTCGTTTGCCCCACGCTACTTTGTACCCGCTGTACTCTAACAAATATTGGCAGGTGTTGACCAAACATGAATGGAAACTAAAATTGGAACTTGCGAACGACCTAAACTAAAAGTTACTATAATGTTAAAACTCGAGACAGAATTTGTTGATATTTCTCTTCCTTTTATTTCGTCAGTTATTTAATTCACGTATGTGTAAGAAGTAACTTTTATTCAGAGCTCTTCTCAAGCCGGCACTTCATCGACAGCAAGCGGGGGCGGGGTATTTTTACCAGCATCTAATTGGTCGGCGCAAAGCAAGCTCCATCGCCGCTGTTTTTTTAACAAAACCCAACGTCAGAAACATTCACACGAAACATCCCACTATTTTTAATTCCAGCCTTCTCCTCCCCATCTCAACGCCCCATCCGACGGCAATTCAATAGTTCGCGACGCCCTCCTAACTAAGCACGTCGCAATTCGAGATGTCTCAGACAACGCCCCGCAAGTATCGCGGCCACCAGGGCCAATCCTCCTTCCCGCAATCCCAATCTCAGTCTCCTCATTCCCACGCGCACGCCTACTCCCACGCGCAGCCGCAGTATCAGCAACAGCACCAGCACCAGCACCAGCACCAGCACAACCTCCAACCGTCGCGCGCCTACGGCCACGCGCGCAACCGATCCCACCAGCTGCGAGCCGAGTACTCGGAACAAGGCGGCACGACCACAGGTTCAGACTACGACTCCGACATGGCGACCTACGTGCCAGACACCAGCACGAGCCGCGCCTCCATCAATCTCGCGACGCGCACCAACACCGAGCTGAACATGGCCGTGCTGCGCCGCTACCGGCCCAGCATAACCAGCATCCTATCCATCGCCGCGAACGCCGTCGTCTACAGCTTCGGGACGAAATGGGACAAGGCGAACATGGAAGGCACCCTATTCATCTGCGCGCAGCAACCACCCTCTCCCCCCTCCCCCTCCGCCCCTCAAACCGAGACGCAGGCCGCCCTAGCAAACGGCTGCGTGTTCGTGCTGAACCGCAAAGGGCTGTCGAACCTCGTCGTCGACATGCGCGACGTCGAGCGCGTCGAGCTATCCGACGAGACGCTGATCTTCAAGCTGGACAAGGAGGCCGCCGTGCTGCCGATGGAGAACGGCGAGGCCATCCGCACCAAGGCTTTGGGTATGTTCATCTACTTCGAGTCCGCCAAGGAGCGCGAGATCACCGACGCCCTCGTCCACGAGATGTGGCAGCAGAGCCGCGCCGCCGCGCGCGAAGACGCCGGTCCCGATGCGAGCGATGTCGAGCCTGCCGATAGTGAGGCCGAGGCCGAGATGGCGCAGTCTATGCAGGAGGCTGGGCGCCAGCTTAGTGTTACGGAGTTGTTTGGCCAGAGCCAGCGCGATAGGACCGGGATTGGCGGGTTTTAAGACGAGAGAGGAGGACTTCTGGGGTAAAGGGGTTAGAATGCGATAGGAGAGCTGTGTTAACGGTTGGAAGGGCTTGCGTTCTCGGCGTTCTCTTATTCTATCGAGAGACGTAACGCCTCTAGCCATCCCTGGGACGACGGATGCTAATGAGGAATTTCTACGCTACGAAACATCAAGGATGAAGAGGAAGGAGCAAGGAGAGAAGCAGGAGAAGAGACGTGGTGGTAATGTCACAGATCATCCATCGACCGCATAACGTGGGTTATTCGTAAGCAAAGGGATCATATGAATGGCGTTGGGAAAGATACCCGAAGAACAGGCTGGCATTGACTTTTCTAAATGGCATTATTTTTCGTCCAAACCTGTCCCACCTAATCAGCGGAGATATTGCAATGATGTGAAAAATGTGTGCTCTATGATTCAAGAAAGCCTCACGTATCTCCCCTATGACATACCGCTACGCGCTCTATTTCTCCACGATACCTTATTCGATCCACACCTTCTATCTACTGCCTAGAGCCCGGACGACGCTGTTCCTGAAGGCTAAATGGTAGTGGGCTGACTTGGCACTTCCCTTAGACTGCTCCGCAGGAACAACGTACCGGAAGTCGAGATTTATAACCCTTGATTACTATGCAATGTGCCCACCTAGGTAAGTATTTGGGGCTAGGTACTAACGAAAGCGTTGACGGTTCGAGCTCGGGTCCTAGAGGATGGATGTCAAATGTCCATGCCACGCGCGAAGTAGATGCTCACCAATACCTATTCAGCGTCGCTGTGTCCTAAGATACCCTACGTACATCCTAGGTAGGTACGTATCCTGCAGCTCCTCTCCTCTTGCACGTAAGCTCCATCGACTTTATTTTATACCATCCCGTCCCGTATGCGACCCGTTTCCTCGTCAATGGGTAAGGGTACTACGATTTATCCGGATTATAGTGTAACGTAATATGTCATCAACACCTAGAACACTTAGAGCATTAACACAGCACGCCCCATTTCGACCGAACCTAGCGAGCACCAAATTGCACCGTATCATATCATTCCGCGGAACTGAAAGTGAGCACCTTTTTTTCTTTTCTCAATACCCTCTCTGTACCTAGTTAACCCCTTTCTCCGAAATACAAAGTTTGACAAGGACCGCTCCCTGAAAACTCCGTGGCTGTCTGTAACGGTCGCCGGCCTTGAAAAAAAAGACATATGCTCCGTGCGACAGCCGTCTGTCTACCTTCTGCGCGTATATGAGCCGTGGAACACCATAAATCATAGTCTTGAATCGTCCCCATAATACAGTTGAGTAGTCTTTGGACGTTCCGGCGCTGTTTCGGCGGGGTGATCCCCGCGACGAACCAGATTAGACCCTAGACTCCTTAGAAAATCAAGTTGAAGAGTATGTGAAACACACGTGTATTGTTCAATACACACCCCTAAGCACGGACGAGTGTCATAAGACTTCTTCGCCTTCTTTCTCTTCTCTGAACTTCAGACCCCCTTCGGTTTTAATCCCGCCACGGACCCATTCATGTTCCGCCACCTTTTCCATGGACCAACGACTCCTAGCCCGCTTCAGCAGACCCTCGGTGATCTCCATCGCTCCCTTCAAGCCTTCACTCTCGAATTTCGCTTCGTTCGCGTCGTGGTCGCCATCGTCGCCTTCGTATTTGATCCACCTCCATTCAACTCGTGCGATTCTGTGACTAGTCCTACTTCGCATCCTCTGCACGTCGCTAGCACCAGGAGGGGGATCGAAAGGAAGTCGCGATTCGAGGAGAGCGTAGAGCAAGACACCAAGCGACCAGGCGTCGATGGCGCGGCCATCATACGGTTGTCCTAATATGACTTCCGGAGCGGCATAATCGTCGGATCCACAGCGAGTCTCTAATTTCTCATCATCGGCTACACGTCGCGACAAGCCCAGGTCTGTAAGTGTAATCACGGAATACGGATACACAGCCCAATCTTGGTCAGGCTTCGTAAGTTCGGCTGGCGGAATGTTGACCAACACGTCTAAAATCAGTAGTCAGTAAAATGCTGTGCCTTACTCGTTACCTGATCTCCGAGTAAAAAGGAGTGGAGTATTAGCTAATGGCAACTTACTCTCGAGCTTAATATCTCGGTGAACGATCCGACGTTCGTGAAGATACATGACTGCGCCTACCAACTCGGCAAATATCCTTCTCAGGAGTAGTGGGGTCAAGGCATCTCGGTAGGTGGTCGCGACATCGAAGAGGTCGCCACCCGGGCAATAGCTTAAAACCAATAGAGCTCTTGTAGGCTCAATGCTGAAAGCCTTCAAATGGACTAAAGACGGGTGATTTATCGACTGCATGATATCTAACTCTCGCTTGAGACTCATCTCGATACGATCTTCGGAGGCCCCTCCGCGAGGTCCATGTTCGCACACCTTGATAGCCACCAAGGTTTTACGATCTAGTTTAGCAATTTTGGTCGGTGATAGCTGCCCGTTTGCGCCGTTCTGGGCTGCTTCGTTGGTGTCGTCTTCGTCGGGAGCGATCTGACTTGTCGCTAACATAACCCGGCTAAACGTTCCCTGGCCCAGCTCCTTAATAGCACGCCACCGCCTGAGTACTCCGTCATGTCGACCACGAGCCTCGAAATATTCGTGGCGAGACCGCTTAGAGCTGGAGCCATCGCTACTCTGGGACGACTCGCTGGGAGGAGGGGTCGGCGGTTTGGCAACCGGTAAGAGCCCCCTCGCTTCTGATAGATGCGGTTCTCGGCGTAGGTGAGGATCAGAAGTACCGTCCACGTCGGTCCCTTTAACCTTCCCAGATACAGTATTCAGTCGTTTCGGGATCCCCTTAGGATCCGGAATGTATTCGCTGATACTTCGATTGCGAGTATGCTCGACTTTGCCGCTGCTGATTTCCGCGGCATGACTGACGTTGAGTCCAGCCAAGACCTTTCGCTTGGATTGGTGCGCCAGCGCAGACGCCACGGATTCTCCACTAGAAGTTATGAGTACCGAGTCTGGCATGACTGGCGGTAACAGATCTCGCGCTTGCGATGGTCGACGAGAACCAAGGCGTTTCCACGGACCGGGTGAATCACTTCCTAATAATGGTGATGGTAGTGGCGTAACATCGCCCATAGCAGAGATAACGGGGCTTGGGTAGGTGGAGCTTGCTACGGACCCGATGCTTCTCGAGTAATGCTGTTTGAAGCTGGGGGTTCTTGAGACGGGCTTCAGGCTTGGAGAGGAAGTCTTGCGCTGCAAACCCAGACCTGAGCGATAGGCCGGGAAACTGTTAGGGTTGCTATTGAGGCTGTCGGATCGCGCCGGCGTTGCAGGTGGAACATCGGTTGCGATATACAGAGGATCGGTACTCCTGCCTAGCGGCGAGGGCGAGTAGGGCGACAGGTCAGGAAAGGCAGACTCCCCCGGCGCGTGCTGGGGCAAGGGCGGAGAGGGGGCTATGGTATGTGACTGGAATTGGATCTGATCATGGGAGAGGACTGGCGCGGATAGTATCGTGCTCGCAGGTTCTTCGCATATGATATTCGAATTGTTGGATAGGTCGTCATAGAACTGTCCTATGCGGTTCTCTTGCACATTGTGTCGGTTTAATGCGTCGGCAGCGGTTAGGAAGGTATGCGTCCTTCCTTGACTGTGCAATTCGTGGATAGGGAGAGAATGGGTTTGCGACGCAGTTAGACGGTCGTGGTCTGCGAGTATGCCTTCTGGCATGAAGTGAGACTGGGGTTGGGAAGGCTGGGACTGTCCACTGGTCATATTTGATTGCTGAATTGACTGCCAGGGACGGTTGACAGCGGTTAGCTTGACACGTTGAGACGGTGTGAAACGGTGAGACGGGATCTGTTGTTGGAATGACTCGACCCGAGAGCGATAAGTATGTCGGAGGGAATCAAACTAACAAGGATTGGGAAAGCGTTTGTGTCAAGGGTGGTAACTTTTTTTTCTCTTTCCCTCTACAGGGAGGTACGGGATACCGAATGGAGGGCAGAGATCAGTAGCGAAATTGGGAATAATACGTACAGTATCTTAGCGGGGACTTTTCAACTGGCGGCGGCAGTCGGTCGGTCCAGACTCCACTATTAGGAAAGTAGTGATTGGAATAACTGAGTCTCTATTCGGCGCGGTACCTTTGACACCTTATTACTTCAAGAGACGGGGCTCCGGGCAAGAGACAAGCCTAAGCTGAGAGGCCCTGTTTCAAGCTGATCAGACGAGGATGGCGAAGTACTGCGAAGTATTGCGAAGGGTATACGCGGCAAGGACAGGATAACACGACTTATGTTGTGGCTTGTGTTGCGTGACTATGCGACTAGCTTCTTTAGAGCCACAGAGAAGTGAACGACTCTCGAAGATGTGAAGCGAAATGGCAGGGCGCAGCAAAATAGGCAGCGTACCTGGGCAGCCTGCTGGGTAGACAAATCCAACTCGAACTCGGCGGCGGCGGCGGCACAAGTACCACTATACCGCTCTCCCACTCTCCGGAAAGCTGTTTATGCGAATTGTAACGTTGACCTCAGACTGCATTAGTTTGGGGTCGCGGGCGAGAGCGCAGTATGTGCGGGAGAACCTGGCTGCAACAAGGGTGCTATGCGCGTCGCCTCGTGGCCGAATGAGATTCTTGCTTTTGTTTTAGAGGTGATGCATATCGCATTCTACTACGACAATCTATGACAGTGCGGCGGGGAGCATGAGCTAATAATATGCAAAACCAGGTACGTAATGTATGATGTTTGAACAGCAGAAATAGCAAGAACAGTTTGTCGAATGTGCCAATGTGCCACTGTGCCCCAAGACAATAAGCCTTATCACGGGTTGAAAGAAACGAAAGAAAGGCGACGAAAGGAAATGCGATATCAGGGCGCGTGGGGTGACCTTGGAAATTAGAAATTAGTACTGTATCTAACTAGAGGCCGGATGATATATTGATCATGATAAGGGCGTAGTCGTTGCACAGCAGGAGCAAGGAAAATCAGTAAAGGATTGGACGATGTAGGGTATTGGTCGTTGGCGAAAGATAGGTAGATAGTAGCGAGCGATATGGATGATGCCGTCGTGGAGAGAAGATTGTAAGAGAGTACGTACGAGAGAGGTTCGATGTTCGTGGGATTAGATTGGGCAGATTGGGGTTGTCTGAATGATTTTTCGGGGGTCACCCGATGCTAATTTCGATTTACATTAGGTACAACGGTACAGTGGTACTTGCACCGGGCAGGTCAGATGGTCAGATGGTAAGAGAGCCAGACAGGCAGATAGGCGGCAGTGTCGACCTACTACAGTTGCCTAAGAGGTCTGATACCTCTAAACTTACCGGTACCTTGCTAAAATTCCAAGCGCCAGAACCCTAGAACTGACAACTTGGACAATTGACACTTCAGCGATGGTCCGGTAGGCGCTATTATATGCGCTACCTCCATCTATTACTTTAGGTACCTGAGATAGCGCTGCGCTAGGCCAAGAACAGATAGTCCGTGAGGACGGACACAAAAAAAGACGGGCAGGAGGAGTGGGGAAAAGTTCAGTGTTCCTCAAGTACCCCTTACCGGTACCTCTTTCTTTGGATGTTCTATCATACTATGCTATGCGGGCAGCAGGAGTTCGAATTGACGTCGTCCTTGTCGTCATTTCAGGTTTCAATATTTCTCTTACATAAACCAGGGTTCCGTAATCGCCATTATCAATTCAATTGAATTGGCCGAATTGGTCGAATTCATCCCCCGGGATCTTATTCACACTGATATCACTTCTCAAATTTCCAATCTCGTTTATTCTAAATACCGTAGTAGTCAAGTAGCTAGTATCAGATACTACTTTCTTACTACTGTCCAGGTTCATGATAATGCAAGAACTTACTATTTATAGACTACTACCATATACGCACATATTGCCGTCTAAGTCTCTTCTGATAAGGCAATTCATCTTCCAAATTCCGCGCATTTGCACTTCAAGATGGCATTATGCACGTCATCCAAATCTTGTCATCGAATTGCGAAGAGGGCCTAGAGGGGCTCGAGGGGCTCGAGGGTCTCCCGTCCGAAAATAAGTACTTACAAGAAGATCGCGCCTTGATATCCCCGAGTTTCGCCTCAGACACCCAGCGCTGATGTCATCCAGCTTCGTCCACCTTCGTCCTTGCCGAAGTACAGAAGAATGTCTGTACACGTGTATATCGAATGACTGAATCAGAAATATTAAATACAACACATGCGCCGATCTCTCTGCGTTCCCTGCAGCGATCGCTTGCTTTGTCCATCCAGTTCCGTCTTACGGCATCAGCAAAGGACCATCCCACTGGAATTGTATTACAGAACACGGTCCACCATCTTAACACCCCATTGGCCCATCCCATTTTCGAGTGGTTTCCGGTTCTCTGGTATCCCGCCGACCCCACGGACTCGGACTGGGAAAAACGGCTAATTAACTTATTCACGCCCCTTATACGGACATTATCCCTTTGACTTCAAATCATTCCACTAGCTTATTTGCATCTTTAAAAACCCCCTTTTAATTACTGTAGACTCGGGATCCGTAATTCAATCTAGTACTGCGTCGCATAGTTGCTTACCTAAATATAATTACTAAGAGGTTGCTTAAATGCCCAGAGGAGCAGCTTCAAACAGAGGCTACATCCAAGTGCAACCAAACAGGATTGATAAGTACGATATTTCAATGCAACTGCCTAATGACCAATCAACCATTATAAATATATACAATGTTCAAATGGTTCCGGAATACGCCAACGATACTCCACGTAGCTTACATGCCTTTGCCCCTTGAGCTCTTACCGAGGAGCTTACTCACATACTCTAGCTTAATTTTCGAAAGTTTATTCTTATAAACGCTACCACAAATTTGAAGAAGAAGAAGAAGAAGAAGAAGAAGAAGAAGAAGAAGAAGATGATGATGATGAGATTGTTTATGTCCGAAGGACGTCCTCTACCTAAAGTAACTACATACATCAGGCCGAGTCCGTCGACGGGATTCTCTGACGCATAGGACGCCTAGAGTATCTTCCCGAAGGGAGGCAGAGCCATGCTTCCTCCTGACACAAGGCAAAGCCATATATCTGAAGGAATTGTGCACGAAGACGGTATCTTTAGATATCTTGATCCTGTCTCTAATCTCCCCTGGTCAAGATTTCTAAGTGTGTTGAAGTATGCGTAGCACCTCCGAATCATTTCTCGGCTGCCTAGGTAGGTAATCTTTTACCATTCAACTTCAACATAATGGGAAGTTTCCACTGAAATTACTTTCAGCGTGAGCAAGTACCTATCCAGTAATGAGTTTCTTAGTATAACTGCCTACTGTATCCTGATATGTAGGTAAGTAGATACCTAGCAGCTAAGACTCGACTTTATCTACAGTGTTTTTACCAGACCCATAATATGAGGGCTGAATCGAAGTTTTCTGTTAATATCTGACTTCTCTTAGCAGCAATAAACATATCTGCTTCAACTACGCATTAGTTAGCTATTTAAGGGGTTGCTTAATGGGTATATATGACCATGAAAGAATGCATGGTTCATCGGGGTCTTTAGAATATGAACGAGTTGATCTTACTATCAGTTGTGTGGACGTTTCAGACTTAAAGTTATACTACTTCATTCTTAGTAGTTAAAAACAACTTTAATTGTATGCATAGGTATAATAGTGATTATAATCTAGCACTTGTAGTAAAAATTTCCAGTTACACCTTTAGCTTCAACACATTGTCGAAGTCGATTTATAGAATGATGATCTTAGAATATCTCATAACATCCAAGTCGATTCCCATAAACCAGAGAATCATAAAACTGCCGGTGCGGGGCCATAGAATGTCTATTAGGTTTCCAATCTTATTCGGCTAACGACTTCATTGGACAATTTGTGGGTAGGTCAGAAAGACTTAAATTCAGTTAACTCGTTGAGCCGTCCGCTTTAATATGCCGAGTTTCATCACTAACTGCTCCGAGCCTTAGTTTAATATCACAAACCAAGGTCATGACTTCCTTGTATTGTATCACGAGACAAACTACTAGATTTGTCGGTTTTCAGTCGAAAAAAATATATTTATAAATGTGCCGAAACTGCCTACCTAATCTTAAATGTGTTAAGCATAGGATTCGAAACGTCACCTTAATTATATCATACATCTCTGGCCGTCGGCAGTAGAACCAATTGAGTAGCATATGGATGTTGAAATCTGACTAATGACTGTTTACCAGTGCTGCGGAGTTTCTACGTGAGGAGTTGTGAGGAGTCGAGTACATGATGACCTAGTTTATAGAAATATCTTACGATGCTTCGGCAATCCTATAGTTGTCATAATTCGCATTGCGAAAAGATCAACCGGTTATTCAGTCGTTGAACACCATATGCGTACTAGCTTATCTTATTCTCCACGTATAATGCGCCGTTAAGGATTATAACTCCTTCATTCGAGGCCGGGCGATACCTGTAAGTGCCGGCCCTCATATCCAAATTCGGGTTTAGTAAGGGTGCGGGGAAACGGTATCGTAGGATTCGCGGCGGCGAAGGGTGACACAACAGGAAAATGTAAGAGATAGATTAACTGGAAGATTCAGTTCTTTTCTCCGTTTCTTTTTTTCTTCTTGTACGTCAACCACGTGGGCAGTTCTACCAAGATGGGTTCAACTGACTTCTCGATACCTTTGCGGCTTAAAGACACGCCTATAGATGGCCACCGCCCGATTAAAGTCCGGGTGATAGGGGCTGGCTATTCGGGGATATACCTAGGAATTCGTATACCACAGCGCATACGAAATGTCGATTTCCGAATCTACGAGAAAGAGGAATCTGTGGGTGGCACGTGGTGGGTGAATAGATATCCTGGTAAGGAATATTGATATCTGCAGACAGCCTCTTGCACTTCATTTAACTGACACATGCTAGGCTGCGCATGCGACGTCCCAGCACATTCATACCAATACACTTTCAACCCGAATCCTAATTGGTCGGCTTTCTACGCCCCCGCAAGCGAGATTTGTGCGTATCTCCATGGCACAGCTGAGAAATATGGAGTTCTCAATTACGTGAAGCTGTCACATAAAGTAGAGACATGTCGTTGGGACGATACTAAGAAGAAATGGTTCTTGGCATCCACAACGGAAAGACTAGCAGTTGCTAACCTAGTACAGGATTTTAAATGTCCGGCGAACGGATACGAATGAGACGTTTGAAGATGATGCCGATATTCTAGTTGCGGCCAGGGGAAACCTGAGTGATCCTGCTTGGCCAAATATACCAGGTTTCAAGTCCTTTAAAGGTGAAGTTATGCACTCGGCAAGATGGAATCAAGAGTATGTCTTATCTGGCCATGAAATTGTTGTCCTACCTGCTTATAAGCGAATAGTTATGACTTCAGGAAAAAGAAAATTGGAATCCTCGGCAATGGATCTAGTGGTATACAGATTGTCCCTTCCCTACAAAAAGTCGAAGGAGCCCAATTATCGTGTTTCGTTAGAAGCAAGGCATGGATCACAAGTCCCTTTGGAGAGAGTACGTCTGGCCCCTTTTGGAATTTCCGAGAATTTGGCACTAACGATCATAGACGTGATGAAGAAGCTTGGGCTAGATCCGAATATACTCGATTGTAAGTGATGATGATTCGATACTGAAATCTGGAATATGGCATTGAAAATTGACAATTTGTTTTATGAAGTTTCGCCTGAGCAACGCGAAGAATTTGTCAATAATCCAGAGAAATACCACAATTTCCGGAAAATCATTGAGTTAGACGGCGGGACCATACACGAGATTTCGATGAGGGACTCAGATCTGCAGCGTATGGTCACCAGTGCTTCAAGAGTGGCAATGAAAGAGCGATTGTCGAAAAAGCCAGAAATCGCAGAATTCCTTATTCCCTCTTTCAGCATTGGGTGTCGGCGTCCTTCACCAGGGCCGGGTTATCTCGAGGCGTTAGTTGAAGACAACGTGGATTTCATCACCGACCCTGTGGAGGCTATAACACCTACAGGGGTGACTCTGAAGACTGGTCGCGAGGTCGAAGTCGACGCTCTTGTTTGTGCTACTGGGTTCAATGCTTCGTCGGCGCCGCCTTTCCCCATCTATGGACGTGGGGGTCTGGCATTGAAGACGCGATTCACACCCTTCCCAACTGCGTACCTCTCGATCGCCGTGGACTCATTCCCCAACTTCTTCATCATGCTAGGACCTAACTCGGCTATTGGATCAGGTTCGCTGACGGTGATCCTGGAGAATGAGGGCGATTATATCGTGAAATGCATCCGCAAGCTTCAAAAGGAGGACTACGCCACAATGTGTATCAAACCTGAGCGCATCAATAATTGGTCCGAGTATTGTCATGAGTATTTCAAAAACACTGTTTACACAGACCCCTGCCACAGCTGGTACAAGAGCGAGGGCGGCTCGGGTGACCGTATAACGGGTCTATGGCCAGGAAGCACACTTCATGCGCTTGAAGCATTGAGAGCACCAAGATGGGAAGACTACGATTATGAAAGCATTGAAGGCGCTGCAGGGAATAAGATGAGATGGTTGGGTAATGGATCTAGCATTACTCACATGAAAGGGGAAGGGAGTGATGAATGGGGTGGTGATCCTGCTTGGTATATTGAGAAACGGTTTGTGGACTTCCCCCTTCTGGGCCATCCCGAGAATGACGAGACCCTGAAAATGCGCCCATTTTCCCATTAGTTATTACTAGATTACTTTTTATCCCACCTAGCTAGTGTCAATCTTAGATTAGCTAGGTATCTTCTAGCTATATCTTCGAAACATTGGAAGGATCATGAAGTATTTCGGGATAAGGGAGAGCTTTTCCTTTTCTAGCATCTTTAGTAACTTAATAAAGTCAAGTTGAATGCGGGTTCATATTGTAGAGGTATACATCTTTATGCCCAAGGCCTTTTCTGCTGCAAAACTATACCCAGTTGCCTATCTAACTACTACCTACGTAGACGTACTAGTCAAGTTGAAATGTGTCATAAGATACCCAGCATCCAGACCATTAGGAAAATAATCGTTCTGTCATAATATCAGGAGCTGCCTGGGACTTAAAAAATACCCCTTCCCTCCATCTATTCCAAGAAGATCTCATCATTTTCAACTGTGCTAGCAATTAAAGATTAGTCTCTGGTATCTTTAGGCTCGTCTTGCCAGAACCACCCTGTTCATTATCTCTACACGGAAGCTACGATTGACTAGGTACCTACCTAGGTTCTTAGAAGAACTTCCCGATGCGGCAAGCTACACCGACTTGATTGGCGGATAGGAGTGTGGGGAAGAACAGGGATAGACCTAGGTAATTGGGAAGTTACACCATATACGACCAAAAATTTCCTCTTGATTCTATGTGAGAATAATAAGTAAGATTATTCTCTAGAACATGAGCAAAACAACCAAGAGTTACATAGTGGTCAGACAGGCTTTGAATCAGAACTTCGTGATGACTTTCAGTTTGCTTAAATACCTCATTGAATACTTGTAAGCTGACATCCGATTCAAGACATATATTTATTGGACTACGACCATCTGCATAAATGCCATGATATCGGTAGGTAGGCACAACATAAATCCCTAAAATGGACTACTTCTTTAGTAGGTGTTGGCGATACGATTAATGTGGTCACTCGAGATATTCTGAGAGGCCTTAATTTTTAACCCCGCGTCTAAGGATTTGTAATGAATATTCATGAATAGGTACAGGGTCGAGTTTAAGGATTGATAATGCATTGCATAGATATGGCGGATCAGGCTTTAGGAGCCAAATTATCCTTGAAAGCCTCAGAATCGATACATCATCTGAATGTAACGCCGTGATAGATGCAATATCACGTTATTGTTAGATGAAATCGCTTAAGGTGAGGTATGATAACGATTCCAACTTTAATATCAATGAAGAAGGGTTCAAGGGGGTAAGTGGCAAAATATGAATATGGCCTAGGAAGAAGAACGTTATATTGTCCTTGTATATCTGCCATTCTCAACCTAAACTGTTAAAAGACAAACCTGGTCCTTATGTGGCTTTTAATTGCGTAGACATAGGTTATTCTCAGGCTGGAATTGAATGATGGGATCAATTTAAGCTATTCCCGGAGTCACACAAGACGACCTGTCGAAAAAATTGGCCCAGGGAGAATCAACGCAGTGGTGTGACGCGTTTATATATGTGACGTCTCTAGATTTTTATTTCGTCCCGAATACCTAGGTGCTACACACCTCAGCGAAGGAATTGGCAAGAGGGGGCCGTTGTTAATTCCCTTACCTAGGTAATGTCTTGGTGCTTAAAGACACTTCGAAAATCAGTTGGTCTACCTCTCAGTGTTATTGTATAGGAACGAGACATTACCTTGCTACTGTCCCAATAAGTCCAAGACCTGTTATTACTAATATGGGACGACTTTATTCCTCGTTATCTAGGTCCCTGGGTAGGTAGGTATATTGGCAGATTGGAATACGATTAATTGTCGCACGCTTTGCGCGAATATCGGCTTTGGTGATTTGTAAGCGTTGTTGAGTCATCGGGCAAGAGGAATAAACGTAAATAAGATCGATCTTTAATACGGAGAAAAGTGAACCCATTAGTTAGCTCCGATCACCATGATTGAGGTACCGGCCAATTTGGCCCCGTTCGGAGTATCCAATCTAGGTAGTGATAGATACAATCCCTAACTAAAGGGTAATTTGCTGCTTTTTCTAAGCCCCTGCCGTAGCCTCCTTATCACCGTCCTATATATTAGTTCAAACGTCAAGACCCAAGCTGACGTGACCGCCAGATGTCGGATACACTGCGGTGAGATGAAGGGCCATTAAAGTGTAGATACGTAACTCACCGATGCGATGTTTGCTTAGAATAGTTAATATATGAAAAAAGGCTGAACGTTGTTGTCCGTAAACTGTTGAGGACTGCCATCCCTTTCTATAATCACATGATAAATTGCATTAATAAGTCCCTAAGCCCTGCGGGGAAGTCTTCCAAGATACAGCTGGGTCTGGGGTTGTAAGCGGCGAAGCGGTCGCAGTTATTATGCCCTTGACCGTGGATTCTATTGGTTAGGTAGTTAGTTCTTGGGCAACCGATTGGAACCCAAGGAAGATCTACATGCAGGGCCCACGATGCGGATCCAGGGTTCAAGTAAAGTCGGGATGTTTGGATGTTGAACTGAAAGACCCAAGAAAAATATAGTGAGTCAGCCTTGTAGAGATAATGAGCATGTGGGTACATGATAGATGTCCGGGGTCTTAGCGCCGCAAACTCCATACTCTAACACCGATGAGGGTCCCGGCTCTTAGGAGAAATTGGAGCGTCGTTAAACAAAAGATGATTCATAGATTGCCCACTAGGAGAAAAGAAATGCTACTATCGCCGATATCGTACTTCCAGCCCGGGGGCGCGCCAATACTAGCCGAATAAATATTCTCCATGAGAGGTGCTAATGTGCGCGGATCTAGCCCGTATTCCCGGCCGCATTTGTTGAGCGGTCTGACCCCATCTCACCGACATGTCGTGGAAGGTATTATTGTTATCAGTCAACTGCCCCGTCACAACAGCCAACCACTCCAGCCTATCAGCGCTGCATGTGTCGGTAGGCAGCGCGGTCTTGCCACACGCATCCGGCGTGGGATAGAAGGGTCCATAGGCCTGGTTCGTCGCATATGTGACAGGAAGCCCTAATGAATTAGGGAACCCGGCCGGCATATTAGTGCATGTTAATCAACGACCATGCCGGATTAACAATCAAGGGTGGTGGGCCGGGCCTCCATATGCTTCTTTCTTACATGGAGACCCGTACACCCCTTCGTATTCACTGTGAGCCTAATCTTCTGCTGAAAAATCCATTGATTAACAATCAACCTCCTTTTTGAGGGTAAAAGTTTCTTGGGCCCCCCTTGATATCTCCACTGACTTGGTTCATTATCTCCTCAGATCAACTGTGAAAATTGTAGTAAAATACTAGAACTCTGGTGGTATTAGTCTGGTCATCCTCAACCTTATATTGCCACATTTGCGTCCTACCCCAAACAGTTTGCCAAACCTATTTTGACCTGATTGCGCTAGGTGTACGTGGACGGGAACTGCTAGTGCCGTCTCTTCGTTTACCTCACTACATACTCTCCGGAACGCTAGTAACATTCATTTGAGAAGTCTTACTTTTAGCCAACGTTCGACGGCCATGTGGGCTACCACCGTTGGTGGTGATGCCCTTCGCCGCAGAGAGGCCGGGATGCCGACAAACCAATGGCACCGCGGTGACACTCACCCAGACGATATAACGCCTACGACCGGAGGTACAGGGGACTCGGACGCCGGCAACGGACCTGGTAGCTCTGGTGCAGCTGGAAATGAGGATGGCACTTGGGGTGAGCGTGACGTCGGCGGCGTCGACGAGTATGAAGCTATGGAGGAACTGGACGTGTTGAGGCACAATCTTTCTCAGCTACACCGAGAAAGAACCCAGGAAACACAAGCTAGCAGGCCATTTGACCTAACGCAAGTAAAGAGTCGTCGTAGCGAGGCGGCCGCCAACTTATCTAGGAGGCAGACGAAGCAAGCTGAAGCCGGTGAGCTTGATATGGATGAAAAGCCTGGAACCGAAGAAGACGAATTCGAGCTGGGAAAGTTTATGCGCGACGGTCACTTCGAAAAGCGAACGGAAGATGGATCTGAGAAGCGAGTCGGCGTCATCTATAAGAATCTCACCGTCAAGGGGGTCGCAAGTACATCTTCATTCGTCCGCACTGTGCCAGATGCGATAATAGGGACTTTCGGGCCTGATTTGTATAAAATTCTCACACGTTATTTTCCTATTCTTCGATTTGGGAGGAAACAACCGACCCGCACGCTGATCCACGACTTTACCGGTTGTGTACGAGACGGTGAGATGATGCTAGTATTGGGCCGCCCGGGTTCCGGATGCAGCACGTTTCTCAAAGCCGTCAGCAACAACACCGAATCCTTCGCAGCCGTCGAAGGAGAGCTATCCTACGGTGGAATCCCGGCCCATAAACAGAAGCAGATGTACCGAGGAGAAGTGAACTACAATTCCGAGGACGACATCCATTTTGCCTCGCTCAACGTCTGGCAGACGTTCACCTTTGCTCTCATGAACAAAACGAAAAAGGGGGCAAAGGAGGAGATCCCAATCATCGCCAATGCGTTGATGAAAATGTTCGGCATTAGCCACACGAAATACACCCTAATCGGGGACGAGTACATAAGAGGAGTGTCCGGCGGCGAGCGTAAACGAGTGTCCATTGCTGAGACGTTGGCATCGAAGTCGACTGTAATGGCGTGGGACAATTCTACGCGCGGGTTAGACGCGTCGACAGCTCTCGACTATTCGAAGTCCCTTCGTATCATGACCGACGTCAGCAATCGCACCACGCTGGTGACGTTATACCAAGCTGGCGAGGGTATCTACGAACTCATGGACAAGGTTATGGTCATAGATCAAGGTCGACAAATATTTTCGGGGCCAGCCAAGGACGCCAAGCAATATTTCATCGACCTCGGCTTCGAGTGCCCGGAGAGGCAGACCACGGCAGATTTCCTGACCGCCGTCACCGATCCAAACGAGAGGAAGTTCAGACCTGGATTCGAGGATAGAGCGCCTAAGACCGCCGAGGAGCTGGAGAAGGCGTTCCGCAATTCTTCGAACTATCAGAAGCTGCTGGCCGACGTTCGAGATTACGAGGAACATCTACAGCGTACCGACTATGCGGATGCGAAGAGGTTCGAAGGCGCGGTGCGGGACTCCAAGTCGAAGCATGTCAGCAAGGAATCGCCCTATACCGTTTCGTTCATTCGCCAAGTAATGGCTTGCACGAAACGGGAATTCTGGTTGCTTTTTGGCGACACGGCAACGCTCTGGACGAAATTCTTCATTATTGTGGCGAACGGGTTTATCGTCGGTTCGATCTATTACAAACAGCCTTCCACGACCGCAGGAGCATTTACACGCGGCGGCGCGCTGTTTTTCTCTATTGTCTTCCTTGGGTGGCTTCAGCTGTCGGAGCTCACGAGAGCAGTCTCGGGACGAACCGTCGTATCTCGTCACCGAGACTACGCGTTCTACCGACCATCCGCCGTGGTCATTGCCCGAGTCCTCCAGGACATACCCGTAATCTTCGTGCAAGTGTGCATATTTGGAGTAGCAATGTATTTCATGACCAATCTTGATGTCGACGTGAGCAAGTTCTGGATTTACATGCTATTCGTATACACAACAACCATAATGATCACGGCCATGTATCGAATGTTCGCCAGTTTATCGCCTGAGATCAATACCGCTGTGCGCTTCTCTAGTCTTGCCTTGAACTTGCTTGTCATTTATACAGGTTACGTTCTCCCCAAGACACAGCTCCTAAACGACTACATTTGGTTCGGCTGGCTCTACTGGATAAACCCGATATCTTACAGCTTCGAGGCGGTCTTGACGAATGAACTCTCGAACCGAATAATGGAATGTGCTCCTCAACAGCTCGTGCCTCAAGGGCCCAACGTTGTACCGGAATACCAAGGATGCGCCCTCTCCGGATCTAAACCAAATTCTCGAGTAGTCGCAGGTAGCGACTATTTGGAAACGGCCTTGAGCTACAGCCGTTCCAACTTGTGGCGAAACTTCGGTGTCGTCATCGCGTTTATGGTTTTGTATATCATCATCACGGTCCTCGCGACAGAAATGTTCGACTTCTCATCCGAAGGAGGTGGCGCACTGATCTTCAAAAAGAGTAAGAGAGCTAAGCAGCAAGCACAGAAAGCTGGTGCATCGTCTGATGTTGAGAAAAGCGGAGGCGCCGACAGTAGCGGATCTTCAGCTACTAGAGTTGGCGACTCAAAGGCCACCCCTCAAGAGCAGAACGAGGCTTTGGAGCAACTTACGAAGAGCGACTCGATCTTCACTTGGCGAGATGTGGAATACACTGTACCCTACCTCGGCGGCCAGCGCAAGCTTTTGAACAAGGTCAGCGGTTATGCTAAGCCCGGAATTATGGTCGCACTTATGGGCGCATCCGGTGCCGGCAAGTCGACGCTATTGAACACTTTGGCGCAAAGACAACGAGTTGGTGTAATCTCTGGTGAAATGTTCGTTGATGGCAAGCCCCTGGGCTCGGAATTCCAGCGTAACACGGGGTTCTGTCTTCAAGGCGATCTTCATGACAAAACTCAAACTATTCGCGAAGCCATCGAATTCTCGGCGCTTCTGCGACAAGAAGCATCTATCCCCCGTGCTGAAAAGCTCGCGTACGTAGATAAGATCATCGACCTCCTAGAGCTCAACGATCTTCAAGATGCGATCATTAGCTCCCTTGGTGTCGAGTTGCGCAAGCGACTTACCATCGGTGTTGAACTCGCCGCCAAGCCATCATTACTCCTATTTCTTGACGAACCTACGTCAGGACTTGATTCTCAATCTGCCTATAGTATCGTTACTTTCTTGAAGAAACTCTGTGCCGCTGGTCAAGCCATTGTCTGTACCATCCACCAGCCGAGTTCAGTTCTAATCCAGCAATTCGACATGGTGCTCGCCCTTAACCCTGGTGGGAACACATTCTATTTCGGTCCCATCGGAGAGAATGGCAAGGACGTGATAAAGTATTTCGCCGACCGCGGAGCGACCTGCCCTCCTGGGAAGAACGTCGCTGAATTTATCCTCGAGACAGCTGCCCGACCGCATAAACGCCCCGATGGCACCAAAGTCGATTGGAATGAAGAATGGAGGAACAGCGAACAGGCACAACAGGTGCTTGACGAAATTGACGGGCTAAAACGAGTTCGCAGCACGGTATCACAGGGTGCCAATCCTACGAAGGAGCAGCAGAGGGAATACGCAGCGTCGACGTGGCTGCAAACGGTCGAACTCACCAAACGTATGTTCCGGCAATACTGGCGCGACCCCTCATACCTCTACGGCAAGTTCTTCGTGGCGATAATCGTCGGCATCTTCAATGGATTCACTTTCTGGAAGCTCGGATATACCGTCCAGGATATGCAGAACCGGATGTTCACGAGCTTCATGATCGTCACGATCCCGCCTACCATCGTCAATGCCGTAGTGCCTAAGTTCGACTCTAATATGGCCTTGTGGGAAGCTCGCGAATATCCGTCCCGTATATACGGCTGGGTCGCTTTTTGCACCGCTAATATAGTCGCCGAGCTGCCTGCTGCTGTGATATCCGGCGTCTTGTACTGGGCGCTGTGGTGCTGGCCTACCGGCCTCGCTAGCGACAGCCTGATCGCTGGGTACACATTCCTAATGACAGTGCTCGTTTTCCTGTTTATGTCTAGTTGGGGCCAGTGGATCTGTGCATTCGCCCCCAGCTTCACCGTCATCTCCAACGTGCTACCCTTCTTTTTCGTCATGTTTGGCCTCTTCAACGGTGTGGTGCAGTCCTACTCGATGCTCAATATTTTCTGGAGGTCTTGGGTGTACTGGGCGAACCCGGGCACATACTGGATTGGCGGCATGCTGGCTGCTACTCTTGACGGCATTCCCGTCCGCTGTGATTTATCGGAGACCGCCCGGTTTGACGTGCCTCAGAACCAGACCTGCCAGTCGTATGCAGGCGCATTCGCGGAGACCGCTGGAGGCTATTTACTTAACGCCAATGCGACCAGCGACTGCCAATATTGCCCCTATAGCGTGGGTAATCAGTACCTTACGACGCTCAACATCAAGTCTGAGGATAAATGGCGAAGTAAGTCCTTATTCACACCATCATATCCCCAATTTCATGGGCGAGTATATTCTAACGTTGCGAATTAACTACCTAGACTTCGGCGTCTTCTTGGCTTTCTGCTTCTCCAACTGGATGCTCGTATACTTCTTCATCTATACGGTTCGCGTTCGTGGTTGGAGCTTCGGGCTTAACTATCTTTTCGGTACTTTAGGCAAGTTCGTGGGCGTGCTGAGGAAGCCGTTTACACGTTCTGCTAAGAAATAAATGATTGATACGATTTTCCACTCGGCAATCTTAACCATCATCGAGGCGAGATGTTTTCAAAAGTTTCTTTCGGTTTGCTGGCTAGCAGCATCATACCGCTTTTTAATTGACATCACAAGGACGTGCGGCGAATTAGGGGAAATGACCCCTAAATTTTGGGGATGATTTAGCGCGGGGACTGACGATATAATATCCAGATGATTAGAATAGCATCGCATTGTTACCTTCTACGTAGTCGATGAAGGAGACTACGTAGATGGATAGAATAATGAAAAAAATACGAAAATTTATGAACCATTCAACAATGACCATCTCTTGCTACCTACCCGTTGTAATTGATCTATGCATAGGTACCTAGGTACCTAGGTAGTATTATAAAGAGACAGGTATAATGCACGGGTTATCCGATTCAAAGGACTGGACCTTGCGACCGTTGATAAATTCGCTAGAGTTTCGTCATATATCTACAACGACCCTAATAACACCCAGGCAATGCGCTACCATACAAATAGGGCATCTTTCGGAGAACAGCCGGCATCTTTCGGCATGACAAACCAGGGTATGGATCTTATCTAGAGATAGGAGAATTATTCGAAACCCCAATCCTTGCGACCCAGCCTGTCGGGTGGAACCGATGCTGTAGATCCGTGATAGCGGCAAATTTGCCTAAAAATAGAAATCCTAGTGGAATCGCGCTGAAAAAACTTATGTAACTTGTCCAATGCGATGGATATCACGGAGATAACATAGTAGACGAAAAAGTCAAGTTTCAGGAGTTACAGGATAATCCACCTCACAGAGGAACTGCGCCGTCTGAAAGCATAACCCTGACCTTAACTCCAAGCTTAGATAATCATTAGGTATTCTAGGGGTTAGGGTTGGGGTACCTAGGCATTCTGTACATCGCGCGAGATCGCCTTAACTCTTGAGACATCATTCCTGACCACATCTCAAAGGGCTCTTGCGACGTAATCGATGTTCGTTTTATTCAATCTAGCCACATTGATACGACCGCTCTCGGGTAAGTGGATATGGTGCCGTTCCCTTAATAGCACACATTGCTGAGGAGTCAGGGGTAATGCCCGACTTTAGGAGGGTTATTGTGTCGCGTTGATTAAAAAAAAAAAAGTTGTTACCTAATTAGGAAGGTGGGCCATGTGGCTGGGGTGTGGCTAGGTGTGGTGGTGCGTAGGTGGTGGAGGGGTTACTAAGGTAGGAAGGTAAAAAAAGGAAAGTGGGTCTTGCGTGGCTAGAGCTGTGTGGCTGGTAGGGCGGTGCGAGGGGGGAGACCTGTAATAGGCAAGTCAAAAGGGGAAACGTACGATGAGTCAGCAAGGCGTGAGCCAATCAGTGAAGAGCTAGTGGGTCCAGCCCGATTCGGGTGCGGATTACGTAAGTGCTGATTAGTCAGTTCAAATGAGGGTTCAACTTTAGTCCTAATTGACTGATTATATAATACAACGGCCCTGACTTTTAGGTCAGGTCAGGTCCAGGAACCTGTTCTTCAATACAGGTCAGGTCCAGGGACCTGACCTAGGGGAGGAACGGTTGCTCCTTTATATAATCAGTCCCCTACAAGGTTCTAAAAGCCTGTGGCGGGTGCTTATATAATCAAGCTAGCAACCAATTAAAAGGGGTAGGTCTCTAAAAAGGGACTAGCGGGTGCACTGGCCATTCAAAAACACGCTAAATTGAGTGGTGATTATATAATCAGGGTGCTTACTTAAGTAATCTACAGCAGTTGACAGGACCTACGTAGTATATAGCGCGCGGGTGGCCGGCCGCGCTATATACTGAATACAAAAGGATTATAAAAGGTAGAGAGCAACAAAACCAGGGAATCGAACCCTGGGATGTAGCACAGGTGGGTTGCGGTTAAACGTCGGGAAAGTCCTAAAGTCGGGTTATTGTGGTACCCCGACGGGGTGCCCTCCAGTATGCTGTTGTCGTTAACAATTGTTTAAGGAGTAATATACAACACAGGTACTTACCAGAATAGGCCTTGTGTAGACGTAATAACATCCCAATTCCCTGGGACCTTACCTAGATTACTTAGTTAACGAACTTCATTTTCTTCCGTAGAATTGGGGAAGGTATCTTAAGTTTACTATGGCGTTGTAGAGTGCCCGTCTGTTGTATAGCAACCTTTCTTTCATCGTATCCAGCTCATCGCGCCTAGTTTGGTTTTCACTCATTAGCACCTGGCTCTAATTAGTAGGTAGCTGGAGTCGGGACACCGACCATATCTTGGTTAATCCGGCATCCTCTAATATTATCGTCACCAATCGGGAGCCATACGCAGGAGACGAAGAGAACTCCCATCAAACCAGGCAACGCAACTGATCACCTATATTGCGAGCATTTTCTTCATCTTTTCCCACAATATGTAGAACGTCAGCACGCTCGCTATACAGTCCGAAGTTCTTCGCAAACGATTGTACTACCACGAACTCGAGCCCCAACTCGGCAAAGCGCCGGATACCATATACATCTTCGTCGATGCCTGCCCCGAGACCCTGATACGCGATGTCGAAGAAGGGCAGTACATCATGATTCTTGAACGCTTCGGCTAACTCGTCCCACTGTTCCTTCGTGAGGTCGGCTCCTGTGGGGTTGTGACAGCAACTCTGGAGAACGAAAATGCTTTTCGCTGGTGCCGTTCGCACGAGTTGGGGTATTTCAGGGAAGTGCACGCCATTCTGAATATCATAGTACTCGTATTTGGCAACCTCTAGCCCAGCAAGACGGAATATGGGGCCGTAGTTGCCCCAAGCCGGAATCCCGACATACGCGGTCTTGCCGGAGAACTTGGCGGATCGGCTTAGAAAGAGCGCGCCTATGTGATTGGCACCTGTTCCGGAGATGGTCTGGACGGAGGCTACCTATTGGTTATATCAATAACCAACCTCCACCGGAGCTGAGAGGCGTTGATAACAGACCTTCTTGTCTTGAAGCACCTGACTGGATGAGCCGAAAATCAGTCGAACAGCATGCTTTAGGAAAGTTGGGTTTCCAACAGTGACTTCGTAGTCGTGGCCAGGATTTCTCTCGTCCAGAATCTTCTTAGCCTAGCATCGTCTCCTACGAGTAAGGCGTATATCAATGAGATGGGATCCCTGACCTGTTTGATAGCCTCTAGCTCATGATAACCAGCTTGCTCGTTTCTATAAACACCAATACCGAGATCTACCTTGTTGGGTGATACATCGCCGTCGGCCAGCTTTTTCAGGGTGAACATGGGATCCGGTGGGCCCGGACGTGCGCTCTCAAACACTGTGAATGGCTGATAGATATGAAAAATGACGAAATGGAGTTATCCCAACGAAATCTTGCTCAAACGTATATACGAGCTTCTTCCATGTGCAGTATTCAGCCCAATTCGATTATTATACGCCAGTATAAGCACGCAGCTGGTGCTCGGAGTTTGACCCGAGCCTCTCCACATTCCATCGGCATGTGTCCCGAGTTTCGTTATGAAAGATATAATCTATTATATAATAATTCATGGTGCAAATGGAAGTTCAGACACTGTATCTACCTAGTAATACGAAGCATAGTGTTGCTAAGAACCGTTAACCATTTGAACAATCCTGCTAGTGGGGACGCCACCCCCTTTTCTTGTCAATAACACCATGACTGAAAAATGTAGACATGTGACATGTGCTCAAGTGGGTACCTCTAGCAATAGGACTTAGAAAAATTGGTTATGCATATGTATGAATGAATCACGTATGCATTTAACGAAAGACATGAACGCTGGCAAATCGAAACAGCATCATGTAGCGATAAGGGTTACTCCCTGGGTGAAAGGGGGGCTACCCAAAAGAATTGCTCTCTATACAGTGTCTAACGTAAAAAATAAGGTAGATATTCTTCACAACTCAGCCGGAAGACGAATCGCTCGTCACTGCCTTCCTCCTAAACCCAAACATCTGCACGATTTCTGTCCAGAACCCAGGAGCATCCTCGGTGAAAGCAGCCTCGTAAGCGTCGATACTCGGCGCAGCCCATACAAGGTCCGTTTCTTCTGGCTTGATGACCTTGGTGCGATGCCAGAGCTTCCATCCGATGTAGAGAATGGGGTCGAGTAAGACCATGGTATAGTACGTGAAGAAGGACTTGATGTCCCATTTTCCGGGCAGAAACACGCTGTAGCCGTAGGTGCAGACCACGGTGGTCATGAATACCAAGCCGATCCAAGCAGAGTACGGCTGAAAGTAACCAAAATATGGTAGAGTCTTTCGATCGAGACCCTGAACCTTGCAGGCACGGTAAAAGAAGAGGAATGTAATGCTGATGATGATGTAGTCGATGATCTGTGCCGCGGTAAGAAGGTTCACAAACCAGCTCAGCACTTCGGAAGAACCACTGGAGACGTTGAGGAAGGCTAGGCATGGAAATAACATCGTGATGACAAGGCAGTAAATTGGAACACCCGCCTTCGTACATTTAAGTAAGAATCTGGGGGCTTGTCCGTCGAGGGCGAGTCCGTAAAGACTTCGACTACCGCAATAGGTATATGCGTTTCCGGCTGAGAAAATACTGGTCACAAGAAGAGCGTTGGTAATGTGAGGTAGCACTCCGATGCCCAGGTTACCCATGGCAATGACATCTGCACACATAGTTCATTAGTATACTGAATTATATGTGAGGCCTAGTGTTTTGGGAACTTACACGGCGAAGCTGCTGCAGTTCCGGCACCCCCAGCCGATCCTGAGAGGATGGACAACAGAGTCTTGTCGTTGTATGGAATAACGATCCCGACACACAAGGCACTTCCAACGAAGAACAGGGTAAATCTAAAGTATGCAGTCTTGAAAGCATTCTTCAGGTATCGTCGAGGTAGCTTTGTTTCACCTGCCACCATACCAACATACTCGGGTCCGACGAATGTGAAAGCAGCACTCCACACAGCAGCTGCTCGGCGTTAGCAATGGCTTTTTCTTCACAATTTTACTTCCAAGGGTCGTAACATACCTAAAAATCCTTCGAAGCGACCAAGAGAACCAGTCGTAATGTGTTCGGCGAAAGCTCCAGGGTTGTTCCAGTACCGAAAGCCGTAAGCGTCATGCTTCGGATTACCCCCGACCATCGTAACGAAGGTGAAACAGAATACAATTGCAAGAAGGAGAATCTTGCCGGTAGCCAACCAAAATTCAGCTTCACCGTACCACTCTACCGCAAAGATGTTGATGCAGCTAAAAGAAATCGGTTAGCGGACGGATCAGACCTCACTTTAATCTTGGGTATGAACTTACAAGTATAGTACAATACAGGCCGCGATCACTGCTGCCACCGGGATATCGTCACGCCAGTAGGAAAGTACCGCGGTCAAAGCCGAAATCTCGAAGGGAATCAAGATAGCCTCGTACAAGAAGAAGTTCCAACCAGCCATAAAACCCAGGGACTCATCAACCCATTTACTCGCCATTCGGATAAAGCCACCAGTGACGGGTTGGAAAACCGCCATTTCGGCCATGGAGTTGTTCACAAGAGCCATTACCATCGAATACATACTGTAGGCAATGAACAAGCTTCCGGGGCCACCAGCAACAAGTCCGCTCGAGATACTGACGAAGACTGCCGTGCCGATCGATCCTCCGATAGCAATTAGCTGGATCTGGCGGTTTCCGAGGTGTCGTTTCAGTTGATCATTGACCGCAGTAGTCTCCGTGAAGCTACCCATGTGAACACTCTCGGCCCGGGTAATATCCCGGGTGAGGGACTTGTCACTCACATCACCCTTTTCCTGAGAAGAATCCATGGTGTGAAGATGGAGGGGATAGGTGTAGTGGTAGGTATTACTCGAGATCGTAGTAGAGGTTGAACATGAAGCGCAACATTAAGTTAACACATGATATAAAGAATGAATATGAAAAGTGAAAATTGAGAGAAGAGAAAGGGATATTAGAAGGGTTGATCAGGACTGTAAAAAAGCTCGAAATTGAGCAAGGCCAAGTTACCAGGGTCGATGATAACCCAGGTTACTGGGTAGGAAAGATTGCGCAGCTGTCTCAGATCAGGAATGTCCCCTTGTCTTGAGAATTCGGTAAGGTGCGCTCACCGAGACACGAGTCGGTTGACCCGATATCCTATTATGACTTTACGGACAACCAGTTCTCCACTCTTATCGCAGGATGACGGTGATCGCTAGGGGTCAAGCTGCTCGGCTAGCCGGGATGAGGACTAACTCCGATTTTACCCCAGCTCAATACTACTTATCTAATGATAAGGCTATCTGCAAGCTTGATAGGTGAGTTTGATAACTGCTGTCATACATTTCGTCGCGTCTCATCTCGTCTCGTACGAGAGTAGATGCGGCTGATGGTAACCCGAACCATGTGGCCAAGTACGTGACGCGGACGGAAGGATTGCTTCGTCGCGGGGTCAGGTAACGGAACCAGAGAGTTGGAGAGAATAGTGACGGGCCGGACCCCGACTACACCATCGGTTAAAGGTCCCGAGACCGTAAACGGCGTTGTATTCAAACACCCCGCACGAGTGATGGTAATTGATATGGGTTATATGGCCATAGATGGTAGTCGAGAGTTGATGAAAGTCAAGAAACTCAATCTCATACTCAATTCATTTACACGCGTTACTGATTTGACGATTCTGTTGAGAGATTTCACCTTGGCACCCTTAGAAAAAGGGTATAGCGGTCGGAACGGATTCGTACGCTGTCGGGTTCCACTGCCGAGACCAGCCATGGTTAAGGGGCGCGTTATAACATCTTTGCGGAATGCCTCGACTTCAGCAGCCGTGTCGTCGGCACCACAAATTGCTGGCCGATTCCCTTTAGCACCGCTACCTAATGGCATGTTACTAAGATCCCTGCTCGTAGCCGGGATATCATCGAAACGCTTGCTTCTCATACCGTCTTTGAAGATACTTTCATTTCTCTCGAAACCTAATAGAGGGTTTCTTCTTCACGTCGAAAAGAACCCAATTATTCATGGGATTTTGAAGAAGACCTTTTATGATCAATTTTGTACTGGGGAGACAGGACCGGAGACGAGGCGCCGTGTTCGCGAAATCAAGGATCTTGGGTTTAAGGGCGTGATCCTAACATACGCAAGAGAAACCGTATTTGACCATAAAACCAACAAAGCAGATGTGCAAGGAGTCGACGACGTTACTGGATCTTCTTCCGCAGACTTATGTCCACATCTTGAAGAATGGCGGGTTGGGACTCTTAAGACCGTCGATCTGATCGAGGAAGGCGATATTCTTGCTGTGAAGTAGGTATTCAATCTGCATCATCCCTTATCAAATGAGCTAAAGAGTATTACAGATTGACCGGGGCTGGTCCCAAGGTAACTCAAGCTTTCATTGAAGGTCTACCGCCACCTCAGCGATTCTTAGACGCAATCGACGAGATTTGTGCTGCTTGCAAATCTCGCTCGATACAGGTTATTATCGATGCCGAGTCCCAGCATTTCCAAAAGGGAATCACGAAAGTAGGTCTGGAAATGATGCGTCGATTCAACCGCGATAATTCTGCTGTCGTCTATAACACATACCAAGCATACCTCAAGAAAACACCATCTCTCATCGCAGAGCATCTCGAAGCCGCGAGTAAAGATGGGTTTACACTGGGTCTGAAACTGGTTCGTGGCGCGTACCTAGGCTCTGATGACCGGTCTTTGATTCACGACACGAAAAAGGACACGGACGATGCCTATAACGGCATTGCAACAGGTGCTCTAAGGAAGCAGCTCGGCCAATTTGGAAAGGGGGGCGGCAAGCCCTTCCCTTCGGTCAACCTCTTCTTAGCTAGCCACAATAGGGAGAGCGTAATTGGAGCCAACAGACTACACCAGGAGAGAGTTAAGAACGGTCTACCTACCATCCCGGTCGGTTTCGGTCAACTTCATGGTATGTCGGATGAGGTCAGCTTTTCACTACTGGCGGAAAAGGATGAAAACCAAACATCCCCGGATGTGTATAAGTGCTCCACTTGGGGTAGTATGGGTGAATGTCTGGCATACTTGCTGAGGAGAGCGGTGGAGAATCGTGACGCAGTCACACGGACGACGGACGAGTATTCGGCTTTGAAGTCGGAAGTTTGGAGAAGATTCAAGTCGACATTTGGATTGTCGAGTTAGTAGCTTACGGGGTAGCTGGTAGCGGGGTCATTATGTAATATCGATTAGCTTACATATTGCATAAACTTTCAGTATTCTAAAATATGAAGTTTGTGCATACGCTTAGTAAGAAAAAGCTCGCCGTCGATTTAACTCGAAATCAGGATGACATAATCCACCCCCGCGGGGTTGCTACACCCTCACCTGAATCAATTATGAGGGTCCAACCTTACCCATAATTTTCTACAGATGAGATTGATACCTAGGTCTGCAGCCGACCGGCTTTTCCGTGTTTCGCTAAATTTTGAATGTAGTTAGCTTGGAAGACCCTGAGCACCATGGACGTCATAAGAACTAAATCCAATATCGCGATTCTCCATGCAATACCCTCACTTCACCCTACTATTCAATCTCCATCAATCACTTTGCCTAGTTAGCAAAAATGTCGACTCTGTGCATACTGGGCTGCGGTACGCTACACCGTACTCATCTTCGACCTCAAAACACCACTCACTAACACTTACATAGGAAACCTTGGGACGGCTATCCTAGACAGCTTGATAGGATCGACGGACGAGAAAGCCTCTCCGTTACCAGTTAAGCGTATCATAGCCTGTGTCCGCAGCGAGCGATCTGCAGGGCGGCTGTCCGCACGGCTTTCTAGCTCGCATATTCCCCTAGAAATTTCAAGTGGAAATAATGCGCAAGCAATAGAGCAGTCCGACGTCGTTTTACTCGGCGTCGATCCAGCAGACGTGCACGAGACGTTGGAAGAATCTGGGCTCGCTGCTGCGCTTGCGGGGAAATTGCTGATTAGTATCGTGGCGGGGTGGACAAGAGACCAGATCGAGACCCTGCTGGCTGAGGCATCCGCTCAAAGTTCCGACGACTACTCAAAGACTTGGGTAATACGAACTCTGCCGAATATTGCTGCCACAGTCTCCCAATCTATCACGGCTATCGAGAAGCCTGATCCAAAATTACCCCCTGAACATCTTGAATTCACTGATGCCTTATTCAACCGCATAGGCAAGACGGTGCACTTAGCTCCTAGTCAGATGGACGCGTTCACGGCAGTGGGAGGGTCTACGCCAGCATTCTTCGCCGTGATTGTCGATGCATTGATAGATGCATCGGTTGCCGTAGGCATGCCAAGACAGGAGGCGACCGCGACCATAGTGCAGTCTATGCTGGGCACAGCCACTCTTCTACAAAGCGGAGTGCACCCTGGAGTCCTAAGAGACCAGGGCACGTCGCCCGAAGGCTGCACAATCGGCGGACTTATGGTACTTGAAGAGCTTGGAGTGCGCGGTCACCTAGGTCGGGGTCTTCGTGAAGCTGTGACGATTGCGCGATTGATGGGCAAGGATCCTCATGTTAACGATACCAGACACTAGTAAAACAGCAGAGCCATCAAGAAATTTACGTCTAATTAGAATCTATTACTTCTATTGAAGATGTTTATGCCAAGAGATATCTCATCCCATCAAAATCAAAATACTATCGGAGAGGGAAGGAAGCCTCGAGCGATGCGATTTCCTCGGTGCCTTTTCTTATGGCCTCCTTAGCAGCATCAGTTGGCGCAATATAGGGGGTTCTGGGCTGCAATTTGGTGATCGGATCCGCAATGCCGGCTGCTGTCGCAGTCCATATGGCGGCGGCGTACTTTGTCGCGCCAATTCCCGCCTTGATATACTGCTCCGCCAATGCAGCTTTCTGGTGCAATTCCAGGGCCTCTTGGTATTTTCCTTCCCGGTAAAGACGGTATATCCTAGCAATTGTCTTAGGAGCCACATTTGCGAAGGCCGCAATGCAACCGACAGACCCAGAGCTCAGCCCGCCAATGATGAAATCCGATTGACCCCCAAACGTTGCAAAATTAGGGAGAGCAGCAGCCAAGCGAGTGATCTTGGCCACGGAACCGCACGTAAGCTTCGTTCCGACGATATTCGGGTGCTTCTTAGCCAACTTGGTGATAATGTCCGACCCCAAGTCGACACCATTGCACACACCCGGGAAGTTGTAGATAACGATGGGGAGTTTGCTACCCTTGGACACGTCGCTGTAAAACCTCTCGATGACCTCCGGCGTCGTAGCTTTTCCGAAATACGCTGGCGGTAGGACTAAGGTGGAGTTGGCTCCGGCATCCGCCGCGTCGCCAATAAGCTCAAGGACTTGCTTAGTAGAATGCGCTCCGCACCCGGCCATGATAGGAAAGTCAGGTCCAACCGCCTTGCGAGCCGTAGCTATCAAAGCCTTGCGCTCTTCGCGCGTCAACAGAAACGCTTCAGCATTTGTACCCAAAATGACTAGGCCAGCTAACCCCGTCTGCGACAGGTATGAGTAATAGGTAGCTTGCGATTCAAGGTCTAGTTCATCGGTTTCCGGGTTGAAAAAGGTAACGGCTGGGCACCAGACGCCGCTTGGAGGTATATGTTGGGCCATGACGTTTGAGAATTGAGGGGAATGAACAGATGAATATGCAGACCTAGTTGAACGCAGGAGGTAAAGCGATGAACCGTCGTCTCTATACAACTCGACAACCCCTTCTACACGTTGAAATCAATTGCATGGATATAGTTCACTATGAGTTCGCGATGTCGGCACGGTATCCGACCCGGGCATAAATCGGACACCACCTAAAGTAGTATAGTGTATCAATCGGATGGGCCGACTCTCCCAACGCGGAAAAATGCAAACCCCTGATATCGTAGTGGGGAAACCGGCAAGCGAACCGAGATCTACCTACGGGAAGAACACAACGTATGCCGCGATGAACCGACCCGAGACGTCACCGAGCAACTTCTCCGTAATAGTATATGGCCGATGAAGTGAGGGTTGCCGCAATCGGCATGATCCCGTTTTCGCGGAAATGGTTTTACTACTTGAAATGGCATCACTAACCCCTACTCAAGTGAGAGAGGTCCTTGGATATGTCTACGGAACACTTGACGAGCCATCTTTGAATCTGTGCTTATTCCTGCTAGTAGACTTTATACCAGTATATTAAGAAACTTCTGGTTATCAATCTGAAAGATGAGAAGAGCCGTCGCGTCAAAGCCATTACAGGCTTTTCAGGCCCGAAGTGGTCTTGGTGGTGCGGTCGCAAGGAGAGGCAAAGCTACTGTTCCATTCCGGCTGCCAGCCCCCCGTAATGAGCCCAATGTGAGTTTCCTGTGTCCTACGAACGATGGGTTGATTATTAACTCCATGGTCAGCCTGAATACAGAAAAGGGTCCCCAGAAAGACAGAAGTTGGAAGAGACAATAATCAGGCTGCGAAAACAACTTCCGTTGAAGAGTGAAATCTTCGTGAACGGCAAAGTTCAAGCTCAGTCTCAATCGATAGATCAGCCGCTTCCTAGCGAGCACGCCACTACTTTTACCAACTTCCCTCTGGCAACCAAGGAGCAAGTTTCCAACGCAATTGATTCTGCGTTGAAAGCCAAGAAGTCGTGGGAGCAAACCCCCTTCGTCGACAGAGCTGCCATCTTCTTGAAGGCCGCTGAGCTTGTTGCGACCAAGTATCGCCATGAGCTCATTGCGGCGACCATGCTCGGCCAGGGCAAGAACATCTGGCAGGGAGAAGTTGACGCCGCAGCTGAGTTGGCTGACTTTTTCCGTCTCAACTGCAATTATGCTGCCGAGATCCTTGAGAGACAACCAGACCGTGGAAGCGACGGAATGTGGAGTCGCTTAGACTACCGACCCCTAGAAGGCTTCGTCTACGCCATTTCGCCCTTCAACTTCACTGCGATTGGTGGTAACCTCATCTCCGGGCCTGCGTTGATGGGCAATGTGGTACTATGGAAGCCTTCAGCATCCAATATTTATGCTAGTACCATTGTATACAAGATTCTCCTCGAGGCTGGTCTCCCTAAAGATGTTATTCAGTTTATCCCTGGTGATGCCGAGGAAATCACCTCCACCATCCTTGCGCACCGCGAATTTGCTGGCTTAAACTTCGTCGGCTCTTCTGACGTATTCCGCTCCATATACGCCAAGATTGGCGAGGGTATCGGTAAACGGACCTACCGGGACTTCCCCCGCGTCGTTGGCGAGACGAGCGGAAAGAACTTCACCCTGATCCATCCCTCGGCCGATATCCAAAGCGCCGTTTACCACACTATCCGCGGCTCATTCGAATACCAAGGCCAGAAGTGCTCTGCTACGTCACGACTTTACCTTCCCGAGTCCCGGTCGAAGGAGTTCCTAGACACCATACAGTCTAAGATCAAGGAGATCACGATCGGAAGTCCCGACAAGGACCTCAGTGCATTCATGGGCCCCGTCATCCATCGCCGGTCTTTTGACAAGATCAAGTCGATTATCGATGCTAGCAACAAGGATCCCTCATTGAAGCTGTTAGCCGGCGGCGAGTATGACGACTCAACTGGCTTCTACGTCAAGCCCACAGTATACGTCGCAGACTCGCCAACACACAGACTATTCGACGAGGAAATATTCGGTCCAGTTTTGGCGATCTACGTATACCCCGATAGCCAATGGTCCTCCACGCTAGAGCAGGTTGACAAGAGCGGCGGTGGTTTCGCTCTAACTGGAGCCGTCTTCGCTAATGATCGCGCGGCTCTCCGAGAGGCAGAAGACACTCTGCGATACTCGGCAGGAAACTTGTATTTGAGTAAGTTGAACACTTCTAGAAATCATATTGTTCAAGAGTCAGTAACTAACGTGAACGTACAGACTGCAAAACTACAGCGGCCCTCATCGGCCAACAGTCTTTCGGTGGCAGCCGGGCGAGCGGTACCAACGACAAGGCTGGCAGCTCTAACGTCTTGCTGCGCTTCACTAGCCCCAGGTTAATCAAGGAGGAGTTCTTTGGACAAGAGGGCTTTACGTACCCTAGCAATAGCTAAGTTGGGGATGTTAACAAAGTGAAATGTACATAGTAATTAATGTCAGGTATCATTTATATCCTAAATTCCAAGGTTCTTAATAAGATAGCCGAGGCCATTTCTCCTCTATCACTTAGGCGTATTCGTGGATGCTTCTGTACGTAGGAGGCCATTTAGCGAGATGCATGCTATAGTTCGCTATATTGTAAAGGAATTTAACAGCGTGCGCCCTATAATTATTATCAAAGCGGGTCTTCCAGCATTCATGGATGCCTTAACTTAATTCCTGTCCTGGACCACTATACGATAGGTAGCCATAACATCCGCTATCTCGCCAAAATCATTTTCACATATGTATTTAACAGTAGTTCTCATACGGCCTATATGTATAATTACTCATTGCATATGCATGTATCATGTATGATAGTACCTCATAAACACATATGTGTGAAAGTGATTTGGCGTGGTGGCGGATGCTACGGCTATCGCCCTTTGTAAGGAAAGGTCTTCCATACATTCATCCATTCATTCAATAATCAAGCCTCTTATTTTCAAATTCTTAATGTTTTATATCAAAATTCTACTCTAAAACACCCGGTCTACCCTCTCTATAAGAACCCCGTAAATGATTATTCAAAATAATCCCCACCCCCCACGCCGGCACAAGCCTAACCGCCCGCATCGTCATCGTAGACAGCAATTTCCGTCTCGCGCCGCCGATCCGATCCGCGATCCCGTTCGTGTCCGGCCGGTTGAACAGGTCCAGGCCCAGCAGGTGCGCCGGCGTGGCCACGACCTGCGTCGCGGCGGGAACGACCAGCTGCGCCACGTCGGCTTTCGCCTGCGCCGTCTGCGCCACGCTGTCGGGTAAGAGCCCCGCGACCTGCGGCGCGAGCGCGAAGCTGCCGAATACCGTGATGATGTCGCGCGCCAGGAACGCCGCGCTCACCGACACCGGCATGCCGCGGGGGACCAGTGCTCGGCTATTCGCCGCCGCCGCCGCGGTTACCGCCGAACTCGAACCCCGGCTGCTCGGGCTTGGGCTCGCGGCGGCGGCGGCAGAGGCGCGTCTGCCGAAGAACTGAGCGAAGCGCACGTCCTTCCAGACGCTCAGCGGCGTGTTGACGAGGAACACGGCGGTCGAGACGAGGGTTCCCGTCAGCGCCATCCGGTCCGGGTGGAAGAACCGTTCTATCACGGTCTCGCTTACGTTGGCCGTGAAATACGTGCCCGCGTAGACGGTCCAGACGACGAAGACGGGTCGCGTCGCGAAGAAGCGGCGCGGGTTCGTGAACGGGCAAAGGAGGTGTTTTGCTAGCGTTCGCACGAGGGGCCGCCCTGTCGAGACATTTTCGACGACGGCTCTGCGGAGTTCGTGAGTATTTGGATGAGAACTTGGTGAGGTTTATGGACATTGCTAACCTATCGACGGCTGTGATAACGGGTGATATGGAAGTAGCCGCTGTCACGGCGGCTGCTAAGTCTACTAGAAGATGGCGTTGCAAGGACTCGTTGCTCTGGGCGCCCAGTAAAGGGGCTTGAGCTGGAGGATCATTGGTCATGCTATTTTGATGTCAACAAAACGATCGTACCACGGTGAATGCCTACGTAAGCCGATTCATTGCCTCGTTAACAGTATACAGTCAATCAGAAAGATAATAGGGCTGCAGAGGTGGTTCTTAGAACCGAATTACATTCGTTTCAGGGACCTCGGTCATGTTGAACTGATGCCATAGCCGTAGATAGGAACAGCAAACCCCCGCCAAACGATGTTCCCATGACCACGAGCGACGTCACCGTGTATCAGATAATGGTATTCCAGCTTATAGATATTTGTCACGTAAACAAGAGGGTACGGGAGGGCCGAGAATGCTAGGCCCATAAAATAGGAAAAGGGGGGAGGTGCCCCACGGGAGGAACTCCGGGGATGACGACAATCGGGGTATAAGGATCCGGGGAACTGATACGCAAATTGTCCTTAGAAAGTGGACGCTCCGGTGCCGGCACTCGGTAGATTTCAGCATTTATTCTATCAGTCGATATGTAATTAATTATCGACATGCGCGTCTGACAGTAACTGCGCGTTCGGCCCCGCTTCCGAGTGTGGAGGATTTAGTCTCCTCTCCTCTTTATCTCTCGGCATAGATCCCGGGGTTAATGTGCTGGTCAGGTGAGTATGATTCCACTCAATTACCTCTATAGAGTCCAGATCAATTACACCGCGCATAGAAAATGGCGAAGTAGCGTCGATATTTGACTGCTGGAGTCGACGGTATCACAATCGGAATAGGCATTGGCATTTCAGGTTTATTTGGTTAATTTTCATTTCAAGTTTCAATTTCACTAGACGAGGTCCATGATGGCAATTTCAAAGCAAGATCGTATTATTATTGTAGGCGCAGGAGCTTTCGGCCTCTCAACTGCTCTACACCTTTCCCAGAATGGCTACTCCGATATTACAGTATTTGAACAGGATGATGAGATACCTTCAATGTATTCGGCGGCAAATGATTTAAATAAGATCATTCGGGCTGAGTACGAAGATCCCTTCTACACGGATTTGACTATAGTGAGTACACCCGAAAGAATTGTGATTGATATGGTCGATTAACCGCATACCAGGAAGCCACAGAAGCTTGGAAGACGCCCCTTTTCCGGCCATACTACCACAGAGTGGGCTTCTTACATTGCGTTTCCGAGAAAGCTGAGCCAAAAGCTGTGGACACCTTGAACAGGTTTCGAGCGTCTGCTGAGGCAGACCCTCGGTTAGCCAAACATGTTGTCCCGCTTAACTCTCGAGAAGACATCCAAGACGCATCCTGGCAGTTGACTGGCTCGCTCCCTGGTTGGAAAGGTTACTTCAACCGTTACGATGGCTACATGCACTCCGCCGATGCTCTTAGGGGGGTCCACAGAGCTACCCAGGCTCAAGGAGTCAAATTCTTCCTCGGCAAAATCTCCGGTGCTGTAGAAGCCGTAGTATATGAGCAGACTCCGAATGGTAAAAAGAGTAAAGGAATCAGGACGAAAGACGGCAAGTTCCATGCGGCCGCGTTGGTCATCATTGCTGCTGGTGCTGCTGCCGCCAAATTAATACCTGAAGTCGGCCAAAGCGTCGTTGCCAAGTCTTGGTCTGTCGCTCACGTCCACCTGACCGACGAGGAGACATCGGCGCTTCGCGGTATTCCCGTCGTCTATGCTCGGGACCTCGGGTTTTTCTTCGAGCCGGACCCGAAGACCAACCTTCTTAAGCTGTGCCCGATGGGCGGAGGGTTTATCAACACCGACAAAGACACGGGAGTCTCGCTACCTCCGGAATCGAGGAGCGCTAGCTTGGATTTCCTGCCCGAAGTGGACGAGGCTAAACTCCGGGAGCTTCTGCGCCAGACTCTACCTTGGCTCGCAGACAGACCTTTCGTTAGGAGATCTCTCTGCTGGTTTGCCGACACTTCGGACTCTGACTTCATCGTGGATTACGTGCCGGACACATCGGACTCCGTTGTCGTATTTTCCGGTGATTCGGGGCACGGTTTCAAGATGTTCCCGATTGTTGGAAAGTGGATTGTAGATCTCCTAGCATCGTCGACCGGCCAGAGTAATGCGAGATGGCGATGGAAGACTCCAAAGCCCAAGAGCGGAGGAGACTGGGGCGCTGATGTGAGCTGGCGTATCGGAAACACGACGGAGTTCCGCGATATAAAACGGGCGAGAGATCATAAATTGTAATCGTAATCTTAGCGTGTCGTTGGATAATTCATGCCGTATCAGATGGTCATCAGCCTTAGATCATCAATATCATAGTTCTAATTCTCGCTTGCGAATCCGAAACTGGGCATGCATGATTGACGGGATAAAGTCGACAAGCTAGGAAGACCTTGTGACGAGAGTCAGTACATCAGACCGATGATACTGGAGGCGGTGTTGTGCTTCTCTACCAGACGCTATTCTCTGCTATTGCACGATCCATCCATTCCACATCCTCGTCTTGGATAGAACTCGCGATCGCTAAGAGTTGATCTGCTGAGAGATCATCGCCGGTGCTAATACAGTGCATGGGAAGTGGTAAGGGTAATGATCCTTGGTTGACAGAAAGATCTGCTGAGTGTTGACCGCCGTGAGGTTCTAGACTTGCGCCTGTACCTGAAGTGTAAGCGATGTTGCTACGAGTAAGTAGAATTTCATTCATCATCTGGTCAAGTTGTTGCAGTTCCGATTTTCGCCAACCAGCAACCAAGTTTCCAGCTGAAATCATGCAATCGAATAATTCAAGAGATCGCTGTACCCATGCAGGACAATCCCTCACACGGTGCTCATCAACGACAGATGCGACAGCTAATATTACTGATGATGCGTATAAAGAGTCGAGATCAAGTGATAAGAAAGTCTCTGTGTATCGGGTAAGTCGTTGCAACCTGCTGCATACGAAGACAGTTACTTACCAAGGAGCCCTTGAGCATGTAAACTCTCCAATATGATGATAACTGATTGGGAAGACTCTACACACATCTGCAAGAGTGTGCCAAAACGATCGTGGGTGGAAGAATTCCGGTAGGTTGCAGACTCAAACTTCATTTTCAAGCCACAGAACATTAGAGGGCGAGTTGCCAACACGATACACTAGGATCAAGTTAGTAGTGTTCATGATTCGGATGGATTTTCCTACTTGATGGTAAAGAAGATGCAGCGACGCTGACATTCTTGAAACGCCGTAGCCAGGCTGATCTAATTTCAGGGGTAAAGTATGTCCAAGTTCGGTCGCCAACCCTGCTAGAGTTTCTAACGATGCCTTTGTGCTCATCAAGAATTTCCCCTTGAGCCTACCATTAAGGCCGTAGATACCTGACGTGCGACTTTTGTGTTATTCAAATAGGAAAATTGAACCGAGCGGGTTGGGGCTTACTGTTATTTATCTCAGCTATGATACGAGCTAACTTGATATGCAAGTCAAGCGTCGTCGTTCGCTGACTGGACTCGGGAAATATTGGTAGTTGGCATTGGATTTCCGAGTCTCGAATATTCTGAGGCAGTCCCATCATAGACGTCATATGGCGGTCTAATATGAATATAGTCCACCAGATCTTGCGGCATCTATGTACGTGCTTCTCGCCAAGTTGTGATTCCGGCATGTCGGTGTGCATTCCGTAGGCCAGGGCCACACGCATTGCTTGACCAATCTTTGCTGCTCGTTAGCCCCCTGAAGTTACCTAGAGGAATAATATGCCTTACGTATGTATGCGCAGAGCTCCGATGGTCAACACATTGGAGGTATAATGCTATGCAGCACAGAATTTCCGTAGAGGCAAGGGGGTCGTGAGGGAAAACATAAGCTGGCGGTAGGAGTTGCATAGCCCTCACAAAGAATTCTGCACCAGATGGCCGCTTGCCGGCACACTTCTGCATGATAAAGATCTTTCCAAAAGCCAAGATAAGGAGAAAGTGAATGTACCACAGGCTCGATGTCCTGGTTGGACTGTCGGGCTCTGAGTAAAATTGTTGAAGGTGCTGGTGGAATTCATCATCGTCAAACAGGTGATACATTTGTCCACAATGGAATTTGACGGCGTTCACTAGGTATATAGAGTAATCCGGGCTCGGTATGGCAAGCGGTTCTGGGTCCGTATGGTCCATAGGTCCATCCCATCCTAAATCGTATGCCAAACCATCGAAGAGCAAGGCATTCGGCGGCAACGGCGCATGATGGACGACCTCATGGGTTATCTTAAGGACTTTGCCGGCGAAAGACCAGTTCGACGATGTTCCCAGGTAAACTGGCAGGGCAAGTTCAGCTATTGTTGACTTATGAGATAAGGCGAATACGAACATTGCTGTCCATTCGGCGCCGGCATGAATGTAGATGGCGAAGCAGCTAAGAGATTTGTTACATTTGGCAGATTTGCGCCGTGTTCGGATGAAACTGCTTGGTCATCGTCGCTGTTTTGCGAAGCGCTCGGATCGTGGCCTGACTAGAATATTAGTCGTCTCCACTCCCGCCGCGTCTGGAAATGATGGCAGCGTACTATCTTCGCGCATTACATCGCCATCCTGTCCAAACATAGATGGTGCCGATACGCTTCCCTCGGCGGCGGGCGGGTGTCGCTCTGAGCGCGCTGCCTTCTGTTGAAGCTCTAAAAGGAAGCTGAGGTTTGTTTCATCAGCACTAATAAGGCGATGACTTGATCGGGATCATTGGCGCTTACGCTCGCTTCACAACCACCCTATCACCCGCATCGTCGAACACGCAGTTCGCTTTCCGTTTTATACACCCTTCGCATGGTTGAAGTCCGGAGCATTTTATTTTTTGTTTGCGACAACGTATACATCTGTACGATGTCTCATCTCAGTACTAATATCAGGTTCGTTCTCTTCATCGAGGTGGGGTTCTGGAGTTCTGGAGTTCTGATAAGAGCAACTTACGCGTTAGATGATCGTTTCGATGTTTTCTTCGGCGGGCTACTCGTCGTTGTCAACTCCATCTTCAGTGGCCTCAACCCAGAGGACTCTGTAATACAAGGACTACGATGCGCGATGATTAAATTCTGGACATTGGCTTTAACGTCCGACGTCATTGCCGTCTCCTCCTTCTCGTCCTCTTCCCATTCTCTCTAGCTGAACTTCGCTTATCTTTACAATTACTCGATGTTATCTCTATTGCTAACGGATAGTGGGCTAGACTGCATCCGCCTAAGCCCCCTCTGAGCTTCCCCGCAATTCCCACCCTTTGCGAGCAGTGTCAGGGGCTTAGGGTAGCTAGACGCGCTATTAACGCAAGAAGTTCTAGGCTTAATTCTTTGGAACTTCAAGTTGCATTCATACACCTCCAACATGCGCCATGAATGCAAGACTAACAAGCCCCGTAGAAGGTCACGAGTCTTCGTAGGCGAAATTCCATTTCGATTAGAGAATACCTCATTCTACACCCTTTACATACATGCATATTTTGGTATCAAGGCATCTCAATATTCTTATCCGACCTACTGCTCAGATATGTACCTAGTTCCTAGCTGAGATAATGTCATATCCAGCAAATGTCACTCTCCGGATTGCCGAATCTTCCCCTTTCGCATTGATGGCCAGAGAACCATCTTCCGACTTCCCTGCATGCTTGGTAGGTATGTAAGTAGGTATGCATCCGCGGCAATGATGGAAGCCTGATCGATTTAATGTAACAGGAGGATGTGCGACTATTGCCGGCATGCGCAAACGAAGCGATATGCATACTTCGACGTTGGAACTGCAAGACCGGCTGGCCCGAAGTCTTCTTCGGCTTATCATCCGGTCGTCCCATGATCATAAACCCCAGGTTTTCAGTTGACTACTGCATAATGCCAGGAATTTCCCCAGGAAATGCGAACACGGGCCTATATTTAGAACGAGAGCATTTTCCATGTTTAGGTCTCGTGTCTCTTTTCTAATCCAGCGTACAGTAGATCGGCGTCAACACGGTCAGGGGCTACAGTAGTCTTAGCGGGGTTGTCGGGTCCTACACCCGCACTACTATCTCTACTATGTACCTAGATCTCGGGTGTTCCGAGTCCCTTCCACCTTCGCATTAAATCCCCGATTAATACCTATGAAGTCTAGCTCGATATTTTGATAGTGCCAGTCTAAGATTGGAGCTATCATGATAGCACTAGTGATGGAAAGGGGTCTGGCTGATGCCGAATTTGCCCCTATTCACGCGGTACGGGGGCGAAGTGTAGATGGAGATAAGTACAAAGTTTCTATTGTTATCAATCGTTTTAGAACGCATTATGAACTTCTTAGTCGAAGAATAGGAGGTCTTCGGAGAACATCAAAGTGATTTAATTGGCCTAACCTACCAATACTCTATTATATACCTAAATAACCCATATTCTAAACCCTGTATATTCTAGCTTATTGAGAAAATAAACAACTGAGAAAACACGGGAGTCCGTCAAAGCGCAATCGCGCGCCAATAAATGATCAATGCCCAGACATTCTCATAATTACCTATCAATTAAGACTTCTTTGGAATTAGCTGCTTAGCTTTCTCGAAAATACCCCATTTGGATTTCTTGGGGACTCGAGCAGCCCAGTAAATCAATAGAGCAGCGCCGATATTGAAAACGATATAGGCCCAGATCAAGCCGAGGTTGCGCCATCTATCTCCATAATACGAATCTACGGTCGCAAGGAAAATATTCGTATTCGACAAAGAGCAGAATTGGCAGTTCGAAGTGGCGTCTGGGTTATAAACGGCCCCGAACGCGACTGAGTTGTACGGAGCCATGTAGTCACCACATGTCTGTCCCGGCGGGGGCTGGAAACTCAAGAGCTCAATGTCATCGCACTTGACGTCGTGATTCGCGACGCCGACAGACAACATGGCGCTGATAATGTACGTCAGCGGCGAGACGCGGTACATGAAGATCCAAAATCCAGGAAGGGAACTCTTTGGTACCATGACACTACGAGAATGATTAGCGACTGATCAGGTACTCATGTTGACGCGTATTCACTCACCCAGAGAATATCAACGACATGGCAAATAGAAGCAATGCGAGGACAGCGCCAACTTCCGCAGTCTCGACACCAGCAATGACCATGTCCGCGAATGTGGACTCGAAAATCAAGAACGACCATGTGATTAGGAACATGAGCCCGCCCCGCTCAGCCACAGCATTCGTCTGGACCGCGTTTTCGTTCATGCCGACAAGGTAATAAAACGGAATAAAGACTAGAAGCGAAGCGATTGTGCTCCATGGGAGCTCGACTACCATGTTAGAGAGGAGGAAAGTATACCACGAGTAAATCCTAGATGATCGTTCACGCCCTTCGTATTGTTGCCGCTGAAGGAGGAACTGAGGCATCGTCTGATAGACGAGGAAGGCAAAGATTACAAGCAGCATGAAGATAGCGAACATCTGGTTTTGCAGACCGGCTAGAGATAGTTGGGTTTTGTAGAAGGACACTCCGATAAATAGAGACTGTCATAGCTATTAGTAACGAGACAGATAGTCAAAATTCCGGTTCTGAGTACTTACCGTGCCACCGCAGAGGATCATTTTAGGATAAATGTATGAGGGGCTGCGCCAGTATTGCTCGAACACTCTCCTGGTACATAGGAGAAACTGGTAGTAGAAGGGGGTTGCGTAGTATGCGCTGGCAGTCTCGGCATCCCGACTCACACCTTCAGTGCTCGGTGTACCCAACTCCAAGGTTCTAAGTTCCTTTTGCACGGCCTTGTACTCCTCGCTGTTACGCCAAACTTGGTGCCAGTCTCGGGTCGCGTGAGCTCCGGGTGCGGCTCCGATAACTCGTAACATCCATTCAGCAGGATTCTCGCTTCTTCCGCAGAGGCTACCCCCATTTCGTTCAAAGTAACTGGTCAGTGTTTCGGCGTTGGGTCCTATGTCTCCGAAGTATACCGTCTTGCCTCCGAAGCTTAGCAGCAGCATGCGATCGAACTGTTGGAATAGCATGGCCGAGGGTTGATGGATGGTACATAAGATCGCCTGGCCGTTATCTGACAGCTTTCTCAGAAGACAACAGATTGACCATGCGGTCTGGCTGTCCAATCCAGATGTGGGTTCGTCAAAGAAAACCAGCAGTTCTGGCTTCGCAGCAAGCTCGACTCCAATAGTCAGACGCTTGCGTTGCTCGACATTCAAACCTGGGCAAACTCCACGTTAGATGATGAGCCTATAGCTAATATTAGAAGACGTACCTTCTCCAGGGACTCCAATGACTGCGTCCGCATAAGCTTCCATATCCAAGAGCTTAATGACTTCCTCAACGTAAGCGTACTTTTCTTCTGTCGGGACGCTGAAGGGTTGTCGAAGTGCTGCGCTGAACCGTAAGGCTTCTCTAATAGTAGCCGTTTCAAGATGGATATCTTGTTGCTGAACATAACCGGTTTGCCTCTGGAAAGAGTTCCCGCGGGGTATCCCATTAACCATGATATCGCCACTAACAACGCCCATGGTCACACGGTTGGCCAATACATCAAGAAGAGTTGTCTTTCCAGCCCCGGATGCGCCCTGTGTACGAATTAGCAACCGTCTCATGGTTCTAACCTAATAAGGGAATGCGTACCATGAGTGCCGTCAACGTTCCGGGCTTAATCCATCCATCAACGTGGTCCAAGATACGTCTATGTTGCCCCTTTATAGTAATATCGTAGCAGACATCGGACCAATGGAAGATCGCATTTTGGGTTTGGATTCGGGCAGCAAGAGTACCCGAAACATCACTTTCTCTCTGCCTCTTGCTGGCTTGGACGCTAACAGGTCCGGATTCTTCGTCATTCTGTATTTTCGGGCTATCCGAAGATTTATGGTTTCGACGGAAGATTAGGACTTCGCCCTTGGAAACTTCAAGTGAGAGGTATTCCGCCGCAAGCATGTAGACCGCCGTGAAGAAGATGATGTACCCAATAAGGATTCCGAAATTTCTACCAAGATAGTCAGTAAGTAGTTTTCCGCTACCGCTTCTAATTATACACGCACCTCCAAATGTGGGAATGGTAAAATCCGAAGTTGCCGTTGATAAATACATCACCGCTGACGAAGTCCTCGCCAGGCAAGGCACCTGCGACCGAACACGTCTTTTCAAGCGGCGTGGCATTCGCGTATGGGCCTCCCATTGGCACAAACATGGTACAGGGGAATTGGCGGTTGGAGAATTCATTTGCGACAAGACTTTCGTATGCATAGGAGATCGGATCTAGATAGTTGATCCAACGAAGCCAACCCTGCATGTATCGTGTGGGAAGAACAAATCCAGTATAGATAACCAAAGCCAGTATGAAGATAGCTGCGGGAGTGATCGCTTGCTGTATAGTTCGAGAAGTCTGCGCGATAGTCCGGAGAATCATGGACATGGTGAACGTAGCCGTAAACCCGAAGAGCAAGAAGATGAAGAATGCGCCGGCTTCTTGCCTCAATTGAGCCATGAAATATAACGGAATATTGAAGCAGAGGACAGAGATGATTTTAACCGGCATATCACAGATAGTTGAAGAAACTGCTTCGGCGAAGGGGTGATACAGTGCGTAGCGAGATTGCTTTTCCACAATGGGCCGTTGTGCGTAAAGGGAGAATATCTGAAATCGTTAGCCATTCGCCTCCATCGTCTATATCTAGGGGAACTTACCTCCAAAGCGCTGCTCAAGGCGTTGAAGACGATAGCGAAGTAGAGTAGGATACATCTACTATTCATGCTCTCCGCGACGGGTTCAAGCTTATAATAAATGCTGCCGAGGACCAGAGATATCACCACATTAGCTAGGATGGTGACAACGACGAATATTTTATCTCCCATCATGCGCTGAAATCCTCGAGTCATACAGAGTCGGATTTGCATCGGGATAGAGATGGTGTAAGGGCTCTTGTTCCTCCTATGAATACAATTGTGAGTAACGCTATCGAAGAGCAAAATAATTACTAGAAAAACTCACTGGAATGCTGCCTGCTGCGCCTTTCTAGATTTCTTCAGTAATTCATAATGCTGACCCTTTGCAGGGAATTCTTGTTCGAAAGCTTCGATCTCCCTAAGGAGGTTTGCTCGTGACTCGCTAGACTTCCATACTTGCGCAAACTCGTCAGGGGTCCGCGGGACCTTATCTTCGAAACCAGGTTGAACCACCCTCTCTGACGGGTTTGTGAGAGATGTAAGGAAATCGGCTGTAGTTTGGCGGTCGGGACAATGATATCCAAGATCGGTGAAGTACTTCTTAGCATCATCCTTGTGGCCGAAGTAGATCTGCCTTCCTTCATACAGCACGGCTACCTTATCGAAAACCTGGTTGGGTGTAAGAGACAGAAGATCACATGAGGGTATAGTCCTGGAAACTTACATCGTAGGCAGGTTGTGAAGCTTGATACATCGCAACAATAGCTGCGCTCTCTCCTAGCTCGGTTGACAATTTGAGAGTTTTCGCGAATTCGAGCGCACTCGCGGAATCTAGTCCACGAGTAGAGTTATCCCAGCATTGGATAGCACTCTGGTTCAGAGTGACTTCGGCAATACTAACCCTCTTTCTCTCACCACCACTCACTCCTCGGATGAAATCATTACCCAATTTCGTGTTGATAGTGTGTGATATACCGAAGATAGCCATTACCACATCCCTTAAGTGCTGTGCATATGTCTCGCGACTGACGCCTGGTAGACGGTTCTCGGGCGCGCGAGCCAGTGCAGCAAACTGCAGCGTTTGGCCAACCGTCAATTGGGGGAAGTGTATGTCAGTCTCGGCTTGGTAGATGACTTCTCCACGGAAACGACTGTGCATAACGTCAAATGGTACGCCTTGGTAGTTGATATGAGATTGCTGATCAAGGCAGAGACCATGAGTATGGCCAGCGATGGTCTTCAGTAAGGTTGAGACACCGCTACGTTCAGAGACTGTCAGTTCTTTTTTATTCCTTGGGTCATGGGGATGCTCAGCCAAGGGTTGATAACTACCTTCCCGGACGACCAAGCACCAAGACCATTTCACCATTCTTGACTAATCCATCGAAGTCATTCAGGATTTGGATCTTCTGTTGCCTGCGTGAAACCCATTCTCTAGCAATAAGGGGTGCTTGCCAAAGGACATTAAGGATGTCCTTCTGATAATCGGTATCTTTTCCAAACCCGTGTACGCATAGATTACGCCAGGACACGCCAACCGGAGGGCGAGGATACTTGTCAGGTTCCTGAGCGAAGGCGTGCAAGAGGGTTTTCGCCCACTTCCTTGCGTCGAACTGAGGAGAGTTTGGATCGAGTTCCGGTCGTTTATCTAGAAAAGGATTGACCCCTTGGAAGTGAGTAGTTTCTCGAGTAAGGCTCCTGGCCAGCGTAGCTACCCGCGTATCATCGTCTTCTTCGGAGGAAGAGTCACCAGATGAAAATGAAGCATGCCCAGCTCCCTTTTCAGCCATAGTTAGGTCGAGGTCTTGTTGGGGCTGAGCCACTTTCGGTTCCTCTCCGTCGCTGGCTCTACCTGAGTCAGGCATGGTGGTAGCGAATAATAGCAAGTAGATGTACGAATCTATACCAAAACAGACAAGACGTAGAATGCAAGGAACTGGAGAATAGATATATATACGATTATGCCTCAAGTCCAAAGCCCACCCCTAGAGGTGCCTGCGGTGAGGCTCCATGCCCGGCAAGCCGAACTTGGAAGCCTCTCGCACATCTCGGCAAACATCTCGGACTCTGAGGGTGAAAATTCTAATACACTATTTGCTGGATCACCGTACTTTCCTTATCGCTATAATTAGCACATCAAACGGACTTTGTGTGAAAGTTATGAATTAAGAATTTAATCGTGCAATTTCCGAGTCCAATCGTACTTCTCTTCGGTAACTATCATGTGCTTACATCGAGGCCGTTGGTCTGAGCTCTCGGCGCCGAGATTCCCAATCGCGTTAGCTTCCGTCGAAGTGGGTAAGAGCAGACCGTCATCATACATCAAACGCGACTCTGCTCTTCCCCGAGAGACATTCTCTTGCATTCTTTTAGGAAAGGGCGGATGCCGGATTAGACCTTCGGAAAGACGATGGAAATCCTTAAAAGTTGCGACTCGTGTAAGGCGCGCAAAGTTCGATGTAACGGTGAGCTTCCCCCCTATACGCCGATGACGTTTTAGGGGTTCCATAAGGCTGAATTTAATATCTAGGATACCCCGGCCCATGCCAAAACTGCATTGTGAGTTTAGCCAGTCCAGCCTCCAACAACATCGACGCATCAGTCTTACTAATCACAATACAAAGCGCCGGAAAGCACAATGCCATTTCAGCCGTAGAAAGATACCCCAAAGACGGAATGGTGAGTTAGCCGCCATTGATTTGACGATATACCTGTCATTGAACATCTAACTGACTTCGTAGTGAATACCATCCTCACAACGCCTTCGTCTCCATGTGGTGAATCTCCAAGCACCCCTCAGATTACTGAGAATGTTCGTCTTCATTAAAACACGAAGATTATTAGAAGATAGCATGTCTCACACGTATTATAGAAGCCGCGGTGTCCGCTACCTGAATTGTATGTCGATCGTCTGTTATCCCAGGCCCGGACGGCCGGGGCTCTTGGAAATGAGAAACCGTTCTCCGTGAAGGTACACATCCTACTTCCTCATGTCTAAATGGCCATGCTAAACATTTTAGGGAATCGGACTTGTCAGTACGCCTCAACCGCATCTGCTGAAAACTAAGCCAAACGAATTAGGTACTAACTTGGCATCGGTCAGTTGGAAACGCTAGTTTAACGTTCTTCTCTGACAATCGATTGCTGTATTTATCATCCCGTCTACGAAACGACAGAGTAAGGGAGTTGATTCAAAGGATATCGGCTGTGATTGGTGTTCGGCTTGGTCAGCATGGTAAGCACTCAGACCGCATTACTTATTTTTCAAAAGTCTAAAGATCGCTTAACCTCAATTTTCATGTTAATTTCCAAGGAGCCTTAGTTTCTTCACATGTTATGCTCGAGACCATACTGACGTTTTGCAGCTGATGTGGTACCGTCAAATTCCCTAGGGGGTACCAAAGGAAGCCAGAAAGATATTTTCACGTTCACCGATAGAACCGAAGCAAACGCCCATATAAAATGTCTATCCCCTATACTATGAGTACGTAGTACGACTTGTCTAACCTTTTAAGTAGTATACTTCGAGCGGGTTCATCCTCTCTATCCTTTTCTTGACCAGAGCGAATTTGAAGCAATGGCATTCAGCCCTGACTTTCCCGGTCGTATTGCACAGAATAAAGCACTGTACGCTCTATACCACGCTGTTGTTGCCCTAGGATGCCAGGCTGGTACTGGAGGCAGATTTGAGCCGGGTAAGGGGAGGGCCTGGCAATATCTGTCAAGGGCGCTCGCAATCTTTCCCGACCTTTTCGCACTCCCCGATTCTCTAGATGTCCTTCAGGCGATGACTGCTATTACTGTATATTCACTCAAGTAAGCTTAGCCCAAGCCCCTAGTGTTGCAATCACTAACATTCGACGTCGCAGCATATCTTGCATAGCAATTGAACACTTCATACTGTCTGAGGCATCAAGAAGGGCGCAGAATCTCGGCCGCGCCAACTTATCAGGCAAGGCACGTACTAGCTATCATAGAGCCTTTTGGCTTCTCTACACTATTGAGAAGATAACCAATTTCCATTTTGGGAGAAATTCTGTACGTTGTTTTCCGATACATCTTCATAACTTTGCATATCCTTTTCAACGTCTTGGCTACCCAGGCACATATACGTGCATATTAATACCTAATTATAGATATTTGTCGATCATGATATCGTCATTCCCATTCCGTCGGTACCAGATGCAATTATGGGAGAGTTGGACTGGTTCCTCGTAACTGCGAGGTATGCCCGTTTGCTATCAAAGGCTATGGCTTCGCTCTTCTCGATTGCCGGGACGGACGATCCAAAGACCTATTACCTCTCTATCATAGACCAATGCGAAGCTGAACTAGAGCAATGGAGGATGTCAATACCTGATGAGATTAGGCCAGGAAAGCTGTACCAGACGCATAGGATACAAAGTACGATGCTCCGATTGGTCGCTCTTCGGATTCACCTATTATACAATAGTTTTAAGCTGAGCCTTTGTCGAGCGACGTTGCATCTGGCTGCGAACACAAGTCACGTTGTGAGCCAAGCCCGTCAAGCTGAAAGCACGCGAGCTATGATGGATACATCGCGCCAGGTGTTGGAGTTGACGGCTTTTATCGACGTCGAACCAAATACACCTCTTTGGTAAGCTCAAATCGCTTCTGCAATCTTACCTATACATCTTTAGAAGTTATGACTAGGTACCTATTCAGCTATGCACTTTCTTACATTGTAACAGGATTATGGCGGGGATCCCAGTCGTAGCTCTCTTCATATTGTTCGATCTAGTGGTCACGAATCCGAAGCACGCCGGAACGGGAACGAATCTGGCTCTTCTTGATATGGCCGGGGGTCACTTCAGCAGAATCGAATATGCAAGTGGCGGCAGTCTACCAGGCTCACTCATCGGGGAATTTGCGCACATTGCTCGAGAATATGTGAATAATGTGAAGAACGAGGACGCGACGAATCCGTCTGTTGACAAGCAGTCGTTAACATTGCTGAAGTCACCTCCTACAACTTTCAGCACAATTAACCGGCCTGGGCCTCAAGCAATTGGCGATACCAAGCTCGCCACTGCTGTTAGCTCTCCTCCCCTTCTTAGGCCGACACAGGTAAGAACAGTCCCGTTCACTTTCAGCCTGAGCGCAATTGACGTTTGCTAGATGTCAGATAGTCTTAGTTTCGATGGTGATATTACCCTACCGCTTGACGATACTCTGCTTTTCCCAATAAACGACAGGTACTTTGAGATGGATGACGAAGTCCCTATGGGGACCGACATCATGGATCTATTCAACTCGGCTATCGATCCCTTTTTCAACCAGATAATGGACGCCGACTTTCAAAACTAAGACCAGGTTTATCCTTTAGAATTTAGATGGGTTCTTTCTAGAATAGACGCTAGATTTGCGGGCGCTTCTCTTCATGCTTCCCCACGTTACCCCGGTTTACATGACGTGAAGCTTCATTAAACAGCGCAAGATAATTCGTGTAGTGCTACATAAACTACCTAGTAGTAAAAGCAAGTGCAGAAATAGCATCATACTACCTAGGTAGTACCAAATGTAAGTGGAATAAATACTTCGCGCCTTGCGCCGGTCTAATGTATAATTAATACAACTATCGCGCCTAGTACCCAATCACCTAGCCTGATTACCTAGATTCGGACTCTGTCAAATAATAAGATACCTAATCGGCTTCATCTACTCCGCAAGGCTCATCGACCTCTAATTCGGCAAGTTAACGATCCGGCCGGATAAAATCTTTGCTCTTTGTGTAGCGCTCGGGCACGGCATAAGAAGTAACTTCCCGAATTCACTTTGGGGGCCACAGGTGGCTTCATCCCAGGTGATGGCATAATCGCCATAATTTGTAACGGGTGCTTCTAAGCCTTCGACTGTCTTCTTCCAATCGCTTTGATTCTGGGCATTCCAGGGATCATCGCTGGAGGTAAAGGGCATGTCAGCCAGGTTAGGGACATACGAACAAACGCCATACTTGGCCATCTCATAGATACCCTGCGCCAGCATCGTGACAATGGCTGTGCGTCGGGCGCTTTCTATCTTAATCCACCAATCCCATGTCTGGGCTGCGAGTGTGGCGCTGTCATGTCCTTTTGACGCCTCCGTTGCCCGCATGTGCAGCTGTAGCGCCCAGCTTTCGAGTATATAAGAGTGCGCCTCCGCCTGTGCACGTTGTCGGACGTCGCCATCCCAGAGCTGGATAAGGTGAAGGATTAAAAATGCTTGCAACGACGCGGTATGCGCCTCAATAGGCATATCAGATGGATCAAGATCAATAAGTTGCGCCACCCTCCTTTCAACTATGTTCATCACTATACTCTTGGTGGTCTCCTCTCTAGAAGCGTAGCTAGCACATGCGCTAAAAGCCTCCTCGAGTGGGAGGGGTAGAGATGGTGTATCTCGCTGTGATGAATGAATGAAGGGTGTTTCTAGCTTTCGTAGAAACTTCCCTGGCCAACTCATGACCGTGCGAGTTAAGATAGGAACGGATTGAATATTCAATGTTGACACAGGCATCACAAAAGGACTAGTGGGATGGAGTCCCGGCATGCGGATGTGTCGAGAGCTAAGCAGAGATAACTCTTGATCTGAGAAGTTGCCGATTGTCTCACTCAAACCTCCCGTTCGGGACCCTTGAGATGATGAGTCACCGTCAAAGAGTAGTTCCCCGCCTCGCAAACTGCCCGGGGCTCGGTCTTTAGCGACAGGTTGTGATTGAAGAGGGTCATGTCTTTCACCGAGACTTCTGACGGGCTGGTTTTTGTAGAAGCAATTGGTCCCCCTCCGTAAACAGCGAGGACATTTCGGAGTTTGCGGCTCACATCGGCGTTTCGCTCTGGCGCATGGAACGCATGACTTCTGGCGCGAGATCATGTTAAAGAATTCGATTTCTACCTAGCTTCCGCTTTTCTAGGCGAAAATCCAGAGTAGTAATAGCGGAACGTTCGGAATTGTCGCAGCTGAATATCCAATGCTGACACGGAGGAACTATACGCCATGCCGAAATAGGTCTAGACTCCACTACATTTGTTATGAATCCAACGCCGCATCGGTGGAATGTGTACCATATTATTGGCGTACGGAGCATCACACAACCGCATACCGCCCTTATGACCGGCTAACGCAAGCCGCAGGCGTCACTTTACGGACATTATGGCACCAACATGTCAAAAGACACAAAGAGGTTGACAACTTAGTAATTCAGGAACCCGAATAATTATGTCTCACTCGACGATTATAAAACAAAGGACCTGCTGAGCTCATGGTAAGTCATTTTATTTCATAGCACGCAGCCTTTTCTCAGTGGAAACTCACTCAATCACAACCCAATTTGCACATAATTACCCGAGACATCTCACTCCAACATGGCTGTCATTGAACTTATCTTCCCTCAGCTCAAGAAGGACCCAGAATCCATCAAAGAAGCATCGCTTAAGGTCCCAGGTGTTGCGCTCGCAGCCTTCAGGGGGGCAGGTGTTCAACGAGGTCTACGAGGATTCATAAACTCGGAAAACGGAAAAGATGTTACGGCCGATGTCAGGGAGCTCGTGGTTCTTGGTAAAGAAACCCTGACCTGCACCTCTACTCATACCTTGCTAACCAGTAAAAGAATGGCCAGCTGCATCTGATTTTTACGCATTTGTGGGGTCTCCAGCCTTTGAAAATTTCATGGCCCATATGAAGCCCTTCGCAGACGGGCCACCAGAACTGGACCTTTTTGAGACAAATACTGGGTCTCCTCTCTTTGGCGCTAAGGAGTTCTTAGAGATCTTGCTAGTCCGCCCCAAGGATGCATCGAACGGCGATGAAGATATAAAGACTGTCTTGGAGAAAGTGCAGTCGAGCCTGGAGAAAGCCAGTGATTCCGATACCATCTACGGAAGCACCGTGAACCTTCCCCAGAAAATGGCTACCATTATCAGGGCATTCGCAAGCAGCGCGGTAAGTTCCGGGATGCCATCTCTAATAGTTTAGACTTCTAATACTAGTTTAACAGGAACGCGACGCAGCGAAGTCATCGCAACAGGAGCTTCTGAATGAAGTAGGCAAGCTGGCGAACCTGACCCGGCTGGAGGCTGAGGTCAACCAGTTGCCTATTTAAAATCATCGGGGGAACTAGTGATATTGAATGCCAGGTGTGCAATTGAACATTTACACTCTACTCAGCATAAACCATAGTCAATTCCATGTAGCGAGATACCTAGCTAGTTATATTGATTCCTTTGATACGTGGAATGAAGAAGCACGTGTAACCGTGAAATGGCATTGGCCCCACCAGATGCCGGTAGGTAATTTATGGGTCCCGGACCGGCTTCCGGCAATTTATGTCACATTGTCCCACCCCGACACCACAGAGATGCAGGTGCTACCAAAGGCACGGAGACCAAGGCATGTGACTTGATCGGAGAAGCTTAACAATATAATTGACGCTCAGTTCACATCCACTCAATTCCTTTCAGATCCCACGTGTTCTTTGACTAGCCAGGGAGAAAAATGATCAAAGGAAATGCGACACAATTGAGTCTCAGTTGAATTGGATTGTGCATCCAACATTTCGGCTTTGTAAGATTTATATGTATATCTACTTCCACATTCTCCATTCCAAAACCCCATCAAACGCCATCCCATCAACAAAACAATGTCTTCTCTTCAGGATAAAGAACTACCATCAAAAATTATGACCGACGAGGATCGCAAATTCTTCGGACCCTTGCTCGATATTTCAGCCACATCGCTTGTTGCGCTTGGGTCAAGGGTTTATGAACATGTTTTTCATAAGCAGAGTGAGAAGGGTGAACTGATCGCCCGCATTGCCGGCTCATACAACCTTGTCCACGTTATCCAATTAGATGATGACTTCAAACTAGTAATTCGCGTCCCTGCAACTGGTTGGGGCTCCGGCAAGACCGAGACAGCAGCACATGCACTCGAGTCAACAGTTGCAACGATGCGTTTCGTCGCGAAAAATACATCGATCCCAGTACCTCAAGTATATGACTTCGACACAACTGACAACAACGAGATTCAGGCTCCATACATGTGCATCAGTTTTGTCTCTGGGATGCCAGTATCTCAAGTCTGGTTCAAGGAGCCAGAGGATATGTCGCGGGAAGAACTACGTCTTAACATCTTACGAAATCTTGCGCAGGTTATGGCCAAATTTTCGTCCTTTAGCTTCGATAAGATAGGATCTATTCAAAGCGATGAATCTACCTTACAATCGCTAGCACCTTGCTATGATTGGCATCTGAATGAAGATGGTACGTTGCAGGTTGTGTCCTCCGGCCCCTTTGACTCCGTCTCTGACTACCTCGCACATCATTTTAAAGAAGACAAGGACGACGAATACGGCAAAGGAGGTACGGAACTCCTGAAGGCAATTATGCCTATCTCGATAACAGATGGTTCGTCACAAGACTTCGTCCTTCGTCCTCCCGACTTTGATTCTCAGAATGTTATGGTTGATGATTTAGGCAACATCACAGGACTTATCGACTGGGATCTTGCCCAAACAGTACCACGACTGGTGGGGTATGCAAAATACCCTTCCTGGCTTACGAGAGATTGGGATCCTTTAATGTATGCTTGGCCAGAAATGTTAGAGGAGGATTCCCCAGCGACGCTAAAGGCCTGGCGTGGTAAGTATAGAGACTTTCTTGGAGATGCCCTTGACCGGCAAGGAGATTGGAAGTTCACATTGAGTTCTCACTTGACGGAGGCAGTGTGGATAGCTGCCCACCATATTCCAAACCGAGTAGAAATATGTCGAAAGCTGGTTGAGGAGGCTACAGATGGAGACGATGCTGACGGCCTAAGTACCCTCTTTCAAATTGGGGACGATTACTTCGAGGAAGAGGATTGGAATGTACTAAATGACGGGATTAAGCGCTTGTTTTTATCCCAAGATAGATAGCTGTTTTATAGCTGCCTAACATCACATCGTTTGCGAATGTAAAGAAATATTGTTGATACGAAATAGAAATATATTGAATTTTAAAATGACCTGCTCTCTGTGCCGTTCTAAGTGACACTACTCGTATAACTCCTTCAAGTGTGAACAGAAAAATCCAAACATAAACAGATAATACCTACGAACTAAAAACGTGATCGTTACCTATACTACTCAACTTTAAATGTTCGAAATAAAATGTAGCTCACTTTGATATATCACGATAGATCTAGGAATCAGATGTTAATGTATTTACTCCATAACAATCCAAGTGTTACTTAATTAGCAGAAACCCCAGGGATACCTATCGTTTCCTACCACCTAGCCTAGTGCGAGAACAATTGGACGTTGAGCGTCAACTCTCTTATTGTTTTTCGTTTACACCTTTAACGAGTTTCAATACTAATTTACTGATTACACATGAAAGGCTTCGTATTTTGAGAAGCATGAGTATATATATCTATCGCATAAAACCACAATGAGCATCTATGGGGTCATCATCGTCCAGTTCCCCGTTCGTTTTCACCTGCAAAGAATTATTCAGAATATTGCTTGAACATACGTTGGAAGTCGTCTTTATATTTGACTATCTAGATAGATAGGTAAGTGAAAATGACTGGGAGCGGAACTCACCACTGTCCCGTCTGTAAGTCGAGTGCTGATGCTCGCTGCGTAACGCAGAACCACCTCACGATGTGCCCTGCGTGCAATAGAGGCTACTCATCACAACACAATACACAGTGTCCGTATTGTGAGAACAAGCGAAGGATGAAAGCGATGCGCGAGGCAAAGGAGAGGGAAAATCAGCAGAAGAAGAATAAGAGATAGGGCTTAGTTCGTTGGGAGTTGTACGATGAGGCGAAACATTAGACCGTCTAATTTAGACGGACTGCATACCTATAGATATGTAGGTTAATTCCATTTAATAAACCAAGCCCTAATTAAAATCACTTATATGGCAACCCCACGGTTTACGTGAAATCTAGGTAGAACTTCCCCAGGACTGTCATCATGGTAATTGAGCCGTGGCCCGGTCACCAGAGCAGGAAAACCGAGATGAAATAATTATCGATCCAAGCAGTGACTTATATTACTCAGAGGTTGTCAAAACGTGCCCAACAGATGTATTTTTCAACTTAAATACCTCTAATATAACAAATAACTTACACAATCGTAAAACATACACAAAGCAAGAGGCTTGAGAGACAAGGGGTTATGTCAAGGGGCTCTACGACGAAAGCGGGAAGCTGCTATTGAACTCCTGTTGAGAGCCCTGGGTTGTTGGAGCGTCTAGCGCTATTAATATAGAAATATCATTGTCGTTATACCTAAGACAGCGACGTAAGTAGCCGCCTAGGTATCTTGTAGGTTGAAGGAAATTGTCACTTTCATGCACAAGACGGAGCCACTAAATCTACCTAGGTATCAATAGGAGCCGGGGGAATCTAATGGGGCTACTCGTCATCGGCATCAAGCTAAGCTCCCCAGGGTCCTGGCATCGTCCCGATTCCGGCAACCGACGACGTAGACTTGAACTGACATGCTACCACACCCCTGAACCGGAAATATACAGCTATAGGAAATGATCCGAGAGATCGGAGCTCCTACGGAGCCGGTGTCAACCTAGCAGTGAACTTGCGACATGGATCAACAGATACTCAGAAGCATGCAGTATTGAAGACATTGTATTCCAAAGAGTTGAGGGAAAGGGTAGTTGATATGTTTGAAACTATGGAGACTAGAACTGAATTAGATTATGAGATCTCGGGGGAAGTTCGCGCGGACCGGAATATTCTCGAAGATGTTCGCGTATCTAAAACACGTTAGATGTCTCTTGCACATCGTAGATGTTACCTAACTGTAGTTATTAAGCTGCGGCTGCATAGTATTCTGCAATGCTGGGGTGCGTAAAACGGGCTAGAGGATCACTAGTCGAAGCTCTTATCCGGGGTTGTTAACTTATTTAGTTCATTGATTTAAAGCCTTAGACAAGATTAAGGCGACACCGCGTGGACGGCGAATACTTACACAATATGTTCATGTCAGAAGTAAAGCCACGCGCCAGGCGAGTCATGATAGACCTGTCTTTGCTAGTTTCGTATGCTGTAGTGCCTACCTTAGTTACGACAGTATCGGTATCGAATCATTGCTATCTCTTGGAATATTGGCGTTCTTGGTGTCCTTTAAAGCGTTCGACGGATAGGGAAAATGGTTCTATGCCGAGTCTCAGCCAGTCAGCTTAGCTTGAACTTCCACGACAACTTCCGGTCTAAGACATCGCCGAGACAGTACACATGATGATCGCTTGGAGGTTCCCTTTCCACTCTTGGAATCAATATTCTTGGACACACGCGCCAAGGCGTCTCATGGCGAAAGGCAAGTTGCTAGCAGTAGACGGCCAGACGGCACGCTGAGGTGCTGAAGCTGAAAAGCAACTGGCCGACATGGAGCATCGAAAGGGCGCTCCAGCTGAGTGGGCCAGACCCCTGATTAGCAGCCCTGGCCCTACCGTTAGCTCCAGATATGAGTGACAAGGGTTCCGAATCCGTTTGAAGGGAAAAGGCCGTTCGCTATTGGACAGCGCATTTTCCTTATCTCTCGGCACAACAAACTCCACTGCTTGGCGTGCCTTGGCTCGATCCAATGCCTGTTCCTTCGAACTTCGGCCGCATCTCAGTCAGAATCAAGCTGATACTTTATGTCGATAGTTGACTGGCTGAATGAAAGAGCGAAAAATCATGAAAAAAAAGGTGCGCTAGCGGAAACAGTTCTCATTCGAGAGACGCCCGATATATATGATCCGATGTTTACGAAGAGCTCGAAGGCCTGGAGTGATTACTAACGGCTAACGGGCACTTATGGCTGAAGCTGCGGCTGTCTCTGATAAGACCTCGAGCATTCAACGGGTCTTCTTTTACGGCCTGCAGGAGCCAAGGAATGATGAGCCCCTGATGATCGACTCGACATCACCTAGTGCTACATAGCTGCATGGAATCATCCTCAGAGCTTAACATCGGCTTTGCCATCGGTATACATGTCATCAGAAGGAAGTGAGGAAAGAACATCAAGTAATAGATTTATAAGATGTTGGTCGCGTTGTTGCACAATTGTTTGCTTGAATTTGGAGCTCGAGCCATTGACTGGCCAGCTAAACCGAGACTTCGGCCGATGAGCAACGTTGTCCAGAACTAAGCGTAAAAATAGTTACTTGCCTAAGTCGCCTAGAACGCGCTTCCACTATGTTGAAGTGATATTGATGCAGCTTGCTGCCACGAACAAATCTCCTACTACTTACTTAGATAGCCGCAACCACCATGCTACTCTAGATAGGTACTACTGAACCACGTGTGAATCATAACACGTTCGGTTGCGCAACTCTGCAGTAAGGCAGTTCTCGTGTTCCCCGGGGTTCCCGTAGGTGGTTGTAAGACATCGAGTGAGTCCATTCAGGAAACATGCCCGCGTGGTAGGGCGGTAGGACCGACTTCAGATGGAATGGTGAGATACATTGCAGTTCGGCCGCAAGATTCGAGAATGCCATCTGAAGTACCGCCCAGCTGGGAACCTCCCAAGATTTTAATAAACATAAACATCCATGATCAATAAGGATAATACTGTACGTTAGTTCATTAACATCCGAGGAATTCCAACAGCTCAGAATAGCAATTGACTTATTAATGAACGTGATGCGCGAGCTTCCAGTAACACCTTACGGTCAGGGCAGTCATTAATTAATAGCCAGGTACCTGTAGGCAAGTAGATGAGTAACATTCAACAGCATACGCCTCTCATCTACATGACGCAAATTCTTGTTTTCTGACCGCCCACTATCTTTTCTCAATTTCTGGATAATTCGACTCGAACTCCAACAACAATATATCTGCGCAGAGGTTAGTATCTACCTACATGTAGTTGTAACGTCATGCAGACTGCATATATGAATCCTTCTGTTTCTCCGTCGTCTCTTTTCAGTGGTGATGCTCCGGCCACGCAGCCACAAACGTGTCTATCTCTTCAAGGCTAGGTACCTATCTCCAACGCCCCGGGCCCCCCCTTGTCGCCCTCCCACTCGCTACGCCAAGAGCAGCAAGGTCAGCGAACTGGAAGAACAAACGAATCGTGTTGCGATTCGCCGCGCTCGCTAGAATCCACCGTACTCTCGGGTCCTTATCAGCAAGATCCACCCTAATTGTCAACGGTCTTTTGCCATTTTAAAATTATTAAAGCTGCTTCGACCGGGGTACTGATATGTAGCGTATTCTGTCCTAGTGTGTTCTATCCTTTTTTACTAACTGCGAATATCCTTGGACAAAGGAACCTTCAAGTCGGTATCGGGAACACCCTTATCCCACCCATACCGACGGGAGTACAAGCGACGCAGCGGCCTTCCTTGTATCATTCTCGCTCAGGTAATAAGCAAGGGGTACAAGATAGTGACCAAGGTAGGCATGTATTCGTGCGTAGGCGTAGATACCCGCTGTACATCTGTACAACACTTGCATGTCTTGCCTTGCAGCCGTCTTGCCAATCGAAGGAACTCCCCGAGCTGTAATGCGCTTCTGCCATATTTAGGCACGGACACCCGCCCCTGGCATCGTAGGCACCTTCATTTTATTTCTTCTTTTCCCTTGTTGTGTGCATCATTCTTTTCCGCCAAAAAAGCAAAAATTCGCGAACCGTCCGGTTTTTCTGGGACGAGTGTCTCACCCAAAAGAAGCATCGTCAACTTGCTCTTATCTGAGGAGGGGAACGAAAATTAAAAGGGTTCGAGTCGCGTCTTCTTGATCGCGGCGACGTCAACATGTCGTCCAGCTTGTACGTCACGCCGTACAATGGCACCACCGGCGATGCTGACGCCGGGTATTCTACCGGTGTCACGGATTTAAATCAGTTCTACGAGGTACGACAAGAAAAAAAACCATTGTGTATTAGCCGTCGAAGGAGGAAAAGGGAAAATGCAAAGAAGAAAAGGAAGAACAGCGCTAAAGTAAAGATGTTTTATTATAGAGCGGTGATTTCGCCTGGATCATAACCGCCGCCGCCCTCGTCCTGCTCATGATTCCCGGCGTCGGCTTCTTCTACTCGGGCCTCGCCCGGCGCAAGTCCGCGCTCTCGCTCATCATGCTGGCCATGCTATCCATCGCCGTCGTCGACTTCCAGTGGTTCTTCTGGGGTTACAGCTTGACCTTCTCCCACACCGGCAGCAGCTTCATCGGCGACCTCTCCAACTTCGGCCTCATGAAGACCCTCGCCCAGCCCTCCGTCGGCAGCACCAAGGTCCCCGATATCCTATTCTGCCTGTACCAGGGCATGTTCGCGGCCATTACGTGAGTTTTTCTTCAAGTCGCGCCGTGCATCGCTTAGCCTCCCTTTCCCCTTTTCTCCTACCCCAAAATCCCTAACCGTAGTCTAACCCACAATTTAGGCCAGCCCTCGCCATCGGCGCAGCTGTCGATCGCGCCCGCGTCCTGCCATGTATCGTTTTCATGTTCGTCTGGGCCACTATTGTGTATGATCCCATCGCGTACTGGACCTGGAACGCGAACGGTTGGTCCTTCAAGATGGGCGGTCTCGACTTCGCCGGCGGTACCCCCGTCCACATCTCGTCCGGTGCCGCCGCCCTCGCCTTCTCTGTCATGATCGGCAAGCGAGCCGGCTACGCCAAGAACGCTGGTCTGCCTTACCGCCCTCACAACGTCACCCATATCGTTCTCGGCACCGTATTCCTCTGGGTCGGCTGGTTCGGTTTCAACGGTGGTTCCGCTCTCGCTGCTAACCTCCGCGCTGTCATGGCATGCATCGTCACTCACCTGGCTGCTTCGGTTGGAGGTATCACCTGGGTCTTGCTCGACTACCGCCTCGAGAAGAAGTGGTCCGTAGTCGGTTTCTGCTCCGGTGCTATCTGCGGTCTCGTCGCCATCACCCCTGCCTCCGGTTTCGTCACTCCCTGGGCCGCCGTGATCTTCGGCATCGTGGGCAGCATCGGCTGCAACTTCGCGACCAAGCTCAAGTTCTACATGGGTGTTGACGAGGCCCTCGATATCTTCGCCGTCCACGCCGTCGGCGGTATCATCGGCAACCTGCTCACCGGTATTTTCGCAGCGTAAGCTCCCCCGCTTTCCCCTTCCCCCTTCCCCCCCTTCTCTTCGTCCCTCTTCACTCGCGCACGTGTACTAAACAAACCCCGTTAAAACAGCGACTACATCGCCGCTCTCGACGGCTTCACCTCGATCCCCGGCGGCTGGATCAACCACAACTACATCCAGCTGGGTTACCAGATCGCGGACTGCGTGGCGGGCTTCTCGTACTCGTTCGTGCTCACCTGCGTGATCCTGTTCCTGATGAACCTGATTCCCGGTCTGAGCCTGCGCGTCTCGGCCGAGAACGAGGAGCTCGGCGTCGACGACGACCAGCTCGGCGAGTTCGCCTACGACTACGTCGAGCTGCAGCGCCACACCAGCGACGTCCTCGGCGAGCACGGCGGACGCGCGGGCTCTTCTAAGAGTAGCGACGGACCCGAGAAGATGGTTTAAGGGGGGCGAAAGAAAAGCTTTCAAGCAAAATGCATACAACCTTACATAAATAAATAGACGGTGTTCGAATTGTGCTGTATGGATTAGGTACGCAGTGTGAGTGAGTGAGTGGTTGAACATACAAATCCCGCCTGGCCAAGCGCGCTCGCGGAAAAAGATAAATACTAAGTACTGGAAGCTAGCATTGTCATTAAAAATGGGGATTGCACAACTACATAGCGCTGTTGCATAGTTTTTCCTCTTGCTAAGGCATCCTTCCGTCATAATCAGTTTAGATATTATACCCATTTTATTCTAATGAACCCCCTTTTCTCTTCTGCGTGAACGAGGACTCAACATTTAAGTATGCTTACTTGCTATAGAAATGGAGATCATACCGGGCCAGGGCCAGTATGGATCTCATTTTATACGATTATTCTCTTCTACGGTCCGTTTATCTGCTGTACGTGAATTACCATTCGGGGTGGTGAAAATTGAGGCTATTCGGACTTTTGGTAGGATGCCTTCCTTCAACTCAATTACAAAAGGATTCATCTCACACAAGATAATTCTCATGTATCTAGCAAGCTCATGATTAAGTTTGGATTCATGAAAACTCATCCTAATTGGACGATTCGCGCATTGTTCTATTGGAATCACAAAGAGCGGTCCCCGCGATGCGCACAAAGACAACCTTATGGACTCGGTTTATGCCCATAGTTCTTTATAGTTCAACGTTATCGACAAAGGAAGGTCGAATGCGGTAATCGAGTAACCATCACAACTTCGGCCAGTTGTTGATCGCAGGATTTGCTTCCGTATTATCCGTATTAGCAACGCTTCAACGATAGAGCTGCAACATCGAGACTGGTAGCCACTGATATCGGCGGTAAAACATCAATATTCCAGCGATGGAGATGGAGATGGATATAGACCCACCTGAGGTATCATCATACACGGTACGTGACCCAGTCCAGCCGCCGGTCTACGAATAGTAGTTAACACTCACCTTCACACAGCACGAACAGGGAGCAGGACCCAGCACCCACGCACACGGGACCAATACTCCTCGTTACATACCCCCTGAACACACCCTGGAATCTCCAACCTTCAACCCGTCACCCAACTGGAGACCATCAAGCTCCATCCCAGCCCAGCCCCCACAAATCCACGCACCCACACCCCGCCGCCGGCGCATAGGCGGCGGCCTCGCCGTCCAAACCCACACCCACGGCTACGGAACACCGAGCCCGACGCCGTCTCCCTCGCCCCGTTCCCCCGGGGACCACGACGACTGGCGCGCGTCCGCGGACGCGCTGCAGGCGGATATCGCGGCGCAGTTCGAGGCCGAGGACCGGGTGGCGGCTCCGGGGGGTCGGAGGGGGCGGAAGAGGAAGTGGGAATGGAAGGAGGAGCGGAAGGGAAAAGGGGAGGAGGAGGAGGAGGAGGGAAACGGTGGGGATGGGGATGGCGGTGAGGGTGAGGGTGAGGGACAAGGGGACGGGGACGGGGATGGGGAGGTGGATAGGCTTCTGGATAACTTAGTTTGGTGGTTGGCTGAGACGAGGAAGAGGCGGAAACTGGGAGGGAGGTAGGGTTAGGAGGTTTGGAGGCCCTGTCTCTCCTGTTATTACTAATCCGTTAGCGAATATTTCTCGTTGGTAGGCTGTGGACTGTACCTAGATAAGTAATATATCGATGGGATACTCCCCGGGACTGCCCTTATGGAAGTGGAAGTGGTAGCGAGCAGATAATCTACGGATAAGCGCCGAAACGGGCTATTGGTAACAGTTATCTATTCAGGGGTATTGTTCCGCTATCTAAGCTGTACGCAAATCCGAGGTATAAATCTAAAATGGCTGCGTAAACTGTACGTATTGGTCGAACGAATTCGTCGTGCCTATGCCCGTATATAAACCCTTCTCGACCGCCCTCGATCTATGGAGCCGTTTTATTCGATTTAGCTCCCCATTCAAACAGCCGAGGGCTCACCCATAACGCAATGCACTTTCTCAAACTCCCCGAGCGCGTTAGGCAGCACCTTGGTATACTCGACATGCATCTGCTGTTTCTCGAAGTCCCAGAATACGTTCGTCCACATGTACCTCGCCTTCGCCGGGACTGTGTTCTCAGCATTCTCCATGCCCAGCTGGCCTTCGATTTTCATGATACCACTCACGGCATTCGCCAAGCTCCAGCTATCCCAGGGACCTTCTCGCCAGTCCGAAGCCCTGAGCAGCTCCACGACCTCCGCCCGGACCCTAGCGGTCCGACATTTCGCGCCTATGTGAGCTAGTAAAGGTAATCTGCCCGCCTCGTTGGTGAATCCGACCTTCACGGGCACGTCCGTCGGGAACTCCATGAAGAGCTTGCAGCGCTGCACCACGTCTTCGAGCTCGGACAGGAACTCATCGTACATCATCTCCGTCGGGTCGAGACAGCACGTGATGGCCACCACGGCCACTTTATGGTGCAATCTCAGCAGCTCGAGGCCTTTGCTCTCGCGAATATCCATGGGGCTAAATAGCAGAGAATCGAGACCCATGCCTAGGTCGTGTAGTTGTGATAAGTAGATGGCCTGTTCCCGATACGCGGCCGACTTGTCGAAGTCGTAATCGGGGTTGAGATTATGCCATGCAACCTTGCTCTGGAAATTCGCGAGTTTGATCATGAGGTAGTCCCATATTTGCCTTGCCTGGTCGAGCGTCTGCGGGATGGTAAACGTAAAAGGACTGCACAATCCGAGGTCGTCGCTGTTATCGTATTCCTCGCCCTCGGTGAAGAGCATATGATACGCGTACTTCCCGTGCGCAAACGGGAGACACGCGGACGTTATGCTATGTCGTGCAAACATATTAGTCATATCGTCCACCTCGTCTCGCGGAGTTGTGAGATAACGATCCCACTGGCGACGTAATATCGATCTCGAATCAGGACTCGTACTCCGGATATTCGTCAAGACTTTGATGCCGCTGCGAATAAGACTCCCAGAGCTATGATAATTTCCCTGCATGTTCTCGAATACTATGAATAAGAGAGTCGCTGCCATAGTTAGACGGCCGTCGAGGCCATATAACCCGATATTTGATCGAAGGTGTGATAGTGCTTTAGAATGATGCATAAGCGCGGCCTGGTGATGTCGATTAAGTTTTGAGGGCGGCCACCACGTCTGAGGTCCTTTGCCATGCGCGGAATGCTCGTTGCGAAGCTCCATAAGCGCACGACCGTAGGCGCCTATGCCAAGAATTGAGTGATGAATACATCGGTTAACCATGCTATCTCGGAGAGACGTCTGGGTCCAGAAGTTGGTTATGTAGTAAGGCGACAGCTCATGACATATCTGGTCCTTGAAGAGAGTGAAGTACCACACATCGTCCTCGTTCCATCCGAACCCGTAACTAGGCATCAGTGGAACTGAAGGTCGATGATCTGTTCGTTGAGGCGACGGCGAGGGCTTGCTCCCTGAGCCTGCTAAGGGCCTCAGCTTCGGCTTCGGGAGCAATAACCTCTCAGGCCGGGAGGCTAGGGTTTTTGTTTTAGGAAGAGCATAACCCTCGCACATAAGTCCAAGGCGCTCGCACTCTGCGCAAGACGGCTTGCCTTCGTCGCATTTTACCTACAGAAGATTAAGTCAGTGATCCGCTGCCATTACAAAAAATAACGCCGTAAGGAGGGAGTCTAAAGCATTGAATAATCGGCCTGGCCTAGGCTCAATAGACTCGCCGCTTTCCGCGATGGATAGATTGGCAGGATAACTGGAAACTTCAAATTTAAACTGACATGTCTTCTTTTGCAACTAATACAGCCTGCAATTTGATAAAGAATGAATTAGCCAATGGATGCATCTGAAGATGATTAGATTTGACCATTCACCTGTTCGAACCTTGGGCTTGCTCGCCCTCTTCCGTGTCGGCCTCGAGTCATTACATTGTTGGTCGCTCGTGCAGCCTCTGTCTGACGAATCAGAGGTGAAGGACTGTTGGCTACGGCTAGCTGGGCTATTTCTTCGCGACTTTTTCGTTTCGGGCGACATTACGCGCATGTCCCGCCTCGAACAGGGGAGCTGTCTTCCTATGTCTGACCTTATTTGGTAGTGCCTAGGCTTGCTTCTTTTGATTTGCTTATGCGACTTGCTCTTCGCTCTTAGGGATATTAATTGTAATGACGATTGGATCGATAGAAGTGAGCGACTAATCAGGTATTTGTGTTGTCAAATACGAAATTCTGTAGGTCGGGGGAGCGCCTGGTTGCCGTAAGCGCGCCGAGTACAAGGGATCATTATCAAATTCTTGGGTACGTAGCCGCGGACGTGGAAGACATTGTACATAAACATCCTAAATATCGAGGAGTCAAGCATGAACCATTGTGGCTCCAATATTATCCTGGGCGGTAGTTGATGCGCGATGCAACGAGACAGAGTTCTTATTGAGTTTATCGTCGTATGGGCGCCCCGCAATGCGGTGAGATGAGATCCAACGGCCAAGGCTCATCTGTGTGTGTGGATAGCGTGTGGATAGCATGTGGATTGCAATAATAGTATCATGCTCAGGTGGTGCTCAGTATTTCGACGAATTATCTCCCACGACGACAGAAAAAAAGCGTTGCCTAATCGACTTAGGGAATTGCCATAGCTGAGAGCCGAGTTCAATCTTTCATACCTACCACCTACGTGCCTGGGTAGCTGGGTATCTATGTGGCAATGCTAATTGGAAAGGCTCAGACTCAGACGTTTGAATGCCTGTGCCTGTCTGTGCCTCACGCCTGCATAAGCAAAAGAACATTCGTGGTCAGATTCTCTTGGGTAATTTCGAGATCAACCTCAGCTCCTAGCTAGGCAACGAAATTTAAGCATGGCAACTATTCATGGGTTAGCAGGTTAGTAGTGGCTTCGTTCCGATTTTAAGCTATCAATCCACCTACATAGCTGTATTGTTGGGTTTGCGATAATGTTTCGTAGGATCTAAACCTCCACGCGACATTCTTCGGCCGATGGACGGCGGACGATGATCTAATAGTAATACGAAGCCCGATCGCTGTCACTGTCGAGGTTTCATACCCATCCCCCGCCGAGATATAGTAGCGGTCAACTAGTACTAAGTACAATCAATATTGTATTATCGTCAGACTTCAGCCTTAAAAAATAGGGGGCCGCTGGTTCGTCAACTTTCCCAGTCGCATTGGACAAGAGCCGACAACCATCTTACTTGGTCGGTCAGGCTTACGTTAGACTCATAACACCTGCATTTCCCACGTTGGTACCTAGAGATAAAGATTAGCTCGGGTATCGATGTAGCCGGATCAGTGGGTTATATTGCATAAGCCCTCAGTCGAGAAGGGCAATGATGGGATGTGTCAACAATAGTGTAATATTGATATTTCATCCTGCGCTTGCAGAGTGCATATGCACCTAAGGAGGATTCTTCTAGAAGCATTAGAACCATTTAAGAGCGTGACATCCATGGATGCGTGCTAAACTTTGGGTAACCTTGAACCTTTACTAGTGCATTAGTGCGCAATTTCAGGGCAAGCACGCGTACGATGCAAATGCAAACTGCGCTGTATAATCAAAATCCTTCGATGGAAGTTTCTAATGCTGATCGTTACATTCAGGGCTGCAGGCCATAGTATTTCGGTATTGCCTACCCTTAATGGAACGTTTTAATAGAACTATCTGTTGTTCTTTTCCTGCGTCAGCTCTACCGGTTCGGAAACACCACGTTGTGCTGTGTCAAAGTCATTTTACTAGCACTCATCAGCGCCCTCCACACACACACTTGTTCATTCCCGGGTATTTCTCCATATTTCCAGGTAGATACCTACCTCTTACGCATTAGTAAAAGCGCGCATCCAGAAAAGTGCCGGACGGCGGAGGTTATCTGGACCTCACCCCAAATGCTGCGCAGTCTAGTTAAATATAGAATTATGCGATGTTCAACACAGAACTTGGCCAATCAATTCAATACAGGAGCATTCCAGATCTACCCATGTTACTACGTAGTAGCTTATCTCCAGTGAGACTGTAATTCCAAGGGCGCGGTACAATAGAATGTATCAGCAACTTCTCGTTCTCAGCCCTACTACCCTTCAAGTATCCTTCACCTGTGACATCCTGCAGCATATGATTGAGTCATTGCCGTCCATTAACGCTTATTAATAAGTGATAGCCGTATTCCTCCGTTCATTTCTTCCGGGGCCACTAACCTGCCGACTGCCGTATTAAGACTATGACATCTTTAGACTTCTGTCTCAACACCGGTCTCCTTCTCATCGTGGTGGAACATTCCGCCAATATTACCTTTTAGCCTACTAAGCTTGCTGCCGAGGTGGCTGGCCTCCCTCGCGGGCCGAAACTGCATAATGCCCCGGTGTTTGCGATGAAGCTGCTTATGGTGGTCCTTGTAATCGCGCAGCTGGTTTCGCACACCTCGCGATCCATCATCAGGATCATTATGACCGGGTGCCACCACCGCCGTAGCTACTTCAGCCGCTCCTCCGACAGGGTTGTGAAAAATATTCTTGACCTTCTTGAAGTCCCGCAGAGATAGACTAGATGAGCTCGACGATCCTTGGGCACCGTCCTCGTCGTCCGAACTAGAGCGCGAAGAATCATCGTTGGTATGGACGCGAAGCTTCTTGCGAGTCTCTTCGTTCTCCGAGTCATCGTCGCTTTCCATATCAGCCTCATCTCCAGATTCATCCTCATCGTCGTCGAGCTTCTCGTCGGTGATCGTATCTAAACATTCCATAACATCTCTCAGGTCATTATTCTTAGCCTGAGAAGCATAGCTCTTGTGATATCCAGAGAGGCCGCGCCAGAACTTTAGATCAAGCTCAATCTCGCCTAAGGGTTGCTCGCCCTCTCCTAAGCCATTATAGTCGCAACAAGATCGGGCTTTTTGAAGGCCATCCTTTGATCCTTTCCACACCTTCAGGGGCCTTGTGTCATTTTCCTCGTCGACAAGATCGTGAAGCCACAGGACCGCGAAGGCAGCAGTTTTGTCGCGTCCAAGAATGGATTCGCGGAATTCGATCACCATGGCTGAAGCATATCGCTTACGGACAGCCAAAAACACTGCCTCGTTCTCCTTCCTGCTCTTGCAGACCCACTGGCCGCTTTCGGGGTACATCTTAGCTCGCCCTATATTGGTCCGCAATTTGATCCGATGCTCTGTCAGTGACTTCGGCAAGCCCTCTTTCGCCCTGATAGGTCCGCAGATCTCCAGAGTTCCGTAGTCCCATCCGCGGAGATTGGGAGGGAGTTTGATTTCTACACTACGCCAAACCATGCTGATGCGGACTCGTCCAAATCCAATGCCGCCGACCACTGGCAGTGTTAGTAACAGTCTATGATAAAGGAACATAGGATCATAAGTCAATGATCGACGGATCACTTTAGGATTCCACATGGATAGAAATAACGAGACTATGTTGTACTTACGAGGTAGATTCTCCACCATCTGGCTCTTCTTCGCAAAAACCTTTGCAAGAGGAAGATAAACGATTCCTATCAACGGATCGTCTTCCCGCTCTCGGGAATCTCGTACGCTCACAATTATCTCGGTGTCTCTCCAGTCGCGAACAAACCGCTCTGTCCCAGCGTTGAAGAATGGTTTCGAGTTCTTTGGTTTCGTCCGTGTTCGATATATCTTTTTGTGATTCAATATAATGGTACAATAACTGTCGGGCATGTCATCGTGTTGCTCTGCCTCGTCCTCATCGTCACCGCCCTCCCCCTTATCGTCCTTCTGGAGCTTCTGTACCTCGAGGCCGGTGATATTGTGTATTTGCACACTAAGGATGCCTGAGACTAAGTCGGTAGAAGGCGGAGCCGAAATAATCATAGACTCTTCGATTTCCCTGTAATCCTGGGCTTTCTGCTGCTTTAGCTCTTCATCGTCCGAGGCCTTGCCCGCTTCCCGGAGTTTGTGTTCGGATATTTCGGAGACGTGTCGTTTGAGCTGATCATGGGTTCTTATTTCTTCATTAACGGTTTGTTGTTCAAGTTCCTTCGACGTGATCCTCATCTTCGAGAAGTACCCAACAGACCATACTATTGACCCTGGCATTGGCTCATCGGAGTCCTGTCCGACAAAGCGGTCTTCGCGATCATATATCCTGTTCGGGCTTTTCATAAGACGCTTCAAGTCTACCTCCACTCGACCTAGATCATCGTCCGCGGACCATTTATCTGAGTCCCAGAGCTGCAATCTTAACTTTTCCTCAGCATTCACCTCTTCCGGAGTTACCAGAATGGTCGCCCATTCATGCCAATTCGGCTCGTCATCGTCCGTGACAATGCGAGTCGAAGCAACTGGTTTGCCGAATTTACCCCAGGCCACCGTAACGTACGAATCGCTCGAGCCTTCCATAGGGCCAATTCCGCCATCGCCTTGTTTGAAGCCGCGAGCCTGTTTAATAAAAATCCAAACAACGCCCAAGCTAGCCGTGTCCTTCTTAAAATCTTCTCCTACCAACATGTCCTTTAGGTTAAGAGTGAGGCTCTTCGGTGCCACGTATTCTGCGAGAGCAGCATCGATGGCAGAATTGACGAAGGAAGATATCAATGGTATGTCGGTGAGACTAGACAAGTGCTTCGAAAGAGGCACACACGAAATACTAGCCTTGGGCTGCCCAAGAAACGTCATGGTGCAAAGCGAGATGAATGGAGGGTCTGGTGTCAGCTGAAGACGAAGCCGCACGGTCATGATAAGACCCCTAAGCTCAACCCAGACGGGAACAGCTACACCTCCAGGAAGGTAAAACTTCAGGTAAAGATGGGCGTTCTTAGCCTTTGCCTTCAATGAATCGCCAGATGAGCGACTTCGATAAGCCAGCGCAAGTTCCATGTTCACAAAGTCACCTTCCTCGGCCTCCATCCCCTCTTTGACGGACACCTGCTCCTGCTCCTCTTGTTTTGGGTCTTTACCCTCATTCTTACGCTCTGAAGTTTCCTCTGCATCACTCTCTTGACTATCAGTATTTCCTTGTGGATTTTGCGGATCCGTTCGGTCACTTCCAGTGCTCTTGTGGTCCCCCCGAATTTCTCCGTCGGAGCTGACAGTTTGACTAGCCGCGCCGGTCGGTAGCCACCGAACCCCGAGGATGCGAATAGCTTCGCTACCTTGTCCCATATCGTCAACACTGACCATTTTAATAACTTTAGGTAGAGAGGCCTGCATGATATCCTCAATTTGATCGACAAGCGAGGCAAAGAGATCAGGGTTGACGAGCGGCCAGATGGACGAGAGTAGGCTATTCAGCCATTGCGTCGATTCCGGTAGTTCCTCATTATTGCTCAAAATAGCCTGTTCCTCCCGTCTCGCTGCACTCCAAGTCTCGTCTTCGAACACCTCGCTGGTTTTCTTGCTTACCCACTTTCCCATGCCGACAACAGTCGCTGCTCCTAGGAGAACAAACAGACCTGTGTTAAGCAGAACCCACCGACTCGAGTTAGCGATGATTGCCGGGGCAGGCAGTAAGACGGCTGCTAAAGAGCCGATCGCAGTTAAGCCAGCATATACCGTCCGTTGGTAGACAGAGGCTAGCTCCTTTTTGGTGTGTTCAAAGTCCGGCGGCGGGAACACCCTTTGCATACCGTTGTATGTTCGCTGCAATTTCTCCCGCTCTAGCCGCAGTTCTTCATCTGACTTGGAAGCGCCTTGTGGTCCAGTGGCAGTGTCATGATGGAGACCTGGTTCTGGTAGGTTCTGAGGCACCGACTTGAGGTCCTTCTCTGTTTGATCGTGTATGATAATTGATAGGTGCGTTACTGGGTCTGTAACTTCACGTCCTTCTCCATGTCTTCTGGCCTTTTTCATTGCTTTGCGTTTCTCTTTTGGATCGACAGCGCTGGCGACAGCCTCTGTTCCCGATTTATCTTGTTCGCCCTTCTTTTTGTTGCCATCATCTTGGTTTTTGTCTGCATTTTTGTTCCCCTCATCATCTACGGTCTCTTCCGTAGAGCCTTCGCTATGACTGCCCACAGCTTCTTCTGATTTGTACTGTGTGTCATTGGCATAGTTGTGGTTCGTAGAGGGGTATGGATCGTGGCGGGAGGACTTTGGGATATCTTGACCTCGGATGGCTGCTTTAGCGGACTCGAATGCTCGTTTAGGCCTTGAAACATCCTCCGGACCTCGTTGCGCCTGCTCTTCGTCCTCTAGCTGGTCAGCAAGCTCTCTTCGATGTTGTCGGTATCCTTGTATGGTAGGTATCGGATGTTTGGCGTTATGAGGATTTCTATATTCTCTCCCGGGCGTATCCTGCTCGAAATCTGCCTGGTTTGCCATATTGTTTCAGTGAATAGGCATTTGGCTGGGTTTGCAAAGCTAGCAAAGTTCAGGCAATGGTGGTAAGCAGGCAAATAGAACAAGAGTTGTAAAGTACCTAGTAGGTAGGAAGAAAAGTTGAAATTGTGAGACTTAATAAGACCTAATGATGCTGGCAAGTAATACAACGACACACAAAGGACGAGGAAACATGATTGCACTTGCATCACCATGCAAAAAGCGCAAACATGCATTGGATGTCAGGCACGTTCGAGCGTTAAAATGGCGGTAGTATGAGGTCATCGCCTATTATTCAACCAGCAGCACCCCAGCTATAAGCGAATAGTGGGGTTCGAGGTGACGCAGAGCTGCAAAACTAAAACAGCTAAGGCAGGGTGCCTGGAAAAGCTCCGGTCTTAGCCCTAGCGATCCCTTCAGCACCCGTGCCTATTCTGCCATTCCACAACGTCACTAACTCTAAGTGAATCGGGATATTCCCCGCACAATCCCGGCATTATGTAACATTCATATTTGATTCATTCCCCCTATTGCTGCTACGATACGTGTCACAGTCCTAGATAATAGCAGCGGATACGTTCAGAATAAGCAGGACAGGCTCAGATCATCCCCCTACTCATTTAGGTCGAAGAAGATAGCAGTGGTGATAAATATCCGGCTCGCTCTCCTTCAATTTGGGAGTCAAGATCTTGGCTATAACCTCGACGTCGAACGGCAAGTCTTCGACGTCGAAACGGCTCGACGAATAGCTCAGAGAAATCCAAATCCCCCCATCGGCAAGGTATTTCCTAATTCCGGAGGCCATGCGTAGGAGTGTCGTCGTCCCGCCGCAGGAGACGGCGTCGACGGTGCTCTTGTCGATGACCACGTCGAACCTTTGGCCCGGCGGCAGGTCGTTGCCGAGCTGCGTCGCGTCGGCGACGACATACTTTAACCTCACCTCGCCGAAGGCGGCCTCCTCTAGCTGGCGCCCGCGCTCGATGGCCAGCGGTTCGTAGTCGACGTTCGTCACGTCCAGGTAGCCGCTCGCGCGGAAGTGGTTCTGCAAGTCGCTCGTGCCGGAGCCGAGCTGGAGGATCCTGGGTTGACTCTCGCGGCTGGGGAGTCTGGAAAGGTGAGGCGCTATGATAGTCATGAAAGTCTCCGACGATGCCAGCCACTCGAAGGACGTCTCCGACTTGAAGCGTTCGTGCCAGTAGCTCTGCTTCTCGAAATCGACGGGCATCGCGAAATCAGATTCCGGTTTATCATTTACCGTCCGAATACTTAGGTTTTTACTCGTTTTGTAATCCGGTTTTCATATACTTCACGAGAGTCTCGTGTAAGTCACGTTTATATATTAGGTTGGGCTCCTTTTTTTTTCTTTTTTTCTGAATGCCCCACGATTCATAAAAACTCTGACCGGTCGCAGTATTTCCACTTTCCAAATTTGGTATCGCTAGATGGAAATCTCTCATAGACCGCTCTTTTAATCAGTGTATGAGTAGTATTCTACTAACGAGCAAAACTTGTAAACAAGCTCTTATGGTGATTTTATAAGCATCTCTTCAATAGATGTAGATATCCGGCAAGGAGTGGTTGCGCAGCCAAAATTCCAGTTAGTAAATCAACATGAAGCCCCTTTTTAACAATTCGAGATTATCAACATCAAGTTAGCAAGTAAGGTCACGTATAGAACTATCGTCGACTAATAAATTGGACAATATATAATACATTTACGCCTGGGCGTTGGAAGATATCAATTATTCCGATATACAACATTATAGCCAACTGTATACCAACCCCTTTTCCAGGCGATAGCTGAAGTCCCTTTAAAATAACACAAATAACAGCAAAGGGAACTTGTCTTCTTCCTACTTATATATCATGATGTCATCGCCGATCTTGGAGAATTCCCTATGCTTTCGATCTCGGTCTCTTAACGCCAGACGCACTGTAAAAATCATGACTAGCCCTTCGCTTCAAAGAGTGTCCGGACGAGAATCTGGCTGGCGACGACGTATCGCTGCGAGCCCCATGAGCTGCGAAAGCAACATGCTTGCGACGAAGGCCGGGGCTGTCGACTACATTTTCGTATAAGTCGCTGTACGGTGTTGGCTCGGGCCCCGAGTTGACGTTATGGAACCAGAATCCTTCCCCGTCCTCGTCCTCAGAAACCAGCGAATCATCCGCGAACCGTACGGCCTGGGCTGACATGGATGTGCCCTTTATGCCGGTCTTCGAGCTGTTCACGTTGCCCTGGGTCGTCCCTTTTCCTCCGCCACCCTCGTTGGTTTTGGAATACCTTGTAACATTCCAAGTTCTATGCAGACCGAGAGCTTCGCTGAATTGTCTTTCATTATTCCAGTCTCTGGGAAATCCCACGTTGTAAAGTGGGGTCATGTGACTGAGGATGGGCTGATGTAACTGAAGTCGAGGCCTGGGGTTTGGGATTATCGGCGGAGATATTATGATCATCCCGGGAAGAAGGACAGGTCTCGCGGCGCCGCTATATTCTGCGGGCATGGTGGCCGGAAACCCTGCTTCGCCAAAATCCTTTTCCTTAAATGCAATGTCCCATATCGGTTTTGGAAAAATGTTCCATTGTAATAGGTCGACGAAAGCAAGGAAAAGATTCGCCATTCTTTTAAACGGAGCCATGACTGCTTCCGTCAACGGCTCGTTCGCCTGAATTCGATTCACGATCTTGAAAACTTCGGCAATAACTTGGTAATAAATACTATCGAGTTGGATGCCGCCCTCCTGCCTCCATTTGGCGGATCTCCATTGCTTACGGAACCATAGGTTGAAAGCCAAATATCTCCATTGTACAAACTGATCAATCAGTTGATAGATCCAACTAAAAAGGTGGCCTAGCTCCGTTGGTTTAAAGGTGACAGGGTCTTGGTCAAGCGCGTAAAATACTTTATATCGTTAATGTGGTAAAAGGGGGTGAAGGGTGTCTTCACATACCAATTGCTTCGGCTTCCTGTAGCCTTAAACCGTAGCAAGCTTCGAATTGAGCTGTTGTCAGCTGTCCGGTATTCTGGAACATGTTGTCGTTTATGTCTATGTGCTGGCATTGCGACCAGACCATATCTTCTATCAGTGACATCCGATGGACTTCTTGATTGGTCCGTGCTATGACCTGGCGAAGATACTCCACCCTTTCCTTTACTACAAATACGTTTTGGTCCTTCTTTATGTTGCTGGTAAATTCCCGCAGCCGGACTTTCATGCGACGTTTAGCCAACTCAATGACCAAATCCATCATGTCGCCAAGATTTTTATTTGTCAGGAAGTGGTCGCCAAAAGCGGCTCGAAGTTTCTCGAAAATTATATCATGATGTACAAACATTCCTTCCTTGATATAGTCGATAGCTTCGGTGTACTCGTTCATTAAGGAATCCGCTTCACCCATCCCCCAAAGGTGACGTTTGCTCCAGGATGTTGGATCAGGGGACCAATTATATCCGAGCAAATGTGTAGATTTAGCTGGATCAGAGATGCCGGAACCATAGCGCATTACTGTGTCGTATACAGCAATGGATAGATGGTGCAATAGTTCTGGGGAGCAATTTTTGTAGTAAACTAGAAAATCTTGACCGGGTTCAATTGGATATGAGAGCTCTCTATTAGCCCTAGGCGGTATTTGTGAGAAACGGCTTTCCGGCTGTAATAGGTAATTGAATGCAGGAGTCGACATTGTGAAACTAGTTTGATCTTGGGTATGGAGTAGCTAAGTTGATTTAATCTCAAAGTAGTAGTTGAGGCCTAGAAGGGACGCATTATCATAGGAATCGCGTCCTGAAATTGTGTACAAGGTATAAGAAGATTCCCAATGTATTAATCAGGTAGTATATAGATTTTCAAGCAATGAACAGATCGGTTGCGGAAATAATTCTTATAGAAGACAAAGCAGCTTGCAACCGGGATGGAAACGAGTTAACGCGATTGGCATTCGAACCAGCCTAGATCCGATCCGTTTTATATAAAGAAACCCTTCATTATTTCCGTGGGTTTTTCTTTTCTTTTCTAAAAAAAAAAAAAAAAAAAAAAAAAAAGGGACTTGTAAATGATGACGTGGAAGACGGCAACGGTAGACGATGGTTCTTCCCGATGAGGACAAGCCAAGGGTTTCCAGTTGCCTTGGGCGTGATTACCATGTCGAAGAAAAGATATAGCGCGTGGTGATACCCTCTTTCCTATTTGCTATCGTCGACATGTCAATGAACTGTTCATATGATTCGTAAAATAATGGAGAACAGACAACAATTTGATGATCAAGCTCAACTGCCTTAGACTTTGGAGATATGTTCCACCCTCAGGGGCTAAACCCACTGCAGTGTATAGTCAAGGGTATTAGTAAAAAGGGGTTTGTCATGCGTTGGTGGTGGTTACGCCCTCACAGGAAAACGGTTGGGGTGGGCATTAAACAGAGACACTCCAGTTCTCATACTTATTCCACTTTTGTATCAACATTCGGTGTGTACCGTGAGGAAGAAGCGGCAACTATTACTGCACGATAGCTACCCTGTATCTGGGCGAGATCCACCAGCCTTACCCCCAGATAATGTTTATAACTAAGCCGAGCATCGTTTCTGCCAAACTAGGAGTTCTGCTGCAGTGAATATTGTATGTGTGATGACCAAGAAACGCACGTCTTCGAATGATAAGGTCATATTATCACCGGCATGTTCCACAGAAGTCGAACGCCAGTCTTGTGCTCGATTGGAATGACCGAAGAGCAGCTCGCGTCAATTGTTTAATTCTGGTCGCTTCGAAAGTGCCCGAGAGGGAGATGTATCCTTTACGTATCCACCAACATCCCGACAGATTCACCGCGTAGTCTGAGAATATTCGTTCACATTGATCGCTTCACTCGGATTTCTGATCAATCAAAGTAATCATTCATGATGAAGCCAGCCACCAGTCCAGAGTGAGAGGCACATGGCTAAGTCATGCTTCATGGCCTAATAGGAACGGACGAACTAGAATACAGAGGGCGACAGGGATTTGATCGTGAGCAGCATTAGTGTAGAAATCCCTTTCCGGATCTGAAGGATCACCCGCTATATCGACTCGTAGTGATAAGAAACCGCGGCAACCACATGGGTTTTCTTCACGCCAATCCATCTCAATCGTCTCATTCATGCCTCGGGCTCGATTTATTGGTTTCGATGAGTCCCACCAGTCCAGCCTCGTCAAGCCTATTCAAGAACCACCACCAAATCGCTTCGCACGGGCTTCTGCCTTAGCCTTCTCAGTCGGATCATTGAAAATGCCAGACTTGCCCTTTGGGCCGGCAGAGCTACCCTCCTTTCTAGGAGCGCCGCCTTGTCTCCCGCGAAAACGACCCTTGCCTCGATGTCGGCCGCCAGGATTTTGACGCTTGGCGCCTCGCTCGCCTTCCGCGTTACCTCCTTCCCGTCCTCGCTTTGGCGCTCTCTTCTCGGGTAGGGCAGAATCGAGACCCTTAGCTAGGGATGATTGATCTACACCGAAGCGCTCGACACGCGCGGTCTTCTTCTTGTCTTCCTCATCCTCAACAATACCGAATCGCTTAGCTCGCTCAGCACGCTTGCGCGCCTCTTCGTCGGCATTAGATGCCGGAAGGTGTGCAGAGAAGTCAGCCTTTAGAGCCTCGGCCGTAGCGGTCTCTTCTGATATGGCCTCGGGCTCGGCAGGTTTGTCTGCCGTCGCGGTAGACTCGGTTGCTTCCTTGGTTGGTTCACTGTTACTAGATTCTACAGGCTTATCCTCAGCCGGGGCTGGGGTGGGCTCGGCAGCTTTCGCAGGTTCTGTCGACTTCGTTGCAGTGGGCACATCGTCATCGCTGTAGTCAATTTCATCTTCGTTCTCGCGAGCAGGTTCGGCTATGATTGTCAGTACAAGGCGCATACGACAAACCAGGCTGAGGAATGTTAATCACCTTTAGGTTTATCGTGCTCCTGTAGGCGCGCGATCAGATCGGCCTTATTGCCGGTGACGGGGAGACTCTTCTCCTGAAGGAGCTTCTTCAGCTCGGGAACTTTCAGAGAAGCGTAATCGGACATCGTGAGAGATGCGCGACGCGACTGGATTATGGAAGGGTTTAGTCGGTGTCGGTAATTGAAAATGAGATAGCGCAAGGCTGGTTCTTGATTGAATGACAAAAGCTAAGTAGTATTCGTGATGAAATACTATATTTGTAGCTCTGGCGAATTTAGGTAGAGGAAAGAGAATTTTATGCGATTAATTCCAAGGTTTAAGTCGAGAATTTAGAATTGAGATTGAGTGGAAGAAACAACTAAGTAGGGAAAGACGGTCGCAGAGGCGCGGGTGCAGGTAGGGAAGCGCCTAGGTATTTTGTACCGGAACAGGGTTAATGACGATGGGACGCGTCGCTGGCTGACTGGGGAACAGTGCTACTACTAGGTAGGTACCTATGTATTCCCTACTTGCGCACAGACCATTTCAATCAAAATTGCACTTCATACATGTACTTCGTAGATGCATGGACAATCTAGGCCCACTATTGTTAAAGCTTTTATTTCACATTCCCTCCAACACCAATGATGAAACCAGCAACCTGCATATGAAGTTATTAGAACTTCCAAGCATCTGATTGTTAGGGAGTTTAGATCACAGGTCCTAAAGGAAACTAACAAAAAAAAAGTCAGTCATGACCAAATTCATATCAGACAACTACGAACTATACAGGATAGTCCCCTTTTTACCCCCGGATAACTACCATTGAGCCTCGATAACCTCGATAACTTTATGGTCAACCCAAGCCGCGATGGTGCGCTCCGTGAAGGCGTCTACCCGTTCCTTAGTCTGCAGGTCATATCCACAGACCGGCCAGATGATGTTTGTCATGTACGAACGCTTATACTCGATCATAAGTTCCTCGTCGTCGCGTTCGAACTTGGGGCCTCCTAGACGATGAAGGGTCGCCAGGTAGTGGTCTAACACTTCCATCTCATGAGCACGACGTTCCTCGACTTCCAGTGTGGTGGACACGAAGTAGACTAGATCGTGGAAACAAGACGCGAAGTGGAACGCTGACCAGTCCAGGAACCGCGTATGTCCTTCAGCCGTGAAGTAGACGTTGCCCAGGTGCGTGTCGCCGTGCAGTAGCGTGCGAAACCTGGGGTTGCGCTGAGCATAGTACTTTTCTTGAGCCCTTTTAACGCGCGCGCCGTCCATCAAGTATTCAGGTAACTTAGGCCGTCCAGGTTCTCGCACGACGCTATCCCACGGCTCGGTGATGAACTTCATAGCCACGTCGTAATCGTTCGAAATCCCTATTACCTTTATCAGTCGTGTCACTTGGTATCCGCCGAGCTATTCTGCTCCGAACCTACAAGGATAGTCGTCCTGGCTCCTACCCCAGAATTGGGCGTGTAGACCGGCTATCTGCGCGGCGCCATCCAAGACCTTCTCGACCGGGTAAGAGGCAGCCTCAGACGGGAAAGTACAGCCTTCGTGCGTCAGGTCGGACATAATGGCAATTCCTTGCCTGTCGCTTGTTCCGCCCCACCAACCTCTGGGGTAGCCCATGTGCTTAATGCTCGGCGCAATCTTTGCGAAGAAGTTGGCTTCACGCAGTGCCAGGCTTAGAGTCCATGGCTGAGATTTTACCATCGCCGGGTCGAACACGCCCTTCACGCAGATATTCCGCGGCCGCGAGTCCGGATCAGCTATTTCCTCTTCGTACTCGATAGAGATGAATAGCTTGCTACCCGTTCCGAATATAGATCGCGTCAATGTGGCCGACTTGACCTTGTGTCCGAGCTTAGACTCTAGCCATTCGGCTGTCACCTCCGCTGGGATGGCCGGTAGTCGTTCAATAGATGGCTTGGTGTTATATGCCATTTTCAGTCACCAAATACAAAGAGAAAAGGGAGGTTTCCGAAGATACCTGGTTCTTGTCCGCTCAACCGAATCGAATAAGCTTAATTATAACCAGCCAGGTTGAATACCCTCAGATGCGGAGAAATAATACGATACGTGCCCCGCATGTAAGCAACTGACTTAACGAATAAATGGTACTGTCACTATAGAACCGGCCGGGTAGGTTAGTCCCAAAGTCTTGTGAGTCTTTTTATACGTCTACGTACCTAAGAAATATTATATGAATGCTGTATCAAATCATGGAGGCAGCTGACATGCAGCATCCAGCGCCTTTTTTTATGTTATGTAAGCACACGTCTTAAAACTAACGGCAGTAAGAGAAGATATTTGCTTGCAGGATAAGCTTACATCGAAGAAAGTATTATGAGGTATCATTCAAGTATCATCAAATTTATACGAGTGGTCAAAAACTATCATGTGGTATGTGGGCTTATCATGAAAGCAACCTTGACAGGATATTACAACACTACACTAGAACAAAGCTCATAAGCCGGGGTGATTTTCGAGGATCCATTTTCTTTCTAGGGGGCGGAGACTTTGAATAGTGTCGAGTTATAACACGTGGCGAGAAGCTAGCACAGATTCGATCAATAGTATTATTGGTTATATACCTGGCTAAACCAAGACGATATGTAATTGGCAACAGCTCGTTAACCAGAAAAGAAACGAATCGAATCACTTTGATATATATAGAGAGAAAGAGAGAGAGAGGTAGTAGATAATCAGCTTAGTGTAACCCATTTACTTTGAGTATAAAGCCTTGATATCAAGCGTAGTAATATATATTTCTTAGTCATGATGGGCTCAATCTCAGGTATAACAGGAACAGGGTGCGGTTCGTGTTAGGGAGAGTACCTAAGAGGGAGGATTTTTCTATTTTTCATTGCAACATTCTCTTTTGCTTTCCCTTATTATATTTTACCTAGGCGATCTTTTAGGTAGAATGAATTAACATAACGATAAGCGTATCATTGAGAGAGCCCCTGAAAGCTGGCGGTGAGCTAAATGTACTCATTAGGTAAAATGTTGGTGGAAGTGGGCCAACGTACAGATGCCAAAGAGTAAAGCCTTTGGTGGTTTTGGTTGGCTTCGAGTAAAAAGGTAGATGCAAGATGTTCGCACGTAGCTCGCAGGTAGTAAGGGTGAGAAGTTGGTTACCTATATTAATGTTCGAACCTCTCTAAGACCAGGTAAAGGGGGAAGAGACTTCTATATAGGTAGGTATATACAATACCTTCCCTATTATCATTCCCTGATGACACGCGCAACTGTGGAGCCTTCCCCCGTGCATGTAGACATTTCACCAAGCTTCCCTAGAGTGGATAAGCTATTATATAATCTCAACAATATCTTTCACGTTATCATCTATAGAAGCGATATAAGGTGATCACGTCTTCGACTTAGCGATATCCTTCTTTTACTACTGCAGCAGTTTGGCTCTTGCATCTCAACCCATCACAATATCATTTATCCCGTTTGCTCCCTAGATGTTTGACCCGCATTGGTCTTTCACCAATTCTCTCATTACAACTCTGGGATGTTAATTCTATAAGACCAACCCCCTGTCTCGAGAATTCCATGAGCAACTTGCCATGTCATTCCTACACATCGTTTATAATAGGAGCGACAAACCACGACATAAAACCTTCTTGATGAATAAGGTAGTAATGATTATATACTTCCATATTTTGCTAGTGAACAACTATTAGGTTGTCGTTAAGGAAGTTCTAATAAGATTTCTGAAAATTCAAGTGAGTCTAGCATCTTTGTTGCGAGAACTCGACCGTAATGACCACGATGTAAGTATACCTAATGCACTATTCTGTTCATATTAGCACTCTTTCTGCTAGGCAGTTGATAGCCCCTTGAATTAATGTACACATGGCATAACTTGGCTCGACCGATCCTCAGCACGTAATGATACCCACTACTAAAGAAATTCGAAATGTATAGGATTGAGAACGCTCAGTTGGCGTCAACCTCAGCTAAATAAGATACGACTCTTCCACACCCTATCAATATTTATCCCGGGTGGACAGAGGTTAAGAGTAATTCGACTAAGGGAAATAGTCGCTAGGTTTAGAATGAGGTTCGGAATTTGTCAATTATACTTGACCTAGATGCTCGTGAGAAATAACTTAAAGGAATAGACTTGACTTCGACACAGGAAGACCTCCGAGAAAACTCAGTTAAGTTTAGCTGAACCCCTTTGCGAATCGCGTTGAGAGCCTATCTATGTTAACTATAGCGGAGGATGTTACCTCTTAGACGATTTGAGTGCTAGTAAAGATTTCAAATATAGCTGAAGGGGTCCAGTCGGTGACAGCACCCACATCGCCGCGATACCTATGCAGTCGGTAGTATACCTTGAATAACATGACATTCTAAGTTTAAGCAGTGGCATTTATAGTACGATGCGCTTAGGATTGTCAAACACGGGTTATCATTCTTCATTCTAGGTAAATCATATCGGTGTATTATCTACAGAGTAGAACCGGAACTTAATGAAGCTTTCCTTCTAGCTTCACCTTTTCCAAAAGAGATATTATGGAACGCAATTAAAAGAGATAAAAATAATTCTAGTATCTGGGAATGCCGCTACGGGACGAACAATGTAAAGGAAAGGACTCGTTGGAATTTCCATCCGGCGCATAGACTTGCGATACAGGGGTTACCTTGGACTTGGACGACATCATTCGGTCAGCTTTGCCGATGCTATTGCTGAATTGGATGGAACGTCGTACGAGGAAATAGAGGCTCGGCGATCCGTGACGGGGAAACGGTGCTCGGGCGTGTTCAATAGCGATGACTAGGACTTATGACGCGTTCCGATATTTGTGTTTTCGTTGCTGTTCCTTTGCGATACCTAACCCATAACCATACCGTATCGAAATCCCGATTATTCAATCTTCGATTCACGATTCACAAGAGAAATGGTTCATGACCTTGTGACGTAATCCATTGTTCACTGACGCTCGATTGTTTTTCTCTTTGTTGTCTTTGCTTTTTGTTCTCAACAGCTGGTGCAAGGAGTTGGAGATGGTTGGAGCGTGCACATACCTTTTATCTCAATCGGTGGAAAAAAACGGACGAGCCCAAGCTACCCGATTTCTGGACATATAGGGAAACCCGGAGCAAGATATAAGTCCTAACGAATTGAGCCATGCAGTGTAGCCATACATGCGTGTCTTGACTCGGGTGTTTCGAGGAAGTGATGACTGATATAATGATTACACGACAAGGCACCGTGGCTACTAATGTAACCAATCTACGAGCTGCGCGAGCTTGACCGGTAAGTCCCCAGCGGCGATAATCCCTGCTCTAACGCGGGTGATCTCCAATTGTAGCGGCCAATGGATGATGCCTGCAGGCGCCGAATTTGGAATGTAGCGAGACTTTTTGTACGATCCCTGAATACCCAAATTCGGAGGGATCTGCAACCTGAAGTCCGGCGGGTTCTCCAATCATCATCGTGCCAGGCATATGAGCTGGACCTGGACGCTGTTTGACGTGCTCGGGACCGACGAGTGTAGGTACCTAATCAATTTCCATTGTGATAGATCTCACGCATCAGCCCATCCCCCAGTCACAGGATGACGACCCGCAGGAGCCGCTGGGGAATTAATATATTGATGCGTACGGGAAGGAATTTCCACGAAGTTTTCTCACAAAACCGATCGACACCCAAACATCCTATTAAACACCATTAACATATATTTCCAAGAACATCATGGGCGACTCAGCTTCAGCACCGATACCAGTTGTCCTCTGCGGCAAAGCCGAAGTCGTCGGTAGGCAAGTCGTGGAAGGCTTGAAACCCGATATCGACGGTAAGTACCTTAACATAAAAGACAAAACAAACGTGAGATTGGATAAGAAGAATCCTCCGGAGCCAATCTGAGAAAACAAGCTATCTCGTCTATGCGCCACCGAAAAATAATTACTCTTTTCTATATACTTCCGACCTAATCCGGAGTTTGCAGTGATCCTATTTTGCCAAGGCAGCAAGCCCACAGCCGCCGAGGTGCCTTACAGTGAGTAAACCCACCACCACCATATCCAATGCATGCAACAAACCCCTTTGTCCACCCCAACTTTCCGCTCCCGGCGCTCCTCGGCCTACGTCAACCTAGGCTAACCAAAACCCTTTTTCCCCTTCTCAAAGTCCTGCAGGGCCGCGCGCCCCCGACGCAGAGCAGCTACATCGGGTCCGGAACCTACGCGACGCTTCCGAAAGCGGTGATCATGGGCATGGCGTGGAACGCGGACGACGTAGCGCTGGTGAAGGCGGCGATCGAGAGCGTCGGCTTGCCGGCCGGTTCCGCGCCCGTGATCCTGCGCAACGACACCAGCGTGCCGACGCCGCAGCCGCCCGACCCTGAATACGGGGTGCAGCTGATGCGCCGCATACGCTTGGCCGTGGGCAAGCTGGTGCGCGGCGAGAAGCTGCACGGGCCTGAGGAGGGCGTTGTGGTATGGTCACTTACCTTCTTACTTATTTACCTTGGGCTTTTCGTATTTGGATGTTGTTTGCTAAGCTTGGCATATTACAGTGGTATTAAATCGGCAGACTTAGAACCTATTAACTTCGCGACCCTCGCGCTTGATTTTCAAGGGTACCTAGACTGGATTGATGGCACAGTTGAGAGGATGCATGGCACTTATCACAAACGAAGAGCAATAATATTAATCGAAGTATTTGTTCATTAGGTATCTCTGGGGGTGGTGCTGTGTACAGCGGCTACATGTTGTATACAGCAAGGGAAGAAGAAAATGTGATAGGGGAGGGAGGGTAAAAAATCAGTAGAGTGCAAATGCAGCAGACCCGCCAACCAACCAACACAAATGTGGCCATCCATTTCGTTCGTCTCATCTATGCTCCGTCCAACCTTTATGTCTGCCCCCCAGACATCTAATGCAGTGTGTCCGACGCCTCGCCTTATCCCTCATGACGTAAAGAAAAATTGTGATAACTTGTGTATTCACCGAATAGTAGAGTGTATGAGTTGTGTAAACTGAACTTTCAAGAAAAAAGGGATTTGGGAATAGTTGGCGTTCAAGTCTCGCCGAATGGAAAAAAGGGGTATCTACCAATAATCAACCAATCACAACCTCCTGCGTAACGAGTCCGAAAATCCACCTCGCCTGTGCAACCGACGAACATTGGAAGCACCATTTGCGTACGTTGCCGCCGCTGCCTCCTCCTTGAGGCGCGACTCCTGTCTGTCCACTCTCATCCTTCACTTCCTCCCATACGTTGATAAGCACACCTCTGCTGCCAAGTTGGCTAAAGCATTGGCTGCCCAATATGACATCCAGGACCACTGCTGGTTTATCGCTATCCTTCTTAGGGATTGTCGTAACTATGATCCGCTTCTCCATTCCTTGGTACTTCCTAAGGTTTTGCCTCGTGCCTCGGTCCGGTCTTGTCACTTCGAGGAAGCAGTTGCCGTGGTCCTCCCACTTACTGGCGGATATTAGTAGATGGAGCCGAACCTTAAGGTTATTTGTTGTAAGGCTCATTTTAGAGCTGCCGCTGTTCGCCGCGCTGACGGAAGGCGAGCGGGGAGGTGTAGCCGATGACGATGAAGTATATAGAGACGCGTCTCGACTCCCGAAGCGGGTTGGCCTGTCCACGGAGGACATGGCGATATTGAAAGATTGATTGCCACCGCCCATCAATTTTCGCAAAAAGGACGATGCTGACATGCCCGAAGACTGTGATGTGCTGCCAGCCGACTGCGATGGAGCGCGCGCTGAGGCGCGATAGCTGTTTTTCCGACCAAACCAGCTTCGGCGTTGACTGTTACCGTCGCCCTCTGCCTCCTGGCTTTGGTATTGTCCAAAAGCTCTGACGCGAGTTTCCTCCTCGAGTGCCTTGTATTTTGCGTTGTCCATGCGGGCTTGGTGAACAGCCATATAGAGGGATTCGCAGTCGGGAATGGACTGAACTCGGAAGCGGAAGAACGAGGTTTCATATTTGACTACTTTTGCGTAGAGCCTGGAATAACTTAGGACAGGAGATCGTATCTCCAAGTCGACAACTGTGCTATTTCGAAGCATGACTAGAGGCGTAAGATCTAGAGCGATAAGAGGTGGATCTTCTTGTCCTGCGCTGCCGGAGGAGGAGTGCGTCCTGCGGTAAGGATATGCTTCAATGAGACCTGGCGTTGTAACGATAGAGCACAAGTCCGGCCAAAGATCCTGCCAACGTCCATGCTTATTATCCCAATAAGAAATAGAAGCGACGGATTTGATGACATAATCAGGTTGCTTAACTTCCGATTTGGACACGTCTTCTCGAGATGTGGACAAGGAAGGGGGAATGCTAGCGCTGCTTTCAGAGTAGATTGATGCAGTAGGAATCTTGATGTCCTTCTTAATACTAATAGCAGGTGTAGTATCTGGTATGTCAACGGCCTCCAATTCATCGTCAGATGATTCATCAGAAACTGAATCCTCATCCTCAGATCCAGATATTGGCGACGTGGAGCCTTCGGAGGAAACATCGGATGGGTGGTACTCATGCTTTAAGGGAGAAGAAGTTCGGCGCTTGAGACGGGCTGTTTTCTGATCGACTGGAGGCGAAAGCGCGGGTGCTTTCTTGGAGCCAAAATTCCGATGGACAGGGGGAGGAGGTGCACCATCATCGCGGTAAGGGGTGCTATTCGGAGATGATTTCTTGAGTGTCGGATCATCGTGATCTTCAAATGATTGTGAAAAGGCTTCATCTATATCATCTAATCTACGATCGTATTTGAGATAGGAATCTTGCGTCGGTGTCTTCTCCGGAGATGGCGTCGAAGCTTCGGTTTGGTGGGTGGAAGTCGGTGTGGTTGGAGGGCTTTGGTTACGAGAAAAGGCAGGGGTAGTTGGTTCTCCAAGGTTCTCAACGGGTTTCGTGGAAGTTCGAGAGAGAACAAGCTTCCGGCCAAGCTTGCTCTCGCCTAATGGAATCTCATGAGCTGCGGACTTTGGTGACGGAACCATTGGCTGCGATATCGATGATGTTGGCTCTTGGATCGCAGGTGGGATTGGTGCATGTCCTAGCATGTTTAACCAATCTACAATCTGTTCCTCATTGTCGGTCGTCAAAGATAGAAGCTCGAACCATTCATCCCGGGAGCCTCTAATCATGACGACTAGCTGGTGTTTGTGGTCTCCGGTTCGAGCTGAAAAACGACCCCCAAGCACGGGGGCAAAGAGTAGCCATGAACGTCCACTATTGCCAGTTTCTCTGATCAGTAGGTCTCCCGGATCGGATTTGAATACTTGATTGTCTCTAATTATGAGTTCGACTTGACACTCGAGCCGTTGTCCATTCGAATGTCGCAGATCTAAGTCGAAGGTATCTTTGGCGTAGACTTGTCGGAAACGGTCGACCTTGACATTCTCGAGAGCCTCTAGCGTCCTCAAGTCCCTAGTTCGAGATGTGTCGCTGTTTTTGGCGTCTTCGTCGACGACTCTGGCATTTTCCTCCTTATGACGTCGCTTAGCCTTCTCTTGTAGTACTTCCCATTTGGAAACCAGAGCATCGAGCCCCCTGGTTCCTGTGATCGATTGGTAGCCCTATTTTGATTAACATGATGATCATGTAGACGAAGTTAGATAGTTTACATACCTTGATGAATTTGGTGATCCATTTAATACGGACAAGAGGGCGTTTCAGCAGGTGAGCAACATCGATACGATCTCCATCTTCATTCAAAACATCGCCTTGCTCGTTGCGAGGCATTGCATTGATGAGAGAGTCGGCATCATCAAAAGATTTGGGGGCCAAGTTGACAATGATGCCTTGGAAACCAAGACGCCATACATCAAGGTAATTGTTGTAAATAGAATGAACTGATTCAAGCCATCCGATGAGCCTGTGGGTATCGTTAAGTGGAGGACATAGGCGATGGTGATTCCTCAGGCTGTCTAGGGCGATGCCCATATTGACGACGGCATTATCTAGAGTATCCTCCTTGTACTTTTGCGGAGGGGACCCGAAGAGATCTTTACGTGCCCTGCTATTTTTATTTACGAACTGGGTTAGTAGGACCGGAATAACGCCATCTACAAGAGTTTTGAGTTCTCGTAGGTAAAGATCCTCGTCATCTTCAAATTCCAGTAGGAGCTCATCTATGGTGGCGCTACCGAGACGGGTAGATGGTCGCCTTACACAGCGTGCCGAACGACGACTTCTAGTTCTGGGAGGCCCTGAAGCATCATCAGGTAGTGATAGGACCGATATTAAATCTGAATGCTTTGTGAGTCGCCTCTTGAGACCGGGGGGTTTCTGGCTTCTTTTACGAGACAATGCCGAACTTCTCGTTAGGTTAGTGCTTTCCGTTATGGTTGACTGCGACACTACAGAAGATAGTTCTGAAGGGAATGTGCTGCGTGATTCTTCAGATACGATCGTCGATAGTTCGTGGAAGCCGTTGGTAGGAGGTTTGCGTTTACTGCTAATAGGTGATGGTGCCGTCTGTGTCAGTTCAGATGACTCTGATGAATTATAATCGTCCGGGGATGAGCTCCTTCTGGCACCAGAGGAACGGTGCCTCTCACGGTGCTCATGTTCGCGTTCCTCGTCGAGGTCTACGACTTCAGGACAACTTGGATATTCCAGGGGTGGGGGGCTATGACCGGTTGATTCCCCTCGGAATGCGTCGATGAATTTTTCTTTGAGTCCCTTTTTACTGCTACTCTTAGAGGGGGTAGAAGAGAGTCGAGTAGCCCGGCTCCTTTTCAGACCAGCTGGGGTGGGAGTTGTGGACTCGGCTCTGTTAGGCTCCTCAGGCTCGGGTTTCTCAGTTTCTCTTGATTCAACCGTCCCTTCACTTTTACTAAAATCGGATGGACTCGTGACGTGAGCAGGCTTAGGCTTAGGCTTTGATGGCGTAGAATGTCTTGTCTTGCTTTCATCTATCCATTCATCCTCTGGATTTCGGTTGTGATCGGGTTCAGGTATAGATGATGAATCAACAAAAGGGTCAAGCGTGGCTTTCAACCACGTCTCAATGTTGGGTGGTTGGTTGACAACTGGCTTAGGATGTTCGACCTTTTCTGTAAGAATCTTCTTGCCTTCTGTCAATGCCTTTTTCAAGACGTTAGTAGCGCCCTTGAAACTAGGCTGTCGCTTGGTCTTTGGTCTAGCCTTTCGCCTTTTCGAACCAGAGGCCAAATCAAGCTCGCTGAATGCAGAGTATCCGACTGGTATATCTGCTAGGGTCTGTTGCAGATCACTGAATGGCATATCGGATACGGAGTCACTCGACCAAGATTCGCTATCGGATACTTCCTCCGTCATCACGGTAGCGGTGTCTTCATAACCTTTGCTAATAGGTCTCTCCACTTCCTTTTCTTTCTTCAATGGCATATTCGAACTTGTTCTTGTCGGTATTCGAAGTCCTTCTGGTTTCAAATCTTCTACCACTTCCATGTCTGATGGCGATGGATCCCTATGAGTACTGGTTCCACGAGTACTTGGTCTCCTAGAGGATTGCCTTGAAGATGCCCGAACAGTAGTCGCGCCGTCTGATTCTTGAGTGTGGGAGGAGACCCTGGCCTGATACTTTGAAGTGGATGCCTGGCGCGATTTGTTCTTGAAGTTCTCGTGGTGTTGTGCCTGCTTCCGTGTTGCCTGGGGCTTGAGAGTACTGCCCTCCTGGCTTTTCTGCTTGAGGGGCAGAGGCACTTCTACCGTACGAGTAGAATCCGAAGTCCCGCTTGTCGTACTATTATCACTCGGGCCAGGCCTGATACGAATGCCATCGTCCTCGTATGCTTTCGATGTCTGTGGTTTTGAGGGCTCGGATGTAACACGAGATGACTCTGTCATTTCACTTGCTGTGTCCTTTTCGCTTGGAATAGGTTTAACGCGAATGCCGTCGCCTTCTGGTTCTTTTGTCTTCTTTAGGTCATTCGACTTAACCGTAATACGAGCAGACGATCTCCCACTCGCATTGTCGTTCTCAGAAGGAATAGGTCTGACTCGGATTCCGTCCCCGCTGCACGATGACTTGGGCCGTCCTGGTATACTATGGCGATTACTAGATACCTCGCTGGGTACCTCGACTTTACTAGCCCAGTCTTTGACCTTTTTGGAGACGGAAGGGTTGGCGGCGGTGCGTGCTAGAAAATCTTTCGGCAAGGGAGAACCGTTGTTCTCGTTTGCCTTCGCTTTTGGCGATCGACTCCTCGACGGGCCCTTTTTCTTGTTCTTCATCCAATTTGTATCACTGACAACACGCTTTTTAGGCGGGTTCGAAAGTTTCAGATCCTCTTGGCTGCCCTTGCTAGAATCACCACCTTCGGTCTTGCGCCCAGTTATAATTTTAGGCGCCGGTTTCTTTTGTCGCGCCTTGATTCTCATTCGGTCTTCTTCGGTCACGCTTTCATCGTCCACCTGTATGTTCATTTCACTCGGTTCCGACGGGGTAGCAAAAGGATCAGCGCTGGCCATGGCTGCGAGATTCGCCTTTTGCCATTTTTTAACTCGGTCATGGACGCCACCTGGCGCTTGGACTCGCATAACAGCCGCCTGGCGCATCTCCTGCTTCACCATTTCTAAACTTAACCGCCTCGCCTGGGCTGCTTCCCGTGCCGCTTGTCTGTCCGCCGCGACTCGGGCTGGAGATGGCCGGCCCAACAGGAAGTCACTGAGAAGGGTAGGATGTGACCTTGTGGTCGCGGACCGCGGGCGCTGTGCGCCCGGTGTTGCTCTGGTAGTGCCATCTTTGCCAGGTGTAGTAGCTTTACGGACTGGTGCTGACCCCGTGGAAGCACTAGGGGTGTGTTTCTTCTCAGGAGAACTGGACGGAGTCTGAGTTTGAGTCTGAGGACCCGAGGGATCGTCTTCATCGTTAGATTTGGGGGCAGTCATGATCTGCTGAACGAAATATTGTTAGTAACAACATTCCAGTGGTTAATTCGAGATGTTTCACTATGGCATAGGTAGAAATCTTTGGCAAATTCCTCAGCCACGAGGCGGCCGTGCTAATGGGCCAATGCTTAAGCAGCCGCGTGCCAAAGCGTAGTAAAGCGCACTACGCAATACACGGCACATTATCACACCGTATCGAACTCTTAAAAGTATTATGACAAACCCAATTCCTCACCTAAGTTGATCAGGGTCATGGCCCCCGACTTCATGCTGACGTTGAGATACCAGCCCGACGTAAGCGACGTGCATTCAAAGCTCGTCGTTAGCGGGTGGAAGAGTCCAATTGACAGATTATAATGTGACAACAAATCCGAAGTTGCATTTCCGTCTACGCCGTAACATAGTACGTAGGGCACAATCGCATGTGTATTTCCCTCCTGATGTATTGAATAGCAATCGTACGGTTTGTTAAAGAAAGTAAGTACGTAAGGTAAGGGGAAGTTTGTATGGAAGTATCCGGTATCTGTGTACGTTGTTAATTGCGTTGCGTTGCGTGGAAGACTCGGGCGCGAGGGAGAAAAAGATTGATGGAGATGGAAGAGTTGAGTTGTTGCGTTGGCTGAAGGTACCTCTTCAGTACCCATAGCAACCAATAGTTGGAGGTGACGGAGCTAAGACATAAACAATGCCATTGCCATTTACGTGGTACATAGCCTCCCCCCTGTCAACCATGACCTTTTTCAGCATGGTGAGCATGGTAGCCATGGCTGCCATGGAACTCAAACATGGCACTAAAAAAAGGCTGGGCCGTCTTGGGTAGCTGCTACAGCTTTTTCGGTGGGTCTATTCGTACCTAGCGGGTACTTCGGTGGATCGGTGGGGTCAGTAGCCCGGCTCCCAACTTGGAACTTGCAGCTCTTCGCAGCTGATGATGGCATTACCCCTGTAGTTCCCGAAACCCAATCTCACCAATAATCACATTAGCCGCTCCCCCATGCCCCTCCATCCGCTGAACTGTGTATTCTTTTGCATCATGTGGCTGTTTCCCATCACCTTGTAAGCTTTAAATATTTGAGCCTTGTGGTGTCTATTGGCTTTTCTTAAGTCTTTTTATGCTCAAGGTAGTAACCTTACATCCATGAAGAAGCTTATGATAAAAATAGTTCACCAATTCATCTCATATATTCTTTAGAGGCAACCTTGGTATTTTTGAATCCGCCGAATTCGATATCCCGCCAAGTACCGAATCCGAGATCTCGATGACGTCTGTGTCTTTCAGGGATACTTTTCCTTGATTCATTCCGCTCTGCGAAAATTGATGGTGGTAAGATAAGGAACGTCAACCGCCAACTATCGGTACTTTTATCCCTCAATAATACGCCACTATCAAGCTTACCCATCATATCGATTCGATGCACAAGATGATTGTATGATACATCTAGTAGGGTTGTTTCTCACCGTCTCATGACTAACCATTCAACCACCAAGCCCAAGTACCAAATAACCGTATGCATCGCGGACGGCGGGGACCACCACGTGTAACAAACGGTAACGGTGTCGACATAAAGAATAAACGTATGATACCTACCTTTAGGTGCATGGCATATATATCGGTTACCTGATATCGAAGCTAATTAAAAAAGCAAGTGCGAAGCCACGCCCACGAATTTCTCATGTCGGCTTTGCTAAGTATGAAAGCCCGGAAGGGAAGGGAAGATATCAGATGACTACCTCTCTGGCTCTTCACACTTATTAATTCGCACCTGGGTTGAAGTTCCTGAAAGAAGAGTGATTCGTCGGAGTCTTACATGGACTAGGCCAATAGGACTTTTCTGCAACACAACTCTGCATATTCGCGGAACAATCAATCCGAGAACCGCCATAGTCTTAGAACCTCGACTTACAAGTCGAGTGTTTCGTGCTACCCAATCCTCTGTAGGCTACTGATCACTTAACGCACAAACCAATGATGAGACACAAACTTCGTAAAATGTCAGAGCCTAACGTCGCTTTTCCAAACTCCCCTCTCCCGCTAGAAGTTCCTACCAATAGGTAACATCGGTGTTTCGTTTTGTTCTCCCAAAATGTTGCATAGAAAGAGCTTATCAAGGTGGATTGAAGGCATCTGAACCAAATGCTTGCCTTGAAGCGACCCCGGAAGCTCATGTCAGGGTGACGAATCCGTTCTGGTTACTCATGACGAGGCTGTAGGCGTGTTAACTGACCACCTCCCAGGAGTCAACCAGATGAACGAGTTGAATCAATCGAATACTGCGGAACTCTTCGGTCTTTTCGGGGTTCCGCCTCGTACAGATTAACCCGAGCTGCTTCCTTTGCATTCGTTTGCGAAAGCTAAGCACTGCGCAAACCAATGGGTAATTTCAACACAGACACGCATACTCCACGAGCATGTCCGTCTTAGGTTGATCTCATCAGCTCTTTGATAATAGAAATCATCAACCATACTGACCTTGAACGTACTGGCTGTTGTATTCCTCACTACGCAAGCATTGCTCGATCTTTTGGTCATGTATATTTTCCAAGGTCTAGATACAGGTTCCGGGAGATTCGGAACTGAGCAGACAGTGGAAAATACGTTCGGTGTTATGGACGAAGGCGAATTTCAAGACTGGGAAGAAGATGACCGCCCAACTTGGTTTTTCAACTGGGCAGTTCCAAGGGGGGCGAAACGCTCGTTCGGAAACTTGTTGAAGGCCGCTTCAATAAAGATGCATTAAATGAAGCAATATGTGCGGCACTGTCTATGAAAGTGTTAGGGAGTTGGATACCCATAATTGGGGTGCTCATTAAGTACGGAGGTGATCCAGACGCAGTTCATCGGTATAGTCGCACCACATTGCACGAGGCATGCTTCTCTAGTGAAACGGAAACTCTGCGACTGCTGCTCAGCTCCGAGCTAGATATACAAGCCAGGGCCAAGAAGTTTGCCCAAACCCCGTTATACGCGGAATGTGGTGACATATTGAAATGGATGAGAGTGTTTCATCATGGCCCGCAGCCAGATTTAGCCGCCATGATATTGTTGACCTTCTTAAGAGCTGTAAGTAGGACAGAACTTAGGTAGGTAACAGTCATCTTAACGTTCCGCGAGTTAGTATGCAGATAGATGATGTTAACTTGACTAGTATAAATAGTTTCAATAGCCTCGCATTTCCTTTATATATGCCCAAACCTATCTGCCCATGATTACAAGTTTTGTCCTATTCAAACATCGCCAGCTACGATATCATAGATCTCGAGAACCGAACCTCTAGTAAACAAACGAAAAGAATGTTCGAAGACTTCCGGCCCTTATAATTTCGCCTTATCGCCAACCTGTGTCTCCTTCCATTCCTTAAACCGTTTCGCCCCTTCGGCTTTCCTCTTCTTCTCAACCGCTTGCATGTCGCTGGGGTTCACCGCGTCTTTGCCATTGGCATCTAACAAAGCCACGCTTTCGCGATACATCTCCGCCTTCAAAAGCGAGTAAGCCCCAGTAGCGCCCTTCTTCACCAACGCCCGTTCTTTGATCAAGCTTAACGCCGCGTCCAGCTCACCGATAGCATCCACGAGGCCAGCTTCCAGAGCAGCCTTGGCGTCGAAGCGCCGCGCCTCCAGCACCATGTCACGGTACACCTTAGGGGCTGCCTTTATCCTGAAGATGGAGCTCATGGGCGGCAGCAGCGGCGCCCCGAACTCGAGCTCATTGATACATAGGTACCCCTTTGAGCCCGCGAAAACGCGGTAGTCGTGGTGCATGGCCAGCATGAAACCGCCGGCGAAGCCGTGGCCGTTAACCAGGGCGACCGTCGGCATGGGATACGTCAAGAACCTCCGGAACAGCGGATACAGGCTGTTTTGGAAGAAGCCCGGGGTCGAAACGGCGAGCTGTAGGTCGAGCCCGTTAGAGTAGAATTTAGAGATAGAAGACGTAGTTACGACAACGCCTGGCGGGTAGCCGAACTCGATGATATCGAGAGCGGTTATGAGCGCGGTGTTGAAGACGGGCGTTAGCCTGTTGTCTGGCGGAGATGTCCATGTGAGGACGTAGACTTTCGGCTCGGGACATGTGCAGACGATGCTGCCTCCCTGGTGGGACTTGAGAGACGGAATTGGGACCGTAAACAGCTCGCCTGACGCCATTTTGAGTTGCTACAAGAGTTCAAGAATTGATTATGTTTCTCTTAGTGGTATTTCATGTTTTATTGGAATATGGGATCTTGATGTTAGTTTCAATTCGGCTGTTCATGTAATCAACGAGTCGCCATCCCGTGCCAGAGCGTTGAAATAAGTGGGCCATCTTCAATAAGCCGCGGCATTTCCTATTCAAGTAGATACCTTTTAAGTGCATATTCACATATCTGCTAGAGCCCTTTTAGCCCCCCTTTGACGCCTCTTTCGTACGTACCGCCTTAGTAGGCCAGACTAGCAAGAAGGTAATAGCCGCTCCCCTAGACCCCCGATGGTCAATCTCGAACCCAAGCCTAGGTATTCAACAGATACCAGCCCTCATCTTTATATCATCCAGCACGACCAAGCTGAGGGTGAGCCCCTACATCCGTCTCTTGTCGTCGCCTCTGGGACGGGGTCGAGGCACCATCTACAAGGTCAAAAGCGTCGCCATCTACATACATTACCAGAATACTGGTAATACCAATATTTGGCCCTCACAATCATACGGAAATACTTACTCGCTCTACAAGCTTGACCAGAATAACCAGGCGTGGGTTGATGTGACAAGATGGGATAGCTTGGAACGTGTGTTCGAATTCAACTACTAATTCTCCTGGCTCCTAAGGTCCTCTGTTCCTCCTTCTTCTTTTTCGAAGGGATCTAGTGGACCTATTTAACCTTAGGGCACTATGTTACATTCTAGTTCTACGCGCCTGACAATCTCGTGTTGGTTCTCTCTGCATATATTGATACAGTCTTCTGGTCAGTCTTCCGCCAATGAGATTTAATATAACTCCCAACGCATACAGCATGCCTTCTAACTGCATAGCTTATCCTGAAATCCCACCTATAGGTTCATGAATCCTGCCCCCGTGTGACAGTTGATCACTACGCCGACAGCGTCCCTCCTCCGCAAGCTGGAAGTCGACGTGAGCTTACTGAGAACTGCTAGAGTTGGGCGGTACGGGTTCTCCGAGAGTTCCAGTCTGTGGGTACCGTGGAAGAAGAGTTGTTGAATGCCATTGAAAACATGATTGAATATATCTTTAAGGTGTTTTCCACAACTTTGATGCTAGGGTATTGTCATGGTCATTGCTACATCATAAGGGAAATACGATGCTAATACTATCCCTTACTAGGGGATGATGGCGCCTATAATTCTGAAAATCCGGCTTCTGTTCAAGCAACTGCTTTGTTCAAATTGAAGTAAGCGAGTACCAATATCACACAACGAAGCTTTATATAATTCAGAGGGACATCGATTCATTCTTGTATTGGTCCTCAGAGCGAAATGCCAGTCATAAACCTGGTAGTTATCTTCTAACCAGGCCGATGCAGTCATTGTGCTGTTGAGGATTCTAGGCTAAGGGCCATGGAAGTGCCAAACAAACCGTAATGGGATCTTGTTCAAACAACTTTCCAATCAGAAAAACCCAACTGGTAGCTTACATCAATTTCTTGAACCAAGAGAATTTGGAAATTCCCTTTGGGGCCTTCTCCACAGGCTCCGCTGCAGACTTCTGTTCGATATCTTTGATCTTTTCCTCTACCCCGGACTCTTCCACCTCCTCGCGGATACGTGCCAGATCAATCTGCTCAGCTCGCTCAGCAAGCACCAGCTTAGCGCCTTCTTGAAGAACTCGCTCGACGTTGTAGCCTGTCTTAGCAGAGCATTCGATGTACTTGACCGATCTGACGATCTGGGTGTCTGAGTCCATTGAACCCCGAATGTTCTGGGCGAGGTTAGTTTCCAGTCAGACACAAGTCAAGAATGTAATCAGATAAGGAGGTAAAGATGGAGAAGTAGATCTTACCTGTGGCGTACGGATCGACGAGAATAGGTGCGGATGAATCTTGGGTGCCCGCATACCAGGACCAAAGCAAGTATCCTTCTTAAGTCCAAGAAGGATAATAGGCGTGTTAGGGCAATTCGCCTGAATATAGTCGACCCACTTTGATTATTGGTCTCAATATTAGCAACGACCGAATCTACTATTGATGATCAATGGTCATAAGCTTCACATACCTTGTTCTGGGCCTCGACAAATCCCGCAGTGTTATCCAGGGCAAAGCACAGGAATACCGCATCAAAGGCCAGGTAAGAGGCCAATACTCCCAGCTGGTTCAGCTTCAGGTCGCCGGACGTATCCTATAGTTCCAAAACGACCTCATGCTGGTCAACCTCTACCTTTTTAATGAAAGACTCTAACTTAGTCTTCTCGAGGCCCTATCGGTGATCTTTTGTTAGCGATATGGGTTTCTTTACATGCCCGATTGGTAGGTAACATACATCAATGAACGTTCCACGATATGAGCGCCTACGATAATAATGTGTTAGCGTCTATCAAGCCTTTTGCAGTAGTCAGTTGCTTGGGAATGGAGGAGAATGGGTGACCTACATTAACAGGGCCGACTTGCCACAACCAGAGTCGCCTACAAAGATGAATCTCATCGAAGGAATAGGTCCATCATCCTTTGAGGAGATCAGAGATGACTGGCTTGATTTCAGGGCGCCCGACGGTTCCATGGCGCCTGCTTCGCCGGGAGCAAATACTCGGTGATACATCGTAGATACTTTGTCGGTAATTCCCTGACCTGGTACGACAACACTGTTGCGCTTCTTGTCAAGAGCTGATCGTACAGTGGTAATTGACAATCTTCGGCCGCTCTTAGTCTCAACGTTTCCGTCATCGCCCTTGGCGTCAACAATCGGCTGGTAGGAATTGATGTTAGCTGATACTGGGTCTTGCGAATGGTTCGACCTAGAATTGAATTGATCTTGTGAGCGCTTACGACTAGACGTGAAGGTGCACGAAACGGTGCGGGCGGCAAGGGTTGCTCTCGTTGCGCGGGAGCAGATTGGTCGTTGACCCATCTAACGACAGATGAATCCGACGGATTCCACACCGTGGGTCTCGCAAACGAAATCCCACGCGGCAGCGATGCGTCTTTATCATCAATAGAATTGGTCGAATCCATTATTGCAAGTAAAAGCACGACGTAAGTCTGACATTTAACTTGCAATTTTGAATCGTAAGATGGAAAGTTCAAGAAAGCGTAGCAGTTGAGAAGGAAAGTTAAGTAGAGAACTGGAAGTCTGTGCAATTGAAGATTTTGTAGGTACCAAAGTGAAAATTTAATGTTCCTTGGTGGGTAAAGTGTTGACAATTGTCCCGAACGACAAAAGTAAGAGTCATCAGCGGTAACTGAGTTAGACGGTGGGAGTACTGCCAGTACAAATTCATATGCTGGAAGTGATCATAATAACCCTAAGTAACTAAGTAACTATTTTAATGACAAAAGGGCATGTCCCCACCACCAGCTGACTGTCATCAATTTTTTTCAACAAGGAATTTATATCGGTTATACATCAAGTGGCCTAATGATTGAATAGACGCATGAATATTTACGTTATGCAGCATTCAAGAGGACTGTCATAACACGACGCATCAAGACATCACATATTTTCTAAGGTTTATTTAAATAAAATGATACTTTTTCGACTCAAATTGTAGATGTATTAATGTCTTTCACCTGCTGCGTATTTCTAGACAGCCTTTACGTACCCAACGGATGATATTCATCGCATTGACCTGATGTATACACATTTATAGATTACCACTATCAGTCTAAAGCTAACACGCAGAAGTTTCGACAGCACATCAAGCAACGCAGTCAACCATACTGTTCCTGTGCCGGGACGGCGGTTGAATCGACGTTGGTTTTATCTCCGGAGCCGGTGCCGAAGTGGGTCGAAGTGGACCAATGAGATCGATAGGGATTTTAGAGTCCACGGGGAAAGGTGTGGATCTCTGATATGTCAGCCTGTAAGGGAGTAGGTAACTGTCGTAAGAAGGTTACAAAGAAAGCGGGGAAGTGATGGGTGGTCACTCCTTCTACTATGGAAGGTTTCATGTCCTAAAAGCCGGAACATATTCCTGATTCGATTATCAACCCATAACTTCCGTTCATATAAGACTTGGTGACCCCTTCACCTCAAAGTGTGTCCAGCATTAGTGGATCGTACTTGAATGACCACCACCGTCAAATAAACCGCAACTGATCTCTTCACCAAGATGTCTGATATCCATCTATATACGGCAGCGACGCCCAACGGCATCAAGATCTCGATTCTGCTAGAGGAGCTAGGACTACCTTACAAGGCGCGTTCAACCATATCCATTGCTACTCCGACAAAGAGGCGGAAAGTGGCTAGTTACCTGTAGCTGACCAACATAGGTTACTGCTATCAACCTTACCGAGAACACCCAGAAGGAACCGTGGTTCTTAGAGATCAACCCGAATGGCCGTATTCCCGCGTTGACGGACACTTTCACTGATGGCAAACCCATCAGACTGTTCGAGAGCGGCTCGATCATGCAGTACTTGACTGACAGATATGATACCGAGCACAAAGTGTCGTACCCCAAGGGGTCTAGAGAATACTATGAAGTGAACAACTGGGTAAGTCTTGACGCCTATTAATACATCGGTCCCAATTTCTCACACAACCTAGCTTATGTGGCAAATGGGGGGACTTGGTCCAATGCAGGGGTAAGTGGAAACTGAATTGAGGAAAGGTAGTACGTAGGTGCTGATGTTTAGTAGGCAGTTAAATCATTTTAACCGTACGTACCAGACGCGCTACTCACTTCTCAGATGATTAAAGCTGATAGTAAGTAGTATATACCCCCGAGAAGATCGAATACGGCATCAATCGTTACAAGAACGAGACCCGCCGTCTATACCGGACACTAGAGACACAGCTGAAGTCTTCAACGTCCGGCTATGTAGTTGGTGATCGTTGCACCTCGGCAGACATCGCGTGTTGGGGATGGGTCGCATCAGCCAGTTTGTCTTACCCAGTTCTATGAATTTTGTCGGATTAACTGACACTCGTCTGTAAAGAATGGGCTGGAATCGACATGGCCGAATTCCCGGTCCTACATCAATGGGTCGAGCGACTGCTTAAACGACCTGGACTCGAAAAGGGTCGCCATGTACCATCGAAGGATATTTACGAAGCCCTCCAGAACATTACTGAAGAGCAGAAAGAGGCGGCGGCTGTTGGAACTCGAAAGTGGATTCAAGATGGGATGAAGGAAGATGCGAAATAATGTCGCGGAAGCGTAAGTTGAACGTGCCTCCCACAGACAGGACGATGCTGGGCCAAGACAGCCAAAAACATGGATCTAGCTTGTATTAGAACGAAATAAATTCGAGTTCTGGGACATATATGCTTCTCTGCTTTTCAAGGGGCTAAAGTGAGAAAATGAATAAAAGTAATGAGAATCTATGGATGGCTATTCTTAGTTTCCTCGATGGAGCAATCATGTAAACTGATGAAAGTAGGTACATGTATGTTGCAGTTGAAGGAATAGACTTTTACCTTATGTAATCGGATTCCCGTTTTAAGGCACATGACTTGGAAGTACATATGCATGTACTTTTTTCCGTAGTGAGCGTTGACGGCTTGGAAGCACAGATGGCCTAAGCGTTCTCCTTACTCCACTTGGTTCCAGACAAGATTTAGCTTAGCGCTGTTGCCCATAAGTCTTCTCCAAAATAATTCAACCTAAGATTGATTTCCTCAATCCATCTTTTCCACACCTTTTGAAATTAATCGCACCGCGCAAACTTGTGAGCTTGCGAACCCCTCAACATGTCGTGGAGAAATCAGGGAATCACGGGATCCAATAACATCCCTCTTGGTAAAAGCCGACGATTTGGAGGTGAAGGAGATGATGGTCGCGAAAACGGTTCCGATGGTTATGGCCTCGCAAGTGGCGATCGCGACTTGAAGCGCGGTCGCAGTCCTGAACCAAGTAAGTCATTTACTTAGGAGGCACCTCCATTCTACCTGCCTATTCTTTTTGATATAAACTAACATGCTGTCTTGTAGGAACCGATGCTGATGGTCCTCGACGTCGGAAGAAGCGCAACCGTTGGGGCGATGCTTCTGAAAACAAAGCCGCCGGCCTTATGGGCCTTCCAACCGCCATCGTAGCCAACATGACTAGCGAACAACTGGAGGCATACACTCTACACTTGAGAATTGAGGAGATCAGCCAGAAGCTACGAATCAACGATGTTGTGCCTGCTGATGGTGACAGGTATGTCAAACCATATCATTTAATAACTTAAAATAGGAGCGCAAAATTAACTGATTTCCACACAGATCTCCCTCTCCTCCCCCGCAATATGACAACCATGGTCGCCGTGTTAACACTAGAGAATACCGTTACCGCAAGCGTCTCGAGGATGAGAGACACAAGCTCGTTGAGAAGGCCATGAAGACCATCCCTAACTATCACCCGCCGCAGGATTACCGACGGCCTACCAAGACCCAAGAGAAGGTCTATGTGCCCGTCAACGACTATCCAGAGATTAACTTCAGTGAGATTGCTAACCCTCTAACCTTTCTAACCATGTTTATGCCCCTTCTTGTTCGGGATATTACCAGGAATGCAGTCATATCTCGATGGATGACATGCCCATTTTGGCCTCATCTAACTCTCCCCCTTCCCAATGCTCTAACCGTTTTGTGACAAATACTAACACCTAGGTCTTCTACTTAAGTCGGTCTACTTATCGGCCCTCGTGGTAACACACTGAAGAAAATGGAATCAGAATCAGGAGCTAAGATTGCCATCCGCGGAAAAGGTTCCGTGAAAGAAGGCAAGGGTCGGTCCGATGCTGCCCATGCCAGCAACCAGGAGGAAGATTTGCACTGCTTGATCATGGCAGACACCGAGGAGAAGGTCAACAAGGCCAAGAAGCTCATTCACAACGTCATCGAAACTGTAAGTTGCTTATACGCTGTTTTCTCAAAACTTGTACTAATAGTACTATTACAGGCTGCCTCCATTCCTGAGGGTCAAAACGAACTCAAGAGAAACCAGCTTCGAGAACTCGCGACTTTGAACGGTACTCTGCGAGATGATGAGAACCAAGCCTGTCAGAACTGTGGCCAAATCGGCCACCGCAAGTATGATTGCCCGGAGAAGCAGAACTTCACCGCCAATATTATTTGTCGTGTCTGCGGTAACGCCGGCCATATGGCTCGAGATTGTCCTGATCGACAAAAGGGCGCAAGCTGGCGTAGTGAAGGTCCTCCCCGTGCTGCTGGCCGTATTGGCGGCGGAGATGCCGTCGACCGTGAATATGAGGTACGTATCCATCTGAGAATAGTTATACAAGAGTCAACATCTAATATTATATGTAGCAATTCATGCAAGAACTCGGAGGAGGCTCTAGCGGCCCCCCGGCTCGTATCGAAGCAGGTCCCGGTTCCTTTAACAACGGCGGCGGTGATGCGAAACCTTGGCAGCGAGGTCCAACAGGTGCTGCGGCTCCGTGGCGCTCGCGTAACAACGACCAGAATAACGAGGGCGGCGGTTCTGCTGCTCCCTGGCGCGACCGTCACCGTGGTGGCGATAACCACGGAGGCGATTATTACGGAGGTCAAGGTCAGAATTACAATGGCGGTTCTTCGGCACCTGGAGCGGCACCTTGGCATCAAGCCTCTGCCGGACAACAGCAATATTCCAATTACCCTGGCTATTCAGGCTATGGCGCAGCTCCCGGTATGGGTCCACCTCCGGGTCTTGCTCCGCCTGGCGGTTCTCTTGGTGCTCCTCCTGGCCTACCACCTGGAAACATTAACGCTCTTATCCAGCAGTATGCTAATGGCACTGCGCCTCCTCCACCGCCTCCTCCAGCCGGCGAAGCTCCTCCGCCCCCTCCCGGTGACCAACCTCCGCCCCCTCCTCCCGGTGCTTGAGTGTGGGGAGTATACGGGCCGACCAAGATGTGTCGATACTAACCTGCCAGACTTGGCCGTGCCGTACCCAACTCAAGCTGTCCCTCACTGCTAACGATTTTACCGTTGCATAGTGATTATGATCCTAATACTAACCAATTTCGTATGCACTGCTTCAGACTGGTGTCGAATTTCGATGGGCACGATTTTGAGGGATACGAATTTGTCGTTTCGAGATCACGAATAGGGGAATTATGCGCGTGTATTATAGGACTAATCCATAGACAGCAACAAGGATGACTGGTAACTCTTCTTTTTTTCTTCTTTTTAGCTCGTAATGTTCATATGATTATTATTTTATGATATCTAATATGCTACGTATGATTTTACCTCCCACTTGCGATGTCTAGATATTCATAGATCGAAATCTTATTCAAAATCCCGTGCCAAGAAATCATGAATCTGCAGGTATGGGATGTATTGATGTACTTATGTATGGGTTCGTATGCATGACGCCGACAGGGGTTTCCAGGAGCTTGGGCCATCCCCTCACGTAACTTCCCAACCTTCTCCAATTCTAACTCCATTGACAGTTGCGTCAAGAACTCGCGACCCTTCAAGGCGAAGTCACCTGCTTGAAGATGGGCTGAAAGGCAATTTTTATTATTTCCAAACTACACCTACACTTAATGCTCAACAAGCTTCCAAACATAAAACATCAATATAGCTTCAATCTCATCAAACATTGACCTAATTCATCCTACACCTCTGCATATGTCTTAGTATCATTGTGCACATGTCTCTTGGGATGTTCATCGTCCCCACCTAGAGCTTCTCTAACCTGCCCGTCACCGGCTTTCGTGCGTTCCATCTCGCATTCCACCTGCAGCCCTACGGTCTTGGTTATATCCGACCCCTACAGTTATATTGACAGCGAACTCAACGAGGCCAGCCAATCATGGCTGTGTCAAATCCAGTTGCATTCAAGCCATTTCCAGTAACCTTCTGGACCACGGTTACCTACATTGCTCTTCTCGTTCCCTTACTCGTCATCCACGAAACAGTTCCGCCTCCTCCGAGCAATCCGACGTTGTACTCCGGTCTAAACCTCACCAAGTCATGGCTCGACTTAACCGTGATTTCGCGCGATTACCACCCGTTCAATAGCCGAAAGAATGACGAGATACATGATTGGCTGTTGTTGGAATTGGAGGAGATTAAGAAGCGAAACGGGGCCAACGACTCGAGCGTGGTGGTACTAGCGGATAACGTTTCCAATATCACGACTGCTAACGCCATATTTGGAGCATCGACTCCATCCGGCACATATTTCGAGGGCACAAACGTGGTGGTATACATCCGTGGAAAAGATGATCCACGTGGACGATGGTGGGAGGACGGCGCCGTATACTCTGACAAGATCGTGGGCAAAGGGGGAGTGTTGATAAATGCCCATTACGATTCGTAGGTCTTATTTAATTACTGGTAGATTTTGTCCTGCTGCTGACAACTAGGTAGTGTTGCGTCTGGATTTGGGGCGACCGACGCTGGAATGGGCTGCGTCACCTTGATAGCTCTTGTCGACTACTTTTCCCGGCCAGAAAACCAACCTCAGAGAGGTATCGTTGCCTTGTTCAACAACAACGAGGAAGATGGGCTGTGGGGTGCACAAGCGTTCGCGAATAATCCCCTCCTACCCTTCTGTCATACCTTCCTGAATCTTGAGGGTGCCGGCGCCGGCGGTCGTGCTATGCTGCTTCGCGCGACCGACGCTCAAGTGGCCAATGCCTATAAAGGCACTGAGAGTCCGTTTGGCACTGTTATCTCATCCGACGCATTTGGTCTGGGAGCTATAAGAAGTAATACTGACTACATAGTCTTCGATGGAGTCTACGGTATACGAGGGTTAGACGTGACGTTTTATCGACCTCGTGCTAGGTATCATACTAACCAAGATGATGCTAAACATGCATCGAGAGCTAGCCTCTGGCACATGCTTAGTGCCTCACTACACACAATGCAGGGCCTATCAGGCGATACTGGCCGAACTTTCATCGGAGAACGTGCAGATGGCGATCGAAAAAAGATATGGAATGGTAAAGGAACTGACGGTGTTTGGTTCGACCTATTCGGAAAGGGGTTCGCTCTTTTCGACCTTCACACCTTGTTTGCTTGGTCTCTAACTTTGCTGATCGCCACACCCCTAATACTCCTTGGCTTGACATATATCCTGATACGTAGCGACAAATACTACTTCTTCTCAGCAAGGCGGTCTGCTTATGAAGGGTCCGACCTAGACCCCGTTATGTTAGGTGGCCGAAAGGGCTTATTCAGGTTTCCATTCGCCTTCGTCGTCGCAGGAGCACTGGTCGTGGGGTCAGCGTATCTGGTCACCAAGATCAACCCGTTGGTCATATACAGCAATGAATACACCGTGTAAGTGCTAAATGCCTATTCTAATAAACACAGCACTAACGTTGGATTATAGGTGGGCTATGATGATATCTCTCTTCTACTTCGTCTTCTGGACCATCATGGCGGGAGCAAACTTTGCCCGGCCTAGCGCTCTCCACCGAGGCTACTCCATTTTCTGGCTATTCACCATTGCATGGGGAGTTCTGGTCGCGAATACCGTTTTCGAGGACCGCTTTAGAATCGCGGGCGGATACATATTCGTGTTCTTCCATGCTGCTGCTTTTATTGCTTCTTTCATCTCACTCTGCGAATTATTTGCCTTGCCTACTAAGGCAGCGTTTGCACAACGAGTACATGACGACCACGAGATCAGGGACCATCTCGCTGCAGTGCCACACGCCGACGACCTTGTCTCGCCAAGTCACGGCGAGCATGATATTGAGGACGAGGACGACGACGAAGATGAAGTCGAATCACCAGCGACAGAGACAACACCTCTTGTTGGAGGGGGATCTGGAGAAACCCGCCGAACCACATTTGCTACGACATATCGGCGTTCCATATCAGCCATAGTGAACAAGGCGACGTCAGATGAGGGTGCTAAAGGCCAGCCGTACGTATACGAGCAAAAATGGTCAGCAAACCTCCCCAGTTGGGTGTGGGCCATTCAATTCCTTATCCTAGGCCCATTCTTAATCATTTTAGCTGGCCAGAACGGTCTGATGTTGGTTTCCGCTGTTTCGCAGACAGGTGCTGATGGCTCAAGTCTTCTCGTTCCATATCTTATCACTGCATTCTTTAGCATTTTCTTACTCTTGCCGATCACCCCATTCATGCATCGCATCACCCACCACGTGCCCATGGTGTTACTTGGAGTATTCGTCGCGACCTTGATCTACAATCTAGCTGTCTTTCCTTTTTCCGAAGGCAGCAGATACAAAATCTATTTCCAACAGACCATCGATCTTGATACCGGTTTCACCAAGGTCAATTACGTTGGATTACAAGAATTTGTCGAACGGACGATTGCCGAGTTACCATCTGCTACGGGCAAAGACCTTGAGTGCACCACAAAAGGAGGTCTGCGCCCTGGCTTAACCACTTGTTCTTACGATGGTTCAGATGTTCCCCCAAATGTGGTCAAGACGAATCCCAACGGAATCCCGCCAGAAAATGGCTTCAGTAGCTGGTTGAATTTCAATATCACCAGGACTGGGGATGAGACTAGGGCCAGATTTGAGATCGATGCGAAAGATAGCAGATCATGTGCAATTACTTTCAAGAAGCCTATCTCTTCCTTTGTGGTTCATAGTAACCCTCCTGACGAAAGGTTTGGCAACATACCAGAAGGGGGTCTGACCAAGATAAAGCTCTATCGTCGAGACTGGACTACGCCGTGGAACGTTGACGTGGAGTGGGAGAAAGATGCAGATGCAGATGCAATCACTGGAATCGACGGTCGTGTTCTATGCAGCTGGGACGACGTAAACACCCCTGGAACAATTCCCGCATACGACGAAGGACTTAAGTACGCCCCGCGTTGGGTAGCTCTTTCGAAGTTAACATCGGGCCTATGCGAAGGGAGCAAGGCATTCAAAGCATGATAAGTGTGGGATTGTAACTAGGTACTCGCCACCGGTGACTGCACATGCATAATAGCAGTCTCCGTGCCGACGACATGGTATGCATACACCATGCTAGCCAATCTACCTGAGCGATCACTAAGAGGTGCAAATATTTTGCGTGTGCGAGATATCAAATCGGCAACGAGCTACGACGAATGGTTCTGCATCGACGGAGTATGGATGCCATGCATGGTTGGCGTTTGCTTGTTTGTTCAGCATTATTAATGAGGTTACAGTTAAATAATATCACATAACCCTTTTCTCATGATTGCATCGACTTCGAGCAATAATTATCACATCAGTCGTTCCGCCAGTCTCCAAAACATGTACCTAGCCAGTAGGGCGCACAACACTTTTTGTTCTCGAAGTTCTCAAACCTCCTGATGAATTGAACCGGCAAATGTCAGAACCGAGAGCCGTTGGTTCGGTTAAGCTATCACGGACTATCTTAGACTATATATTTCCCGCCTTCTGGAATGATTGGCCCAATGGTTTCCCACATTAGTCAAGTCTGAACGGTCTCGTTTTAGGGTGACCTCCGAACTCGAGCGAATTCGCATGTGTTTCCAGAACCACGGCCATTACCCCAATAGCGATCGGTGGGCAGTCGATCACGGTCTCGGCGTAGCATTTTTCTACAAAGCAACCGACCCACGATCTCCAGATTAGCAGGGAATATTCTCCAAGTTCCAATCAGATGCGGGAACTTATCTCAACAATTTTTATCCTATATTGCCTAGGTTGCATTTTGCCTATTTGTGAAAGAAGGTTGATGTCTAGTTGACGCAACGGCTTCCGTTCGCAAATTCCAGGACAATATCTGTCTTTCCGGGAGATGCAAACATTATTCTATCTGACGTTCTTGTCGGCTATCGAAGGGAGTTTCGCCGTAATGGTCTGACTTCATTAATGAAGCCGTGACCGGCGGACGTTGGAAGGAGATGTGATGCAGCCTCCCCTAAGCTCAATTGAACGAATGGAGAAGGTGTCACGGAGCTTTATGTGAGTTAGGCAGGGGAACGTCCTGCAACTTTCCTTATTAGTTTGTATACGTTTGGCGTGCCTTACATTTATTACTGTTAGGCCGTCCAAGGATCTTTTTTTTTTTTCGCTTCCCGGTGGCGGGCACCTACTTGCAGCGTCGATCACCCTCACCCCTGTGAGCCCCAGCCAGGTTGCCTGTTGGGGACTTGACATCAGACTGTCATCTCTCTGTGATACCATCAGACCCAATTTTAGAAGCAAATACAAGCTCACTTGGCCTTTGTTAACCTATCGCTGACAATCCGGTCTTCCGTAGCCCCGTTTCTTTATTCTTTAATATCTGCCATACATACCTATCCCTCAGGTCAGGGTCCCAAGCTTCCAACTAACACTGCTTGATTAAAGCTTAGCATTACTCGCGTAGTGCCGTACTACTATTAATACCACTCGAGATCTCGTCTGACTTGACCTGACCTGCAACCTGGCCTTTACATAAGATCACATACCACTGGACCACAAATCAGATTTACAGAAAGCTTAAAGCCTATTATAAACAATTTCCTCGGGTCAGAAGAACCAAGAAAGACAAAGACCTTTTCCAGGAGATATATATATAAAACCCGACGACTTATATATAATAAAGATGGGAAGCTTCACCCTAAAGACCATCCTCGCGGTCGTGGCGTCAGCTGCCCTAGGACTAGCGCTCCCGGCCTCGGAGTCGTCGTCCCCGACAGTGACGGGGACGCCTTGCACGTCAGGCAGCCCCGTCGTGACCGCCGGCTACACCATCAACTACGCGCCGGCGGTGCCGACCGTCGTCTTCGAGAACGGGTACCAGCCCGTCGAGGCCTGGGCCTCGGCCCACGTCAAGTCGACTTACGTGAGTTGGTTTTTTTTTTTTTTTTTGCTTTTTTTCTCCCTACCTCTATCTCCAATCATTCATTGGTTTAACAGGGGGGGGCGAGATGGGATGTGCGAGTAGAGGCTAATGCGAAATAGACGTTCGGCGTGCCGCCGCCGGTCGAGACCGGCTTCGCGTACGCGCAGTTCAAGTGCCAGTACTACTGCAACAACGTGCCGTCGGGCAGCTTCTTCGTGAATTACGACGGCAGCGACAAGGGGTCGCTTTGCACGTGTTTCGATGAGTTGTGAGTGCTGTCTCTTTTTTTTTTTTTTTTTTTTTTTTTTACCTAAGCTACCTAGGTTGGGTAGGAAAGGTTGGCGTGGGCGGAGCTAACATTGGATTTTTTGTAGGTTGGATCCGCAGAGCTTCGTTTCGAATAACCAGACCCTCGTCGGGGCTTGGAATAATCTCTGCAAGTAAACGGGCAAATAGGACAAGCAAATGGCTACCTAGGTAGTACGGAGTGGTATTTAACCGGGAAACATGAGATCGGCGGGTTAGGGAAGTAAAAGTCCCGGGTTTGGTAAGGGAGACGATGGGTAAGGCATGGGTTGATGGGCGATTAAGGGGGCTATCGACTTTCGTCTGTGGGTGATGGAAAATTCGTAATGGATTCTCGCCAAAGTTTCGAACCGCAAAAGTAGGATGATTTCGCCTTGATGGCAAAGTCTCGCTGGGTTATTTTTGGATTGTATATAAGTACCCGTTACTTTTCTTGTGAATATTTATCTTTTCATCTTTGGCGCAACGTGGGACCCAAAAGCTGAAGTGGTGATGGAAAGTACGCAACTCTCTCCCCTTCTGGGTATATACTAATGATCGAATCGCTAAGCTATTGCCGTAGTTCTCGTATGATATGATTGCGATTTTATCTGCGGTGACATATGATTGTGTACAAATCCCTGAAAAGGGCCTTGGTTCCTCAGGCGAAATGTACGGATCTTGTCCGCCGCGACTTATCACCGAGGACTTGGCAACTGCTCGAGTATAGTTGAACGGCACTTGGGACAAGGCTTCGTTGCTATTACTAGGTGCGTCGTATCTTTACTGGCTGGCTTATACCATGTCGTCCAATTGTGCTTGGCACAAAAGAGCCTCTATTTCTAACCCTGGCCACTTAGCGCCCTTTGCATCCCTCGTTAATCTTGGAATCCAATCGAAAGGGCGTGAGTAGGATGAATCTAAGGCAGATCTAAGTGGGGCCGTATGCAGGTGTTACCGGAAAACCGGACGAACCGGACATAAAACCAAGTTCTTGCATAATAAGCATGGGGTCGATAGTTGTCGAGGGCTTCGAAATGTGAGATATAAGGAGGCGCCTTAGCGCTCGAAATCGTCCCTGGATAAGGGAGTATGGTTGTAAGATATAGATGGATTCGGTGTAACTATTTACTATAAAAGCGGAAAGTTGGAAGGGCTGCATGTCGTTGGTTGCAAAGCGAGATCTGACGAATTCGCCTCATGCCTGGTCCTTGCTTGCTCCGACTTATATAGTCATACTAGGGAGACTCTAAAGACAAAGGTCTCAGATAGATGGCTAGTCCCAGAGGCACTATATTCTTGACAGGCGCCAACGGTGGCCTCGGTTGCGGCATCGTTTCGAAGATCATCTCGACGCCCGAGCTCGCGGGTCATCACGGCATTTACGCCGTTCGCAACGCTTCTTCCGCCGCGGCGCTCAAGTCCACCCTTAGGAAAGCGCCCACTTCTCACACGTACGATATCATATCGCTAGAGCTATATAAGCTCGCTAATGTTCGCGAAGTCGTCGATGCTATCAATTCTCGCGTAGCCAAGGGCAAGGTCCCTCCAATTCGGGCGCTTATCCTAAACGCGGGCTATAATGACTTGGGACACGAGTCCTTCACCGAGGAAGGATTTGAGACAAGTTTCGTGGCTAATTATCTGGGACACTGGCTGCTGACCCTAAAGCTGCTCCAAAGCATGGACGCTGAGAATGGAAGAGTCGTCGTGGTCAGCAGTAACTCCTACGAGTAAGCACTTACCCATGTGGCGATTCAGCCCCTTTTCAAGAAACTGGACTAGTTGCTTAGGCGGTTTCAGTGTCAACCACCCCGTCCACAACATAGATGGCTATTACAAAGAGGAAAAGTGGAAGGTTTTCTTCCGCGAGGATAATATCGACGCTATCGCAAAGGGCACCTGGAGTAGCAACAAGGATGATCTTCCTCGAAAGGCTGGGACTAGGCGATATGGCGTGGCTAAGATGTGCGCGGTTATGATGGTGTTAGAGCTCCAGCGCCGCCTCGATGCCGACCCCGCGCTTAAGGGCATCTCTCTTGTCACCATCGATCCTGGGTCCATGGGCACCGGTCTCACCCGTAGAGGCAGTTGGTTTATACGTACGATTCTTTTCCCGATGATTGTGCCCTTATTAGCGCCCCTGTTGACGTGGCTGAATCCTAACGGTGACGTTCGTACCGTTAGCAAGTCGAGCAACGACGTCGTAGAGGCCGCTTTTGAGACCGGCCCTAGGCTGAGAGGCAAGTATCTAAACGGCTCCGAGCTTCAGGAGATTGTGCCTGAGGCTTTGGATGCCAAGAAGAGAGCCATGGTTTGGAGGGACAGCGTGAAGTACACTAACTTGACTGAGCAGGATACTCCGCTAATCAATTGGAAGTAAGGCTGTTTGCGAGGGGACTTTGGATTTCCTAGAGATGCCTATAATTGTGTTAGATTGTTATTACCCATATTTCCTTAGTATTGTACGATAGGTTCTAACCAACCGTTTTTTTAAGTATCCATATCATCATCTTAGCACTTTAGTACCTAATTAGAGCAGGATGGTTGGGCCATAACAAGGTCATTCGATCAGTCTGGCACAGATCAGGATGGACAAAAGGGGTTTAGGTTATAGGAGAGGAATTGAAAGGGGTTTGTTCAGACGGTGTCGTATTTACTTTGCGTCAAACTATCGGGCCAGTTACCCGCGCGTATCGAGCGACGACTGAGGAAGCACAGTTCATAAACTGTCTTCTAGAACGACCCAAGCCCCGAAAAACACCCTTGCAACCCAATTAATGCCGTCCTATCATCAGGCATTAAAGGGAGGGACCATAAAAGACCTCCATTGTCTGCGAACGTGTCACCTCCCAACCCTAATCCTTCTTTTCCTAATTCTCAAACTCAGCACCATCCTTCTCTCCCTCCATATCAACATCCTTATCCTTCTCTGCCCCAGCCTTCTCCTCCTCCTTCTTATCCTTCTTCTTCAACGAAGCAGCAGCAGCAGCAGCGGAACTTCGACGCGCCTTCTCCTTCTCCTTATCCATCTCCTCGGCCTCAACCTCCGCCTCCGCCTCGCGCGCAGCAGCAGACTGCGGCTGGAACAGCGCGCTGGCGCGGCGGTGCGTCGGGTTCGTGGGGCTAATGACGCCGAGGCTGTCGCGCGGCACGAAGCGGCTGCTGCGCCGGCGCTCCGGCATCTCCTGCGGCGTGCCCATGGTCGCGGCCGCCGGCGTCTCCGGCATCGGCCGCTCGCCCGCCAGCACCGAGCTGCGGAAGCTGCTTGTCGAGCTCGCTAGCGATGAGAGGCTTGCGCGCAGCGGCGTCGTCGTGGGGAGGCCGGGAAGGCTGGGTGTGGATGTGGATGTGCTGCCACCTGCCGGGTAAGGCGTCGCGGGCTGCGCGTAGCGGGGGGGAGGTGTGCGCTGTTGCTGGCCGGATGTCTGGGAGCGCGCCGTCGCGGCGTGGGGGTTGTTGCCGATGCGCGAGCTGCGCGGGACCATGCCCGGGGTCGCCTCGATGGGTACGCTGTCCGTTGACGAGGTCGATGAGGCGCGCGAGCTGCGCGGGGTCGCGATGTATTCTGTCTGGATTGAGCGAGCCAACAATGAGCGGCGGGGCGCGGGCATGGGCGTATTGACCGTGGAGGGACTTTGGCGGGTTCCTTGCGTGGTGGCGCCGAAGGGCGTTGCGTTGGTCATGGGCGTGTCGCCGTCGTAGTCGCGGAGAGGGGTGCCCGGGGGCGACGCCGACTTCTGGTTCTGGTTCGAGGAAGTACCCATGATGGAGGTTTTTTGAGGGTAGTTTGGATGGATGGACTGTGGAAGTTGAAAGAGTTGTTGAGGTAAGTTGTGTGGGCAGCTTGACCACCTGTTGCTGCTTTGTTTACTAACGAGTTAGAAGGAGAGCCTAGAGTGAGGGCGGTAAGACCTACACAGCAAGAAATAAATGAGGCGAGATTGGGTTATTTTTTTTCGTCGTTAGGGGCAAGATATTCCCTACCGGCTTCTATGACTGTTCGTTGTTTGTCACCTGCTAATGATTATTCACAGCTGCCTTGCGGGTGATTCATGATCTCTCAGGCTCACGTTTGTTGACATTGGTTCGTAGTGTTGACTGTACACACTGCTATAACGCGTCTATACGGTGCTACCAACTGTCGGAGCCAGGTGGATGCCATAGCAAATCAGTCCCGACGGTTGACAATTGGCACGGCAGGCAATGTCATGATCTCGTGGTTCCTAAGCTATCTAGGGACCTAACCTACTAGGTACCGGTACTAATTCCCCGGGAGTCTTTTAGGGCCATTTCACGAGTTCTCTCGGGTCGAGGAATTATATCTCTCCTATCCATTAAAACGTCAGAGATAGCATCTACTCCAACCACTATCGTCGTTTCTTCGATGGTTGATCGCCCTAAAGCTGTTTTCGCCCTCTAACAATTTCGATGCGGTATATCCCACGACATTAGGGGGGTTACACTATTTTCTGTATGAATACCCTCGGTTTAATAACAATATATGACTTTGCAATTATTTGATACTATTCCTTGAATATTCTGAATTTCTACCGTGCTAGGTTATAGTAGACTTGAAGGCCTTCCTTGAATGACATGACACTAGATATCTCCCTTCTTCCTTGATAATAGCACGATGATTACTAATATTCAACACCTTAAAGATCATTAGATTTCCTCGAGTAATAAATTCGGCATTATATTTATTCATATCATAATTTAGGATACGTTCGAAATATTATGTCTTCTATCATTGCCAAGACTTTTTAGAAGAATCTTATTGGACGTCGTAACTATAACGAATATCAAACGAATATTTAACAAACACAGCAACCGATGCCCATATAACGAAGGCTAATGGCTATCTCTTAATGATGTTCGTAAATCCTAAGGGTTGATCATGTTCGCATTACGTGATCTCATGACTATACCGACTTCTGTTTGCCGACATTCAGCTATATCGTATTCCAGCCAAATACGAGTTTTGATCTTCCGTTATGATCCCGTAGGATGCTACTATACCTCCGTTTTGGGTCTTATGTTTTGAGCCCTATCGTGATTCTCACCAATGATACGACGTCCTTTCGCCGTTAGCCGCTAGCCATAAGCTTACCGCCACCCAACACCGATCGAGGCTTTTATCTCCCACGAACGTGTACGGCCACGCGACTGCCACGCTCATCATCCCGATGTGCGGCCGTTGAATCCGAGAATGCATGATTGGATATGACGAAGCGGTGAAACGGCGCCGGCGAACTTTGAGGTAAACGACAAGGTTGGATTGACGGTCGATCCATCACGACGTCTCCATTACTATTATTATAAAGGAAGGACCAAAGACGTCTTTCGCTCTTGCTATCATATTACCATCATTATCATCATCATCCAAAAAGCGCTTGCATAATAAGCTCGAACTTTCCCAACCTCCAAAACCACTTCTGCCGCAACATCGACCTTCACTTGCAATTGAATAACCTCTCTTTCATCATGAAGTTCTCCACGGTGATCAATTTCTTGGCGGCGACAGGTCTGGCGATTGCTATGCCATCATCTCATCAGGTAAGATGCAACTTCGTAGTTCAACGTATGAATCTACAAACCCGACTAACGCGTTACACGCAAGACCCGATCTGTCAACGAGGTAGCTTCGCGCTTGAAGCGTGATACTTCCGGTGGCGGCTTCACCCACGTCGGCTCTGACAACGTCGTCCGAACCTTCGACAGGGATTTGAACGTGGTCGACTTCGCACACCTCGACGGCCGCACCCCGTCAGGAGACGCGCGGAGCCCCAGCGCCGCCGTGCTCGAGGAGGTCAAGCAGGCTAAGGCGAGATCGGCGGCCCAGGCCTCGAAGCCGCGCTCGCGGAGCCCGCTCGAGGGGAGACAGCAGCCTAGCTGCGTCAGCGAGTTCTGCCCGGACGACGACTACTGCAAGGGTCTGTGGCTCTACGGGTACAACTGCACGTCCTGCATGATTGTCTCGAACAACATCGGTAACTGCCAGCAGTTTTAGACGGCTTAAAAGGGGTTGCGTACAGGATTTTCTAGGGGTGGAATGTCAATTCACCATACTTGAGACTACATTAGGGCAGGGTTCTAAGCGTTTTCTTTGCGTTTTTCTTCGATCCTCTTTGTAACGTTAAAAGATCATGCTTAACAATACGTGGTCTATTAGTTCATCTTCACCTACCTAATTACTCCTGTCTCGGTATGCTATCAGAGTCAAAATCCCAAATCTAAATATCTTGGTACTTCATATTCTATAACTCATGTTTTATTACTTTGTAGTGAGACAGGACTTAAATAATTGAGATGAGAATATTGAATCTATTATACAAGATATCATCGTTGCAACGATTCTGCTAGGGGTTATTATGGGAGACGTATGGTGAACCAGGTCCGTTAAACCGCCAGAGATTTTAGCCACCTTTAGCAGGACCAGGAGCTTTGGCGACTTTAGGCACATGGCCGGCCGCCAGGGGGCTCAACCCCACATAATGGCCATAGGGATCTTGACCGTTGGGACCACTTGCCGGACCAGTCCAATAAATCCATATTCGATGGGTCCCTGGGGCCAATGCACCGGTAATATTGATGCCATATGAACCTCCAACTTGTCGAACCGCAGCCACGTCTAAGTTCACTCCGTTTGCGGCCCCCCATTGCGTCAAAACTGGTGATATCATGTCTAGAAGATCCGGGCCTTCGTTAGGTAGTGGGCTCGGAATAGAACCACTAGCTATCTGGACAGCCCAATAGCCTGAAGCCAGCATGTTCTGGAATACGGCGTAGAGATCTGCATAAGTAGGCCATGCTACTCCGGGAATTGCCGGCAGCTGAGTTCGAAGGCTATCACAAACTGCTGTCAAGCCACATTGACTGTTAGGCACATTGTTTTCAATAGTCTGAAAGCCATTGGGAAGGACAGCGGGAACTGCAGGGTTGGTTAGCAATTAGTTCCTTAGTATGGTAAAACTTCAAGGTAATCTGGGCATTCCCTGAGGTCGATGACTCCTAAACATGCTCGGGCAAGAGATTTTAAGAACACACACTTAGGAAACGGAAGGGGAAACTTACTCGTCGCATTAGTGCCTGCGGGATATGGGGGATATACAATAAGACCGTCATCAGCCTCTTTGCCTTTCCCTTTGCCTTTGCCTTTCCCCTTGCCTCCAGGTCCTTTGCCTCCAGGTCCTTTGCCTCCAGGTCCTTTGCCTCCTCGTCCCCCTCCTCGTCCTCCTACGCCGCCGCCGCCGCCTCTTCCTCCCCCTCCAGCGGGTGGCGGTGGTGGCAGCGGTGGTGGTCCTCCTGGTCCTCCACCGCCTCCTCCGGCTGGTGGGGGAGGAGGAGGAACGGTAGGAGCGGGAGGAGCTGCTGCTGGTGGTGGAGCTGGTGGTGGAGGACCACCACCACCTGCTGGAGGAGGAAGGGGGAGAGGAGGGGGAGGGCCACCTCCACCTGCTGGAAGAGGAGCAGCAGGAGGAGCGGGAGCAGCTGCTGCTGGTGGTGGAGCTGGCGGTGGAGGACCACCACCACCTGCTGGAGGAGGAGGAGCAGCTGGAGGAGGAGGAGCAGCTGGTGGAGCGGGAGCAGCTGGTGGTGGTGGTGGTGGTGCTGCTGGCGGTGGAGGACCACCACCACCTGCTGGAGGAGGAGCTGGTGGAGCGGGAGCAGCTGGTGGAGCGGGAGCAGCTGGTGGTGGTGGTGCTGCTGGTGGTGGAGCGGGAGGAGCTGCTGGTGGTGGAGCTGGCGGCGGAGGGCCACCTCCACCTGCTGGAGGAGGAGCAACAGGAGGAGGAGGAGGAGGAGGAGCTGGTGGAGCGGGAGCAGCTGGTGGAGCGGGGGGAGCTGGTGGTGGTGGTGGTGGTGGTGGTGGTGGTGGTGCTGCTGCTGGTGCTGCTGCTGGCATCCTTATCCCTATAATTCAATTAGAACTCTTCTTTACCTACGCCGGGCAGCTGAAATGCGTTGGCCAGGAGATAATCATCCCAGTTAATGTAGTAATAAGTAGCTGTCTGGGGGAGGCGATGATACTGACATCTATTAACCCACTGCGTCACAATTTGGTCAGTCTCCCCCGGGAAAGCAGATGCCGCCTTGGTCTTGGCTTGTTCTAGCAGGGTATCCAAGCTTGGGCGATCCGTAGGATTATGATACATGCATTCGTATAGCACCTGTCGAAGGTCTTGGTCAACCCAGTTGTAGTTGGGGACAGTCGGATCACGAAGTAACGGGCAGTAAGAAATTGGAGGGCGGACAGGTAGCGCGTCCATCTCCGCGTGTACTTGGGCATCGAGCTGTGCGCGAGTAAACCCTATCGGTAGTGCAGCCATTACCGCAGCGTATACGGCGGGGGGGATTTGCGGTGCCGGCGGTATAGGTGGCTCGAATTTAGTAATGAGACACCACATCGTCTCAATAATGGTCAGCTGAAACTCGGTAGAGGATTTGTTCATGATTCTCACCAAAGCTATCCCCCAAATGTTCGTGTGGGGACCGTAGAAGCCAGCTTTGGTTGACGCGGCTATCTCGGTTCCTTGTCGAGTTGCTGGGACTATATTTTTTTTATATCTGGTCAGTATTCCGTTTCGTATGGATACATAGTGGGAGTCTGCTTCTTGTACTATTCACAGCCCCAGTTCAAGGACGATGTTGTAACATACAATGATCCCATTCCGCTCCGAATTGTTCCTATGTTTATCAACATCCGCGAAATATAAGTGCGCTTCAAGTTGACGATGCGAACTCACAGGTGCAAAGAAACTGTCCTTCCCTCTAAATCGTCGCCATGTATAATACATGCTTGATGGTGGCAGGGTGAGCTGCAAAGGTTGCTTCAGGAAGAGACTAGGTCATTACTCACTTGCGCTTGTCTCTATTAAAGAAGGGTGTCAGCATTCTTCCACAAAAGAATACGTCCGTTGAGTAACTTCCGTGCCCGTTCAAGATTTGAAAAGGCCAAGAGTGTAAGGTTAAGGGATATAGAGGAAATGGTCACGTACTGCTTGATCACGTCCGCCAGTCCAAAATCCCCTAACTGCACGGTTTATTATTATTTCAGATCCATCTAAAATCTTTTCATCGGTATAAGCTTACTTTGAGCCTTGGAACCAATTCATGTTCTGAAGCTGCCCTGTCGACGTCTCTGACATTTTGTAGATCTATATCGCCGATGAAAACTAGAAAGAGCGAAAATTGTAAGCAGACTGAAACACGGAAACACATAGGATCCTATACGTATATAGGTACTTACCGTTCGACGGATCAATATCAAAATGAACAAGATTCTTTCGCCTGTTAGCCATATACCCCGGGGGGATATCCTCGATCATGTCCTGAGATACAAGATTGTAACCCGTCTGATATTCATTCTGTTTCGCGGCGCTGTAAGTTTGTACCTCAAGACCAACTGTTTCTCTGTTTTTGTTGCCTTCAAACACCTTCGTAGTTGTGCTTGTGCGCTCTCTATGCGTTCCTTTTGTCACCGGATCGACTCGCAGTGGGTGGAATTTCCTTGGGGGATATTCCATTGCGACGCAGGCCCTGACAACTATTGGCATAGTCTCTCAGCCTCTTCTTCTTCTATTTGGACTTTGGATATAGATGACTTACGACAGAGCCAAAACGACCACAGGACTCGGTTAGGAATTCTTCCCCCGTGTATCGGATTTATCCGCAAATCATTCTCCAGCCTTTCGATGAGCTTTTCTAGATCTCCATGGTGAATATACTCGGTAATGATGAAGTCGCGAATGTTATTGTTGTTGGTTAGGGCGGCGGCGTTGTGCGCATTGGCACGATTTCCCTTGACTTCTCTGCGCCGCTCTGCCCGCCATTGCAAGTCACGGTTCCGTCGTCGCATGCTCCGCCTGGTGCGTCGATCATTTATTATCTGCCTCCTTCGCCGTTCAAGTTCGCTGTCCTCTCCACTCGAGTCCTCATGCACACTAGAATCATCAAAGTCCCCCGGGTCTATGTAGTTCCGTATAGTTTTGCCAACGTCCCCAGGTTCGTACAATCTAATGCAATGCGCCGATCTGTTCACTTTCTACGTCGTATCTTGTTACTATACTGTCGGCTTAACTTCGTGCTAGAATCAACTTACTCTGTGTGATTTTGCCTCTTTATGCAGCCTGGGGTCTAAGCGGAAGCTGTTCTGGTAAATTCTTTTTTGGAACTTAACAACATAGTCAGTCCTCACCGGCGGCGGGCCGGGCTCCGTACGTCTGAAAAGAGAAGCAATACCATGGCCCCCATAACCTAGATTGCGCCGGAATGTCCATTCGGGCTACGGCGAGAGGTGTTAGCTGCTGTCGACTTATCATATATATACATCATTGAGGAATAATTCTAAGCCTGCCTAGAAAGAGGGGATGAACAACTTGATGAAGCAGACAGCGCCGAGAAGATGAGATATTTAGGGAATATATATAGCTTACAGGGTTGACGAACCACATCCTGAACAACGAGTGTTGCGTCTGGTAGTTTGCTAGTGCTCCCGGAAGGGGAGCGGCTTGGCCTAGATTCACGGGAGGTGCTGCTGGAAGACCTAGAGCCAGGGGTGCAGGTGGAACAGCTGATGTTAAAACACGTTTTTGTTAGCGCTTTCAACATCCATCGCCTCCTTAAATTTAATAACGCAGATTTGAAATTGTTTCACTCACTGCCGAACGTTAGCTTGGTAAATATTCGCTATGCAACCGAAGGGTAACAATTCCGACACGGTTTGTTTTAATACATACCCGTAGCTAACTTTTGCGTCGCCTTTGGCTGGAAATTTCGCAAACTGCCATAGAGGTACGACTGCAGCGTTCCATATGGTACCCAAGGTAGTCTGGGTGTCTGTCCCCGGATCTCTATACTCCTTGAACATATAGCTCTCTCGCTGAAATATACCTTCATAAGCTCTGTCTCTCCGCGCCTCTTCGGCCGCCCTCGCTGCTGCCGCCATTGTCTCTGTATGCTTTTCTCCTCCCACAAATCTTGTAGTTGTTGAGAGTGTCACTACGCAGAAGTGTAGGTGAAAGTGATTGGCTAAGACACTTGCGCGTGGCATCTTCAAGAGTCGGTAAAATCAAATCTCTGACAAAGAAAAGGGTTCTGACGTTCTCGGCATCTTATTGTCAAACACAATAGAACATCAGAACAAAGGAAAGAGTAGAGTGGAATGTTACCCATCTTGTAAAGGATCCTGGCACCTACTGGAGGTGTTCATGGTTATTATCGCAGTCGATCCACCAAGTTCTCATTTTCCCGCTTTGAAGGCAGCATAATGGTCATCACAGCCGCGGCAAGGTTCAGTGTTAGAAAGAGTAGAAAATGCATGGTTCGTAGACGTATTCTAGATATTAGATGTGTTGTTAATTGCGGTAGGGAGAAATAATTCGAGTTGTGTAGGTAAGAGGACCAGTTGTGTAATTTGGTTAGGCGTTGGAGTACGATGTGAGGGAAACGCCGTTAGCACGAAGGAATTATCATATCACTAAGAAAGGGCCTTGAAGTTCATAATCGTTAGATATTAGACGATAATTCCACAACTCATCACTTATAGCTTGTTGACGTGTATGAAGAGGACCTGTCCAACAAACAAGAATGGTGGAAGAAATATCAAGCTTCAGCCATTGAGTGAGCATACCTTAGTACCTAGGTTATGAGACAAATGATGAGTGAAATTCGAGAGATATCTATGGATTGTATATTTCACTAGTATTTCTCAGGTACCATATACACTTCCAGCAACCAAACCGTTCGTAAACAAATTCATGGAATCTTCGGAGCTGGTTGATGATAAGCCTTAGTGAACAACGTTAATATGTAAATACGGTGTGTTCAGAGCACTGGGTTGCGCATAGGGCGCAGTGGACATTAGATAAAGGCCGGAGTTGGCTGAACATCCTCCATTAGAAGGGAAAAGATACTGGAAGTATAAAAAAGTAAAACGTACTGAGCAGAGGCGGGTTGGATCAAATCAGTTAGGAGGTATTCAAGTACAAATAAAATTTACCAAGTACGTAGCATATTTATTGGCCAATCAAAATCTAGGAGAAGCCTTTAAGGTTTTAAATCACTGTCAGGTACGGGGGTACTTGACTGCCCAAAGCGTAGGTGAGTCACGTCGTCAAGGGTGACGATGATTTTTGGTGTGATTCAGCACTTTACGTACGGTACGGTACCACTTGATTTTTGTCTATTCCAATCGTACATTCCCAGAATGGAATATTATTTTCCAAAATTCGAACTCGTAGCAGGGTCAGTAACGAGCACACTCTCTAATCAGCAGCACTCATCCCATTCCACCCTTTGCTATAAATACCCAGGTCAACTTCTCATCTTCAAACTCTCCCACCTTCAACTTTCCAACACAACTTCCACCCTCACCTTCGAAATCCAGCAACATACAAACTGTAAGTTTCCTTTTCACTCCATGTCACTAAGTACCTAGCCCTTCTTCTTCTTCCTCCTTCGTAGTATTACCACCTCTACCTTTGCACCCTTCCATCACCATCTTCCACCATCACCACCTTCCATCATCACCTACTTCTACCACCACTTTCTTCCATCATTATCTTCCATCATCACCTTTCATCATCATCATCTTCCATATTATCTTCAATCATCAACATCAACCTAACCTTATCTCCATCCACCCTTACTCACGAGTCCAGACATATTCAAATCGCATCGACTAAATATGCCACACCAGTCGCGATCGCCTCACCATCCGTCGCAAAAATAAAAGTAAGTCTATTGATCATCCCGCTCCACTAACTTGCCTCGTCCTCTACCATCTAATAAACCTGTACCCGAATAAAATGCCCTTACCCAACCATTTTAACCAACAAAAATATTTTTTCATCACCCATCATTTGACACCCGTCTAACGATTATTTCGTAATCATGAAATCCTACCTTGCCCTTCACTATCTCTTCCCTCAATTTTTTTTTCACTTCAAAATAAATCCCCCTTCAACGTATCTCACTAACCAACAATGTTTTTTTCACCTGCCCCTTCAGACATCCTTCGACACCCGACAACGAGTTACCACGACGCCGAACCCGAGCTTCCTGATCTATCGGAGATTATAGGAGCAAAGCCCCCTCTCAACCGTCGACAAACCTACCCTCTTCCCCCCCGGAAAAAAAAACACAGGTGAGTGCCTTCCTCCCCGGTCAATCCCGTCGCAAAGAGCCAATCAAACCTCCCCGTTCCGGCGGGCTACAATGGTCCCTGGACGCGCGCCTTGCCTTCGGGCCCGCGACGCAGAGAAGCTCAAGTGTTCCCGAAGAAGCTCCAGATCCCGGCAGCTGAGTGCATGTGATGCTTGGCGGCTAGAGGCCAACCGGGTATCCCAAGTTGCCTGCGAGACTTCGAAGCTCGCCTTGGGTATATTGGCGGGGGCGTAGGCGAAGATAACCGAAACGTCGTAGCTCCGGCTGCCCTTTCTCCCTTCTTTCCCCGGCTGTCGCGATGCGGCGCCGCCCCGCCATGTGAACTTGGCCCACGATGCGCGACTAGTAAGGTCGCCCTCTGCTAAAGAGGACGGCGCCTCGTGTGCCCGACAAAAGGCCAGACCCCCTAGGGGTCCGCGGGGTCGGGTAGTTTCGAGCTGCCCTTGGTCGCTCGGTTCGTTATGGGTAGGCCTCGTTTAAATCGCCCCTCGCGGCAAGTGCTGCCAGGGGAAGCCGAGACTAATACCATGTGGGTTGGACCCCCCTCCAGGGTGAGGATGCTTCGAGGGTCTGTAGTTTGGATCTCCGGTCAAGGGGTAAAGACCGGTCTGTGGTTTAAGGTTAGGACCCCACCTATGGATGGCTTTATAGCTGAGATCCTTAGCCGCGATGGGGGGCCCGGGAGGATCTGTTGGTCCTACCCCCAGTTTTTGCTCCCCTTTTATTTTCCTTTGTCAATAATATAGATCACCTTCGAGTGGGGGAGATCTCCAGTCATGTTTTCCTTTTTCTATTTCTTTTTGGAATCTTTTTTGGAATCTTTTTTGGAATGCTATTTCGCGCTTGTTTCTCTTGTTTTCTCTTGGTGAACTTGATAACCTTTCACAGATCTAGGTTTCGCCCTCGGCGGAGGCACTGAGAGCCATCTTGAAAAGCTCGGGCAATCCTCGCTCAAGTATGAGGGTTGCCAAGGGGGGAGACTTGCCATTTGCTTCAGCGCAGTCGACCCTCTTCTATTCCCATTGGGAATAGAGGGCATAATTTTTCTACCTTTCTTTTTTTTTTTTTTTTTCGTTGTGAGCGTTGCTTTGAGCATCGCCATGAGGAAGACATGCCAGCCATCCGGACAGTTCCTAGTAATGATGTGCTTGACCGCTGCTCAACCAAGCTATGTACATGTTTACTACATTTACTACATTTACTACATCTCACACCGTAGTCTAGGTAACTTACTAAAGTCTGATCCATCACATACACTTAATTCCATCAAGACGTATTGTGAAGATATACAGTTCAAGGGACCACCCCAAATTCTGGCTCGTACTTCTCGAAGGACATCTTCTAATCACCTAAAATTAGAACCTCGACTATTTTACTTAAGATTCATTACACCTATTATCGAATTTGCAATTCTGGGTTTTCTTATTTCTAATTAGTGTTACCCGTCATGAAGTGGACATGTACGTGTCCATGGCAACATCTTCCGGTGAGTACGATTTGGTGATTTCGGCTTCGAGACGCAAATCTCGTGCTCCATTTTTGCAAGCCAGCCCCCGTCTACCTTCTTAATGGCTCTATGGGTGAATCCTAGGTATATTAAGTAGCCATGGGAAATAGCTTAGGTATAGTTAACATTGTAGTTGATTTTTAGCGCCTACATTATGTAAGATGCTTATCTACCTTAACTTTTTACTAGACAATGACTTCATAATTATTCAAATTTCAAATACTATCGAAATAGAGACCCGATCGACATGTCGAAGTAATCCATAGTGCAGTGACATATATAGGCACGAGTAATGACATGTATGATCCGTATCTTACTGAAGAACAGCACATCTAAATGCGATGTGTTTGACGACCTTAACAAGTACTAGCTGGTAGATTTCACATTCAGAGCGAGGAACACTGGTCACGGTTTAAACACATCAAGGTACATTTGTGTAATGATCAATTTTGGGGGGTAAGCTAAAAGCTAAACGCATCATTGCCGTCTTGCTAAGCCTACCGAGTAACTGACTAATGACTACGTCCATCGAAGGCCAATTTACCACTTGGTAAGACCAACAAAGTGAGTCGTCTAGCTTCTCGGATTTCGGAAGATCAGTGTCCTACCACTTGGGAGCGACATCATTAAGAGCAACTTTCCTGGTGACAAACTGGGTTGTTGATATGGTTACCAGTTCGTTGCGCAGTGCTCTTTCAGTGATCTTCCCCACATCAAGATTCACTCAGAATCCCTGTGACTTATAGAGGGTAGGAGCTTTCAAGCTACCATTGACGACCCTCGTTCAAAATGTATCACCATCTCCTCCTCAACCACTTCTCCATTTCTCCTTCTCAGGTTGGAGCTTTAAAGCTACCAAATTGCCTGTGTAGAAATTATCCTCTCACGTGGTTGACCAAGGTTCAAATGTTCCTCATAACTCGATTAACTCCGTTCTCATTGGGACTTGTGCAGGGGTGTGGGCTACATGCAGGGCAAAGCGGGGGAAATTTTTGGGGGTATGATGTCTGTGCTGTGACTATGTGCTGGATTGCCCAATGAGTTCGTAATATCGGGTTTGCGAAAAGATTGTAAGGACGCCGCCTTACATATCCATCGAGTCGGCACCGTTCGCGAAGTTGAATCCGCCGCCTTGCCCGCCGTTGGTTCCAAATCCGAACGTGCCGTTAGCCTGGGTTTGAGCGGCCATGCCATCTTCAGCGTTCTCATCTTCGTCGGAGAAGTACTTCTCGATGATGTTGTAAGACTTCATGTAGATCTCCTCGTTCGCGTTTGTCTGACAATCGTGGATCTTCTCCATACCTCCGCATTCCTCGATGAACAAGGCGTAGCGGTTGATCGACTCAGGACCCTCGCCAGCTGCCTGCTTGTCAAGATCACCCACCTTCAGGATATTCTCTAGGCCGTCAAGAGCGACTTGGATGATCTTGTTGTCAGGGCATCCAAGAAGGTCGCATAGAGGCTTGATGCAGCCCTGCGAGACCAAATATCTGATCTGTTCGGGCTTTTGAAGACCGCCGCTAGTCGCATTACTTATGGCCCAGCATGCCTCCTTACGGGTTTTCAGATCGCCATTGGACAAAAGATGGATTAGAGGCGGGATCAGGTTGTGATCGATGACAGACTGGATCTGCTGAGAGTTGCCAGCAGTGATGTTCGAGATGGTCCAGCATGCCTCCTTGCGAATACCATCCTTGTTGGAGCTCAAGAGAGATAGCAGGGAAGTCAGTGCGCCGCAGTTAATGATGACTTGGGTCTGGACGTCGTCACCAGTAACAATGTTGCCAACAGATCGGAGCGCAGGGGTCTGGACGGATGTGGAAGCATGCATGAGCAATTCCACGAGGCGGCGGGGGATTCCGGCTTCGATAACGGCTTGGATCTTATCATTAGACCCGTCAGACAGATACGAAATGGCCCAGCAGGCATCGATAAGAACTTCATCGTCAAGGGAGTAAACCAGCTTGGCCAGAACCGGGAGCGCGGGTGCAATCTGTTAGAGTCAATAATATGATCGATCAAGATATAAGTGTGATTAAACTCACGGTATTCCAGTCTGGTTGAGGGGTCTTGCCTCGGCAGAAGTTACTCAACGTCCATGTAGCATTTCGAAGCATGCTGAGCTTGCGGCTGTCACCAAGTAGATTAAGTAGAGGCTTCAGGGCGCCGCAGCTCAAAACGTAATCTCGGCATGATGGACTGTCGCCAGCGATGTTGCCCAAGGCCCATACGGCCTGCTCACGAACGTCAGGCTCGGGGCTTGAGAGGAGCTCGACAAAGATAGGAACGGCGCCAGCCTCGATAACTACTTGAGTCTGAGTTGCACTTCCCGATGCGATATTGGTCAATGCCCAGGCAGCCTCAAACTGAACCAAGGTATGAGGCGAACGAAGGAACTCTACGAATCGGGTAACGACACCGGTCTTGATGACCTCCTCGATAGGAGGGTTTCGCTCTTTAGAGAGAAGCTTTCTGAACTTAGTAGTAGCTTGAATCTGCAAATCGATTTGGTCGGAGAAGACACCTTGGACCATCTGAGGGAGGTCCTCGTTAAGCTATTTGATTCGAGTATTAGCATCATGATTAGATAGAAAGATAGGCATTGCAGATGGCGATGGCGACAAGCGACGCTATTTTTCCGATAGTATGGATGCGGTTGATTACTGTGGAGCCACTCGTCGCCATAGCAAAGTGGAACGGGAAGAAGGAAAAAAATAAAAATAAAAACAAAACACGGATAAACATCGTTGTAGATAAAAATCATACCTGACTCTCTGTGGGAGCAGATTCATCATCGCTGTCAGGAGCAGCGCCTAAGGAAGCACCAGGACGCGAGTCGCCGGTGCCAATACCTCGTCGCTTGGCCAAGTTCTCCTCACGCTTAGCCTTACGGATCTCGACAGCTTGCTCCTCACGTCGTCGGCGAAGTTCATCGGGCTTAAAGGTGCCCTTCGCCTTATAGTTAGTACGACGATGCTCGGGGATGAATCTGTCGGCCATGATTGCTGATGGTGTATTCGCTTGACCGTTTCAAGTGGCGGAATAGACCAAATAGGTGTGGTATTTGGGATAAGGCGGGGTGATTTGTTTTGCTCGCCCCCGTCAAAGTTTTAAGGGTTGACGAATTACGGAATGAAATTGACGTGGAGACGATCAAGTATTGGTATCGCGTTGTGATGGAACAAAATGCACCTCTTTACTCGTCCACGCGAAAGTTGGAAGAGAAAGAGAGTGGAAATAGTGGAAGTGGAAAGAAAAGAGTTGGTTGTTCTAGTGGGGGAAATTATTCTGATGCTGGAAACAGCAGAAGAATTTGGATTAAGATGGATTTGGTCGCTCTTTCAACCGCTAGCGGGGATCTTTTAGGTTCAACAGGATGAGGCAGCCAGATCTGGGCCAATCAAGGTGCCTTACATCAACCCCACCTCACAGCACAGACCACATAGAGGAGCATATGAAAGGCAGGTGACTATCATGTGACACCGTACCGTGCATCACAAAGGGATTTGTCTTATTATGCAATTTATGCAATGTTATACACATTCATGCACCTAATGCAAAGTTAAATCACCTTTGACGCGCCTCGACGCGCCTTAATTATAAACCCTAACCTCACTCCATACCTTCTTTCACATTTCATATTCACAGCTTCTAGATGCCTCGACAAGGTCATTGTAAGACAAAGGCTACTTGCCAGCGTTCTACATCTAATGTGGCAATCCCACAATATGATTCATTATTGTCAATATGACCATGCGGCGGCAACCAAGCTCCGCGGCGCAAAATCAAAATTCTAAGCGGCAGAAACAACCTCAACTTCCTTCAGTGTATACGAAGATCCAGGATGTTCTCGACGAAACTATCCCGGTGGGGAAACTCGTTAGTGTCATCGGATTGGTGAAAGACCGTAGGGCTCCAAGGGAGACAAGTGGTGCTGGTACGTCCTTCTAGATACATGCACCCTAGCCGAGTTTAGCTAATACGAGAAGACTGGAAATCCACCCTTACCATCTATGACAAATCAATCGAGGATGAACCCGAGAGAGGGCTGCCTGTTAATATATTCAGGCCGCAAGCTGAAATGCCTGAGCCAGATGCTACTGACGTCGTGGTGATACTTTCTGCAAAAGTTCAATCCTATCGCGGTGAGGTGTCCTTATTAACACATCGATCGACTGTGATTCATGTATATTCGGCACGTCAGATTCCAAAGCCCCCCAAGTCAGCAAAGCAGGCTCTGGAAGCTCCTCTGCGACCAAAAGATCGTCCTCCGGGAGATCCGGAGCATGAGTATGTCTCATGGTTGTATCACTCTATCGTCAAAGATACTATACCCGACGCCGAAGAGTTCGAAAATTTAGTTTCTCAGTCTCGGAACTACAAGGATAAGTTCCAGACTTTGAGTGATATCCACGACAACCAATTTTGCGATACCATCGTCAATGTAGTCAGGGAGCCCTACGACCAAATGGGCACGACTACTCTCTGGGTCTCAGATTACACCGAGAATGAAGCTTTCTACAAATTCTCCTGGAATGCTGGAGACGTGTCCGACGGCCGTGACGGAGATCCGTATGGCTATACTACGAAGAATATAACCCCTAGTACCTGGGCTGGTCCTTACGGGAAACGCTCAATGCAAGTGACATGCTTTGGAATGGACGCAGATTTCGCCCAAAAAGAAGTCAGAGCAGGAGACTGGATCTTTCTCCGAAATCTACACGTGAAGTACGGACATAACCTCAATAACCTAGAAGGGTTCGTGCGGGAAGATCGTACTGCTTTCTACTCGGGACTCAAAATCGAAATTCTCCAAACTGATGACCCAGAGACCATCGACGGCCGTCTCAAAGAAGCTATCAGGCGAAAGAGAGATTATGAGAAACTAAAGAAACAGCAGCAGAAGAGTTTTGCTGCGAACGAGGATAACACTAAGAGAAAAGCTGAAAATCAGACAGAAGGAAAAATGACATCGAAGAAGCGACGCGCCCTAGAGAGAGCTCAGAAGAACAAGGAAGTCGACGACAGAGAGAAAGAAAAGGAGGCAAGGCTTGGCCTTAACGAACAAAGTAGGTCGAGTCGATACATCTTCGTTGCTTGCCCCTATACTAACGACCAATTTAGTCAAGTGCGAGAATATTGACCAGCCTATTTTCGCCGTTCCGTCCATAATCAAACCAGTTCAATACAAAACAACAGTCAAAGGCCAAGAAGTAGAATTAACCCTTCCTTTTACTTGTGCAAGGTACCGAGCCAACGTTCGAGTCGTAGATTTTCGACCTTCTAGGTTGGCAGATTTTACAACTTGGCGTAAGAACCTCGAATACGACGCACTATCAGATCACAGTGGTGACTCCGACTCTGAGTCAGGAGACGACGGCACATTAAACCGATACGCGGGGAAGAAGATATGGGAATGGAGATTTTCTCTCCTACTAGAAGACGCTGATCCAAAGCACAAGGGCGAGGATAACAGGTTCTGGGCCGTAGTCGGCAATACCGAGGCACAGCTTTTACTCAATCTCGATGCGACAGAGTAAGTCGTTCTCCTCATCCCCTTCCTTGGTCTACTGAGATTTACTATATTTATCTAACGTTTCACTAACCTAAAACTAGCCTCAGAGCAAATCCCGACGATCTAGATACGCTACGAGAGAAGCTTTTGCAGCTCTGGGGTAACCTGGAAGAATGCAAGCAACAGGAGCTACAACGACAGGCCATGGATAAGAAGCGAGTGGCAGCCAATCAACCACCCCCTTCCTCGCCCCCTCGGCCATCAAGTAGCCGTCGCGTGGAGACGACCAACAACATCGAGACCGCTCTCTCGAATAAGCCTTTTTCTTGCTGTGTCCGCCAGTATGGCATCAAGATCCGTGAGAAGGATCCCCTAAAGGCAGATGCCGATGACGGGAAGCGTTGGCAAAGAATGTTCGCTCTATTTGGTACCAAGATCAGTTCCTGAAATAAGAACAAAACATATAAGAGATTCGATGACATAGTTATAACTTGGCTGGCGACTATCCCACAGCCCACAAGATATTCTCGCGAGTAGAACAGTTTCGTCCGAAGTAGTCTCTAAGACATTGCTTTGCTGACACATGCTTAAGGATTTCGGTATGGAAGTTATATGGATGCGGCCCTTATGGCTAGGAGACGAAATAGGGGCACACGTATCAACGGCGCAATAATCCCGCCATTCAGGAGGGTTTGCAACTTATGATATTAAATGATATTCACATCCAACCGAACTTGACTGCCTGAACTCTGTGATAACCAAAAGAAATGCAAACTCAAATAGGAGAGGATCGTACGAGATAGTAAGTGGCATTACTACTCTACTAGCATCCAATTAAGCCTTAATAAAATATGGACGAACGTATAGTAATCCCTATTGCTACCTGAGCTCACGTGTCTTGGTGACGATATCATAGCATTATTAACTTCTGCCAAATTCACAAGCAAACACAATTCAAAGTCGAAGAAGGGGGAATCAAGCAACCCATTTTCTCCTCCTGCAAGTACTATCCATCATACCTAACTACAAATCCGCCTGCATGCATCTCGCCCTCTCCTCTCCTCTCGAGCACTCGGGAGACGAAACAGATAGAAAAAGGAGTCGGATTAATCAAACAAAAATAAAAGGTCATTCGCAGCGACTCCAGCCCGCTCCACGTACGTACGTCACGGTGAATCGTATCAATCAACTCTAGGGATCTCCCCTCCACCTTTGCACGCGCGTTCCGTAAGTTCGTTCCATGTTTCCCGTCCAAGCCATAAAGTAGGTACACGAATAAAGGTAGTATAGAGTAGTAAAAAAGGTCATTTCATTACCGCCAGCCAGCCAAGCTTAGCTTAGCTTAGCTTAGCTATTCTCATTATCAGGCAGGTAGGTATTTAATCCCCGATCACGTCGTCGTCCTCCATCGGCTCACCCGCCGGTCTCTCCTCTTCCTCGTCGTCTTCGATGGGATCGTCGAGCAGCTCCCTTTGCCTTAGATCTTCGACGGTGCCCTCTTCGGGCTCAGGTTCCGGTTCATCGAACGGATCGTCTACCCTCGGGTTCTCGTCGTCATCGTCATCCTCGATCACCAGCTCCGCACTCAGGGCTGGTTTCTTGGCCGCTTCCTTGCCTTTGGTCTTAGCTGTAGGCTTCTTCTTCCCGTCTCGCAGCTCGCGGAGGTGATCTTCGTCTAAGTATGCTACGATATCCCTGTAATTGTTTCCGAGCTTCGTCTTGTTGCGATTGAGGCGTTTCCGTAGCTTCCCTGCGTCTGGTCCGCTGTGGTCGATGGTCTTGGCTAAGATGGCAAGGACGAGTTTGCCGGTGAGCTCACAAAGGATCTTCTCGGCCTTCAGCTCGGCCGCGAAACGCTCCTGCTCCGTGAGTTCCTCATCCTCGTCGTCCTCGGGTGGTAGCTCGTCGTCTAGAGGATCTTCATCGTCTACGGGTTCATTCAATGGCTTGTTAGCCCGCTTCGCATATGCACGCTCCGCCGCATCAAATATCGGTATAATCTCCTGGGTGATCAGAGCTTGGGGCATTTCCTCGAGGAGAGGACGTAGCTTCTTGTACTTGGTGGCTTGCGGGTCCTGAATCACAGGTCGAAGGAAAACGAATAACCCACAGAGGTCACAAGCTGTCCCGACGGCATAAAGACGAAGGTCATCGTTGAAACCTCGAGAAGAAAATGTCTGTATAAGGTTCGTGACAAAGTCTTTGCGTAAGATGACCAGCTGATCGACATCGCCATCAGGTATATCTTCATCGCTCTCGACAATACTTCGTAATCTCTTTACTTTCCACATAAAGTAGAACTGGCATGCTTTTATAGCAAAAGCGACAATTTCGTCCTCGGGGTCATCAAGTTCTTCGTTCGACTCTGTCAATAGACCACGATGCACAATGCCGGTGAGAATCTTGATAGCTGGTTGGTCAGAGTCTCGAGATGTCCCCGGTGTTTCAAGGACGTCGACGCAGTCAGATATCGCGACTAACTTGCTTATCTTCATTAGAATTTGCGAAAGTTCGGAAAGCGTTGTCCGATCCAGATTTAGTCGAGCAGACAATTCACAAATTTTGTCTATACCTCGCAGGGAGTTGAGTGAATTGTCCCAGAGTATTGCTAGTTTATTGTCGGTCAATTCCTCGAGCTCCTCGTATTGTCGAGCGTGGATAAACGCGGTGGCTGCCTCGTTGAGAAGTCCCTGATCAACATGACGGTTGAACTGAGTTGTAATCTCATCGAGGAGCTTATCGTATGTCGCCGAGTTTTGACGCAGCTGTTGGAACACTTCCAGGTCAAGGAAATGCTCCAGTCGTAGTACAGTGGCGGCCATCGCGGGGTCTGATCCGAACTTGCTCAAAAGACGGGGGATGAGCGAGGCCAATTTTATGCCAGCATCATCCTGCGCATCTGTGTCAAGCCTGCCAGTCTTCTTTTTATGTCGGTCGTGCTCTGCTGATGGCAGAAGGCCCTCCTTTACTGCAGCTGCGAGAACCTCAAGCAAGATAACCTCCTCTCGAGAGTCGGGAGCTACGGCTTTCTTCGTAGCCGCCTCAACCGAGTTTGTCTTCGAACTTTGTCGGGATTTGGCGCTAGTCGAGTGATCAAACAATAAGTACCCAGCAAGAATCTGCCAGTTGCTTATTTCTGGTATTTTCTCGTAGAGCACCTGAGTCGCCAGCGCAATTCGCGAGTCTGGCACATTGGCGTTAACCACATCTGCCGCTACGTCCAATCCGTGACGTATCTCTTCTTGCTCATCATCTAGTTGAGCATCGTAGACGGCAAGATTCTCCGCGAGGGCTTTGATATTAATCCAATCCTTCCGCAGAGAATCATAATCGTCCCCTTCGTCATCTCCGAATACTTCTTCTAGGGCATCGCTGCCACCAATATCATCTATTTTATTATCAATCAACTCCTGAACCAGTGCCGAGAAGAAACCAACAACAGCTTTACGAATCCTCAATTCAGAATCGAAGAGCAGTTTACTAACAGAGTCTACTTCCTCGGGCTCGAGCATACCCGACGCACGGAGGATATCGACGACTCCAATCGCAGCAACACGTACGGAGACATCAGAGTCTTTAGTTGCCATTTCGACCAGACGGGGCCTGAATCTGTCGATAAAATGGGCCAACTTCTCAGCATCTCGTTTCAGGACTCGCGCCAATTGCTTCAGAACTTCTAGCCGGGTAGAAACCGAAACATCAGATAGCAGCCATCCTAAGTATCGCAAGTACTCAGGGGACATATACACAGTTGGAAGGGTACAAATCCAGGTACCAAGCGCTTCGATGCACTCGGCACGGATTTTGGGGTCGATATCACGGTATCGGTGAACAAAAACAATGTCGAACAGATCCTTCACTTTTCCATCAACGAATTCGCGGCTACGGTTTGCAGCCTCGATAGCTTTTCTCGTATTCTCAACGAGATGCTTGTTCTTGCCTCGACGGCTAGACTCGGCCTGCAGAGCTTGGTTGGACTTCGTAATTCGTTCATCAAGCGACTTCGCTACCGCAATCAGCGCGGTGAGAATTGCTAACCCTACAGTCGTTGCCGTATGTCTAAAGGGGCGTAGCGAAGAAGACGACATAATGCCAACCCATCGCTGGATATTGTCTAACAGGTCTTCATCGTTGTAAAGGACATCGGTCTCGTGAAGAACCTTGACCAAAGACTCGAAGAAGCCAACGAGAAGTTCACGAAAATTTTTGCTACTCTTCGCCCTCGAGATAAGAGGATAATCTGAAATACTAGTCTGTCCGCGAAATTATTAGCACGTGTGAGATAGAGGGACATAAGTTTTTCCAGGGATAATAGCGCACCTGCTGATAAGCATCCTCAAGTTCCGACAATCTATTTGCGGAGTTATCGGGGTCTCGAATATCGTCCTCAGTCAACTGTTGGTCACAGCCGGCTGCAAGCAAAACGCAGTTAATAACATCGGTCAATGCTTTGGCGTCATCTTGCTCGTAACGCTGGAACCAATGCGTAGCAACATTGTCGGAAGAATCGCCAGAACCGAACACGTCAACTAGTAGTATGTTAGTACAGTGATAGATACAGAGAAGCGCGATTATCCATATAGAGCTCTCACCATAAAGGCCATCTCCGTCTGGGTGAGCAATGGCGACTCTAACCGTCTTCTTTGGTCTGTTTGGAAGCCTAACAGCAGGCGCATTGGATGCGGACACAGCATCCACGGGAGCGCTGCCATTTACTTTCGTGCGCTTGGCTGCTGGCTTCTTGGAACGAGATTTTTGCTTTGATTTAGACTTCTTGGATCTAGAAGCCGGTTCCTCTTCACCATCGTCATCTTCGTCGGGATCGCTTAATTCTTCATCCTCTTCCTCGGCAGGAGATTCGTTCTCGGCATCTTCCTCGTCGCGATCAGGACCTCTCTTGCGCTTGGACGAGGCAACTTCGTTTTGTGGTTCAGGAGAGAATTTCTGAGGGGCTCTCACAACGCGTCCGGATCTTCGTCGCGAAACGTCGGGGGCGGACGCGGGAGAAGAGGTCGCGTTATTATCTGAAGTCTCCATTAGGGGCAATCTGGATGGTGACATGTGGACATTTGGGTATTTAAGATTGAAGGTTCAATGCGATGCGACGTTTACCGCCATGAATGAATAATTGCGATTGACTGTGGAATGTTGACTAGAGGAGGATTCGTTGGCAATTCAGGCGCGTCAAGGTTGGAGAGTTGGTGTCTTAGTGTCTTAGTGTCTTAGTGTCTCGTTGGTGGGGAGCGTGTTTGGATTCGTCGAAATTCGAACCTGGGAAACTTCCAAGGATCCGGGGTCTGTCTCCTATCCTTTTTATCGCATAATCGAGTCTGCACCACTTCTTCAGCTTTCTTCTTTTGGTTTAATATGGATATGTAGATGCATATCAATATGCATCTAGGAATGATAAGATACGTACCCCTGCTCCACTATCATCCGCCCTCCGCCCTTCTTTACACATAGAAATCCAGAAATACCAGAAATACACGACCACACTTACACCTACATATGTAGCCAAGAGCTTAAGACATTGAAAATGAAGTCAAATGATCTGTCAACCCCTTTCTCTTAGCTAATAACCTGATGATCTATTCTTTATATCCTATTTAGTTGGTTTACAGTTATGAGCCGATCCTATCCTCTCTAACGTGTTTACTCTCCTTTCCAACAGCATCTCCCAAATATTTATTCTCGTGTCCCGGGCCTTGAGATAAGCATCAATGCCTAGAAATTCTCGGTGGAAATTCTCAACCTTCTCCTTCTCTCCAATATGAATTGAGTCTAACGAGCCAGTTCACATTTTCTTTGGATTCTTTACAAAATGGAATCACCATTTCCCAAGTCGGCATCCATCCCCGGAGAGGGTCGAATAGTTGCCAAGCTTACACCCAACAATGTCTCTGCGCTTGAGAGTATGACCTACCAATATCCTCTAAAGCTTATATCGCCTGCCTCTGCCGCTGAACAGGGAAGCGTCTTGGTGTTCCTTTTATCATATGGCGGAGGCATTGTTGGCGGCGACCAGATCAACCTCTCTATCGACGTTCAACCAAGTGCGAGACTCAGCATTGTTACTCAAGGGCATACCAAAATATTCCGGCCCACGCAACCAGATACTGTGACAAGGCAGAATCTTCAAGTCGAAATCAAGGACGGAGCTGCCCTCTGCCTTGTTCCAGATCCTATTCAGCCGTTTGAAGGTAGCGTATACGAGCAGATCCAAACGTTCAAGTTGACCGACGATGCATCTCTATGCTTGTTGGACTGGGTTACTCAAGGTCGTGTTGCTCTGGGCGAAAATTGGAGTCTCGATCGATGGGTCGGACGCAATGAAGTTTGGTCTACTTCTGATGCCGCAACTTCTAAGGATCGGCTTTTGGTCCGTGACAATATCATTCTTGATAGTAAGAATAGACCTCCCGGGTCGCCCTCGCTTCGAGAGTCGATGTACGGTCAAGCAATCATGGGAACTTTGATCCTCCGAGGCCCAATGACCGAATCCATGGGTGAATTCTTCCTGGCCGAGTTTGCCGCACTGCCGCGAATAGGTGCTCGAGATTTCCGTAGCACCGAAGCACGTGAAAAAGACGAAGCACTACCTCAATCCGCTCTTGAAAGCTGGAGAGCTAGGAGGCTAGACGAAGAGAGGGATAAACAGATCCTCTGGTCAGCCGCCAACGTACGCGGTTGCATCGTTGTAAAATTCGGCGCGGCGACTGTTGAAGGTGCTCGAAACTGGATAGGGTCGATGCTGTATCAGGAAGGCAGTATTGAACGGCACTTTGGTGAACAAGCACTAATGTGTGTTCGATGATGATCCCTTGCATCTCGACGGTGTTATGAAGGTCACGAGGAAGCAAACTACTTAGTACATAACGAACTGTAAATTGGAGAATAGGGCATATATTCAAGCCACCTATCTTAAGGTAGCGCATTGCTTTATACCCTTAGCGCTTGGTAGAAGCCTTCGAGGCTTGCTGACTAGCATGTTTTTACCCAGATATGCCAACGATGGAGTTCTAATGCAAATCCGATATGTATAGAGGATAGAATTTTGTTCAAAAGTAAAAGTTAATTTCAATAACCATTAATTCATAAATAACAGGTAGGCAAATAAGGTAATTCAAGGCGAAACTTCTAATCCTAAGTTTCTGATCCTTTCCGGGTCAAGTTCAACCACGTCGCAAATCACATCTCCCCCTATTATCCGTCACCCCTTATTTGACATATTAGGTAATTTTCTATGATATGATTGGAGGGAAATCCATCTAGGTACACAAGTACGTGGGTGGCTCACGCAGATCAACTGAAGGAATTGCCAGTCTTCAGAAGTCTTCATGATCACTTTCACTTAACAGACCCTTCCACACTTCAACCTCTAGTGTTCCTACATTCCCAAGCCATGTCAAACTCTTGCTTACAAAACCGTCAAAAGTGGAACCAGGTGGTAGCCAGTCGCCCAGCGCTGGCACTTCGTTAACCAATTAGGTAATCATCTTGCCCCACTACCGAACTCTATGTACCTTAACTTACAAGGGTGCCCCACCATAAACTTTTCTAATCATTCACATTCGACTCATCTTCAACTTACTTATCCATTCACTTGAATCTAAGTAATTCAACAATTCAACATTCAAAGATATTCAGTTCGAATACTTTTCTTAGAATCAGGTTGATAAGCATCGGCGATATTGCAAGATGCCTCCCCGTGCTTCACGAGCCGGTGCGAGAGGACGGGGTCGCGGCCGTGGACGCGGATCGGCTAGGGGTGGACAATCAGGTGCCGCAGACAGAGTCGATGGAGAAACTGTCCCCGACATTCCATCGCAGACCCAAGCACAGGACTCTGATGGAAGTGACTTGGTGATGCAAGATGCATCCGTGCGCCCAATCGAGATCTCGGCAACACCCGAGCTTCAATCTGAACAATCAACCGCCCCTAGTGCAACGCAGTCACGAGCCCCGAGTGCTGCGCCGTCACGTGTTGGTGGTCGATTCAGACCTAGGAATGTCCGCAGAGATGCGGCAGAACGAGCAAGGCTCGAGGAGGAGAGAAACCGTGATCTGAATATGAAGATCAAGGAAGAGGAGCGAGAGCTCCGGGCTGAAGAACGGCGAGCACGACGAGGCCGTGGAAGGGGAGACTTGTCTCAACGAGGGTTTTCTCGGCGAACTATCACTGCTTCTGGCCCGTTCTCTGGAGTGCCCCAAGGTAAATATCCCTCATCATCACTCGAGATCCTTGAATCAAAGCAATTAACTAACTCCCACTTAGAGAATATCGGCTGGGGACCAAAGACCGACCGTACTGGGTTCAGTTCTCAGTATTCATTTACAAGATATAAACCTAGACGAGAGAATGAGCACAGAATTAATGTCGACACTCTCAATGGGTATACCGAGTATGAGGACAGCTCTCGCGCCTTTGGCAAGTCGCGCGGAACCATGCCAGTCGGTCTGCTTCGTATCCAGCACGAAGAAGAAGAGGTCAAAGTCAAGACCACGGCAGAGCTCGAGGCCGAAGAACGCCAATCGTCCGATGACGAGGATCTATTCCTTCCCGAGTCGGCCGAAGACCTGCGAAATGTCGGCATGCCAGAAGATAGTGAAGTCTGGCATGCCGCTCCCAAAAAGAGCCAGGTCAAAGTGAAGACCGAACCGGGTACCGAGCCTGATGCAATGGACATCGACATGGCAAACATACCCGATGCAACACAAGCCAAGGCACCTCCGCCAGAAACAAAGAGGCTTGTCAATGAAGTTGGTGCCGCGGCTATCAAGCGAAAGCGCAAGTCGAAGGCCGCCAAGGACCCCGAAATCGCGCAGACCATATACGATTTACAATACCAACTCGATACCCTCAGTTTTCACGATGCTCCCGCTGGAAAGGAGGGTGAAGGCCAAGAACCACGACGCCAATCTAAAGACGACCAGATCATGCTCTTTCAGTTACCACCCATCCTGCCGCCGTTAGCCCGGCCTACGAATGATTCGGACGAGCAGACGGACGGTGATGATGTACGGAACGCTAGTCCCCAAAACCAAACCAAAGTCAAGACCGAGGAAGGCGCCAAGAAGGAAGAAGGAGATTGGAACCCCTTCGGAACCCTTCCGCCGGAGGGAGGTCTCATCGGCAAGCTCATCGTGCGCAAGTCGGGCAAGATCGAGTTCGACTGGGGAGGAACTACGCTCAGCGTGGGGGCCGGAGCAGAAGCGGAGTTCACGACTACCGCGCTCATGGTCGAGCAGAACGTGGACCTACAGAATCCGGAGCTGAGCACCGGAGTTGCTTGCGGCATGGGCCAGATCAATAATAAGTTTGTGGTAGCGCCGGTCTGGGACGAGGAGGAGGATTGGGATCCGAACCTCGACGAGATTGGGCTTTGAGGAATGATGATTAGTTACTGGCCTGGACTACTATAGCGCCAAGCCCCGTTGGAAGAGTCGGAACAATGTATCACGAGTATTTCACGATGGGTCCCAGTTGTCTGGGTCAAATCGCAGGGTTCGGTTATTTTTCTGTTGGGAATATAAAAAAAAGGTTCCGACTGGCTCCTGGGCTCTAGGCACCGGGCACCGGATGGTGAAGCCAAAATCAAGCAAAAAACTATGATACCCCTAGCACTTATTATCCCTGACCCCTGTGATATGTATCATAAGCTTCAAAACCCGACCCTTAAGCACATAAGCCGAGCGAGGTAAACGAATGTGACGTTCCCAGGACCATGTACTATGAACACCATCTGTGCGGCGGCGGCAGCGGCGAGCGTTCTTTTCCGGTACCCCATTATCTTATTATCTTATTAGGCCGTGGTATAGCATATAATAGGGCGGCCAGAGCATAATACTTCGCCTCACAGCGTCGCCGTTCCGCGGTTTCACTGGGAAAAATCCTGCGACGATCCTGGTTTAGCCGCGTTGCAACGTCCAGCTTACTTATTACTCGGTACCCCGTAGATGAAGCTAAAACCACACAGTACTAGTTACTGAGAGTAATACTAGAGTTTGAATAGATGAATTATTAATGTTGGTAAGTTTTATAATTGACTACTGGCCTTCGCTTAGATTGACGGGTGGTTCCTAATATTTATTCCATATAGCTTACAAGGGTTCTTTGCGAGGGCGAGAAATTTTCAAATTTGGTAGGAGAGTGTCGTCTAAGTCCCTGTTATCTTATAATTCCTCGGCATTAAGCAGCTAGGTACGAGGATAAGTACCTATTATCCTAATTCTCTATCGTATTTAGTTGAATCCTAGTATTATCAGAACCGTAGGTGATTTAACCTATGAACTGCACTTAGGGATGGCATACTTAGTTAATATTAAGATTTATTGCCTATACAGAGGAGTGATACTTAGGTAAACTTTAAGAAATTTGACTATAATACCCAGGTATCTGGGTAAGTTTCGTTGAATAATTGACATTGAGATTGCCGCTCGAGACATAATTACAATATTATATCAAATCTATCATGACTTTGCTTACTCACTGGTTTTGCAGTCTATTCCCATAATAAGTAGACAATCATAAGGTGCCTTATTATTTACAAGCTTACAATTACTATATACATAGCTGTAAATATCCGGAAGCCAACTGGTCTTCCGTTCATCGGGTATTGGTACCCTTTTCCACATGCTATTAAATAAGCATTCCTCCTTTCCAGAGCCCATGTGGCTTTCCTTCCTTTGAACCAAGACCAGCCTAAATTCCTTAAACGCCTATTAACGATGAGTGAGTTAACCAAGGAAAGTGTGTGGTATCTTTCAAAAATATTGGTATCCAAAATAAAATCAAGCCTTGGCCGAAACTATTCCTCGTATGGAAAACATGCTATTGGTTGTCTTATTCCGCGAACTCCTAAGCCCCTACCCCGTTCCTTGTAGGCCAGCCGCCGCCTATAAGCCATCCCTAGTTTCGGCCGTATGGGTATCCGATATATGTATGATCCATTTATATATCTAGCTAAGTTAGTATCGAAAAAAGGAAACTGGAAGTATTGATGCTCCGTAGTTGTAGTTGATGTCATAATCGTATCGCTTCTGTTTCAGAGCATGATACGGGTAGAGATTTTTTGGTAGCTTTGTTGTAATGTTATCGTCGATAAGTTGACGACAATTGCGGTAACTCTACCAAGTCCCTACTCCTATTGTATTGAGGTCTGATGCGGTTGAGCTCGAAAGACCCATCATTTGATGAATCTCGTTCTGATAGCCACGTCTCGTCTCGTCTGTGTGCTCCCGGTGGCGGCGAAGGTGTTACGTTGCCCTCGATGATGTACATCTCGCTCCTCACTACTATTCTTTTATTTATTCGGCCTTCGTATTGCGACTGAGCATCGTCTTCTTCTATAGGTGTTTCGTATAGCCTTGTTAAATTCGACGGTCGAGAACGCTGGCTCCTACCCGTCAGCGTGTCTGCATCCGAGATGGACCGAGACCGCTGAGGAAAACCAGAGAACATTGGCGCATCGGATGACGCTCGGGATTGCAAGCTCCTACTTGCCAGGCTTGTAGCATCGGACACTGATAGCGAACGCTGAGCCCTGCCTCCCACGAAAGATCCAGCGACCGACGAACGAGGACGGCTAAGTTTTGTCTGGGATTCGATATCTACGAGGGTCACGTCGGTAGAACCAAAACCTGGCATCTTGCTCGACTGGTTAGTGCGCGACATGCGATGGCTATTATACTGGTTGGTTGGGCGGCTCTGTCCAGTCGAACCAAACCCTCTGATCTTCCAAAGACGAAGTAAAGGTCGTATAGTGACAAGGCTCGAGGCAACGATAGCAACTCCTGGTTCAATCAATGTCCAGACCATCGCATCGGTCCCAGCATCTATAATTAATATGACTAGTCAGAAACCTGAAGCACATGTGTGGCATCGATAGCTATGTTTAACACTTACTCAAGATATCTGCCATATCGGTGAGATCGGCGAGGAATTTGAGTCGGACGAGGGTAGCAATGCTCGCAAATACACCCAGACCCAGAACAACAACGACAGTGAGCTTAGCTTGCGCCGTCATTTTGACATTCCATAGCATGGGGATCGGAATCAAAGCATACATCCAGTCGGATAGGATACTCATGACACTTAATGCATAAGCGGCGTCAACGATCGCGTCGGCCGAGACGCAATGGGAAGTCGGATCCTTCACGAGGATAGTGTAGTCCCATTGAGCAGCGACAGGATTACATTGAAATATATTCCAGAAGAATAAAACAATACTCCATATGGTGACGATGACGATACTAGCGTATAGGGTATATTTGTACCTCTTCTGCGAAGCTAGGCGGAGTAGGAAGATACCTATGCTGAGCTTGATCAACCACATATTGAGGACGTATGTCGCGGTAGCTAGAGCTTGATACATCAAAGCTTGAATCTCATGGAGCTGGTCGAGAGATTTGTCGTGCCTTCCTAAGCCGACCTGAACTCCTACGAGGATTAAGACGCACGAGGCCGTGAAGTTTAGCTGTTTGGGGTCAGTATGAGTACAGGATGTTTGGCAGATACTGTCACACTCATGACATACCTGAGCGAGTAGCATGATCCAGTCATCCCATTGGAAACCATTAGTTAGCCTAGCGCGCACGAAGGACCTTAGAGAGACAGATAGCCAGGATAGTGACAGCATAGTGACGGCGGTAGCCACCAGAGCACCGCCATTGCTGTCTGTTGGCGCATTTGGATCCTGGGCTGCCATGAAAGATGAAGTCTACCAGGCACCAAGTGAAGTACGGCTCTTAGGGAAAACGAAGAAGAGGAAGAAACGAACAGAAAAAACCAAGAAATGGGAAATAATGCATACGGGGCCGGGCCATATGTATCGTTTAGAACAAGAGCAAAGAGAGTGAGAACAACACAATGGGACTGCCCTGTGGGTATGAGATTCGATCTCATAGTCTATTTCATGGGTCTAGCTTATGGAGCAAAAGAGCATTAGAAGACCGAGATAATGCATGTATCTCGGGGTAACCATGCCTGTACCAGAGAAAGACATGATGTGGTCTCGACGAGTAAGCTGGTCCATCTTCAGGATATTTCCGTAACAGGCAACGCTATAGGGTGTCGAGTAACTCTGATCCCCTGCGTATCCCGTTCGGATCGCCAGATGTTCTAAGCTGCCCCGGATGCGAACCGAAGCCAATGTGACGGTACGCGAAGCCGCAGGGTGCAGGTGAGAGAAGACTTCCTGCGCGTTGTGAGCTTCAGACCCTTGCAATGCTATGCAGAGCCCTGCTAATATGTAATCGGCCCAACGACAAGGAGGCATAGACGTGGCCAGGGTCAAGTGCTCAGCTATGGCGGAGTCTGTGCTTTGACATCCGCCGTTTGCATTTTTACGCTGTACGGAGTAGCGCGATCTCGCTAGTTGATCTATTAGTTGATCTGGAGTCTGCTAGATACACTGATAGTAATAGCAGATATTCCATGAATATTTCAATGTCACTATTCCCTCATGACTCGTGTTTGTAGGGATAGATGACGAGTAAAGCAATGAGCGTGGCATGATATATGGGAAATGGTAGATGCAATGTTTTCGGCAGTTATCAAAAATTGGAAGGTAAAAGAAAAGTCCGTCCTTCTGTGACGAATCATATTGCTTAATTGCATAGGTACCGCTCATGCATATCTCGTCCGACTTATAATGCCATTGATGTTACACGCTGTCTTAAACCTTGAGGTAATGTTGGCAGCTGCCTCTGGTACGTACCTAGGAGCAGAGTTTAGCTCGGCCGATATCGTTTAGTTTAGCGTTTAGATTACAAGACAAATTCTCCGAATCAGTGAACTCAATTCCTGGATTCTTGGAGCACTTGACATTTGACGTATGCAGAGCTTTGACTTTCTCATGCTTGAATGCTTACCTCTCAGCTGCCTCTCTACCTCTACGCCTCTAAGCACACGGACAATACAATTTCCTGGTTGCAGCACTGTCTTATTACGAAGGAAACTGGCAGCATCCTTTCCCCAAGCGAATTGTCGAGGTTGTAAGAAACCTCACTTCTCTTGGAACCCTCGCTAACGGCTCACGCCGTGGATCAGTTTAACCAACACGTCGCTGTTCTGATATAAGCTGTTCTATGAGTTTGCTCGTCTTACTAGGTACATATCGGAGCTTTCGATGTTGATACAATGAAGTTGTTAGATTTCTAAACCAGGCACTTCCTCCTCAGCTTCTCGGACCGTCGCACCGCTAGCAAAGCTGGGTACCTCTAGTCGCTGCGGATTTAGCGATGTTACCAGGTTACTACTGTGGGTTATCATACCCCTGATATCGATGTTGCTGTAGGTAACCTCACGGACCGCGCTCATATATGGGGGCTCGCTTCGGTTAAAGAGATCAGCAGAAACCCGTCACCAAAAAAAGTTATGACACTACTGCAGGGCACTGAATCGATAATTCACGAATTTAAATCAAGTTCAGTCGATGAGGCAAAAGGAAGGGCAGATGAAATCGGATGCGATGATTGACGGGATTTTCAAGCCATCGTTTTAGACCCCTTGCCTCTGAAATAAAAAGAATCATTCGCTATCCTGTACCCCGCATGTTTCACCCTTTCCAGAGATCCCGTGAACATCTCGATCAAAGTAGGGCCGCGATACTTGTCGGAGTCAATCGGGGGAAGTGAGCCCCCATGTGGCATAAAAGAGGAAGGGGGTTGACGTCTGAGAAACGGTTTCTAAAAAAGCTTCCATCGCAGTTCCTCGTCCAATCATAAATCACTGGGATGCTTGTATATGCATGCCTAATAAGTATTCAGCCTCGTTCTAGGTGTGGCAGCCAGGTCGGCCGAATCCTTCGTCCCCGTTCCAGGGATAGACGACACCTCGAATGCGGTAATAGGCTCGTGGCGTGCCAGAAACCCCTGGGGCACAGAATTGTCGAATAGTGTGCTGTGTCACGCGTCGGGGTTATAGGGCGAATACTCTGAAAGCCATACTCTGGTTCGGTCTTGTAACCGAACCATACTATTACCAGCTAGTGTAGTCTACGCCGTAGGCTCGGATTCCATGAAGGACATCGACGACATTCACGAAGCTATTCAGTCTTGAGTCAGGATCGGCTCTTAGCTCGCCGATGAAAAGTCGGTTTACTCCCGAAGGAAGTTTCTCGGTGTCTACATCGTCCTACAAAGCCTATGGCATTCTTAAACCTGCCTTATCGGGCCAATACGGCCGTAGTCTCAATTGCTCGTGTCGGAATTGAGTGGACCGATATGCGAAGAAAAGTGGCCTAATTCTCCGGGTCACCAGCAGCATCACCGCGAGTGACGACTCTTAGCAGCAAGTCCGCCTAGATCAACTATCAGTATGGCTTCCCTTATATAATTCGCTGGTAAAACTTACCGGATATGATTCGAGCGGGTCTGGAAAGCCGGCCAATTAGCAAATCTTGTACATCGCACCGATGCAATTGTCAAAAATCTCGCCATGTCATTGGATGCGCATTCAGGGTCGCAATACAGTAATGTAGGTAAATTGTTACGACAGAACAGGAATTGCAACATGCAGCTGGATTCGCCAACTCCCCGTTTCACAATGTCTTCGACTCGGGCAATCGACGAATGAAAAAATCAGATGTTGCAGTTTCGAACAGAAATCGTCATCACACCGGCAATTCTTCCAATTGTTCTTTTGTATAATACGAATCTCCAGCAAACGTCATCTCCTTCCTCTTAAAGCTCTTCCCAGCAGAAACATTTCATGGGCAACGATATTCAGCAAGTGATATTCAATACGTTCGATCACGAGTTACGAAATACTCACTTTCAAACGCGTCATGAGTGGGAAGTTGGAGAAGACGAACAAGAAAAAGCAAGAATGGGAAAGTATAGCGCATGAAGTGTTCTAGGTGATCAGAGTTAGAAACAGAGTCAGTGTGGTACCAGTATGTAGTTAAAAGAGGGCGGGAGAGCGGGTGATGTGCTAAGACATGCATTAAGTTGCAAACGCGTCCAGTCACCGTTCCACATCCCGTCCCCTCATGCACTAAGCCTCCATCAGTGATGATTGCACAGTCCTTATCCTAATGCATCACATAACCTCCCAGTCTCCGCCATCATCACGCTACCTCCAGTAGCCTAGCTCAGCCATGGCTTCGTCGCTCAAGTACACACGTCACCAGTACGGCGCGCACGAGCTGCAACGGGTCGGAGTTTGGGACCTTGATATAGCCGACAAGGCCAAATACTGGATTATGTGAATGTCTCACCTCGCATTGTCATTGCTACCTACCTATCATACCTACGTATACCTAATCGTATAGCATACATGTAGGTTCCGCAACTAACACGCGATCTCTCCCTCCTATAGCTTCATCCACGGCGGCGCATGGCGCGACCCGCGCGTGACGCACGAGGTCTTCGCACCCTCTATATCGCGCATACTTGAATCCACCTCCGATGGCACCAAATCCCCCAGCAGTAGCAGCAATGTTGGAAAATCTAGCATCGCGGCATTCGCCTCCATAGACTACCGCCTTAGCCCGCACCCGGACTTCCCGCAGGACCCGGCCCGCACCCCGAAGGACCAGCTCCGCGACGCCAGACACCCGGACCACCTCGACGACGTCAGGGCCGCGCTCGCCTTCCTGCAGAGGAGTTATGATTTCGGCGCGCGGTACGTGCTGCTCGGACACTCGGCCGGCGCGTGTCTGACCTACCAACTCCTCGCGACGGCGCCCCCGCTTAGCTCTAGCTCACGTTCTGGTTCTAGCGCGGACGAGACCCGGAAACGGGAAAGGGGCGGTGGCGGTGGCGGTGGCGACCCGGAATTACCCGCGGCCGCGCTCGGCATCGAAGGGATCTACGACATGGCCGGCCTCAACGCGCGCGTCGGCGGGTCGTACGCCGAGTTCCTAACCGCCGCGTTCGGGCCCCCGGGGCGCTGGGACGAGGCGGCGCCGATGAAGTTCGCGGGACGCTATCGCGAGCGGTTTACTACCGGGCTCGCGGCGCTGGCGCATTCGCCCGACGACGAGCTGGTGGATATGCCGGAGACGGAGGGCATGGCGGAGCGGCTGAGGGGCGACCTTGACGAGGAGAGGGTGTTGGTGTTTAAGGATTTGGAGGGCTCGCATGAGGGGATTGTGCAGGATGGGAGCGGTGTTGCGAGGGTGGTGTTGAGGATCTTGGAGGTTTTGGGAGGTGCGGATGGAGGGTCGTAGGGAGTGGTGAGGGGATAGGGGTGTGGTGATCTGGGCGGGAGGCTGAGAATGAGGAGGGTGAAGGTATGTAGTATTCCTAAACTTACTCGTCCTAGGTCATCTGTGCATTTGCTTGCCCTCTATTTCCTATGTTTGCTCCAATATGTGCTGTTCGAGAAAAGACGTTAGAGTTCCAAGGTGATTATCTAGTCATGTCGTGTTCTATTCACGATTTAACCGCAGCCCATGCGCTCTACAGCATAGAATACACGCTATTATTAGACGTCATATTATTGGTACATACGCTCGCCATCCCTCCATATTTTATGCCCCTATCGAAGGATTGATAAGCGGCTAGATATTACAGCTCTGCTAACCTAGTTCTGCGAATATTGGTCAAGGGAAGCTAGACTATACATGACAGACAAAACCTAGTATACGGATGTACAAGTAGTAACTTAAGAGATGTATTCATAGGTAAAACAGGTAGCGTTCAACACGCTTTACGCTGACCCCGGCCTCGTTGCTTAGGTCGGGATAATATTTTTACTGTCTATCATGAGAAATGCATGGTCCACTTCTAACACAGGTTAATATGGTCTTACTGAATTCTTGAAGTCTCGGAAGGCAAAACTACGAATATGGTGACGCCCCTAGAGGTTGTCGTTTGAGGTACGCAATAGAGCAAACGGGTAGCCACTACATCACCGACAAGAATCAACTAGCCCAAGTGCTGACATGCCCGCATCTTCACACTTTCTATGGACCACACGATATTACCAGGGAGCTGATTCCGCTCGTCTGAGAAGATTCTTTGCATAGACCGGCCCAGAAGCGTATCTTCGTAATATCGTTCCACTATTCCTCGCCACGATATCTGTCCGCTGACCTCGCCCTAGCTCATGCATCGAGTTCCTCTTCAGCTAAACTACAAAAAGCAAATATAAGCATCTTAATCCGACCTCAGACGACGAATCCTTCTAGAATGCAGCACACGCGTCGACAAGGCCATCAAGTAACCCTACCCGCATACCGCAACTCACTCACTACGACCTTGTACCATAAGGCAGAAGACGAACGTAACTACGCACCCCTCGACTAAACTTCCAGAATTCCAGGCTTCCAAAATTTCCAAGTATAGATAATATACATCCTTCCCAGGGCCCGCGATGTCGTATCCCAATTAAGGCCAAGCCCGGCTAACGGCCGATTGGTCGCGGCACAGATATACGCGCGCAGCATCGTCCCACGTGCGCACGCGCGGACTGAACGCGCGGCTCTTTCGGCAACTTCGGAGCCTGCGGAGGCGCGGCAGATGTCTGAAGACGTATACCTACTACCTATGCGCGCCTTTGTAAGCTGAGTGGGCTCTCGGTCAAGCTAGCTACCTACCTAGGTAGGTGAACACTTCCCCTCTTCACCGTGTCTAATATCGTCTAGAGAGGAATTTCCGACATATCCCAAAATCTTCGAAGTCAGAATACGATGACCAGATAGACAGCATCGTCAAAGAACAAGAATGAAACGCCCGCAGCTAACCATAGGTACAGCTATTAGCGATATACTCGATATTATGTCACGGTCCATATCGCGTATAGTCTAGGTAGGTAAACTCTAGATAAAAATCCCAGATAGGTATATATTTCCTACTCTAAAATGACCGCATCCTCACCACGCTTCAAAATAGTATATGTCATCAGCCTTCTAACATCCTCGTCTACGGCTCATTATTCATTCCCTTCCTCTTTCTCTTGTCGTACCTACGTAATCTTCACATCCTCGTGCTCATTTGCTCGTTGGAATTATCGTCTACCTCGTAACCGCAATGACGGTAGCGACCAACAAACCCAATCCCCCTAACCCGTCTCTCCGTCTCCCGGATCACGAGATATATCTAAAATCCGGGTGCCGATACCCCAAACCCACCTTCTCCTCCTCGCTAAGCCCCACTAGCCGATGATCCCGGCCGCCCCTCGCCCTAATCCTATTCTCCCGGACGCAGTACCAGATGCCGAAGCTGCTCAGGAACAGCGCGAGGATCTGCGCGACGAGGTTAATCGTATGGCCGATGGGGAAGGCCGGGCCGTCATCCGGCAAGTACGCCCAGACGGCGAGGATGCCGCCCATCGTCCCCAAAGTGACGATCCAGCCGCCGGAGACGGCGCGGATGGCCGGGCCGGCCGCGTTGTTGAGACCCCACGACAGGAACCCCGGGCCGCCGGGGAAGGCGCCGAGGGCGCAGAGGTAGATGGCCGTGTAGCGGAGGGCGTTGCCGTGGCCCCAGCGGAGCATGGCGAAGCCGGTGATGCCGAGGAAGGTGAAGAGCGCGAGGTACAGCCCCCGCATGCGCGTCTTGTCGCTGATAAAGCCGATGCCGATGGCGACGAGCGACGCGGCCACGTACACGGGCACGGTGTAGTACTGCGCCGTCAGCGACTCCCATCCCAGGTCCTTGAGCAGCGTCGGCATGAAGACGGATAGCCCTTGCACCGTGATGTTGATGGCGAAGAAGCCCGCCGCGCAGATGTAGTTGTTGATGTTGAGCAGCGCCTGCTTGACGTGGCGCGCCTGCACCCTCTCGTGAGCTTCGGCCTTGCTCTCGAGGCGGAGACGCTCGACGGCGATGAATTTCTCGCGGTCCGTGAGGTACTTCGACGTTTCGGGGCTCTGCGGAAGGATGATAGGGGCCGTCATCGCGATCAGCATGGTGATGAGTCCTTCGAAGAAAAAGATATTGCGCCACGTGTGCAGCCTCGAGCTAGCTATTCCCCATTCAGGAATTTGCGAAAATCCCGCGGCTAATAGTCCACCGAAGGCGCCGGCGATCGATGCGGCCGAGACGTAAATACCGACTCTGAAGTAAAGCTCTTCTCTCTTGTAGAAAGAGCTGAGGAAGAAGGCCAATCCCGGCATCGTTCCACCTTCGAAAATGCCCAACAACGCACGAACTGCACAGAGCTGCTCGAAAGTCTTCACAAAGGCCGTCCCTACGGAGACAGCTCCAAACCCGACAACTAATCCGGGTAGGTAGTACCGAGGACCAACATGCTTGAGAATGATATTGGACGGCACTTCTATCGTCAGATAGACGATATAGAAGATACTCGTCGCGATATTAAACCGGTATCCGTAGAGGTCAAGATCCTCTTGCAGTCCTTGGATACGGGCGTTTCCTATATTTATCCTACACCGCAAATTAGTATCCAGCAGAGCACGAGAAGCTCTTAGCGAGAGTAGCCGTACCGATCCAGGAAACAGAGGAGATATAGTATGGTAACGGTAGGCACCAGTTGCCAGTCGAGCTTCCTACGAAGAGCGGTCTCCTCTTCCACAGTCCACCTAGGCGCCTCGGAAGAGCCTTGGCTCTTGGTCTCGAGCACCACCGCTTCCGCCTGATCGGAGTCGTGTTTCTCGTCTGCAGATCGTATCGCCGCCATGATGACTGACCGAGTGGTAACGCGTAGTTTTGACGGTGGGGGGAGACAAGAACGAGAGAAGACGCGAAGAACACAAGGAGGAAAAAGCCAAGGAGACTTCCGACCCTGTTTATAGAGAGTGATCTGCGCTTACTTGCTTATGATGGAGATATTCAAGGGTCTCAGTACCCATCCACATCTGGGTGCCCTACCTGGCGATTCCCAGTACCTTGGAGTAAAAGCGAGGGCCCAGACCTTATCAAGTCATTTTCGGCAAATCAGAAAGTTGATTTGATTGAATCATTATCGAACACCCTAGTTCGCCTAGACGGATATTCAACTGCGCTTGGCGAAAAGCAACATCCAAACGCCCAGGGGGGTAGCGAGTCCTTGTCGCTGACGGCTTATACCCCGCGGAAAAGTTGGTTAGGTTGGTCCAAAAACGGCTTGGCCCTGACTATTTCTTAGATCTAATTCCGTAATCTTCGGCAGAGGAAATGATTGACTGATTGAGACTACCTAGTCTCAACTCTCAGCGACTTGGGTTGAGGATAATCGATAGTTGTTTCAGTCGGACTCGTTACGTAGTTTAACAGAATAGACTTATTATCCAAAGTCCAGCCTCAGCTGAAGACCGGACGTAGTTTAACCACCGAGACATTTTCGATTTGCATATTCTTGGCTAATACTGAGGTGTGACAGTCAAATCCGTTGTTTTACTGAAGACTTGGCAATCACCGCCGTCAAGTGAGGAGGTATCAGCCACCATCATTGGTATTCCCACCCTGCGATATGCTGCTGTAAGGGGTTAGTGTGAATTTCCTGTAGTATCTTTCAACATCAACAAGTTCGACTTTATATACCGCGTGTTTAACAAGAAGAAAGAGTTGCAGTTGTAAATTTGACGGAAAGTTTACTACCAATTAAACGCGCGACTTCTAAAACTCCGGAAAGTCAGAACCCTGGGTAAGATAAGAATCCCCCGCTTGTTCGAGATCCATGTTTCCCCAGATAGGAAAGCTGACAAGGGTTTAGTTTACCCCATTTAACTTGTCATCTAACCTGTTAAGGTTAGATTAAGCGCATGCACCCTTGGATGCGGGGCAGAACGCCACTAAAGCCACAGAACGTTAAAACATTAAATTAGCCCTACTTAGTCAATTAGCCCTGGAGCTTCCTCGCCCGTGAGAGCGGAATCCAATGAGCATCCTTGATTTCATTGTCAAATTGAGTTCTGCCAGTACCTGATACATGTAGGTACAATATCTTCTAAGCTAGGAAATCCTAGTAAGAACAGAGTTCAGCCAGTACACGAATGGTTTAGGAATAGGGACCAGGATTCGGTACCTTATATCTATCCGGGTTAATGAACGTCGTATATTACTATTTAGACAAGTAATCATGCAAATGTCCTTGTCCGAAGCTAGAGGTGTCGGCTTTTCCTCCGACGCACATCCAATGCGACTTTATTCCTGGTTGGTATGCATATGGGTTGGGATGCAATGCTGACTTGACCTGCCTCACGTACATACTACAGAAGGATTGCATCCGCATCATCTTTCGTGCGACCCTATCTAGATCTATAAGTGCAGTTACTAACCGTTGAAACAAAAAACAACGATTCTAGAAGAAAGTTGCCATGTGTCGATCTTTCGAGTTAATATCGAAGGTTTAGTTCAGTGTAGACTTCTCGCAAAGCTGTGTAATGGTTGTCATCAAGGAGGTTGGCATCTACAATGCCGACGCATGTCGGATATGATAAGTGTGGATTTTGATTTATCTAAGCGGATCAAGAGCCGCCGTGCATAATGCATTATAAAGAGGTGGCAAATAATTACCTGCAACCACGGCATGCCATTGTTAATTGAAAGTGGCGACTATTCATTACATAGTAACTTACATCCATCCACAAGCACATACCTACCTAGTATATATGGACAATATTCTTCTAAATTACTATCATATAGTCACCACTCTACGGATTTGCCACAGCTTTCTCGTGCTTCATAATGAGATGTATTATTATAGAGGAGAAACTTTGGAAGCATCCGGCATGCTGTTGTGTGGCCATCATCTCATTGGTTCGGGGAACTGCATACTGCAACATCCCTTCGGGAACTAATTGGATCTTGAATTGGGCCAATGGCAGCTGAATTCCAACTTATCTCTCTGTCTGATTAGATGTTGGCTGTCTTGCATATGTACTATGCAAGAACACATCAAGCCTCGAATCGGTTTTTAGCAGCTTCTCCAAACATAAGTACCTACATCCTTATATCAAATGATCTTTGGAGATAGGTACCTAGTTGATCGACGACATATAAAGCCCTGACAAGCACACACACACATAAGCTTGTATTATATGAATTATTGAGTTCACCTCTATAATTATTTTAGAGACCCAATGATTTACCAGACTTACGACGACTTTCATACATCATCACATACTCACAATCACATTTCGCAATGCCAGAGATCATAACTGCGAAGGTACCAATGCCGAATAGATTAATAGATTATTAACTTAGCTCTGTACGTACATAAAGGTACTAAAGAAAAGTCATATCTCATAGCTCTCATGCCTCATTCCCTTTTTTAAACTTCCCAAACTTTTTTCAAATCACATTTTAAGCCCCTTTTTGTTTTCCTCTTTTTTTTCCCTCTTTTCCCTATTACTACCTACCTACCGAGGCCGGAAAATGCCCGACCAGAGGATGAACCAAACCCTCTATCTATATTCTACATATAGTAGAGTAAAAACCATTATACCCAGAGAACAGGGTGAGATATTCCATCGATAAATGGAAATCTCAAGCCGCCGTTCCGAGTTAGCCAGAGACCGGGTTAGAGGGTGCCTATTAATAAATAGACACTCCCAGACCTTATTACCACTCGTACAGATCAACCACGTACTAGCTTAGAGAACCAGCACCTCGGTTTATTAAACCATAACAGCGAGCTTGGCGCCAGATACCCAGTACCTGGACAGACCCAAAGTAGCCGCTGCAAGGAGGGTAACCGCGCCAGCCCAGATCTGGGCCCAGAGATAGTCCCCGTTGCAGAAATCAATGATGGCGCCCGCGGTAGGAGGACCAGCAACCGTCGCGAAGCCGATTATAGTACAGCACATGCCGAATCTAACGCCCATCTTCGCAGGATCTGTAGTCAGACTAGCCAAGGCGCTGGCAAAGCCTCCCTGAGCTGCTGCGTTGGTGACGCCGAACAGAATTGCGAAGGCGTACATGGTATTATGCGTGTCGATTGCGATCCAGGCGAAGAAGGCGACGGCTAGGGAGATGGTCGATAGGATGAAAGCGTTGATAGGACCCAAGAATGTGTCGGCGAGGTAACCGACGATAGGTCGGGTGGGGATACCCACCGCATTTGTGATGAGCAGCAGCGAGACTGCGGATGTAGGCGTAAAGGAAGCGACCGCGATGGCGTAGGTGTTAATCTATGCGCATTATTGTTAGAGGTATGTTTGATATATGGATGGCCCATGAGATACATTATTCGATAGAAAATGGGATACTTACGTAGAAGAAACCAAAATACAAAGCCCAATAAAACAGAAAGGCACCCGCGATGAAGATAACATAAGGGGGTTCCTTAAAAGCGCCCCACTCCACGAGGGGTCCTGTTTTCTTGGGAAGCGAGCGTGGTTTGAGGAGTGTGTTCATGAAAACAACCATAACCAGAGCCACAAACCCGGCGCACCGGACGGCCCAGGGAAAACCGATCTGGGGTATCAGGTATTCTACCGTTGCAGGAAAGATTATACTTCCTGTTCCGGTTCCCGCCGTGGAAAGGGTTAAGGCGAGCGCACGTCTCTTCTTAAAATACGAGGCGATGATCGTAATAGTGGGCATATACATCAGACCCAGACCGATCCCCGTGCAGACACCCTGACTGAGGAAGATCTGCCAGTATTCGGTTGCGAGACTGGTCATGAACGTTCCCAGCAGAGCGACGAAGGAACCGCCTATTACCACCTCCCGTGCATATCCCGCATCTGCTAGACGCCCAGCTACGGTGCACGTAACATTGTTCAGGAACATTTGCACGGAGCCGATCCACGAGATCTGTGCCGATGGGAGTTTGAGCGACTCGGTATAGTAGAGCTGATATATACCAAAGGCTGCGCCGTATCCACACGCCATCGCGTTGATGAGATGACAAGCTACTACCTGACGCCAGGCAACAAAGCCCCCATCCGGGTAGTCGTCGTCATCGTCAACAACCACCGCCTCTGGCGTAGCATTCTCCTGAGGTTGAGGAAGAGATTCCTGGCTGTGAGCCAGGGAAGTAACGGTTACCGCATGATGATGAAGTTTTTTATCTTTAACGAATGTCATGGCAGGCAAAAGATTAAAGTAAAGAACTTGGCTTAAATAAGATGCCTAGAAACTCGAAGATACTGCGAAAGTAAGAGAAGACGATGCAGGCATGAGAACCATCGTCATCTTTGTCCGTCACGAAGGGGGCTTTCATATACTCGTAGGATCCCTCCAAAATCTCCTAAACTCATCGCCAGAACGGAACATATTACCTATCAAAAACATCACGATATTGCCACGATGTCGGTGTTAGGCTTGGGAGCCCGGCCCCAGCGTCCGTTAACGGCTGCGAGAACCTGTCATGGAATTTCCATGTGGAGTAAAGCGCATAGGGAGCAACGGTCTGGCCGCCTTGCTGGCGTCGCGCAAGTGTGCCATGCTCAAGACCCATCCCATGTCCATCAACAAACGTTGGTCGATCCTCGCACGCACGGTAGCGAACCGGAAGCTTACGCGATAGCACGGAGACTTCGGGGTCTCAACGTGACTATCGTGAAAGACACATGGAGGCGCATTGCACAATATCACGAGATGCGTTCTAGGCTAATAGCTTATTACCGAAAGCGCACCGAGTGGGGGAAGAACAACGGTGAGGGAAGCATTCTGGGCTGGTTTTGATTATCGACATTATCGATTTTTTTGGTCTCTCCACAGCTAGTCATCGCTAGCGATCGCGATACGGTCTGCTGGATACCTGGAATACCTAGAATCCCTAAGTTCCGAGGTTCCTAGGTAATGCTCACCACCTAGCCGGGGCTGGGTATGACTAGGTACTGGGCATCAAGCTCCCGATAACGCTGTTCTCTCCTCCATCCTTCACTCCTTTTCCCCTCTCATACCTCCCTACCCAGACCTTACTTAGGTAACCTTCGGGAAGGTTGGTATGTATCGTGATATTGACCTCCACATAGAAGACGGGGAAGAAAATAGGATGGGTGGGGAGGGTTTTTTTTGGATTGGATGTGGGCGACGGTGAAGGAGTTGGGTGAAGAAAAGTAAGAAGAGCAAGAGAGAGAATGCGCTAGAGTCGATAATTGGCCTGAGCCTCCCTTTTCCCTCTTTTCTGATCTGGTGCCAAGCCGGTAAGCATGCCAGGGGATAGAAAAGCTAATCCTAGATAAGCTTAGCGGGTCACCGATCTAGTTTAACTCAACGTCACACATTCTTGACGCGGCAGCTGCACGGGCGGTAACTACCGGATGCGCCGCCAATGATCGTCTTGGATTTGGGTCTTCGCCTGGTTTTGGTTTCTTATTTTTAGTTTAAAGGGACGCCGCTTTAGATTTAGGTTTTCAACCCCGTCCGGGTTCTCCTTTCGAACGTTTGATGCGAGCCACGAACATGTTAGCTATGGTTTGTTGAAAAAAAAAGCGTTATGTATGATGCCCGACTTACAGAAACTATCGTGGCCTGATAATAGAGCCAGTAGTGGCAATACTAAAAGACTTCATTCTCTCTTCTCTCTTCTTTTTTTACTAATCTTAGTATATACTCCAGTTTTTGCACTTACTCGGGTACCCAGGTAGATATGTAGTATCTATGACATGAAGGTATCACGAATTGATCGAGACTATCGAAGATGACTCATCTAGTGGTTGACAATACGAACACGTATACGTATGCACACACGTAGGGATATATGGACACGCGCAGCTATGAGCATCATTTATATTTGCAACTAGAGTTTTCGTGATAACTTAACATTCATTCTCGCCAGCTAGCGATGGTGAAGGGGTCAAAGGAAAGGAGAAAGCACACAATGCGAAAAGCTTTAAAAACAACTACCGACCGGTCCAAAAATATAGGAGAAAGAGCAGGACAACCCATTTCAACACAATTTCCCACTCCATGAGGGTTCCATGTCCAGCCTTTCATGCGCTCCTTGTCTATCAACTGAATGATAAGTTAGGAGCATCTTTGCCGTGTATTCCCTTCGCCCTCAAGCAGCAGTAACCCCCTTATGACACTCCGAATTTTTTATTCACCTTGCTGCCGTCCCCGTCCACGCTCTCTCCTCTGAAAACACACTTGTGCTTTTTTTTCTTAATTTTCTTTTCCAAAGCTCATTTTCCGTTTTCGAGCCAATGACTTGGTCAAGCGTATTGTATAGCAGAGGTGGGCAGTGTTGCGAACGATAAACTGACAAGCAAGTACAATCCAACGCCAACTCGCAGATAAAAACCCACTCGCAAGATAATCGTTTCCGGCGTACCATTTTTGGTGTGAAAATGAAAAGGAGTGTAACGGCCGCGAGGCCCATATTAAATCCATGTTCCCTTTACGCCCCCTTCCTAATCCCAGTAGGAATAAAACTCCGACGAAGGGGAACAAGATAACCTCCCACACACCCCGACTCCTCCCCCCATAGTTATCACCCATGTCTCGCACCAGCGACGAGACGCTTACACCACATATGATTTATTATGTAGTGTATACTATTGTAGTGTAGTGTCAGCGACATAAACATGTTCAGCAAGCGACGGAATTTCGCAGGGCTGACGCTCATAGACTCGACTCGCAACAGTTGATGTCGATGCGATTGAGAAAACAAAAAGAAAAGAAAAAAGCAGCGCTTGTCCGAGTTGCACGATACATATTGCCGAGTTTCGAGTCATTGATGAGCGCATTGTTTGTAGATCAGGTGATCTACCGCTTGCGCTTCTTATTCTTGTCCCCTGCTACAGCAGGCGCCGTAATGGGGGCGGCTGGCAGTAGAGTGGGTGGGCCGGGAACCTCAGCCGTCTTGATGGGAACACCCATGTGGCGACCATAGCGGCCCTTTCGGCCGTTGCCTTCGTCCTCGCTAATGCATTGGTCAGCGCTGAGACCGGCATCGCGGCATCGGCCGCACGGTCGCTGACGGTCGCAACCCTTCTTGCTCTTGCGACATCGCTGGCATCGTGGCTTGGTGGACAGATCTGGCTGATCGTCCTCACCGGCCTGTCCTGGGGCGGCTGTAGTCGACGCGACAGAAGGCTTGCGCGACTGGTTTGGTAGAGACGCAGGTGACATGGGACCAATGATACCGGCGACGGCGTTCACCTTCTTAGCCTTAGTAACCTTAGGAGCTTTAGGAGCTTTAGCTTTGACCGTCTTAGGACCCGGTGCTTGTGGCTTTCCGGGTTGCTGGGTCTTAGGCTTAGGCTCGTTCAGCTTGGGGGCTCCAAGGGGGCCATCCTCAGGGCCGTCCTCGTAGTCAGCGTCATCGCCGCTAGCATCGACACTTTCGCGCGACGGCATGAAATGGTTGTGTGTTGTTTGATAGACCTTGCGATTGGTACTGGGAAGGTCAAGCTTCTGGCGACGCGAAGGCGGTAGCTCGCTTTCGCTTTCACTATCAGCGTCGCTCGTGGCACCGGTTGACGATGCGACATCGGCCTTGCCGCTAAAGGTATCATCCAATGTTGAGGCAGATGTTCTGCCATGGGAAATGTTGGACATTTCACCCAGTCTCATAAGCTGGATTGCCACATCTTTGTCTTCTTCGGAAACACAGCTTCCGATAGTTGGGTCAGGAGTTGGCAGGATGCCGCTACCATTGCCCGGATAGCCGATGCTGCCGCGATGACGGCGGGTGTCGCTCATGGGTGTCGCGAACATGCCTGCTTGACCATATCCATTGCTATAACTCTGTGGAGATTGAAGAGCTCGAGCGTTTGTGAAAGCGTTCTGTCCGGGATGTGGGAATGGGAAGGCAGGTCGTTGGTGCTCGACACGGCGGACGGGAGAGACCGAAGGATTGGACGTAGTAGTAGGTATCTGAGGTGGCGCAAAAAGTGGCAGCTCCTGCGATTATGGTTGGTCAGGATGAAAACGTTTGGAGACACAAAAATTTGAGTGATTTCGGTGTACTTACGGAGCTTTCAAACTTGGCGCGCTTTCGGCGACCGCCTTCTACGATGTTTTCAACGCTTATGTCAGTGTTGCCGATCTGCTCCTTCGCCTTGCTGGATACGGAGGCGGGAGCGCCGTCTCCACTATCGTAGCCGTTGATGCTATCGCTACGATTATCATAGTTCGTCCCGCGATTCTTGGTAGAGCGAGAGCGACCCTTCTTTCCAGCTGTCGGGTTCGTGCTGGCAGACGCGCTACGTCTACCGCGAGTGCCGTTGGGCGACGGGCTGCGCTTTCGAGATGTTCTCGACGCAGGTCTCGAGATGTGGTGCCCTAATTGTTGGCTACCATACTCAATCGGCGCCGGCTGGAAACCATTCGGCCCAAAGGCTCCCGCGGGCGGAGGAGACTCCTCAATGACTCTCACATAGACAATCATGTTGTTACTAAAGTTCTCGTACCTCGCGATGAGCGTATTACCCCGATCATCTTCAAAGCTAACGCCTTTACCCCCGTGGTAGAGGCCATAGAAGTTTTTGACAGTCGAAATTATTGATTCGGTGTCATCGTGTGGGTAGATCTGTACACGCAATGGGAGTCGTGCGCGATATTGAGGAGACTCAGGGAAGAGAAGTTCGAATTGAACATGTTTCGGAGTTATGGGCTGTCGGGGAGAGGCACTCCCGCTGTTGGAGCCGTTAGAGGCGGGTGCGAACGTCTCAATGGGCGAAGCAGATGCCATTCCGCCTGCTCAACGGATCGCTTTCCGTGAGAAGGTCGGGATACTCGGCTAGAAATAGCTAACGCTTAAGATGATGAAAAGCGCTCACTGCCGTTCCGATGCCGGTTTGGTTATGGAAGGGGGACCGTGAGGTTTTATTGGCACCAAACTCGACGGCACTATTGCCAATTTATACTTTCTACACCAGTCCCTAGCTCTTAATTTTGAGTATTAAACGGCTTTTCGCGTTCACGATATGCGTTGGACCGCCTAAAGGAGTTTGGAGAAAGCGGTCAAGGTCGATCGCAACGAAGTAGTGGAGGAGTTGGACTAGCCGGAACAACTCGTCTCAACTGGAGAAACTTGACGCAAATTAGCATTTAGCGAGAATAGATAGCATATTTATCGGTACAGGTGAATAGCGAAGCTAGACGATACAGTCATAACCAGCACTGGCTGGAGGATGACTGGATAGAAGACGGAGCAGTATGCGTCAGGAGCGGGCGACGGCTAGGAAGAGCAGGATGGACATTTTATGATACAAATGAAGCGAATATTTGATCGCATTAGGTATCAATGCTAGATAATCTTACCAGAAGGGAGAATGGATGGCGTGGTGCGCTTGGAGATGTACGAACTCGACTTTGAGGACTGGATGGATCCCCGATCAACCTACGACATCAGACTGTATGTCAGTGTCTAGATTTGGAGGGAATTCTAGATGCACTGGTGAAAGGAAATGGGAATATTGATTATAGTGAGTATATTGATGAGCTGTATTATACTTACGAGAGAAGAAGGAAGAGCGTTGGATGGCGATGTTGTCGAGAATTCGGGGTTGTGTGAAAGAGGAGGTGGTGGAAGAAGGAAGAGAAGAGTTGAGGTTTTGCAGCAGTTGAGTTGAGTTCAGTCTCCAAAATCTTCCACACTCTTTAGTTGTTGCACGCCGACCACTAAAAGCCGGGAAGTACCTAACCATCCACTGTAGGTAGGTGCTTCTTGGGTCCTTCCTGGGTCCTTCTTGGTACCTTATTAGAGGGAAAGATTAGGCTTTCTAGGCCTTGACCTGCCTGGCCAGCGCACCCGCGCCACATGTACCCTACCTATGTAGGTACCTACATACAGCCAATGAGGTACCTAACTACTGATGCTAGTAGGGTGTTTTAGCGATGCACCATGCCGAGAACGTACCACTGAATGATAAGAATCATAAAAATGACGGTCAAGGTAGAAGTATATGAGTAGATCTCTACTTTCCTTCCCCCATACACCAGACCCATCCATATTCAGATCCACATACGACGTGCATTTTCAACTCTACATCCTATCAACCGCTACAGTATGTAGTAAGTAAAGAAACACGAGATTCAGAATTCAAGGTTCTGTAATTTGAATTCCTTCATCCAGAATAATACCCTATATTTATTAGAAACTTTGCCAATAGGTAAAGACCAAACTAAAGCTATTTGGTAGCTAGCGCACCGCCTCGCAATGTGTCTGGCATTCCTCCAGCTTCGCTAAGATGCGTCGTTTATAAAGTTACAAGAGATCGACATCGAAAATGCAACTAGCTGGAGACTGAAGAGAGCGGATGACAAGCCGCCATTTGGGTCTACAGGTCCTGTCCTCTCCTCGGATGGTCAGGTCCAAGATCCAAGATGTCTTATCTTGGTCTTGGTCTAGGAATCAACAGGATCCTTCGACTTACATGTGAGTCTTTCACTTAAACTACCTAGTATGCGTGTTTTTGAGCTTCTTCAACGGCTTTTCCGTCGAATAATGGCTAGTTTTGCATGTATCTCTGCCGTTACAATAGTACAATATCTGCCATGTAAGGAATACTCGTATGGATCTAGCTACATAGCATGTACCTGTAGTGATAGAGTCGCAAACATGGGATGCTTCTCATGTACTGACAGACCCAATATTCGCCCATTGGGTACATGTGGTCCAACAGTATGCAATAGACCGTCACATATTTACCTTTTTGCGACTCGCATGCCCGGCCTTCGCGATACACACAACATGGGACGCCATGGACGCCATGGACACCATGGGTACACCATACACCACGCTCTAACAATATACGCCATACATGTATCTCCGCGTATTGTGCGATACCTTACCTGCATGGTAAATCCGATGGTGCGCTGCGCTGCGCTGCATTAGGCCTTGCTTCGAACGAAGCCGACTTACATAAAGACTAGCAACTAGCAGACTAGCCATGCAACTTCAATTTATTCTCCTGGTCATCCCGAAGGCCTTGCTAGAATCACATAAGTACATAGATCAGATCGATCCATACCTTGAAGGATCCGATACATAAGAAGAGAAACGAACACACAGACAATACCTGGTAGTTCGCCTTCCCCTGAATTTGCGCATTGCGACGTCGGGCTGGGAATTACCTGCTTCGAAATCCCGTGGATGCACAGCCATATTGCGCGCTTCCGGCAGGTCAGATACGATCACACATCTGACTTGGTCCAAGTAGGTAAGTAACTATGTTACGGAATCACCCGACCTGGCCTCTTTTAAAATCCAGGCACACACGCGCGCGCACATAGTCTACACATTCGCACACACCTGGGCATACAAGTCTCGCTCACGCTGGCGCAATCGTGTGCGATCCTCCCTCCTGTTCCAGGGCCAAACGTCCGTCAGGTGGCTTCACCGGCGGCGTCTACAAGCTTCCTTTCCTAAATCGTCATAAACCGCGCTCTTGCGCAGTTTGCGATTGTCGCCGAATGCGACTTAAAGGCTATGCGCCACTGCTGATCGAAGTGTCGCCAGTACCAGCAGATGCCAAGTTTGAGGCTCGGACTGGTGGAAGGAAGCCATTGGTGTGTTTGCGCATCATTTCATAACTCTCCACTACGTACTCTCTTCGGCGCATTTGATATAGAGTCTTACCTACCTACTCATTCTCTAAGACTAAGACGTCGCGCAAAAGCGCACATTGGCAAGAACAATACAAGTATCGACAGCCAAGCGTCCCCAAGTCGGCCAACCGTCACTGAACCGACCCCGTGTGGTTCGTGGTCGCAAACGATAACCTCGTCGTATGCGAGTTGAGGTGAGCAAAGCGGGCAAGTTGACAGCCGTGTCTAGCCAATCGTAATGCTCCGTGGATGCGCCAGTTTGTCTGGGAACAGGGATCCGGCCCTTAGAAGTGCCCAGCAAAAATTGGTAGGGTACGTACGCAGTAGATAGGCACGATGACCACTCGGAGTAGTCCCCAGACCCATCTGGAGGATACCTGAGGGTCTGTAGACAACTAGTTGGTGTGTGAGTGGGCGCGCGGGACGGAAAAGCTGCATCTAGAATTCGCAATTCATCACTGATGGACCTAACTAAAGGATGGAAAATGGAGTAAAAAAAACAAAGCAAAAAGAGACGCTGGTCTGGTTGCAGGCAAGACGAACGTTCCGAAAGACCCTTGATGGCCCGCCAGAGAGGTTACCGTTCATATTCCCATTTTTAGGGCTCGTTTTCCACGACCTTGATGAATAGGTACATACGTTACTGCGCTTTCTTATTACATGCTCCTTGCCCCCCGAAGAAGAAATAAAAAAGAAATGGGATCCAGCCCCATGCCTGTCCTATGTTTAACCGCTTCGGTACGGGTACGGCGTCTCGGTGCTAGAAAATGCGCAGCAATTAGGTCGCGAGACGAGAGCATTGGCCAGAGTAATGCCCAGGAGCGTCCGGCACATCCATGATAGTAATTATTATTGATGACATCCCCATTGTACCTGAGTGGAAGCGAATGACACACTGTTCTACTTGGTAGGGTTGGACAAATATCCACACCTAAATGCCGACTCTCTCGCGATAGGCGCAACGGCAGGGTTGGAAGAGGACAGAAAAGGGAAAGGCGCTGTATTTCGCACGTATTTGCAACGGGAGGGAAATAGTGGGAAGCATAGGCCACAGAAACCATAGAAAGCCACAGGAAGCATTTGGAAACTGGAGTTCGACGACGACGGGCAACGGGTTGTATGCGCTGGCGTCGAGTTTCATCCACTTGGATCGAATCAGACCCTGGGAACAACAGCAGCCTCTGACAGCCCAGATCCTTCCAACCAAAAGCTGGATGTGTGGTGGATGTACGTATTGTACCATACCTACATGCCTACATACAATACATACCAGTTTTCTTGCGCAGCCAAGCGCGGGCTACTTTGGGCGCAACTTGCGGGATCGCCCAACAAGACTCGGTTTCTCCATTCCCCACGCGCTATGTATGTACAGCTCGAACGGTGAACTTGGTTGGCTGAGGAGAAGAGGTTCGTAAACACTCCACGATCCACGACGCTCTTTAAGCTTGTTCGCTTCGCCTATTCGAGTCAACTCGCAAAACAAACAACAACAAGAAAAGAGGAGCTAGTATGGTCGCGGCCAGCTTCTAGTTTCACAAACATTCGTTTCCCCCCGTTCCCCCCGTTTCTCGTTTCTAGCCTAATTAACTAATAATAAGAGAAGATCACAAGTTGGAGTTGTTGTTCGAAGCGGCGCATACTGGGTGCGCATGCGCATTACACGCACCTTTCTCTTATTCTTTCTTACTAGGAACCCGGGGTTGGTGGCCCTTGAATTCGTCTTTATCTTGACCGCTTATGATAGATCGAACCACGACACCGTCTAACGGACGAGTTAACCTATCAGCGTCGCGACCTAATTTTTCTTCGGTCTGTTGATCTACACCGCACCAAATGATACTCTATCTAACCTGCGGTCTTTTTTTCCCATCTTGAATCTCTTCCCGACTTTCTGACTTTAGGGGTATTCCGCCGGTGCGCTATGTGTTGCGCGCAGAAGGAAAGAGAAGGAAAAGGGTAAGAAAAGAGATCGACATCGGAGTTCGTCATATCGCGGCCGGCTGCGACAACCTATTTATTAGCCAAGCAGGAAAGCGAGTAATTTTTTGACCAACCTCCGCATGTTGCCACGATAATCTAGCTTCTCTCAACATCCCCCCTTTAGATAGGTTGCAAATGTTAATTAAGAGAAATACGCCATCATTGGATGATATAGTACTGTTCGCATCTTAGTATACAATAGCTCCAACGTGGACTATCTAACTAATGCATTGTATACCTTGCGTTGGGCCGTCCTGTCATCGCGGCTTTCCATCAAACCGCATTTCCCTATCTTTAATTCATCACCTGGGCATTTCGATATTTCTCGCCTATCATACGAAGTAGTACTTCGCACACTTAGGGTTTAGTGACTTTCGTCCAATGGTAAAATATGCGACTTCGCTGCGGCTACCATCTTATGTCGCAGCAACGGTTTGAGGGAAACAGCATGATGCGTATGCATGTCACATCATTGAGGCGACGTAAGACGTCGCTCAAAACTAGCTAGACTTACTTGAGTCTGAATCCTTTGCGATCTGCAGTCATCGCAGGACTGATAGACATACTAGTAGATAGTAAAAACCCGACGATATTGCTGACGATATATTTTGAAGGGTAGAATATACCACATACATACCAGCAAGCTGAGGATCCTGCGCGGAGTTCTACCTAGATAGGTTTTGGCCGATGAGCCCACGGAGCTGGTCGTGCTAGGAAGCCCTAAAAGACCTAAAGGAGGGGTTCGACCCAACCAAATTTAGGATGTGAGGTGTCGTATTACCCACGCTTGTTACTCGTCCCAGGCTTCACTTGAGAGAAGCTGAAGAAAAGATATTGAAACGCATGGTCGCGCAAACTAGATAGCTTGCGATTTTGTGCGCATAAATCCTAATCATTGGTCTGCATGAAATTACACACATAATTAATTATAATAAGCCGTCAAAGCTAACCATTTTCTCTGGCTGCCCTACCTACCTAGTCAGCCCATTTGCGCCACCTGGTGATCTGTGATTGAGTGTCGAGAATAACGCCCCGAAACGCTAGCAGGGTATTCGAAGATATCAAATCGTGTCGCATATATGAGTAGAAGAGCTCCAATATATTTTGAAGCATTGTTAGGCCTTGGGGGTTGTGGTAGAGTTGATGGGTTGCTGTCGGCAAGAGTAGAGATGGAGATCTTTAACTCATCACGTGACCTCGAGTTGCGTTCGCGATAGGATCCTCCAGTTTACCGCGTCACGTTACCAAAAGTTAGATTGGGCGCTGCGCAGCTTGATACAGGAAAACGAGGTTGCGCATTATGGTAGGGCAATAATGTACGGCTTGCGAGTCATAAATAATTAAACAAGAAGGAGAAATAAGTTGTATTTGGAAAGCTTTCGTCGAAAATTCAAAATATCGAGATGAATTTAAGTGAGAGGAAGACGCGACGAGTTGCGAAATTACGTCACTGCCCTTTAGAGAGCCGCATTGACCACTTAAAACTCAATATGCTTTTCGTCAATCAGCTTCCAGTAGGCCCGCATGTGTGTGGAGTATGTACCTGGTACCTAAGCACGCACCTGCCACTATATTTCGGACTGACCGGATTAATGATAGCGCCGTCACTCAGTGTAAAGCCTTAGTGCATAGGGGCGCACCTTCGCTGTTTAATTTCTCTTAGGTGTCTTACAGGCTGCTGACTCGAATTCTAGCCTGGCAACCAGCTGGAATTGTGACAGGGATTACCACCATTACTCACATCGCGATTTGTTTATTTTGATTTAGTACCCCACTCTTTCCCAAAATAGGCACATGGAAGGTACGTACCTCAATGCTGATTACTGCTTCGGGTCAAAGCTTGAGGATGGATGTACACTATTTAACTTTATCTACTCTGTACTAAGGTACTTAAACCTACATGTACTCCAGTACCGTAATCTGTAAATCCGTTAACCTGGAGAATCCACTAGAGAACATCAACATCAACAATCATTGACGAGAGTCTCTCACTCACTCACTGGTCTTGATATAACACCGGCGATTCTATTTCTGAACCAATTCACCTTCTCTTCTTCACCTTTTACCGCGACAACCTTTTGTCATCGACTCTGAGGACACACTCTTTCATCGCCGACGGTAAGGTAAGAGACGATACATTCTTCTTCTTCGTCAAGTCTGACGGCGCATTATCGCATCGCCGCATCGTCACCTTCGTGGTGGTTCAGTACACTCAGGTATGTCGTCAATCTTGATCTTGGTCTTGATCTGCCTCGTCCCCGTCCCCATTATCACATTCGTAACCGACCACTGTAAATAATATCAACCCGCCGTCCGCACCCACCGCACATAAGCATTTTTTCCCACGTCGTTTCCAACAATCAATTTCTTTCCCAAAACATCCCACATTCTCTCACTTAACCGTCCACCCAACGCAAGATTTGCGTCTTCTCCCAACTCTTGCCATCACTGAATTCGACGTTGGTATTTGTTCTGCTGTATTCACTTACAGTATTGAACCAAACCGCATCGGTTCTTCTTTCCGCTCAGTGACGATTGTATTCTTATCTCCCTCGTCACTGGCGTTCGTATCCGCAAATTCTTGCGATCGCCTATGTGTGCTCGTCGCGACAACTGACACTTGACCTTTCAATAGGCATCATATAATCATCGATATCGTTAAGATATTATATCGATACCTATCGACGCAGAAGGCAAGTCTGAACCGGCAATATATCATACCAGACCATCCTGGGCACTGCCAAGGTTGCGCCGCTCGAGGTGTCCATTCTAGTCAATTAAGGTACGTACCAATCTACTAGTTCGAATGTTTACACCCAGCATGCATAGCACAGCTACATGGGCTGCGCAGCTACCAAAGGTCCAAAGCTACACCCCTTGTCCACTCCCTACTATTATCACCAGGCATTGGAGCGTTGGATCTCGAGCTCCATCCCAAAAAACAATCTTGGCCAATTTCCAACTCAAATCTCCCCATTCTCACTCCTAACCATCCACTCCCACATACACGTTTACACCTATCATCAACTTCATCTCTTCCTCGTTATCCACAACACTATCCACCCCAATGCTGAATACTTCACCTAACAACGACTCTACTCATGCACATATCTCCATCGCCTGCTCAGACCTAATGCATTGATGGCTGTAGGGCACGCTCTTGTACTCTAGGCGCATAATTACTTAGCACGCGCCGTGGAGTGTCTGGCTCCGAACATCCCATTGTCCTAATTCCTCAATTCCCTAGATCGTCCTATTCCGTGATCTCTCCCAATTCTGGTTTTAGGCCGGAAGCTTCTCTAAGCTCCTCTTCCCCGTTTAGTCGCGTCTATTTGATCATACGCTCCTCTGAACATCCACACCACGCATCGTTTTAGTACATTATGGACGGAAAGGTACGTTTTGATACCCGAGACCAAATTTCTTCTGCAAAATGTCCTATTTGTACGAATTTATTTGTGGCCTCCTTTCCTACCTAGGTAGTCCTAGGTGGCTAGGTCAAGCTTTTATTTTGGTTGGTTCCTGCATTCTGTCACCGAGGACCTCACCTCGGGAACTAACGTCCTTTACCTTGGCCTTTGATACCCTTTTCATCATTCTTAGTCTTTCCTCTCTCCAACCTACAACAGATCGAGCTAACTTTGTCCTTCTGCAGCCTCACCGTTTCGGCTACGCGATGGTCGCTCGAGGCACCGAAAACCAGCCTCTCGGAGACAAGGCGCTTCACCACCGCCACAAGTCTGCCAGCAACATTAACATCATGAGTTCCGTCAACGCCTCTTCGAAGGCCTCGTTGAACGCCAACGTTACCGACGCTGTTAACCGCGGCAAACCTACTGCCTCCAACGACGCAGCCATGTCTAAGGCTAAGAGTATCTCTAAGGGAGTTGTTGCAGTGGCCCAGGAGAATCGAGGCCACATTGGTGCCAAGGACGCGTTCTTGCAGCCGGCACAGCGACCTCCTAAGTCCCTTCAATCTTCCACGTCGATGACCCACCTTCGACCCACAACCACCGAATCTCGCCCTATCGCGAAGCCTACTGGTACCTTCGGCAAGCGAGGTCGTCCCATTCCTATCTTCAAGGACAACCAGATTGAGCCCGAGCCGGAGAAGCATGAGCCTCGACAGTCCAGCGCGAGCAACGCAAGCCAAGCTCCTACGAGCTCCAAGGGCGATGCTCAATCGAAGAGCGATGGCCACCTGGAAGGCCGTCTTGACGAATTCCACATGGCAGAGAGCCCCAAGCCCTCGCAAAAGGGTGATCATTTGTCTACTCGCCCGGCCGAGGAAGACGTTACGGAAGCCATCTACTTGGACGCTGTTGAAGAGCTTTCCAATGAGGCATCTCCCGTCTCTGCTTCTGACTACCAGAAGGAGTTGTCCGATGGTTGGCAATCTCCAAAGCTGGACGACTACGTGGGAGAACCCGATGTCGTTGTGCATGAGGACCACGATGTCCAGAACGATATTCCTGACTACGAGGAGGTCTCGACCGATGCACGAGCATCTAAGCCCCTGCCTATCCCGACTGATGACCAAGTCGAATTCTCAGATTACGAGGACGGTGATTATTCTGATGACCAGGGCTACACCGGTCAGCATTCCCCCGGTGCCACTACGGGTTTCGTGACCATGGTCGTGGTCCCTCCTAAATTGACCAAGAAGGGTGAAGCTGAAGTTGATGCTGCTAAGGCTCACGTCCTGACCAAGAACTGGGAGGAACCCTCCGACGATTACTGGGATATCGGCATGGTGGCCGAATACAGCGATGAGATCTTCGAGTACATGCGAGAGATGGAGGTAAGATAGTTTAACTGACCACGCCATGCGACCTATTGCTAATGTTTTCTCTTTGCAGATCCAGCTGTTGCCAAAGGCCCACTACATGGATATTCAGAACGAGATCCAATGGTCCATGCGATCTGTCCTCATTGATTGGCTAGCTCAAGTGCATCTTCGATTTGGCCTTCTTCCAGAGACATTGTACCTGGCCGTGAACGTGGTCGACCGATTCCTGTCTGTCAAAATTGTCTCCATGTCGAAGCTGCAGCTTGTTGGTGCTACTGCCCTAATGATCGCAGCAAAATACGAAGAGATTAACTGCCCCTCTTTGTCCGAGATGGTCTTCATGGTGGAAGGAGGTTACGCCCCGGAAGAGATTCTGAAGGCGGAACGCTTCATGTTGAGCCAACTTGAATTTACTCTCGGTTACCCGGGACCGATGAGTTTCATGCGACGAATCAGCAAGGCCGATGACTATGACTCCGAGATTCGAACGGTGGCCAAGTACTTCGCCGAGGTCACTCTCATGGATGAGCGGTTTGTTTCCACTCCTCCTAGCTATGTGGCCGCCGGTTCTCAGTGTCTAGCGCGCCTGATGTTGAACAAGGGAGAATGGGTAAGTCCAGTCCTTCGCAAATACGGCAATATGGTTATCTAATCTAAGTTTGCAGACTCAGGAGCATGTGTACTACTCCGGCTACACCTTCACTCAGCTGAAGCCGCTCATGGCGACTATCATGGAGTGTTGTTACGACCCCAGCCGACATCATAACGCGATCTACAAGAAGTACTCTACTAAGCAGTTCAAGTGCGCGTCTATCTTTGTCGTCAACATGGTCGAGAAGGGATTCGAGCTCCCTTTCCAGAATCACGCCCACGTCCTACAGAAGAACGGCATCGATGATTCTCGTTGGGGCTTGACTATGCCGCTCCCCTCTTATCCTACCGTCCGTTGAATCCGTCACAACTCGAGGGACACGTGCAGTTTAGTACTTGAGAGCTGCAAATACTTGAGTCCCAATGAAGTGACGATCACATAATTCGACGACTTATTATTGCATCGACTCTACATCTGTCTATGTGGAGGGACCCCGTTCTCATTTACAGTTCGGGCTAATTCTTTACCAACTTTTAATCACGGCATCGATTTGCGCTGCCATTCACGAATGATACGAGGCGTATGAAAAACCATGATACTCTAATTTCCGACGTTATTTTCCGCATTCAACAAACTCTCGTCTTTTCCGCGATGGCGTTCATGGCAAAAAAGCTCGACCTGTACGGCGAGCATCGGCATCAAAGGCGTTGGGCCCTATAGGACAGGGCATGGTGGCACATGGGCGTCTTGGCGGCATTGTTTATTCTAATCACATCATTGGCATTGTTGGTGGAGAAATAGATTCTCGCAATCTACTTTCGAAGCTAGCAATGCCCTTAAAGGGGCTAAAGAATTGATACCTTTAGTCCTACTGTTTGATATACCATTTTGTTCTGGGGGGAGAGCAATCTTGGCCCGGGCTCTGGGGAAGGGTTTATCGAGATGAAAGCTCCAGTCAAGTCTTCTCCCATAATCATTCTCGTTCAACCCCCCCTACCCCATTTCTTGTACAGAGATTCTATGGTCGGGACGCATCCGATTGCGCAAAATTCCTAGTTGTCATTACGGCCTTAAGCCGACGACGTTCACTTGCCGGGTTACGAGGCAATGGACAGGATCAAATAGCTCCTAGGAGACATGCTGCATAAAATGCATTATGGAAAAGGTTTTTAAAACCAATATATCTGGCTTCTCGCTTGGCTTGATTGTGACATGTAGTAAACAGTAGGAGTAGAGGCTATTTGGAGAGCCGGTGATCATATCCGCTAGGTATAGATCCTAAGATACGCTGGTGTTGATCTTTTTGGCCTTACTCGATTGAAGACATCATGAGGATGCCATCTTCAAATAGAATATAAACGTAAAAGTATGCTAATTATCATACCCATTCAACAGAGTCGTCTCGTGTTGATCTCCTTAGCATGCATTTTTGATATTCGACATCAGCCGGCAGCATTTCAACTGTTACTAACTCCTATCTCCAATTAAGGGATTACTCAAGTGCTGATATTCTACGGACGTTGACGTGCTTGGTACGTGTAGATGTATGTAAATACCTACAAAACAAATCACTATTCTCAGTGATATGTGCCAAACAAAATCAAGAAGCAGCGGCAACTAAACTCCCCTCGCCCCGTCCAGCTTCGCTGGCCAACTCCTTCTTCTTGGCCTCCAAGGCCTCATAATTGCGTTTCATGGCCGCCTTCGTGAATTCCGATCCGGTCACCATCGGATACTTCTTCAGCGGACCCTGAATCTCACAGTCCGTGTTGGGCTGGTTGAAGTATGCCATGCTGTACCGCGGACCGTAGTAGTCGACGGCGGGATCAGTCGGCGTCTTGACGCGGTGGAATGTCGACTTGAAACGGTCGTCACTCCAACTCATCAGGAGATCGCCACTTTTCGTTTTATTCTATCGTCAGCATTTCCCCTTATCTCACGCTCGGTATTCGATATTCGGAGGGAAAGGTAGGTAATCACAAGAAATAGGTACCTAGTAACTCACATATTACAAACGATCTCCCCCTCCGCCGGCTCGACCTTCGTCCACGTATCCCCCAGCCCAAACTCCGTGCACACCTCCCTGCCAGGGCAAATCTCCAAGCCGCTCTGCCCCGGCCTCTGGAACAGCAAAGTAACGAAATCCCAGTCGGCGTGCGCGCCCGCGCGGTAGTAGCCCTCGGGCGTCGGCGCGCTAGGGTCCATCGCGAAGTAATGCAGGATCCGCAGCACCGTCTGCGCATTCGGCCTTGACACATCATGAGCCTTGACGAAGTAATCGTCCGCGAACCTGAGCCCGCGCGCGAAACACAGCATAAGCTTCTCGCTGACGTCCTGCGCTTGCCGCATGAACGCTAGGCTCTGCTCCTTGAAACCCGGGAGAACGGTTTCGGGCAGCCAGGATGAGGTCATCGCGGGCCCGTATTGCATCTGGTAGCTCTCCTTCTGGTCGGCGGCGCCGGTGGAGGGGCGCACTTGCGCGCCCTTTTCCCAGCCTACGTTGGCGTGGGTGAAGGGCACGAGGGCTTTGGTGGCGTCGGGGAGCGCGAAGAAGCGCTCTGCTAGGGCGAACTGCGCGGCGATTGCCGAGGAGGGGATCCCGTGGTCGGTTAGTGCGAAGAAGCCGTCTGTTTCGGCGGCGCGGATGAGCTGGGCGGTTATCTCGGGGATGCGGGCGGGGAAGTCGCGGAGCGAGATCTTGGGGATGGTGCGGTTGGAGTATTTGGTTTCTGCCATTTTGGGGTTTGGGGGCTTGATTTGGGGCTTGGTTTGGTTTGATTAAGGTTGGGTTATAGGGGAAGGGGATTTGAGTGATATGGACGCTCTGGAAAGTTGTTGGCGTGGATATCTGACCCCTTTTATTGGATCTCTTATACACTATGGGACGTAAGAATGATTTGGAGCTGCAATATGACGTTATTGTATTCCCAGGAAACCCTAGGCGGTTTTTATGGCATGAGGATGAATCTCAGTTCATGTATTTTTCGACTTCTGCCTACGATTCTACTGTACCGAGGAGGCTCTTATATCTCGGGGGCGACGGGGCGGACCGGGAGTGGAGACATAAGACCGGGTGATAAAGCTGGCCAAGCTATCGCCCTGCGGAGATAGCTTATCCTGACTTATCATCGACCGGAGGCTGCCGTCAGCTCGGTGTCTTACATCTCGCTTTCACGTGCCTGGATCTTCAGCATTTACTGATGTCTGAGACATTGTATATATCTGGGTATCTATAGGAAGTAGCCTAGAGCTGGTTTACTAATGGAAATACGTCCATAAAGGAATTCACTAAACAGCGATATAAGATATTCTGGTAAGAAGGTTCCTGTGGTTTCATTCCAGATTTGCCTACTAATAAAGGCCGTTTCATCGTCCCATGCTAGCAGAACGAAGCGTAAAACGCCAGTGTACTCAGCCAATGTCTCACTTGCCTCGCCTAGACCCTTAGAGACCTTGAGACCTGGAAAGGTGCCGTAACTGACGTCGTCTTTCGAGTGCCCTCCCGTTGCTTATATGGAAGATTCTAATAAACCGTCTGAGGCCCCTATCTCCTTGTTCACTTACTACTACCTTAATTACACACAGTCGCTTTTCAGAGGATTGGGTGGTTATTGACTGGAATATTCTTGAGAATTCGAATTTGGTTGCTGGAAAACGTCTATCAATTGCTGATACCCTTAAGTCTAATACTGAGATAGATTTATCTTCGGAGTATGTAGAGTATCCAGGTCTTGATAAAATTATACATGAACGATATAACCGATTCGATCTTCTGCAAGTGGGCCGAAGGTTTAGATTTGTTGTTTCGGGTGTCGGCTTGCTACGCTGGCTGCGCTGGGTCGAGTGAAGAACCTACAACCAAGCTTCCACCCAAAGCTTTGGCTATTAGAATCCTGAATTTAAAATCTATTCTGACGAAGAGAAACAGATACAACATTTCCGAGAAAAACGAGTATTCATTGTGCGATGCTGAGTGAGAAAGGAATATTTCTTGAATCATGGTTACATTCGCGGTCACAACTGGGACATGATGCACCATCTTTTTCTTTCAGGGATCAAATAAATGAAATAAAATTGAATTTAATAAATTAAAAAGAAGAACCATTTTATCATTCGATAATATCTCACGCAAAAAATATAGAGGGGATTGACTTGACAAAAATAAATTATTGAAAAATAAAATAAAATTAATTTCGCAAACCTTCAACCGTGTTACGTGCGGCCGGTACTTAGGCTGTACCTTCTCAGGCTTCTCTAAGTTGCTTCCCGTTAGGGAACTTCCCCGGCATTTCCTAGGAAGGTAGGTGCCCCCAGATGGGCGAGGACGCTAAGGGTACGAGGTACTAACTTGAGCACTGCAGGTACTGATAAACATCCACAGACGCGCGCAGCTACCCAGATAATAATTGCACGCGTCCCTTCCTCTCTAAAGTAGAACCCCAACTACCTCCTGGTCGCAAAAGTAATTCCTACCTTTTAAATTATTTTTTCCCTTCACCTTCTTCTCTTCACTCAACACAATCAATATCCTTTTCACGCAATCTGATAAATTTTCCGATTTTTTTCAACTCAATCAATCCGTGGCTTGATTTTTTTCGAGTTTTTATCTCTTCGCACGAATCACATCACTCCTTACTAATTCACGCTCACCACCAATCATTGCGATGGCACCCACAAGGCCAGCGCGTGCCGCGGCCAAGGAGAATGGCACGACAACGGAAGCTGCAGCAACTACCGGTGATGCTCCCGTGAAACGTGGACGCGGTCGTCCTCCCAAGAACGGCATCGGGCCTCAGGAGAAGCCAGTTCCCACGGGCCGCCCTCGTGGTCGTCCTAAGGGAACTGGTGGCGTGAAGAAGGCCACCAAAGCTGCACCGCCCAAGGCGGCTACCAGAAGTACAACCGGTCGACGAGGTCGTCCTCGCAAATCTGACGTGCCGGCCGTTACTACTCCCAAGAAAACTGCTGCGACTCCTAAGTCCGCGTCCAAGTCTGCTAGCACCGGAAAGGGACGTGGTAGACCTCGCAAGAACTCGGCTCCTGTCGCCGCAGAAGAGGAGGAAGAGGAGGAAGAGTCTGAGGAGAAGGGTGAAGAAGGTGAGTTTGCTAATTAGACAAAGAGCCAAATTTCCTTTTTTTGAAATTATTATGGGAATACTATAGCTTGGTTGACATCTGCTAATTCTCCCTTCGACATCAGAAGCCGCCGTTAATGACGAAGTCGCGATGGACGAAGCTGCCGACGACGACAATGCCGCAGAAGACGACGACGTGCCCAATCCAGAGGTAAGATCACATCCTCCCCCTTCGTCCTAGTGCTCAATGTATATACCCGAATAATCAACCTCTTACTGATCCGGGCTATACAGGATGATTAGGATAACGAAGTGGCCGCCTCATACGTTGGGGGCCTACTCGCAAGTGCTTTCCGACGGTTTAGTAGTGTGAGAAGCACACCAAATACTCCTAGACGCTAAGGCTGCCATGTTTCTTTTCTATTGCTACGAAGCAAATTCACATCGATCTTCCGCGGGAGCTGTGCGCGGTTGCGGGCACATTTGTGTCATAGGAGAGGGAGTCTTTGGTGATTAGCTGAATGGGATGGCGTTAGTTGTGAGCAATGGGACCGAACACGTAATTCCGAAACAGCAATCGCTCACTGGTTCGCAATGGTTATTACTAGGACTGATTTCGGGATGCTCATAGGTCTCTTCATGATTTCGGAAGAAAAAGAACAGTACGAAAATAATTTTGGACCGCCTCCAGGACTATACATGTGTCTCGTGCGATCCTTCGAACCGTGCTCATCTGTGACAGTCAAACAAACCCGACCCGTGTAATAACGCCTTGCTATTCGCATACTGGAAGTATTGTAGGTGAGGGAGAGACTCGGGGTGTTCTATGACCCATGTAACCCATATTCTAGCTTGACTTTATGACCTGCTTCAGGACTTCGTCTTTCTCAGACTGAGCAATACGCTATTCGCCTATTAAGTTGCTCATTCATTCATTCTTTCTTCCACTCCTCGAACTCTTCCTCCAGGTGGTCCTTCAGCTGCTTGAACCTATTCCCAAAATCCCTCCCGCAGCGCCAACATACCAAATCCTTGTTAATAAACCCCGCCCGCCCCGGGTGTCTCCGGGGATCGTCCTCGGCGAGCGGGAAATCGGCGACGTCGATCAGGAAGGGCGTGTTGAAGCTGTTGTAGTGCTTGCGGTGGCGCATGCAGCTCGATATCATGTCCGGCGACAGCACGTGCACGTGCAGGTCGTTCATAGACGGGTGCGCGTGCACGCCGACCAGGAGCTCGCTCTCCCAGTCCCGCCCCTTCGGCAACTCCTCCCCCTCCCCTTCCCCCGCGTCCCCGTTCAGCACGGCCTCCCGCTCCCGGTCCTGCGCGCTGTACCGCCCGTACCGCCGCTGCAGCTCCTTCGCGACCAGGCGCTTCAGCTTCGCCGTCTCGGCGCGCACCGAGGCCAGGAAGTCCGCGTCCTCGAACGCGTCGAAGGGGTGCAGACGGCTTCGCGGCGAGCGCGGGAGGAGCAGCGTGTGCACGGTGGATTTCGGGTACATGTCGTTTATGGCGACGAAGTCGGCGGTGTGGTAGATGACGCGCGAGGCGGGGAACGAGGTCGGGTCGTGGGTGTAGGCGCCGAGGCCGTCGCGCTCTTTGAAGGACCGCGTGTGCGAGCTGCGTGTCGAGGCGAGTGTTTTCTTGGGGGGTTCTTTTTCGTCTGATTTGGCTGCTTTGGGTTTGGTGGACATGAGTTCTGTGACTTTGGGGGGCGGTTAGAAGGGTGTTTCTTCTGTCTCTCTTTTTGCGTCTTTGCTTAAGGTTAAGGGGTGCGTGGGGGGTATCAAGATGTAGGTATTAAGACAAGTATCGGTCACTTACATGCGTTGCGTTTCGTGTCTTGACTCACACCGGCGGCTGCGGGCGCGGGCGCGGTGCCCGCGATCTCTTCTTTGGTGATCGCATCTTCGGGGTCGGAGTCTGTTGATGGCATGATGGTCTTTCTCGGCTTGACTCGGCTGGAAATTGTCCTAAAAGTTCCTGTAGGGATCTGGAAGTAACAGTTTACTCTCGGCGTCCGCATTCACATAGTAGAGCGCTAGGAACGTTTATAGACAATTCGGCGATAAAATAGACCCGGTGGGATGTTGGTTGGTAGCTGCAGCTAGGTGTTTATGTAGTCCGTATTACTACATTCACATGCACGAAGGTAAGAAGTTAAGTATATCATAATTCATCGATTGAATCTCAATGATTATACACATATGTTCATATGTTATGGTATTATCGAAGTTATTCTCTGATAGAGATGTATAGTTAGTGGAAGCGTCCCCTATTTACCCCGCCAGCTGCCATCTACGTAACTTCCCAAGTTGAATGTTGGGGAATAGGTGGTACAAACATGACTAAGCACCAATCGGGTATTCTCCGGCGCAAATCGTCAATTTCATTAGGCCGTCTGCGGTGTAAGATTTACGTTTTCCTTCCTACATCATATGAAAATCCCATGAGATAATCGCCGGTAAGATTCATTATAGAACGCCAAATGGATTATTATCATGGGGAAGAAAGGCAAGGAAAAGGCCACAGCGGCGCCTCCGGCTGCTGCTGTGGCCGCTAACGCATCATCATCATCATCATCATCAAAGAAATCGTCCTCATCGAAAGCTGGCAAAAATACCGCCGCCACACAACCCAATGATGACTTCATAGTCTTCACAAACTCTACCAAGGACACTAAACCCAAGAAGGGAGGGGGCCAAGGTGGTTCCTCAGGTGCGGGAGGAAAGAATCCCGCACCAGGCGATGCGGCGACGGCAGAGGCTCCGGGTCCCCCGAAACCAACAGTAAAACAGATCATCGGAGGAGCGAGTTGGACCGGGAAACTACCCGTGAATCTGCTATCGGAGCATTGCCAAAGGCAGAAGTGGGACAAGCCCGATTACCAACCTGTAAGCGGCTTGTTTTGCTCAGCTGCCAATGTGTACTTAGTTAATCGATGTGAAATAGATCAGAAATTCGGATGGCTTTTCGTACTTCGTTCAGCTCAGTGCTAGAAATCCTAAGACCAAGGAGGTGCAGAAGATCCCTCCTTTTAAGTTGCCACCTGACCATAAGCATCTCGTGACAAGGGAGACCGCTTTAGAAGCTAAGCATGCGGCAGCTACCTATGGTCTATTCAGGGTCTGTAGCATGAAGAACATTCACACCACGCTCCCTCCAGATTACAGGTCATTATGGAAGCAATTCGAAGAGTTGAAGAAGGCGGACGTGAAGAAGGGCAACGCGTGGATGTACGATGCGGACCCCTTTGCTACCATGAAACAACGAGAGGATGAAAAGGTTGCTGCCGAGAAGAAGCGGAAGGAACAGGAAGCTATCAAGGAAAAGGCGAGGAATATGCCGGGTGCGTCAGGCCTGGTTCTCCGAAGCAATGCATCCACTTCAGGGGGCGGCGGCGGAAATCCCATGAAAGGATGGACTACCGTTCCCAAGATCGAAATGGGTAGGAAAACACGATCTCAGTTAGAAGATCTGCTACGTCGAGAAGTGATATGGAATCCGCATGAGGTCAAGATGTCTAAAACACAGAAGGAAGCTATCATCAAGGAACTTACAAGTTCAGGCTTTCGAAAAAGCCATGTGGAGGAAGCAGTAGACGAATGCAAGGACAGGGAGGAAACCCTGGAGTGGTTACTCATACACGTTCCCGAAGACGATCTCCCTAGATGGGCTTTACCGGAGAGTTATAGCGCAGGAGTTTCGGTTGCCGCGACACAAGACCTAAGGCGCGAGGCGGCAGTAAAGCGATTGTCACAATCGGGTTACTCAGCCGAATTGTGTAGGAAGCTCTATGATGAGAAAGGCGCTGATGAAGGCGTTGCCGCTGAAGCATTGCAGCATTTCTTGCTTTCGAGCGGTACTGATTCTGCGTCGATAAATGCTGTTTCAGAAGAACCTTTCATATTAGGCACAGCGGAGGAATGTTGGAACGACGAAATGGAGAGCCTCGCATCCGTATTTAGCGAGAATTTCAAACGACTATCTGACAATGTCTGCCAAATACGAATCGAGGCAGTCAATAACGGACCTAAGAAGGACGTTGAGACGTATGCTCAGTTTCGGAAGACACCGCGATATCCAGCAGAAGTTGTTGTGGCCATTGTAGCAGACCTTCCCTCTTATATTAAGCTTAGTATTGTCAAGAAGACGCTTGCTTATCTGGCCGAATCCCTGAACGAAGAACCAATGAAGATCTACTTTGCGGTGGACTGGATTCAGCAGAATATCAACACCATTATCGAAAACCCCGGGAAACTTCGAGACATTTCAGGGGTCGCTTCAACTGCAGCAGAAACCCGCTATGTTATTCCAGTGGGCCGCAAGTCTTCAAGACATCCAAAGCCGCTGTCATGGACGGTTGATATACGGAGTAGGGAAGAATGGCAAAAGAGACAAGACAACCCTGCATTGAAGCAGATGCTGGCCCAACGTCAAAAATTACCAGCCTGGCAAACGAAAGACCAGGTTGTAAGCACTGTCTCACAGAATCAAGTCACTATCATTGCTGGAGAAACAGGGTCTGGAAAATCTACGCAATCGGTTCAATTTATACTTGACGATCTCTATAGCAAGGGACTCGGAAACGCTGCTAGTATTATATGTACGCAGCCACGGAGGATATCTGCTCTTGGTCTTGCAGACAGAGTGAGCGACGAACGTTGTTCGAAGCTCGGTCAGGAAGTGGGCTATACTATCCGCGGAGAGAACAAGACAGGGCCCCAAACTAAAATCACTTTCGTCACTACTGGTGTGCTCCTAAGACGTCTACAAACTTCTGGCGGGCGGACCGAAGATGTCGTTGCTTCGCTGGCCGACGTTAGCCATGTAGTCATTGATGAAGTTCACGAGCGAAGTTTGGATACGGATTTCCTTCTTAGCATCGTTCGCGACGTTCTGAAACGAAGAAGAGACCTCAAACTCGTGCTCATGAGTGCTACGCTCGATGCTGCTACGTTCAAAGGCTACTTTGCTTCTGAAGGACTTAAGGTTGGGCTGGTCGAGATCGCTGGAAGAACATTTCCGGTTGAGGATTATTACCTCGATGATATCATTCGCATGACGGACTTCAATGCGGACACTGGTAGATATCGTGAACGTGACGAGAGCATGTTCGATATGGCGAATTCGACAGATCAGGGCTTTGGCGACCGGGGAGCGCAAGATCCCATTAACAAGACTATCCAGAGATTAGGTTCCCGGATCAATTATTCCTTGCTCGTCGAAACAGCGAAAGCCATCGATGCAGACTTGTACCAAAACAACAAAAAGGGGGGCATTCTCATCTTCTTGCCGGGCGTTGCGGAGATCAACCGGACCGTCAATCAACTCAAGAATGTGTCATCCCTGCATGTCCTACCTCTCCACGCCTCCCTTGATACGCGCGAGCAAAGGAGAGTATTCACGAGCCCTCCTTCTGGAAAGCGGAAAGTGGTAGTTGCAACAAATGTGGCGGAAACATCAATCACGATCGATGATATCGTTGCTGTTATCGATACGGGAAAGGTTAAAGAGACTAGCTTCGATCCTCAGAACAACATGCGTAAGCTCGAGGAGACATGGGCTTCGCTCGCCGCTTGTAAACAGCGCCGAGGACGTGCTGGCAGAGTGCAAGCCGGAAAATGTTATAAATTGTACACTAGGAACCTTGAGCAGCGCATGGCAGAACGTCCGGAGCCCGAGATTCGTCGCGTTCCCCTCGAGCAACTTTGCTTGTCCGTACGAGCTATGGGAACCAAAGACATCGGCAGATTCTTAGGAAGGACACCAACTCCACCCTCTGTTTCTGCTGTCGATAATGCTGTTAAGATGCTACAGAGGATGGGTGCACTGGATGGCGACGAGTTAACTGCTCTTGGCCAACAGTTAGCCATGATTCCCGCTGATCTACGTTGCGGAAAGCTCATGATCTACGGCGCTATCTTTGGATGTCTTGAGGAAAGTATTTCCATCGCCTCTATCCTAAGCACCAGGAGCCCATTCGTGTCTCCATCGGAGAAGCGTGACGAAGCTAAAGCGGCTCGTATGAAGTTTTCCAGGGGCGACGGCGACCTCCTTACCGACCTGAGAGCTTACCAGCAATGGAACGAGATGATGGACCAGGGAATGCCGCAGCGACAACTACGGCAGTTTTGCGACGAGAACTTCCTCTCGTACCAGACCCTCTCAGACATATCCGCCACGCGCGCACAATATTACTCCTCGCTCGCCGAGCTCGGGATACGCGACACCCGCCCGCCAGGCGCCCAAGCATCGACATCGCTCGTCCGAGCGCTGACGGCCTCGGCGTTCACCCCGCAGATCGCGCGCATCCAGTTCCCGGACAAGAAGTTCGCGACGTCGATGTCGGGCGCCGTGGAGCTGGACCCCGAGGCCAGGACGATCAAGTACTTCACGCAGGAGAACGGGCGCGTCTTCATACACCCCGCGAGCACGCTGCACGACAGCCAGGGGTTTTCTGGAAATGCGGTGTTCTTGTCGTATTTTAATATGATGGCTACGAGCAAGATATTCATTCGGGATCTTACGCGTAAGTTGATTTCTAGCGGATTGATTTGGCATGGGGCTCTTTTGGGTGATGGTCGGTTGCTGACTACGTGTAGCGTTTAATGCCTTTACGATGCTCTTGTTCTCGGGCGCTATCGAGCTGGATACTCTGGGGAGGGGCTTGGTGGTCGATGGTTGGCTGAGGTGAGTTTGCTCTCGTGAATTCCTAATTAGCTGACTGAATGATTATGTATTGACTGTATCTCCATTGTAGACTACGGGGTTGGGCAAGAATCGGGGTCTTAGTCTCAAGACTCAGGGGCATGGTAGACAACATCATCGCGATGAAAGTAAACGACCCGCACGCGAACGTCTCCGACAACGAGGTGGTAAAATTGGTGGCGAAACTCATAGAACTAGATGGCCTAGATGCATGATCACTTACAATGTCGTTAGTTCTAGGTTTTCGAATGATAGACTTCTTAATTCTGGATTTTTTTCTTCTTTCCTTCAATGAGTAGTATCCTTTAGTTCGTTACTCGAGTTTATGTCAAGTGAATCTCTGCCGCTGAAATATTTCATTTTACAGAAGTACCTAGGTAGCAGATGGAGTGTACATGGTAGGAAGGTGCTACTTGCACTGTGGGAGGTATTTAAAATCTCCGCAGGAGATTTTAGAGCTTAGAAACCCAACACAAATACAACATCTTATCCCCTTTAATCCTTTTCTGTAGCGTAGAGGCCCGAATTTATCCGCCAACATCATTACCTAATATCTGATTACTTAAGGATTAGATAATGTAATCCGTACCTACGGAACATTGAAACTTATTAAGTGGTATGAAGGGAATCCTGTATTGCTATTGGTCTACAATCTGCATTCCCAACACTTCCAACCCGGGGATCCGAATATCATCACTAACTCAGCGACTTCCAAGACGTCTCCACCATTATAGGCCCTACAAGTTCGCTGCCTCGATTCGCTTTCCATTCTTGTCAAAACGGATTTGTTTCTCTTGGACGAGGGCTTCTTGAATGTAAGAACCAATCTCCACAGCCTTGACCGCGTTGGTCAATTTGTAGGGCAGCGGCTTGTCATCTAGGCAGGCAGAGACAAATTCGTTGGACTCTTCCACAAACGCCATCTCAAACCTGCCGTAGTAATCATGCGGCACCTCTCTTGTGATGCCTCCCGAGTGGTAGCGGTTCACCAAGTTTAATTGTGGGTTGACGTTGACCGAGAGTTTCCCCTCAGTCCCGATGATCTCAGTCGTGTCTTCCTGACCGTGCGCCATCATACGGCTGCAAAAGTAGTATGCGATCCTTCCGTCGTGGAATTCGACAATGCCAACCGCGTTGTCATAGTCGTTGTACTTGGCGAGGTCGGGTTGGACTGCCCTGATGCCATAGGCAGAGACGCTCTTTAGGACAACGTCGTCGCCGAAGAACCATAAGGTTAGGTCGATGTCGTGGATGCTCATGTCAACGAAGACACCTCCCGACCATGCGGCGTATGCGACGAAAAAACCACCGGGATCGTGCTTGTCGCATGTCTGGCTTCGTATGACGGATGGACGGCCAATGAGGCCACGCTCTACCTTGTCGTGGGCATCGCGGTATGAAGCGTCGAAGCGGCGAGAGAACCCGCACATGACCTTCAGGTGTGGTCGCTTTTGAGCTTCTGCAACAACTTGCTTACACTACAGTCTCCAAGACGAGGTCAGTGTTTGAGTTAGTGATGTCACGGTAGTGTTTACGTACGACTTCGACTTTTGTCGAGAGCGGTTTCTCGCATAACACGTGGAGATTCTTCTCCATGGCCTGGATGGACTCCTCAGCATGGACTGAGGTTGCGGTTCCGATCACCACGGCTTCGAGACCGGGATGCTGAATCATTTTGTTGTAGTCGGTGTACAGGGTGACGCCAAACGGCTCCAGGTTTTCCTTTGCCCATTTTAACTCGTTTGGGTCTGGGGAGAAAGCTGCGACAAGCTCTGCGCGAGGGGTTCGGTTCATGAAGTTCATGGCATGGCGTTTGCCCATACGGCCCAGGCCAGCGACTGCGACCTTTAACTTTTTAGGTGCCATTTCCGCGAATATTGCAACGACGGATGATAATTTGAGGGGACGAGTTGGAGAAGAAGATGAGGAGGAGGAGGAGGAGGAGGAGTGAGAGTGAGCGTGCACGCTTCGAACTTGAGAGGAACTAGTGGCATACCTACGGCCTTTTCTATTCGCGACGGATGTAGATACAGCTACATGTGTCTACAGCTTGAAGAGGGGTTCGTCCTTTTTCGGACGCATGCAAAATGGTAAAGGCTCAAGTCTAGACGACGATCTGAACGACGATACCTCCACGACTCACGTCTATATCCGGGAGGATTCTCCTTTCCAAGCGACTAGCTCGCGCGCGATTACTTAAGTCGATATGGTTATGCATAATATTGCATATAGGATGTATCCTGCAGTGGCATCGTGGGTGACGATGTCCCGTGCCCTCGGGATTGACTGCTATATTTGGTCCTGCATTATCAACTTACCCCACATCGAGTTGGAGATGTGTGGAGATGTTCGATACTGAGCCAAGACTACCCCATGCTACCCCACACAGTCCCCCAGATTACTATGATTATGTACTGCCTTTTTCCTTTTCTCATTGGTACACCATGATTGGTCAGTACGTCACCTACCGAGCATCCGGTTCGCCGATTCGAACCAGTTACATATGTAGGTGGTCGAAGGTTGACCCAAATCAAGGGACGTGAGTTAGCTGAGAGGTGGGGTATGGTGGGGGTATTGAATTCCGATAATAAAACAGGCCTTCATTCCCGGATCTTCTTGGAGCAAACCCGGAATATTTTACCCTATATCCGTTACTATTGCTAACTCGACTCTCCCCTGGAATCTCAGTCCATACAGCGTATGTTGAGCAATGCGCCAAAGAAGCGGATGGTTAGTACTTACCCCTAGACACTGATAATAATAGCAGTTTAGTGACCATAGTGTTAGTTTACCCTGCCGCAAACGTCATATCAAATGTGAATTAAGCTATCATTCGACCCGTCCCTAGTCGTTCTCTAACGAAAGCTAGGCGTTAAAGTTCCCGAAACAGACAAGTGCAAGAACTGTACTCAGAAAAAGAGAGCGTGCGTCAAGGGTGAATGCTACCGCTTTTGCCCCGTGGTATCGGTTCGGTTCAACGCAGGTGAGGATGTTGGTGCCGCCAAGCAAGAGCTGGAGTTTGCGGTGAATCAAACTTGGGTACATATCCCGTCGACATGTACGTAGACCCCTTTCCCCTTTCAGCTCGTGAAGTGGGGTCTATTCTTCTTGACTAAGATGCATTAGTGAAATTTCTACCTCCAAACACTGGAGACGACGAGGATTCTATTTCTGGAAGCGAAGAATATCTTACTTCAACCAATCAGAACGCCAATATCGAATCAAGTGGCAGCATCTTATCCTTGACTTCCGCTGACCGGCATCGGGGCTTGTCCTACTCGGAACAGCACGGTGCATCCGGGTCCACCGGCTATTTCTCCACGGTCTTGGACTCTCCGTCGAATGTAACCTCCGGACTTCCCGAGTCTCATGACATAATCGGTACCCACACCTGTCCCATAGGCGTATCAGCCTCGTTCTCTCCCTTCTCACCAGATATACCATTGGCCCATCCAACGATTCAGCCGGACTCGCCATTAGTTACAACACACTCGCCCTTCTCCCAGACCTCCCATTTCTCCTCAAAATGGCCAGTGAATAACAAACATGAAGCGAGACTCTTTCACCACTACATCGTGCACTGCTCTCCTTGGATAGACATCTGCGATCCAAAATGTCATTGGGCCAAAGAAGTCCCCAAGCGCGCTGCACATTTTCAAGTCATCTTAAACGGCGTCTTGGCACTAGCAGCACGACACCTTTTTATCACCGGAGGGCTTGAAGAAGACGCATCGGAACCCTACGTTTCTGACTCTCTACACACCTTGATTATAGCCCTCGAGGATCCATTGGCGCATTGGGACGAGAATTTCCTTGTAGCTGTCATATTGCTTAGACTACACGAGGAAATAGGCGAAATAGACGAGAGGTGTCATCATCTTGGTGCCTCACGTATAATAAATGCATCATCATCGTTTGCTGCTGACGGCGGATTGAGGGAGTCTGCAAGTTGGGTATCACTGCGGCAGCATATCTACGTCTCCCTCACGACCCAACGACCTCTAGATCTAAGCCTTGGGAATTATCGCTGTTCTTCCGTCTTCAGGGAATCTCATGATGAAGCTTGGGCAAACAGGATAATATTCTGCTTTGCTAATATCTTGAAACACGTATTTGAGAACGATACTCTTGGGCGCCTCTCTCAAGAGAAATGGAATGAACTAGATGTCGAACTGAGAGAGTGGGATAGTACGAAGCCTTGGACTTTTGCCCCTTTAGCTGAAGAGCAATTCGTGGACAAGAGCGCCGACCTTGGTCGCGCAGAATGGCAGGGCAAATGGCCTGAGCTACTAGTTGCACAACCAGCCCAAGCGGTAGGACTGCAATACTTCCACCTCTGTAAAATAATGCTCACGTTCTATGACCCCCGGGCCACGCGTGTTGGTCTAGCAAGCCACCGCTCGAGGATTGCGTTAGACGCAGAAATCAGGAAGCATATGCGCATGATATTTGGCTATGCCCAAACAAACAATCATGTCAAAAATGCCCAGTTCCAAGTCTCGCATATTCTGGTTGCGTGCGGCGCGTACCTGACTGATGCTAAAGAGCAAGACGCGGCGGTTGAGTATCTGATAAATATGAAGAAGACGACTGGCTGGAAAACTGACCATGTTATCGATGATTTACGAGAGCAATGGAAAATCTAAATATTTCTATAAACTCAACCCCTAACATCGATCGCCAATTCCCACGCTTGTTTAGTACATCCGTCCAGGCCTTGACATACATCTACGTTAGAAAGACCCTTACGTGTAATTTCCAAGGTGTTGCCTCTTAGAATCTCTTCCATCCGGAATTTGGAATCCGATTACGTTGTTAGTTCATCAGTATAGATCTTAAAACGGAAAGTGATATTAGTACATGAGGGGTAAGTATTGGAGAACCGGCCTGCGGTTTCAGGCGGTATCCATGCAAAACAGCCCATTCCTTTCCCACTCATCTGTCTCTCATGAAGATCTAATTCCAATCTGGGGATCTACGTAGCAGTACTTCGTACGAAGTAATCCGTACCTATGATCTTGAATCTTGATGGGCGTTATTCGATTAAGACTAGGTAGACTCCTCCTCCTCCTTCCCCCTTCTCTACCCCGCATTTCCCCGCATCTCCTCGCACCCTACATTCAGGGTTCATGCATACTACGTGGACCCCTGTTCAGGAACGTTGGGGTTTTGCGCAGGGCGCTTACTCAATTAACAGCTTACGACTTATCGATAGTGTGGGGAGTGTGGCGGTGGCTTAAAAATCCGGCCTAACATCGTTGGTCCCTCACCATCAAGAATCCAACCCTCCTTTTGTGTTGTTGTTCGATTTGATAGGTCCAGATTTCGGTTTATCATGACAATTACACTATTGGGCTACCAGAGTAGAGTTCCCGATTATCGTGACAATGGCACCTTCAAACTCAACAATCAAGTTTAAAATCATGAAATCGGCAACTCTTATCCACTAAACCGCCAAATCTCACGTCTGTTCAGATCAATGGCTTGAGTAATCTAGAAAATCAATCCAGCTTGACTGCAAGTTTTGCTAGTCCTTGGTTTTGGCGTACGCTTTCAGCTTTGCTCCAGAATTCTTTCTCGTCATTATTGACGCGCATACCACCGGGGAAAAACACGGAAATCAAGGATGACCCCACGAGAGGATATCGGTCCTCCGTTTTCTGCAATACTTTGCTAACCTTCGAGTCTGCAATGATATCAATTTGGTTCAGATGGATCCCGAGGGTACTCGGATCTCTGGGTGCTCCGGCGACGACCAAGTTGTGGATCATACCGATCAAACCCACGGTTAGAAGATCTAGAGAGTCATCAGCACACAGAATCCTGGGAGTGTCAAAATCTACATAAAGTGAAAGAACACGAGACTCACACCATGCGTTCGCTCTGAGACCCGAAACTGATATCAACAGAACAAGCCAGAAAAGGGCTAGCAGGAACAGAAAGGCTCGAGCTGGTATGGAAGACTTCGGTTTCCAGCTCTTCCCCGCGAGGATTTCTAGGTCTAGGCCATGGTTGTTTCCTAGGATCACCATGACATTTCGGCTACCGTTTCCCCGGGTCAAGCTCGTCGTCCACCCGCCGGTTGTCGGGCAAGCCCATTTCTCCTCGCGCCACTGGGAGACGGCGCCTTGGAGAAGCGACAGTGTTGTGCCTGAAACTGCGACCAATATTGGCGCCCAGTCGCCTTCAATAGCTAGTGGAATTACCGAGATGCCGATTTGGGCCAGCATGACAGCGAAACCGCTATACCAGAGCCAGTCCCGCGTGGGCACGCCTGCTTTTCGCCGACGATCGACTTGGAATATGGTTACACGCAGGGCTTCGTAATCGGGAGCAAATTTATTCAAATTTGGTGCCGCCTTGGCTTGTGAATGATCGAAGTCACGTAGAAGCCTGCCGATGATCCATGACTGGTTCGTCCTGACATGGCCGCTCTTCGCGCCGATTACCAAGACTGGGTAATCTGGCTGGGGCAGCATTTGGCCATCTTAGATATACTCTAAGTGTCCGAACTTAGCTGTCGTGACATTGGATTTGCACATACCTCCGAAAGCTGCAACAAGAGTATTCACTGCATAGGCTACCCATCCGTACGAGAATACTACCGGGGTGATAGTCTCCCCAGCTAGCTGAGCGAGAGCACGCCATACGACGTCAGGTCCCAGAATCAGCAGTAGAGATAGGATATCATTGGGGTTCTTCCATTGGGATTGGAGAATACCGCTGGTGTCTCGAGTGGAAAGGGGGTGTTTGAGAGAATTATTGTCAGCCAGATGGTAGGGGAAAACCTCATCTGTGGAGGACATGATTGTGGTATTTTAGAGTGCCTCTCTCCTCTTGTTTCTTCTTTTGGGAAGAGGACTTTCTGCGGCTTGATGTGACTATACGTCAAACGATTCGAACTATTTAGTTCGGAACTATGCCTAGTTGGAGCGTAAGACTATAAATCCTTGGTCTAAGTAAGATCGGTCCTACGTAGGATTTACCTCGGTGAGAGGTGAAAAAGGCTCTCCAAGTACACCGAAAGATAGAGAAATGAGGCGTCCAATACCTGTAGGATGAGTGAGAGCCTATTTCCGTATGATGTCAGATGGAACTCCACAGCCTCATACTAGAGCAACATGTGTGTTTCATAAAGGGCAAATCCGGGCGTACAGTAAGCGGGAGGACATGCAGCAAGATGATACGACGGTAGTGAGGCGTAATCACAGTGCCATGTACAAGAAGCCTTCATCCAGGGCAATGAGTAAGCATTACTTGAGGTTTCTCTCATAATCTCTAGGTCTAGACTTAGGCCATAGTAGTAGCCGGCTCGTGCTACCTACGAAGCCGCTCCAAGAATCTAGTCCGGTGCTGATGCAAGTAATCACCGATCGCATGATTGCCAGCCTCAAGCGCGAGATCCCGAGCAGTATGTCCGTCCTTATTCTTGATATTCGTCAATGCATGCGCTTCCAAGAGCTTCTCAACCACGCCCATCCTCCCAGCTCTAGCGGCGTAGTGCAAGGCCGTATCCTTAGTATTAGACCGCGCATTTAATTCAGCGCCATGGGAGAGAAGCTTGTCTACTGCCCTAGCAAACTTCGGATCAGAAGCTTCTCGTATAGCATTTGTCTCCGTCCTTAGCCATACTTCTACTTGCATCGAGACCATGGCGCCGGAAACCATTTGTAGTGCCGTACGACCGAGATTATCCTTTGCATTAGGAGATGCTCCCTTCTCAAGGAGCTTTCCAATTGTTTTTTCATCCCCATTACGAGCCGCTATATGAAGCGGTGTCTCCCCTTCAGTGCTCGTGGGATGTACGGATGCATTCGCAGCAAGGAGCATGTCGATGATTTCCTCGTGTCGTTCAGAAACTGCAAGATGTAATGGGGTAAATCCCTGAAACTGGCGAGCGTATGGATGATTTATTATGTCAATTTCATCCGGAAGCTTTGCGTTCACCTCCGATCCCATGGCAAGGAGAACTTCTGCAGTGCTTACACATCCAAATTGTGCCGCGACGTGCAGTGCTGTGTATGCGCCCATCTGCATGTATACATCCGCACCGTGGTTGAGGAGCTTTCTAAGTATCCCAACATGGCCTCCTTTTACTGCTTGAAACAACGCACCCCTGCCGTTTGACTCTCTTATAGGGGGGTATGTCTCAAGTAACTTGTCAACTACATCTTCAAACCCACCTTGAACTGCATGCGTAAGAGCTGTCCACCCTGGTTCGCCTGGTTCGTCTATATTCGCCCCTCCGTCCAGAAGCATCTCGACCACGGTTCTATGCCCACCTCTGGACGCCAAGTGAAGGGGGGTATACTTATAGAATGTCCTCGCATTCAAATTTGTCCCTTTCTGAATAAGGACAGAGACCGTTTCGTGGAAACCAAGCGCAGCTGCAATATGAAGGGCCCTATAACGTCTCGCTCGATAATCGCCTTCTGACTGTTTATCCACGTCGGCGCCTCTTTCTATGAGTGTCCAGACTGTCTTGCTATGTCCTCGAGCAGCAGCAAGATGCAAGGGAGTAAATAAACCATCCAATATATCGTAGCTTTCGAGTTCATCTACCAAAGGTATAATGCGAAATTGATACGACTCAAGCTTATCCACCACGGCACCTTGACGAATAAGGATATCAACTGCGTTGTAGCAGTCCGTAGCGGCTGCATCGTGAATATGGCCATCCTGTAAAGTCTCTAAGGACATATCCATACCATATTTTGTATCATGAACTAATCTGGTGATCTGGTAACGTCCCTCAACAGCCTTGAAATGCAATTTGGTCCAGCTAAGCCCAGATACTTCTCCGTCTTCCATCGTTATTCCGGCTCTGATACCTGCGAAATGGTGAGGCGTCCAACCATTAGCGTCCTTTTTCTCCCAGTTTGCGTTGTGGCTTATGAGTAAGGCAATCACTCCTTCGTGGCCGTTCATTGCTGCAAGGTGTAACGGCGTCCATTTGACTCGACCGTCTGTAACGTCAACGGCGGCATGATGCTTAAGGAGAATATCAACTATCCCTTGGTCACCCTTATCTGCTGCATAATGCAGCGGCGTCCAGCCAAACAGATCATCTACTGCATTAATATCTGCCCCTTTTTTGAGGAGCCACTCAACTACAGTTTTATGTCCATCCATTGCAGCGTAGTGCAGTGGCGTAAGACCGTTTTTCCCCTTTGAGGAGACGCCGGATCCTCTGCACACGCTCTTGAGAACACCTCGATAACCTAAACTTGCCGCAGTATGCATTGCAAAGTTTCCAACAAAATCTCGAAGGTCTGGGTTACTTCCTCTTTCTAGTAGTAATTGAACAGTCTTCAGCGAACCACTCCAAGCTGCGCGGTGCAGAGGCGTCTGACCGTCTCCATTCACACGATTCGGGCTTACGCCCCTGTCAAGTAGAGCTCGCACGATCGCTACGTGTCCTCGCTCTGCTGCTAGATGAATAGGGCGCTGTCCCATTCTATCCGACTTATCCCATAAGGCAGGATCTTCGTCTATGAGGGCCAAGTCGCCTACCCATGCGGCGTGATGGCTACCCGTCCAATTTCCGCCTTGGAATATCTCCGATGCTGCGTTCTGCGAAGCTTCGGCGAATTCATCCTCAGTGAGGTGGGGTTGGCTAATGAGATCCCAAGCATCTTTATCATTGCCGAGTACGTTCCAACCTTGCGTGTCACCTATATTCACTACCATTTTCTTGCTTTGATCGCCGGACTGAAGAGGTTCTCGGAATCGTAACGTACCAATGAACTGGCACTTGAAAGTCGACTTAGATCCGTCAGAGGCTCTGAAGACCTTCGCAAGGATGGCATCTGTGACGGTACTCCTAGACGTTTCTCCTGGTACGACCAACAGAACATGCTGTTTTTTCTCCTCTGTCAATGCGTATCGAAGCTTCGCTTCAATCAGAGGATGCGACACCTTCCAAATACAACCATCCAAATCAATGAATCTAGAAGATACCACTTTCCACGTTCCAACAACTTCACCATGCTTATTAATCGTGAGTTCTGGATCTCTCCCCGATAACGGAAGTTGGAAGAGATTCGTCGGAAACCAGCTGAACCCAGCAGACATAGTGGCGGATGTGTGAAAGAGATGGCCGTGAGATATCTTCTTAATCTTTCGGAGTATATTTTGGTATATGTCTCGCTGGAAAGTGTCGCCCGTGGACGACTGCAGCGTGTCGATACCTGTGAGAAGTCCGGCAATTACTGCCTTGTCCTTCAGCCACGAGGTATATCTAGGGCCCAGCGTACGGAGAAGGTCTTCAATCTCAGATACATTATCGTTTCTCAACCCGCGGATCATCCCCGCTGCGATGTTGTTCCCAGCCTTGTTTAATATATCTTCATCAAGGTCTTTGATGGAATCTTTGAAGACGACCTTTACTTTCCGCGATTTGACCAATTCGAGAGCAGTCCAGCCTCGAGTAAACCAAGATGACAATATAATAGCCATCGACGCCATATGGGGATCCACGAAAGGGAGGCTTCGAAGAAAACGATCATGAACTAGCGTGATCCTGGCATATTGATAATTGAGATGCATAGTGCTGAGCGCTTTGCCACGGGCCACCTTGTCCTGTGGGATGCAGATCGTATCCCACCAGATTCCCTCGCAGTCAAACCTCTCTGCAGTGTTCTTGAAATATTCGTATATGCACTCGTTAACGTGGCCTGGTCCCCACGGCCCAGCTCCTGTTCCATCAGACCAAACATGGGAAACCGCCATGTACGGCCGGGGTCTTATAAGGGATGCTTGACCGTCAAACGCCCAGGCGGTAGGCAGTCCCTGGTTCACGGATTTTAGGAGCACATCCTCACGGAACCGGCCCGTGAATGGAAAGCAGATCGACTTGTTCTCGTGCTTCTTCCTAATCTCCTCTTGGTCGTGGCTATCTGAGGGCCCTGGCTCGTGATACTGCTGCACGGCAGTAAAGTTGCGGCTTGAGAACTCGCAGTAATCGAAAGTACAAGAGGAATGATCTTCATGTCCCATAGCAACCGGAAGCATCTGCGAGAACGTGCGACCGAAAGCTTCCAACAGACCGCATAGGCTGTTCTCCCAGCCCTCCAGCTGAGAGCCGACTTGCCAGATGCGGTTGGGACAGAAACCATACTGCTCTGCGCCCCTTTCGATCTCTTCTCGTAGCTTGATTACGTCGTACGACATTCTCACACCGATCTAATAGACAATACTGTAAGAGAGGACTGTATACGGGTATAATGATGAGGGAATTCGTACGTCGTGTGTTCTCGGTGAGAATGTATGCCCCGAGCCTTGTCATGTGAGATAAGCCTGTCCGTTTTGAGATGGTATCACAGCGTGATGGCTAATGTGTATCTGATTTGCGGCTGCTCGGCCCCCACCCCCCTCTGCATTTGTGAAAGCCAGGTGATGCTGACTGTATGAGCGAGGCGCTACCTAATCCAATGAATCGAAAGGAACCATATATAGCAGCGAGGCATACCAAGATACAATGGTCGTCATCGATTCTACCTTGCTCATTCCGCGCCGCCGTCCGCCTCGTCTAGAACGCGGCCTTTTTCAGCCCCGTATGCGTCAGGCATCGCATTGCCATACTTCGCATACTTCGTTATGTATCCTGTCACTTATCACTTCCGCGATGTAAAAGGTCTTCATCGCTTTCCTAATACACCCTTTTCGGGTATCTCCGCAATAGCTTTCATGATACTCGCTCATGGCGACGCATAATCCGCATACGCCACCAGGTTGCACAAGAAATATCCCGTAATCCGAACTGGCCTTGCACAGAAGATACGCCCTACATTATTACCACCGGATCCCCCTGCCATCTGGGTGATGCCATTGGTCGGTAAAATCATTCTCGGCAAACACAAAGTTTTGTCCGTCGCATATGTCATAAAAAAACTTTCGATACTGCCTTGGAACGCGACAGCGAAGATGAAGAAGCGGTCATGGCATACGGCAACATGAAGCACTTTCCGTACATGGGAATGTGCTTAGACAAGTTCTTACGAATCTTTCCACTGACGCTGCGCGGCCTCCCTAGCGAGACACCCTTGGACGGTATCAAGATCGTGGGTGGCTATTTACCCGGCGGCGCGATCGTCTCCATATTATCGTTCGTCGCGCACCGCAGTGAAGCCTCCTTCCCGCAAGCCGAAAAGTTCACCCCGGAGCGCTAGATCGGCGATAATGGGAAAAGACTCCAGCCCTATTTGGTCGCCCTTCTCGGCTGGCGCTATGGGATCGCGTCGGTAGGAATACCTCGTATCTTAAATAGACGGTTCGCGCTGCCGAGCCCGACTTTCGAACTCGAGTTGAATGTCCTCAACCCGAAACGGGAAATAATTTTTATGTTAACATGTTGTTTTAGAATATTGACACATACTAAAGCACCGAGCTCGTCACCGCGTCCACATTCCTCCCTACGATGGAGGGCATGATGCCCAACGGGGCGTTCAGGTTTCACTGCGATATCTGCTCCATTGTTCGAGTGTTTATTATCTCCTGCTGCGCCGAAGTTAAAGGCATGCTGCTGGAGGCTATCCGGGAGGTGTTCGCAAATGGATTCGAAGTCGATTTCTCGACACAGTGGCGGAGGGACTTCGCGCATTGGCGAAGAAAATAGCGTGGTAGGTTACCGGTACTTACTATATTCTGGTGCAGAGTAAATGTGGCATTTGATTTATGTTACTATATGGAATATAGGTAGGCAAGTGAGTTTGTTAATGTTAGTTTAGTATACTCCAGGTAGGTATTCCTCATCGGGCCTTATACCGGAGTTCCGGTGGTGCGGTAGGTCGAGCTACAGCGAACTGCAGGAGCTAAGAGCGCCATGAACACCTAAATAGGTAGGTACCTAGGTAGGTATCTACCGATAAGAAGGCAGATATTCAGGGGTACGCATCGTTAATCACAAGGGAGTAATTGGACGAGCTGAGCTATAAGACAATTACGGGAGTGTATTGAATAAGTAGTGATATGTACCTAGGTAGTTATCCTCCTCATTGTAGTGCATCCATGCTTTTGAACGGCTTTCGTCCTATATATAGTTGGTGTGCAGTTGTTGGGTATTGAGAGCATCGTCTTCTGCAATGCTTCCAGAACATATGTCCAGTTCTAAGAGTCCATCTTCCGTGATTCCGAGTGTAAACCATTCCGTACTCCCGAAACGCCTTTCATTTATAACCGAAGTCGCCGCAGGCGAGATGATATCGATCGTTACTCCGTACTCGTCACCGACAAATCTACTTTTGCCTAATCATCCAGAAAATCCAACCTCCAACACCGAAAATGCAGGTAAAGGCTGATATAAAAACGATAAGTTAGTATGATGTTGTGAATAGACAGGTAATGAACCGCGGCGACTAACCAACTAGAAATGTTTCTATCGCTCGGTGGTCTACTTCTCTTTTCGATATGACGCTCATGTGGCTCATCCCGCGGCCGATGAGTTGCGGTAACTCCCGCTTAAAAAATTCAGGATCGATAGCAGCCATTATGTATGTTATTAATGGTTATTATTGTAATAAGGAGCCTTGGTATATTGTATAGCTTAATACCCAATTGCTATAAAGACATGGGGACGAAGAGCTGCAGTGTGAATTTTGGATTGATCTACAATCTAGTTCAACTAAAGAATCTGGGCAATGGTTTTATTTAAGTACTCGATCATGTTGCGAGTATCTTGAGATGCAACCCCGGCTCTCTCTCAGACTTGAAGTCGTCGTCGTCGCCTCATGATCAGTCGATAGGGGCTCTGCCTCCTTCCTGGAATATTCCATCAGCTGGTTTCGAAACACTATCTAAGCTATTCTCGCGCTAAATGTCCCTAGAAGTAACTCATCTCCTTACTCTGGGCACGGTGAATCTGAGGGTCAATTGTCTTTAGAGGGCCCCAGTCCAATGCACGTCAAGATCCATCGTGCCATATGGCACGATGGGGGAGGCCCGCTGAAACGAACCTGAGACGTAATTCGACCAGGGTAATTGTACATGATCAATCCAACCAATCACATCAATTAAATCTCATGGTATTTACCTATTCTGTAAAGTTGAAGTTGGATCTATTAGATATTACATGGATCGTAGGGTGAATTATGTGGACTCGTTGAGCCTCAATATGCGAGTCTAATTCGACAAAGTGAGGACAGCACCCCCGCCCTGAGACCTATCAGCGACAAATCTTAGTTAATTAGAAATTTCAGAGAATACCTAAAAATTAAGTTAATGTTTCCTGGTAATACGAATTGGTTACTATTGTCGTATATGAGTAACAGGTTCGTCGCTTCCTTATAATAAGGCGGGTGTGTTCGGAGCCCCGGGTCTAGGCGGCTGAAAGTGGAGTAGCATACGGTCCGTGGCTGGGGAACAGGAATCAAGGTAGTTACATCATAGAAGGTGCTATGCATATTGTCCAATTCAGTTTCATGCTGCTCCGTTTAGATACCTATATTGTAAGGAAAACATGGTAGACTTATGATCAGTGGCTGTGATAAAATGGAATACTAGGTACCTAGGTAGGTATGATAGGAAATCTTAATTGGAGGTCAACAGGTCCAGGCGGATGGCCAATTGTCAAGGTTAACCTTAGAGACATCTCAGAAATCCGTTAGGTTTATATGTCAACGGCTCGTCATATTCATGGAGAACTTACATCTCAAAGGAAACTTTTGACTTGCATCACTATATAGCTCATCTAGGAGGTCATATTCCTTTAGAGTTTCGGTGTTCCCAAGCCAAGGATCATGCAAATGGCAGATTGAATACCGCCGTGTAATCAAGCTTATGATGTTTAGTCAACCTCTAATGTCCCTCAGTTACGATGGTCTACATCCTAGTGTTGAATTAGTATTGAACCCTTCAAGATTCCATCCAAAAGACTTTACCAGAGTAAATAGGGGTATGGATTTGCTTTGGCCCTTCGTAACAGTAACATGGGCATATGCGCTGTCGGCATGACCACAAGGTTTGCTTGACTTGAGGAACGGTATACTAAACCTACATGCGCCGGTTTAATATTCTAGTGATGTCGCACTCCTCGGCGATATGCGCGTCAACTTTATTCTACCTGTCATCCAAAATTCTGACAACTTGTCATCTGATGTTTAAACATATGTTTCCATGTGCTCACCTAGGTGTTAGCTCTGCGGGTCTGCTTAAGACAACTGCTAACAAGACTCGAAAGAGTGACTGACAAGAGGAATTAGCGGATGTGATTGAACGAATTGGAAAACATGACGCTCAAAAGCATCTGCTTTCTTGCGACTGTAGCCGTGGCACGCCATGCGCCAGCAACAGTCCATTCAAATACCAGCGGCATAGCCACGCAAGATTTTCTTCAGAAGATCAACCACACGATCGACGCAGGTCCGGCGACCTTCAAACAGCGGTACCAACTCAACACTCAGTACTTCGAGCCCGGCGGCCCCATTCTCTTCATCCAGAGCGCCGAGGCCGGAATGCCGGCGATCAATGCTAGCGACTTTATGGATTACGCGCCGAAACTAGGGGCCCTCGTCGCGATTCTCGAGCACCGCTTTTTTGGCGAGTTGCATACCGGTAGTTATCCGCCCGGATACGATCCGATGAATATCTCAAATGAATCGTTCAACTCATTAACGTTGGATAACGTGCTTCAAGATGGGATTAGCTTTGTCAACTGGATTAAGGGGACGGTTCTAGGAGCCAAGCACAGCAAGGTAATCTACGGCGGCTGTAAGCACGACTCTCATCGCTCACATACGGTATCGTAAACTGACGCATGGAAGCAGCTTCGTATGGTGGATTTCTCGCTGTTTTAGCACGGATACGTCATCCGGAAACGTTCTATGGCGCCATCGCTTCTTCGCCCGCATTAACTTCGTTCGGCCCGCTTACCTCGAACCGATATAAGTTCGACTCTGCGAAATGGGCAAGCGACGTATATGGTGGCGCATCGAAAGCCGCGTCGGCAAAAATTCAAACATCAATGTTAATATTTAAGAAGTGCCTTTCAGGTAAGGGAAAAAAGTTCTGTGGGGAACTCGTTGGCTAATAGGATGAAGGTAATACTTGCGATACGGCCCTTTTCGGCCTCAACGTATGTAAAAATTCAACAGTACTGGGTTATGAAAGGCTGTACAGGGCGGCACTTCAGACATACTTAGGAATTTCTAAATTCAATTACCCCTGGATCGACAAGTATCCAACTGCAGATCCGTTGGACAACCTCATCGGCAAGACCCTCGATGCGAAGACGGTAGGCGAAGTGATACGGATCCCGCTTCTTGCAGCTTCATGGGCCAACGAGTCGTCCTGTATTGACGCATTCAACGCCAACATTTCCAGAGCCAGCTCGGGGGACATAGCAAGTAATCAACCGGCCTTTGGATACATCACCTGTGGATTTTATCCTATAAACGATCGCTCAATCCCCTCGAGCAACGTCTTTCCGGAAACGTTTGCTCGGGGAAACGTGGACGTCTGCAGCAACGCCGACTGGAAATCCGCCGATTACGGAAGGGATAACGAATACTTCCTGCAGAAATACGCCATGACAAATGATTTACTCGACTCGACAGAGAGGCTTCTCATCGTACAGGGCGGTTACGATCGTACTGCGGCCATAGGATCGCCCATCTTGACTGTTACAAACTTGCTGAATCACTCGAGGGTAATACTGGTGAACGACATTGCGCATGCGGAAGACGCGGTGTCTGAATCGATTGAGCCTAGGGGGTTGAAGCCGCAGATGGATCAGGTAAGTAATTTCTGTTGCGAAAAACGCCATTTACAAGGAACTAATTCGTATTGTAGATCCGGGACGCCAAGTTAGCGCACCTCAAGGAGTGGCTTGGCCAAGGGAATCAAACGAAGGACTCCGAGAATTCGGCGCCGGTGTGCTGTTCGATATCCTTTTTCGGTTCTGTCGCATTGATCGTTTTGGGTTTACTTTGATTTTCAAGTACGACGGAGGTCCGAATCTTTGGATTATATAAGAAAAGGGGGCTGGTGAACCGGTGTTTTCCGAATCACGTGATACGCGTCATGGGTGTCCCGCAAGGGACTCGCATAATGAACCGTGAGATCATCACGAACTTGATAATTTCGAGAGTAAACACGGACTTATCTCACTAGTATCAATATCGATTTATCTAGATTGTGAGCAATAATAATTAATCGAACCGATGAATGTCATTGTTCCTCATTTTTAGACAGGAATGCCTATTAATTGTCAATTTGCTATGTGTTGGCCATTGACGCGCTGTGCCGCTCGGAGCAGATAGTACAGCATCGTCTAATGTATATTTTGTTACAAATCCAATGAGTTGATGAATGTCCAAGTCGGCTTCCGATACCTCAAAACTGGCAGTGGAGTGGCTACGGATTCCGAGATGCCACTGACCGCATTTGCACAATTTCCCGCCCTCCCAACTGAGCTGCGCATCAAGATATGGAATGAATCATGTCATCCCCGCGTGGTGGAATTACACTCACAGACTTTCACCGATGGCGTTAGCGAAACGCCGAAATGGGTCTCAAATTGTAGCAACCCAGCAGCCTTATCCGTATGCTTCGAGTCCCGCATGGTAGCACGCGCTCATTTTTCCGTCCTCCTACCCGTCTTTAGGTCCATGTCGAAGTCCGGAATCCCCATTCCACGCGACCTATATTTTGATCCCGCTTCGGATCTGCTCGCGGTTCTGGGCCAGGCAGATTTCACGCGACTAGTAGACCTCTTCAAGGCGGTCCGCTTACAGGATCCCGCTGGTCGGGGACTGCAGCGCTTCTGCTTGTCCATGAGTTCTTGGACGCACTCGTTTCACTTCGAGGCCCAGACCCATATGATATGGCATATGGCCGTGTTCAGCCAACTGGAAGAGCTTGTGTTGCTCATGTACGATGAACAGCGACCGCCGGCCAATTTTCGGGATGGCGAATGTGTACTCGAGGCAGTTCCGGGCATGGATGCTTTCTCTCGGCTCTTCTCGGCGAATTGGCGCCAACTGTTTGATTCTGCGGAGTTGCGACTTATGAATTTGAAGTTTATACCTGGTCCGGTGTCGTGCGCTGCTGCCTGATCACTTCTTTGTTAGGGATCACGGTGCACGGGATCCGGCGAATTTTGACAAATCGATTTGTACCAATTGGGATATGCTCAACCAATCTGATTAAGTGTGTCCAGGTTGCCATCTTTGCTAAAATCCTTGCCGTTTCGTCAACAGCTTATCGGTACACGCACCGTGGGCATGTCTCCAGATTCAGTCGGAACCGAGCCCACAGGGACGAACGTTGCCGTCATTTGACGGTGCTCGAAATCCCATTCTGAGCCCACGAAGTAATACCGCGAGGACGGAGGAACGAATCCTCTCTTATCCCTGCCCTTGTGCTCCAAGTCAACAAGGGCTTGTAGCGATTTCAACATCCCCTGGTTATGCCAGAAGACCTGCCCATATGTCATCTCGTGGAATATTTTCAAAGCTAGTTGTCGCGTCTTCTGGTCTCGGCACTTGGTGACAGTGAATGAGACGATGGGGAATAAGTCGACGTCGAGCGATAATTTCAGGTGCGTAGGTGGTTTATCGGGGACAAATCTCTGGCAAATATGTATGACCTCGAGAAAGGTCGGAAGGTGTAGGTCGTATGAGACGTCGGATCGGTCGAGGAAGCAAGATAAGAAGATGGTGCTAGTCAGGGCAATGGCCTTCATTATGCTCAGTGGATAAAAGCTCGAAGTGTTTCTCTCCCTTTCCAACAAGGCATCTAACAGCGGCATCCATTGGCGGAGTTGGGCCAAGAACTTCGACTTTTGTAATATCACCGTTTCCATGTACTCTGGAGAAACGACCTTTCCGCAGCGAACTCTCGTCATGAATAGCCCCACATCATTCTGAAATAGAAGCCAGCAGTATCGTATGTGAGATAGGGGGGCATATTCGTCTGGTATCTCCGAATACTGCTCTTCTGGCACCATCAGAGTACAGACGTCTCTCTGCCCGTGGAAGAAAGGAGACAATCCCCACATGATTGTCAACTTGTCAAAACCCGATTTTATGCCTAGCATTTGCTGGTCCCAGATTAGCGCAGGACGCCCACTTGGCGCCCTCGCTCTTATTGCATCTCGTATCAAGATCGCACCATTAACCATGATCTGGTCTGCCGTGGCTATATTGCCTTGTAAAATCTCCATTATGGCGAAAAGGAAGGTGGATGTTATATTCGATCGGACAGCAACTTTAGTAACGCCGCCTATGAGTTGCTTCCGACACATGGAGATAGCCTTCATATAATACCGGAGCGCCACTTGCCCCTCTTGACACTGTGTTAATGGGCCAGGCGATGGGTTAGATAAAGCAGAGCATCGTTCAGCCGCTAGCAACATAGCAGCCAAAGCCAGCGCCGCATACCGGATGCTTTCATTCTCCAGTACCTCGCAGATTATGCTTTTCCAATAATCTCCGCCACACCAGACCGATATGTCTAGGGTGATCTGGGAGCGGAAGCGGTCGAAGTACTGAAGGTCGCGGCGATCCAGATAAGCGGGTGCCAGGGACGGAGGTAGCAAGAAATCTACTATTGGGATTTCCTGAGTTGTGTTGACGGTCCAGGGCTTTAGGGACTTGGGCCGTAGTGCTGCGGGCCCCGTCGATCTATTAGACCTTCCCGACGGAGGGGCTTCTTTTCCGCGCCTAGGATTGGGGCCTTCGTACCCGGCGCACAAGAGCCCCGACTTTTCGCATCGGCTGCAGGACGGCTTCCCTTCGTCACATTTCACGCGTCGGTTCTTGCATGTGACACATCCGGTGCGCACTTTCGAGTGGTTAGTCCGCCGTTTGACTGGAGGCTGATTCCGCTCAATCAGATTCCAGTATTGGCCCGGTGCCACGGACATGATTTCTTCTTTTGGGACGTCGTCTAATCCTCTAGAATATTTTACTAGACAGGCTTGGCAATAATGAAAATCGTAGTTTCGGAACGCAGATTATTACATGTGTATAGAGATAACGACGGAAATCTGACTGGTTATAATAATACGACGATTCGTAAAGTTGATAAGTTGACGAGTTGTTTTTAAGACTCCTGCCTGCTGTATTACATAAATATTCGGATCACGGCTATTGCACGGAGCTGTATGCTCGCGCTACTGCATAGACGTTACGACCGACGAACAGACGAAGAGGGGTTCTTTTGAGAAGTGAAGCCTGGTGCGAGATGGGACTATAGTATCAGATCCTTTAAGGGGTAGTGAGTCCACTCTCAACTTCGCGAACTCGTGTTGATTCCGAGATCGTCAAGCTTAACCGAGGAATTTCGCTATCCGACTGGTGCGGTGACTTTTCAGTAAAGTAGCATTGGATGGTATAATTGATCCGAACCCTGTATATGGAGTCGAGTAGCCGGCAGCGTTGTGTAACCGTAACTGTTGATCCGCTGTTAAACAACTGCGCTAGAAGGTTTAGAAGGGACTTTCGATGATAAGGCTGAAGCTGATGATGCAAGAATCCTTGTAAAACCAATTGATAATCTGCTCTTAACGCCTAACTCCCGGTTTGACTCTCGGGTCCTTCAACATTATGCTGCCTGTTCAAGTTATCTTAAGCGAGTCGGCAGGTTTAGCGGTTTTGAGTTGGACGGCAATAGCCATGAATGTGAAGTACGTGTTGACCTAGCAGTCTTAGCTGACTTAGCAATTTAGTCATCACTCCAAAAATAAACTTGCTAGTCTCAGTCTTAAGTCTTAGTCTGGTAGCTCGTACATTCTTATCCAATCAGATTCAAGCGTTCTGAGAGCCCCCTGTCAACTTTAAATGTCCAGAGCTCAACGCCTTGTTAATTTCACCGCTGGAATTAATAAAGTCAACGAGTTTTCCCACTTTCAACTTCATCTTTCATGGCTTCATACATTCATTTGGCCTGTCATTCTAATCTCGTTGTTGCCTATCATCGTAGGCAAAGCACACCATCCTCCAAGTCCCAATTCTATGACCTATTGCGGAATTCCCCAGTCATTTCCCCGATTTGAAATGAACGTCGTCTGTATCTTCGATTATCAATGCCTTTGTGTAACCAAGTTACGATATGGAAGACCCTCGCAAATTATACCAGTCCCCATCTTCAATTCTCGGTTTTTATTTCCTAGCTTATTAAGACGAATAAATATCTTACCGAAATATCTCAATGGTTTTCATCGCTGCATCGAGTGGTCAGTTTATGGATATCACAACGTGTCTATCTAGCAAATGGTAGTATGCTACATCACTACATCGAACTAAACAATGAGAACTACGATGTATGCGAAAGCAAAGAGTCTCAACCTACGCCATCGCATTTGAGAAGCAATATAACACCAGTAAATCAGCCTTCTAGAATACTATGTTGCCATATATATTCTACCAAATGTCCGAGATAGGAGACAGAAAATGGCTATCATCACGGACTTCCACCTGACGCATATAACCGAATGGTCTAATAGTGGGATTACCTAAACCGAACCCCCACGCCATCGACACTTAGGTACCAGGTATGTATTTACTTTACTAGCTACCAACAAGAGAGTACATACATTGCTCCAGACTCAAAAGGAATCCAAGGTGGCGACCCGGCAAGTCGGCATCAATTGCGATATATAGGCTCATCTGGCTCAATTCCAAGATCATCATGTCGCCAAGGCAATAGAAACGGCGACGATCGTCGGAGGCTCTCAGCTTCGCTTGTCTCAAACGGACGGATTGGATGAAATATTCGAATTGTTTCAACGCCATGTGGCAGGAATCTATAACTCCCCGGAACCCCCAGAACCCCACACCCTTTCGCACAGGGTAATATCACAATATCCTCAACGGTACATGTCACACAGGAGGGTATCCAATCATATCGACGCCCTCATTGGTCCGTCTTGCCAAAAGCGGCATCCCGCCGGGTTCTGCCGTTTGCGCACGCTGCGTGTCACCGGTACGTACCCCGAGAAGTAAGGAGAAAAGAAAAAAAGAAAAAATCTCCAGCCTCCCCCACGATGGAGAAAGCTCGATCATCTTTCCCCTTGCTCACACTCTCCGGTTATTGTGTGACCTCATAGACCTCATACTCTTAAGTTATCACCTGTGACTTGTGATTCTCTTCTGTTTTCTCTCCGACCGCCCGAGATTTGGAGAAATTCCTTCCACCTTCGTCTGGTTGAAACTTATCTGCGAGATTTCCAGTTAGGGTGCCTGGTCTACACCCATAGCGGGAGAGTTTGGGTGCGTTGCTGGAACGCTTTCGAAGCATCGATGCCTCGATTCGACTTAGTTATTGATTGCTAGGTAGCGTCGAGCTACGCGGACGCCCCCACATCGTCACGAATGAAGCTAGACTGCGGCTTATAACCCCCGGAGCACCTTTTCCACCCTGTGAAGGCCAAAGCCAAGGCCTTGCGTTCGGCGGTGAAAGGAACTACTCCGAACGTGACGATCCTACTCAACCTGGAGGGCCACACACTCCCACGACAAACGGGTCCTACCTTGAAGCATTAGGTCATTGCTGAAACCACCGATTTGGTATCTTGGGACCGTTTACCTCATTCACCTTCGTCCCCATCGTCCCCTCCTCTCCTCTTTCCTTCTCGTCCCTGAGGTATCCGTCATCACCACACCCCAGCGTGCATACATACATAAAAGAAATAATTTAAAATAAATGAAAACGTGGACTGTACATAAGATTCCCATACTAGCCTATCCCGAACAAAAACACCATGGCGGAACCAACTAACACTCCAATGCCAACGGCGCCGCCGACCCCGCGCTCCACCTCCCCCGCACCGGGCCTCACGCGCCCTAGCAGCACCAACCTCAGTCTCCCGAAGCCGATCGGGATGCCAACCTCGGGCCTTGCCACGAGCTCCGTCACCTTCGCCACACCCCTGCCCGTGCCGGGGGGCCCGCTGGGCACCAAGCCCGTCGTCCTGCACATCGGCGACCCCGTCCGCTATAACCCGGAGACGTACACCGAGTTCACGACCCAGTTCGACGTCGTGCGCCCGTCTGCCGACGAGCGGCAGCGGCCCGCCTTCATCCAGGCGCTGAAGGAGAAGCGCTGGGGCGAGTTCTCGGCCATCTTTAGACCGTTCTGGGGTACCGGCGGCGAGATGGGGAATTGGGATAAGGAGCTTGTGGACTTGTTGCCCGAGAGCGTGAGGGTTTTCGCGAGCGCGGGGACGGGGTTCGATTGGGCTGACACGAAGTTATTGGGCGAAAGAGGTATGTACCAATTGATTCAAGACCATGCCCCCTGGTCCATGAGATGAAGGCTAGACATGGATCTTCCCGATTCCGCATTGCAACCCCTGGTCGTCGCGTCTAACTACACAAACTATGTATGTACTTAGCAAGGTTTACATCAAACTAACATCCGAACGCAAAGGAATACTCTACTGCAACGGGGGCCTCGCCGCCGCCGAAGCCGTCTCCGACTTCGCCATCGCCATGATCATCAGCACCTTCCGCGCGCTGCCGTACTGCATATCCTCCGCGCCCAGCGCCCCCTCGTTCCAGACCTGCCACGCCACCGCCACCCAGCGCGCGCACAACCTGCGCGGGCGCGTCCTCGGCCTCGTCGGTCTAGGCAATATCGGCCAACTGATCGCGGCCAAGGCGCGCCTCGCCTTCGGCATGGACGTCGCGTACTTCGACGTCGAGCGCAAGCCGGCCGCGCTCGAGATGAAGCTGGGCGCGAGACACACGGATAGTCTCGAGGAGCTGCTGCGCGAGGCCGATTGCGTGGTCCTGTGCACGCCGGCGGACGCGGGCGAGTTGGTCACGCCGCGGAGTCTGCAGTGGTTCAAGGTCGGCGCTAGGCTGGTTAATGTGGCGCGCGGGAGCCTCGTCGACGAGGAGGCGCTGGCGCAGGCGCTGGAGCAGGGAAGACTGAGTAGTGTTGCGCTTGATGTGCATTCTGATGAGCCGAATGTGCATCCGAAGCTGTTGCAGTTTGCGGGGGATAGGGCGTTGCTTACGTGTCATAATGCCGGGGGTACGGTTGAGACGCATGTCGGGTTTGAGGAGCTGGCGATGCGGAATATTATGGCGGTTTTGGGGGGTGGGGAGGCTATTACGCCGGTGAATGGGCAGTGGTTGCGGAGTAAGGTCGTTTCGTGAGGGGATGTAGGGGGGTGTGAGTGCCCGGATATGGGATGTGGCGCAGATGGAAGAGGTGGTTGGTGTTTAAAAACGGCATGCGGCAACGTGGTTGCGGGAGTTGATTTTCTTTTTTCTATTTGGTGAGCAAGCAAGCAAGCAAGCAAACAACGGCGATGATAACATGAGAAAATGAGAAATGAGCGAGAGGACGTATGTACTCGGTAGGGAAATACCCATAGATGGAAAAGGGGGGATGGAGAATGGAGCATTTGTAGATAAAATTCAGGGGAGTCGAGTGCAGGATAGGAATGATGGTGAAATGCATGAAGACTCCCTGCTCTGATCGGTCTGTATGAAGTTATACCAATCTAGGTAGTTATCTGGAGTTTATACATAAGTACCTAGGTACTGAAGCTTTGGAGGTGCTATATGGTCCTGGGTTATAAAGGGGTCTGTAGTAAGGGCCGTGGTGTAAGCCCTCTTCATCCGTCGACGGACTACATACTACATATGGTGGTGGACTAAATATTAGTTCGCATCTCATCAGCACATTTATAAAGCTTACATGTCACATGCAGGGCATCCATCAATTTTCGTAATGTATCATCATTTGTAGTGGCCGTAAAGGCGCAGAACTACCATTAGTTACACGGTCCCCTAAAACTAGGCATCCGGACGAAAAAACCGAAACGTTGCAAATGCGTGAAGTGGGTATCTAACGATATTGGGGATTTGTGAAGGGAATTCCATATGAAAAGCAAAACCCAAGCATCTCTTGAATCATCCATCCATCCATCCATCCGTCCCTTCGAAACCACGCGTCTTCAAGCGGAAATGAAAAATTGAAATGAGAGCTTCCCGGAACCCGAAGCTTCAAAGGTCGCGAGACAAGCGCATTTCAACGGATCTCCTCCCCACCAACCATCCACCGCCATAAAAAACTCCTTAACCACCATGTCGTATTCCTACCTAGACGTAGGTAACACACCTACTTCTTCTGCAGACCCTCACGACGCACGGTACCAAAAACCGCGGAATGGAAAACCGACTCATCATCATCCTCAGCCACCGCGCGAACAAGCTCCTTAGACTTGCGCTCCGCCTCGCCCTGGCCCTCGCGTTCTTCGTCGCTAAGCACGCTGCCGCTGACATCCTGCCACGTCGAGCTAGCAGGGATGCCGCCGCCGCCGCCGTTGCCAGGTTCGGGGTGCCACATCGTGGCGCGGCGCGTGGCCGCGGGCAGAGTGGGAGAGGAGCGCGAGAGCTCGATCCAGTTCGGCTGGCTTTCGCCCTGGGCTAGACCCGTGCGTAAAGTGCCGCGGCTCGCCATGTCGCCGATGCCTAGCGTCGAGTTCGAGAGGAAGCTGGGCTGGTACGTGGGGGGCGGCGTCTCAACGCGGTGCGACATGGGGACCGAATCGCTGACAGAGGCGTAAGTGCCGCCGGGCGCGCGGTGACGGTGCTGTTGAAATTGCACGTCGTAACCAGGAGGACCGAGCTCAGCCTCGGATCCGCACATCGCGGCCGTCGACGAGGTCGGGTTCAGATGGTCCAGGTGAATGGCGCCGTGCCGGTTGCGGCTGTGGATGAAAGTCTGGTCCGGGGTTCGCGGGCCGTCGAGCATCGCGGCGTAGGCCTGGCGCGTGCGGAACTCGGTCGCGCGGTCCGCGGCCGTGGGCACTTGCACGGTCTGCGCGTGGCGCAGCCGCGAGTTCAGGTGCTCGCGCACGCGGCGGCGGTCCTCGGCTAGGCGGCGGCGGTGGTGGCGCTTGTGCAGCCACATGATGAACAGCACGAAGAGGAAGATGATTGCCATGGTGCCTAGGGCTGCGCCGATCTGTTTGCCGATGCTGGCGCCGTCGATGTTGCCTGGTTGCTGGTTCGGCTCGGTCGATGTGCCGTCCATGAGGGGCACGGAGCTCGAGGTGGGTGTGCGAGTCGGATGGTCTAGAACGATCTCGGGCTCGTCAAGCATCGTGATGATTACCGACGACTTCCAGCAGCGGTACATGGAGCGCTGGGGCGAGTCTGTCCATAGGTACGTCACACACTCAGGATAATCGGTATGCATACTGATGATGAGTTAGCATCCACGTTAATTATATGCGCCGATTATGTCGATTTACTTGGGGTTGGATTGAGATTGATGCGAAACAAAGGAAAAGCTGAATACTTACCAACAGCCGGTCGAACTATCCTCGTTTTTGCAAGAACCACTCTTGTACGCGTCGTAATTCAAGCACATCGAGTAGAATGGTGAAAATGTACCGGTGGCACATGCGACGATATGGTTGGCATTCGTCACGCAAGTTCCATTGCCACAACCGAAAGATGAAGCTATGCATATGTCAGCCAACGAGTCCAAGCTCAAATCGATCATGATTGAAGGGAGATGGAACTTACACTCAGAATCAGCGATCCATCCGCACGTCTCAGCGTTAGTCCAGTTCGAGGTAGTCGTGTCGCGCTTCAGGTATTCAAGCACGCGATCGCCCTCAGGTTGAACTGCATCGGGAGCGGCGGTGGGCTTGGGCGACCAACCGTCATGAGCATAAGACACATTACCAGTCTCGAGAGGAATGGCAGTAAGGCCGCCATCGCCGCCAGCAGACCAGCTAAGCCAGCCTGCGTGGACGGCGCAGCACATGGCCGCGACCATCAACAAGAGAGAGGAAAAACGCATGATTGCGCCGAGAAGGTGTCAAGTGGAATGCGATGAAACGAGATTGGAATAAAGCGGAAATTCAGGATATACGATACCTCTAATCGTTCTTCCGACGAAGAACTAAAGCGAGGTACTAAGATGAATTAAGCTTACGCGTGAACTGTGTACGAGTGTTGTGGGAAGCTTGCTTGGGTTTGGATGGAAGATGTTGATCTGGGGAAGAAGAAAGAAGAAGTAAGGTTGGGAGTTTGTGGGAGGAAAAGCTTGTGGGAGAAGATTTTGGGAATCAAAACAAACTTGGACAGCTTCTGGGTAGGTGTACGTGGGCAGAAAGAAAGCAGCCCTAACTGGGCCTCGCAGCGTGGGTCTAGGAGCTGAGTCTGGGAGGGAAAGGGGGTAGGGCTAGGGCTGGCGGGGGCTATGAGAAGGCTAGAGTATAGGGCAAGCACCTCCCCAAGGGCATCGGAAGCTTCCGGGGAGGAGGACGATGTCAGGAGAAGACGATGAAGTATCGTCGCTGGATGCCTCCGGCGATATGAGGCGGCGGCATGTGGGGGATATGCTTGACGGAGTCTGGTGAGAATAACTCGGGGCTTATGATACAACCGCTATACGCCGAGACGAAAATGTGATAGACAAGGAGACAAGGTATCAAGAGCTGAAAGGGTTGTCGAATTCAGGGGTAGGTTATCCCGAGTTTGCCACAATGCTATACCACTAGGGCTGCCATCTTGGATAGAGCATGAATAGGTTGACAGCTACTGTCTTATATGAAATTGGATGAAAGACATTAGACTAACAGACCACTGAGGAATAAGGATCTCTTGGTGATATATATTAGCATCGTAAGGCGACGTTTGATCTATCTGTCTTATAGGTAGGTATGCATTATAATAAGGCCGGAGTCAATCTCGGACGTTGGGCATGTGATCTGGTTATCTTGTTGTAAGAAGACACCATATGATGATACCAGATCATGCAGTGCAACCGATCTTTGAGATATTCTTAGCGATGAACACGTCAGACTATCAGCTTGGGGTCTTTAACGGTATGTTCACTCTGCAAATGATCTTCTGCAGAATGTTTGTCTTGAGGCTTCCTTCATGGTCTTTGTTCATAGGATGGTATAAGGGATATGTCTTTTCTGGCGCATCGTTCATGCTAGCAATCTAACACCATGTTAAGTCTCGTCATAGTGAGAGTTGACTGATCACAGGGGTTGGGAGAAGGCAATTTATGATATCTGATTGACATCAGGTAGTTTAAGTTACTTAGACATTAAAGGACATAAACATCTATCATATTAAGAAGTGTGTGATCAAGAGAAAACATACTTTGTGGTTACTTATATAATGTCGTTATATCTCAAGCAAGTATCACATTAATTCGTAGAGCTTCTAGAGATAGTTCGGACTTGCCATTCAAGGACCCGAGAGTTGGGGATTTCCTACACCTTAAAAGGGAAGTCAAAATGGCTCGTCAACCAATCAGAAACGAGCTTGGATAGGGGTTAGTTTCGGGGCTTGCCGATCCATCGGGAGGGACGTAGCCAATGGCGGATTAAGAATCATGTATGCATAGTATACCAGGTTTCCGGCATGCAAAGTCATGTATCGTACTTGTCATCCTATCAAAATTTCCCAAAGGATACTCAGATAAGTATGTGTTTTTCCAATACTTAGGTAGAACATCATTGATATCCATTATGGAAGTTATGCGGAATGGTGGCTTCGATGAAGTATGGCTCTTTTAAAAACCCCTAGTCGGAGAAAGGGGTTGGCTTGCGCGTCTACTTGAAGGTTGAGGTTGAGATAAATTCAAACTATGCAGCAAAATTTGACTTCCGTTTCTCTCGAATAATAAGTGCTAATGACGACTCGTTAAGAGTTGAAATTTGGTAAGATTTCCTTACCGTCGCGGCGAAATTTCGCTTGATTAAGAATACAAAAATTTTACAAAAGTTTCAATACCGGGTGCCTCCCGATGATTTAAATTGATATGGAATTTCATAAGGGAAAAAAAGCCCCAGTAAGTTTTCAGTACCAGAGCACACTAAGCTCATAAGTCCCATATTCCCAACCATTGCTCAACGCTTACTAACGCCAGGCTTTAAGCCCTTCCGGCCAACCCAAATCCATAAAGCATAGAATAATCCTAATTAGTACACCTCAAGCTGCCCTTGACTTCCTCCGAATCAAGCCAGCTCCGAGGACGTTGACCTGAGGTTGTGACTCCACCGCAGGCTGATTTTGGTCTGTATCTGCGGCTGGTGTCTCAGCTACATTTTCGTCAAGTTTCGCCTTCTTACGAACGAGGCCTCCACCAAGCGTGTTGACCGACGATGTAGCTACGGATGCGCCATCCGATCCACGTTTCCGTTTTATCATGCCGGAAAGGTTGTTAACTTCACTAGTACTGGATGATGTTGCGGGGGTCGCAGATACTCTCTCGCCAACAATACCCAAAGTCCAAGGCTTGCCCATATTCACTTCCTTTGCCCATCGCGCCGTACTTGCGATTGCCTGCTCCAGAGTTCCAAATTCGAGGTGAAGTAGTAATTCGATAGCTCGCTTGTATTCGTTGTCGCTGAGCACAACTTGACCCCTTCCATCTTCTGGCCAGAAGTAATGAGCGGTCTCCGTAAGCTTCGGGAAATCTTTCGCATGCGTCTTGACGCGGGGCTCGCGAGGGATAATGGGACCCGTCAACCGCTTTTTTGCCTTGCGCTTCCACCGAGCTTTTGTCCTTTTCCGTCTGGGTTGCTCTGATGGAGAAACGGGTGAGTTTATACCGGTGGCATCCTGTTGACCATGTTGTGGAGTAGTAGGGGGCGCGGCGCTGTCCGTAGATGCGAGGAAGGAGGTGTTCGTGATGGGGATACCAGTATCGGAGCTGGCCTTCGGCGAGTCTGGTCTCTTTAGAGACTGGGGTTCGAAGACGATCCACATGAACCCAGTCATCCTTCCGCTGGAACACTCTTGCCGGAATGCCATCATCTCCCAGAATTGATCGAGTGTTTTCGGTGTTCTCCAGCCACTGATGAGTTTAGCCTTGTCTGGCGTCGACTCTTCCAGCTCCTGTACGAAACGTGCTTTTGGATCATCGGGGTATGTCGGTATCAGAGATCTAGGATAAATGTTGCGACCGAATGTGTTCGGATTGTTCGTATATGGGGATATCTTCTCGAGGGGGTGTCCCAGCGTCCAATTGGTTGCTGCCGTGCTCGTTCGCGGGAGAAAAGCGCGAGACTCGTAGTTATCCAGTCCGGGTATAGTCAAATATCCATGTATGCCATCCCACAGCTTCCTAGCATCCGAATGTTCATCGCCTTCAAGTAGTGAGTTGAAGACTCGGCACCACCACTTTACCAGTCCTCGATCATCAAGTACATGCTTGCCATCGTTTTTAATGCTACCAGGAAAGAGGTACTGCGACTGGGATCTGGCGAAGAGGTTGACAACCAATTGCTTTGTCGGGCGTCTTCGCTTGGCAACCAGAAAGGCAAGGAAGCACGATGTGATTTCTCGGATGGGAGAAGGGGTCCCTTTGGGAAGGTTTAAAAAGTTCAAGTATCCAGTCGAATCTGCCTTGGCCACAAAAATTGTGGTAGAGAATGATGTCGAGTAGATGTAGATCTCTAGTCCTAAGACTAAAACTTGTTTATCCGAAGGCTCATCATCTTTTCCAGCGCCAATTGAAATAGCTAAGAAGTGTTTTTCGCAATATGTTTTCAGTGGGTTTCTTGCGCGTCTGTTCTTCGACTTTATTCCAGTATCAACAAATGTCTTCGAATCAGATGTTGGTTTATGTGCGGGAGGATGACATAGTGGCTCAGTAGCAACGGGGGGCGTTGAGAGATGATATGCTGTGAATTTGCGATCCTTAGGCAAGACCTTAGTGAGTTCGGCGACTAGTGGTTGAGGATCAACGACGCAATCGCCGTCGCGAGTTTGCGACGGATTCGACATTATCGATCCTATTGTACAATAAAAGAATTGTGGGAAGGAGTAGGGATTGAAGGCCTCAATTGGCATTCAAGAGTTGAAATCTCATGGTTACGGGATCGACGGAAAGAGCAGATAGAAAGTTATGCAGTAAGTGAGATGAAGACGCGTTTGGACGTGTAAATTGAAATCGAGAAATCGAGAAATCGGCAAGAATCGAATCTAAAGATCTAGCGTTGGATTTGGAGCAGGGATCCAGAGAGTAAAATGTACAGGGGTGTAAGGCAGTACATAGGTACCTGATAGCTCCAGTAATTGATAACTCCGATAATGGGTCTGATTGGCCGGATGACATTAGTGCGAGGACCCACCGAAAAAGTTCCCTCTACTTTTTTGAATTTCGTCAATGCGAAATGCGATTTCCATCTTGAATGTCTTAAAACGATGCGACAAGACCCAACGTTATAGTCAATGGCCCTCACAAACTCTCGAACCGCCGCGAGGCTTGCTCGCCAAGCAGTACGGACCACCAGAGGTCAACCTGTAGCTCCCTCATACCGTCCCGCCAGCTCCTCCTTCTCCACCTCCGCGACTCGTCCTTCGCAACTGGAAGATCGCCCACGATGGTCTTATACACCGGAGAAGATGAAGGCCCCCTTCTCGCCCCATATCACAAAAGACCCTTCTCGATCTGTATGGAAGGTTAACGACAACCCTCAAAAGCTGGACGAGGTGTTGAATAACATCCTGGGTCGCGATGGAGAGCGTATGTTGCCAGACGAGCTTAAGTGGTTGGCCGTGACACACAAGAGCTTTGATCAGGGAAGGAGAGGGTTCAACGATCGTCTAGCATTCCTCGGTATGCCAATCTTCTGTCCTCGGGCACTATCTACTGTCATAAGTTGACCGTCAACGTATTAACACTTCGTAATAGGCCGCCAAATATGTGTCTTTGAATGCACACAGTCTATCATTACTTCTCCCCCCAGTGGTCAAGAACACGAGGATCTCTTCGCCGATAGACGGAAACCGTTCGAGGATGAAACTCTCCGTGGCGTCGACAATCTCACCGACAGACAGCCTAGCGACATGCTAAGTCCCCAGAAACTGGCCCAGTTCGCATTAGACACGGGGTTAACGACGGTCGTGAGATGGAAACCACGAATGGTGAGGCCTTCCGTTCCCTAATCTTATCCACTCAACACTAACTAGCTTTTTCTAGCCGGAAAACATCAAGGGATCAGGATTTGACCCTATCATGTCCGGTGCCGTCTACGCTCTTATTGGCGCGATTGCCTTGCAACAGGGTGGCAAGATAGCAAGCCGAGTCGTGAGGGAGCGAATATTGAAGAGGCTCCGAACATGACGAAGTTTATAGTGTAAAATCAATGTACAAATACCCTGTGCAGTGTACAAGATATGAAATTTACGTGAACGCATGAAACCGCCTTTGCCCAGAGCGAACCTCCGACGCCTATAATATCACCAGCTCAATAGAGATTGATTTAGGAACGTCTACAAAAGCTCACATAACCTTTGGTTCTGTGTCTTTACCTATTGAACCTTTTGAACCTTTACTAAAAACATCGAAGTTGGTGTCAAGTGTAATTGTTAGAAATCAAGTTAAACACCATATCATCGATGTATCCGCAAACATAAGCCCGCGGACGACGCCGGACTTGAGAGGGTTGGTAGATGATCAAGCCTTCTACTCTTTGCACCTATTCGGCGATCACGACAGTGAGGATAGCTAGGACATCATATTATTATAATTCAACAAACCCTATCAAACAACATCCCCAGCTAAAAATTTATCTATCCATGCCCATGCCACGCTGTCTAACCATACTCCAACTTAAAATCAAATCTATTATTAACCCACCCAAACAACTATCCTACCTGCCTAGGCAGAGACACAACGTACCCCAACCCCTATCCCCATCCCTAAGCCCCCCCACCACCCCCCTCCTCCTTAACCAACCCCTCAGCCCGCCTAGCATGCATCCGCTCATCAATCAAGCTCCCCGTACTCTCATCATCATCATCCTCGCTCCCCTCGCTCGGCCCTTCCTCCGCCATATCCGCCTCGTTATCCGAGGTCGGCGCCTCTGGCGGGCGTCGTCGCTTCTCGAAGTCCTGCATGTGCGCGTCGGCTATAATGCCGCGGATCGACCTGGCGCGCAGGACCTCCGGCCTCCTGCGCCAGCGCATCGTGGATCCTTCCGCTTGGGCCTGGGCTTGGGCTTGGGCTTGAGCCTGGGTTTGCGCTTCCGAGTACGCGCGCGTGCGGGATTGCTCGCGGCCGAGGGCCGAAGCGCCGGCCGTGCTAACGTCGACGGCGCTTGCGGTGGCGCCTTCGGCCGGGAGGGCGGGCTGCGTGGTGGTAGCGCAGCGCTGGTCCTCTTCGCCGCTACTAACGCGGTCGACGAGCGGTTCGTGGGGGTGTAGGTGGTACGGTAGGGGCACGTCGCGGCTGGCCTTGTACTGGGCTACGTTGCCGCAGTGTTCGTTCTCGACACGGAACAGGGCCCACATCCCGCGGCGGCAGACCTCCGCTAGGGCGACGAAGAAGGATACTAAAGTGCTGTGCTGCTTGTCGTGCGCGAATATGGCGTAGAAGATCCACCCGAAACGGAGGATCGGGTCGATAATCATGATGGCGTAGTACATCCACCGGCGCTTGAGCCCGAGGATGTCGCGCAGGAATCGGTGTCGTGTGTCGGGCTGGAAAAAAGAGAAATCCATGAACAGGTCCCAGATCGCTAGAGTTCCATGTCAGAAATTCAATTATGAGAAAGGGCCGAGGTGATGATGATAACTTACATGTGTAGAGGCCGTTCATGGTAGAGAAGGTGGCGAAGAGTCCGAGGTTCGTATCTGTAGCTCTCATACGGTACATCGATAGTGTGACAGAGGACATGATGGTCATACCATACTTCCCGCCGTTGACAAGATGAGGGAATACATTCCTAGTATCGCGGTATCGGCGAATACATTGCAGCGCTCGCCATACAGGCGGAAGCGCCGAAAAGAATCCCAACAAACGAGAATTGTTCGAGTTGCACTGAACTGGATTGTTCCACTGATGCGCATAGAGGCAGAAGAAGAGTTCGACATTCTGTTCGCAGGGTTAATTCAGAGATAGAGGTTGATATTCTAGGGGTGAGTTGTACTTACCGAGGTGGCATATGTAAGAGAGCAATACATATCGCCGAGAAAAAAGTCCCGGAATTCGACGGGATATAATCCTGCGAAAAATAATCGATACTAAAAGAAGTTAGATTTTACTCGTAGCTAGTTAATAATAATACTTACGTGGGAGTACATAAGCCACTGACGACTCCTGTGCCATAGAATCGGCGCTGGCAGTAAGAGGATAATTAACGTGATGGCTATTAGAATCACAGGATAATACAAGTATAACTCGTCCGACCCGTATCTGGTAAAATTCACCCAGAAGAATATGCCAAAGAGCAATAGGAAGAAGCTTGGAAAGCTCGAGAGTTGTCTCCAGTCCAAGTTATTTCTCGTGTCGAACTCGAATATGAAGGGGTAGTTGATCTTATTGCGTGTCCACATATAGCAATCAAGGCAGAATGCGAACATAAGCACCAACATCAGAAAATAGCCACCGTATAATTGCATCAGATAGCTAGCCTGCTGTTGCACTTCCGGATCCGGATCTAATAAGAGTTGAGATCCATACACGAGACCCTGAAGGGTGAACACGGCCCCGGTACCGATGAAGAGCCCGTTGCGAAACGCGATGGAAGATTCGTCCCTCGGTCTTCGGTTCAGACGATGGAGTTTCCCCGAAGCAATTTTATGGTTTCCCTTTTCGAAGTATCGCGCATAAAGGTCCTCGACAGAATGAATGTATTCGTCTATAATGTTGCTGTTTACGAACCATGACTTGTTGACCTTCTCGTTCATGTATCGGTAAGCTGGCCGAGCATTGACTGCCTTGTCGTATTTCTTGTTTAACTTTCGGAATGCGGTCCGGTTGAGTTGCGCATATGACTGGAGAAGTTCCAGTCCCCTGTAGAATTCTTGCAATGCCAATTTCAGTTTCCGCTTCGCTGTCCTGTAGGATACTTCGTGGCTTGTTGGTCGCTTGATGTAGTCCCTTCTTGCTTCGGCTCCCATTGCACTAATTACGGGGGTAAAGTGTAGCTTAGAGAAAGCCTTCGAATTGGCTCCGGGTTTAAATATCTTGGATTTGATCGGCTCGACCCAACCATTAGCGCCGGATGAGACCCCCTTGGTATCATGAATGCTACTGTCTTCGCCTCTGTCTTCACGTTGTCTTATCTCGGCCAGCTCTCGGTTACGCCGATTTCGCATCTCGTGCAATTGCTCCCGTAGAGCTGCTAGACGTTGGCCAGCCTGTTCTTCTTTCTGCCGGTAGAACGTCTCCACTTTGTCCAACTCGCTGTCTAGAAAATCGAAGAAGTCCTTTTCACGATCCCTAACCGTGTCGATGGCTTGCAAACCATACCCGAACTTCGTACTTTCACTTCTAGTTAGCTGTTGGCTTATGTGATGACCTGCCGAGAACATTCGCCGGAGTCTGCCAGGTGACGGAGTCTGTTCTTCAAAGGTAGGCCTGTGGCGGACAGGGGTAGCTGGTGGAGGGAGGATTCCTGATGGAATCGCGCCCATAGACGTACTGCGCTGTGCAGATTGCCGACTAATAGACTTTCGAAGCGCATCGGGAGCCCGAGATGGAGGCAGGTCATTTGATATTGCAGGCTCGCCTAATGCAGGGCCAGGCAATTCAAAGACATTCCAACTCTCGGCGATTGAAGGCGGCGTAGGCACGAAACTACCATATTGGCCCTCGTTGCCCGGCGATCGTGTCAGTGATTGACGCTCCGCCCTAGCGGGAATGGGAGTTGGCTGAGATTTTGGCGTGTGATGGGCACCCCTATTCCCATGGCCCATGGGTGCGGGGCTTATTCGCAGAGACTCAATCTCATCTGCGGTAGGTACTTCGGGGCCGCCATTTTGCTGACGGGAAGCTTGGTCTGAACGAGAAGCTGCCTCGCGCGGCGGAAGTTCACTCCTTTTCCCTATGCCTCGCGGTGTCCCGTTTGCTTTATTGATTGACCTCGAGACAGCCTTGATATACTTCTTGCCAGCTTTGTAATTTAGATATTTGACACGCCATTCTAGATGCCAGATTAGCCTTCATGCTTATCCACACTCTCACCGCCAAGAGAAAACCGCCTTTATCTCGAAGGTGTGCTGAGAGTTTTATAGGCGTTACGATATGTCTCGGTACTCACCTGGGACAAGATCTTGCTCGAGTTCTTTGGCAAACTTCATGACGTCAAGAGGATGGATGAAGGATTTAACCTTTGGTACCCTAGATCTATATTGCTATGCATAGGAAGTGGATTGAATTAGAGAAGGCAGAAACCGAGCACTTAGGGAGGTATCAATAACGAATGTAGACAGGGCATGTCATAGATTAAACGCTGTAACTTTGCGCACCAATAGACGAGTAGGTAATTCGAGATTGATGGACAGACGAAGAATTGAGTTCAACTAGTTAGGTACACTTGGGTTGGTAAAAAAAATCTCATCTTACCTTTTTGGTACTACAGCTGATTACAAGGCGCAGCTACCAGACTTTTTCTCTTATAGTGGGTCATCCCCCATGCAAGTAAACAGCGTTCCAGACCCATCTCTTCCAAGGTTATCACGCATTATGGATTACAGCTATAATCTATCGACTAACATGTGCCGATTACCCATCGGCACTAATTACCAGTCCGATAAGTACATATAATGTCTACATCAATGCTGCATTGCATGCCTTTTCTCAAGAACCGTTCATCCAATACTGCACTTATTTTACAATCACACGCTTTCGCTTACGGCTAGTATCATGCACACCACCCGCCAATGACGTTGTTATTTGCTCAGATCTGAGGCCGAAGCTCTCTTCCGACTTCGGCTATTTCCGTGACATACCCGGGCTCAGCTGAAGGAGAGTATTGATATTGTGTCTACAGAATACTAGCATCTATATATGAGTAGGATGAGATGAAGACCTTCCGTCCCTAGAGAGTTCAGGGTACATCACATCTATGTAAGGCCTTTTTGTCGCAATATTTATTCTGCTACGTAACTAAGTACTTCACTACTTGACTCCATTCGTCAAATTGACCTTTGCTATTGGTGATCACGCTATATCAAGCCTCGCTTATATGAGACATTTGAGGTACCTAGCATATGCCTGTAGCCTGGCGTCGTGTTCCCTACCCCTTTTAGTCTTTGTACGACCTAGAGGTTGGTTAACTTAGTAAGCTATTTGTCCAGCCAGTCAGCAAGTATAGACCGGTTGCACGAAGGTCAAACTCCAATCGGGGTAAATTCATTACATCTTCACATCAGTTATGTAAGTGTCCAGGCCTCCCGAAACATTACAAGTGTGTGAACGATATGATGCATCATATCTATGCTTGCAATGACAAAAACGATGTATGGGAGGTGGCCAAATATAATTACATAATACAAAGTCTATGTAAGGGAGCGAACTATGATGGCTACCATTGCCTACGGTATGAACGACATCAAGGGAAATGAAGCATGATTGGCTCATAGCAAAGGATCTAGAACCGTGAAGAGGCTGATTGGAAAGTACGACTATCGTATCTTGTGTAACATCTCAAAACTAAAAAGCCTAAGATGCAGTGCAAGCCATGGCATGTCCAACATAAGGTCATTGTCATTGATAAGAAGACACTTATCTTATTCACCACTTACAGACGAGGACTGTGATCTGACATCTGTGGTCAAAACACATTTATAATGAAGACAATCATATGTGTTCATACTATTTGAACTTCTGCTATTTTCCCCAAGTTTCGATTTCTTAGTGTGCATCATGACTGGCTGAATTTGGGTGAAGCCTGATGCAACAACTCTCAATTATTGAAGGACTAACGTTAACGAGGACGAGAACAACAAGAAAATCCTACAGCACAGAGACATAGGTACCTACCTAGGTAATTAACAACTACACTATACAAACCACCGATTGATTGAGAAACAAGCTAAATATCAATCAAGTGAATTTAAACCAAATTATTTTATATGGATATGTTTGGATGAATATGAAGTCCCCTATGGGGTGTGAATTGGGGGTTTATTAGGGAGGCACAGCGACAGTCAGCAGCTAACCACAATCCTTCGACCGTCGCTCCAATTTTCTCCGTCGCAAGGCTCTCACTCACCACATCCACTCACCACCTCATTGACGAGGTCAATGAGGATGAGCACACCGAACTCGATGTTTCAATATTTATAGACAGCTAATACAATTACATTTCATTCCTGGAATATTCGGGTTTACATTTCCATCCTCTCACCATTCATTCCCTCCAAGCCTCGGCCAATCTCACCATGGCATCTCAATCCTCCCCAGCGCGGCCAACCCCCCGCATCATCATGTACTACCAAACCACCCACGACCCAGACGGCAACCTAATCTCCACGCTTCCGCTGATCACACAGCCCGGCATCGCGCTGACCCACCTAATCGTCGCCGCGATCCACATCAACGAGGACCCGGACGGGCTCACCCTCAACGACCACGCGCCCTCGGACCCGCGGTACACGACGATGTGGGCGGAGCTGCGCATCGCGCAGGCGAGCGACGTCAAGGTCCTCGGCATGCTCGGCGGCGCCGCGCAGGGCTCCTTCGCGCGCCTCGACCAGCAGGACCAGGCTTCTTTCGAGACTTACTACGCGCCCCTGCACGCCCTGATCCGGGAGCGCGGCCTCGACGGCCTCGACCTCGATATCGAGGAGGAGATGTCGCTCGCCGGCGCCGTGCGCCTGATCGACCGGCTGCGCGCGGACTTCGGCCCAAACTTCCTGATCACGCTGGCGCCTGTCGCCGCGGCACTGCTGGACCCGCGCCGCAATCTTAGCGGCTTTGATTATGAGGCCCTCGAGGTCATGCGCGGCCCCCAGATCGCCTGGTACAATGCGCAGTTCTACTGCGGATGGGGCGACGCTGCGAGTCCTGCCATGTACCAGATGTGCGTCGCGCGCGGCTGGCCCGCCGAGAAGGTCGTCATCGGCCTCGTTACGACGCCTGAGAACGGGCCTGGATGGGTGCCGTTCGATGCCCTGGCTGCTACGCTGGCGCTCCTGCGGAGTCAGTTTCCGGGGTTCGGCGGCGTGATGGGTTGGGAATATTTTAATGGCTTACCGGGTGGTCAGGCGCGGCCTTGGGAGTGGGCGCAGAGTATGACGAGGCTTTTGGGTGCTGGGCAGGTTGGGGGTGCGCAAGAGACATCCGGTGCCAAGAGTACGAAGGCCGTAGAGATAGATCCTGATGCTGAGACTGGCCCCAGTCCCGAGGTTCCGCAGAGTTTCGAGTACTACTCCGATGGTTTGGACGAGGGTGATGATTAAGTTGGGAATAGGTCGACAAACAGACCGTATTCACACTTCTTGGGACGTAGGAGCATTTCTCGCTAACACACGTTGGACTATGATAGTTGTGTGCCCATCTAATTGAAATCATTCCTACTCCCTAGTCACAACTTGGAAATGTGAGTTGCGTCGTGATATTGAAAATATCAATGAGTCTCCATGGGATAGAAACCCGATGGTTAAGCTTAAATTCGACCTGAATCACGTAGCCAGTCATAGTTGAACATGAGATGGCCCAGGGCGTACTGTGGCCTGTGATGGGGTTAAAAGGGGCTCACAAGCTACCTGTAAAAAATACTCTAGCAGCGGCTCTGATTGATGAGTTACACAAAACACCACGACTTGAAGCTACTCACATCGATGCGTGACACGTTTACCTATGTGGTCCTGACGGAGATCTAAGCAAACATCTCGTCGATGAATGGTGCAAATTCTACTTTAATCTTCATTACGGATTTGGAGATCTGGAAATGCCTACCCTTGACCAATGCATCAACCTCATACCTTTACCGAGCTGCCGGCCTCCTGGTACGTACTGCGCAAAGAAGAACGGATATAGCTTCCTTACTTTGAGAACTTTCTCTTGGTTGGTGATATCGTCCGTTATCAAATTATATTTTATCAGAAAATAGAGTATCAAAGGGTAAAGTACCTACTGCTATGGGAGAAGAGTCCGAGGAGACTGATGGGACCCGTTCCCCGGAGAAAAATGAAGACGCCAAAGAGACTCAAGTCGCTCGGATTTCTAGGAAGTTAGCGGAGAGTCAACAACTCATTGACCGAGTCAAAGATAAATTTACAGGCATAGACACCGCTAAGTTCACCAAAGGGGTAAGGGGCTGATTTCAAACTAATTTTATTGTCTTTTCTTGCCTTTTCTTGCTAAATGCTGATAAGGATACCAAGTCGATTACCAACGACAGTCGGGGCAGACGACCCAGTACTATATCACAAAGATTATCTGCGAGCGGCAACAGCAGTCGAAGATCGAGTCTCTCGGCAAAGGGAAAGGAGTTGTTGAAGAAGCATGTGAATATTCCCAGAGTCAAACAAGATATCAGGCCGAAACAGAAAGACCCCCTTCACCAATGGATGGTTGAGAACACCGGCGGCGTTCTGAGGGAAAAGTGTTAATCCGTGGAGAAGGACTCTTTCGAAGAACTCGGTGACTAATATTTCCGGAATTTGGCTTGCGGGATGTCGTTGGGGTTTCTTGTTGAGCGCCACAGGGAGTGATGGCGTAGCGAAGCTAAATGGTCTTTGGCGTGCTGGTTACTCTTTTTTATTATTTAATTGAATAATAATAATAATCATGCTGAGAAATAGCCATTTCTAATTAGTAGATGTGTATAATTTCAACATATCATTGAATAATTTGGCGGGGTGTGGTTGTAAAATGAGGCTGGCTTTTCTAGGGTCTCACAATTGGAGATCGATAGCGGATCTTCAGGAGACTCGATTTATCAGGATTAGCCCTGTAACCAGTGGCCTGTGCATCTCCTTTCTCAAGACGCGTCCATTCATTACGCGTTTGCCTCTATATTAAATAGATCTTCTCCCTAAAATTCCTTAGTCGAAGTGCTAGCTGGCCCCCCATCCATTAGACTTAATCAGACTTAGTCGACCATGGCTGGAGGATCTGAATCCCCGATAGAAATCACGGACGATAGCGGCGACCAATTCGACATTGAGTCTAATGATTCAGATGAAGTAGATGCTGATCTAAAGCGCGACCTGCTGACATGCCTGAATGGTATCAAAACTACTGGGAATGTCGCTGCTTATAAACATTATGAATCATTCGTCAACCCCGGGTTGATGGTTGTCGATACGTTGATCCCATTGCCCTTACTTCCACGGGATGCCGAAACGATTAAGAATGCATCTAGACAAGCCCCTTTTGGCAAAGGTGATGAGGTACGTGCATTTGATTTTGATCTGTATTCTATTACTATTATACTTGAGAAAAACTCTTGCATACTCTTGTCTTGGTAGCCATAAGAATACGATATTGGCATTCACTCCAATATGCTCTAGTCTTAGAAAGCAAGATTACTGACATCGGATACCTTCAGACCGTAGTGGATACATCTGTGCGCAATACCTGGGAGCTTGATCATACTCAGTTCAAATTCACAAATCCTCGTTGGAACAAATACCTCCAATCGTTGTTGACCGAAGTTGGACGGAGCCTAGCTATAACAAAGATGAGAGCAGAACCCTACAAGTTGTTGCTATATGAGGAGGGGGCTTTTTTCAAGCGCCACAAAGACTCCGAAAAAGTCCCTGGGATGAGTAAGTAGCATAAGAATCCCCCCTTTACCCTATCTTAGGAGCGATGACTTCTATCTTGAATGAGCCAACTTTGGAGCCTTTGAGATTTTTTTCCCCGAATAAGAAATTATATACCGTACCGGGAAAGGGGGGGTAGCTGCAACAGTTATAATAAAGGTTCGAACGTTGTTAAATTATAAATAATTTAAATTTTAATAATTATTATTACTTTTAAAAATACTTTCTTATAAAAATTAAATAAAAAGGTATAAAATTATAATAATAACGTTTATAAAAATTTAAAATTATTAAAATAATTAAAATTATTTTTATTTTTATAATTATTATAATTTTTTTAAACGTTTTTTATTAATTTTATTATTATTAAAATTATTTTATATTTATTATAATTATTTTATAATTATTATAATATTATATAAAAACTTTATAATTATTATAATTATTTTAATAAATTTTAATATAATAATTATAAATTTTAAAATTATTATTACCGTTATTATTATAATAAAACTTTTAAAATATTAAAATATTTAAATATTTATTTTTTATTATTTATCGTTTATTATAAATTTTAAATAAATAAAAGTTTTTATTTTTATTTATAAATAAATAAATAAAATATTATATTTATAATATAAAATATTTTATTTTATTATAATATATATAAAATTATTATATTATATATATTAAATATATTTAATTTTATTATATTAATTTTAATTAATTAACGTTATTTAAATTAATATTTTATTTAAATTATTAAAATATTTAATAAATTTATTAATTTTATCGCATTAAATTAAATTAATTTAAAATAAAATAATTTAATAATAATAATTTAATTATATTAAATAAATAATATTTATATTAATACGTTAAAATAAAATTAATTAATAAATTATTATATATAAATTAAAATAATCGCATTAAATTAAATTAAATTAAATTAATATTTTTAAATTTATATATTTTATTCGAATAATAATTAATTAATTTATTATTTAAATAATAAAAACTTTTAAATTTAAATTTTAAACTTAATAAATAAATATTTATTTAAAATATATTTTTAAATAATTTTATAATTTAATAATTATAACCATAACTTAATAATTACAAATACATTTTAACGCTTAAAATTCTTTAAAAGCTTAAAATTAATTTTACACTTACTTAATAAATAATTATTACACTCTTATAACCGTTAAATACAAAGAAACCGTAGATTTAATTTCAAGCTTTCAAAAAATTCCAGGCGTTGAGACATATTTGCAACCATTGCAGCAAACCCCGCTTGCCCGTTAGGTAGGTACTGACTCCCCTTCATAGTGGCAACGATGGTTATTTGTCTTCCGTCGAAGCATGAGGGTGGTAGCGTCCATCTATCTCATGGTGGCAAGGACTACATTTTCGAGACCGATAAAACATCTGATTTCGATTTAACAACCCTCTCATGGTTCTCAGATGTTACGCATGAGGTCAAACCGCTGAAGTCCGGATATCGCCTAGTACTAACCTATAACATCATCCACGTGGATGGCCCTCGTATGTCCGCCAACCTTGTTGGAGGGCAGTCGGCTCAGCTCCGCTCGATACTTGTCAAATGGCCGTCGATATCAGGTACTACGCTTGACATGCTGATATACAAGTTGGAACACAAATACACAGAATCGAGTTTGTCGCTAAGTACCCTTAAAGGCCGAGATCAACGCGTGTGTCAGAGTCTGCATGAGATTGGCTTGTTAACTGGACACACGATCTTGCTTGCCAAATTGAACCGAACGGAAAGTGAGGAAGTGTATTACACCGTGGATGACGAAGAAGAGACGGGGCTCGAGTACATCAAGACCTGTGAAGGTCACACTATTTGCGATTTCATGCCTGTTGAGGAGAGTGATATACTAGGAAAAATATGGGTTCGAACACCGGACAGTGAAGATGAGGGTGATTTTACTGGAAATGAAAGTATGCCAGCGATTCTTCGCTACCACGATACGGTAAGTCTCCTTATAGCCAGGTTTTCTCGAGTGCTCTCCATTGACACAATTACTCCCAGGTGGTTGTTATAGTACCCACACAGAAGCTACATCGTGTCATTGCTATGCCCAAACCCCGTGGTTTAATGAGTTTAGCTAGTGAGACTCTAGGCGACCGACCGGACGAGCATTCTTTCCAGTCCTCTTGTCTGATAGAGTGCCTAGAGCGCTATATTAAACGAGGCGTCTTCGCCGCCACATACTTGCCTGAGCTGATAGCCATGGGGATAAAATACAAAAGCAGGACATTGTATCGAGAGACTGTTTACTCGTCGTTCAACGGTTCCGATGCGCAACAGAATGTGCTGAATAAAATAGTACAACTCATGAAAGAGAACCTTTCTACAGACAACCGTGAACAACCAGACTGGGATTTTTGGTATGGCTACCTACCTGTACTTGTGGCATTGATGGTCTTGCTCTAACCAGCCTCTAGGTTCGATGATATGGTCAAGGGAGCGTGTAAGCGATCATTGACAGCCTTCCAGGGTACCATGAATTTGATTAAATCGACGATTCAAAAAGAGGGATTGAATGATCTGATACCATCTTTCCAAGATTGGGAGCTGCCAATTCCAGATAAGATGGTTGAATCCAAGACCGAATTGGACATGAATGACCATGATTTCTTGATCTGCCAACTGTTCACACGATCGAAAGATTCTGAATGGTTGACTTGGTGCGTGTGGCCAATACTCACTAGAAATATTCCGACGAAGGCTAATTGTTCATACAATACCAGGTTCGTGTCGATACTATCACAGCGTGGCTCCAGGAAACTCATATGCTCCGTACTGCATGCCATCTATAACAAGCGTGATGCTAATCTTCTCGCGAACCCTAAGGGCATTTTCCAGTCTATCCTGGATGAAAGTGCAAAGAAATTGGCTTTGCAAATCCAAGATTTTCCCGTGTCTGGTTATGTAACCGGAATGCTTGAGCCGCGAGGATTTCTTAGCGAACCAGCTGCAACTATTAGAGACGTCATTGAAGTCATCGACCAATGTTTCGACCTAGGATTAATTGAGCAGGCGACTGACATCCTTGATACAAGTTGTACCAACATATATCAATACTGTCCGAAACCAAGGACCAAGTCAATTCCGGGTCCTATGATAATCCGAGACTTCTTGTTGTCCCTAGTGGCAGTGCTACAGAAACATCAAGTCACACCTCCTGAATCGTCCAAGAATATGTTTATAATCCTCCTGCGTAACATCCTCGTTTTCAACCCGCCGAAGTGGCCAAAACCTCCTCGCGGCCACGCACACAAGCCTAGACCGAAATGCTATAAGAGTACTGAGTTACATCCTTGCAAAGACTGCGAGGACCTCAATGCGTTCCTCAAGAGCCCAGATATGGATGTGTGCGAGTTTCGCATGGCTCAGTACAGGCAACGACATTTACAGGAGCAACTACCGCCGGAATTATTCAGCTGCCACAGTGAACAGAAGCCGGCGAAATTGATTGTAAGGAAGCTGGGGAAGGAGCATAAACAGGAAATGAAGGAGTACAAGACCAACCTTACGGCCTTCGAGGACCATGTTCGAGCACTAAGATGCGAGTATGTGGAGTCGTTACTAGGGGAAGAGCTTTACGGCGAACTCGTCCTTTTGAAGGATATACCAGACTCGGATGGTGCCAAACTGGTCAAACGCGGAGAGAAAAGGAAACCTGAAGAGGAGGTAGAAGGCTCGATTGCGTCGAGGCCCAAGCTTATAGAGTGATGTAGGCGATTTTTCAGGATCAGAATGAAGAAGGAAATTAAGAGATGGATCATCTGTATAATCGAGGTTATCATGTATGTTTAGGTCTGTACACTTATTGTATAAGCAACGGAAGAAGAAGGGATGGATGGAGATACCGGGTGCATCGTGATATCAAAATAAATAAAAACAAAAAATAAAATAAAAACCCTCTTCAAGGCCCAGCCCAGGATCTGTTGACCGGCTCCTGGCTACTGCGCCCCCGCTATTGGGTATTTCTTTGCCACCCTTTTTCAAGGCCCAGACGGGTGTGCAATGTCTGGGAATCGAACCCTAGGCCACCCATTGCAGGTGTGGCCGTTAAGGCAGGTTCGATGTGGTGTCTGTGACACGGACCAGTCGGCCACTCTGTGTGTTCAGGCCCTGGTGTGAATGTCGCCGGTGAAATTTTGGGACTGTATTGTGCTATTTAACTCTCACTTTGGAGGGGGTGGACTGCTGCCTGGTGGATTGACCACCTGATAGCACTGTGTACGATACTAGTTGTGGTGTGGACGAGTTTTGAGGTGTCTGAGTAATCAGGGGGGATTCCGTACCGCAGAACATTTCCATAGGAAACCATTCATATCAATATCATGGCGACTTCAACATATACGAATATCATATCGCTCGCGCCATATGTAGAAATTTGCAAACCAGAATGGACGGAAGTAGCCTCGATTTAACCCCTTCATGACACCGGCAGTCTTCACCCTCCCAAACGCCCCAACCATATGCTTAATCCTTACGCCAACAAACACGTAAAAACACGATGCAACAACCTAATTTCATTCCGAACGCCCATTCCCCTATACCCTTCCTCTCGCATCACCTCAACCCACCAAAAGCACGATCCAGCTCCTCCCCCTGATCAACCGCCATCTCACTAATCACCGCACTCCCACTCCCACTCCCATTCCCCCCTCCTCCTCCCCTCTCCCCACCCCCAGCACCCTGAATACTCATCTCCGCAACCAACCCCGCAACCTCCGCCTCACCATTCCCCTCTCCCTCTCCCTCCCCACCCATCTCACCCATCTCGCCCATCTCACCCAGCCCAGACCCAGGCCTACGCTCGGGCTGCAAAAGCCTCGCCTCGCTATCCAGCCACCCAGGCGCAACGCGCCTCTTCTCCGCGAGCTCGCGCGCGCGCGCGCGGTCCTCGAGGTCGCGCAGCCGCCGCTCGGCCTCGGCCTCCTTGGCGGCGACGTGGGCGCGCAGGGCCTCGCACGAGGCGACGATGTCGTGGGGGTGCGCGGCGTGGCCCGATGGCGCGATCACGTATTTGGGCCTTTGCTGTTGTTGCTGCTGTTGCTGCTGTTGTTGTTGTTGTTGTTGTTGAGGAGGGGGAGGAGGAGGGGCGCCGGTGACGCCCGACGCGGGAGCTGGTAGCGTCGATGGCATCGTCTTGTATGTGTAGGGCAGTGTGGCGGCCGTCGGGAGCGAGACGAAGGGGGAGACGGTTAGGGGTACTTGGGCTAGGAGGGGGTGGGTGCCTGGGGGGGGTTCGCGCGTGTGTTAGCGATGGGGTATACGATGTTTAGGTGCGTGATGGGGGTTGGGGGATGCTTACGGTCGTCGCGCATTGTGGCGGTTGCTTGTCGGTAACTTCTATGGATGGTACAGTCATGTAAGCTACTTGCAATATCCGATGTAGTAGGTATTTTATTCAGGCATTTGACGTCCCGGTGAGGAAACCGCTTGATTTGTTTAGGTGTAGTGGAAGGGATATTACATAAGGTTTGATGGTGGTAAAAACAGGTCCTCGCGCACGGGCCATAGGCGCCGGGACGAGAATGATTACCTAATGTGCTTACCTAAGCAATCTACTTAATTGACTCCTTATTCTGCAGTTCAGGGAAAGAGAAAGGGAATTATTGTAAGAAAACGTTGTGTTCGCTAAGTTCCAAAGTTCCGTTTGAAAGGATGGGAGTTTCTCGAATCATTGTTATATATTTGGCACAAGGCAACATGTGTAGATAACACTTCTTACAGCTGCCATACTATTGACTCGTCAACATACTAGGACTAGTAGTCCACCATACCGGGTGAGCCATGTTCGATCTTCGAATCGATAGTTGAAGACATCCATACTTATCTGTTCAAGAAATCCGAATTAAAACTTGTTAAGGAAATGATTAGCAAGAATGAAGCTGCGTTCCTTGCATAGCATTCAGAGGCGATGTTCTTTGGTACCTATGGGATAACGAACTCGCATTACGTAATATTTTGAGACCACAGTGCAATACAAAAGTGTTAAAATATAGGTGCGTTTAAGAAAATGGCAATGAATTTATCAGAGGCCTCCACGTAGTTGCACTGTGGCGTTCGGCTATGAAAAAAAGGCCTCCGAGTGGTATAGGTATTCTTACCCCTCCTCAGCCGTACTATGCAGACGAGAGACTTACCATCTACAAACGTTGAATCTTGCCGTGTCTATTTCCAGAGGAATCAACTCTTAGCTTGCTCTTATCCCCTATTTTCCTGGATATCACGATATCTCACGCGTGTCCACTTAGTCCCTTCATTTTGTCCGTAGTTCATCAGTTTACCGGCATAAAGCATATTCCACATCGCCGCGACACCAGGCTCTGGCCGATATTCCACTCATCTATAGTTACAAGTAGGTTCCCGAGCGACATTGTGGTCCTTGGGACCTCCCACAATGGAATCGAACGGTATGTCTAACTCTCACGTTTACCTAGCGGAGTTGGAATGCACTAATACTTATTTCCATACGTTCCAGAAACAGGTTATGAACCACGCCTTGGACTTAGGAGGGTCGCTCCCGTCAAAGGCGGGATCGATAACACTACACTTGAGTACGTTCGTTCCCTGGTGCCGAATATATATCCCACTCCGTTCCAGCTAATAAGAATTGACATGTTAGCATCATCGCAATCCACGGTCTCGATACCGAGTCGCCACAAACATGGACTTATAAGAAAAATGGGAGCCAGGCTGTAAACTGGCTAGAGGATAGCGACATGCTCCAGGCAGCAGTCCCGAACGCCAGGATTTATACATACAATTGGAACGCGAAAGTGTTCGATGATGCTCCCGTCCAAAGACTATTGGGCCATGCCGACACCCTCCTTGGTCTCGTGGCAGGGGAACAAGGCTCCAATAGCCGGCCCATCATCTTCGTTGCCTCTTGCTTTGGTGGCCTAATTCTAGCTGAGGTAGGTCCTAGGTAAATTGGAGAAATCGGCACGTAAGCTAAGTCTTTTAGGCCATGAACCGAGCGGGCCAAAAGGACAGCCCCTACCAGCACATCCTCATGAATACGGCTGGAATGGTGTTCCTGGCTACGCCATTCCGCGGCAGCGACGCCGCAAAACCTGCTAACTGGTGTGTGGTTGTAGGCGGCATAATGGGGAAGCGGACATCGGAGCAGTTGGCCGAAGATCTTAACAAGAAAGATAAGGAACTTCGCAAGCTGACGCAACTATTTGCGGAACTCATACATCATGATACCATCAAACTGCCAGTGCACTGCTTCTATGAAACGTACAAGACAAAGATCTTACGGAAATGGTTCCCGTCGAAACTAGTAGCCATACTACCTCCCATTCTAAGCAATAGGACAGAGCTACTAGTATGCAACCGCCTTAAGGATATATAGGTATTGCAAAAGCTAATTCTAAGCAGCTAGTTACCGAAGACTCTGCGTGTCTAGATGGTGTTCAGCGATATCCTCTTAATGGAGACCATTCGATGATGAATAAGTTCGATGGACCAGAAAGCGCGAATTACCAACAGGTAAGGAATGTTATAAAGGAGATTGCACACAACGCCTTTAAAACTACAGAGCACCAGAGATGTAAGTCAAATATATGGAACATAGCTGCTACATGTTAACAGAGTCTAGCTACCCAAGGCCGGTACATCTATCAGGAAACTCTAGAGGATATGCGACAAGACGAACTGCATATAAGACTCCAAGTCGATCGAATTGTATCTCATCTCGAATCTCAACGTCGTATCGAGGATATCCAAGCAGTTGTCGGGAACATCAGTGGTGGTCTTTGGAAATATGCTCGCACACGCTCAGAGATCCCGAACGCCGATGACCACGTCAGATCCCCATTAGTTCCTACAAACTCAACATTTGAGGTCGACATCCCGAATCGAATCGCGAGACTCTCGTATCCCACCAGATCTCCAGTTCTTCGTGCAACGGACGATTCTTCGGAATTAGCTAGAGACTTTGACGGCTTGAGATGCAAGTGCAAGATAGGCAGGTCTCTGAGAATATGGAACCGTGGCCTTCTAGGATTCAAAGTCGAAACACAAGGAACTCGGCGTTGCCCAGTCCATGGACAGAGAAGTTCGACAAGTTATACAATAGAAGCCAAACTAAGCCCGTGGATAAACAAGACAATGGAGCTCGCATTATTGCTCAATAGTGGAAAGGGTTTTGCTGTTTGTCCATCTTTCAAATTTCGCGGAATTGTGAAACGATCCGAGAGTGCCATATTCCAACTATTTGATCAATTTGTCGACAAATGCCTCATCACAGAGTTTCAGAAGGACTATGACAGCAAGGTCAAGGAGGAAAATTACATATATATCATAGATTTGATCAAACATACAAGCGTTGAGGCAATCTGGGACGAAAAAGGGTCTACAAGAGCAATGCCGAAGTTAGTACGGGGGATAAAAGAGGCGATTGAATCTGGAAAAGCGAGCGGCGATGATTCGGACGAGAATGGCAATACTTTACTTACTGTAAGCATTCCAAGGACCCGAGAACTTCATAAGCTCCTAACTGCTTTGAAAGGAGATATCCTATGTGGCGACCCTAATGCAAAAGCACTTTCGCTCTGTCGCTCCTCAGATGCATAACCTTCTTCAGTTAGCGCAGGCTTCCAAAATAGATCCAATGGTGGCAGTGAGCCAGGCGACGAGGAAATATACCATCCTCCATATGACAGACAAACCAGTGACGGCAATGTCGTATCTATACTCTGCGGCAGTACATCCAGCAGTGCACAGGGAAAGCTCGTATACCAACGGGTATATGAGTGCCTTCCAGGCTTTAAAATCATACGAGGGTGCGTTTGAGTCGCTGGTAGAATACGCACCAGGCTCTTATCGATGTAGAAAATTAGAAATTTTGCAGGCAGATCCAGAGCTGGCAGAAGGTATGGACTCTAAGTAAACTAAGTGGCGAATACACTCGCTAATTAAGTACAGGGTTAAACTATCCAAACCTCCATCTGGCGATCATCCGCAGGTCATTATCCGCATTGAAAAGCTACTTCAATCGTGACTGGTCAGAGTTGTTGGACTGGAGATACTTGGACCCAGTCGAACTTGCACTCGGCTGGACGGAAGGGCTTCAGTTTCTTGTAGACCAAGGATGTCATATCGGATGGGCGTTTGAAACTGCCTGCGAAATGCATGATGTTGAATCCGCCTCCATTCTCCTGTCTTCAAGCAGCGACATATTCTCTGTTCAATATTCGCGGCGTATCACGTCAACAACAGTTAACACTTTCGACCTCCTGGAATTAGCTATGCTGAGTGACGATATATTTTGCCTTGTCGCCAAAGAATTGTGGCAACGACGAGATGAGTTAAGGCGTTTTTCAATCGCTCATTCGAACTTCAAACAACAACTGATGGACAACTTCTTCGGGTCATTAGAATTGGACGAAAGCACTCATGATCGATTAACCGAGATACCTGATTTGCCAGACCGGCTTAAATGTTGGGACATTGGTTCCCCACACTGTCCCAAAACCCTAAATCATTACATCTTCAATCTCAAATTTCACAAGATACTTCACGACGTTGGCTTCGTGGACATGCAAGCACTCTGTAGGCATGGTATGACCCCGCTTGCTGAGTACTGTCTTATCTTTGAAAGGGGTTATTATCCAGCAAAAGAATGGTTTGATTTGGCTGCGTGGTTTGCAAGAAAGGGTGCTGATCCCGACTTTTCCCATGAGAGCCAAGGAAAGCTTCGGTGGCCTCATCTGCAGTTTTACGTGGCTTGGGCCACTGATTATACTCGCGATGAAGATAATGAAATATACGGAATCAAAAAGTCTACTCTGACAACAGATACTTGTCGATGCTCTTGTTCTTCAAAGGGTTGCATCCCCCCCTTCCTGTTATGGAGTTGCTCTCTCGCTGAACGGGGTATGTATCATCGACATTGTGAGTTGCGGATACCGTTCCGTGAAAGGAAATTAAAATATTGGATGAAGCTATGCGGCTTGAAAAGGCGTGACCAGGAGAAGTCCTATAAAGAACTCTGTCGTCGCGAATTGTTTGACTGCCTTGGTATGCGACATACATGTTGCTGTGCGGCTTTGGAGGTTCAAACTGCCCAAGAGGAGGATAAGCTGTTGTGGGAAGATGCCTCAGCAAAGAATGAACTCCTGTGGCTTGTAAGGGTATATGCGATCACCAGGAAACTGTTACCAGATGCCACTATCGCGCAGTTTTGGGAATTATGGTGGAAGGTAGCCGACGATGTTTTATTACCCTTCTTACCAGAGGAAGCATGCCGTGGTCCGTGGTGGATGTGGTATGAAGACTGGTTTGATTGCTCAGAAGAAGATTTAAAAGAAATTAAAGAGCAAGTAGAAAAAAGAAGGCTCGACGACTGGCTGGCTTTGCGCGAGGAAGCTGGCTACGAAGGCTGGGAAGACAATCAAGTATTCAAATTTCACTTCACAAGATTCTGGCTTCTGGCTAAAGCTCATCGTCAGAGACTTGCCTGTTGGAAGCGTCATCGGCTGATGATCAAACCCAGATTTATTTTGACGAAAAGGGGGGGAATGGCCGATGTATACATGAGTTGCTAGGCGACGCGGTCCCATATAACAAAAAACCCGCCAAACCGCTGGTTCGATTTATCTACAGAATGAACACTTAGATGAATATTAGAACTTCGAACAATCAATCAACTATTCAGCTTCATAGCAATTCTTGTTACAGAGATGAAGATGATTTTGAAGTATCTGATATAAGGCTGATATAAGAAGGCCAGAACTTGCATCAGGTGTATCTGACTACCCTTATTCATACGATTACTAAGCCAAGCCAATCCCAGGGTATCTTGAAAGAAGCAGGGGGCATGGGAAGTTCAACTTGAGTTGACGAAGGTATGGCCGTCTCGAATATTCCGGTTTGCTTAAACCGTTACATTCTAAGTTTTCTTCATCGATTAACCCCTCTCCAACTCATTCAGGATTCCCCGTCAAGTCCATGCTATTGCCGAGGTTTAGAACGAATATTGGAGACTGTTACTTCCAACCCTCATCTGATGTCATCTCCGCATCCCACTGGCGCCAGCTATCCCGATGACCATATATAATGGCCCTCTTAAATTACGGGGTGACTTGGGTGCGCAGATCCCCGGGACCACAACTGCGGCTTGGCCATAGCAAACCTGAATACTTACTTACTTACCTGCTCAACAATCATGGCGACCTTCGCACTAGCATCCTGGGCCACGAACCTCACCTACGCCAACCTGACGGCGCCAGTAATTGACGCGGCAGTGAAGAGCATCTACAACTGGGCGGGCTGCGCCATCGGCGGGTTCACGCAAGACGCGCCGCACATCGCGCTCAACACGACCGTGGCCGCGGGCTTCGGCGGACCCGCAACGTCCAGCATCCTCGGAATGAACGGGACCGCCGGCGACGAGGGGAACGGCCTCGCGTTCGCCGACGCGCAGGTCGCCGCCTTCATTAACGGCATCGCGTCGCACGTCGACGACTACGACGACACGCACCTGGCGACGGTGATCCACCCCTCAGGCGTCGTCGCGAGCGCGCTTCTCGCCGTCGCCGAGGCGCGGTCCCGGACGAGCCGCGAGGAGGGCGGCGGCGGTGGTGGTGGTCCGGTATCCGGGCCCGAGTTCCTGACCGCGTTCGTCGCCGGCGTCGAGGCCGAGCTGCATCTCGGCCGCTCCGTGTTCCCCGAACACTACGACGTCGGCTGGCACATCACCAGCACGACGGGGTCTATCGGCGCCGCCGTCGCCGTGGGCAAGCTGCTGGGCCTGGACACGGCGCGCGCGCAGCACGCCATCGGCATCGCGTCCACGCAGGTCGTCGGCATGCAGGCCTTCTTCGGGTCCATGACGAAGTCCTTCCACGTCGGCCGGGCGACGCAGTCGGGGCTGCTCGCGGCGCTGCTCGCGCGCGAGGGGTACACCAGCTCGCTGACGGCGCTCGAGGACCGGTACGGATGGCTGCACGTCGTGTCGACGCGGGAGAACGCGTCGGCGGAGTTCGCGCTGCTGGGCGGCACGTGGGAGATCGAGGCGAACACGTTCAAGCCTTATCCCTGCGGCATCGTCATGCACCCCGCTATCGACGGCGCGATACAGATCAATAACGAGACGCTGGCTCAGGGCAAGGCGATCTCGCTGGATTCGGTCAAGGCAATTGATCTGCGCGTCAACCCCGAGGTTTTGGTCTTGACGGGCCAGACGGATCCGCAGACGGGGCTCGCGGGAAAGTTTAGCATATACCACGCCGCGGCTGTCGGGCTCTTGTACGGACAGGCGACGCCGGCGCAGTTTACGGACGCGGTGGTGCTTAATTCTACGGTGGTCGGGTTGCGGAAGCTGGTCAATGTGACGACTGATGCGGGCGTAGCTGAGGATGCGGCGTATGTTAATGTGACGTTTAGCGACGGGAGCACGACTAGCAAATACGTCGAGCATGCGATTGGCAGCTTGGCGAACCCGCTGACTGTAGATGAGTTGAAGACAAAGTTTATGGACCAGGTGACGAAGCAGATTGGCAAAGCGAGAGCGGAGAAGGCGTATGCTGCCTTCACGAATATTGGTAACATGACGGATGTTGGGAAGGTGAGGACGCTGTTCTAGGATTGGCTGACTGAAGAGGAGAATTGTAGGTATTGGTCGTGGTCTTTGTTCGCTGTACCTTGAAGAGTTTTGGAATAATGGATGGACCTTGTTCCAACAATAGAAAGCCTTTCACCAGAAAACAATGCATAAAGCGATATTCAAAAGCATTGTTTTAAAATATCACAGACGTATATAACCTCAAGGGACCCCTTACGCACCATATAGGCCATTGACTAAGTTCGGAAATCGAAACTCCTCAGCACACCACAAGTAGACCTCGACTATCATACCTAAGGATTAGTGATTCACCACCAACCACAATGTTAAGAACTGATGAGCTGCTCCTCAAGGCGCGCCAGCGCGTCTCAAAAACAACATACAAGCTCGTAAACAAGGAGACAGGCTGCTACGGCGTTGCAGAGCGCTCCACACCCGGTAGCCGGCCGAATATAACAATCCACCACAACGTGCGATGTGAGTGTGTCGACATACATCTAAAACACATAGCAAAACACGCTCACGTCACGTTTAGAAGAAAAGGTATCAAGAAAGGGCGGCGAGATGACCTGACCATGGCTATAAAGCTGCGTCTCCCGGATGTAGGTTTTAGGGTGAAGATACCGATATCGAGGAAGCGAATTAACCCTGTAGATGTGGATGAGACGCCCCGAAGGGTTGTCGAGGAGACGCCGCGAGGGCAATTGCTTGTTGAGATGTGGGATACACCCGAGGCTTGGTGTAATAGGACGATATGGAAGGATTGGTGAGGTTAATGATATTTCAGGTAAGTGAGTATTTATAGTAACGAAATATGAACGAGCATGAACATGTAATACTAGTGGAACCATGCTTATAGATACCAATCCAATGTGTAATATGTGACTCTTCCCTTTCACAGTGCTGGATGAGTGACACTTGCCCTCGTATCCCAACTGACCCCCCAGGGGCTGTCTCCCGAGGAACTCTTCAAAGGTACCTAGCCGACTTTCCGCCGCCCAGTTAACCAAGCTCTCCCCGTCGGGACCAAAATACCCAAACGCCTTCTGATACTCCCACCACTCGACGAAGATATCCGCAAGCGTACTTGGCACGCCCCGGTCTCCCAGACTTTTCTTGAATTCATCGACGTGGATCTGCGTGAAGCTCGGGAGCATGCTAAAAAATATGTATTTAGCCCCCTTTGACCGCAATGTCGGCGATGGCTCTGTCGCTGTTGGATTCAATTTCGAAATCTTTAGGGACGAAGGACGGCATTGCCATTGTGAAGACGGTGTACGCTCCGGTCAGAGCTTCCCTAGGGGAGGCCTGGCCGAGGACGTCGCCCTGGACGATCTCGACTTTTTCTGTGAGCTCTTTGACTTTTTCTGAGTTGACATCGCGGGTAATGACGCGGATCTTGTACTGTTTTGGAGAACTCCGGATCATTCAGCACATAGTTGATTACTGAACTACCCTGGTGGCCGATGGCGCCAAAGACAGCAAGGATCTTAGACATGTTCCTTGCTTTTTTAGGCAAGAGTTCAGTGGCGATGAGTTTGTGAATCCTAGTTCTCTGAGGAAGCATGATGACAGCTCTTCAAATGTTGGACATTCTCCATCGTCCCATGACTAAATCTCACCTAGCTAGCAATTGAGAGTTCATCTTGTCTTGTTTTCGGGGTGCTCGCGATGCGATTCGGCTGAAATGATTGACCGGCAGGATCGAACTCCATGGTACTCCACGGCACTCTGGTCATTACAACACTGCGATTGGGAACTTGCTTCATATCCCTGAATATACCCAATGGATGATTGTATTAACAATCAGCTGGTTTCGGTGTGTAATTAGACATCTATTGAAAAAGCTAAAGCAGCATCACATTGACTCACAAGGTTAGGAATAGTAAGGGCAAATATTAAGTATTTAATTCGTAAGATGAACCCTAAATGACGTTTTGGAACCCATATGCATGTCATGGAAAGACGTGCGATGCATTAACATACTCCGTTATCTCAGTAAAAGCCGAAGGACGCCATCTGGCGCTGGAGTCATCAGAGCCGATATGTAATATCATAACTGAAGGGCCCGGGGTAGAACCCCTAGATTGTGGCGAGCGCTCCTGATCTGTCCAGATGATAGAATCCCTGCGAAGTACACGAAATCTCTCGGCACGAACTCTCTCTGCTTCCAACGGTTTCCTGTAATGTAAGAAGAAAGTTTCAAGTTGGAAGAGAGCTTCGAGCACACAGTCCCGCGACCCGGTCCGCTTCGCCGCTAATACCGAATTTTTATAGAAACTTTCAGCCGCTGGATGATTTCCTCTGAGGCATTGGATGTACCCAAGCCAAATGCACCGAAAAGCTTCATCTCTAGCCGCAAGCAAACTAGGGTTTAACCGAACCAGAGCCTCTTCGGCCTTGTCCAAACGCTGTTGTTCCAAGTTCAACTTGCAAGTAGCCAGGGCGTGTTCTAATTTGAGTAAGCCAAGTAAAGATCCGTCAGCAAAATCTTTATCAATCTTTGATAGCTGATGATTTAGGCTCTGTAGCTGTACCCGTGGATCTTTCTCCCGCTCCACCGTGTCGAAATATTTAAGATATGCTTCAATGGTCAATGGGTGAGCCTCTCCTAATCGCGTGCCATATTCGGATACACATAGCGATAATACCCGACCCATGGCATCCTGCTGCTCGAGCTGAGGGATCGACATGAGGCCGGTCCAGAACCTCGTAAGAGGATGACCCTGGCCAAACAGTGTCACTGTTAGATCTCGACAAAATTGTAGGAGTAGACTCCCGATTTCTCCACGTCCAACACGATTTAAATGGGCGGCTGCCGAAACTAATTTAGGAATCATTATGGGCGGAGGGTTTTTGAAAACTCTGGTTAACATCGCGAAGGGGACGTCAAGAGCGCGGCGAACGGTAGCTGGTTCCACTTGACGGGTCATCGATAACCCTGCTGTTATGCACCTATCAAGAACTGCACTTAGAAGCCCTGCGGGGCCATTTCGTCCGCGGGTATTCCAACAAGAACTTTCTGACCAAGACCAAAGGCCCGACTCAAATGACTGGTCTAGATAAGTGTGGAGCGCCCGGAGCATGTCCTCGGGAACAGGGGAGAGCCTGTTACATTGCACTACCGGTGATGGAGATCTAGATGGAGTTCTGGGTGACGGAGTTCTCAGTGATGGGGAAAGTCGTTTTGAAGATAATGACGGAGATACGGGTGAAGGAGGAGTTCGACAGCTAACATCTCGAATCGCTTCTGGGCTTGGTTCCACACCAGCTTCAAGCTTTGCGAAAACGCTAGGATTTCGTGATAGATAGACCTGAAGGCTGCAATGGTCAACCTCTCTGTCCCTGATAAAGAACAGGGATTGTTTCTGGTCTGCATCACGTTGCTTCTTCAGATGAAGGATCTGGAGAACCTCATCCAATCGAAGGTTTTTAAAGGCACCCCATGTTGTGAATTTCTTCTTATACATCGATACACTAGTTTTTGTTAGTTAAATTACGTAGTCCTTCGTGTCGATATAACTCATACGTGGCAAAGAATTCATGATGTTCCTCCATGTACGACTTGACCTCTTCTAGGGTCTTATCTTCGTCGAGGTACAAGCGCATGATATCCGCCTGTAACCTTGTCCAATCTTGAAAGGTGGCATATCGTTTCGCTGGCGCACTCATTTTTCATCGTGACTGGTCGGGATACGCTAATCCGGGATAGAAAGCGTTCATATCCAGAGGCCTCCGACGGAAGGTTATCCATAGTCTTCGTAGGTATTATATATTGTCCATGTGAAGTGCCAAAAGCCAAGGTGAGGCTCTTAGGTAGCTAGAAGCCTAACCAGATTGAGAAGACGCTGTACGAGAAAAGACATAAGGCGGGATCGAGTGTTACGGCGGCCTAACGATGATTGGTCAGGAGCCAGCGCGCCAGCCAATGACGGCAAAGGTTGCCCGCAGCATCGTCACTAGAGGGAACAGTCCGGGCTGAAATAAGGTCCGAGGAAATCGAATCGAGCTGAAAAATAGCCGGGATCCTAGTAGGATGTCATGGATGCGGAGAACTTATACCGCCATTGGGTAGCGGAACTCATGTGAGGAATGGGAAGCGCATGTCTTTCTCAAGATGATGATGCATTTTTGATACTTGTCCCATACTGCCCCATACTTGTTCCATGCTTGTGCCCTTGTCCCGCTGACCAAAACCATGGAAAGGCCATTTCGGGAAATTCAGAACCATAAGAGGCTATCGTCTGCATCTATCGGGTGCATCCACGAGGTGACCGCATCGTGGAAACATGGTAAAATATGATCATAAGTGGCGATCACCTTTGTTGGCAGTGTTGGCTCAGTAAGATATGTCTTCTCAGCATCCTTCTCGGCATTCTTCTCAGCAGGTCGGTAGCATTGTGCAACCCAAAATATCGATAATATTTTTAGTAGGGTGCACTGGATGCACTGGATGCATCGAATAGTATCGAACACCTGGCTTAGCTGATCTGAAAACCCATCCTTGGCATTGTTGACGAATGACGTCGGAAACTTATTATATATCTCAATGACCGAGCCGCTATGTTTGCGCCTTTTTAGCTGAGCTGGCCTTCGGTCCTCTAAAAATAAGCAAAAGGGTTGAGGAGGCGAGTTTTCCGGTCGTCTTAAGACATGAGTTAAGAGGGCCAAATAGTGGGGTCAAAGCCGGACAGGGGTAGACGCGGATTATGTAAAGGTGGCACAAGGATATCTAAAGTTATATGCAATATGATTGGTCATTCTTAATTGACAATCACGCTCTACCCCAAAACGCGCTTTCCATGATTAGAGTCGCGTCTTGGAAAAGTTACAACCCCGGAAACTCAATTGAGGAAAGCAAAAAGTATCAGCAAAAGTATCCAAGTACAACTTCTGCATTCTCAACTTCGTTTATGTAGCGATACTCATCTTAAGTCCCGCAAACCACCACGATGCTCAGGGCAGACTTCAATCGAGTAGACCCCAAGAGACGCCAAGTTCTCGACCATCGAAAAAGACAATTCGCCGATCCGACCTACAAGCAGGCGGAATACGCCCATCGTCTAAATTTCTACGAGACTCCCCCGACGGCGGACATCACCCTCGAACAATTCGAACAATGGGCTATCGACAGACTGAGGGGTATAGTCTAATTTTGCCTTGTCCTTTCATAGCCATACCCCTAATGCTAATACCAATCTTACCGTAGTCCTTGCCGAGCTAGAAGCATGCTCGTTTCGAAACAAGACGCAAGCTGAGACAGCGGCACATATGAAGCCGCTCCTCGAGAAGTATCTTCCGCTCGACTCCAATACGGCCGCCTCGACCCAGCTTCCCGCTCAGAGACAGAAAGATCACTACAGCCACTTCATACTCCGACTCGCCTTCGCGTCGACCGAAGACCTACGACGGAGGTTCAGTCGGGTAGAGACCATGCTCTTCCGCCTACGGTTAGACGACGGTCTTACGCGCGAGCGAAATGCTTTCATCCAAAGTCTGAACTTGGACTGGGAAGCTGTCACGAAGGAAGAGCAGGACAAATACTTCGCCGAACTAAGCGCGACAAGTGGACTAAGAAAAGGAGAGGAAGACACCTGGTACAAAGTCGATTGGGAACGCGTACCAGATCTAGTCGAGGCAAGGAAAGTGTTCCTGAAAGCTGGGAAGGCTTACGTACCTTCAAAAGAGCTACCCAGCATGGTGATCGCCGAGTTCACGAAAAGGCTTGATCGGGCGTTAGAACTTACGGCCCGCGCGCTGCCACGACTTGACGAAGACGACCGACTTACACCTATTCTCGACCACCTATCGAAGAACTTCGTCACTCCCGACGCTTCGTACAGCAGCTCCACTTCTAGCGTCCCTGGCGCCGAGATCACGGCGCGCAATGTCGATAACCTATCTCAACACTTCCCGTTGTGCATGCAGCATCTGCATAGATCATTACGTCGGGACGCCCACTTAAAACACTTCGGACGTCTGCAATACACCCTCTTCCTGAAGGGTATCGGCTTAAACCTGGAAGAATGTCTAATCTTCTGGAGAAGCTCCTTCCACAAAATCACGGATGATACGTTCAACAAAGAATACAGGTACAACGTACGACACGCATACGGCGATGTTGGTGGAGACTCGAACCGTCGTGGAGGCGGTTACTCGCCATTCTCATGCCAGAAGATCCTGACGGAACACCCGCCCGGCCCGGGTGAAGCTCACGGGTGCCCATACCGACACTTCAGCTTGGAGAACTTGACTACGTTGCTGCAACAAACGGGCGTATCGGATCGTTCGGTCCTACAAGGTGTTAAGGAAGACAAGGATAATCAGAAATTTCATATGGCCTGTAACCGGTATGCCTTCATTCCATCTGCGACCCACCTAGTGTCTTTAGGTTTGAACTGACATTTGCATGCAGTGTGTTTGAATACGTCCACAAAAATGAGCTCCGGAAAGCCAAGGATGAAAGTATCATGTCGTCGCAACAGCTCGAGACGATCGTTCACCCCAACGAGTACTTCAGAAGGAGCTTCCTTCTGAAAAATCTCGGGAAGGTCAAAGAAGACCAAGATGTGAAGATGGAGGGCTTCTAACGAAGTTTTTAATTAAATTATGTTAATATCTCATGATAAATGGGAGTCTTGCAGGGCGTGCGTGGGATCGTACGCGCTGGAGACATGCATGGCGGGCGAAGGATCCGAACCGGCGTTGTGGTGTTCACCAATGATTCAGATGGCATAACGTTGAATTTCAAGTTATTTTTTCACCGCATCGGTTACACCGCACAAGCTGGAATGTGTGGCTTACAGTATTAAATAAAGATAGGTGATAAGTAAGCTGTTGGTGACGACTTTCTGACGAAGCTCGCTACATAAGCACGTCGCACAACAGTTAATACAGCAGTTAATAGACGCCCTATCCAGCACGTACGACATGCATACATACCTAGGTACATTACAAACTGAGGCATAAGACTGCGAAGCCGTGGGATAACGGGGCTCGATAATGTTAGCCAACGCACCACTGTACGGATCTACCACGCATATTTAATATACAGCGGCATGATACGTGTGGTGGCGAAGACGGGTGATGGCGCAGCCGCATATGAATTTAAAGCCAATCTTGGATGCTCTCGCGTGGGGATTGGGTATCTATTCTCCGGTCGTAAATAGATGAGGCTCTGCAGGAAAGGGGAAGGGGTAAGAGGGAAGGGGAGTGGGAAGCATGGCTGGCTGCCCTAAAGGTTCGGGACGACGCGCAGGTAAATTAGATGGGTCATGCAATGGATCGCCAGGGCACCTCTTCCGAGACGCGGGTTGGTAAGCGGACGGCGGGACGTCTGCCTACGACTGCAGCGCTTGGCAAGATGGGATGCGCAGATGGGAATGCGAGGCATGCATGCCCTGACGCTGGCGCTGGCGCAGCCGGCATAAGACAGACGGGCTGCGACCCACGCCTTGGCCGGTTACGTCTACGAGGTGATGTGGTGAGGTGAAGGAGGCCGAATGAAAAAAAAGAAAAGAAAAAACCTACCAATACGGCGTTTTCGGACAGTGAAATTTTTGCTGTCGTATTCTCTAAGTAGCGACGATTCTGATGCACAGTATGTATGAGATGTTTGAGATGTGATGTGTGTGTGTATATGTAAGAGCGTCCAATATCCCCACGCCGGACGTAGAGCGACGAGCAACGAGCGCACGGCATTGACTCCGGTAGGGCGGCCGGATACTGCGGATCTTACCTCCCTTATGTATGTTCCGCTTCAATCTTGTCTCCGGATGGTGGCGCGAGAGAATGTCCGGTGTCCGGGCATATGAAGGTCGACAGATCAGGTCAGGTCAGGTCAGGTCAAGTCAGGTCGGCTTCCCAACTTGTTTCGACGATTACGCACCAGCGAAACATTTTGCAGGCTATGCTCGATTCCCTTGCAAGTTTGCGATGTATGTACACGTGTATACGTGTGCTTCTTATCTACATCTCAGGTAGCAGGGCGGTGTCTAACACGCGTTCTCTGATACGCGCCCCTGCTTCTCGACAGCCCTACTCAAGGCCAAGACCAATTTAGAACTAATTCCTTCTAAATGGCTCACTCGTTCGATTCATATCCAACAGGCACGCACAAACTGCGACGGCTTCCAGGATACGCGGCCCCTAGGAAAGACGGTGTGTCCCGGGCATCCCGGCCCCCAGACGGTATCCATATTCGGCAAGGCCAAGCTCGAATCGTCTCTTGCCGAAAGGGGAAGACTCGGAAGCTCCAACGCTTACTGACCGACCGAACTTAGTCCTAACCTTTGCGGTGAGTCAACTTCCCGAAGTCGCTGGGGCTTTTTATGCAACGCCTTTGTATGGATAATTCTCGGCGAGACGGATTGAGTAGTACTTTTTCTTCTTCCTTTGTTTCAGCTGGGACGGGTGCTCGGTGGGCTGACTGAGACCGCCTCTCTAAGTTTTGTTTTCCGCGGAAGAAACACGGGAATGGGATTGTTTATGAGCCCAGGAGCTGTCCAGGGGATGATGAATGGGCGGTGCGCGTAGAAGAAAGGAAATAGTAAAAAATCGAGATTCGAGACACTCGAACAGAACTTTGGTACCATTGTGCGAGTCGGAGATATCCAGAGATCGTCAGGGACCGACGTCTAGGGCAGCTTGTGATCATTTCCCAAGGTTTGCTCCAAGATCAAACATCAAAGAATTGGTCCCGTGAGTTGGCAAGGCGGACAGTTGATTGGGGGGACTCGCGCCGGGCAGAATGCGATTTCGAAACAATGGGAAATTTGGGAGACATGGATGGAACTTATCGATCTCGATGGTACGGTAGACGGGATCTATCACATTCCTCTTTCTTGGCGGGTTGCATAAGATCTCAACTAACTTGTCACTACTCACCAATAATAAAGTGGTTCGCACAAATAGTTTAGAACGAATATGGCATAGGTAAGCTTAGAATGAGGAGCTTGTGATCTTGACTAGTGTAGATTCGTAACCTTGTAACGTCCGAGGATTCTAGATTGCGATGGACTCGGTAATAGGCAATGGGCATGAAAGAGAAAAGAACAGGTAACCTCGACGTGGAATAGTGAAAGGGAATTCGGCATAAATCATCCTACAAGATACTATATCTCGAGATTCGACGATGGTACGATATAATATGTTCTATATATGTATGTAATACAGAGCACGTAAGGCAAGTAACATGTCATGGGTTCCCGTTACCATTCTGTATTCATGGATCTGGAACGTTGTAGGTCCACATTTCCATCTATGTGCCACACCTCCGGGCAGTCCTAGGCGACGGGAATCTTCGATCGTTTGTGTCGATCACTTGTTCTCTTTAGGCCGAGATCCCGACATCGTATCACATAATCTATAACATGTTGTTTGTCAATGGAGACTTTTAACGCTCTTGACAGAAATCATCCGGAATGAAAATAGGCCAATTGGCCGGAAATTAGACGACAGGGCTTGAGAGTGAGGCTCTATTCTCATTACCTGTCGAATTTGGTTAACACGGAATCAATTGCCCCCATAGAAGGTTCAAGAAAGCAAGTATGGACTCATCTCGGCTCGCCAACACGCCTAGAAACGTTGAATATCCTAACAGATAACGCATCTCGATGGAAAAGTCTTGCTAGGCACATATGTTATAATCTCAATGGCCGATAGTATTGACAAGTTCGGGTTGCTGCATATGGACTAGTAGCTATGATTCTCGGGCTTGCATATGGGCGTTATGTTGGCGTTCCTGCTGTCATCTCGGATGTCAATATTTTCTTACTCTCGCCGGTTACACGTAAAGCTCTTACAGCTTCAGCTAGATTAGGCGCGCAGGGACAAATGCTGCATCCTTTTGCTTCGCTGTAGGGTCCTAACCTTAAAGTATACCGTCGTGTAGCTTCAAGAAGTGTTTTTCCAGTGCTTCACCCCACTCGCACACCCCCTTGAGTGTGGATATTCGAGATCAGAGTACATAGATCCATAAATCGAACCATGGCGAGGGTGCTGGAAAGCTGGGGTCGACAGAGAAATTGGGTCGCGACCGAGCAAGGGGAATGGGGGATTAAGAGATCTGGCTCCGGAATAAAGGATTAATCTTGTTGGTTTTCCATAGCGATCTATTTAGTGCCAACTCTCTCTGTGAACCGTTGCGAAACAGACGCCGTGCTAAGCTGTTCTTGTACGAGTGGCAAACGTTCTTCTTGGGAAGGTTGCTATGAAGGGTAGAATATTGATGGATCCTACGAGATCCCCGCCGGTAATGATCGTCACCAGGTCCCAGCGGGAGAACGGTCTGGATCGAACTTTAGCTGATTCATCGAAGTCAAAACACAAAGCGGGCTGGCTGGGCGGGCCACGATCTCTCGAATAGAACGATGGTCGAAAAAAGAATTTCTATCAGAGTCCGCCAAGTTCGCGCGCTTTTTTGGACACGGAATAGTTTATATTTTTTTATGAAGCCAAGTTTCATCGTGTTAGGTAATGCTATTCATCATGGATGGGATCGTGAGAAAGTGACAGGTTAGCCTCGAACGCCTGCTGTATGTACGATACATAAGCCAATCTGCACTCTATTATCAGAACAGGAGCTATTATGCCGAGCAGAGGCACATGCAAAAAGAAGTATGCAGTCAACGCTGCTTGCCTACTGTAGAGTTTCTAGCGAATGATGCGCTAGGGAATAATGCAGGCCGAAAATGTAAGCCAAATATCAGCAAGTCTCAGCCATCGCAGTTCTTCGTGAGCATCGCGCACTGTCACTCTGCAGTAGTATAGGTAGTATAGTAGGGTATCTCAAAGGTGTGAGAGTTTTCCTATAACAGCCGAAACCGTAGAGAGAGCCGATTCCGCGACCTCGCCCGTAAAAACACATTTTGATGAGGATTGTCGATAGTAATAACAAGATTTTGTCACAGCGCTCCGGATGATCAGAGGGGAAGATCGGGGGACCGTTCCGCTTATTAGCATATATATGAAAATTGACTTGACGAGAAACACCGCGCTACGCTTTGATATTCCGCCGGCACTCTATGACGCTGGAGTAGCACGCGCAAGCAATGATAACACCCCGTCGATCTTAGATCTGTCGCATCCTCCCCCCAAGAAGTAAATAATTCTACCTACCAGGCTGCCAGGCCGACTCAACATTATGTATGACTTAGCTACAAGCCTACTGTCCACCATCTTCGATGGTTTGGGCGGTAGCACACTTAGGATCTCGATAGTGATGACATGATTCATTGAGTTATATCGACTGGTATCGACTTGCACGGGACTTGCAGCACACATGCGCACCTACCTAGCGCAAAGCTAAACATTGATACTAAGGGAAGATGAGAGATTAGACTCTTCCTATCCCTTAAGCGTAGCGGACGGTCATATCAACCCCTTTGAGCCTCTCCATTTATTTCCCGCGACTCGTCCATCCATCTCACACAAGGTCTCTCCAGCTTTCAAGAGTATGCGAAACGACTTAAATAAGCCTTCAATCTATTAATCAGTCGACTCTCTTTTTCCTGGTATCACCTTTAACAAGCACATCCATGACAGAGCACTTGTCCACAATTACGGCCCTGAATCGATCATAGGGTTGCAGTACGTAAGCAACACATATTACATACCGCCCAGCAGTCAGATAACAAAGCCCGCACCGAAAGAGGCTTGTCACGCCCTGGCGTTTAGCTGTGCTTGAGAGTGGTACATCGGCATCGTGTCATCGAAAAGCCACACCCAAAGTCGTTGTAGTCTCTGTCCTTCGAGCCCGACGGATCCGCTACAAGAGAAAGCGAAACGCCGAACTCATCGGGATTTTAGGCACCACGCTATTCCTCCCACGCTCTATTTTTTCACTCTTACATACATATTTTTCTTCTTTCAGTGCCCTACCTTGCCTTACGTTACACCCTTGTCTATTCGTGACCTGACCGGGCACAAGCTGGACGCCTGCTGCTCCTCGTCGAGTCTCCACTTTAGACACTTGTGCCATAGTTGCTACGGTCTACGAGACTATAATTGCTACCTACATACATACCTACCTACCACATACTACGTTTATATACCGGACCTGGTGCTACTAGCCTGGACCTTTCTCTTTTGGACTTGGGTCAGAACTAGAAAAGGACAGGAGCCCTCCTTGCGGATCCCTTCGACCCCTGGTGAACTGGATCTCTCGGCTCGAGCCTGCAATAAACGTTCCGAAACAAGCCCCCCATATAAGACTCCACGCTTCACATTCCATCCCAATCCTATTTGGAAAAGGCTTCCACTTATACAAAAGCTGCCAACATCCCCCCCCGCCTTCCCTCTCATATATTTGTACTAGCCCACGTCGCTCATAAGCCACCATCAATATGTCAACCCGTCCACCCAAGACTCACTACGCCAGCTCCTCCTCAACAGACACAGACAGCAGTTCACCTTCATCGTCGGATACCGATCTGTCCTTTCTATCCAGTATGGACGTTCAGCCTGTCGCTTCGGTTGAGGTGTTGCGCTGCCTGCGCTGCCATCGCCATGTCGAGGCCACATCCACCGACGACCCAGCCTCGACGGGGATGATCCGAGTAGGATTCAACCTCTACTATTGCCAGAAGTGCGCGACGGCAGTCGGGTACAAATGAACAAGGCGACATCTTTACGTGATGTGAGGAAATGGTCGATAACAACAACAACAACAAACTGCTACTACACGCTTCAGCCTGAACGACGACAACGAAAGATTGCATCGCTCTATTCACGAACAAACCGATGCGACTTTTTGATCTAAACCCAACCTAGCCTTGGATTTCTCAAAAAGGAAACAGGAAGAATTGACGGCCATGCGAACGAACAAATCACATTCTCAGAACCTCCACGAGACGGATGGGAAAACTTGATAACCCGGCATCGCATCCCCCCTGAGGGTTGCTACACTAGACGCGCATTCTTCGCGCAGATGAGGACAACACGAACCGCATTACGACAACACCCAGCTGCACCTGCATGGATGATATGTCCTATGGTGTTCCATATACAGCGACAGCTGCATGGCGGTATACGGAGGTGTTTTGCAAAGGGGCCTTACCTAGATGCCTAGCCTATACCTAGCTCACACTTAGTCCTAGATGGCTACTACTTTTATCCTCCCCCTTTGCTCGTTTTCCAATGGAAGAGTGGGTTCGATTACTTATTGTTATTATTATTATTTTGTCTTTTGTATATATTACATACATTTCGCCACCCCCAGGTCGCAGCGCGTCGACCCATTCAAACGTTCGATTGACAGGGACCTAAAACCACAACAGGCACGAGTTAGGAATCTTGCAGAAGCAGCGCGGCGACACCAAAGCCTCTACCGGAAACTTCGCCCGGCTATCTCGCATATCCGCCACCCAGCCAGATCTTGGAGTGCCTTTTGGAGCCCATTTGGAGCCGAAGATGGGAAGTGAAGCGCGGCTTTTTCGGGTCCGGTTGTCCCTCAACCCCTCCTGGCCTTCCCCTCTTCTCTCTCCATGATCGCGATCGATCGATTTTTCTGTTTTTTCTCATGCAATTCTCCAAATTCGCATGTTTGGCATGCGGGATTATAGGTTACGGACGGAGCTGAAACGCTGGGACACGCGGCATGATCTGGGTTTGATTGACTTTGTGCTCGTGCCTAGCAGAAAGTTGCAGCGCTTCAATTGCTTGGCCTACCGGTGAAGCCGATTGAGTCGATGCGAGGCGCAGCTATGAGCACAAGTATCGCATATTATATCTTGACCAATCAATCATTCAATCAGAGGTAGTTGGCAAGGATGGTTAGGAAATTTTTTTCTCATGTGCCCACTATTAGAAAGTTCACCGCCTTCTGTTGGGTAATTGGGCGACGATGGGCGGATGGGTTGGGTTGGATTTATTTACCAAACATTCAACACCATACATCATCACGAGCGCTCTTGTCATGGCTTTTTCTTAGCTCAGGTAAAAGGCACAGAACAGAATCATAACCTGAACCTAAAGAACTCTCTTCCCCTTAACCCCTTGTCCATACACACGTCATATGCGTCTCGACCTAGACACATTTAACCAATCCGATCTCGTCAATCCCTTTCAGTATGGGTTCTCATCCCGTCGATAAACCAATCACCGCTCCGCAACCCGGCTCTAGCCCCGGCAAATACTACCGACCCCAGTCCGTTCCATCTGCCTGTGACGTTGATGTGCTTTCGGACCCGCCAATCAAGCCGGGGCAGCAGCGAAGCGACGAACGCTTGCAATCACATACATGTGGCACGCAGCTCTTTCCTGCCGGTCGGTCATTTTGGCAATACGCACAGCAGCAGCAGCCAGTCTTTTGCATCCGAACCGCACTTTGAGAGTCGGGCAACCACGGGAGTACTTGCCTTGCTTAGCCTCATGCTATCGGCTTGAACGCCGTTGTATTCTACTGTCTCTATTATCATTATTCTCATTACTCATATTTCACTTCACCGCATTTTACATCTTCTCTTCGTTTTGCAGTGTCGGCCGTGCCTCCTGGGAGTGCTGATGAATCCCGTTCAATTTTACTCCGGGAGCGCTATCGGCGGTTCACTTGCGTGATCTCCCTAGTAGTTTTGGATAAATGAAATTTGTGTGGAAAGTTGGATACCCCCCATTCGTCTTGGCGCACGGTGGTACTCGAGAGGGAACCGGTCGGGTTGCATTTTGTTTAAACGGCGTCCAATTGGCATGTGGAGTACCATTAGACCTCGGGCATATGAATCAGGATGGAGGCATCTACAGCAGTATTGGTAACCACGCTTCAATGGATGCATGAAAAGAATATACACTCTTATTTGGAAGGGGGAATACACGCCGGGAATATACGCATTTTAGACGACGGAGATATTGGACAAGCCAAGATAGTATTATGATGAGATCTACGTATTACACGATAGTCAGGAAACATAATATGGTTTATCATTTCTCTACTCTGGTATTGAAAAATCTGCCCTGCTTGTCATTTGACCTAAAAAATCCAGTGGATTACAGCATCATGTAAGGGCTTTTTACCTCCTCAAAGTTGTCATACTAGGTACCCAGCGCATTACGGGAGAACATTCCATTGCCTCGGGATACCGACGCGCTAAATTAGAATGGCAAGTATCTCTGGCCATGGCTCATTTCCCGACTCAAAAAATCTCATAGTATATTACGCATACCAATCTCCAACTCATCCGGTGCCGATTATGCGATGCCGCGTACACAATACACGTGGGTATCTTGTATGTCAAACCGCCGGCGGGTTAGCAAGCGGACACTAGATATCCCAACGTAGTATGGGAATGGGGCAAAGAGGCCGCCAGAAAGGTAGTGTGGGACGATGTCAGGGACGGCGCGCGACGGTTTGCTTGATGATCGACTCTTAGCTTCCAGCACGGGCTGCCCAAGGTTCCGGGTTCTTGTGTCCTTGGGTACAGATGGAGGAGGCCATTGCGCATCTGGTTAGGAGCCCCATCGAGAAATTCTTTGATGTTAGTTTCCACGACAATGTGAAAATGGGATCATCTATCCCCGTACCTCCTTTACATATGGGATCTGCTTCTGATAATCTGGTAGACTACGGGTCAGCATGTTTCAGTTTACCTACTCCAAATATATGCCAAGGCTGTTTCATGTAATCACGCGGTCGTGGGTTGGGTAACTTCAGTAGCTGACATCATGATAGACATCGTGAGGCACAGAGGCGACTACCCATCCCACCAAACGACTAGACACACATTCCCATACTCCTTCTTTCCGCGCTATCGGATAAAGTAAGCTTATTAGTGTTAACTCCGCCATGGCAGCATTACTATGCATTCGTACTAAGTACGCTAAGCACCACTGCCTTACTCACATTAGCCATATCTTGTTCTGCTAGCGACGAACACGAGTCAGCCCTTAGAATGCATACGAGAAGATCACCACTCATATGCTGAATTATATGAGCCTGACAAATATACAAGACCCCTAGCTCTTATCCCCATCCACCCCCCACATAATACACTACAAAGACTCAATATAGTAATCGTTCCAAAAGCAAGCGCGCCAAGCCTTCAAGCCAACTGCTACGTAGCACCCTAAGCAGATCCTCAAATCCTGCTCCCGTCGCTCACAATCCGGCAAGCCGCCCGGCCGCGCGCTGCAACCCTTTCAACGTTACCTGCTTTGCCAATACGCACATGCGCGCGCGCGCGCGCAGGGAACCCGGCTGTTATTTCAGTCAGAGTTGGCAGCCGCTCATTGGCCTCGAAAATCCCGACTTTCCTCGTCTAGTTTTCTGCCGAGATGCGACGATCAGGGTCCTGAATTTCCAAAACATACATCATCATGCAGCCTGCACGTCGATGTCACCGTGCAGGTAGGGACCGGTCGGGCAGAGCGAATAAAAGGGAGAATTGGGCGCCATACCCTAGGTCGCTGGCCGGCGGCTAGCGTGATGGTTTCCCAGGTATATACGGATGCGCATATGTTCGTATGATATGGGATGTATGAAGGGATTGAAGGGGTCCACGATGGTATGCCTGGGTTTAGGAGGGTTGTTCGCGATATCGACATATCGACATATCGACGCTTATCCTACCAACCACATTTCGCTCATAAAATAACTCGGCTTAGGCGTTAACGAAAGATGGGGTGCTAGTTACGACCCTCGCTAGCTGATAAGCTACCTACTCATGCAGCTGGATACTGTTTAGCATGCGATGATTCGCGGGGTCTTATCCGGCTAGTCAGCACTGAGGGGATTCGGAATTCCAGACCGCGGGGAAGCTCTGAACTGCTGGCCGTATGCCGCAGTAGCAGTGGCTGCGAAAACATCCCCACATGAGCTCAAAGTCACCTACCCAAGGACATATGTGGGTGGTCATTTGTCCTACATACGCAGATGCAGTGAGCCAGCGAGTCATTGTTGGGCGGTGTTTGGTCTTTTGGGAGCTTAGGCCGCCGGCGTCAGGAACGCGCCCCTTTAGAGTCGACGCTGGCTATCTCGCTAGTGCGGAGCGAATAAGCTTAAGCCAGCAAAGCCCGGTCGGTTTACGTGCGTTGGTATGAGAAAATTGATTGTCATTTCTGAGAAGAGCTTCCTTAGAGAGAGCTGAGCCGGTAGTTGACGATCCAATCACGAGCGAGAAGAAGCCCACTATCCGAGCGAAACTATAGGTTTCAGTAAAATGAGAGATGTCCACTCTACTTTGGAAGGTACTTTCGAAGGATGGAACGCTCAGGGTCCAATGCAAGATTGAGAGTTATTCTGCTAAACGATGGCAGCGTAGCTCGGAATGTATTGTGGCGCATTGCCGGAATCGCAACATGCCTTATGATCTATACTTGCCCGCGTACGTTCCGGCTCAAAGGACTAAATCATGTTACATTGCACATCCTTCTAGGTCTAAGTATCTGGTAAAAACCAGAGCCAATAGAGTCACGAAACCAGATAAATAGTTGGATGGTTGAACATTTTGACTTCGAGGTGAGCGCCACGCCGAGCTGCTCGGTGAAGTGGCATGCATGTCTTACCGATGAAGAGATTTCGACGACATGAAAAATAACTCTCAGGTACCTATACATAACCCACTGCTTCAAGCCGGGTATCTACCTAGGTTATGGCTTCAAATGCAACATGTTAGCTGTTGCAGTGATACCGTGGAAATGGCCTACCTACCCACCGAAGAAGGCATCGATTTATGGAGCCACCAAGTTGCATATACCGAAAAACCTACATAGCATGCGTACAGTGTCTTGGGTACCCCGGGTAAGTTAGCTCGAGTCGTTGGTAATGTTTAAACGTTAACTGGGGCGCTTTGATGCGTGTAAAAATTTACCCGGTGCAGAAAATATGTGCTCGGGGGTTGACTAATAGAATATATTCAAATTCATGTTAATCAAGTCTTGTTCGTGACTCATTTGCTGTTAAAATAACCTTGTAATGAAACCATTCTATTAGAATAGGGGTATCATCTTATGACAAACCACTTTGAAATAACCATGCCTACCAGGTAATTACCTAGGTAAGTCAGCAGCTAAACACATTTGCCATTAGTTGATAAGTAACCATTATCTACTAGGTACCTAGGTAAAATATTTTAGAAAGTGCTTAGAACTTCAACGCAGATCTTTATAATACGTGCCCCTTATTATCTAGGTACCAAGCTATATCTATCAAGTTGACGGAAATACGTTCCCCTTTATCTAACGGCTTAACCTATTCTAAAATGCCATATCGTAACAATTAAATGTTTTCCTAGGAACCATATCAATCAAGACATCGTGTTCTGCACGAGCACAAAACTTGCATTTATACCTATTTGCTGGCGTAAGTGCTAAAGTAAATGCAAACGTAATCTTGCAGTACCTGGATATCGATCTCTCAAATATGTTCTCAAGCCTACCATTTAATCTTGCTATGGAATTTTCCAATGATTCTGTGCAAGAGTAGAACTAGAGGCGCTTATATGCCGAGAAGACTAGGTAAGTGGATGTTTCCATTCCTCTTGATCTAGTTCCTTGGGTACGGGGTAATTCAAATGCAAACAGCACAATTCATCTTTAGTGCCATCCGGGAACTTGACTTTCTTCTCTCCTGGTGATTTGGCCTGCGGTCTTGTCTGATGTCTGGTATACTCGCCCCCTTTTCCCTTACTTTGTTGAGTTTACCTATGCAACGAGGGTTGACTTAACCAGTCTTAAGTAGGTAGGTACGTTTGATAAGTAGGTAGCTAATTACATACTCATTGCTTGAAAACCTCCAAAGGGTATATGGATATCTTTAAACGTCTACCTTCTTGAAAATGGTAATTATGCACGAGTGGAAGTTGAATTTGACGTTTTACCTGGAATAGTGGTTGGTGCTCTGCGACGAAATTGGACATTACAATACAACCCTTTTTCTTCGGTACCGCATAGATTTGATTCATTCAATCCAAAATAAAACTTTTCAATATTATTTATTGGTTGTAAATACTTTCACCAGACTTTCCACCAGCCGTATATATTTTACATTCTATTATAGGGTCGCGATTATCTGTCTCGTAGCCGAAATAAGCCCTGTAGTTCGACCTCTACCTGTGATTGCCATTGCCTGCTATGCTCTCTATAAGGATCGCCGATGAAATCGATCTTCACCTACGAGTTCTGTGGTGTCTGTTGACCATTCTGTAATCATTGATTCGTGGTTTCGAAAGGGGGTTGACGAGTTGATGCGAATTCCGATTGTGCCCATGATGACGATGATGATGAGATGATCGTGAACCTCTATTCGCATTTCGGGCCCCGTGGTATGAGCTGGCTGGCTCAGATGAACTGAAACATTGCCCCATGATTTACCGATTGATCAATACCGAAATGGGTTTATTATTGTTGTCAAATACTTGTGGTCTCTATTGTCGAGGAGAATGGGATGATCATATGGTACAGATCAAGAAATAAAAATTATTCGAACAGAAGCATTGATGGTATCTTTTTATAAATTCCAATTTCAATTATTCTCATGCTAGAAAAGTAGCACTCAATACGAGTGTATTGTCAATGATAGGTACCTAGGTGATTCATTACCCAGGCAAGTAAGAACGCGTCACGAGAGCTTCTTGGATATGTGTGACAGCTAGGTTGAGAAACTCGTCATCTGACTTTCTTTTCTCACTATTTTAGAGATTGGATTGCTTGTAGTCACATTTATTATCTCTCCCACTAGTCAAATATCCATCCACAACTTTGATTGATTGTATTTGTGAAGGGAACTTGATCCTTGCAAGCTTACCCACCCACATGAGGCTATCGTGAGTAGGAGCTGAGTAATTGCGAGTCCTCAGCCCCTCAACTTCATGCCAGATGATTCTCTTATGGAGTCCGATATCATAAGTTTGGATATATTGGCGGTAGTATTTCTCTATCCTTGAAACTGGGCACTCTTAATACGTAGACGGGTACGTTGGTCATATACTCTCCGAGGTTGGCATTATGACCTATTGACGTTTTGTGAATCTAGTATCTCTTTCTTTTAATGGTAAAATTTTCAAAGAGCTTGTTATAATTTCTAGTGATCTGGTACCTCGAAATCTGGGGTATCATTAGGAAAACTCACAAGCCCTAATTATATAAGTAAATGTTTTGGTTCATAGGTAGCTACCAACAAATTACCACCAGAGTCTTATCGGTGGATGAATGTGAAGGTTTATAGTGGAGAGGGCAATTAGGCAGATTCACAGCCCTGGAGGGCAGTGCTGAATTATGTTTGGATGTCTATTTCGTGCATCATCTGCCCCTTTAGATTCCTTGCTAGTCGTCTATTGGCCATTACTGCTCCACCTTCCCCAGATGTGTATTTTCGTCACCAGGCTGCAACCCAAAATCTTCAAATATTGGTAAAGTGGACTACTAGTAATTTGTAGTTTCCTTCTTGTCTTCGATTGAGGCAGCTCCTTACTTTTATATCGTGTCCCAGACACTTGGTTATACGAAAAGGGCTGTTAGGCTGACTGTATCGATGATGTGGGGTTCTTTGTGATTGTTCGGCGGACTCGTTATCATAATCGGGAGCGGTAATTCTGTGCTGTCAATCACCTACTTAACTTCTGCCCTGCCAACGCAAACGCTAGCATATCCATGAGAATAAATTTGAGCACCTTAATTAGATTTTCGTTTTCCTTCGGAATAGGAGTAAGCATCGCGACGTCTCGTTTGATAGAGGAGTAAGCTTACTTCTAAGCCCCTCACCTTATATTCGTCTGGAAGTCTTCGTCATGTGGAACATTTGGTCCTTCTTCCACTATCTAGCAAATCTAGAATGGAGAGAAGTACGGAAAGACTGCGTATTTTGCGACAGAAGCAAGTTCGAGTCGAATATAGTGCATGAGGTACTGCTCAACCCGACGAGGAACTTCTCTACAGCATACTGACGAGCTTTGCAGGATGACAATCTTATCGCGATAAATAACATTAGAAATGCGGGAATGTACCACTGGATCATAATGCCCAAATCTCACGACTGGCGCGATATCGAGGGGTTGGAACCTCAGGATGCACATTTAGGTCGGTAGTTCCCTTGCGCGGGAAGGTGGAAATAGAGCTGACATAGCATTCGATGCATAGTCCAGTCTATGATCAAAGTAAAGAAGCATCTGTTAGAGAAGCACTGTCCAATGGTATCGCCCACCGACGTACATACCGGGTTCCATCGCGGACGCCGAGTCCTACTGGGAGATATTTACTGGCCGGACATTATTTCGATTCACCATTTACATATGCATGTTATCGTTGAGCCTCAATTTTGGCTCAAATTCTTCAAATATCCACCTTGGTTGTCACTTATGTGGAAGTCTGAGGAGCAAGTAGAACGAGAACTGAACGGCAAACAGGAAAATGATGAGCCTTGGTTGTTTTATTTCGTTCGGATCGTGATAAAGCGTATTTACAAGGGAAATAAGAGTGACTAATCGCGGTTAATAAGACATCTACCTAAGAGGTAGTACCATCGCTTATTTGAGTAGGTAGCCTGGGATATTAGATCATGTAGATAGGAGGTAGCATTTAATAATCTGGATTAAGACTCTACAAGCCTTCTTAACAATTATAGAAACAACTTTACCTCCTCAAAATTAAGGGGGCAGAGCCTCCTATATAACACCTTTTCCACTATTATCCCCGGACAGCTCGACAGGAAAGGGGTCGCTTAGATATGACTACTAAGGTATATTGAAGCTTCTATCACTCACACATGTGGATATACCATGATATGGAAACCGTCGATGCGCAGTATTGAGGCTCCCAAAGAATTCTTGTGAAAGTAGGTGAACTTCACGTAACTCCTATTTTCTACCTATCTCCTTGCCCTAACTCCGACAACCTCATCGGCAACCCTAATCCCAACCCCCTTAGCTCATAAACTCCCCGACACTGTGGATATGGCCTAGAAGAAAAGCTCTGTCACGTTATTCTGGGTATACGTGGGTTATCCCTCTAGTTGGCATAAGACTACAATCTCCACAAAACCGGTAACTGTACATCGGCGATAGCGCAAGCCCTTTGAGCCTGTGAGCCTTGAGGCTCTCACAGTGATCTTCGAAGGCGTCTAACCAACTAGAAGTAAGCTTTGTGGGAGCCAGCGGAGCTCAGGGGCTGCTGGAAGTACAGTTGCCAATAATGGTGGAGCTGTGGTCTTATGCCAACTAAAGGGATAGTAATGTATGCACCAAGTTTGACTTGCTCGCGCCTCCTTTATTTCAAATCCCGAAGCTTTTCATGAATTCTTTAACTCTCAAACACACCCCCTCGATTAAACAAAATTTCAGCTCCTTCTAGAATTGTATAAGCGATGCTCCCTAACTTTCCTCTAAAAGCAGTCTTCTGGTTCCTAGCTGTCGGACATTGAAAAATCAATGCCGACAGCGTCCTTCCTACGCCGGACCAGTATCTTCTTATCCGGATGAATAAACAAGAATTCGTGAATGGCATTACACTGAAGCGGCTTGTTGTTGACGAACGCGAAATCGTATTCATCTAGCAGCTTGACCAACATAACCTTAGCAGCCATGTCAGCCACTTGACGACCCGGACACGCCCATCGTCCCGCGCCCCAGGCCAAGATATCGGTGTCAACACTTCGAAACGGTCGCGCGAGGTGTTCTTCGAGTTTATCTTCGGCACAGAACCGGAGGCCCTTGTAAGTATTCGGATCATCAAAGATCGCTGGGTCCTTAGCACGTCCGGGGCCAGACATAGCTATGGGCTGTCCTTTCTTCAGCGAAATACCGCCAACGACGCAGTCACGCTGTACAATGCGGCTGTATACGATGAGCGTGCCAGGGGCTAGTCGCGCCGTCTCCTTCATGGCGGATTCAAGGCGCTCTAAGCTAGCTAGGGCAGCCATGTCCCATTTCCCGTCCAGGGTTGCGTGTTTGGTGCGGATTTCTTCGCGGACTGCATCCAATACGTCTGGGTGTCCTGCAAGGTCCGAGAGCGCGCGGCATACAAAATTTGCGATACTATACGTTGAGCCCGCGGCAACGGAGCCACATAACGCGCTCAGCACATTAGGATCTCGTTCGAGCTCTGTGCGCCCGTCTTTGACCATCCAAGAGATCAAATTTGGGTCGACTGCGGTCGTGCTCTTTCCGAGGCCTGCTTCTTTTTGACGCAGAACTTCAGGTACGACGTAGGTGTCTAGCTCACGCCACGCCCGATCTAATTCCCACTTGGCGGGGAGAAGCCATACCAGAAGTGGCTGTAAGAAGGGAGGAAGACAGCGCATCGCGAAAGCCACCACGAAAACTACCGTACGATTAGTAAACTATTGGGCGCACCAAGTAGTAAGCGTGTTCTAGGAGACTTACCGTTCCTCGTGAGCCCGTACGTTAATTCCACCAGCCTCGGATCTTGCGCCATCCGCGGCCCGAATAACGCAAGTGCAACCACCTCGCTGAAGCAGCGTACGGCCGAAGGAAGAAGGTACATCTCAGTCCACTCATGGCTCTGGGGGAAATCGTGCTTCATGGCATCGGAGAGACGTGCCGTTGCCGGTGCGAACAGTTCCGGGAGGGCCGGGCTAATCCGTCCAAGCAGCATACGGACATGGTAACTCGTCTTCTCCACCACGTCGATGCCGGTGAGGTGTCCGAGTAGCGTGAATGAGTGCGCCTTTCTGCTGTCCAGGACATCCGTGCCGAGCCGGTTGAGCTCGGGTATCAGCCGCGCTGGAAGTATGACAAGCTCCTGGCCTCCGTGGGCGAGTTTATACGGGTTTCCTTGAGCCTTTAAAATTCGTGTTAGCAACAGTGTAGCTAGGCGCAAGTGGACGTCATGGAGCATTACATTCTTGTCTGCAGCCTCGAGGATTTCTCTAGCCCATAAAGTCCAACGCACCCGTGAGAAGAACCGAGGTTCGAATGAGAACAGTCTGTTGGCGACAGGTAAATCGTCTTCGCTCCGGGCAAATCGGAAGATATAGAATGTGGTCAGGATGACGGCCGCAGCCAACAGAAGTCTGATCAGATAGTGAGTGTCGAAGGCCCCATTGCTTGACGTAAGGGGTAGTATGATTTTGGTCTCGAAGATGCCGAGATGCGAGTCAGAATGAGTTGCCATGTTACACGAATTGCTGATCTTTCTATTGATCTAAATCTCCCTTACAATATCGCTTTTATTAATCAATACTCTTGCTTCTACCACTCGCATCTTTAAGAACCTTCTCATCACAAATCCTTGTCACACGCAAATGTCTCACGGTTGGTTCTTACTGTTCTGCTACACGTCCACTAATCTCGTTGTGATGTCGTCCTCGTGGATGTGACTAGCTCCTGAGTTCTATTCCTGAAGTTTGGGGGCCGTGATGACTTGAGGATAGGTACTCGCAGGTACTTCGCAATGTCGATCGCCGAGTCACTTTTGAAGTACTACACCACTTCAACGTCGGTGCCAGCTACAATGCAGGAAGGTTGCATTACATTGCGAGCATCCTTCGTAATAGAAACTTCATAGTGCATTTCTTATCTCGCCGACATTGTTTACCACAGCGATCCTTGCTTCCGTGGCTACCTACCTATTTTTGCATTTTACAATTCATCGGCCGCCTTTTGAAGCACGGAATATTTACCGAATAGTAAGAAAAAGTAAAAAGGTGCGAGTGTAACTCGAAGCTGACCTGAACAATATTTCCTAACGTCTTATTGGCCCTGACTTCTAGTGATGGAGTTCTATTACCTGCAGGGAACAGTTTCATGCCGCCTTCTTGCGCCCCGAATCAGTGGAAGGTAATATACCTCTCTGCCTGACTTATCCCCAGAGCCGGATCCTGCAGAGCGGGCACCAACCACGAAACCAAGTGGCGTTCAAGCAGATTTTACTGTGTTACACCAACTGCCACCCCAGGAATAACGTGGTAGGTTTTGTAAAAACAAGCATTTTCCGAGCCGCAATCGTGCTTTATTCCTTAGGGATGATGCTCGTTGCGACGGGACACGACAGACCGTGTGCCACCAACTATAATTGTTGTACGGATGACTAAACAGCGGCCGAGATTCGCTCCGGTTTATTATCATCGACAATTCATGATTGGAAGTTATTGGAAAAGAAGCCTGATAACTGCCCCTACAGTCATCCGTGCAAGTGTTCGTGGTAACACACATCTGCACTCGTGAGACTTCGTCACTCGTCGCCAAAAATGCCGCTCTCCAACATCGAGGGAGATGGACCGGTGCGCTCAGCGATCACCACGGGCTTGGTGGTCGTGTCTGTCATATTCCCCGTTCTGTCGGCGATAGCCATAGGTCTCCGATTCCTAGCTCGAAGGAGATCCCGTCAGACCATTCGCGCTGATGATGCGTGGGTTATTGTTGCTTGGGTACGCTTGAAGCCATCCAGTTATTGTTGACACCTGGATTATGAATAAATTTGCGATTATGTAGCTGACGATAGAATGCCATGGTAGATATTCACGTTCGCGCTCAGCGTCTTAGTATGGGTGTTCACCGACAGGTCGGGAATAAACTACTATAACATAGACCCCCTGCAGGGCACGATTTACTCTCTCGAGGTTCGTCTGAGATACCTTGTGGGCGACAATGAGAAGGAACAACTCTAGTCCAAGATGTGAACATCGAACTAACTTGGTGTCGTCGTAGCTCATATTCATCTCGTCATGCTTAATCCAGTTCCCCCTATCCACGGTCAAAATATCCATCCTCCTATTTTACCGGCGTATCTTCGTTTCGCGGAAGTTCCACATAGCCGTCTGGATCGCAATCGCCGTAGTGACCATATGGGGACTCTTATTCTTCTTCGTAAGTCCGTCCTGACTCTATGCTTCGCAAATGCGAAATTGGACACTTACATATTTTCGGTAGCTGGTCTTAACACAGGTGGATCCCATCTCCGACTCCTGGAAAGGAGGCAGACTACGATATGACTCAACAGCGCTGGGCCTTGCGCAGGTTGGCACTAGCATTGCGCTCGACTTTGTCGTCTTGTGCTTCCCGCTCCCCGTTATCTCGAACCTCCACATGGCTTCGAAGAGAAAGATTGCCGTGGCTCTGATTTTCTGGCTTGGCGCCTTGTAAGCTTATACACCAAGTGATGAGTTATACGACTGACAATATCCCGCGAAGCTGCTGTGTCGCCGCGGTCGTGCGATTAGTGTTTCTCGACCAATCCGTCCGCGCCGTCATCAAGTCCGAGAACAACGTTTGTAAGTTTCGCCGCGCCACACGCTCAAACAGGAAGTAGTACCGTGTTAGGTACGCAACATACTCACAAAGCCCAACTCACGCAGATCTCCAATCCAAACAATACATCTTCCTAATCCTCGAGCCCAACTGCTCCATAATTGCCGCCTGCCTCCCTTGCTACGGGCCCCTCTTCGCCGGCGGCCGCGCTCCGGAATCGATAGTCCGCAGCGTGCGCTCGATCTTCAGCCTGCGTAGTCTCGGGTCCAAGGGCTCGGCCCACGGGTCGCGCGACGGGAACGGCAGCCGCAGTAAAGATAGCAATCGTAGCAACGGCAGCCACGGTAACGGTGCTGGGGGGGTCGGGGAAAGGGGTGAGCCGACCGAGTCCCAGATCGAGTTGAGCATTCAGCAGTGGCCGGGCAAGGGGCAGCAGGATGTGCATTGCGTGGGCGGCAAGATGAGCGATGATGTGGAGGCGCTGTCGTTGGAGGGGCAGGGGATCAATGTTACGAATGGGGTTACTGTGGAGAGGGAATAGGGGAATGTTGGTGGACTTCTGCGAGGGCTTTTTTATCGGAGATCTAATGGTCATTTCTACCGCTTGGAATCCACTGAACAATTTGAGGAAGTGGTGGTGTTGGGGGAGAGCTAAGGAGAGCTGAAGAGGGAAGACGATTCTATATTATTATCCTTTGTTGCGAAGATACACCACCCAGTAGTTGACAGTTGAATCGCAGTTTGATCATTCAGTCGTAACATTCTATTAACATGCAGGTGCACACCTAGGTACCTAGGTAGATATTCAAAGAGAATGCCCGTAAAGCACACAAGATCTCTTTGACTGAGCGATAGCAACCTGGTGGAGTAGGCCTATTAGACCTGTAAGCGTTGAGGCTCTTAGGCATTGTACAGCGAACTTTAAAGGGGCAATGTGAAATTTATCCAATCATAATCAAGAATTTCTTGGCGCTAGTGGACTTTAGAGGCCGTTGCTAAGCACCTACACTACCTACAGTTACCTACTGAACTGTAATCTTGTAATGGATCCTTCCCCTAAAAAGGACATCCCCCCTCCTTGCGGCGCCTGACCAGCACCTTTTGCCACGGCCACGGAAACAAAAATTCATACAACATCACATTTTTCGGCCTGCCCGTCCCCGGCAAAAACCTAAACTCATACTCCGTAATCAACCTCACGACCACCATCTTAATAACCACGCTAGCGAAAAACCGCCCCGGACACGCCGCCTTGCCGTACCCAAAATTCAGCACCGTGCGCGTCGGCGTCGAGAACTGGAATTCCTTGGCCGACGCTAGCTTGTTGTTGTTGTCTACGTTGCCGCTCTTATCGGCGGCGGCGGCATTGGACTGTTGTTCGAACTGCTCGCGCGCCCGGAAGCTGCGCAGCCCGTCGTAGACCTCCGGGTCCGGCGTGTGCGCGGCGTCGTTCTCGATCGCGTGGATGGGAAGCGCGGCGTAGGTTCCGGCGGGGACGTGCGTGCCGTCGTGGAACGTATGCGGCTTTTTGAAGAGGCGCTTCATGCCGAGGGTCGTTGGCGGCGAGAGCCGCTGCGATTCGCGGAGCACGCTGTCTAGGCGGTGCAGCTTGTCGTATGCGTTCACGTCCCAGCCATTCTCGGCAACGGTGTTTATTTCGCTTAGGAGCTCGTCGAGGAGAGTGGGGCCCGCGGCGATGATGTCGTAGAGTACGTTTACCATGCGAAGGAGCGTCGTGTGGACTGATGCTAGGGCGACGAGCACGAGGACGTGCGAGATCGTGTCTGGCTCGCGATCGCGGCCCTTTGCCATGCTAGCGAGCCAGCTAAGGAGGTTCAATTCGTCGGCGTTACTATCACGGGGTTCCCAGGCTCCCGCGTCGCTCTGCTTGATAAGCTCTTGGAGTCTGGATCGCAGGAGCTGTTTGGCCGTGTTTAGGTACTTCTGCCCGGCCCAGTAAGAAGGGAGAAGAGGGTATACTAGACCCGCCATCCACTGTGGCAGCGAGCGCAAGATTACGACTGTCCTAAAAACTGTGCACTGGGTCAATCGAGAGTGGAAATAATAAAAGTCCGGGTCCTACTCACGGTTCTCTGTATAATTGAAAGCAACATCTAGCCAAATCTTGCTACCACTAAATGCCGGCCCTACAATAGCATCGGCCGCAGCCCTAGCCGAGATATGACCTAAAGCATGATAAGGTTGAAATTCTACCCAGTCTTCGCTTTTAGGGAGACATTCCTCGACCGTTTCTGCTACTGCCTTTTCCATTCTCGGGATTAGCAGTGGCAGCCGTGGCGTCAGTCTGCGCTGAACGATAGTGTGGTGGAGTCTGTTCTCGAGAATCAGATCTATCCCGGTGTAATGACCCATGAGATCTTGTTCTAGGGCCGCTGATGGGTTGGCGACTGTCACAGGTAGGGCAGCGAGCTCCTCAAGGAGTGATAGGGGTAGAATGGTGATTTTTCCATCGCTTCGTATTAACTGGAAAGCCGAGTTCTTGAACTACGACGCACTTGATTTTAGCAATATGATTTAGGTTATTGCCTCTAGTATCGACAGCAACTCTAGTACTTGGTCAACTTACTTTCTTATACCCGTCGTGTATTAAGTCGGCTGCTTTTCTGAGGAAAAGGAAGTTCAGAATGAATGTGGGTACGAATGATACTCGGTTTCCAACTAGAGGGTGCTTGGGTGATGCTCGCACAACCTGTCTCGTCAAGAAAGCGTCAATGACGCTGTACAAGATGATGGTGAATGGTAAAACCCAGTATAGAGACTCCATCCCGTCTCGGATTACTGTCTTGGGAATATCGAAACCTTGCATTTTCATAGTTGGCATTGCGCTTCTTGCTGGTATCAGAGAGTTTGACCTCTCTCAACCACAGTCGTGAAGGGTTGAAGGCGGATGTAGTCATGGATAAGATTCGAACTCTAGAGGGGACCGTGTGTCTCTCCATTGGCCTCTGGCGCAATTTTGCTCACCACCCATCATGTCGAGTTCAAAGCGTAAGCAGCCCAGGGCGTCTATCCTCCCGGCATCAGTCTTCAACATGATGAGTGATTGGGGGACCCAGAATCAGAAGGATACACGGGATGGATACCGCTCAGAACTCTGATCGGCGCATCTATGTGAAATGGTTTCTTCCACTACCCCGGCTACGTTTCCCACAAGTAGGTAGGTACATTGAGCGACTTCGAAAAGAATGTCATCGATATGCCTATCAGCCGCAGTGCAACACAGTGGTTTTACGGAGCGCTGGGTTTTGCGGAGATCAACATGAAAAATCTCCTGTTTGGGATATCTTTGGCGATGGTGGAGGGTTGAGTTCCATGGTTATCGTGCTAGATATCTAGATTTGCTCCAGTATCGAATAGTTCAAATATGTCACTTTAGTAGCTGCAGAAGAACTTCAGGAAGGTGTCTAGGACTTCTATGATTATTGATGGATAGCTAACATCAAGCTTAATAAAAAACGGAGGCATACGCATGCATGTGGCTTTCAAGGTGAAAAAATATAGTATTGTAAATGGGGTAGTGATCGTCGATATCTAGCGCTTACGATGAACGTCGACGCGCCCATGACACGAGAAGGATTGTGATGCGTTTTACCGGTCCGTGGTATATTCGTAAGCCCAATATGCCTAGGTAGGCATATTCTTCGAACAGATTTGGAGAACAAGAAGATACAGTTGAGTAGGACTAGGTACGTGACAAGGAGAAAATAAGGGTTGAATAAGCGGACTTAAGCTTAAGCAGCCAAGACAAACTGCCGTTGTGGGGCTGTGGGGGCGGAGTGTCACCCCCGATATGGCACCAAACATAAGGCTTAGTGCTCCTGAGTGACGAATCCATGATCCTTCCCGCTTACCATAACGTAGAGTCGGAATAGAGCTTCTATTATCATTGAAAGTGATGCACAAGTAAGCAGACTCGGAACTCAAACTACCTAGGTACCTAGTAGGTTGACTGAGGTCTTCCTATCACACTCAATTTGGACATACCAAAACCCAAATGGGGATAGGGGTAATAGGGGGACTGGAAATTGGAAGGTACATTACACAGGGACAAAAGCAAATACACGATTTCACAGGGCACCGATAAGATACAGCAATGTTCATAATGTTAACCTATCTCTGGTTCATTACCTATGTAGATCATATCAACAGCTTCTTAGTTTAGAACTTGTCTCAAACACTATCATATCAGCTCACGCCTTCTCCGCTGCATCATCCTTTTCCTTAAGACTCTTCTGGTACTCATCAAAGCTCTTCGTGCCCTTAGGCATGCCATTCCAATCGAGACCTTGCTCGTCCATGAGGCGCGTACGCAGATCCATAGCTCTTTTCCACGACGGTCTGCTATTCATGCTCTCGTGCCAAGCCTTGACATTGGGGAACCCGTCCCATTTATTCTCTTCCGGAACGCTCAGGATCGTCTCCAGACGGTTGTTCCAGGGAACGAATGCCATATCCGCAAATGTCATGCGGTCGCCAACTAGCCATCGCGGCTCTGGTTTGGCAGCAAGTACGCCCTCGAGCACGCCGAGGACTCTCCTGACCTCATTTGCGTAGCGCTCAATCGCAGATGGAATCTTTTCTTTATGAAGATAAGTGAACCTGGGTTAGAGGTTAGATAATTTAGTTGCGAAAGTAGCTGTGCAGGTATTCGGTGTTTACCAAGTGCATTGTCCGTAATATGGGCCCTGGCCGCTGACCTGGAACATGAGCCACTGGTTACAGTGAGTTTGTTCTTTGAAGGTATCGTAGCTTAGACGGTGTTCGGTGTCATATTTCGTGATGAGATATTGGATGATAGCACCCGTTTCCCACACTGTGATGTCGGTGTTTGGATCCTCGATAGCTTAAGGGGTACGAATGTTATCAATACTCCACGATGTTATTTGATATTGATAAGGCGCGTACATACCCGGAACACGACCGTTTGGATTAATGTCTGTATATGGTTTCTTCTTGATGTTTTCAAAGCGGAGCGAAACGGTCTCATAGGGGATTCCTAGCTCCTCTAGGATGAAGATAACCTACACCAAAGGAAGTTAACATCAAGATTTTAGGGCCAAACTTGAAGGTATAGCATGTATGCGGTTAGCTACCTTCCAAGAGTTCGAACCAGGAGCTGGATATCATCGTTAGCCCTGTATTCCATTCGATAAGGTTAGAGGGGGCGACGTACGAGACACCCAAACACGAATCGGCTTCGCCATTGTAGATGCAAGTCTAACTTGTCTGTTTTGATAAGTTGAAAAGAGGCGTCTATGAGAGTTTTTTCCGCGACGATTAACGTAGAAGTGTGATAATGGCTTAAGAGTCGCGTGAAGATTCGCGAGGGGGCGGGGTAGGACTTTGGGACCTCCAATCATTGTCTTTTTCCCTTCTATAATATTAAGGCACTTCTAGGTACCAAGGGATGCTGTATTTTTATTTATAGGTACATAAGTTACTTGGATATCGCTTTGGGCTATTTATGCTGTTGGTTACACAGCGTTATGTGATTATTACAGTGGGGTCTGTGTACCCTACCTAACGGGCAAGCGGGGTTTGTTGCAACGGTTGTAAATATGTTTCAACGTTTGGATTTTTTTAAAGGCTTGAAATTAATTTTACGGTTTTTTTATATTTAACGGTTGTAAAAATGTAATAGTTATTTATTAAATAAGTGTAAAATTAATTTTAAGCTTTTAAAAAATTTTAAATGTTAAAATATAATTATAATTATTAAATTATAATATTATTAAAATTATTTATTTATTTAAAAAAAAAAGTAAATAAATATTTATTTAATTTAAAATTTAAATTTAAAAAATTTTAATAATAAATTAATTTATTATTTTTAATTTAAATATATTAATTAAAATATATTAATTTTATTTTATTTAAACGTAATTAAATTATTAATTTTAAATTTAATTAATTTAATTAATTTTTAATATATTAATTTAAAAATATTAATAAATATTTATTTATTTATTTAATATAATTAAATTATTATTAATAAATTAATTAATTTAATTAATTTAATTTATTAACGCGATAAAATTAATAAATTTATTTAATATTTAACGTAATTAAAATATTAATTTAAATAAAATTAATTAATTTAATTTAATATAACGGAATTAAATTTATTTATTATATATATAATATTATATATATAATATTTTATATATTATAAATAAAATATTTTATTTATTTATTTATAAATAAAAATAAAAGTTTTTTAAATTTTACGGTAAATAATAAATAAATAATAAAAAATAAATATTAATTTTTAAAATTTTATTATAATAATAATAATAATAATTTTAAAATTTATAATTATTACGTTAAAATTATTATAAACGTTATTATTAAAATTTATTAAAATAATTATAATAATTATAAAATTTTTATATAATATTATAACGATTATAAAATAATTATAACAAATATAAAATAATTTAAAAAATAATAAAATTAATAAAAAACGTTTAAAAAAAATTATAATAATTATAAAAATAAAAATAATTTTAATTATTTTAATAATTTTAAATTTTTATAAATATTATTATTATAATTTTATATTTTTCCATTTAATTTATATAAGTAAATACTTTTAAAAATAATAATAATTATTATAATTTAAATTATTTATAACTTAACGACGTTTAAACCTTTATTACAACCGTTGCAGCTACCCCCCCTTTCCCGGTACGGTACAAATGTTGACATTTAACCTACTAGGTAAGTACTTTAAGCTACCGAAATAACATAACGCTGCCCAATCCTCCGACCACAACGTCGGGTAACCGGGGAACAATAAAGTGAGCCTTCTTACTCGAGGGTATGGAACGATGGTATGACCAGGACTTATCTAGATCCATTGTGCGAAGCTTTTCCCGCATCATGGATGTGACATGTTGATCGTTACAGTGCAGGGAAAACCTTCGGTGGGTTGGGTGGTTGGCTTATGTAACTCAGCCCCTATTCGCCATACAGGTCGCGACCTACTAAGGCAATTCCAGATCAAGCTGGACAGGGGAGCATGACGGTATCACATGAAAAGGCAACTGCATTAAACTCAATACAACATCATAGCTCTCTACGTAGTAACTCAGCGGCGCGACACGTCACGATGACTGCCGATCCTCTCCACGGGTATTTCATATGTGATCCTCTTATCAGATCCTATAGCTACCCACCTACCAATCGTGTAGGTAGTCTGGCTCACAATCTGGGATTAAAATCTGAGCATGATCCAACACGTTGAGCCTCATCCCGCTGCGTCGTGCTTACTGTGTAATGGTTATAGGACCTCCCCATGTACCTAATGTCGGCATCAGGTAACTGAACATTGGTATACCTACCAGGGGTTCATCCGTGGGTATTTATGAAGTATAGTCTCCATCCGACTATTCAACCCCCTGCTTAAGTATTTCCTAGATAAAGATGAGTCAAGAGAACGGTCTGGTGTCTCGGATCCCTAGTCTATGCCGTCTTACAACCTTAGGATTCTGTCCATCATTCTCCGCAGAGCTTCAGGGCCTTCCTAAGTTGTAGAGATGCATAGGTAGTATCACCGAGATTGAGGCCAAAGGACGGACGTCCGAGAAGGGATGTGATGTGATGTGATGTAGGGTTGGCCTTAGATGAAGGGCCGTGGGAGTTCTGATGTAGCATAAGACCTCATGAAATACTTCGTATCTGGGTATGGTCAAGAGACTCCTCGTGATAGTTTCCTCGTGATAGTTACCTCCAAGAAAGACTACTAGGTAGGCTATTGGTTTCCGTATCCCTTCAATTCTAAGTATGGAGACTGTTCACGATCAGATACAGTCCCTTATTACTAAGCTGTCAGTACAATGTTCCGCCAATCATGGATTCGGGTTCATGAGTCCCTCGATCTACGATACTGCCTGGGTATCTATGGTGAGGAAACCGAATAACGCTGGTGAGGATGAATGGCTTTTCCCCGAGTGTTTCGAGTTCATCTTGGCCAGTCAATTACCGTCCGGTGCTTGGGAATCGTACGCCTCACATGTTGACGGTATCTTAAACACATCAGCTTCATTGCTAGCGTTAAGGAAACGTCTGGAAATATGTCCCGGAAACTTAGACTGGGAAACAAGAAGCAAGCGGGCTGAAATCGCGCTGCGGGAGCTCCTTGATAAATGGGACGCTGATTTAAGCGATCAAGTTGGGTTCGAGATGCTGATCATCCAGCTTGTCTCCCTGCTAGAAGGTCGCGGGATTGTGTTGGAGTTTCCACAGCTCAATGCCTTGAAGATTCTTCGTAATGCTAAGTTAAAACGGCTACCCCTGTCATCAGTCTGCAATGCGCCCTCCACGCTATATCATTGTTTGGAAGGCCTCATAGGACATATCGACTTTGAACAAGTACGCCATAGGCGCGACGCAAATGGGTCTATGATGGGATCTCCATCATCAACAGCAGCTTATCTCATGCATTCCTCAGTATGGGATGATGAGGCGGAAGCGTATCTCAGGAACGTCTTGAAGTATGGTACAGGTAACGGGAATGGGAGTGTTCCGTCTGCATGGCCAACTAGGATTTTCGAAACAACTTGGGTATGTGTGCTTTGAATTGATATCCTAAACATGCGGATGTTTATTAATTCTTTTGATTAGGCAATTACAACCTTGGCAGAATCCGGAGTCGAGATTGATAGTATAGAGACGTGTAAAGTTGGTGACTTTTTACAGAAAGCTATGTCAGAACAGGAGGGCACTCTTGGATTTGGTAATGGACTTGCTCCCTGAATCGTTAGCCGTACTTACTAATAAGAACCTGAAAGATATTGGCTCTTTTCCGGATGCGGACGACACAGCTAAGGGGATTATGACCCTTCGCATACTAGGGGAAAGTCCTGGCTTCGATGGTCTTATCGAAATGTTTGAAGCCGAAGAACACTTTAGAACCTACCATGGCGAACGTAACCCAAGTTTTAGTGCCAATTGCAACGTTCTCACTTGTCTCTTGACGGCAGAAGATCCAACCCTGTATATCTCACAGATCGCAAAGATAACCAGGTTTCTTACGACTCAAGTCTACCAAGATGGTGTCATCGATAAATGGGTAAGCAACTTGTCATTATATCTCATGGAATTCGCCAATAAGTCTGACGATGAAACTCAAAGCATCGCAAAGAACTATATTGGATGATGCTCCTTACTCGAGCTTTCGAGGTCCTGAGTTCGAATGAGGAATTACTTCGGAAGCTCGTTGACCTTGTTCCTGACCTGAGGGAAGATATTCCCATGGTCACTATTCACCTACTTATCAGGATCCTCAAGTATCAGCTAGCCGATGGCTCATGGGAACAGCTTTGTGAAGTGACGTCGTACGCGATCCTAGCACTGATATCACTAGCCCGGCTGCCGTGGATCCAGCAAATCGACCTAGGCGAAATCACCGCAGCTATAGCCAGGGGAAAGTCTTTTCTTTTGTCGAAAAGAACCCAGTGGGCCAAGGGCCACTATCTCTGGATTGAGAAAGTCACGTATGCCTCTGATGTACTCTCCGAAGCATACTGTCTGGCAGCGGTATCTGCCCCTGTTCCTCCCGTCGCATTACCGCTGGAATCGGAGGCGTCTGCATTTACCTTTCCAGGCAAAAAGATGCGCGTCATGATGAAAAAGACCGCCGAATTGATTGCGCGCACACCCTTGCTTTCGAACACAGAGCCATACGTCCTGCGCGCTGCTGAGATGCAAGCATGCTACGCGCTTGCCGCGCTCCAGAGGAGACCACTTAGTATATTTCCACGCACAGCTAAAGGAGAAGATAAATATCTGTGTATTATTCCATTGGCATTCACAGCCTGCGCCGCAGTTCAAGGGTGTGGAGTAAGCCTTTCTGTATTGCGAGAGATGATGGTTTTGTCGATTTTGAATTTCTTGGCTGATGAGTACATGGAGGGGGTGATAGAAAAGGGGTTTGTTGGGAACCTAGGCGAAGTAAGGAATCTTATTCAACAGGTATTTGTCAACAATTCCGAAGCTCCTTGCACCAACGGAACTTCGAACGGGATTGTTAATGGCGAGGAACTGTCGCTAGCAGAAGAGCATAGCCACGAGAGATCCGGAGATCGAGCGTCGCTGCACGATGTCAATAAAGTCATACGCAAATTCGTATCGCATATCCTACATCACCCTACAGCGTTATCCGCCCCAAGAAGCTACCAGACACGGTTAGCTTTTGAGCTGGAAACATTCCTTCTGGCTCATCTTGCTCATGCCGAGGACAATCATCGGTTCGGCCATCAATACGGTGGCTTATATAGTACCAATGGCGAAAACGGTCTCACGGCGAATGGAAGTGGAATGCTTAATGGAGACAAGGCGAAAAGCCAAGGCAATCCGATAATGCAGTATGTCGAGCCCAAGCGGACGTTCTATAACTGGGTACGCAGCACATCGGCCGACCACACGTCTTGCCCTTTCTCTTTCGTCTTTTTCAATTGTTTAATACACGCATTCCCGGGTCCTGAGAATGCGGATATCTATGCTTCGGCGAAAACTGCTTACCTGACCGAAGACCTCTGCCGTCACCTTGCAAGTCTATGTCGCATGTACAATGACTGGGGGTCGCTGCGCCGCGATGCGGATGAGTGCAACCTGAACTCTGTCAACTTTCCTGAGTTCCACTCGACCCCATTACTGCCATCGCAGTCGACGGGAAAGGAAGAATGCGCGAAAGTTGACGAGAAGAGAGTCAAATCCGAGCTATTATGGATAGCTGAGTACGAGCGGCGCGGGCTTCAGACTTCGCTGGCGCTCTTGGAGGAGGAACTTGGAAGCCGTGGTAAGCGCACAGTAGATGCGCTGAAGCTGTTTGTCAATGTGACGGATCTGTACGGACAGATCTACGTGTTAAAGGACGTCGGTACGCGTACTAAATAGATGAGAAGCAGTAGGGTGCTGACCTAGGATGGGCCTATTATTTTAGCTCGTCATATGATTTGGTAATACCGAGTTATGTGGGTTTTTTTTCTTCAGTTTTCTTCTTCCCCCATATAAGCCGTGTCAAGTTCGCGGAATACTCAACCGAGCACTCATCTCCTAATACTGAGGGTCCCATAGCTCAGTTGGTTAGAGCGTCGTACTAATATCTTCCAACCCTAGGATAGGGAAATATTAAGTAAATGCGAAGGCCGAGAGTTCAAGCCTCTCTGGGACCAATAGTTTCTTTTTTGAATGTGTTGAATGTGTATTTTCCACGTTTATTTTGCAGGATGTTTGTGTTAAAATAATTCCCACTGACGGCCTAATCTCTTATCAACCTTTTTTTCGCTATCGCAGTAAACCCGATATATCCGGTGCTAGTCTATCCTAAACCGCGCTATCTCCGAAGGGCCGCAAGAAACCACGCTGGCGGGGCACCACGATAACTCGGACTAGGTATCTCAGCTAGGGCCGGCGGAGCTCCCTTATCGCCTGTGGACTATCTCATCTATGGTTAAGGGGGCTGCTACATTGATGCAAATGCCACTATCCACCTTCTAAGCCGACTTGGGCTTCCGCAGCTAGTGGTTGAACATTGATTTCCGTTAACAAAAACCGCCGGGCAGAACAATTGTTCAGTTCAGGCAACAAGAAATATCTCGCGTCCAATATGGCTGTAAGTCAGGTGGGATGGATTGGCTTAGGGTCAATGGGGATTGGCATGTCCAAGAACCTCCAGAAGTATCTCTTACAGTCCAATGCGCCTCCTTTGGTTTATACCAACCGTACATTGGCTCGCGGTGATTCTTTGAAAGAAATAGGGGCTATCCCTGCAGGGAGCGTTAGCGAGGTGGCTATGAAAAGTGATATCATCTTTTCATGCGTACGAGTTTCTCACGTCCCCGGTGGCCATGGTTTTACTGAATTTCTCTTTAGGTCAGTAACGACGAGGTTCTTCATCAAGTTGCCGACGAAATTGTGTCGTCCGGAGACATAAGTAAAAAGGTGTATGTCGACTGCTCGACTGTTCATCCAGACACGTCAGTGGCCGTTTCCAACAAAATCTCCCAAGCCGGAGGGGAGTTCGTCTCAGGTGAGCGTGATGCACTCTCCTAGATGTAAGAGATGCTAACATTTTGCAGCTCCCGTTTTTGGTGCGGCGCCCATGGCCGAGGCCGGTAAACTCATCTTTGTCACTGCTGGACCCTCGACCGCGATGTCAAAGATCGCCCCCTATCTCAATGGTGTGATGGGGCGTTCTGTTATTGAAATGGGCACCGATGTTTCGAAGTCCAGCCTGCTTAAGATCGCTGGCAACATCTGTGTCATTTCTTTCATGGAGGTTATCTGTGAAGCTCACGTTTTTGCCGAGAAGACAGGGCTCGGCTCTGATATTCTTGAAAAGATGCTGGGTGATATGTTTGGACCAGTTCTAGAAAGCTATTCGAAGAGGCTAACCACTGGTGCCTACATACCACCACCTGGTGGGAAAGCAGGCTTCGATGTCCAACTCGCTATTAAGGACGCCAAGCACGCATTGAATTGCGCCCAAGAAGCTGGGACTAGGCTTGATGTTAGCGAGGTTGCTCTGAGTCATCTGGAGAAAGCAAGGAATTTGATGGGCGACAGGCCACTGGATAGTAGCTCGATATATGGTGCTATAAGGACCGAATCAGGCCTTGATTTTTTAACAGATCTTTGCAAGAAGCGAGATGGTAAACCATAGAAGTCAGCAGAACACAATTTAGGGATAAATCCATGGAGACCCTATCTAATTGACTACCTACCTATATTAACACCTGAACTTCTTCAAAATTAATAGGGGTAAAACACCCTATAATACAATGTCTTCCCCACTATTCTCCTCTGGCAACCTCCGGCCTGAAAATCGCCTGTCCTGTCTACCTCCCTGATTGAAAATAAGAATTAAATATACTCCTATAAGGTGGATGTGATAATGTGGGTATCGATTTTTACCTACTTCTTTGTCACTCTCCTAATCGGATTTAAAATATCAAATTGTTACGTGTTTTGAAGTGAGTTGGAATGAAAGCTCATAGTCACAAGTGGAATTTGGAGGTGGTGACTTTGGTAGGCAAACTCGTTAACTTGTTCGTGTCTAAGATCAACATTGTCAGGGGCATAAGTGGAGCAGGCCTAGCAGGAGGTCCGCAGGACCTCCTGCTAGGCAAGCGCGAGTTAGCAAGGTATAAGAAGGGGGCTTCGCCCCCTTCAACCTTAGGAGAAGTAGCGTTATTAGTTCATCTCATACTTGCTATATACTAGCAGCGGCTACGCCGCTCCTTTGCACTCACTTTACGCTTGACTTAGGGACCTATTACTGACAAACATCTAATGCTTCCCCCTGATACCTATTACTTTGCTATGCTTGAACCACTAGATTTTGCTATCCAAGCCCATCTTACTCCCATCGATGATCTCATGAGTGGCCTCACAACTACTTCCAGCTTCAGCGGCATCGACAGCGTCAATGATATCGGTGTGCTTCTTAGCATGATGTCGTTCCAGATACAGCATTACTGTGACCCATATACCCATAGCCGCACCTACACCAATTAAAGCGCACATTCCTTTCTATTTAGTAGTTAGTATCCACAACAAAGATATAGTACCTGCATGGAAATGGTGATATGTTACTCACAGTGAACTTTGGCGCATCATTGGCTCTGTAGAATATAAGTGGCCACCAGGCCTGGAATAGATTTCCTGAAAAGTTCATACATGCGATGATAACTGCTCGGAGGGTCGGTGGCTGGTGTCGCATAGAATCATTCGCCCATGCGAAGAAAGTCGCTTGGATACAGTAGATAGTGCCGGACCAGTAGTATGCCGCAAACTGTCCTGCGGTTGACATATTCGGAACGAGCAATAGGATTCCAACACAGATTGCCGTAATCGAAACAAAGTATCCAGAAGACCATCTTCTTCCAAGGATATCCGTGCCAAAAGCCCATAGAAGCGTGCTTACAATTCCAACAGCTTGTACACCAGTAGGGTAGTTATTAAGCTGATAGACGGTATCTGGTCCTTGTTAGTATTCCGTTGAGAGCTTCAAGACTATATCTTGAATTGGAATGAATGGTGTATAAAACGAGATAAGAATAGGAATTTCACGCACTATAAACCCATTAGTAACGTCTCGGGAGCGAAGAGGAAATATAATGGCAAATATTTCAAGAGTTATGTACTAACCAATGTCTTTCTGGGTGACCTTGCAAATACAGATTCATAAGCGACTGGTTTCCCAGAGACTCCGAGCAATTGCCAAGGATCCATAGAAAGCAGAAGCCATAGAAGTACCATGACGTAAATACTTGTTTGATGAAAGCAGTGCTCAGTATGCGAGCTCCTTCAACAACTGGAACGCGTGCCTTTGCTAATTGTCGTTCCTCCTCGTTGAAGTAGACAGCGGTCGTCGTGGCGGGGACATCGGGGAAAAGAAAGTAACCGTAAATGGCAACTGGAATGGTGATTATTCCGTCGATCTAATCTGCAGTAAGTATCTAAGTAGAGCTGGGTAGAGAATTAGATGATAGAGCGAGTCGAGGAAGTACTAACAATATAGAGCCATCTCCATCCCTCGAGCCCTGCAAGTCCATTCATCGAGCTGTAAATTCCGGTTTGCAAAAACCCGCCGAACATACCACCAGCTAAGCCGCTTGCGGTGAAGAGAGCACTTCTTTTACCAAGCTCCTTCTCAGTGTACCAAGAGCCTAGGATGTAATGAGTTCCTGCAAAGATGCAAGACTCTGCGTATCCCTGGAAAAAGCGAATCGCCATTAAGTGCTGGGGTCGTTTAGCAGCGGCGTTGATCATCGTGAGAGAAGCCCAGACGAGGATCATGAATGGAAAGAACCTTCCCGGTTTGAAGTATGTGAGAAGCATATTGTTTGGAATGATACCCCTGGAGAGCCACACTTTAGCCAACGACATATTCATCGGAACATAGCAGAGAGGAATAATCCTACAATAGATATCCCACGGAGTATAAGGTGGTAACCTCCGTGAGCTGGGCTCCTACGAAGTGTAGATCTTCTTTCATGCCGGAAACGTATGCCTGGGAGACACTCGCCCGGTCTAGATAATTCCTATTCATAGTTTAGTAATTTCCAGGTAGAAGGTTTGAAAACCAACTATGTGCTTACATGAAATATGCTAGACAGCAGAACGTCAGGATGAAGAAATCCATCTTGAAGATCAACTTCTTCTCCAACGCCGAGATAGGTCCCCCGCGGAAGTATTCCGATATCCTCGAAAGAGCAGCCATGACGTCGATACTCCGTTACGGTAAGACGCCTAAGCAACGAGGACAATGGCGTGTTGGACGAGACTTGGAGTATCGATTCAATCTATCTATCATGAAAGATATGTACAGAAGCTGACCCACGAAGCAGTTGCGTCAACCTCAAACAAGTCCAATGTCTGTCTTATAAACATTGATATCAACAACATAAGGCTTACGTTGATCTGAGCGTTGATTTGGTGGTGCTCCAATCTAACAAGCTAGTCCTACTTGAGAAGATTACGAGCTGCTAAAGCTATCTAAGCATCTAAGTTATCGCCAGCCGTTCCAGTTACGGATAATACGGCGTCTCGCTCAGGTAGCTCTCGTAAGGGCTTAGATACTCCCCATTAATGCGAAATAGGTAGATAAAACCCCCCACGAGGACGCGACATTATTGCAACGAGCCAATGACAGCTCATACAAACGGGAATTCTATCCATACTTGATAAGCCAAGACATCCGCCATCCCCGTCAACCCCAGGGTCGTGCGTGAGCTAAGATACGACGAAGTGGGGACATCGGCCATGGCCCTGGGAGGGAGCTCCTCTCGTTATCACCTCTTCCCAGCTCTTACCTCGCATTATATACAACTATGGGTAAATAACCTCCTATTGCTACTATTCTTGAGTGAGGCCTGTAGTTAATGTAGCCCTTTATTCCCGGACAGCATCGCCGGAGTTATCTCAACCCCTTGATCTGCTCCGGGGCCTAGGTTCCGATATGTCTCGTAAGAGTTGGCAATCCATGCCTGTTTTAAGATACTGCTTGAGGTAAGGGTGAACAGAAATACAGAGATGCCATGTATCCGTCTCGTTAGTATGTCTCGCCATGCGAATCTTAAGCACAACGTACCTAGGTAGCTAGAATGTAAAGGGAAATAGGGAAAAAGGAAAATAATTCCATAGAGCTTCTAGCAACTATCCTAATTATTGGTATAATACGTTCATATATCATATTGAGATTTCTTGGCTGTGCAAATATAGAATAGCATAATGCATCAATGGCCTAGAAGATAGGGCGCTTTTCTAAGTAGGCCCACTATACTCGCCCAACAATGCATCAAGTCTTCAAGACTGGAACATAGACATCCCTTGGAACGTTGTCAAACTTCCCCAGACTCTTGTGACCTTCAGGATCCGGATACTCGCCGGCAAAAAAGTCCGCATGTTTCGTAGGATCAGCAGGACGGTCGATATCATACTCAAAACGCTTCCAGCCATGTTTCCGAGCATCCAAGTAATCTGCCATGCAGAAAACTCTATCATCGATGGGCTTATTAGCCCCCATAGATTCCAAGAGAGGCGATCCTTCGATCGGTACTAATTCCCGATCATCGGCTGGTCGAGCGAAGTAGATGACTCCAATGCGTCTCAAGTGGCGTTGGTCAGGGGGCGGCTGGACAACTCTGTGGATGGTAGCCTTGAACAGACCACCGGTAAGGCGCTCTGTGGCCTCGCCGAAGTTGACAACTAGGCCCTTAGGTTGATGCTCAACCCAACGATATCTCCCATCGGTATGATCTAGGACTTGCAGCGCTGCAATGGGCTGCGAGAAGAGGAAAGTCCAAGAACCCCAATCCGTGTGACCCGACAGAAAGATGTCGCGATACTTCTCGCTCTCCTCTTTAGGACGAGGTTCGCACATCATGTAGCGAATGTATTCGGTCTTAGAACCACCGGGTGCGTGAGTGGCTTGCACCACTTCGTCGGGAACTTGAAGTATCATGGCCATCAAGGTAAGCATCTTTTTCAAGATGTTGGACCGAATGAACTGCATGACCTCTTGGGTTTCTTTTAGGTGCGGTCGCAAGATCTCAGGGTGTGGTCGATTCTTCGGGTCATGGACAAGGATATTGTAATGATCGAGTTGCTTAGGAAAGCCACCCTTGTGGCCAAGCGGGCCAGAAGGCTTAAACCCAACATAAAGACCTCGAGCGTCTTCCTCTGGGGTTACTATCATCTAAGTGAGTAACATGAACACTTTAGAATGCCAATAATTCTTACCTTCGTAGGGAACCTTCTCCTCCGGCGGCAGAGTCATAACAGCATTTGCGATCTGCATCTGCCGCTCGTAGACTTCGTCCGAGATACCATGGTTTGTAAGTGTCAAGAAGCCGTATCCAGTCGCGGCTTCATAGAGCTCTCTAGCAAGCTCTTCTCGTCCAACCGGATCGTCGAATTTAGAAAGGTCAAGATTGACAAGCTTGACGTAGTCCACTATAATGATTCGTGTTAAGAGTGAATACCTTGAGCTTGCGCTCTCGTGAAGGTAAATTACTTACAGGGCTCCTTGGTAGGGGCAGCTGGGGTGTAAGGAGGCAGAGACATGGCAGGAATATACGCTAGAATACCAGTTCTAGTGGCTGCTATGAATTACAAATCAAATGATAGTCTGATGGTTAAGGTATCTTTCTATCTTATCTAGATATTGGAGATATCTTTAGCTAGATATACTCGGCAAAGCGGCTCGTTGTTTATTGCTATTTTCCAAGAAGGTATCGGCTACCTCATGGGTTGGTAACGATGCAGTTCGAATACCAACCGCATCCATCACATTGATGTTGCACCACATACTCTACTGCGTGGACAAGGTTGAAGTTGCAATGAGCTCCAATTCTCATCGGAGACATGACAGGGATGAGAGGAGCTCCTCCTGATGATGGATTGTTATGGGGAAGCTGGAATCGTGTCCACTCTCCAAATTTAGAAACCAGATAGCGGATCATCCCCGTTCAATTGTCAAGGAGTAACAGACCATCTAAGACTTTGGAACTACATCACGGCCACCAAGTCCTAGCAGGTTCATTACATAAGTACCTACATACCTAGCTCCCTGTTTAAATTGAGAAGAGTCTTGGTTCTTTAATCCCACTCCTGATTATAAATACCATAATGACTATGCACCTATGAATGCATGTTATTTAAGACAACATATTCCGGTATCATACTTCGGTATCATCAGCATAGACTTTCGTCCGGTATCAAGGTCGAAGTTAGGGTAAGGGTTAGGGTTGGGGTTATAATACTGCATTCAACCCCTTTTATGATAATGTATTAGAATCCTCCATCCAGCAGTCTACTATAATCAGTAAGGGAAAGGTAATGGTTCTTGAAATATATCTACGTAGGTAACTAGGTATTCTAAGCGCAGATAGGTATATTATTTTTATGACTTCATCAGGCCTGCAACGATGCGTACCTACGGATCCTTGGCTAGATTCATCCCGTAGACCCTAGCTAGTACTATCTCCTCGTCTCGCATAAGCATATCTTCATCTTCCCCACAACTCTACCCCGCGATGTCTTTACCCCTGGATATCCTGGGTACCACGATGGAACCCTACCTATCTAGATTAGTTATCTCAGTTATCTCTGAGTAGTAGCTCTCGCTCTACTATCGATGTCGTCGTCGAGCGCTGTTAAGGTTCATAGCTCATACCTACATATCGCTTCTTTCTTCAAATGTAGTATCAATGGAGGTCTGATCTGATAACTTTATTATCTCGTTCAACGCGGGAAGCCTCTCAAGACGCACAAAGCCATGGAAATGAATTGCACGACTGGCGAAAACACCAAGCCCTTCTCTTGCCCCGCTTGTCCAAGTCGCTTTACAAGACAAGTATGCCGTTTCTCATTTTTACTGAAAAGAAGTCTCTAATAGCCACATAGGAAAATCTTAATCGCCATACTGCGTCAGGTATACGAGCACCGTCTAGGTGATGTTGTTACATCTGATTCTGACACATATTAAGTTCATAGAAAATCAAACAGAAGGCCATTTCCTTGTCCGCAGTGCGACGTAAGCTTCTCGAGAAGGTTCGAATCAGTCTACGAGATGAGATTTGAACTTGAACTAAATAAATATGCAGCGATCTCAGGAAAAGACATATTAGAAAAGCCCATGGACAGCAAGTTGCAGCGGAGCAAACATCTCAAAATGGCGCTCACCAAACGGAATTCATGTCACCAAGTCAAGGGAACTTGCAACCCGCACAATTATGCCAAATAGACCCGACGGCTGTTGGCGAGAAGTCGTATTCACAAACTCCAAGGGGAGATACTGTAATGAACCGTGGATCCCTATTCTGTTCATACTCTAGCTTACCCATGTGTAGACTTTGACTCCAGCCTCAGATGTATTCTCACTACAGAACATCTCATGGTTGTTTAGACTTCCGCAATTCGTGACGGCTTTTTTCGAGAGGTTTTATCCTTCTTTTCCAGCGATACATCAACCAACTTTCGACGTAACTATCGCTAAAGAGCCGATGTTGCAAGCCGTTGCTTGCGTCGGGGCGATGTATCACTCACCCGGTAGTAACTATAACATTAGTTTAGCCCTATTTGAAGCTGGTCTTCGATCCCTAGACAAATATGTAAGTAAGATATTCTCAACGAAAAACCATATCATTTTGAGCCTGACAGATAACGACAGGTCCGCGAAGATCGTTCTCGATTTAGAGAGATTTGGGTCACTCAAGCATACCTTCTTTTTGAATATTTTGCTTTCTATAGCTGTCGAGACGATCTGTTCCCCACCGCAATTAGAATCCATCGTAGAGTTGTCGATTCCGCCAGGCAATACCAGTTACTACAAGATGGATCACTATCGGGGGGCTATGGCAGTGGGTTATCGCCAGCTCAGAACGATATTCACGTTACCTCACCATCCTCCGAACAAGCCTGGAAGCAGTTCATTGAAAGTGAATCAAGAAAGCGGTACGCAAATAATCACATGAAGCGATGAAAAACATACCACTGACTGCCTGGTAGTACCATGTATTGCCTGTACTATCTCGATGCCCAACTTTCAGTTTGTTGCAACGTAAGACCGTTGCTTACGGCTCTCGAGGTCAAATATGAATGCAAGTACAGTTCCTTAACAAGCTCATGTCAATATTGCTGGTTTGTTTCTATTTTACCCGTTAGTGACGATGCATGTCATGTTTACTAACACTGAAAGATGTAGTGCCATGTAGAGATGATGTTTGGTCTGCTCCCACGGAAACCGCATGGAGTATGCTCACGCAAGCGCCGGAGTTCTCATTTAACGAAGAAGATGATGTTGACGCAAACGGCGAGCCCCGACCCGCACACGGGGACCTTTACGAAACCCTAATGCACCTGATGAACCCAGATCCGACAGCCCGTCCACTCGGACTACTTTGGTATTCATCATTCGCCTCTCTCATGCTGGTCATCCAAATTTTAATGATGACTCGAGAGTTGACCCTAGGTAGTACTTTTCTGTATAACAATGTTCGATGCAATGACACACGACATGGCCTGTCCATCATCATGGAGGCCAATCGAGCGCCGATTATGCAGGCGCTCAACAACTTAGCAGAACTGATGCCCAAGCCTAGTTCCAGAACCTGGCCGATTGTAGCCGGTAGTGATCCTATAATTGCTCACACGGGCGCGGCTCTTTGGCATCCTGTGTGGATGGCTTGGTACTACACCGTAATCTCCTTAACACACCAAGATGCGCTGCTTACGAGCGGAATCGTGGAGTATAGTCTGCCCACGGCTATTTCAACTGCTTGGGAGCTAGGCAAACCTCGCGCCAAGGCGCATCGTGATATCTACGAGGACCGTGACGTCGTGCGCGTAGCGGATAACCTCGAATACGTTATTAATATATTGACAACACCTCCTATGGGATCCGTGATGCGAGACTCCATAGGGACCACTAACGGCTCCCCATGCATTGAGGACCCATTTGTAACTATGCTCGGCTTCAAAGCCTGCATGATGGGATGGCGTGTCATACGGCTTATGGTCTTGGGACTAGAGCAACCACTCATCCACGGTTCGGAGATCTTGCGGCCGAACATATACTCGGTGTCAGCTCAAGTCGTCCTCGCGAAGGTCATGGAAGCGTTAAGCACAGGATGCGGCGGTTCACCGCAGGGGTTTGAGAAAGGTCCGTTCAACGATGTATACCGTGACGAACTTGGGACTATTAGCGCTACCGAAGCGAAATATCTGGAATGGATGGAACGGACTTTCGCTATGAGGGATGTTTGGCCCTTAGGAGAATGGGTGGTTGCAGTATTCAACGAAACCCGAGAGGAGGGAACATGATAGTGGGGATTGACGATGCCAGAAGCATGTGCCTCTCTCTATTTGAATCTTAGATCCTAGCGTCTTTTTATGAATCCTTGAAATCTTTCAACGACATGTAGTGAGGAAAGTTTTCGTTGCTAGAGTTTAATAAACACAGGCATAAGAACTTGAGCCCTAAGGCATGAGAGCCCATGATAAGAAGAAATATGATATGTAGGCAAGAGTATTATATTGAGAATATTCCCCCTCTCTCTCGCTTGAATCTTTATAAACTGCTATGATCTGGTTCAAAAGTTTCGCACATTTACGTACTCATACTAGGTTGAACCCGTATATTTTGCATCATGGTCACACCGTGTGGCGCCTCTATTTAGTGGCTGAGCTGCCTGAGCCATAGCGTTTATCCACTAAAAATTGGCGGATCTATCCAAGCCCAGTACCACGAGCTTCGCCCGAAGCCGCCAAAGCCAACGGCTTCCGCCGTGGCCTCCAAAACTACGATTGTCAATCCCGAAGGCGGAATATCCATCTCCTTTACCGCCTTGACGAAATGTCACTGGCGGGGCCGGCCCCTTCCCCGCCGTAATTCCCTACCGGCGCCGCAACTACAGCCTATGACCCGCTCGCAAGGGGAATTTACGATTACCTAATACAGTTATAGACACTTTACCCGCAGATTTAGAGCTTAGAGGCAAAAGACGGCATACTGGTTAGATAGATATATAATTTCTTGCAAGCCTATCTAGCTCACCGCAGTCTTATAGCCCATCATAATCGGGGTATGTGCCGCCCGGCTCATCTCGAATGACCTGCTTGCCAAGTATGCGATCGAATATCCCTTGAGGGTCATTCCTGATACGCATGTAGTAGTCATGCACAACCGGATGCTTCTCCGCCCAGCTCTTGGTAAATACCTAGATTCGTCTGTCAGAAACGCCCGCGAATCGGCCAAATAGAATGTACTTACGTATTGGTAGCCCCTTGCTAGACCGGAGACAACGAACAGGTCTGCTAAAGTCAAATTGTCTCCTACGAGGTACTGTTTCCCCGTGATTTCCTTTTCCACGGCGCGAACAGTAAGTTCGCAGCCTTCCTCTAGTTTCGCTAAGATCTCTGGGCTAGATGGTGCCCGGCCAATGACGGGGTTGATCCAGGCCATGATTGGCGGTAGAAGCTCATAGTTTGTGAATGAAGCCCAGCGGAGAGCCGTAGTCTCTTCCTGCAGGTTTGTACCGCAGAGCTTAGTGTTGGGATCTTGCTTCGCCACTGCCGTACTGTTTAGAATACCTAGCCGTTGCAATGAAGATTGGGAGATTTAGGGACACCTACGGAACCAAGCCACTGCTATGCTCTCATAGACGCAGAACCCGTCCGCAGTCTCAAGAGCTGGTACCTTTCCTGTGTGGAACTTAGACAGGTACACATCGCCAACTCCGCCCTTCTCAGGGTAAACCTTGATGGGGAAAGCGTTGACAATTTCGACATCCAGCTTGTTATACTCCGCAACGAATAAGACCATCGTTGAGCGAGGCGCTTTGGGGTATGTGTAAAGCTTTCCGAACGACATGTTGGCGGTGTCTTCTGATGATTGGCGATTGATTGTTACAACTTGTCTACCTAGTTGAGATGTGCCTGGGAGGAAGTGGGTGAGATGGAAATGTTCTGTTGGAGAGAGCTTATGAATAGGCAGGAATGTTGCATTCCGAACAAGATATCTTCAGATAATCTATCTAATAGCTACTAATGTCTATGAGGAGCTCAATCGCGCCATGATTCAAAGCCGATAAACGGCGATAAAGAATAATGCATTGGTACGTGCTTGCATACGTGATTCAGGAGCTTTCTCGGAATGACAATTAGCGACGCGGGGAATTGTTTGAATAACAGTATCATCTACTCTGATACCAATAGGGGCAAGACAGATAGCGGCGTTGTGACCAGTTGCATAATACTCGTAATCATAGACTATGGAGTGTGTGTCGTTGGAGGAGGTGGGAGGAGCTCCGTCAAGGTGGAGCTCCACAATCCCTACGAGGAATACCGGCTAATGCACCTTGCGATAAACCACTATTTCCGGATCCTAACCGGATTGAGATCATGGATCCATGCCAAGGAAGGAATTAAGAGACTGCTCCGTAAAGAGAGAAAAAGAAAAACACCACGAAATGGCAATCAACAAGTAATTAATGCGCGGATCTGATACAATACATGCGAAAAGAAGTTCGTTGCATGTAAAATAGGTTCAATGGGAACATCGTAAGTAACTTTCGCCTCTCGTTATGACCCAAACTAACCTATTTTCCAGTCGCGTATTAGTTACCGGGGCAACCGGGCTTGTTGGCTCTCATGTAGTCGATAACCTATTGAATAGGGGCATCAAAGTTCGAGCGGCTGCTCGATCGAAGCAGAAAGCAGATCTCTTTTTAGCTTCAAGACTCAAATTCGCTTCGCTTCTAGAATTCTTCCTAATAGACGATCTTACTACGCCCGGCATTTTTAACGATGCAGTGGTGGGTGTTGACGGGATCATTCATATTGCCAGTGTGAGTTGGGGGGCTTCTCTGATTTCAGCTTTCTTGAGGCTAACCACAAGATACCGATGCATAAGCCTCTGAATTATAGTGTTGACGACTATGAGAAAGATCTCATACAACCTGCTATTCAGGGTGTTCGCTCTATACTTCAAGCAGCTACGCAGTCTGATGTGAAGCGCATAGTAATCACTTCATCTTTTGGTGCTGTGCTAGACATGGCCAGAGAAGAGAGTCTCCCTTGGGTCTATTCATCTAATGATTGGAATCCTATAACACTCGAAGAAGCTATTGCTCCCACTGCAACTCCCCAAGATGCCTACCGTGCATCGAAAAAGATGGCCGAGAAAGAGGCCTGGGGGTTTGTTGAGGATAAGAAGCCCCAGTTCGACCTTGTAACCCTGTGTCCATCAATGGTATTTGGACCGCTAGCCAATGCTCCATCATCAATACAAGCACTTAACGAATCCAATAAACTCCTATGGAAAGTTGCGTCAAGCGGTGTGTCTGCGCCATTGCCCCCTTGCCGATTCAATTTTTGGATAGATGTCAGGGACCTAGCAGAAATACACGTCCAATCACTCCTAAATGAGTCATGCGGGGGTAAACGGTATATGCCTGTCGCTCCAGAGCCATTCACATACCAGATGGCATCAGAGATCATGAAGGAATCTTTCCCGAAATTGCAGGGCAAAATCTCATCAGGAACGCAGGAGGTCAAAACTCACATCTCAGCTGACATGGAATTGATGATGAAGGATTTCCCCACAATCAAGTACAAGACGTTCAGAGAGACTGTAGTTGATTTCATAGATCAGATTAGTCCTTTGCTATAAATTAAACAAGCATGAATTTTCGATCATTGAACCTAGGTATTCCGTCGTCCAAGTATGAGTGATAGATAAAATGGTTAACCAAGTCCTCCCGTTTGTTCAATGAATCACAGGAATCTCAGCTTGTTTCTCCGCCGTTTATCTCGTTTATCTTTCGATCAAAATCCTTATTGAACTGCATCGCTACCAAGTTGCAAGTGTAACATTGGATGTCATTATATTTGTAAATCTCCTCATAAGGACTGTTCTAATTCAACAATGTGTCGTAAAATGTCATCCTTCTCTCCAGAAAACGCATTGCTCTCGACTAGTTTGAGCGGTCTTCTACTTCTTCCACCTCCGTATTGGTAATACTTTTCGAGGGCCGCTTTCAAACCCGAGACACCTAACCTAACAAGAACCCAATCTGTCTCGCTCAGTTGTGTCTGCAATTCCTGGGCTGCCGCCAGATTTCCTGCATCGTAAAGTTCCAACAGTTTCACATGTACCTTGGGCACAAAATTCACTGCTGCGCCAATAAGCCCATTTGAGCCAGCTACCAGCCCATGCAGGAAGAATTCCGATTTTCCGGCAAACGCTGCAAACGGTGTCTTAATACGTTTATCGTGAGCAACTCGATGTAATTTCCCGAGATTTCCGCATGTCAACTTGCATCCCACAATCTTGTTCGGGTTTGAAGATGCAAGATTCGCTATTAGGTCAGAGTCTAGGTCAATTCCACCGGTTACGGCCGGAAAGTTGTACAACAGGATTGGAATGGGAGATGCAGTTGCGACATCCGTGAAGAACTTCTGGATAGTAGGTGGCTGCATTGCCCCGACTGAGATACAGGTTGAAAGACGGCGTTAGCAATTGGAGGTTTGTTTGTAGATGTCCTCGACTAGAACAAAGTGAACTTACCCCAATAGCTTGGACTCAGAACAAGAGCATAATCGGCGCCTGATTCTTGCGCTTCCTGGCAGAGCTGGATCGTCTCTCGGGTGCTTTGAGCACCGCACCCAGCAATTATAACAGCATCGGGTCTACCTTTCTGTTTCAGAATAGCTGCAGCAGTTGAGATGACCTCCTTTCTTTCCGAATGAAGCAGATGTGGCGCCTCTCCGTTAGATCCTTGAATCACCAACCCGGCCACACCAGCCTCAGCAAGGCGCGTAACGTGAACCTTCAAGGTTTCGATGTCTAGAGTCTCGTCTTCGAAGAAAAAAGCTACCACGGGTGCATATATGCCTCGAGGGGGGCAAATTGGAGCCATGGCTTTCAGGGGTAAAAGTGGGGATACGGTTTTGAAGATTTTGGAGGGCGATTTTTGGCACTGCACATCTCACTGCACAGCTAAGCAGGTGTATTCGACCTTTAAAAATAACCAATATGCTACAAGGCGCGCCCGGCTTCGCTCGCTGAACTTTTTGACTTACTAAAGCTGGAAGCTTCATAGATTATGCTAGGTACCTAACCTAGTGTGTGCCTAGTGGTTGTTAAGGAGCTCCAATCGCCCAAGCACTAATCGGCAGTAGCCGACACTACCTAGCTACCCTTACATTGTTCCACTAACTAGTGACTAGGGCCATGTCGAATAGCAACATCACCAGAGAAAATTTCAAAGGCCAGCAGAATATGGTTCATATGGAAATTTCATAGCATTCAATGAGAGTAGAATCTTATTTGAAATTGATCCGCACCAATTCCTCTCACCCAAGTCATCCCATAGTATCATCTCGCCATGGGCTCACTAACCCAGAACTCGAAATTCAACAACGCTGAATTCATCCCACCGGATGCCATCTTCGATGTGACGAGAAGATATTTGGCAGATGAATGTCCAAATAAAGTTAATCTTGGCCAGGGGACTTATCACGACGAAAATGGCCAGCCGTGGATCCTACCGTCAGTCCGCATGGCAAAGGCCAAAATCGGCGAATGTGGCCATGAATATCTGCCAATTGCTGGTTTGAAATCATTCCGGGATGAAGCCGTGAAATTGGCTTTCCACGGAACCAAAGCGTTTGGTGAAGGACGAGTGAGTGGAATGATCCAATCAGAAACACGCGTTACTCATATATCATAGGTTGCATCTTGTCAAGCATTATCAGGCACAGGATCATTGCTTCTTGCTGGGCTTGCCTTGAAGAAAGCAAACACGGGGATCACCACGGTATATATCACCGAGCCAACGTGGAGTAACCATGCTTTATTGTTTATATCACTGGGATTCGAAGTTAAAACGGTACCTTATTACAAGGACAGAGCTTTTGATTTTCAAGGCTATGTTGATGGTCTCAAGGATGCTGACTCAACATCGGCCTTGGTTCTTCATGCTTGCGCGCACAATCCAACTGGTTGTGACCCGTCGCGCGATCAATGGAAGCATATTGGGAGTCTAGTAAAGGAAAAAGGAATCTTCCCCATTTTTGATTCGGCATATTTAGGCTTCAATTCCGGATCGGTTGATGAGGATGCTTGGGCGATACGCTATTTTGTGGACGTTCTACGACTGGAAGCATCCGTCTGTCTATCGTTCGCGAAGAGCATGGGCCTATATGGCGAACGAATTGGCCTTGTATCCTTCGTAACTGAAGGGACAGGGACTGCACGCGCCATGTCCTCGATTCTCGAGAATTGTCAGCGAGCTACGATATCGAATCCGCCAGCATACGGAGCTAGGATTGCCGCCACTGTCTTAGGCACACCTGAGATCGCAGAGCAGTGGGCAAAGGACCTTATCACTATGTCCTCGCGGGTCAAAACGATGCGACACAGATTATATGATGAGTTGACGAATCTACATACTCCCGGAGATTGGTCGCATCTAATCAAACAAACGGGCATGTTTGGCTACACTGGAATAAGTTCATCGCAGGTCGCATATCTCGAAGGTGAGCGACGTTACATCTACGCACACGAACATTGATCTACGAAGCTAATAATTTCAAAGAGAAACACCATGTCTATATGGCTGATACATCCAGAATTTCCATAGCAGGTCTCAACGATAACAACGTCGTGTACTTTGCTAAGGCTTTAGACGATGCTGTGAGGACATTGAGTACCTAGGCATTAGAACATTGACGCTGGCATTAGAGATTTTGAGGATAGATGTACTGTGTAGGTAGGTACCTATTTACTAATGCAAATAACCAGATTCTGTCATTTGCCCGCTGTGTCTTGTCCTCTGCGTCCTCCAGCGTTCTTATCTCCCATGCTACGTTTACCCCGCTATTTATGGTGGAGGCGGAGATAGGCGACGACATCTTAGTGGCCTCAAGTCCTCCAAGAGGAGCATAGAGGGTGGACAACTGCAGCGGATTGATTGTGGGGCAGAACTGCGAATAGCGGCCGACTTACACTAGCGTAACAGACATCCTAAGGGCATACAGGCGAATCAAAAAGAGCATTCGAGTATGGTATATGTGAGCTGGACTAAAGATGACTGCTTGACATTATTGTGTACTCAATTTCTCCCCCTGAATTGAACCCAGTGCTGCAAAACCTAAGTCAGTGAAGAAATTGTATTCCAACGAGAAGAATGGGGTCACTGCCAGAGCACCCTCGCGGGATCCGGATTGCGATTGATCGCGGCGGCACATTCACAGATGTTGGTCAAGCAACCCCCAATAGGCGAGATCAGTACTCTAATTCAGGTTGTTTAGTGTGTTGCTATGATACCGGGGCAACAGGATATTCTCGTCAAGCTATTGTCCGTAGATCCTGCCAACTATGCCGACGCCCCTGTCGAAGCAATTCGGCGGGTCCTCGAAAAGGCTACGGGGAAACCGTATCCAAAGGGGCAGAAAATCTCCTTACGGGGTGTTGGTACGTAGCTTTTCAATGGACTCCTCAAGCAATTGAATTATCTCTAACGTACGCAAAGAGTCAATTAAGATGGGAACCACTGTAGCAACCAATGCTTTATTAGAGAGAAAAGGGGAACGCACCGCGTTTGTGGTGACCAAGGGGTTGAAGGTACTATCTAGAAAAACTTTTGATGTCCAATTCCAGGGCAGAGGTGACATCACAGTGCCTAACTATTGCATAGGATCTACTTCATATCGGAAACCAGTCGAGGCCAAAACTCTTTGACATGGCAATAAATAAGCCTGATGTTCTATATTCAAAGGTCATTGAGGTCGCGGAGAGAGTGACTCTCGAAGCTTGGACCGAGAGGAAAACTTTAGTGAAGATCGATATAAAATCTGATCCAGCACTTGTCCAGGGCGTAACGGGAGAGGCAGTGAGGATTCTAGAGCCTATAGGTATGCTATGAGCCTGATCAAGTTCGTCCCATTAACAGAGCCTAATAATGTATTAGATATTGAAGAGACGAGAAAGGCCCTCCAGGATGTGTACGACGAGGGCTATCGCTCTGTCGCAATATGTCTGATGCATAGCTACACATTTCGCGAGCATGAGCTCGTAGTAGGAAGATTGGCGGAAGAGATCGGATTTACGCATATCTCATTGAGCTCTAAATTATCCCCGACGGTCAAGATTGTCCCGAGAGGTAACTCATCCACTGCAGATGCTTACCTCACTCCGGAGATCAAGAGGTATATCAACGGATTTGAGAGCGGATTCGAAGATCTTCGATCGAGTGGGTGTCGTTGTGAGTTTATGCAAAGCGATGGTGGTCTTGTGGAGTTTTCAGGCCTCTCGGGGCTACGGGCAATTCTCTCTGGCCCCGCGGGAGGTTGCGTGGGATACGCAAGGACCGCATACGACGAGCAAGATAAGACGCCAGTAATTGGGTTCGATATGGGCGGAACTAGTACGGATGTTTCAAGGTTCGACAACTTCTTTTCATTCATTTCCGTCTCGATTGCTGACGCGGGTGTTCGTTGGCAGATATGCTGGCAAGTTAGAGCAGGTGTTCGAGACGACCACGGCAGGCGTCACAGTTCAAAGTCCCCAATTGGACATTAACACAGTTGCTGCTGGAGGCGGCAGCATCCTTAAATGGGAGGCCGGAATATTCAAGGTCGGCCCAGAAAGCGCATCCGCGCATCCCGGTCCTGCTTGTTACCGTAAGGGGGGACCACTAACCGTCACCGACGCCAATCTCATTTTAGGGCGCCTTAGGCCCGAGTTCTTCCCCAAGATATTTGGGCCAAACGAAGACCTCCCTCTCGACATAGAAGCTAGCAGGCGGCTTTTTGAAGAACTTACAGTTGAGATTAACAAGGAGACTACAGTAAAGCTAACGCTAGAACAAGTAGCAGCGGGGTAAGTTCTTCCACAGATATCTAGTTGAGACGTTTTCTAATACATGCTACAGGTTTCTTGATGTGGCCAACGAATCCATGTGCAGGCCGATTAGAATTCTCACTGAAGCTAAAGGATATGACGCAGGACGTCATCATCTCGCATCATTTGGTGGTGCAGGTGGCCAACATGCTTGCGATATTGCGAGAAAACTAGGGATTTCCCGCGTTTTAATCCACAAATACTCTTCCGTGTTGTCGGCGTACGGCATGGCTCTGGCAGACCTTGTCCATGAAGAACGTAGTCCCTGCGCCTTGATATACTCCGAGGACCAGCTTGATATCTTCGCCAACGAGCTGGATAAGTTGCAAGCGAAATCAGTTGAAGCGCTACGGAAACAGCGGATAACAGAGAAGAGGGTTGTGTCAGAAAGATACCTCAACATGCGGTTCCAGGGAAGCGACACGCCTCTGATGATACAAGAGACTCCCGGTTCCGACTTCTTAAGTGCCTTTAAAGAAGCACATCAGCAGCAATTTGGATTCTTGCCCGTGGGGCGAGAAGTAATCATTGATGATTATCGTGTCCGTTCTATTGGCTCTAGCGGGGCTGAGGTACCTACTCCTTGGACCACAGAGCTCTCTAACTTGGAAGCAAACTGGGTAACGGATGCCAAGGTGACCAAGGAAGTCTACTTCAAAGAACTAGGGTGGCACCAGACACAGATTCACAGACTTGATGCGTTAACACCTGGATGCAAAGTACAGGGCCCGGCACTTATCATCGACAACACGCAAACTATCGTCGTCACGCCTGGAACAGCCGCGACGATTCTTTCTAACACAGTGGTCATAGACGTTGAGATAGGAAAAAAGGAAAGTCTATCATCGAAGACAGCTGATCCCATCCAGCTGTCCATATTTGGACATCGGTTTATGGGCGTTGCTGAGCAGATGGGTCGCGCACTTCAGAAAACGAGCGTGAGCACTAATATCAAAGAGCGACTGGATTTCTCCTGCACCGTCTTTGCACCTGATGGTGGATTGGTGGCAAATGCGCCGCATGTACCCGCAATGGTAGATATATCATCGACGAATATTTCTAAAGAACTTGGAGCTGATAAATTGACAGATCGGAAGTATGGCATTCGCAGTAAAATGGCAGATAGATTACTGGAAGAACAATCTTCATCCTGGCGATGTCATCTTGTCCAACTCTCCCGGTTTGTCCCCTTTCCTTGTTGACATGGATTACGGTCTAACATGACGGCTTCAGTCTGCGGCGGTACCCATTTACCTGATCTAACGGTTATAACGCCCATTTTCGATGCTGAAGGAAAGAACATAATCTTCTGGACCGCGTCACGCGGTCACCATGCGGATGTAAGCTCATTATAGAATAAAGTATTTTTATACTGAACTAATGCGTGTTAAAAGGTCGGCGGTATCCTTCCTGGCTCCATGCCCCCAAACTCAAGGGAGCTTTGGGAAGAAGGCGCCGTCATGAGGGCGTTCAAAGTCATTGAGGGAGGCGAGTTCAAGGAAAAAGAATTGACAGAGCTACTAATGGAACCGGCAAAGTTTCCGGGATGCCAGGGAACACGATGTCTTCGCGATAATATCTCAGATATCAAAGCCCAAGCTGCTGCAAATCACCGCGGAAGCCAATTGATCCACTCACTTATTGCAGATTATGGCCTCGAGGTCGTGCAGTTCTACAGTGGGTGTTATCCACAGTAATTTGGCCATTGCCCCCCAAGCTGACATCCTTGCAGTGGAGGAGATACAGGGAGCCGCCGAGCTGGCAGTGCGGGACATGTTGAAGAGAATTTCGAAAATGACTAACGGAAAACCCCTCGAGGCCATCGACTATATGGACGATGGCACCGCGATCCAGCTTAAAGTCGAAATAGATGAAAAGACGGGTGGCGCAATCTTCAACTTTGAGGGAACTGGACCTGAGGCCTACGGTGCGTGATCTCGGGACTTGAAGAATAGGCTTGAGCAGTAAGATGCTAATGCTAAACAGGAAATTGGAATGCGCCGATAGCTATATGCCACTCGTCCATCATCTTCGCCCTGCGCTGCATGGTGAATATGGAAATCCCACTCAACCAAGGCGCCATCCGGCCAATCCAGGTGGAGATCCCGGAAGATTCACTGTTGCGGCCATCCGAGAACGCAGCCGTCTGCGCGGGTAACGTATTGACATCTCAACGCATTGTAGATGTCATCTTCCGCGCATTCAATGCAGTCGCCGCTAGTCAGGGTTGCATGAATAATCTGACGTTCGGTATCGATGATAGTGAAGACAGCTTCGGCTATTATGAAACAATCTGCGGTGGTTCGGGAGGCGGACCCACCTGGGACGGCACGAGCGGTGTGCATACTAAGTATGTAGTCTCACCCACTTCAGGCTTTCCCTCAGGCCATGATCTCTTAATGAGGCACAATACACCTGGGACCCTTGGACTACATTATAAGGGATTGGTGCTAACTGCGAATCATTTAGTATGACAAACACACGCATCACAGATCCAGAGATCCTCGAGCGCCGTTATCCGGTAATTCTGAGGAGATTCTGCTTGCGCGAGGGTAGCGGTGGTGCCGGCCTGCATCCCGGAGGCGATGGTATTATCCGCGACATCGAGTTCAGTCTACCGATCAAAGTATCGATCTTGAGCGAGCGACGTGCATTCGCGCCGTATGGCCTCGAGGGCGGAGAAGACGCCAAAAGGGGCCAGAATCTCTGGGTCAAGAAGACTGGTCGCACCATCAACCTCGGAGGCAAGAATACAGCCATGATGAACGCCGGGGACAGAATTGTTATTGAGTCTCCAGGAGGAGGCGGTTGGGGGAAGCCCAATCAGACTAACGGTTCAATGCAGAAATCTGGAGCGCAAAAGGTTGCGAAGTCGTTTATAGGCGTGGCTAATGGCACCGTTGATATGATACAGTCTATGGGTGAATCCGCATGATCATGGCAGAACGGTGGATATAGCTGTATTTAACGGGGAGACCCTCATGAAGGTGGGTTGGAAGGTAGCTAGGAATAGCTATAACTAAATCTAGGTAGAGTAACACAAATAGACAGGAAAAAATACTTAAAAAGGAATGTGGATCTACGAATCATATAAAATGATTGGCTCCAGTAAAGATACCTTCCTAGCCGGGAAGCCACCATTCTCCTCTGAATTCCTAGGACAGACGAAACTATGCAACATCTACGAATTACGCATGTCACACCGACATCATCAATTATAGTCGAACCCATATACATTAAGGTCAGTTCAGGAGAGTAGGTAGGTAGGGTAGGTATGAATGAAATGGAGGAACAGGAGATCCGAGTCCGCAGGCCTCCATGGAGGACTCTCACCGCGCCGATGAGTCAACCTTAATACTAGGAGGAAATATACCAAAAAGAAAAGACGTGTGAAGGTCTACGCCAAGCTGTCTAGATTTAGTCGTGGATTAAAACGGGTTCCAGACTTCCAGAATATACCGGTAGGCTCTAGCACCGTGTAACACTCTTTCTTTAGTGGCCAGGCTCCCTAAGCTATAACGGCCATCTACTAAAAGTTAGTGGATAAATCATCATTAGGTCCGAGCCTCAGTTTGAAATTAAATGAACCCCAGGTGCCTAACTAGGTACCTGCAGATACGCAAAGTTTTTGAATCAGACCGTATCACTTGAGGCATAAATGAATTGTTAGAATTCTAATTATATGTATAGGTAGTTGATTTAAATGATAAAGACATATATATACAAACCGATTATATTCCTCAAATTGGCATAAAACTTAGTCGAACAGTCGCATTAATTAAACCTGTAACCGTTGAGGCTCTTAGGCGTTGTAAAGTGATCTTCGGAGCCCTTACCTAGGAAGCTTAAGGGCTACCTCTAAAAAGAGGCGTTGTACGGTCTGTGTAAATCTTCAGTTACACAGTCTAGGTGGTCCATAGGCAGCCTAATATGTGTGAAACTTTCAAGATCGTTAGAATACCTAGTACCTTCACATAAGAGATATCGGTACAGATGTCATTGCTACTTAGTCGTTTTGCTAATCGGATTTGGGAGGCGATTCCAAGCCCAGCTTTAGGGCTATGCTACCCCACGATAGGCCGGTCGGTCAGGTCATCGTACTAATGTGGATGTCTTCCTATCTTCAGAATACATAGTACCTGGGGAATAATGCCAAGTAAATGACAAGGCTCTCTGGTTCCATGTTCTCCTTGTTTACCTACATACGTGCGTATTTCTCCATGCTCACTTTTACTACTAAGCAGCTAAGTAAACGTTTTTATATGCCCAGAATCTGAGTGGCTTGGCCCCCACCTCCACTTCATGAACTGCGGCAAGGCGTTTTACGTATTACCCCGCTGCGCCTCGAAATATACCTGTAGAAAATGTTTGGAAAACCCACCTAGTTTTGCCAAACCCATTTGAGCGTTTTCCCGGCTATTCTAAGATAATCTCCCGTCGCAAGGGAAATAATATCAACTTTGCATCAGAATAGTTAAAATCCAAGAGTCGAAACATAGAAGAAATGAATACGCACACCCGCAACCGCCGACGCCCCGTATATCCCCAGCCAAATATCACCGTCGGAGTAGGAGTGAGTGACATTTGACCTTTCCACCAATGCGTAGAACGTTTCTAAAGTTGAACAGATCATCATCAAGACCATCATATCAATTACAATACTTTCCGCATCATGGATAGGCTATAACGTCATCCTTTCCTACATCAGTTCAGGACCTGTGTATTCCTTGCTCATCAATTACATTAACCAATCCCACCTCGTCGCACGATGGAGTGCATATGCTCAGAACTGTGTCGATTCTCGACCACACACCCCAGAAATAGGAGTAAGCAATAGCTTTTATTTACATATGTTCAAATTTATGCGCTCCTGTTCACCATGATTACCTCCGCAGATATTCATAAACATTACCCTCTCGACATTTCTAACCCTATATATGGCTTATAATAAAATATGGGGTTGCCCTGGCTATGAAGCGGTCCTAGAACGTCCTATCCTTGATCTTTATGACCATATAGTCTTTACAACTGTCCCAATGGCTTATACTTACTACTACTACTATCTTGAATCAAATTTACCAAGCATACTTCTAACTAGTTTATACTTGCTCCAGTGCGAAAATATTTCCACCACTCTTCTCTACACGTTGTTAGAGGAACGCACAAGGGATCGATTGACCAATTGTCTAATCGCTAATACTCTTACGATTCATGCTTTCTCTTTAGACTCAGAGTCCAGTACTCTTAACAGAGCTTCCTGGGTCATATCTATAATATTCTGGTCTTACAAAATCTCAACGGGAATACTTACCCGTCAAGCGTCTAAGTCTTCTCGGCATCCTGTTAGGAACGCGATCCCAGGCCAGAACATCTTTTCTAAAAACGTGGATTTAATTTGGCATAATATTTCGTCACTTTTCTTAGCTTTGATCTCAATCCTGTCTTTGTCCTGGGCATGGAAATTTTATTACTGGCAATGCCATCCTGGGAATATATTTTATCATATGACGTACAGTCAGGTCATTCCAGTAATAGCTCTCTTCAAATCTGTTGTTAATATCTACTGTGAGTTTGAATTCCTGTGTATTAGGTATATTGATATAGGTTTTAATTGTTTGTTTAGATTACATGTGCCTCTCTACTTCTATCCCAAATAACGGAAACGAAACATTGACCTCGTCTTCTACGGCCCTGAAATCTTCGGATAAGTGGAACTTTACCTTTTTGTCGATATTCTTATTCTCAAAAGGACTATGGTATCCGGCGGCACTTTCTTCGTGCTGTACTTTGATATTATTTGCTATCTCAAAACCTGACACGGGTAAGTTCCCAAATATGCCTAACCCCTTAAGATGGATTATTAGAATTAACGCTCTCTGAGAAGTTACCATTACTGTCAGGCGGCCGATTTCGACTTCGGATGGCGAAGGCCTTGAACTATCAGGTGGCCATGAAACCAGAAGGGCGACTGGCCTTGAGCAAAGGGTTTCCTACGAAACAATGAACGTGTTTGAAATAAGACACACCTTTAGTGATATCCATCTCATTTGGAGTTCGAGAGTGGATCAAACACCTCCTGGCTATCATCGAATTGTATGGAAGTGTGTAAGTGTAAGGCTATGTTTAGATAATGTGCTATTACTGACGACCTATGTACCTAGTCTTGTGGCGACATGTTGGCTGCTAATTTCGACAATTCAGCCCCCCATGCGGTTAAAACTCTGGAGGAAAGACTTCACGAAATCGGGTCTAGTAATTACACACCTAATCGTCAAACTGGACCGGATCCTTTGAGATCAACCGAGAATTCTGGCTCTCATGCTTTACATATAAACCCTTCAGGAAAGTCGAGTACAAATAAAAAAACTCATAAATACGGCAGGGTGCTGTCAAGTGGTAGTTCATTCCGAGCAGTGGAAGTATTGGATATTGAAACGATTATGGAGCGCCAAGATCTTAATAACGGAAATGGCAAGAAGTATCTCGAAGTTTGTGTTAGCTCGGGACGACATACAGTAAGCTTGGGCGAAGTCAATATATCGTCCGTAACGTCAGATGCCCAATTGTTTGACGAAATCTGGAAAACATATCGCGGCATAAAAGGCACTGACTGGAGAACAACATTACATAACTGGTTCCTTGAGCCTGATGATGTGTTGTTCGTCTTGGTAAGTTGATGAAAAACACATATTTACGAAGATATCAAGGCACTATTAACATACTTTACAGTTTGGAGTCCTGAGGAGGCACCAAGTTGGTATCTACAAGCAGCCGTTGGAAATTCCACCCGAGGTAGAAGTTGACGAGGGCCGCTATGATTACTACGAATGTCCAATGAAGGTTTTACCACCAATGCCTGGTAATATATTTCTTCACTACCTTGAACACGCGAAGAGAAAAGCTACATCCAAGAAAGAGACACCGATGTACCATGCGGACAGCACGTTTCTCAAACGGCTTCCCAAGAAGTTAGAAACCAGTATCTTCGATGGCGACGCGGCAGGAGGCTCAAGTATATCGTATGGTTGGGGAATCCATATCGTTGAGCGTCCAAGCACATCCGCACTGTATTCAGTTGCGGCATTCCAGGCATTCGTCAGCGTAGCCATATGCTTCATAGTATTTGGGGCCACGTCGGCCACCTTGGTCCTTGACCAAGCTATTGGGATCGGACAATATACGGCAGGAGTGCTGGCACTTCTCAACACAGCATTTTACTTCTCTCTTCAGGCATACTGCAATTACTTTTCGCCACGGAAATTTTGAGGCTTGATAGGCTCTTAGTGAATACGAAGACAGAGATCTGGGCCAGTTCCAAATTCGAAATATAGCACAAGGTCAAGTAGCTCAAAGCAACGAATGTGCATAAAGAGGGCCTGAATCAACGACAGGATTTCATTAACGCGGCAATCCCTTACGCTCAATCGACGGCCTAAAAACGAGTCGGAAGACTGCTTTACCAGGGCAGCCAACCTGAAGCACCCAAGGGTCTATGATCCAAGCATAGTTACCTACCTATAATAGCTATCACGGTGTCGACATCCGTGATCCTGCTTTGAGAATAGAAGGCGGGCATGCGTAGGCCTAGAGCGCTGATTCGGACTGGTTGAATCGCTATGACCACCTGCGCGAGAGGCGAGTCGGCGATATATGCTGGGAAACCGATTTCAAGCACGGTAGCCCTGGCGTTGAAGAAGGGCCGCAGATCGCAGAAGCTTGTCAAGCATGTCACGAAGAGTGGCGGTATGGGTCGCAGTCGGAAATAGTCGAACGTGGTAAAATGAAGAATGTATTATCCAGGAAGGACCTTAGCTGATCGAGTAATGCCGGTTTCGTATGATGCCCGCTTGCGACATAATTCCCCCTAGAAAATGCATTATGCGTATACGAGTATTTATAAATCGCATTATATCAACATAGTAGATATAGATCCGCGCATGGCTTCCCTTTTTTGATTAGATGAAGATGCTGGCGTGAAAAGTCCTAGTGGAGTTTGGGACTAATGCATGGGCGAATTGTATATCCAATGAAACTTCTGGAGAATGAGAGGTCATGAAAAAAAGTTGAGCCTGTGAGTTAGCGAGAGATGAGCGCTGACGCCCGAATATCAGATATAGCCAGGTGTTCGAACCCTTTTATTAGGTAGCCTATGTATAGAGGTGGGGAGTTGCGATGGAATCAGCCACGGTTATGGAATCACAATGTGTCATCCTAACCACATCGGGGCCCTAATTACGGGGTAGGAATAAAGGGCTGGACAGCTGAAGCGGCTGGTAGGGCAGTGTCGATGAAAGCTTGGCTTGGCTCGATTTAGGGCTGTGTTCAACGCGTTGACAGGGGCTGGACGCCTATTCTTATTGTTAATTGGTCGGGTGGCGTAGATCGCAACTGTACCATACCTAGGACAAAGCGGAGGTATCGCGAATCCTACAGGTCTCAATGGCGTATCAGCATTTGATATCAAGCTTACTGTCATATGTTATTATCTGAAAAAAACAGCTCGACAGAGGTGTTATATATGTAACTATCTCACTCCTTGGACGAAAGCTCGAACAGTAATTCCGTCCATCCCAAATCTCCCGTATAAGTCTAAACAGAGTCACCAAGAGAGAAACCAAGCCTACTTACCTAGATACACCTAGTCAACTTAAAGACCGATATCGATCCTGAGAATACCTTTACACCGACAACCCTCAATATGGGACCACCACCGCAGCTAGCACCCTTCTCCCGACCGCTTGGCATCTTCACGCCTTTCATTGCGAGGCAAGGCGAGACGATGGTGCTAAAAGAAAAGGTCCTGTCGTTATCCGGGGACAGCTTCGATATCACTCTTTCCAGTGGCCAACCAATCTTCAAGGTGAAGGGCGAGACCTTGACGCTTTCCAATCGCATGAACTTCATGGATGCGAACGGCAACCACTTGTTCTGTATTCGCAAGAGGCATCTTAGTTTACACACCACGTACTATGCCGAGGACCCCAATGGCCAGGAGCTCTTCGAGGTGCAGAGCAAATTCAGGCGTAAGTTTACCTCCTATCCATCCTAAAGCTACACTCTTACCGAACGTCGAAGTGGCCCGGTAAATCCGAGTAGGTAGATGATGTTGTGTGACTGACACGAAATGAAGTGGGCGGCTCCAAGTTCATATGCACCTTCACTTCGGCGTCCGGTCAGCAAGAGCAGTTGCTGATGAAGGGCGGCTGGACGGATACCAACGCTGAGATTACCGACGAAGCTAGCGGACAAGTGATCGCATCAATCTATCGCGACCGTTGGAATGCGCGCGAGTTACTAGGCGGTCAGCAGACGTACAATGTCACGGTCGCGCCGAACGTTGATATGGCCATCATCGCGTCGATGTGTATCTGCCTGGACACGAAGCGGAACGAGGAGGAGTAACTTTTCTAGGACAGGTGTTTCGGATGAGGTGTCTTGCTGCATGCGTTATTGATACCAAGGGTTGCTTTTTCTCTAAGAAGAGGCGTATAGCCTTCTAAGAACCATTGACTTTTAACAGACTGATAAAACAACATATGATTATGATAAGAATTATGATCTAGGATGACTCTGAATGACTCAGTGATTGGGAAGATATCGGGTTAGAATATATTAGAAAAGATGTGCCCGCAATTACCATGTAAACAATAAGTTACCCTCATGATGGATCACGAATGCGACGTATTGAATTACCTCGACATTTCACGGCGCAGACGGAGGCCTCTAAAGACAGCAATTAACAAGAGAATTTAACAATAAGACACCAATGATCAAATTATGAAGCTGCACTTCGGCAATTGAGTTGATTTTCTAGGATCAGATATCGCGAAATTCAACACTCAGGGTTATATTCCGATATAAAGGAAAACTGGATAAAAATTGGATGAACGTTGGTGATGTACGTATGGATGTTAGATCTGTCATCTCCGTGCATTTGTATAAGCGGGTCTGTAATACGAATTCACCATGGACGAGCCAATCAAGACCTTGGTATTTAAATTTAGCTATTATGGGACGAACCAGCACTTGCCGAGGATTGGCCTTTTCCGCATTCCGAAGAGGGGGTTACGTAAGGCTTGTACAACGCTGTACATCTGACTTCGGCTGAATCGGATAGAGAATCGTGGTAAAAGGAAGTACCTGAAGCGAAGGAAAGTACGAAGGTGCCAAACGGCGTCGCGTCCCGAAAATTCAATTCAAGATGCAATCAATGATCAACAATATCGCTGACTTTTCCCCTCTTCCACTTTCGCTGCTCAACCTAACAACATGTTCGAATCCATAACTTTCTTATAAATGTAATTGAACTTTGACTTCTAGCCACCCTCTCTGTCTTTTTTTGGAACTCTTTTGGAATAATACCCCCTTGTCTCCCCTTGGTTTGATAGTCGAAACGCTTCGCTTCAGGGGTTGGAGTTGCATCCCGACCCTGCGTTTGGACCGTCAGGACCCAGATTCTCTTCTCCGAAACGTATGATGGCGGGACGGCGGCTCGACACCACTAGAAAGATGGCTTTCTCTCCTTTACCATCTTTTTTGCTGGTTCTAGGTTTAGCTGCTTTACCGATGGCTTCCGCTCACGATCACGATTCTTCTCATATCGAGGAAGGACAGACTATTTCTGTCGACCCGATTGTATGTTTTGGCTGCATAAGATCAAAAACACTATGGCGGAAGTCCCGGAAACTAATTACTCGTATAGGACACGACATTATGGATTCACATCTTCGTTCAAATGTTTACCTGGGGCGTCATCTTCCCCTTAGGCATGGTTCTTGGGGTACGCATTCTACATTCGACATTCCATATCTAGTGATTTTCATCTAACTGGTGCCCCTCGTTTCTGTAGATCGTTAAATCCCGATGGCACGTCCCAGTTCAAGTTCTCGGAACCGCAATAGCGATCCTCGGATACGCCTTAGGACATATGCACGGCGGTCGCGAATTTCGCCACAACAACGTCCATTCCAAGTTCGCAACGCCGATCTCCTTGTTGCTTTTCGCCCAGATTCTCATGGGCATCTACTTAAAACTACATCTCGAGAAGGGGATCAATGGAAAGATTAGGCGATTCGTGAAGATGGGACACGGTATTGTTGGAAAGGCCATACCCGTACTCTCTTGGACGCAGATGCTGTTTGGCGGCATCACCGCTCTCGGCTTCTGCCAGGGTGATCATCTTGGTCAATGCCTGGCGCATTTCATCATGGGAAGCGCTTTTATTGCCTACGGCATAATCTTGACGATTATGTTACTCGTGGGACAGCTGTGGCTGAGACGCTCCGGTCGATCGCAAGAATTTTTCGATAGCTCCTTCATCGCTGCTTGGGGAGTAGTCAACACCTTCACGGAACATCGATGGGGTACCGCATGGGTTAAGAATGACTGGCAACATACTACTATGGGCATAATATGGTGGGCTGCAGGGTTAGCCGGAGTTTGGCTGAGCAGGGACCGAGACGGTAGACCCCAGCGCAACTTCATCCCTGGCTTTGTCATTTTGATCACCGGCTGGGCCATGAGCGCGCATCCTCAAGATCTCATGATCAGCGCCGAGACCCACAAGATGTTCGGGTACACCCTCATGGCTGCGGGTGCTACTCGAATCATCGAGGTATCATTTGTATTACGGGACCGGCCCAGCATATCTGAGGAGGGCCGAGAAACAAGCAGCTTCCAATACGTCCCTGTCTTCGTAAGTTTTCAATATCACCATGTTTCATGCATTGCCCAGCTAATGGATATTAAAGTTACTCTACGCCTCTGGATTTTTGTTCATGGGCGCTACGGAGGAGCAGATGGCCCTAGTCGCCTCTTCAGGCATGGACCATGTTGCCTATATCTTGATATTATACTCCCTCGCTTTCATTATTTTCCTCTTCACCAATGTGCTTCTCGGTATATACGACCGTAATAGTGCACCTACGCTTGCTGCAAAGGATGCGGCTAATGGCCGATTGGGACCTCGGGTTAACGGAAACATACCTGTCAGAGATGCTCAGGAGTTTGAGCTAGAGGGCTTGATGAGCGAAGATGAGGAGGAAGGTCCGAAATTGCACAGTGATGACAGTAGCCTAGAAAGCCCGAGCACCGTCGGCAAAAATAGCGACGGGGTTGCCCGCTGATCCTCATTGGATCGACCGGAGCATCATCGATGGTTGACCTCGATGACAGCCGACCCAAAGAGGGGTTATTATCACTCTAGTCGTTATTGCATAGACCACAGGCGTTTGGACGGGCTTGGGTTTAGGGAAGGTTGAATCATGCTCGGATGGGACTCGATTTTTATAGAAATATTTATATATAAATATTTTAGTCCATAATAGTTCTAGTTATATGGTGTTTACGGTTGCTCATTGAATCAATAGTTCGTCGTTTTGAAGATACCCATTTTCGCCATCAGTCATCCATGCCCCCTTTTTAAATCTTGTACATAATAATATCAACGCACATCTATTCACTACGTGTACCTTCGATCTTAAATCATTATTCTGTACGGAAAAATTCTCATAATTTACTTTAGACCATATCCACCGGTGGTTAATCTATGAGACAACTCCTTCTGTTTTATCAAGTTGTCGCAATTGTATGAACCTACGACATAAGATATATCGAGGAGAATAACTGTCAACATTGTAGTCGAATAGAAGTACCCACAGTGAGTTATTATAACATTTGATGTATTTTACTTCATTGTTTCTACTCGGACACTTTGACTTGTCGTAGTGCTCGAATTATCAAGCAACAACTTCTGAGTCCATCCTATTCGATCCTATGATATCTACTTCGATGTTTACGGTGATCTTGCGACACGACGTCTTTCGTTCGACCATCTCGTCGATTCCCTTTCGAGGTTTAAACTTTTGAGTCATATTTTTATTTCTACAGTTAAGTGCTTGCCTCTCGTAATATTTTCACAACCTCAACTTGTAAAATCTACATCTCTAACTTCATTTCATCAACTCCATCAACAACACCGCGTCTACCAACAGCCATGGCATCGAAAGACGGCTCCAAAGAGTCGGATGCCAAGGAGTCTAATGAAGACAAGAAAGACACTGGAAATGCCCCTGGCAAGAAGCCTTGGTGGGACATGTCTGCCGAGAAAGATGAACTCCTGAAGATCTGTGCAGAGTCCCAATGTTACGGAATCGACGTCAACGTAAGCTCGATAGCGATCTCTCAACACATGCGAAACCAGATTTTTATGAGCAAAAAGCTCGATTTCCATGAAGCACGCATCAAGGCTACTCGCGACAGGACGCTTGAGCTCTGTGGGCGCAAATTGAAGGATCTTGAGAAGTCAATCGACAAACTCCGAGCTCTTCGCTTGAAAGTCGAACGCGTCGCGTCTACGAACGAGAAGGCGCGCCAGAAGGCCGCGGATGGAGCCAAAAGCCAACCGTCATACCCGAGTATGAGCGTGGGTCCAGATGACCTCACCAGATTAGGACTCCACGATCTCAGGGATCTTCTCAGAGATTTAGCGGTCGACCGTGCTTTAGAAGACAACGAGGTTCGCTGGAGATGTCAGACCAATCTCCTGAGACGTCTCCCTCTTCCCAAGGAAAAACCCGAGGCAAGACCTATGGGTTCTTCTGCGCTCGCACCGGTGCGTAAGTGGATGAACCCCAAGCAGCAACGACGACAGCTGCGCAAGAGATACATAGCAGTGAACAGAAACTACAAACCCAGACCGGCCTTCATCGAACGTACAAGCCCCCGCATCCAGTTGAAGAAGAAGATGCTCAACATGCTCAAGAGCACCCGCCAGCACCGTCGACTACGATTGAAAGCGATGGTCGTGGGCCAGAGGTTCGTCGATCGGGTGAGAAAGGAGGAACACGCCTTCTTCTTCAGTACACTTTACGAGGATGAGTCTCGCATTCTGGTGAAGTTCCTCTGCAAACGTCACTTTGGCGAAGTGCCCGAGCACCTGCAGGATGACTTCGACATCGCGCTGAAGAAATTTAGCAGCTACAAGATCAACTCGAAGTGGCCCTGGGAGGACTAATTGAGCTATTCCTACGACGAGGACTATGTCATTCAAAGACCGTTTGCGATATGGAATGCGGTTAATAGGTACCTAGCTTAGCACGCCTATCTGCTTTTCCCTTCAGGGAGGCTCTGAAAAAGCCACATGAGTAGCTGCCCTCCTCGTCAATAACAACTGCATTACCAATGGCTACTCCTACTACTAGTATGCTGAATGATGTGAAGGCCATTTAATAAGAACTAGATAATTCGGTCTAGGCACTATATAGATAAACGTAATGATTGAGTAGCTAAGTTCTCTTGAGACACATAGGGGTTCACCAAGTAGACAGATATCTTAACCAACACTGATCGGCAACGAGTAGTGAAGTCTAGAACAGCGTATCTAACTGCCATCAATTTGAGCGGGGACCCGCACATGAGGCAATGGGTAGACCTCATTCGCCAAGCCGGAAGATTAACCATGCACACAAGACGACCGAACCCGATGAGGAAAGCTGCCTATTTAGCCATCGAGCTTATATAAACGAGACGGTGGTGACATGGGCTTGAAGTATATTGACCATCTCTGGGCAATGTAGAGGAGCTATTGCGCGAGGGTCTGGTCTTTAGCGACGGCATAGTATTTATATCTGACCAGGCTTCCTGCAGCTAAACCGACTGTGCGGGTCGGGGTTCAAGAGTATTACGTTTCTACCACCGATATTATACCTCAACATGAAGGGATCAAGTATCTTGTCCGCGTTGGCTCTTGCTGGCGTTTCCGCCGCTCAGACTCCAGAAGGCTTCACTCCCGTCGTTGAGCAGAAGCTCGAGGTCACGTTCGGGACTAAATCAGTCACACCTGGTCTGGCGCTGGCAAAGACCGAAACCTCGAGTCAACCGACTATCGGGTTGAATGGTACAGCTGACGGTACCTACATCTGGATGTTGATCGGTAAGGCGCTTCCCCCTTTTCAGAGTCTAACTTCAATTAGCTAACCGATGTCAGATCTCGATGCGTATGTCTTAATCACTATATCCCTGAAGCACTGAATGTTTTAACTGACTTTATATATAATATCAGTTCGACCAACTTTGTAAACCCCGGGGCAGGTCAACCTGCTACTTACCTACACACGGTGATCCGGGACTTCAAGGCAAGCGGTGCCGCATCGGCTGATGGTATTACAACTCTTACGTCCACATCCAACCAACCCGTGGCATGGTTTGCGCCGGCTCCACCAGCAGAGAACCCCCCTCACCCGCACCGATACACGAACCTCTTATGGGAGCAGCCGGAGAACTGGGCAATCCCCGCCGCCGCGAACCAGATGCTGCAGACCCAGAGGTCGGGCTTCGACGTTCCAAAGTTCATTACTGCGGCAGGGCTCGAGGACCCTATTGCTGCGAATTACTTCAACGTTACCGGTTAAAGGGAAGGCGAAGACATAAATCAGGACTTCGGTCGAGGATACCAAGGACGAAAGATGTATATATGAAAATATCGGCTTGAATCGTGAAGGAAACTTTGCGTTCGCTTGATAACTATCAAGATATCCACAGAGACATGAATATTCCCTTTGTTCTTAACTTCGGCTTCACCACTTTTCTGCTACTTGATCTCGAGAACGACAATTTGCGCATTCCCTTATCAATCAAGATATCCTTAACCTTTGGCATTCAAGCCATCTCAGTCGTAGGAGGATAGCAAGACCCCTTAGGTAACGAGTCAAGCGCATCGCGGTTGATCTCTTTCAAGTCAGGGTACCCCGCGACATTCATCAGAATATCGAAATCCGCCAGCAGACTCTTCATCACATGTCTCACGCCCTCTTCGCCACCAGAACCAAGAGCATAAACCCAAAGGCGTCCCACGAAGACAAACTTGGCTCCGAGTGCAAGTGCCTTGAAAACATCAGCTCCACTGCGGACGCCCGAATCGTACATAATCTATTTCCCCCCGTTAGCAGTCTCATCACACAAGCCCCTATCAATTCCAGATAGTTAGGTGGACAAGTAGTCACTCACATAAATCCTATCCCCAACCGCATCCACAATCCTCTCCAACGCATCCAAGCTCGCCACCGCCCCATCTACCTGCCTCCCCGCATGATTCGAAACCACGATCCCATCAACGCCCAGCTCGACCGCCTTCCTCGCATCCGCCACGCTCTGGATGCCCTTAATCGCGAACGGCTTGCCACCGCTCAACCTCTTCCAATTCTGGATCAACCACGGGATCTTGTCCCAGGCGAACGACTGCCCGTGCCAGATATGCCCATCGATCCAGCTCGCGCCGACCTTCATCTTATCAACCGCCGGATCCAATCCCGCCGCACTTACGCGGTCCGCGAAAACGGGGTCGCGGAGCCCTAGATCGCCCGCCCCGTGCTCGTGGTAGAAGGCGTAGTTCCCGTGCGCCACGTCGTCGTGGCGCCACCCCAGCTGCCACGTATCCGTCGTGAGCACGCACGCCGCGTACCCGTTATCCGCGGCGCGTTTCAGCATGCTCAGCGCCACGGCTTCGTCCGGGCTCCAGTACAGCTGGAACCATCTCGCTCCCCCTACCTCTCCCCCTTCCCCTGCTCCAACTTTCTCCCCATCATCGCTTCTTCTTCTTCGCTGCTCTGCGCCCGCATCGTTCGCGCGCGCCACGTCCTCGATACTGTAGCTCCCCGCCGAGCTCAGACAGTACAGAAGCCCGAGCTCGCCGGCGACTTTGGCGGGTGAGAGCTCGCCTGTCGCGTGGTAGATGCGGTTTATGCCTATGGGGGCGAAGCCGATGGGGGCGGAGACTTGGTGCGAGAAGATGCTGGTTAAAGTGTCCCGCGCGGTGGTGTCGACGAGCGTGCGCGGGATGATCTGGTGCCGGTAGAAGGCGGCGCGGTTGGCGTAGTGGGTTAGGGATTGGCCGGCGTTGCAGGAGGCGTAGTGCCTGTAAAAATTAATTATATCTTTTAGTTTCGCGTGGGGGAGGTGGTTTGGTTGGGGTTGGGGTTGGAATAAGGATTAGGGGTAAGGGGTAAAGAGAGGGGGTTAGGGTTACCATCCGGCTTGGCTTAGACGCTCTTTGGCTGTTGCCCTGAGCTTGTCGGGGTCTAGGGTGATAATTAGCTTGTTATACAAGAAGATTGTGTCTATTAATTACCAGTGTTAAAAGGTGGATGCTTATTCTCATTCGGGGCCCAGAATAATTCTCTCTGGTAGAGGCCCCATTGCGGCGTACTGCGTTGTTGGATGTTGGGGTTGTTTGGGTTGCTCATGATGTCCAGAATAGGGGTTCTGTGTAACTTAACAGGTACCTTTGCGAAAGTCGAATGTTTAGTTCTCTGCCGACTTCAATGTTTACTTTTAGAAAGTTTCTCTTGTTTATTAATCATTTTTATATTCTTCTTGGTGCCTATCTCAGACCAGGAACGCTTCCGATCGACGGACCCAGAATATTGTTCAATGACATCAAGAAAATGTCATTGATTCGCCTGTATCACTTGGATATGACGCGGTAATAGGTTATAGGACAACACTAAGCACCATGCAGCTTTATAATAGCTTCCTATTTAAAACTGTCCTATGATACTTCGCGATTGACCAATTACGCGTAATATTGACTTTCCTCATCTTATACCCCAACTCTAACAGAGCCGCATCGCCTCCGAGACGGCGAGACTCCGAATAACTTCCATCCGAGGTCAACATTGACCAAGTAACTATGTTTCCACAGGTAGAGGGGCATGTTTCGTCTTGGCCAATCGTTCAAGATCACATCGCGAATAGCTTCCTCGGTAGCATTCGGCTAGATGACGACCCCTCATATTGCTGACCTCTTTCAACGACTACTCGAGTACGAAATGATTATGATCAACAACAACAAAGTTCTTCAGTCCACAAACTTCATGTTTCGATATCGGACCTTACCATGTAATATCGCCATTGTCTCGGGTTGTTCTTCTAAACCTCCGAATCCGTATTACGAATCGTCAGCTAGCTGGTCGCCGTTTGCGGTTCTCACTCCCCACGTCTCGGTTTTCTTGCGGTTAAGACTCGGCTACGTTATGGAGGCAGTTTAAGTAATTATTGTTGTTGCTGGTTACGTGGCTATATTCAGAGTGGTAGTGAGAGCGTAAAGCATCGTGGATTCTTGTCGCGCTGACCGAAAACGATAATGATCCGGCCGAGGTAATATGAATGATTGGATAGATTAATGTCCAGTTAGCTACGATGGTTGCAATAAGCAGGAGGGCGACGACAAGCATCGGATCTCATCGGTGTTCTAATATCGAAGCGCTAAATCTAATCGGCGATGTGTTATGATTCTATGTCCTTATGAATAACAATTGCTTCACTTTGAATGTTATCAACATTATAAACCCTATAGATTTATTCGAAACTAGTTAATATTGCCTCCTTGTCACACAATTCCAACAAGAGCAATGTTCCCGGGTGTCTGATTGTTACCTTCCTGACAGGCAGTCAACATTTCGAAAGGTTCACTTTGAAGTAAGCAACTCCCTTTTTTGAGTCCAAAGCTGACCCCCTATTTTCGTGCCGCAATACTGTAATAGCCTTATCGTTTCGACATACCTTAGACTTGGTTGCTTTGTCAGTTATGAAAGTGACCCTTGTATGAAGCGGACGCCGAGAATAGGAGCAACGAGAGAAGTGTCGAATAATTAAAGTGATGTTGCGCTTATTGCCATATGCACCTAAGTTCTGTAATAGTTCGATTTTGGACACTTACTAGTCGAATAAACTTACCTACCCGGGTATACATACAAAGGAAATGGTGTTGATCACACAGAAAGATGAACAAAGGTCAAACACAATGATAAATAAAGCATTCTAAAATTACCATCGCCTGCTCAGTCTAAACCAATATAATGCACAATGGGTATCTGAACGCAATTATGTCGTCATATCAAATCAACCACAACATACTGATGCTTCTTCCAGTCCTTCTGCTCCTTTATTTGTCTGGCCCTGACCTTCGCCTTCACCCCCAATTACCACCTTCGCGATCATCCAATCGCAAAGAAACTTTCCAACACCAGCTCCGATGATGATACATATTATGATATAGCCGTTAAAAGCCATGGCTATCAGCATAAGTATGTACGCGACACCAAAAGACGCAGCATGTATGACAGAGCGGATCAGCTGCTGCAGGGGTGTCGCTCTGAACGTGACGATCTGCGGACCCGGGGCCGGCGCGTCGGAACAGCACGAGCCATCTTCCTTAGATGCTCGGATTTGTGCAGCCGCGTGTTGTTGGAATTGGCGGGATATGAAGCTGTCATATTCCTTGCCTAGGCGGCGGAGAAACTCGAGACATATGACAAGGAGAAAGACGCCGATGCAAGAGGCCGCAAAGGCACCCTCGCTTTCAACCAGCCACGATTCGGCGAGGAAACCTGTGATTTGTTAGACACCACCATCTATGCCGTACTTCCGTTGAATATAGTGAGCTCGTCATACATGTACCAACCGTATTCCAATTCCATGTCATCTACGATCTCGGTCAGTTGCTGTCCAGTCGGCTTGATTTCGATATGAATTGGTCACACTTACCGATTGGATGCAGGTACTATTGCTGCTGCTGTCCATATCCATCCTTGCGGTTAATTTGCAGGTTCCGGTAAAATATAATATTTCCTGTTGCGCTCGCGCGGAGGATGATACCAAGTAACCCGTAACAAGTAACCTTCAATTGGTTCCGAGAGTCGGCAGACGTCTGGCTTTGTTCTTGGAATGTGCACGGTAGAAGACTTGAACTGGACCTCTATTTCTTCCGTCTCTTATGTATACCTTCGAGGCTCTTTCCCCACACGCGACGTGGACGGATGACGATATCTTAAGAGAAAATGAGAGTATAAGAGCAGGATTTCACTATTTAGGATGGTCGATACGGAGTTGGAAGAGGGTCTTATTACTTGGCGACTGTGCCATCAACTAATTTCCCATATCTTTCATCCTTTCTTACGTAGGTAGATAAAGAAAATAAGAACCCCTCCGTCCTTAGCCCAAGTGGCGGGTCGTTACGTATCCTTGCGGGTATCCAGATGATCTAGCGGCGTCTAGGCAAAGTGGATCACATTCCCGATTGTTTGACCCGTCGGGTTGATTCTTTAACGGTTCGTCGCCGCAACGGTCGATAAACCTAGCATGCCATTGGTCCTCTCGAGAATACTATCCTTGTTCGCCAAGTCTTCTACGACCCCTGGAAAACGTGCTCAATCATTCTCAGACTTTTCCTTCAGTGGTTTAAGGCCCGGGCGACGTATGTTTTGGTAACCCATCGTGGGATAGCAAAGGGTAGCATCAGACATCTGGAACATCTGAGCAGGTTTCCTATCAGCAATTGACGGAGAATCTTAATAATAGCTGGCCTCTTAACGAGCAAGATGAAGAATCAGCTCAAGGATGGCGCCGCATTTGTCCCGGCGCGCGGGTACGACGTTAGATCGGATAGATGGTGTCGTGGCTAGACCAGCTGGTCTTTTCTCGTCCACTTATTATATCATCATCCCGTCGAATGGTTTTTGAGGAGGAATGTAGATCATCTCATCTATTGATCATCCTTTGTCGGAAAATTTCACGGGAAGTTTGACGGGAACTAGTCTGCATACTTCGCAGCCCCAGGTATTAAGCAAAGCCTCCCCGCTTCTCGGGTCCCGCGAGTAGTTGGTTCGTCATACACGATCAATACCTTCTCCCTGTGTATCACCAAGAGGAGCAGCACAAGATGGCAGCCATGGAGAGCCATCTGGTTGATCGCCACATCCAAGATCTCACCACGGCGAGCAACTTAGAGAAGCACTGGGGTTATGTCGACAGGGCCATCCCGTGTACGAACGATGCCGGATCGTGCGCGTACCTAGATCAAGTGTACGCAAATCATGACCTGACGATGGTCTATTCCGGGATATTCTGGTCCATAATCGGTGGCGTCCTTTTGCTATGGGCTATTGGGAGACAGGTCTTCCCATCTCCTCGTGCTGATGAAGTGTTCGCGGGTGTCTTGGACAACGAAAAATTGACGAAAAGGATAGCGGAACGGCGCTCGCGGATAAGGATGACAGCAGCGTCACTGACTCGTCGTTACTTATTACCCGACTCTGTGCGATTCGTTTTTGGTCGGACAACACGACTCCAAGTTCTAATACTAGCTGTGCTAGCGGGCTACCTGTTCATATTTAGCTTCACCGGCCTCACGTACGAGAAGTGGATCACGCCAGTAAAGAACAAGGTCGGCCTTTACAACACGAGAACAACTCTGGGTCCGTGGTCTGATCGAATCGGTGTCTTCGCCTATGCTCTTACGCCGCTCTCTATCATGTTGTCGAGCCGAGAATCGATTCTCTCCTTAATTACAGGTCTTCCCTATCAGAGCTTTAACTTCCTTCACCGGTGGCTAGGCTACATCATCGTTATTCAAGGCACATTACACACCATTGCCTGGACGATCATTGAAGTCCGGTTGTACCAGCCCCAGCCTACAACTGCGCAAGAATGGATTAAGCAGTTATACATGATTTGGGGAGTTGTTGCCTTGGGCCTGCTGCTTCTCTTATTCGTCTTGAGCACGCCATGGGGAATTCGCCTCACAGGTTATGAGTTCTTTCGCAAGGCACACTATGTTTTGGCCATGGTATACATCGGGGCTTGCTGGGGTCACTGGTCGAACCTGAAATGCTTCCTGATTCCCGGATTGGCCATTTGGGGTTTGGATCGTGGAGTGAGATACTTCCGCTCGGCACTTATTCATTACCAATATCTTCCCGATGGATCAATGGGGTTTAGAGCCGCACATGCCTCTTTGACGCATTTCCCCGATGCTGAGCATGGAGATGTGGTGAGGATGGATTTTAAACATCCGCAAGATCCGTGGAAAGTCGGACAGCACTTTTACCTGTGCTTCTCGGAATGCAGCATCTGGCAATCGCACCCCTTTACGCCGCTTAACTTGCCGAAAGTAGAAAACGGGCTCGTGTCCCACTCGTATATCCTCAGGGCGAAAAAGGGAGAGACGAAGAAAGTTGCACAGTTAGCCGCAAAGAAATTGGCGGAGGCGCCTAGTGCTACTACCCCTTTAATATTATCTGGATCTTATGGAGAGTCGATAGTAGAACACTTAACGCCCGATGTTAATGTGCTTTGTGTGGCCGGTGGAACAGGAATCACATACGTCTTGCCAGTTTTACTCGGCCTGATAGAGAAGAAGGAAGTCAAAGACCGAAAAGTACAGTTGGTCTGGGCAATTCGAAAGAAGGATGATATCCGTTGGATCGAGAAGGAACTCAACGGCATTCGCAAAGCCGCAAAAGCACATAAAATCGAAGTCCACATATATGTGACGAGAGAGGCAAGAGCCAAGAATCTATCAAGCAGTGATGACATATCTGAGAAGGGAGATACGACTTCAAAGGGAGCCGGCGCATGCTGTTCGGCTACTTCTTCGATTAGGGAGGTGCAGTCGAACTCAACTATCGACGTTCAGAGGATAGGGGGAGAGGGATTCGATACACATCCTAACCTTGAAAGGATAGTGAAGGAGTTCGTCGAAGGTACCGTAAAAGGTTCGACAACTGTATATGCGAGCGGGCCGGGTGGTATGATCAGCGACTTGAGGAGGGTTGTGGCGTCTTGTAATTCAGGCGCGAAGGTCTGGAAAGGTGACGAACGATATAACGTTCAATTAGTATGTGACGACCGACTTGAGTGGTAGACATACATTCAGACAGTATGAATAATGAAAAAGTATAATGGTCAAAGCTCTCGTCAACGTTGTCGTCGTGGTGACCGTCCGTGTCAGGTGGTCAGAGTGGCCAGGCAGCAGTGCACCCCTTCCGAAATAAAACTTATATACTGTAAGAAGTGACCAATTTTCAACCAACAACGCAATGGCGGCTCACCAACGTAACCACCTCAGTGGTCGGTTTAGTTGATGCCTCAGACACGGACACTTGCCCGAAAATGTCTCCCTGGAACGGGAGGTCTAGGGTTCGATTCCTGGCAGAACCAGGCCCTGAAAAGGGAGTTGCAAAGAAATATCCGACAAAGGGAGGCGCAGAAGCTCAGGGGCCAAACACCTGGGTCTGGGCCCTGAGGACGGTTACCTAATGCTGTTCTTTTTGCCTTTTCTTGTATCTGTCCATCGTGATGCATCTGCGATCTGATCTCGGAGGTGCATGGTTCGAAATCATGTCCCTCGCATTTTTATTTTGATCCTTCGACTCGCCTTTCCACCGATGACGCCTGAGTAGTCCGATGGATATCTTTCTATCTTCTCCATTCCCCCTAAGTGATCTGAAATTCCTGAACTTGAAATCTCGCCGAATCAACCTTCACGTTTTTCGCTGTAACCATTCCTATTCTCCTATACAATCCATCCTCGCCCTTATCTAGGACGAGCAAAAACCAATCGTCATTCGATTGTGCCATTACCAATACCCAACAAAATCGCGGCGTTCGACGGTCCAAATCCATCACGCAGCCATTCAACACACTTGAGGTATCCTTTAGAGAATCAGCCCGCCCAAAAGTCAACGTCCCAACATCGTATTTAGAATCATCCGGAGCATGATAAAACATCCGCGCAACCTGACCCCTAAGCTTAACCACCCCATCCGGAAAAGCCTCCGTAAGTTCGTTCTCGCCAACGCTCATCTTAACGTCCAGGACTTCCACAACGAACCCCCCTATCCGCAGCGCCCAGAAATCCAAATGGCCATCCAGCGCCGCCCAACTCCAGCTCGGCGCGCGTCTCTCAGTCGGTCTAGCAAGCGCAGATATCCGATCCGTAGACGAGATCCCCCAGACCTTCCTCCCAGGCATATGATCATAGTGCGCGCACCACAGCAACCCCCTCGCCAAATCCTCCTTCCACAAACCAGCAACATACGTCGCTCCTAGCCCCGCGCCCTCATTCCCATTAGCTTTCACAAACAGCCCCGCAGCCCCAGCAAGCGCGGGCAGCTTATCCGTCGCCACCGTGAACCGTCGCGTCGTATACTCCTGCAGGAGCTGGTACCACGCATCGCAGGGCAACCCCTCGCCCCTCGCCGCCGCTCCGCCGATGCGCTTGCGTATGCGCAAGAACTCCGCCATAACATGTCCATCGCTCTCGCCCGTAAAGTCGCGCCCGTCCTCGGCCCGGAACAAGGCCCGGCACTCCCAGAACAGCTGCTCGCGGCCGAAGTGCAGCAGCCGCGGCGCCAGGAGCCGCTCTTGCATGCACCACCCCCTGCTCACTAGGGGACACGTCTGCAGGTAGTCGTTGAGCTCGGGCAGCACTTTCTGGATGCCGAACGCGGCGTTGAGGGTAGCGAGGGGTAGTCTATTAGGCTTTAGGAAGCCGGTCGTGCTGGCCGGCGCGTCGAGCGCGGAGAGCACGACGGCGGCGCCCGCGTACACGGCGCTCATTCTTCCGGCCTCGCGGAGCCAGTCCGGCTTCGAGTCTTGGATTATGCATAGCGCGTCGATCCACAGGTAGCGGATCCCCAGGGCCCGGGTGACCTCGATGGCGTCTTTGAAATTCTGGGGTAGCGAGGAGACGGGTAAGGAGTCCGTCCGCGAGGCTTTGTTCGTGGTTAGGGTGATGCTGGGGATGGCGCCGCCCCAGCAGTGGCTTAGGGTTGCGTAGGGCGCTTTTTCGCCGTGGGTTTCGTAGAGTCGGATATGCGCTGCTTCGCCTTTACTTATATCTCCTAGGTCGATCACCCGCGTGGGAAGTTCATGGTCGGGAATATTATTACCACAGTTTGCGTGACTTTCGCGGCATTCTTGCTGCCATTTCGCCACCATCCCTGCGATATCCTCCGACGCTAGAGTTGGTTTGACTGCGGGTAGTCGTCTGTACGTATCCAACCATGGCACTTGCTCACCCTCTTCCAGCGGCACTCTTCGGCACACTTTGAAGCTGTGTAGTGGAATACTTCCGATTTTGCTGCTCCCCCAAGGCATTTTTTCCAGGGAGGCGCGGAAGCCGGCGCGGAAAACGCCTTTCGACTTGTTCGCGCCAATACGGCCGGATGAGTAGAATGGGTATAAGCCTAGCCAGCCTTGCTGCAGAGATTGGTCCATGAGTGAGAGATCTGCATGCAAGACATTGCAGAGTTCGCATGTCTTAGCGCTTTCTACGAGGGCTGCGAACGTCCCATGGTGGTGAAAGGCGTCGCCCCAGGGTTTCTCGGGGGTCCATTCTGAGCCTATTGGGTGCCAGCGCGCTGGGTAGGCGTCTTGGCGGGTGAAGTTGAAGGAGAAGATGTCGCTTATGAATTGGTGGCAGAGCTCGCATAGTGTTCCCGTGATGGATATGGGTATCGGGTTCATGTTGGACCTCTCTGCAACCTGGTGGGGTTCATGAAGGCTCCTCGTGGCAATGTACTATCGTATATTAGAGTATAGCTAACACATTATAAACCGTTATCCATCGGTAAAAGGCAATAATCAACAGGTACTAGTAACTTCGCAATTGACAAGTTTTCAAACCAAGTTGACGCTCTCTTTTGATAAAATAGCCTGCAATAAGCACTAATATGATCCAGTCGAGTGGCTGCTTACTCGTCAGCTCGTACTCCGACTTATCAAAATAGGGGTAACAGTAACCGCTTAGTCACATATTACCTCAAATTTGCATAAAGTCAATTCCGCCTATAGTTTTGCATAGCGGGGCACGGAGGACTTCCGTCTACCCCACTAAAATTTTATTTTCCCATCGATTTTCAACATCGGCCCTTCAACCCAGCTCTTCTCTCTCCCCTCCCACCTGCACCCACGCACTTCCAACCCAACAAACCCCGATTCACCTAGCCAGCCCACCGCCGGTCGCGTAAACAAAAAAAAGAAATAATGCCATCCGTCAAGAACCCCAACGGGCCCTCGAAGAACCGGCTCGCGGCGCGCGCGGCCAAGGCCCGGAAAGCGAACCAGAAGCGCGCGGCCGGGGCCCCGAACAAGGCCAACCGGGTCGCGAAGGCGGACCAGAAGCGGGGGGCGCGGGCGGGGCTGCTGCCGACGAGCGGGCCGAACGCCGCGCTGAGCGCGAAGAAGCGGCGCAAGCTGGAGAAGAAGATGGGGTACGCGCTGAAGCGGAGGATGGAGGCCGAGGGCGAGGTCGAGATGAAAGGTGTGTACCTACGGCGACTGGGTTCCGTGCTACCTACCCGTTACGGGGAGTCGGGGTTGGGGTGAGGAGTAGAGGATGAGATTGACTGATTTTGAGTATAGATGTTTCCGGGGAGAAGAGTGGTAAAACTGCGGTGGAGTATATGGAGCTTGATTCGGAGAATATCTCGTAAACGAGGTAGAAACGGCCCTCGAGTTCGAACAACCGACTTAGCTCTGCACCCCAGGTCTTACGAATGCTATATGGAGAATCTGTGCATACCTTCACAACATGGGTGGGGTCCAGCAAAATTAATCGGCCTCATGGAAAACGTCTCCTTCACTCGACCAAACGGAGAAATGCGAGGATTGTTCGCTTCAACAACCTCATTTATGCATTCGGACAGCTAGCCCCACGCTACTATTAAGCACGCCAGCCCGGGGGACAAATTAATAATAGCGAGTTGAACCTCGGCATAATCAGGAGATCCGGGCATGACTAGGGGCGGACCTTGAACTGCCGTGTGCGTTGCCGTTATGGTTGAATTGTGTTTGCTATTCGACCTCTAATCTCGTGGTTTTGCTACGTGAATTTGCAACACTTTAAGTATGGATGAGGCCAGGGATAGACAACGGTCCTTCTAGTTCGTCAAGAATAGGGGACATCATACACTAGATATTGTCGATAGCAACGTCAAACGACGGAAATACAACAGAAAACCTCGGTTCCCCATTTTTCTACTTCTTGCCCGTTCTTTGGTGATCACATCGAGAATAGCTTCGAATAATTTATGGTCATAATCTTCGACTCGTATATATTAACTTCTTGGCCCCATAGATCAAATTCCTAAATGTTTTTTTTCTGCGCGGACAATGCTGGAACAGCTTGTGGAAAGCCAAATAGGGGGAAATACATGGATTTGTCGCTATGCAATATCTCTTGTTGTAATGTATATCGTCTTATGGATATAATATGTTGTCTTCGCATCCAACTATACAATCCTATCTTTCTTTCTGGAACTCGGAGCGGTTCGCATTCGTCCGTGTATTGTTTGATAGATAATACCTAGATGGCAGTAAGCTAACTCAGATCTGTAGATCACATCTGGTTAATGGGGAATCTTGGAGCGTATCAATAGTATCCAATAAAAGCTGCTTTGCTGCTCTGTATGCTACTATCCTAGCCCTTTGGTAAGTACGCCGTTAGGAGACTTGCGATACCTCCTGGTATGCCTATAAAAGTCGAGGAGCCAGAAAAAAGCGCTTCTTGAGGCGTATCCTGTGAAGATCGTTTGCCCAAAAATCGACTAGGTCTTTATCCTAGAAAATGAAGCTGAGGAACCATGTAGACCAAGGACGATGTGCTGTATTCGGCGCCTTAAGTTTATTCAAGCAATAAGTAGCATGGTTTCTGTTCCGGCGACCGTCGCAGTCACACCGACAGCCCACACCACCCGGGATCTCTTCAGCCCAGGTCTTCTGGGCCTCGTTTAACGCTTGCGACTCGGGCAATTGGCCCTCTGGTGCGTTAGCTGGACATTGATAGTACCAATCGTGGCGATATCCAAAATCAGCAAAGTGGTGCACCTGATGTGGCTCCGCAAGCATGTTCACGGCGAGTGAATGGACTGCGGCATCACCCCACCTTTCGAAGTAAAAGCCACCGGTATGTTCTAGATGCTGGTAGAGGTCCTGATACTTAGGACCGCGGAAGAAATCGAGATCGGCGATCTCAAAGTTACTCCAATAGTGACAAAGATTCCAGCCGTCCCCGGACCTGTCGCGGTGCGAGAACCAGCTTAATAGGTTGCGGAGCGGCCAGGGTGCCCAAGACGCATCTACACCCGCCTTCCACAGGGTGGTGCTGGGTATACCCTGCTTTTCCTTCCAGTCCGAAACCTCCCTGAAGAGGCTCGGGCACGTCCGTTTCTCCTCCCAGAGCGATATCGTGAAACCATATACTTTTTTATGGCGGGCCATCTCGACGAAGGGATCGTAGGTAATCGAACAAGAGAATTCGACGTCTGGTTCGAGTCGCCAGTACCATTTATACTTCTTGAGAGCCTCGATATTATAGAAACTCCTACACCGCCAAACTTAGCAAATCACAACATCGCAGCAGAACAGGCAAGCCTACCCTGAGAAAAAACGGCACATATGATGGTACGTCTCCTTTCCAGCATACAAGATTCCGCGATCGCCCTGATCTTTGATGCTCGCTTGAGCAGCGTCCTTGTCCATCCAGGACGGAAACGTCCATTCTTCTTTAGGGACCGATTCGAAGAAAGTCGGCGCGCTCGTCGTGGCGTTCATAAGGGATATGAACTCTTCGCTCCAGGGTTCGTCATTAAGGAACACAATTGGGTAGCGAAACCAGCGGTTGAAGCGCTGCTCGATGCTGCGGACGGAGCGGGCCGCTTTCTCGGCCTCCTGGTTGCGCGCGAGCATAACGATGGCGGCATTCTCACGCGGGGTCTCCGGCGGCGTTGCCGGCGGTTCCTGGCACGATTCGTAGAAGGGGGTATCGAGCTCGCGCGGCGGTACGGGTACTCGGTAGCGAGAAGCGTGGAAGGAGACTTCGAGGAGGCATGCGACAACTACCACCCAAAGAAAAGGCGACTGAAGCCATCCTCCTCTTCTCCTTCGAAGGCGCTGCAGCCGGTGCAGCACCGACATCCTTTCTGGAAAGAGAATTACTGGCTGGCTCTTATGGCCAGCTCATGGGTGATATTTTCGGATCAACAACTGATTCTTTGTCATGAGGCCATCTACACCGGCCTGATTGTTGATTGGAGTTCAAAGCTAAATGCTACCCGCAAGTTTTGATGTCAAAAGTCAAGAGGGTCTCTTTTCAAGGTTACAATGCGTAGCTACCTATTAACGTAAGGCGAAATAGTTTGTTTTAGCGTTTTTGTGGCACGTGTAACTCTAAGAGACCCCTATTCTAGCTGAACTTTGCTGCTCCCGGGCTGTCAGTCTACCTCAATTCTGACGCGTGTCGGGAGCTTAACCCCCGTTATAATGATAAAGTTCCATCCCATATGATGTATTCTTGCATGAATTCAACTGTACAGCCCCACCAGTGCTACCGTATGATACAGGCATCTACCTTTTATGGATATGACGGATCCGTAGAAAGCAAGAGCTATGTATCTAATTCAATGGTTCCCATTAAGCGGCAAGCGTTATTCAATTTTGGAACTTCTCGAATTCAACTTTTAAACCCCGTGACCGCAAATCTCAAAGAAAGAGAATTTACTAAACGCTGTTGTTCTATGGATGATATTAATAAATACATGCCGTTTCATTAACAGATACAAGAGCCGACGCTAGTGAATGCAACCGCGCGTCCGTGCTACAGGGATCGCCAAGGCCGCCGTTTTTAGGACCCTACCCGTCTCCTTGGTGGTGTTTTTCGGACTCGTTGGGTAGGCGTCTGAGACTTGTTTCCTACTTTACAGCGCTCCCAGCATGCATTATGACATGGGATTGCTACGCCGACGCCGAATTTACTACCTCGTCCCCCTCGTCTTCGCCTTCGTCCTTCTCAGCCCTCCACTATGGCCATCCGTGAGACAATTCGGTGATCGCGTACGGCAGACTTTGCCGTTCGCGTATCAATGGAAAGTCCAGCAAGATTTCGTACCGACCCAACACGAGCTCGACTGCCTCCACGGCAAAACCCCGAGATTGAATACCGGTAGCGATGAACAGATAGAGCCGATCCCGAATCATGTCCATTTCATATACGGCCTTAGCAATCCGTACAATAAGCCCAGCGCCGGCACCTTCGACTTCCTCTGCTATCTAGCCGTACGGAGCGCAATTGTGGGAATGAAGGCGGAAAAGATTTCGCTCCACTACACCTACCTTGCAGACCCACCGTCGCCTGAACCAAATGCGTCTCCTTTATCAAATCCGTGGATCCGGCATTTGAAGGATGATATTGAGCTGGTATACCACTCACCGGAGGAGATGGCAGCGTTGAAGAGTTCGCCCGATGCGACCTGGCAAGCCGCTCACGTATCCGACATTCTCCGACTGAAGCTGCTTCAAGAGCAGGGTGGAATTTATATGGATATGGATGCTTTCGGCTTCCGGCCCTTCACCAATCTTCTTAAGTCGCCGCGCGATATCATATTAGGTCACGAAGGCGGAAACCGCGGAGGTCTGTGCAACGCCATCATGGTAGCTCGAAAGAACAGTTCTTTCATAGCGAGGTGGCTTAGGGAATATAGCGGCGCGGATCTTTCCCAGGAGTGGAACTACCACAGCGTCGTTCTTCCTAAAGAACTTGAGTTGGAACACCCGGACGAGGTCTGCACTCTGCCCCCGAACGCTTTCTTCTGGCCGACTTGGACCTGGCATCACATCGAGTTCATGCACGAACAGCTGAGTTCAGACGAGGCGCGCAAATGGGCCGCCGAGATAGACAAGAACGGCGGTAGTCTCTACGAGGATCAGCTCGCTTACCATGCCTGGAGCCAGATGGCTTGGGAGAGACATCTGAGCAAGTTGACGCCCGAAGTCGTGAGGAAACGCGACACGAGGTTCAACATGCTCGTACGAGACTTTTTGCAGAACGACTTGGGGCGATAGTTATGGAATTAGTCGGATCAGTGGAAGCAATGCTGGAGAAGCGTGACGTTTAATGAGTGAATAGGATTTTACCTAGTTAGTGTTTGTATAAAATTAGCATCCTAAGGAGTTTGGCCAGAGGTACTTCTAGATCATAATACAGCTCTGTATTTCTCGAAGATTTCATTTTGAATAGCGTCTCGAGTGAACTTTGTTCGCTGGATAACTATTACGAACTGAATGCTCCGGACATTCACGTAGTTAACTAGGTAAATGAATCGATCCTACTACCTGAGCCCTGAAACACAGCGACGATACCGCCTCCATATACACCGCAAACCAGTCATTTCGAAGGCATAACCCTTTCTAAGCTTGGGGTATAATAACATCCTACAAATTTAAACTCGAATGAAGCAATTCTCTGAGAGCACCATCCTTGAGAGCCCCATCCGCAGAGATGGTAGTTGGTTCAATTCATTCTCAAGATTAGATAATAACCAATCTTGGCACCTGTCGCATTGGCGACACAACTTGTAAGACCAAATAATCATGGACCCGTCTTTTTTATCTAGTAGCGGCTTGACATATAGATCGAAGGTGTCTTTCCCAAGTGAAATGACGTGGCTTTTGCCAGCAATTTCAATTTTAGGTACTATTAGAAATTCTGAATTGAATTGTGCGATGGTGGGAGCAGTGCATCGAATGCGGTTTCTGAATGGAAACGACCAACACAAATTAACTCGGCCGTTTCTCGCGCCGCCGACACTAATCTGTTGTCCCAAAAGCTCGAAGAAAGATTCCTGGACTCTGTTTTCTTTGTTGTCGAAGTCCCAGGCAAGAAGTGCGTTTGGGTCAGGCTGGGTATAGGGGAGTAGCTCAGCATGGAAATGAATCAGCTGGGGCTCCCATTTTTTAATGTTCTTTTTCTAAGTCAGTCCTACAAATAGTCGAAGTATCAGCAACAACCATACCTTTTCACGCCAATCTGAGCACCATGGTTTTCTCAATGGGTCAGGATATTTGTTGCCCCTTAAAAAACTTTCCAATGCCCTTGACACAGCGTCGTAGCTTAAGGGTGAAAGAGGTCTTCCAGAAGTTGCTGCATCTCGGCCAAAGGTAAAATACCTAGGGTACATCAATGTGAAATACCTTCTCTTCCCTACATCATCGTCCGATTTCAGATCCAGTGACGATTGCAACCGGACGCATCCTACCCAGCGACAGTGGAGTCTGTCCCAGTCCACATGCACAGGCTGAGCGAGAATGTATAAATGATAGTTTTGCGTGCAGGGTGTGGACAACAGTAGACAATTCCCTCTATTGGAGAGAGCCACCGAAACCCTCACCCTACCAGCCGGGTGCGAACCACATGGAATGATAACATCGTCTTCCAACACTTCGTATGCTTGAAATTCTCCATAAAGGGAACCATTATGCCATACTGTGCATCGCATGTCAGACAGAGCGGAAGAATGATATAATTGGCCGAATTGGAAGATAGATTGAGGACACCATGACCAAGGTCCGTAGGTAGCAATGGGGACATCGCTATGTAAGAGATCAGTCACCTCAATTCGACCAAACCTTCCAAGGATCAGCTGGGTTATCTTGGGTCCAGGAGTATTTGAGCCGATCAGCTGATGGTTATCTGAGAGGTTTCTTTCTTGACACATTAATCCGGCAATAAGCATGCGGTCTTTTTCCCATGATGTAGTCCGACGTGACAATACACTAAGTAGATCTGAGAATTTTAGGCCATTCCTTTTTTTACGAAAGGGATGGCGAATTCTTTTCATGGCTTCGGCGGCGACGATATAACCTTGCATTGGAATTGTACCAGCAGGATTTAACATATCGCGACCGGAGTGCTTGGTGAAGTACCCATTGTCTTTATCATTTTTAATATGAAATCGATCCGAGTGTAACCACTCGCCTACATCTGCCGCAAAAATGTCGTCATCCAAATCTTTGATTAATGGCTTTAGCCCCGTTGGGTCGTTAGAATCCTTGAATAGAACTTTGACGGGATGCCCTCTCGATGCCCATAATTCGGCTGCTGTCCATCCTCTGGTAAACCACGATGAAAGCACTAGGGCAATAGCAGGGCTACCATCGTCTCGCCATGGGAAATTAACCAGATCTTCGTCATGGACCAGTGTTAAGCTTGCGTTCTCGAAATTGTCTAGCATGCGTTCAAGAGCGGCACCGCGAGCAGTCCGTTCCGAAGGTATCGAGATGGTGTCCCACCACAGCCCATTACAACCCAGCTTCTTCGCGATATCAGAAAAATATTCATATAGGCATGGATTGACGTGACCGGGTGTCTTGAGACCAACGCCCGTACCGTCGGCCCACACATGTGAAATAGCCATGTAATTCGTCTCCGTTAATTCCATCACACGTGGCTCAACATTAGGCAGCTCTAGACTCCAGGCCGTGTTGAACCAACCATATTCATTTGGTTTCTTACTTCCTTCGTTCAACAAGTTTGCCGAAAATATAACATCAGGCCCACAACATTTAGTAGGACATTTATGTGCTTGCTCGGCAAGTGTGCTGTTATCGTGGGCGCGTAAGCAATACTGGGCCGTACAACCGCCATGGTCTTCTTTTTGATTTGGAGAATGCTCTAATGTTAGCACTGCTTTTCCGAGGTGGCAGACGCCGATGGAGGTATTGGAATTGTGAAATGAGGCATTCCACAAGCGGTTAGGGCATATGCCTTTGGTGTGGCATTTCTGGGATATGTCGAGCGCATCATTCTCATACTCAAACAAGAGTGTTTGCCAAATTTTAAGGGCTTGTGGCTTGTCTAGCCGCCAGAAGCGAGGTACAGTTCCTAGGTCACTTTCTGTCAACCCTGGTCGTGCAATCCGTTCTGACCACCTACAAAAGTCAAACACGCCCCGGATATCAATGCAGAATGACTTTGGCACTGCATGTCCGTATTCTGACCGATCACCAATCCCTGGTAAGATAGTGTTCTGAATAAAGCCCCATTGTTCCTTATCCAACCTACAACCAAGACATATTAATATAAAGTCCCGAAGGGCACCCCATGTACAATCAGGGGCAGCGGCTTTGAATGCTTCCTTTCGTTTCTGACATGCAATATTGTGGCATGCCGTTATCCCCGAGAAAAACGCAATGTTGTATATCCTGGCAAACATTTCCCGTCCAAGACACCCAATAGACCCAGGTTCGTTGTTGAAACGCCAGTGGTGCCTTATTATTGTTCCTATGCCCAGGTTGTTCCGTACTTCTTCGAATGATTTAAAGTTCTTCCTTCTAAGTAAGCCTCTGTTCTGGCAGGTATGCATTTCTTGTGGTAGGTCTCCGAAGCCAACATGCGTGCGTCGGACGTCATTTGAAGGAGCCAGTAGTGGTGTGTGGAGATCAACATTGTATGATCTAGTAGATGTCTGACCATCAGGATTTTCGGTACTTGAAATGGGTTCTGTGAAGTAAAGAGCCGCGAATGACCCCATGCTATCTGTAGATTCCAAGGAGCGAGTTCCTGTCGTTATACACATCGTAAAATCCGGGTCAGGTCTGAGTGAAAAAAATAAGTTAGGAGTAGCAAGGGGAAACTAGTCCTCTTCAAAAGCAAGGCTGCACCTATCTTTAAATACCTACGTACCTACTTAGGTACATAAACTTGGGGCACAGCCTATAACCATCGTTAGAGTATGCAGTACATATGGCTTACGCATATTTGGGGGCTTGACGTCGTTACTGACCTATCTACCTACTTTTGGGGTGGGAGAGGGGCTGTGTTAAATCCATAGGTCTTGGTTTGGCGGCCGCTCGGGTTGATTAGTGCACGGCGGCAAATTGGCTATAACGGGACGGGGCGAAGCGTCGGTTTCATACTTGACCGTATTCGTCGCCAGCCTCGAGTTCTATTATCCTCGAACACGCGCCTGATCGAAAATCTAACCTTCCGCTGAAGTAACGATAGCGAACATGCTGAGCGATGTGCTCGAACCCTTCTGAAATGCCTCGAAGGTATATCCATGGGTGTCATCACTCATATTCTCCCACTTTCTGCTCTGCTCGAATTCCTCGACATCCCGCGCACGCCGCATGCCTTCGAGCTGAACGATGCCGTGTCTCTATGGTGTTGGCCGATTACGCCAACTAGCGATCGTCCAATCCAATCCAAACATGCCACAGAAGAATTCGACTTTTCCGGTTTTATGCCTTGCCACCTGTCTCTGGCCTTCCTCATCGACGTACCAACCACAGGCGGTCCTTGTCTCCCCTACCTATACGTCGTCGCAACGTTGCAAATGAACAAGGCTGAGTGGTTAGCCTTCTATGGCGAAATTGTCCTTGTGAACTCGCTACTCAACCACCGCGGCTAAGGTCAAGGCGCTTCCCCAGGACACGCAATTCGCTACATGACGCTGCGCTGCGTGTTCTCACTCTAGGTCAGTGGGCGCTAGTGGTTGTATTTGATCACCTTCAGCTTTTTATTTCGCGTATTACTAAGTATGTCCGTCTTTCCTTCCCCGCTGCGTAGAGGATTGGGCAAAGCGCGTTGCATTGTGATTCTCTAAACGCCTCAAGGCTCTTCTTGGCGTAAGACGAGCGCTTTTTAATATCATGGCGTTGGACCCCGACGTGGTTACGTTATATCCGTTACAAAATGGGACGTTCATGAGATACTTTTCGAGGGTGGCTGCTGTAACCCGATATAAATACTTAAGCGCGGAGCAAACCGTACGAATATGAGAGGAGACGACACGTCGCGCTATGGTTGAGGTCGAAAATAAGTCTCCGCTGATCAATACCTAGGTAAGAAGCATGGCTGGAATTGTATTCCACTCCCTATTTGAAAAGGTCCACAGCCTAGGTACCTAGGTACTAGGGCTAGGTAGCCTCGGTAGGGCTCTAACGGCCTCTGCGCACCCCTGGCAGCCTCAAAACACATGCTGCCGTGGAAGCTGCCGTAACATAGTACCCACACATTCCCAATATGGCTTAGGTAGTGGCGTGGGGGTATCTGATCTCATGTACAAAGAAGCCTCTTCGACGCTTCAAAATGATGAATATCATTATACCTCGCTCTTCCTAACATCTTCATTTGTTCGGCCGGGCAGGTTCGCTTGTTCTTTGATTTTATCTGCCATGTAAATACCTTCCATGATGAATGGGGCCCAAAAGTCCTTTTTATATTCTTCCTCCCATTCTGCTCTGGAAGACTTACCTTCCTGACCCTCATCTTTAACGGCGTGGTTCATCGCCTTCAACGTTGCCTCCTCCCACCTCTCTCTGCCCGACGTCACCCCCAAAATTGGATCGATCCATTTCATAGCTTCGCTGGAAAACCTGGACCGGTCTTCCTGCTGTGTTCCAGGTCGCAGCGAAAATGAATCTGGATTGAGCGCAATGATGGTGTTAAGAAGCGCCCTCCGCGAACTTAGCTGCGTATGATATCTTTCAATCCGAATACCAGCATATGACTTCATCCACTCTTTAGCTCCTCTCTCAGGCGGCATTACGTATGCCTGCATGAATATGCAGAATGAAATCCAGAATGTTATGAAATACGCATTCCAATCCTTCGTTGCCGCTGCTCCGAGTGCGAGTGCCCACTGGCCGAGAATAAGCACCCTTAGAGCTACGCGGAGCGAGATGTAGGATGCTGGCTTCTGTACTGAGCCTAGAGGTTTAAGGGGCCGGTTGATTAGGGAATTGAGAATGGTGGCTTCACCGTAGAAGGCTACCCAGTCCGTGGTGTTCTCGTGTTCGGCAACCAGAATCAATCGGTTCCACCTGGTTGCTTTATGAACAAGTAGACCTCGTGGGTTGCTCCCGTGAAGAGCGAACAGGACGCCGCCCGTCACAGGCATGAGAATGAGGAACGTAAATGACAGATAGGTTCGAAGAATAACGCTCATCACGATCATTGCTAATAAGACTATCCAGCCAAGCAGGTGAGCCAACCTCATTCGTGGGGATCGTGGGAAGACATGACCAAACCGGGTTAACTTTGGCACTTGGTGTTCACGAGGTTGCAGGCGAGAAACGTGGATTATATCAAGATTCTGTAACCTCAGGTCGTCACCTCTGATATTTTCGTGCGAATTCTCAATAACCCGAGCTCGATGGGCTTGGATGCATAGGCGGATTGTCTCGGGGCTACTAACATAGTAGCGACTGCCATATCGGCCGTCGAGGCCTAGCAAATTGATGCTATTGCCATAGCGATCCAGGTAGCAGTGTGGCTGCAGAAAGTTGTCGTCGGATAAAAGAAGGCGGCTTCCTGCCGGGGTGATGGGGGAATTCCATAACGCAGCGGATCCTGCGAGCTGGTAAATGTGAAGTTTTGGGGGGATATCTATGAATTCAATCAAAGCAGACAATGGCAGTATACCTGCCAACTCGGATACCCAGCTGATCTGATTCAAAGTAGCGTTGAGTCCTTCAATGGCTGACTCAAACATGATAATGATTATTTGGGATGACGAGTATTAGGATGGTAGAAGGAAATGGAGAACCGAAAAAACTCATAGTTCGTTCGCCTATTATGGCAAAGACGACGATATCACAGCCACTGAAGCTCAGTCTTCGACATTGCTTGCAGCACATCGTCGCATACATTACCTAGGTACCTAGTCGCGCCATTCAGCTGAAGTTAACAGGGGAACTGCTAAGCAACAACTTCATGATTTATTCATAGCGGTTGAGGACTCCAGGTGTTCCGTTATTGGGTGGTGGATTCCAACCCCTGCCTTTTTAATCATGATATTTCACTGATGTAGGTACAACATAAGCGGTCGCTTATGCCGGAGTGACCGAATTATAGGGGACTTTAAAAATAAGGCGACAATAAATGACAGTTTACCCTAGGTAGTTGGCTAAGTACCTATGGCGTCAGCAACATCTAAAGCCCCCGTAGGTCCAGTACCTCTTTTCGCACAGGAGACTCCGTACACAAGTATGTACCTATATATGCTGCAAAATTGAATATGCGGCATGGAGAAACCTATCGCAGCGCATTGATGGATTTTGTACTGAGCCACCTCCGTCTCAAGGTGCATAGAACTGACCGGTTCCCCTCCACTTGATTGGCCAACTTTTTCAAGAGAAGGATCAGATAGAGGGGGAAAAAGAGGAAGGAAGAGAGTGAGAGGAATGTTTCTTTCCCTTACACCAAATTTCGTAAAACCTGGCATTGAAGATGTGCATCACGAGCGGCAAGATTGCTTCCGCCTCAGGATCCTCCCTTGGTGATGCATCGCCTAGGCTGACTTTTAGGGATCCTAGAAGCCATGTCCAAAATGCATACTGTGTTAACCTTCTCACACCACTCGAGACCCCGGAGCATCTTTCTGCTTACCTAAGGGGGCAATTTGACGGTTGGAGACCTCGCCAGATACCTCCTTCAACGCTTGATACGGATTTGCATGGCTGTCGAAATAAGAACTACTTCATGCGCGGATGCGTTCCTCAACTGAGGGATAGTATCCAATGTTTTTTGGACGAGCCGAAGTGTTATGGGCAAGCTATGTTTGCGAAAGTGTTTAAGCATTGGTACTTCTCCGGGTTACAGTATTGCGATAACCTGACGTGCCAAGCAAGGAAGAAGTCCCTTGAGCGTTCTGCACCCAACTGCGGTTGGCCTGCCTTTCGAGATGCTCTGCTGACTTCTGTCGCGTGCTGGCAACCTTGGAGCGAGGTAACGCTCACGGCTCCAACAGTAGACGAGAACATACAACTACCAATAGTGTTCTGCCTTGACGTGCGCGGCATGCTGGATGTATGGCTTTGGGCAGCCCGATTGATCTCCGGACCCATCTTCAAATTGGTTCAAGAGATGAACATGAAGGGGTTTCATGATGATAATCTTCATCAATTATGGCAAGGCTTCACATCTGAGCATAACTTGCGCGCAACAGAGAGCTCGCGCAAGTTCTACGAACATGGCTTCTGTGTCAATCGTCTTTGGAACGTGTCACTCCAGAGCAAGAATGGTATAGCGGACATCCCCTACGTCGTGGGAAAGGCACTTGAAGCCCCAGTCCCTAAGTCCAAAAGCAGACACATCAATTGCACTGAGGAGATTTGCCTCATTGCCAACGAGAATAGCACGCTCGTCAATCAAGCACATAAATGCCCATCTGGCCTTTGTGCCAATGAAACCACCTTCCCGCCTCCCACGTTGAATGAAGCTTTCTATCACATCATCAACCACCCATCTTCCAAGGGCTCCCCATTCGAGATTACTGCGTGGCGCATTCCTGAGCCAGGCCGAAGCCCGTCTTCCTTATGTAGCCCTAACGACAGTTATGTGGCAATCTCACACGTATGGTCTGATGGCACTGGGGTTGGGATGAGAAGTCCCGGGGTTGTTAACACGTGCCTATTCGAATACTTTGCGAATCTTGCCCGACAAGTTTCTTGCGATGGTATCTGGTGGGATGTTATTTCGATACCGACCGAGCGTCGTGCGAGAGCCATTGCTATGGATAGTATGCTAGAGAATTATGAGAAAGCTAAGGTGACGATAGTCCACGACCAAGACTTGGTGGAGTTCGAGTGGAAAGACGATGGAAGCCCAGCCGTCGCGATGATTCTATCCTCATGGTTTACTAGGGGTTGGACAGCGGCCGAATTATGGGCATCGAGAGGGCATCCCGTCAAAGTCCTATTCAAGGATCCTAACGATCCAACAGGGCTAAAGCCACTGATCAAGGACCTTGACATGGACGTTCTAGCTGGGGACTTGTCTCGCTGGGTGGAACCCGAGGCCGAGGGGTACCAATGCCCATTCAATAATCGTGCACTAGATCCGACGGAGATACTTCCTGGAATGGCCCATATGATCGCAACAGACATCTTGGGGTTATTTCGTTGGACAGAAGATCGGAGAATCCCTGACCTGCAAGCTATTTTGCGAATGCTCCAGACCAGGACTACGTCGTGGGCCCGAGATCGTACTCTGATTGCTGCCTTGATGTGTCTACCACCAACTGCGGTCGATTCAACTACCACCGGTCCTCAAATGACGCAAAAGATTCTTGCCCATTTTGGAAGCTTAAGGACTACAGAGATTGTTAACCATCGGGTTCCCATGTCAAGTGACGGTCCTTGGGATTGGGCCCCACAATCCATATTCGATCTCGGTCAGTGGTCACTGTCTAGCGATCCCATGGGCGACTGGTCATACATCTACGAAGATGGCAGCATCAAGTGCGAATTCCTGGCTTACGAAGTGTTATATGAGGATGTTATTACTGAGTATCGCCATCATCCTGCTCTCGCCGCTCGGATCTCCGTGGCTTTATCCAAGAGGCAGAACTGCCTACTTTTAACAACGCCTAGAATTCAGCAAGAAGGTACATACATCCTATTCCAACCGGTGTCAGTCGCTGCTTGGACTGTAAGGGGCAAGTGGATCGGATGTGTTTCTCTAAGGAGTCCGCTTGGAACATCGAGACGTCACTTACAAGTTTGGAATACCGACTCAAAAGGTGTGAAGGTACTTGGTCTAAGCCCACCTATTTATGTATTTGGCAAGAACAGAACTACTGCTGGAAAACCTTTGCCTGCTATGAGTTTCGACTCCACCTTCGTAGCCCTGGAAGCTTTGAATCGTAACAAACTCGGACCTGGGAGATCTTGGTGTCTTTCAACTAACAACCATGAGGTATGTTTCCATAGGCTCCTATAGCTGTAGTAACTTACTAGAATGTTGACATGAGTATCAGGAACAGCATGAGTGGTTACCGCACTCAGTATATATGTACAAACTGGACCATAACACAGTTCCTAACATTGGACGTGAGGGACCGACTCATCCCTGCGGTACAATGCTCTTTGGTACAAGACCTGAAAATTGGGTTCAGACATCTTTTCTCTCGGTACTTATCGACACCCTTAATATCGAAGGTGTTGCCGACTGTCTTAACCATGATGGTTGCCGTGGTACTGCAATGATTTCTTGGTCTTTTCTGTGCCCAGAAAATGAGTATTATGGATGCTGGAATGTTATACCTAACGTGTATACATCCGTGTTCCACATCACCGACAATATCGATACAGCTAAGTCTGGCATCAATATAACTCTAGGGTCAAATACATTCGATCACGAAATTAAAGAGCATCTATTCCAGAATCAGAAGTATGGCAAAAATAAAACGTACCTAAATACTTGTAGGGAGTGTGGAAAGTGTGATTGGTGCAAAAGACAGTGACCTGGTAACAGGTAGGCCTGTGCGGACGCCCCTATTTCCCCCTCAAAACTCGCCAACTCGCATGGAGATGAAGAAATTAATAATATAACATACAGACTATTCAAATGCATTTCTTAAAGCTAATGACTATATCCATTTCATTTAAATTAAAATGATTTTCATATTTTATAAACTCATGAGAGGGCCCTCCCAAGGGCTTCTCATCGCTGCTCGCAAGCCTCATTCCCGTATTCGCGACTTTAGAGGCTACAGAAACGTGTGCGAAAACTTCAAATGACTGAGAAGATTTTCGAGATACAGAGAAACACTAGAGCCCGAAAATCTCGGCTTGCGATTTCTTGCATACACCGGTGGCGTAGGCCGTATCTGACTGGTGTGAGAATAGGAGACTCACACCAAATGTAATGGAGGAAGAACGGTCGGGGGAGAATCATCCACCATACGGCAGACGATACTGTCCTTAGAGTCACTTAAATGTTCTATGCGTTTTATTGCCGGCTTACTAAGTGGTTGACCGACCCAACATGTACACATGCATACGTTGGATCAACTACCCCGCCACCTTATTTGTACCAGTAAGCTGAAGATAATAAGAATATTTGACCCTGCAGAGTCCCGGTCGGAAGACAGTTGGGTTAGACGGAGATTATCAGATAGGACACTCGGGACATATGATAGGGTTCTAGGCTAGGGAGCACTCTTGTGCTTTGGCCGATATTGTGACCGTTGAAAACTTGAAATGAGGTATCAGTAAACCTCCGACATCCGGGCTTAGAATCTAGCCTGCTGCTGTGTACATGTTATCGTTGCTCATCAATTAGCTTCGGCTTTCGCTGGTAATACATCAGCAGCTTGCGCCCACCCTTCGCCCTGCCTATATATCCAACAAATAACCATTACGAGCCAGCCTACTAGCCTACCATCGCTAATGATACTGGCTTATGACGTATGGAGTAGGAGAAACAATGAATTGTAGAGATAGTACGGCTTACCATACGAGAAGGAATTAAAGGACTAGATGACTAGGTAGTTTTTAAGTCTGATAAATATCACATTAAATATCAGTATAGTGGCTAAAAGTTGGACGTGCCTTGAATAGGTACTACCCCTTTTCTTAGGTACCTAGGTAGGTAAGCGGTTAGAACCCAGTGCTGCACGCACTGGGAGGAGTTACGAGCCAGCCTTCCAACGATGCCTGACTTGCATATGGCCCAAAGGCAGGCTCGATTCATCATATTCCCCATCACATCCGGCCATCCAAAGTACGGATTATACTAGATATTTATCAACTCAGAGTTCTGTAAGATACGAAACCATGCTAGAACGGGAAATATCTACCCTGAGAGATCTGCTCAACACCTATTCATGGCTTCAACAACTAGCCGGTATCCTTCCACTCTCCGCTCTTATTGACTTTCTCGATGTTCCTCATGCACTGCATGTCTTTGAGCTGACCGGCTGTATTCCATTGTGGTGCTGGCCGGTCACTCCATCAGGAAGTCGCTTACTTCTGTCACCGCACACTACCGAGGAGCCATGCTGTCTTGACAAATTCGGCAATAGTCAAAGCCTTATCTGTTTGGACGGGCGTTATGGAGATATGTACAATGCCGCCAGTCCCGAGACCCTTCGCTTGTGCTTGGACAGTGCACCGAGAACGCTGGTTGTCAATGACCATCAGAATATGTTAGATAACCACCCTCGTCCCCAGAACTTGACAGTTGTTCATGTATCCGGCTTGGATAGTGCGGGTGGTTCTCGCTCTTCCTGGACCTTACTCGGTGCTTCGACTATCGGTTGGATTCTTCTTCTGGGATTAATCGTCACAACGATTGCCTTGAAGTGCTATATTTCTGCAGCATTCCTCTTGGTCATACCTGCTACGGGTACTATCGTCTATATCACACGAGGGGGTGACCCGCCTACGCTTCGAGTTACCCGTGGAAGCAATTACAACCGTCTTGTAATAGCTGCTTTGCACATGAATGAAACGGACTGGCTCGCATTCTACGGCGAAGCCACAATCGTCAATGCCCTCCTCAATTTACCCTTAAGAATGAAAAGATTTTCCAGAGCCAATCACTGGGTCTTCGGCGTCTCTCTAAGGTTACTCGTCCTTGGCCAATGGGCACTAGCAATCGGCGCAGCCTCCACTCAGAGCTGGGACGCTTACATCATTACATTTTGGATCGTGCTCTGCATCTTCTCTAACATATTCGTTTTCTCTACCCACCGGTGCTGTGGCGACTGGCTGAGAAAGTCTGCCGGTTTCCGATTAATACGTATCGAAACCAAACTTAGCTCGCGAAGGGCGCTTCTAAACACACTCGTCGCACTAAACCCAGACACTATTCCATACGATTCGGTCACTATGCAGGATAAGCAAGATGGCCCCTTCCCGAGCTCACTCCTTTGGATGGATCCTATCCTCAAGAATTGCGCTGAACGGGCCATATGGGAAGAAGCTACTTGGATGGCTATGACTACAAAGCCTGATAGCAAGGAACATGCGAACAAAGACGAGAACTCGAACAAGGATGAGACGGAGAAGCCTGACTGGTCGAAGAATTATATGCAGTACTATTGGTGCAAGTTCATTCCTGAAGGAATACTAATGGCAGATAAAATCAGAAAGGCAGGAAATCTATCTGGACGATTTGTTAAGTAGCTGGGTATGTAGAGATACGACATGGAATAAATGATAACAGCACTATCGTCCCGCCCATTGTTGTTATGACCTACCAGCTACCTACAAGGACATGTATTGTACTGCTAGATGTTTCGCATTCTTCCAAAGAGATATTAGTAACCTTAGCCATAGGTACCTATGCTTGTTCAATTTTAAGTGTTATTTACCTAATTCATCTGTGGTTTTAAATGAAAAGTATAAAGACTTATGTCCATTGCTCGTGGAATCCACCCTCCCCCTAAAGACCACCCACTTAATGAATTAGTGGTGCTTAGCATTTTCAACTTATTGAGAAGTATTCATGAGACGTAATAAAATCTTTTAGTCAGAGCCAAGTTTAACCATTTATACCGGTACTTACCTAGTAGTATGTCTCCTGAAGAATCTCTACAAAGTTAGGTATGATCTACGAAGACAACGTCGTGAATGAACGCTGTCATTTATTTGATCACCTAGCCAACCATCCTTAACTTAGAACAATTGCTTTGTGATCTGCTTTGTATTAGCGGTGAACAAACAAACAATTGTCTTTTACTCTTAGTATTCCATTAGTACCTAGAAACTACTTCTTTCATTTACTTTCTCTAGTTTCGCAGTCCAAAACATTAAAAAGCAGTCGAGGACTCCCCGAGAATCTCCAGAGTGCATTTTATCAAACTCACTATTACTAATCCCACAGAAAGAAACAAAATAAAATATCAACCTTGCTCCAGAATGGCGTCAGTTCGTAAGGACATTGTGGTATCTATCACTACCCCGATGCCACACCGATACATCTATGTCCCAAGAGGAAGTCCTTACAAAACTTTGAACTGTCGAAAGAAGGCGCGTGAAGAGGGCTACGATGTTTATGTCGTCAACGATGCCAAGGGAAGACAGATGGGGATTCGTGTACCGATCACCATTTTCGAGCGAGTTCAAGAGAAGTTCGAGGAGACAGAAGTATCACGAGCTAAGGCCATGAAGAGGAGGGATGAAAAGATGAATACCGAGTTCTCCAATTCGGTTCTCGCACAGTTTCCCAAGATTCCCACTGAGGAAGTGCCAAACATCGTTGAACAAGCGATGAAAAAGCATAGCGGAAGAGTCGGCCGGACGGGAACGTTAGACATCAGCGAGAAAGCGCAGCTGGGTGTCCGCGCTTATATTCGACATAAGTACACTGATTATGACGAGCTGTTGAAGAACAACGTTTCTAGAGAAGATGCACGAGCTCAGATCTATGAAAAAGTGGACAAGATGGTTTTGGAATGGGGAGGGTCGCTCAAAGAGGCAAGCAACAAGACGGCGGACTATTCGACCGATGACATCGGGAAGAAGATTGCCCGAAAAACTACTCTGAAGACCAAGTTCACTATAAGGTCAAGGGCACGCGCTCGCACAGCTAAGAAGCGATCCCAGAGATCCTCGAGCGCACCACCAACATTGTAAGGGCTGGTCTAGTACCAAGTCTAGGTTATCAGCTGCTCGCCATGTGAACCTTGAAGACTAAGAATCCACCTAAGTAGCTGTACTTTGGTTAGGGGTAAGATTTAGTAAAGGAGATTCACTTGCATCCTGCGTGAGTGAACGGCCATTTTTGTCGAAACCATTCAGTTATGGTTTCAAAATGCATCCCATGGCTCCCTTTATAAGCTAAGCATCCAATAAGCCCTCTCTGATTAGGAATTCCGTCAGTCTGTTTCAACAGTAAGACACGCCAAGTTTGTTTCATCGTAGCATTTTTCGTATCCTTCCATCTCTAGCAACAGAATAAAATTTTTACAATAAAAGGGTAGATCGCTCACTTAGTAATTTGACATGTTATGATAAACGTGGTACTTATATACATTGAATTGAAAATTTAATGCAGGACCTACAAGTGCGAATACCTACCAAAGTAGGTACCTTAGTAGGTAAGTAGGGGGGATGCGACACGAAAAGAAATTAACCTAGGTTAGTGGTCTCAAGGCACTTCGACATTAGACTACTGGCCAACCACTTGAGAAGTCGATGGTGTTCCATCCGAACTGCTTCTGAGCATCCGCATAACCAATAGTAGTATCGACGTAATGATAGTAGAGAATCTGCGAAACATTAGCAATACGAAAGAGGTAATCTTGAGTAGTTTACTCACAGGCCCATGTGTGGGATCATTGTATACTCCTTGTCCTCCGGGTCCATAGACAGTTCCATGAGACTCAAGAACCACCGTTCCGCCACTGTTAGTGCAAGCCGTGCCAGTGGAATCCACATACCCTCCAGTCGCAGAGGTAGATCGACAGACCATGATCTTATACTCGCCACCCGCCGCTGGTTTGCTTGTATCGTAGCCGCAGCACTGGCCTTTGCTGAAAAACAGGTAATAATAGTTCCCATTCTTGAATACGAAAGAGCCCTCCTCGTCGGTTTTGATAGGATCGTAAGCGACTTGGTAAGTGGAAGCACCGCTTGCTAAGGTGCTGGGTGTGCTGGCCATCGCCACTTGGTAGATATCCTGCCAGAAGCTACCAAAGGTAATGAGGTAGGTGCCGCTAGCGTTGATTAGATTGGGGTCGATCGCATTGTACGGTTTGCCAGATGCCGATTGAATGCCGGTAGATCCCAGGTCCGTCCAGGTGCCCACATCTAAACTGGAGGATGTTGCGACTCCAATGGCAGAGTCTTGGACGCCAAACGTGCTGACGGAATAGTAGAGATAATATGTGCTACCCACTAGGGAAACATCGGGCGCCTGTCCTCACGAGAGAAAGTTAGATGAAATAGTGATTCCAGGTGGTTTAGCGTTATAACTTACCCAAAGATCCTGATTTCCGGCAAGGTTGATTTTTGATCCCGAAGGGAGCGCCGCGCCTTGGTACGTCCACGGGCCCGTGATATCCGGAGCGGTGTGAACTGCGATCTTTCCGCCCGTAGAGAAACGGAAGTATGTGCCATCCGATCGTCGGATGATAGATGGATCATGCGTGTTGGTGCAGGTACCCGAGCACGCGCCAGGATTGGCATACCCGGACACGACGCCCAATGAAGGCAGCAGGGCCAAGATTGCGGTAGAGATCCTCATTCTAATTACTTTCAGCCCTATGAATAGTATTCGATCTTAGAAGAAAATTCCTCAAGACACTCAAATATCTAAATCATCAGATATTTGTTATGATTAATATAGAGAGGACCCGGTAACTTCGGCGGCTATAACTCACCCCATGACTGTGGGCTTTCTCGATTAGGAAATCTGGGCATCCAGTTGGCGGTCTTTGATTGGAGGAAACCTAACCTGGATTTCACCGTAGGGGGTTACCGTGGGAGAGTGGAGGGTCTCGTCGATATGCGCACCACTTAACAACATGCCATAGTTGTAGCTGAAACTATCAACATCGATACAGATTTTGAACACCCTTTTCTATTAGGAAGCTCAGAAATCTATAGGGCATCCATACCCGCCACTGGATAGTATTTCATGTGTTTCAAATAATCCGAGTCTAGGGCCACCAAATTGTCCTGCACAATTTCTTGGCGTCGATATGGAACTAAAGAGCAACTTTCAATGGTCTTTCAAGTCTGAGATCTACGCTGAAACAGCGTTTCTCTACGAAAAAGAATCTGCCTTCTCTTGTAGCCATCGCTTAGGTCGTTAGTTGATCAATGTGAGCTTTCATGGATTAGAGCATACCTAGGTGCTTGGGATCTTCTGGGGCAGATAGCCTTTACCGAAAAACATCTTCAATCTCGACTCTAATGCTTGGGCTCCTCAAAATCGGCAAATTGAGTAATAGTTGAAAGTTAAATCTTGATTCAATTTGCCTTGACGTGATCCGGCATAATTCGTTAAATTTGGATATGCCCTTGAATTAAACTTGGGCGGATTACGTATGCTCATACGTTATAAAATTATGCAGCCCCACATATCGTATCCCTTTTTACCAAGACTTGGATAGTAGTTTATTTCTTGTACTTTGCGTTACAATTAATTTTGGATTAAATTGTAGGTATAAAAGTTAGAATAATCTCTCGTTATTATCTAACCTATCTCACAGGTTTAGTACGCCTCTCCCTCTTCCCATTAATTGTAGCAGTTGCCAGCATCATTCCTCCAATACTCTAGGTTCTTTTATGAGTACATCGATTGTTTTATCACACAAAAGACTGGAGATCATTGCCTCTAACGTAGGAGGACTTCTGAAAATGGACGGGAACCGCTACTAAAATGCGATCAGAATTGTATCCAGTTGATCCCTCGTCATCATTGATGGTGCTAGCCTACCTAGTAATGTCGTTGAATTTGAGCTCTTCAAAGATTAGGTACGTTCTGAAGTTGTCACAGTGCGATTTGGTAATCCATCCCTAAAAGGGATTAGCCCTTGATTGCTTGGGAGCAACACTCCCCTTTTCTTAACCTAATAAATCATACCTTTCACTACCTATGTCAAAGATCTGGCACCAACCAGTGGTGTCACAAAAGCTATCCGATATTACAGTCCACGACTATCTAAGTTCCGCAGTAAAGATCTCGGCTTCGGATACGAGATTTGCTTGGATTTTACAGCTAGCGATCTAGTATTGCCTTAACCTGATCTGCTCGGTTACTTTTGCACTGCAAGGGGTGAAACGATTCATGATTAGATTGCTCGTAACCCAAGCACCGGTGTTATAGCCCAAGCATCGTAGCATTGTTATAATCATATATACTTGTCCTATGAGTCTCGCCGTTAACTGTAGGTAAGAAGTCGCAGTCAAGGTTGACGATCATTTCTTATGATATAGCCCACTGCGTAAAAGACACACCTTCCTATGTTCGGTCATGTTCAACACTTTTAGCTTATGATACAGTCTGTGGGTGCTAAATATCTTGCAGTATGAACGGTAATGAACGGGACTAGCACTGGCTTGTGACGCCTCCCCATGCCTTCGGCACTGCGCTCTAATTCGGGAAATGGGCAGCAACTAGAACATCGCCGGGGGTTAACCGGTATGCTACCTAAGTTTTGGTATCATCATTATCGCTCTAAGTGTATAAGGTAATATAAGAGATCTGATGTATAGAAGAAATATTGTGCCAATCGCTACCCGTTTCCGAATTAAAGCGCAGTGCTGAAGGCACGGGGAGGCGTCACAAGCCAGTGCCAGTACGGTATACTCCGTATTAAAAAAAAGGAGGAGCAAGCTAGACATACCCAGTCTTAGCTGAGTTAATCAGTAGTTAATCACTTATACCTAATTGCCCTGTGACATAGTCCAATTCTCCTTCTTATGTCAAGTTTCCCATCAGGCTTAGCCTTGGTTCAGTTTCGTTTACTAATGTTTTCAGTACTATTGATCGTAGATAGCCTCAAATTGCACGTCAAGGAAACGAAACTTCACAAGTCCCTTGATATAAAAAAGAGCGATTGTCGTTCAAATGAGTGTCCACACTTGATACCGCTCTCCCTGTACAGTAGGAGGTAGCTAATAGTCCTCCATATGTATCAAATAAATTTCCAAGCCCACTATAAAGTTGTGTAGTATGACCTAATTTCCTTCCCCAATATCGCAGCATTCCACAGACCATTCTTGGGCGTCCTCGCGTTCCATGAGGGCTAGATGCAATATGTATAAGAGAGATGTTGACATTAGATTTATGAAGTTAAGCATATATATCTTACCTGGAGCAGCAAACACAGCTGTAACAGAGACAGCCAGGAAAATGAGGGTAGACTTGAAGTTCATGTTGACGGTATGATTCGAACTCGAAAAAGTTTATTTGAGAAGTTGGGCCTTGTGAGTAACTTTCGATGTGAGACTCTAGGTGGTTGATGAAGAGTGATATGGATGGAATTCATTGATGAAGAATGGGAAAAGTCTTGGTTCTTATACTCACCTGAGTGCCACAAATCTACCTAGCATCAATTGAGGTTGACCCTATAGAAGACCCATGGTAACCTGGTCGTTCTCCATTCAAGGGGTTACTCCGGTACGTGGTCAGCGGCCCCGCGGTCAGCATTAGAAAACCAAGAGTTAGCTTCCCAGTGCTGAACGCGGGGAAGGCCTTGAAAGAAGATACATGGGGTCTAGGACTTCTACTTGTAAACCAATCGGAGGCGAGGGATGGGCTAAACACATCAGACTTATGAACTCGTCGCAAGCAACAGAAAAGCAACATCACTCCTACCAATGGAAAAAGCTCCAGACATCTAATGTTAGCCACGTGCTGTAGATGGCTACGGAAATGAACGATAATATAGTATTAATTCAACTTAGGTGCGTCTGAGAGAGTGAGTGACTTAGTTCCCCGGACGAATCGTCTGGGTCAACTCAAGTAGATAGGATTGGAGGACTCCATTATTCCATAATACGATATCTCACCCTTACATCTTTTCGGATATAATGAATACATAAACTATGGGCCTCCTCTCCCAATTCACTATTGGGTTGCAATGGTAGCCGGAGTAGCTCGACCAGATAGTCCGGTGTAAGTAGCCTTTTGGGCCCTGTCTGTATCACAGTGACTGCGGTTTATTCAACCTGGCACGCATATAAATCGCGTGATGTGATACTCGCGGCATCATGATCCTGACAACGGAGCGCTACTGAATTCTTTGCTTCCCTGCTTATTAGTGCTGACTTGGGGGGGAATCTGCAGTGTTATGGCACAGGCTCCATCGGCTAGATACCAACAACAGGAGAGCATGCATTTAGATATCGTTTTAGATTCCTATTCGCTTCTGTCTGCTTCTATGTCACAAGGTCAAACTCTTAACCCTAGCATATTCAATCCTTCTTGAGCTTCTCTAGAACTTTGGAGCATTGGAATTTTCAGCCACCGTAACCAGATATTTCATGTCTAGAACGGATGTAAGATTCCCATACGTTTCTTTAAGCTTAGAGACCATATACTCACATCATATAGCGGCCAACTCACGATGTCCAGTCGTCCAAAATCCAAACAGTACACGGCCGTCCATGATGAGGAGACGGCCTGCCTATCCGAAGCGGAAAGCACTGAGAATTTTCTCAGCGATAATCAAAGGCGCAACATATCTCCGTCAACTTGGATTCCCCAAGGACGCTGCAATGCCGCAGGTTTCATATTAGGAGTTGCCTGTCTAGTCGTGACCATTCTGGTTACTATTCAATGTACTATTTGGTATGAACGAAGAGGCAGCAATGCTCCGAGATGGCGCCCAGCATTCTGTAGGTTGCTTGACTTTCTTCTTCGCAAAATATTTAGACTTGGAGGTATTCGACGCTAACGCTTACAGCGCCGCTGTATGATATGGTGAAAATTCCATTGATAACAACATATAGCGAGCACTCTCCAGCTCCTAATGTCTCGGACCCGAGACATATCTACCGGTTAGACCCAAGCCCTGAAGTTGATGCAGCCTGGAGCCGTATCGCTACAGCTGACGGAGTATATCCTATGTCAGCGTCGGACGTAGTCCGCGCGGGTAAGGACCCTAAGCTGGCTGTCGACGCACCAGAGTCGTGGGGTTTTCCACCGGGTAAGAGCAAAATGATGGGCATCGAAGCTTTCCACCTACTGCACTGTCTGAACGCGCTGCGCAAGAGCCTCATCACCACCTATGACTACTATTGGGGAGCGAAGTACGGATTTCAGCCGCCTGCCATATACGAGCGCCACCTTAATCACTGTGTCGAAATGTTGCGGCAGCACTTGATGTGTCATGCTGATCTCGAACCATTCACCTTCAACTGGCGCGAGGGCCAGGCCAAGCCGTACGCCGACTTTAACATTCAAAAGACTTGCGTAGACTTCGACTACTTGCTGGAGTGGTCCGAGAGAAACAAAGACCCCCGGCATGAGGAGCTTGTAAGTTCACTCCATAATACTCATTCATTCTCTTTTCCAATAGCCCCTCTTAGGCGCAGGTTCGTTACCAAGTTTGAATAAGATTGGGTACCCTTTTGACAACACTCAACCTAACTGGCAAGTAATAATTGCTGACTCTTAGTACTATAGTGGCGGGCTTTGGAAAAGCCAGAAGATGCATTGCAGAAAGAAGCGCCTGCTGATTTGCCACAAATCACTGAAGATACAGTATGGAGTGCAAGTGGAAAAACTCCACTGGCTAATCTTACTGGCTTCGAGGGCAAGGAGTACTGTCTCGGTACCAGGTCATAATGTCTTGATATTCAATGAAAAATAAAACCGATAGTTTACTTAGATGGTCATTAAAATCGGGGGATAAAAAATACAGCACATGTTCAAGACTAGGTAATACACCACCACTAGACAATGTATGCAAGAGAAGGTTAATCCTCCACTATCTTCTAAGTGAGGGCTGGGGGCACATACCTGGCAGGAGCAAGGATGTCATGCCGGAAGACAACCCGAGGCGAGGGGTAAGGCGAAGCTTGATCCAACACAATCCATGTATTATCCAACTTCATTGCACTGTGAAGGTGAAGACCTCGGAATGGGTCTGATTATATAATCAGGGGATAGTTGGGATAATTACCTAACTTTACAGTCTAGGACAATAGTGTTGATATATCGACCACTTGATCTGGCGTTGTTTGAGGAATTCTTAGCAAGTGTGATCCATCCGTATGACCCGGGACGAGGTGAGGGTGCACACTGGCTTTTACTGTCCATCTTCCAGGAGTCATGAATACGGGAAGCAAGCCAGCCAAGAAATGCCCATTGGCTTTGTAAACGACGTACGGCGCAGCTGAACCAACGCCGTAACTTAAGACACGAAATAAGTCAGACATGCCATATTTCGTCCGATACCGCACGCCGTGCATTCATATCCTCAATTTTTTTCCCGTGATTCTTCCTGTTCTTTTTTGGTTTTCTTTTTGTAATTGAGGCGTTCAAACTTGGATCTGCACAGGGATATGGCTAAAATATGTGGGGCTTCAAAGCTTAGCTAATGTCACTGAACAAGACAATCCTTGTACAATATTAGCTCCGAAAATAGCTGCGCAATTATTCGTCTTTATTAATTGACTTTAAAGCTACTAAGGATTGAAATGTTGAGACCACACCACAGCCACTCAGTCCTAAGTGACTAACTAGCCACTAGCCACTGGGCATTAGCCACCCAGGCTTGACTAGGTAGATTAGCTTACCATACTTTTCGTAATTCCTTAATACTTCCTTTAACAACAACCAATCATACCGACAAAAAAGTGTGGAAGACATTTCAACCTTTGATTGGATCATCTTGCTTCCTTTTTTGGTAGTCCGATATCTCCTAAATCTGCCTATTTCGAGGCTTACCTACGGAGTCGACAAATCATCCCCAAGATGTGAAACAATCAACAAGGCCACGGTACAAAGGCCTAGATGCCAGCTCATTGGGTAACAATCCCATATCACCATTATTTATCCAATGATTGTGAAGCTCGCAACGTGTTTTACCCCGCTCCAAGACCCTCTCTATTTCAACTATCTGCCTAGCAAGAAACCAAAGATGCGACGCATGATTATCCTATATGAAATATTCTCTTATTCTGGTAGAAATCAACCATGGGACCGTTCTTCAAACACCCGCAGCAACCGGAACTTTATGTTGCTGATAAAGTGGCATTAGAGGAGTCAATACGACACCCGCCATGCTCTTGTCACGACTGCCAGACCGGCTTTTACTTAGCGAATGAGCAGTATAGACCCCCACTATCGTATCGTTCCAGGATCTCAGATGCTGATGCTAGGCATTTGGTCGAATCGTATACCAAGGAAATACATGAAAATAGGAAGTCCTTGACCGAATCTCTGAAGTCTCACGCGGATCTGCTCATGAGCCGATGGAGAAAACGAAGCCAAGAAAAACGACAGGCTCTGTTGATGGCAGCAGCGCCGGACCTTGAGCCTTCGCCATGGCTTAACATGCGGTATTGCTATATGAATGAAAGGAAGCTAATTGACTGTCGAAGTTTAAGAAGAAGGCGTCAACTTTTGGCTCCGTGGCTCAATGTGAATGTATTAAAGACGAATCCATCAGTTCTGTATGCCCTCTTGCATTATCGAGTCGCATACCAACCGCAAGATTGGGCTGCTTTCGATTGCAGACAGTTGACATTAAGTTGGGCCTGCGGGTGGTTTGACGTCGATTTCTGTAATAAATGTGTGGTTATGTATGGGCCAAGATATGGGACCCTTGTGGACTGGGAAGAGGCTGCCGCTCACAGGGCAGATATTATTGGATTTCCTCGGGCTCGGCTCGTCCTAGAGGCGCAATCATTTATAATGACAACCCTCCGATCAATTGTCGACAAGATTTTGGATGGCGTTGATGATTCTCTACCAGTTCGGACTCAGAAATGGTCAGAGTTGACGGCCAATGCCAGCTTCAAGCACACTGGAGAGGTCGAATTCTGGTCCCCATATACCAACCAAGCCTTTTCCGCTCCTCCTCTCCTGGATACAGATTATTTGGTCTCCTTGGCAAATACTCGTTTAGAAGCTACGGGCGATCATCTGTGGCATCTGCAATGCGACCCGGCATACATGCGTCGACACATGAAGATATACTCCCGAAAGTCAATCGCAAAAGTCGCCGAAGAGAACGAGGCCGCACGACACTTTGCGTTCGAAGTATACGTTGAAGTGCTTGGTCATTATTGGTGGCACTGGATCGAAACAGAATGTAAGAATGTGGCAAACTTGCATCGACGGTTTCGAGATAGTATTTACCCCGGAAACCCTCTACCTCCTCGTTACGACCGAGCCCTAGGTGCCCTTGAGCTTGTCCTCGTCAACCAGGTGATCTATCGGGTGCAGATACTCCACCAGATTATACCTTACTGTCCAGGATTTTCTCACCATTGGACGCTAAAACGTGATGCTGACACGCCCCAAGGTTGTATCAAATTGCAAAGAGATACCTCAAACAATACGAAGGAAGCCTTTGAGAACGATCCCCTTGATTGGTGTTTACTTCAACTACTAGGGATGCCGGACCAGCAGACTCATTTTGACCACGCAATGCTTTTTGCCTTTTTGCAGGATCATCTTTCTCACTGTAGTTCGAAAGAAAAGGCGCGACTGGACGAGAGCTTGTACAAAAACCTATCTGACCTCTCAACTTGCCACGAGATGCTGGTCGCCGTTCGCTTGAGTAGACCTCAGAATAAAGCGAGAGATATTAAGGAGGTTCTTGCGTCGGAGACAGACCGAGATCGCCAGGCTTGGAAGAAGATGGCTCAAAATGAAGCGCCTCCATCTCCGCCCCTGGGAGACCTGGAAAGAAGCGGAATGGGGTTGTTCAAAAATCTCTACGCGAAGCCTCCGAGTGGCCAGAAGAACCTAGAGTGGCTGCGACAATCCCGAACTAATCGTGCAGCTCTAGAAGCATTCTGGAACTCAATGAGAGAGATAATACGGAAGTGTTTCACAGGATACACTTTCACTACAGAGGATATCGATGGTCTCCTTCAGATCATATCGGCAGATAAGACGTCAGAGTATATCGATGCCGTGCGCAGCGAAGAGAATAAAATTTTGGCTGATGTCGAGAGCAACAAAACTGAGCCGATGCTTCGAAACTTGACCCTAAATGACCCTGGGCAACAGTTCAAACGCGAAGTCCAAAGCCCACGAGAGAAGATCAAAAGCCGGCCAGAATCAAGCGTCGTTCAGCCAACAGCAACCGCCGCGCCCAGCACTCCTACTCCTGCTGCAGGTACAGAGTCTAGTGTAAAGAATGATGGGGTGATAGCTGTAAGTGAGCGATCCCTTAACATATTTAGCTTCATGTTCCCAGAAACAGCGGAAGAGTCAACCAAAACCGTGGGCTGGGATGATTTTGTGCATGCTATTTGCGACGTGGGCTTCACGGCGAGAAACAACGGTGGCTCAGCTGTTCTGTTCGAAAGTATCGATGGAAAGATTGTCTTCCATAAGCCACATCCCGTCGTGAAGATAGATTCAATTATGCTACGTTCGATGGGGAAGAGGATGACGAAATGGTTTGGGTGGAGCCGAGAACGGTTCGTGTTAGCAGATGCCAATATTGATAAATCCTCTACCTAATTAGGTAGACAGTCCATGTCTTTCCTATCCTTATACGGCGAGGCCCTCTTCGCAAACCCCTTGGGCTGCTTAAGCTTTATCTAGGTATCATTGATGATAATACATGTATTCTTCCGCGTCTCTGAATCCAAACGTAATTGTGATACTAATACGATTACCCATGATTAAGGACGAGTAGGCAACATTTAATAGACTTGTCAATTAGGTACAGATAACTCACCTGTATTTGGATATAATAAAAAGGCTTAAACCACTTTGGAGGAAGTTCTGGGTAGTAATACTTGTCAATGGTAATGCTGCGATTTAGGTGGAGTTACACGAGTTGGAAGAAATAGGGGTAGGGGTGGAGGAGTACAGCTGTGAATAGGATCTCGCAGATTCCTACAGAGACAGTTCAATTTCCGAAGGGAAGAAACCATACGACGTATGTGATGCTTTCTATTGCTAGTTACCTAGGCTTACATTTGGAGACATATTTGACCTACCTACCTGGGAGGTAGGTAGGTACCCATGCAGGGGTTTGATGCTGCGCCACCGGGGAACGAATGCACCTGAAGCTCGCGAAGACTAGGAAGCACGATAGCGACCTCGAAAACATGCGTGTTTGTCGCATATTCGGACCCGGAGGACATTACAGTTTGTTTCGTTTGTTACTTGAGACGAAAAAACGTCGTTTGAAGGACCAAACTTGTTTTGACTTACTACGCAGCCAAGGGAGTTCTGCAGTCCAAATATAGTTATTCCGCGGCCGAGGAAGAATCCTCCAGAGCCAGATGTTGGCGAAGACTGTTCTCAGATTCTTTCTGAAGGACGCACATAAGCAACCAACAATCTCGCGCCTTGAAACAAACCTCCGAATATGGCTGATATAGGAGCATATGAAAAGACAAAGGTCGGAAGCGTAAACACATTTAATTAGGAGCTTGTCGCCTAATGACACAGTGAGGCCCATTCTTCCGCAACTAGTCGATTATCTACCTACCTACGTATTACTAATATTTAATAAGTTCCTATGCGGAAAAACTGAAGTTCTATCCATGAAATAGTACACCAGAATAGATGCAACGCTTAATGGGCATCTCAATGTGGCGGTCGTTGAAGGCAATAACCCTTGCGGCCGTGCTCGCGCAATACAGCGTCCACGGGCAATCGTCGAGTCGAAGCAAGGCAACTAGTAAAACCACAAGCTCGCCATCTGTGGTCATTACAGGAGGTCCATTCCAAGGGTTCATCATTGCTGACACTGCCAGTACGCTGCTTTCTTTGAAAAGTGGGGTTATGTGCAAAAGCACGAATGTGTATAGCTAATAGGGGTCGATAGCTACGCCTGTCTCTTGTCCTAGCGGCGAGGTGTTCGTCACGTCCGCTAAGTATGCGGCCTGCTGTGCTACTACAGCACTACCATGTGCAATTGCTACGAATTGTAAGGAAAATGCCATTATCTATAAGAACGGCAAAGCGTCCGACTGGTAAGTCTACGTCTCACCCCTGATAGGGCATCATGCTCATCGTTTCTATAAAGCGGCCCACTACAATGTCATCTGCGACAGATCTTCTTGGCGTATGGGGATAAGGAACCAGCTTTTACACAACCGCTCTGTGCTGGTGTCGAGATAGACACGCTGTATCAAACGGTGCCAATGACATCAAGGTTGACATTGCCACTGGTTGCTGTCGATGCCACCACGGCCGTAGTAACCGACGGCTCCCCAATAGAAACAGGACCGGCTACACCTACTATTGTGAATAGTGAGCCCTCTTCGTCGAACTTTGATGCCGTTATACTCGGCGCCGTGTTTGGAGGTTTAGGTATCCTCGCATTGATAGTCTTCGCGTTTTGGTATGGGCGAAAAGAAGGGATTGCAAAGATGGGTTCCGAGGGTAAAGGCGCGTATGAGATGAAAGTGCTATCGGAAACGGAAAGGACGGCGAATGTCTCGTTTGCCAGTTTGGAAGCAGATCCAAAATTGACTCCTTTGAACATATCAGGGCGATCGGCAATATCGGGCACACGTAATAGATGACACCGGTGAGACTTCAGACAGGCAATTTATGGTGAGGATGTAAATTAGATAACTTGCGTATATTGTTTAATAAAGGCTAAAAATATAGTAATGATAAGTTCCGAATGACGTAGCGTCGTACATGCATCTAAGCCATGATGCAGCTATTCTACCTTTTGATGAATGACGAAAGTAACATGTCCTACTAGGACAAGAGGAAAAGGATGGACAGGGAGATGATGCCTTCGTCACTTGATGTAGTATCTTAACTAAATATCCAATTGAACCACTTGGAGAAGATATTCCTATGTAGTATGTTTAGTTATAACGTCCAAGATGGTTAGATGTATGGACTTACCTCGGCGGCGATGGGACGAATTTGGTGGTGTAGTCTTCGACAGCAGCAACATCTCTGAGCAGATCAACTTCATAGGGTCTATGAAATCGGGTCTTGTGGACTACCTTCCAACCAATGAAAAGGAGCGGGCACACACCAATCATCGTGTAACTAATCCTCGTTAGCTATGATTCGTCACTTGCAGGTCTTCTAGAACGTCGGACTTACGAGAATAGGAAAGTTGGTACATCCCACTTCCCCGGCAAGAAAACCGTGTAGCCGCCTATGAAAGTCATAACGAAAGTCGCGAACAATCCGAAATATGCGGCGTATGGCTGCAAGACACCCTTGTATGGCAAGGTATCGCGGCTAATTCCTTGTACCCTCAGCGCTCGATGAAAGCAGATGTACGTAACGCACATGACACTGAAATTGATGAGCTGAGACGCGGTTACAAGGCTAACGAACCAGCTCAGGACAACAGCAGCGTTTTCGCTCACTTGAAGGAACGCAAGCAACGCAATAATTAAGACAATTAACACGCAGTAGATAGGGACACCTCTCCCCGTGCATCTTGTAAGGAACTTGGGTGCCTTGCCCTCGAGAGCTAGTCCGTAGAGTGATCGGGACGCGCAGTACACGTAGCTATTGCCGGCAGAGAAAGCGGCGGTCAAGACCATAGCATTGATAATATGCGGTAAGATTGGGATTCCGAGTCGGTTCATCGCGACGACATACGGCGAAGCTGCTGCGCCCGGCTCGGAATTGGCGAAGGCTTGCGTCAATTCAGCGTCGTTGTACGGAACTAGAATCCCCACACACAAGGAACCGAGCATGAAAAAGGTGGTCAACCGATAAAACACGGCATTGAAAGCTTTAGGCATGACCACACGAGGGTTCTCAGCTTCGCCGGCAGCCATTGAGACGTAGTCAGGCCCGGCGATCGTGAAAGAGGCTTGGATCAAGCATTGCATGAAGCCCTGGAACCTGCCGAGGGAACCAGTCGTGTAGTACTCTGCGAACGATCCAGGTTCGTACCAGTATCGAAAGCCAAATCGATCATGTAGGGGATTACCGCCCAACATCACAATGAAGGTGAATATGATCAACCCAACGATAAGCAAGACTTTACCAAGCGCAGCCCAAAACTCAGTCTCACCATACCATTTAACAGCCAGGACATTGATCAGTGCATAAAGCACCAGGACGATTGCGATGATCCCGCCGGCTGGCACAATATCACTCCAGTAGTGAATAACCACATTGCATGCTGTTACTTCAAATGGCACAAGGGCGGCCTCGAAGATGAAAAAATTCCAACCAGCAGCAAAGCCAAAGGCCTCATCTACATAGCGACCAGCAAAGCGAATCTGATATTTGGGGAAAATAGGGTTGTTAGCAATTTTTACATTGGATTTTAACGTATGGCTATGCATTATCTTCCTGAATCCGAGAAGAAAGATATTAAATTTTACTCACTGCTATAGCGTTAGCGACTAGACTATGAAAATTTGGGGATTTTTCGAAGAGTTTAATCTTCAGTTTCAAAATGCGTTTTACACCTACCAAATGGTGAAGAGATGGGCAAATATGTAACCATTTCGGCCATAGACATGGTTATGGCCAGAATGACCGCACACCAGAGCGAGAAGGCGATAAAGAGGCTTCCCGGCCCGCCCTGCAAAAGGCCTTTTCCGATCTGAACATAGAGAGCCGTGCCAATGGTTCCACCAATACCGATTAGTTGGATATGGCGAGGTTTGAGTTTGCGATGCGTGCCGTCGCTATTGTTGACGGTGGTGAGGGACTCGATATGGCTATCCGGACGGCCCATAGCACTTTTCTCGGTATCTGTGACATCATTCGCAGCCGCGTAAGCTGGCGGCGAGGCTGTCGAGTATTCGACACCCGAGGACGCCATTGTAGGATTTTATTGTCTTGAACCAAGTGCAGAGACTTCGCTTCAACTAGCGGGAAAGCAATTGTTCGGGATAACGTCCAGGCCGCGGAAAATTCCTTTAAGTAAAAGAGAAAAGAACTCGGCTATGAATTCCATAGGTGATAATTGTTAGAGGTGACTCCCGCGAAGGCAAGACAGTCCCAGCTGGGCTATGCGACTTTGGTAAGATCAGCCAGTCAGCTAGAAAGGCAATGCGATGTAACGACAAGACGCCAAAGCCGAAGAGAAGGAGAAAGGATTTCTCACTTGCGTGGCTTTAATAGGTGAGTAGGAAAGATAACATGTGCCAAGAGAATTCCGGGGCCTTGGTTCTAGTCTTGACCTGGGACCGTGTAACCCAGTAAGAAATGAAACTGGTGATTGGTGGGTGGCGATCGGACAAGGATGGCCATATCGACGCCATGGAAGCCGATGCACGCGAGAAACCAGTTGCTGCTGAGGACGAACGGGCAGGCTTGCCAGGAACCATAGATAAGCGTGGATGAGTCGCTGATCTAGTGACATTTTTATGACGGTAACGGAAGTAGCCGAGAAATAAAATCTCACATCATCGCTTCTCACATACCGAAAGCCAGTAAGCAGAGTTGACTTTTCTTTTTCCGCTAGCACGTTCGAAATTAGGTGTTGTCAGCAGCTGAATGCTCCCGAATTCCAGAAACGTTACCGATCCGTTGTTGGAAATTTGCGATGGCGTGCCGATGTTATTGTCACCGGAAAGCCGCATAATCGGGCTGTCTGCGTCTGGCGAGTGAGATGGCGAGCTAACCCTGGAGGACCCGTGGTTTGGACCATGTCGCATGCATACGACTCAGACAAAAGCGGCTTTCCTACATACGCTCAGTGACTTTCGGTCAGCTCAATGCAACCTCGGGCGATACCCGACATCCATACTCTATTTCGTTATTCTTATCCGATGGTAATCATAGCGTAAGAATTTTAAAAACGCAAGGCTGGACGGTTCATGTTGTGTTTATTTCTCTTAACCGAGGTATTCAGGGCTAATCTTCGTCCAATTGTACCCGACTTTCCATATGTGGATTGAGATGTGGGCTGAGCCGCTCATTTGGCCTACCCGCGCTAAAGACGCCTAGTTTTAATCGTTCCCCAGACTAACAGGCTTGACAGGCTCGTTGAGGAATCGTTCAAAAGGCATCCTGGATGCTATGAGCATGGAGAATCCTGGTCTAGTTAATCTGTGAAGAACTCGGCGCTCCATCTTCAGCATGATTCCTCGTCCCACCGTCATCTTTACGGCCTTGGCTGGTAATCTCTTCTTGACTTAACTGTCGTTCCAATTGATCGTCCATCGCAGACGAGAAAACCGACTCCCTTCTACCCGAGAGGACACTTCCAACAGCTTCACCGATCGTAGAGGCGATGTCCCTTGAATGGAACAAAATCCCTAATTCTTGACTCGTAAACCAACTTGCGCGATCCATCTACAACACTTCGGATTAGTATTTTCGAAGAGGAAATATGCAGATTGCTGACGAGATCAAAAGGATTATTGCAAAGAGGCCTTGGAAAATAGAAATCACTCACGTTTCCAGATCCAAGCACAACATATTCGCCATCTACGAGAGTGAGCTTAAGGTGCGATTGCACTGGTTCTTCGGCCGTCCCATCCACTTTGCACTCAGCTTGGCTTTCGGCGTCTGGACAATAATAATCGATATTTAAAAATCCAAGTCGAGGTCGTTGCGCTTCGAGGTCGGGACCGCAGCTGGCCTTTGATCTGGATTGGTCTGCTTCGAGCTTTTTATATCTCCGAATTAAAGATTGGAGGCAGAGAGAAGTCGTAGTACCAGCTGTGACAAGTTGTTCCAAAAGCATCAACCTTTTGCTAGTCACTATGGCAACGTTGACACCCCGCTTCAAAGCTTCGAGGAGTTTATCAATCACCGCCCAGGAGGTTAGGTTTGGTGTCTGCATGTAGATGAAATGCTCTGCCAAGTCTAGCAATCGCAATATTGCTTGATTGAGAGGTGTCGATGGTGGCGGCGGGGAGTTGCGCCACGGAATAAAATCGAATCTGGGATTCCGGTGATGAGAGGACGGCAACAACATGGTCTGTGTCTCGCGTCCCCGAAAAAAAGCATTGAAATGATTGACGGAACTTGGTACTGCGGATACATCAAGTTCGTCCAAATTAAGAGGGTTGGCAGATCCATCGTCCGGAATATCCCTAGTCGTGAGTTGTTTGAGTTGTCCATCCCAAACATGTCGGTAGAACTTGACCAAGCCAGCCACAGCGTCTCCGGTTATTTCAACGCACCCTTCGAGCCATGCTTCCCAACTCACATTGCAACTAGGAAGCCAAGCTCTCTCACGATCGACGATGAGAAATTTCGGGTGCATTACGCTGAAAGGCAGAAAGAACAAGCTCTTCACACGTAAATCGATGAGACCGGCTTCTAGGGTTTCTTTATTGGGCAGGCCAAGTTGCTTCGACCATGCTGATGGTGGGTATATGTACCCATCCTTAGACGTGGTATGAAACAGCTTCTGGAGAATAGACCTCGACGAAAAGCAGATACGTATTCTCAGAGGCGATAAAGTTTCGCCGTCTGAGCTAGACGTAAGGATGTGTTCACGACGAGCTTCGGCAAGCTTTTCTAAAGCCTCTTTCAATGCAGAAAGGGTTGACGATGGCGCCCAGAAGCAAGTGACTAGAATGATCTCATATTTGGCTTGGAGCATTGCGGGTATTAACGACTGCGTATAGAGGGATGCGCCCGTACCAAGTTGAAAGGAGCGGACTTGACAAGAGCTCACTAAAGACCCCGGATCACGAACATGGTAATCCGGAAATTCGTCGCAGGAAGCCGCGGCGTTTTCTATAAGGGAATCTCTCCAGGTATCCCTGAATCTATGAAAAGAGTTATATGTGATATAAGGGTTTCTGGGCTCTGTCGAGCTCATGGAGTCCATCGAGTGAATGCTGGCCGGGGGGATAAATTCTAGTATTAATGAATATCGTATCACGCGAATTAAGTAGTTGTTCTGTGGATAGAATGGGTAGGTAAAGACTGATTAGTTGATTAGTAAGGTATTTATAATAAAACAGTAAGGAATGAGGCTTTAGGTAGCCCGAATATTGTTGTCCATGTCTGGGACTTTAGGACTTTAAGAAGACGTCCTTGTTGTTAATGGGTTTGCTCTATGGAGAATCATACCGCGATGAGATCCGGAGGCCTTCAGGGGCCTTGCGGTGAACAATTACTGAGAAATGAGCCACCACTAAGCCACGTGTCATGTGACAACTGCCCCTCTTGAATTAAGGTTACCACCCCACTTACCTGGTATGTTACAATAGTGGAGGAAGTAGTGGGACGCTGAGCTGGAAATGTCCCGAGTCGATGACTCCATTTTAATTCCTAACTTATCTTCACTTCTTCATCTTCAATTCCTTAATCAACCATTTCGCGGCGAACTTGAATATCCATATCCTTCTTCTACTTTTTCTATTACCCGTCTATACTGCCTAAATGCATAGGTAGCTATGACTTAATCAATCCACAAAGCTTGAACGACAACAGGATGTCCTCAAAGCTACATATCTTAAACAATAAAACATTTGTCTCTTCGGATGGTATCTTCCATTATGTACACGCGAATCTCCACTCTTACACTCGACATATCCACGCTACGCAAGCTCGGGGTTCTGCGCCGGACTAAGCGACACCGGGTAGTAGAATAGTTCGTGGGGATCAAGGTCTGCCTTAAGTTGCTGTAACTTCACCAGGTTATTTCCCCAGTACATCTGCTGTGCCCTCGTTCGGTTCAAGTTCGTGTCCGGGTAGTTGAAGTACATTCCCCAGTCGGATGTCGTCAGCGGAGTTGTTGTGGCCGATGCCCAATCGTCGACAAATTTGAAACCGTCTTCCGGAGCATCACTTGTCGTGATGTAGAACTGGAGGATATACAGCTTGTCGCGGTGCGCGTAAGACGTCAGCTTCGAGTCAGCTTTCCAGACCGCCGAATTCTTGCCTCCGTGGATATCCAGCTGAATATACCAATGCGCTGTCTCGTTCTTGGCCACATTGAACCAATAGTCGGTAAATCCCTTTGCCGAAGTCCCATTTAGACCTTTAAGTTCTAAACTCTTACCGTAGAAATTCTCTTGCTGCGACAAAGTCAGTTCCGGATCATCGTATGAGGTATGTTTACTTACCACTTGCGTGTAGGGATAGGTCTGATTCAATTTCATAGTAGCGAAATGCTCAAGACCCTTGAGCCAAGTGACTGTCTGGGCAGCCGCCAACGAACCTCCAGTCTTATTCAATAGTGGCTCGAGCGCAGCTTCAAGGTCGGTCTTGTTGCCATGGTAGGAACCCTCCAGCTGGGTAAATTGGCGTGTGGCATAAAGACGCATGTTCAGCTCTGCTGGCTGAGTATTCCTGGCGAAGTCTTCCAACGCTTCCAATCCAGCAACGGACGTGTTCTGCTTCCACGGCAGATTAACTACGAACCATGTGACATTTGCGGGAGGCTCAAATGTGTTGAGCTCGTAACTCGTAACGACGCCAAAATTTGACCCTGCGCCGAGCAAACCCCAATAGACGTCCTTATTCTCGGTTTCCGAAGCATGGATAAGTGATCCGTTCGCTAACACGACGTTCATTCCGGATACCCAGTCCAGTGCCAGCCCCCGCGTGTGGGAACTCATGCCAAACCCCCCATGCAGGACGTGACCAGAGATACCGACACTAGTCTGTTAGCCTTGATTTTCGCCCACGGCATTGATTTGACTCACCCGGGACAAGTTCCATGAGATATAGCGCGGTTTCCTTGGGCGAATAGCTCTGATGCTAGGTGACCAAGTCTAGTTCCGGCATCCACAGTTGCGATGTTCGTCTCCGTATCCAATTTAACGGAATTCATGCGGTCAAGCTCAATGATGAGATGGCCGTCCTCTCCACCAAGACCTAAAGACGCATAGCTGTGTCCTCCGCCCTTCGCAGTAACTTTGTAGCCCAACTTGGACCCGCATGCCACGGCGCTCTGTATCTGATCTAATGTAGTTGGTACAGCAATGGCCGCCGGTTGAAATGGCAGGCGCTTGTTAAAAGGTGTGATGTCACGGTTGTAGTCATCAGAACCGACTTCGTCCACAGCAGTTTGACTGCCAGAAAGGCAGTCCTCCAAGGCAGCGCGCCTGTTAAGGAGAGCGCCTTGGGCGAGGCTACCCATCAACCCAAGAAAATAAAAGACTGTTGAATGCATCTTGTCGGCGTCCCTGAGGATAAATGATGCTCGTAGCCAAGATCCCACAAAGATGTTCTATGGCGTCTTAGTTATCTGGATCACCAGCTTCTTTCAGAGATTATTATATCCTCTACTCGGCCAGTTCCGTCTAGAAAGATCGGGGATCCTCGAATGACCTGTCGAACGACTTCACGACTATATCACTGGCTGCTGTTTAAGCTTAACTTATAGCGGACGTACAGTTGAGGACGATATAGGGATAAATGACCCGATATTTTAATTTCGAGCACCTGTGGCTATTCAATTTGGGAATTCCAAGCTCCCCACGACGGATGTTCCCGTTGATTGACCGAGAAAATATCTGATGCATCTTACAGAACCACGGAGGCGTAAGAATTTTGGCCCGCGCGAGGCTCGCTCTCCCAGCGCCAGTGGGAATGGGGCCGATTTTCTCGGAATCTCGCAATCTAACTTGTTTGGATTACGATATCATATACAGCCTATATAAGAGGGCGCCGTTCATAATAGTTTATGTGGCACCTAATCAGGCGCAGCAACTAATGATATCACTTAGATGCAAGCATCTCCACACAGTTAGGTACGAGTCGAACCACCGCTTGGTGTTAACAATCATATCACATAGACATACACTATTCATTCTTCGGGATCATTGAGCTGCGGCAACGCTCTTCTTAGACGCACCTAAAACAAGCGCGCTCAAGTACCGGATTGGTGATTGAAGCTCGGCATGTCGGGTATGAAGAGGAGGCATACAGCTATGCTTTACTAGATTGGTGTCCCATAAGGCTAGATCAACCTTATGATCACACGGAAGATGATGAGCCATTTTGGCAAGGCTCTGGATAGCAGACGGGCCAAAAGATGTTAATTGCCGGCGTCTAGCTTGATAGAGATACAGACGTGGTTGTCAAAAAGCGACCTGCGATAGACCCATCGTATCGCATATCAAACATCTGGAAAATTTATAGGTCACGCGCCAACTATGTCCAAGTTGGGGTGCATAATCTTCCGCCGAGATGTAGCCTTTTTTAAGCGCCGACTGCATATTGCAAGCTCGCAATCAAAAATAGAAGGCTGTAATTAGAGACACGTTATTTCTCCATGTGCTGTCTGTCCATCAGGACGCAGGACCGTTCCTCCGGGATCGTCGTAGAGAGTGTGGGGGACGTCTGGGGTACCGTAACATCGAACGAAGTACAAAGAGCCGTCCAGCCAACGAAATCTCATACTCAATATCTTCGATATAGGTAGGGTAGACTGGGTAGACAACTCAGACGCGACAGACGCGGTCCCAAGCCAATTAGCCTTAACAGCCCCTGCCGAGCGCAATTCCTCCCGTCCGGAGCGTCGCACAATCGGGATGATCTTCCGAGATGTTGCCATTTCCGCTCGCGGAGCCAAAGAGGCATTCTGTTTTGCTTAGCAGCAATATGTTTGCAACAACGTTCCCCGGGCTCGCTAATCACGACATCGCTTTTGAGGCTGTAAGCTTGGAAGGTTACACCCATCTGTTGTAGTTCAGTCCTAACGCCCCGATCCTCACTATGGGAAACGATCACCTCAAAGGTGAACATGTTCGCATCGTCTTCGAAAGGTCCAATCTTTAATTTGCATCCCTTACTTTTGTTCAAACTACTCTCGCTCAACCCGCCGCTTCGGTACGCTGTGTAAGGTAGGCATACCTAGTCTGCCATGGCATCCTTCAAGACGTTGATCCTAGGAACGCTCGGCCTTGTACCGGAAGTGCTCGGAGCCAATCTTCTTGCATCGCACTACACCGGCAAGATCTTCTCCCTTTCCTACACGGGTGGCGGTAGCAATGCTACATTAGTCAACAAGTCGTCAATTGGAGGATGTGGAACTCTTCCTGCTTGGCTACATGTGGACTCGAACGCGACGACCGTGTACTGCGTTGACGAAGATTGGAATGGGAGTGGCTTGCTCTCGTCCTATTCTGTAGAGTCGGATGGCAGCTTAAAGCAGACTGGACGAGCTATCACCGCCGGTGCCAGTGTTCATGGTTCGCCCTACGGCAGTGGTACCGAGGATGGCTATGGCTTCATTGCTACAGTCCAATAGTATGTGGTGATTGCCTGTCTAATCTCTGTCTTCAATCATGGGAAAGTAGGTACAGAATACTAATATTCATGATAGCGATCCATCAACCTTGTCGACCTATAAGCTTCCTCTAAGCAATGCGTCAACTCTCGCTCAGAAGCTACAGTTCAACATGTCCGAACCCGGCCCCAACTCCCGACAAAACGCCCCTCACCCGCACGCCGCGCAGCTTGACCCAACTGGACGATTCCTAATCGTGCCGGACCTAGGCGCGGACTTTATCCGCATTTTCAGCATCGACGCCGAGACGGGCAATCTCACGGCATGCGAACCGGGAAAAGCCGACCCAGGCGACGGGCCGCGCCACGGCGCCTGGTGGGCTCCTGAGGCCGGGTCCACCCTCGGCCAGCGACTCTACACTGTGAACGAGCTAGGCAATTCGGTCTCGGCCTGGACCGCAACCTATCCGGACGAGGGGTGTCTGACCCTCACGAAGACGCAGACGCTGTCCACCTACGCCGAGGGCAGCAGCAGCGCGCCCAACGGGTCCAAGGCCGCCGAGGTCCACGTCGCCGGCAACTTCCTGTACGCGGCGAACCGCGCGGACGAGACGTTCGGCCCGCAGAACGATTCCATGGCTACGTACAGCATCGACCCTAGCTCGGGCGACATCAAGTGGGTCGAGGCCACGCCCGCGCACGCCTGGTTCCCTCGCACGTTCTCGATCAACAAGGCGGGTACCCTGGTCGCTGTCGGCGGCCAGACGAGCAGTAATGTGGCTATTATCGCGAGAGACCCCGAGACCGGAAAGTTGGGCGACCTCTTGACGAATTTGGCGATTGCGACGCCGGGGACGCCGCAGCAGGAGGATGGGCTGAGTGCTGTGGTGTGGCTTGATTAGGTACCGAAGGTAGGTTGGCTTAATTACCTAGGAGGGGTAGATAAAATGGTGTCGTTTTGATGTTGTTAGTAAGGAGAGGAGGCTGATGACTTAGTAGCGCGGTATGTTTCACGTATATAGGTTTTAAGGATTGTATATATTCTAGATTTAAAATATTTTATTGGTCATACGGAGACCTACCTAGTAGGTTTTCAAGGTTGCTTTGAGCGACATTATGCGTGTTGCAAAGCACAGGGGTATTGGCTGTTTCGTATCGATTGTTCATTTTCTTCGGAAACTCAATGATGTTTACCCTAAGCGAAGAGAATAACTGAAAATAGGGTCTAGAGGAGACCTCGGTTCTGACACCAGGGAAGCTGGAGCTGCCCCTGAATTGAGAAATGCGACTAGCCGAGGCAGTTGGAGGTCATGGGGTAAGATGATGCGCAAACATATTGCCCGCCTAATTATTTCTACCAGACGAAAGACAATCCTCTCCGAGTTAATTCATGCGATTTTGGACAGTTAAGTAATTCAATCAGGAGTAGAGCCTAAAACCCGAATGCTAGGCCCCCATTGGCGCTGATTAAACTACCCGTACACCAACCAGACTCCGGGCTACAGAGCATGCCGACCAGCCCGGCAATCTCGTAATCATAGGCGGCGCGGCCACCAAAACGTTGCCCAATTTCTCGTACCTCGGGGGTATCACTTGGCCGTACGGGCGCTAGTGGCGTGAGCGGGTTCCATGCCGCCAGAGATTGTTTCGTCTCTTCCGACGCCGACAAGTACATGTCCGTCATCACCGGCCCCGGATTTATACTGTTGACTGTGGCGCGCTCCGCAAGCTCACGACTCCAGACGCGAGCCATAGATTCCATTGCCGCCTTGGTGCCGGAGTACAAGGATGTATGCAGAGTGCCCACCTTGGGGTTGATGCTGGACATCATGATGATTCGGCCGGACCTATCTGTCGGCAGGTACGGCATACACGCCGTCGTCAAGAGTATCGGTCCGAGCACGTTGACGGCGTAGATATGCTGGAACTCCTCCTCGACAACGTTCTGCAGCGGGCCTAAGTATAAGATCCCGGCGTTGTGGACTAGGATGTCGATCTGCAGCTTCCCGGTTGCGGGGTTCGCGAAATAGGCTTTGGCCGCCTCGACCAGAGTGGCGCACTCATCTCTTTGTGAGATGTCGGCGCGGACTCCCACCGCCTTCACGCCGTGGTTGTTCTCTAACTCGGCGGATAGCTTGGACGCCGCCTCGTCAGAGGTTTTTGTGGCGTGGTTTACGACGATGTTGCATCCTTTGCTGGCGAGATTGCGCACGATCGCGGCACCGATACCTACATACACCTTGTTAAAAGACGGCCTCCGAATTGAGTCAGTGTGACATACCTCTGGCAGAACCAGTCACAATCGCCAGCTTGCCCTCGAGAATCCGCGGGACAAGAGGTCTGGGTGAAGTTGCTTGAGGGCAGCTCATCCTATGGAAGATAGTCGATAAACCGTAGAACGACCTTGGGATTTCTCCGTCATATGTTTCACACAAGACGCCTCTTCTACCTATGTAGCTGTTTGGATAGAGATATACAAGTTACTTACCCAGAGTTTCATGTGTCTATGTTACACCGCATGACTGAATCTCGCATACCAACTCGGGCTCTAAGATGTGATCCACGGTCCGATCCCTGATATATATGTCGGTGCGGCGAGCTTGCGCAGATGGTAACACGAATACGTCCCTATCACATGTGATTGAAACAATGGGCAGTCTCCAGAATGCATGCACGGCACGATTGTCGATATGATAGATCATCTCGTAACCGAGCTGCGGGGAATCCGATTAGGTGGATTGAAGACACCTTCGTTCATACCTAGGTAGGTACCGTACCTAATATTTCCTACCAATTGAAGATATTGCTTTTTCAGCTACTTCGACAGCATTATGACAATAAGGTTCTATTTTTTACAAGGTAGCCTTAGGAAGTTTTTCCGCATGTTCCGTCCTAAGATCTACGAATCCCCGGAAAAGGGGTAAAAAGGGAGAGATCACGTGATACTTAATTTTCATACGAAACGGTGCTAAAGGATATGAGTTGTATTCGTTGCACTGTACATGAACAATACGATTTACGCGATATTACGCTGGGCCAGTCATTCATTCTGGATGCATACGTCAAAGTGGCGGAGAAATATCTCACCATCTTTTCAGGAGTACCTAATGATTTCCATCATACCTATAACCTGTCACTTATAAATTGAGCAGTCTGGCGATCCCTACCCGCACGGTCGTCCCCCCTAAGCTTACATAGCTAGAAAGCCGCCGTCGATAGGCAAGCAAATCCCCGTCACAAATGAAGAGGCGTCGGAGCACAACCAGAGGGACCCCTGCGCAACTTCGTGCGGCATCCCAAACCTGTTTAAGAGGGTAGCGCTGCGAGTGAACGCCTCTTCTGTCGTACCTATCGTCGCTAATGCAGCAGCGGACATTTCGGACTATGTTCCCACGGTTAGCATCCGGGAATTCGAAGCCGAGCAGGGAACTTCTCACGTAGATTGCTCCCGGCGCAATGGCGTTGATCCTGATACCATGAGGACCGCCCTCCGTGGCTGCATGCTTGGTGAGCCCAATTAACGCGTGTTTAGAGGCCGTGTACGCCGGCATGTTGGGCTGAGACCTGAAGCCATTGATGGAAGTAATATTGACGATTGTTCCTTTCCCACCCTGCTTGATCATCTGCTGCATCTCGTACTTGCAGCAGAGCGCCGTGCCCGTCAGATTGACACTGGTGAGCTTATTCCAATAATCCTCGTCGAAGTCGGTGAGGGGCGTTCTATCGGGGGTCATGGCTGCGTTGTTGACCGCGGCGTCGAGTCTGCCGAAGTGTGCTACGGTCTTCTCGATGAGATTTTGCACTTCTGCAGACTTGGATATGTCAGTCTGGACGAAGATAACGTCACCGAGCTTTGACAATTCCGCCGCGACAGCTTCCCCCTCCTTTTTGATGTCGCAGACCACAACTTTAGCGCCGGCTTTGAGGAAGACCTCTGCGGTGGCTTTCCCCATACCTTGTGCTGCGCCAGATACGATTGCGACTTTGCCCTTCAGGACGGGGAAGATCTCGGCTTCTGCAACGCGAGACATGATGGAATCGTAACTTTCAAAAGCAATAGAGTATTGAGGGTAGCATATAAGTTGCTTAATTGACTAGAAGGCTACGTTTGTGAGAGATTAAAGATCAGGTAGGTACCTATGTTATATAAGATGCCGACAAGCATGACAAGATGTCACTGTCACAAATACTGCATAGATGGGGGGGTTCCCTACTTGAGAATTGACTGCAGATCGATGTAACCTACCCACATTTAGATCATTAGCCTCTCATGTCAGCGCATGAACTTGATCCTTCATGGAAAGATATTAAGCAACAATATCCGAGACAGAATCTATTGCCTGTCACACATATTGAAAATCAGACTAGTCGGATGGTTGCGTATTGTAGTTTTAGGGACAATTCGAAGTGAGGCGATGGCATTTCAGGTGAGTAGATGGTGGTTATATTAACAGGCACAAGGAACTGTGCTTGGTCTAGACATTTTCCATCATATTTCGATGTTCCATTTGTGTTACCAACTTCTTGTAGCACTATCGTTTAAATATTCCTCTAGATAGGTAACATGTTGCCTATGGACCAACTTGCGAAATCGAAGGGGCCGCAAGACGGCCCTTCTTCTACCCACATAGAGAATAACGAAGTCGGCAATAACAGAGATGATATCCAGGCCCATAGAGGGGGCACCGGAAAGCGGGCGATCCAGGTAATACTGATATAATAACTCACATGAGGACATTCTCACCCTGATAGGTCTGCGCCACGGCTGCTTTTGGTGGATTCCTCTATGGCTTCGCGGTGAACTCTATGAGCGGAACCTTAGCGCAAACCAGCTTCATACAGTTATTCCTAACGCCCGCAAACACACCAGCTATCACGGACGGGCTACTAGGTTGTTTCATGGGCGGTGCTTTCCTTGGGGCTATTATCCAGGCTCCCACTTCGAATAGATGGGGGCGTCGCAGCGCAAACCTCGTGGCTGCCTTTATTACGATCGTGTCCGGGGTCTTGCAATCTGCATCCTATCATATCGAGATGCTCCTCGTCGGTCGTGTTATATGCGGCATTGGTGGCGGAATGATGATAGCTAACAGCCCAGTCTACATGAGCGAGGTCGCTCCGCCTCACACTCGCGGCCTACTTGTGGGGTTCCACGGGGTTGGAATTGGTACTGCTTATGCCGTCTGCTCGCTATTCGGCCTGATATTCAGCTTCGTCCAGAACCCAGTCCAGTGGCGTCTAGTATATATCGTTCAAACCGCTTTAGCGGTCGGGTTTGCCTGCTCAATTCTCTATCTACCGGAGTCTCCGCGATGGCTTATGGAGAATGGCAAAGAGGAACAGGCAATTGCCGAGCTCAGAAAGTTACATAGAACGAAATCCGATCCGAATGGCTCTCTCGTTCGCGCAGAAGCAATACAGATCAAAGCTCAGGTTGAAGCGGAGAATCGCTTGCCTAAGGGGTACATGTCCATCCTGAAAACACCACCCCTTCGTAAACGAGCATTATGCTCTATCCTATTATGGACGATGGGACAAGGTACCGGAATTACCGCTGTCGCTAGTCTATTCCCTGTTCTGATGGGCGGACTTGGATTCGGCAATACTCTTCAGCTCGGCTTGGGCTGTGCATGGACAGGCTCCGTGATCCTCGGGTGCGTATTGAACGTGTTGATCATAGACAGGATAGGCCGCGTTAAGCTTCTTGGTGAGCTTCTCTCGTCGCTGCTATCGTGTTGTTCTGACTAACTGTGTCACTTAAGTAATTGGAGGAGTAATTAATTCTATAATGCTTTCTGTCATGGCGGCACTCATGAAATATTACCAAAACACCACATACAAACCCGGGATCAACGCCCTTATCGCCTTATACTTCATCTTCGGGTTATCGTTCACGTCAACGATCGATTGTGCCTCATATGCCTACGGTTCAGAAATATGGCCCACGCACCTAAGGAGCGAAGGCTCTACCCTAGTTTTCGCGTCCTTCTTCGCCAATGCCCTTGCGTATAGTGCTCCAATCAGCCAGGCTCTGGATAATATTGGTTGGAAATACTACCTCGTCTTTATCTCGGTGACTATGGTGTCCACAGTGATTATCGCGGTTTATTTCCCAGAGGTAACGTACCAATATATCCATATTTTTAATCAGTAGCATTGATGTTCTATGCAGACTAAAAATCTCACGCTCGAAGAAATTTCCTCAAAGTTCGGCGATGAAGTAGCTGTCAATTTCGAGGATGCCATTGCGGCTGAACTCCAGGCAAGATCCAGTGACGGAAAGGCGACAGGGTCATCTATACATTCAGGGGAAAGAGGTCCACGTTAGACTCGGATATGCAGAGTTGATTACTTATAATAGACTAGGTATTAAATCGAGATCTTCCTGCGAGATCTTGCCATTCAAGGGCAGGGGACATATCCGATTCGTTAGTTTTATTAGGAAGGTACCTAAGTATTAACTGTTTGTTTCTACGGGCGTATACATACCCCATGTCAGGTATTAACAGACTTTATATAAGGCTGGATAAACGAGATTTGATATATCATGTTGTACTAGCCAATATGTCTGTCGATTTTTTTTTTTCTTCCAGCACGAAGCTCAAGTTGTCAAGCCAAAACAGCCAAGGGGAAGCGAGAAAGTGGGCACGGCGGTATAGATGAATCGCAGCTCAAAACAAGCCCAGAACGCCACTGCTTACGGGGCTCCGTGGGCTACCTAATATTCAGGCGTAGGTGTTGCTAAGTGTTAAGTTCTAGAAGCCTCGGTCGGAAACATGTGAGAATATGGCACTTATAACTATCAGGTTTTTATTTCAACCTCAAACAAAGTCGAAAATAACTCTAGTCAAGTGGGTGCGTCCATATTGTTCCTAGTGCGTCCTTGAAGAGTCAATCCCTAGATTCTGGAAGTTAAGATTCCATTCTAAGGCTTGGTACCTACATAATTGCCGCGTTGTCGATGACGGCTCGTGCTTTAGGGTAATTTCGGTTACCAGCTTGAATGTTTTGATTTGTACGTAAATCTCGTAGAGAAGGCGGGAAAGTCTAGTTATTGCCGTTTGTCTAAGCTTCTGCGTTGGGGACACGGGAAATGCAACTTGCTTTTGTGTAGCCCGTGGTCCTCAACCAATAGGGACGTTGCCATTACACGGGACAATTGACCGCTTAGCTTTGCAAGAAATTTTATCGATATGTAACAGAAATGAGGGGATCTAGTGCAGGGAAATCATTGTCCATGTCCATGTTTTTACCTGCATGGATGCGCTCAGCATGTAATCCCCTATCTTTGCGTCGGTTTTCCCGTGGCCCAGCTTCAGATATGGGAAAATCACGTATATCTTGCTAGAGTTATTTAATTACTCAGGCTCTTCGTGTACTGACTGAGTTTATCACGGGTTATAGACACAGTATATCCATCGATTTGAGAACTACGTGGTCAACATTACGACCGAACACGAGATGCCTCTTGGAGGTAAAGGTCCAACGACTATTGCAGTCCTTTCTGCAGAAGCTGTCCTTGCAGCAGCCTTCATTACTTTGCGGCTTTACACACGCAAAGTTATGAAAGGAGGCGTTGGAAGCGACGATTACCTTCTCGTAGTAACTTGGGTAAGTTAGAAGCGCCAAGTGCCCTTATCCCCAGCATTAATAAGCACAAATAAGGTCCTCCAAGCACTATTCGTGGCCCTGATGATTGTCTCGTCTATCTATGGCTTCGGGCAGCACACGAAAGACATCTCGTCTGATGATATCCGAATGGCTACCAAAATCGAGCTTATAGGCCAATTTGTTGTGTCGCTTGCCATGGGCCTTAGCAAGGTTTCCGTGGCCATGTTTTTGATGCGCATTATTGTAACTATATGGTTAGTTTCCGACGGGATTATGCGTTGATAACTATACTCACAGAACCTACCAGGCACAAGGCAGTCCTCTGGTTCTGGATTATAACCATGATGGCTTGGTCGTTGCTACTAGCAATTTCCTGTTTCGCTCAATGCACTCCGGTAGAAGCACTGGTATGTAAAATTGGAAATTCTTTTACCCCTTTTCGCATGCCTTGGGAGTGAGAGATTCCCAAATCGAGCGGGCTTGCTCCTGAAGCATGCTTAAAACTCCTGAGATGAAACTACTAACTCCCTTTGCTGCAGTGGGATGCGCGTATCAAGATAAAGTCTTGTCCCTTGAATCTGACCAACATCGCGTTTATCATGTGCTGTGAGTGACGACTCTTAAAGATATAACGAATGCTAACATGGTGAAGCTTGGTCTGCTGCGATGGATTTCTTCTTAGCTGCTTTCCCTTGGATTGTTCTTTGGAATCTTAACATGCAGAGGAGAGAGAAGATCACGATTTGTGTTTCCCTTAGTTTAGGGGTACTGTAAGTTAAGCTCTATTTCGCATCATGTTATGAGTTAACTTCAGATAGGGCAGGAATTTGCGGAGTTATTAGGACTTCAGGGCTTGCGGTCCTGAGTCAGACAGCAGATTACCTGTGTGAGTCCTGGATGTACCTCTTGGATTCTATTGATGTCTAACATCAGCCAAATTTAGATGCCACCGCCGATTCCGTCATGTGGACGAACAGCGAGTTGACAATTACTATTATCTGCGTATCCGCTCCTGTACTTCGACCATTGTGGAGGAGGTTCATTGGCAGGACAAACACAGATCAATCTGAAGAGGATAGTGATAGGTCTAATGGAATCATCACGATTGGGAGATTACGAAAAGCAAGGAAATTAGATATTGAGCTTGCTTTAGACACCATTCCTCGGCCGGATATTAAGAACACGAGGACGACAGCAATCGGTGCTAATAGGCGTAATTCCGATACGGGAAGTGAGCAGAGCATCTTACGGAATAGTAAGGCTATTCAGAAGACCAAGGAATTTACCATATCATACGAGGACGATGGAGTCTCGCGACTGTAGACATATGGTAATAACTCCGGTATATTACAATATAGGGACAACAACGCGTCTTAATTGAGGAAGGGTGTGGTACATTAGGAGAAATAGAATGTACGTGGGTAAAAAGAATTCCTACCTACCTAGGTAACTACCCACATTAGGCCAAAGGTCTTTCAAAAATGAGAACAGCAGTTGAAGCTATATAGACCCACATTATAAGGTAGTCAAGCCCCTTTTCTGCAGGACAAGTTCTTCCACAGTTTGCCCAAGACTCTATAAATATAGTTCAAGACCTTACCGTGATGTCCATTAAAACACTTTAAAGCCTACCTACTTGCCCAGGTGGGTATTCAAAGGGGTATCAAATGTAGTACTACGATACACCCTTGTATTCATCAGCGCTGGGCATCTTATAATGAGGATAGATCGCTGATGCGGCCATGTAAAAAAAAAATGGGTTTTTTTTCGGCATACGAATGATGTCCGCGTGTCATAGAGCATTCAGAACTGGAAGTTTTGGGATCTGAAAATGACAATGGATCCCTTACATAGCAAGTACCTAGGTACCCATAGAATGGGCTATCCCGCGTGGCTCCTCACCCCATCAAACTGGACGCTATTGTCATACTTTCACTTAATTTTTGTTTTATGATTCTGTTAAAGTGTTAGGTCGTGCGGTGCAATGCGATTTTAGAAATACCAATATTACTGGAGGATTTCCCTTTCATCGTGTTGTGAATCTATGGCCAACAAAGGGGACAGCTGTGGCACTATTGTGGCGCTGAGCTTAGAGTGATTGTGAGGCACCGAACAGGCGACTGAACTGCTATGGGCGAGGTGTGCCGCCAAGGAAAAGAGGGCGTGTAACGAAAACACAGGTACATACACGTACAAAATTGTTGGGAGATGAATTAGCTAGGAACTACCTAGTTTCGTCTCCCTTCAACACCATGTTTGTATATATAACATAGCGATGGAGATCCGTCAGAATAGCGAGAAATCCGAGAGAAGGCTCCCAGCGACAGCGGACCAACAGTCAGAAGGAGGGCAACAAGTCGCAACAGACCTCCGCAATAGCCAAGACAAAACGATGAAGCCCTTCTCTTTTTACGCCTCCTTGCTCTGTCTTGCGCTCCTTGCATTGATTGTCGCTTGGGATACCACCGCTCTAGCAGTCGCCATTCCCGTTATAGCCGAGCAATTGCACGCCACCACATTGGAGGCCTTCTTTGCGAGTATCGCCTTCACCCTCGCCGTCGCAGTTTCGCAACCGCTATACCTCAGCATTTCCGATGCTGTCGGCCGGAAGGTTCCGCTTTACGTTGCCATGGTACTTTTTACCGTCGGCTCTATTCTCTTCGCTGTTGCCCGGAGTATCACGGTCCTCATTGTCGGGCGTCTTATACAGGGCCTTGGCGGGTACGCTTACATCTGCTATTCTCAGCGGAAAACTTGCTAACTCTAGACGCGGAAAGCGGCGGCCTTGATATCCTTCAAGAGATCATCATCGTCGACATGACGAGTTTGAAAGAGCGACCTGCGTATCTCGCAGTGATGGCGTTACCTATCGCCCTTGGTTCCATCATGGGTCCCATTATTGGTGCGCTTTTATGCCAGTTTGTAACTTGGCGCTGGCTTGGTTGGTGAGGAAAGAAATTTGAAGCCGCTTATGTAACGTATAATCTGATGAAGAGCATACAGGATTAATCTGCCCTTCGTTGGCCCAGCCATACCCCTCGCGCTCATGTTTATGCACCTTCGGCCTATTGACTTAGACTTGAAAACGAAGTTTCGCCGGCTTGACTGGCGCGGCATGTTCATGTTTACCGTAGGCGCGATCTGTGTTTCATTACCAGTCAGCTGGGCAGACACGCTGTATCCGTGGTCTTCCTGGAAGACTATCCTCCCACTGGTTGTTGGCATCATTGCCTTCATTACCTTCGGTTTCTACGAAGCTCGCCCTGCGCAGCCGATGTTGCCCTATCGCCTATTCAAGAACAGAACCGCCGTCGTGTCGATAATAGGAGGATCTATACATGGTCTTCTTTTGTTTTCTCTTCTACTGTACTTACCCCTATTCTTTCAGGTGAGTTCAAGAAGCATTCTAAGGGATTTGCTATACTACAATTTTCCGACGCCTCCAGTTTCCTCCATTGGAAAATCGCATACATACTTACATATGAATTGAAACTGTTCCTAGACACTAACACATGATAGGCTGTTTATTTGCAGACGCCTCTGGAATCAGCTATCTCTATCCTTCCAGCATGCGTGGTCACTGTTGCCTTCAGCGTTTTTGCGCCCGTATGTGTGGAGTTTACTAGGCGTTACACTCTTCTTCTGCACACTGGTTGGGTTACCCTCACTCTTTTCATTGGTCTTTGGTGTATCGTGGACCAAACGTCGTCTAAAGCAGTGAAAGACACGTTCTTAGTCTTTATCGGCATCGGGCTTGGTACAGTATTCCAGACAATACCCTTCCCCCTACAGGCAAGCGTCGAAGAGGCCGATGATAGCGGCCGGTTGGTTGGTCTATTGGTTATAACGCGGTTCTTGGGAGGCGTGTTGGGGCTAGCCATTGGTTCTTCCGTGTTCAACAGTGGCTTCGCTCATCAGATCGCAGCTTTTGGACCCTTACCGATCCAAGTCAGCCAGCTATCTGACCCGCGCCAAGCCATTGGTTTCATTCCCATGCTCAGGACCTTGAGTCTAGATACGGAGACCATGAGCCGTCTAACAGAAGCCTACCGGATCCCGTTCCGGACCGTGTGGATTGTCTTGGCCTCGATATCGGGTGTGGGCTTGGTCACGTCCTTACTTACCAAGCAGCTTAATTTAGAGAAAGAAGACCTAGGCAGGCAGAGGTTTGACGATTCATAGGAATGGACGCGCATGTTATTCACGTCAGGCCTGCATGAGTCTCGCGCGATTAGCGAGCGCAAACATTTGGCGTTATTGTTGATCTGTGCTGCGACACGGAGCACCCGCGTAGTCCAAGTCACATCACCATGGGCTTCGGTACGCCCGTCAACCTACCGGAAGCCATGCAAAAGCCTCTGTTTGCCGCTCATATCAGCCACTTCAGCGGTGAAGAGGACAGCGCATGAAGAGGTAATGTTAAGGACAGCGCCCTATTCCAGCGAGCTGAATCAGTCGAGGGGAGATCGGTGGCGGCAATATGTGAACTAGTAACAAATTTGAGCCAGATGTAAATATATACCTGCCTAGGTACTTGTGTATATATAGCGAAGTAATATTAGCCATTTAATATAGTTTTACATCAATAATAAGTTTCCACACCGCCAGTGAACCTATGCCCGTTTTTTATACGTGCTCATTTTCGCGACTCTTCAGATATTCTCTTGTTGCCCCACCTCGAGACTTGACTGTTCATATCCCACGTCACAAATGCCATGATAAAGGGTAAGATGCACCCCATCAACGTGTCCACAAACCAGTTGTTCCGTGGTGAGTTACCCATAGCGCCCCATCGCATTAGGTCGCCTATGAACGATGTCGTGACAAAGTAGCGACCCTTCTCGACGCCGGCGATGGATAGGCGGGCGACAGTGTCCGGGTCCTGGGGAGTCTCGGCACCCTCGAGCTGGAGTGTGATTTCCGGCTTAGTTTCATTCTCGCGCTCGTAGCCGGCTGTGGTGATAGAGTTAGGCAAAATGAAGTGTACTTCGATAGGGACGTCCGGGTATAGGCGAACCTCCATGGCCAGGGCGTCGGCCAGGGCGCGGAGGGCAAACTTGGAAGGGGCGTAGGTTCCGTGGCCGGCCATAGAGAAGACGGAGAGGACGGTGCCGGTGAAGACGATGTGTTTGGCAGCGGGACGAGATCCTCGTGTCGAGGGTTGCTTCTTTTCCTGGCCAGGGAGGAGCCAGGCACGCATGATGGCTCGGGACATTTCGGCTGTGCCAAAGTAATTGACGTCCACTGTCGCAAGCATTTCGTGAGTAATCTGGTATATGTTGGGCCAAAAGCCATCGCTGCTTACTGTTATATCGAGAAGCCTGTAAGGCCCCGTCGTCCGTCCACAGCATGGGCGTGGAAAGGCCAGCCAGACACCACACGATCTCGGGCGGATATCCGTCGTTCCAGGCCGTCGCATTGTTAACCACGCCCTCCGCATAGTTGGGCTCGGCTACATCGGCTACAATGGTGTGGAAGCGCTGCATCTCAGGAGACTTTGCCGCGGCCTTGATACTCTTCACGGCCTCCTCGAGCTTCGCCGGGTTCCTCGAGACAATAATGATATTTGCCCCTCTGCTCGAAAAGATGCGTGCTGCGCTGAGGCCGGTGCCTTCAGAACCGCCCGTCAGGAGGATAGTCTAGGAACTCGTGGTTAGCTGGTTTCTCCTCGGTTTCGTATTTTCGCCTGTCTATTGGTAATTGTCACTTACCCGGCCCTCAACTGGCATGTGGTTACGGCCAAACCAGCCCATTTTTTTCCGGAACGACACGGGATAGAGCACAGATTAAGCGTGAATGCCGAGAAATTTTGACTCTCAAAATCTCGGGGATCGCGAACTGCGACAGAACAAAACGCATCTAGGCCAAGTTGGAGGAATTGAGGAACAAAGGGAGGAAACTGGAGATAGTTTTCCCTGCTTGTACTGGACGTTGGTTGATACAGCCACACCACACCCTTTAGCGCACCATCCGAACATCCCTTCAATTCCCGAGTTGAGGTATATATTCATATCGACCAACCAACAACATATTTTGTGGTGAGTTTGATTGGCTAGGGCATCTAATGAATCAAGTTTAGTAGTGCTGTATCAAGCTACTACAATGCTCCTTCGGCAGCAACAAATGAAATGTTGGTGTTCAAGGCGCATAGGCACGCAAGAACTCACCGTCAATACTTTCACCGCTGTCCTAGCGCACACGACTTCCTGCCTACTCATCAATCCCGCCGACGATTGAGCAGCCGTCGCCCAGCTCAAGTGTGCCGACGGCTACCTCATCGACACCCACAAACGTCATCTTGGATGCCATCCTCATGTATCTTCCGCTTCTGCTCATCTGCCGTCTACAGACGATTCTGCGGATCTATCGCCCTCACGACATTTGGGCGGAGCGGGATGAAGGGCCCGTGTGGTCGCAGGCCGTGAGGGTTGGACGTGATTTCTGTAGCAACGGCACTGTTGTGGATACCAACTTTGATGCCAGTGCAACGAGATTAATATCAGAGGACCAGGCCAGTCGCTACACAGAACATGCGAAGCCTTGAGAATTCCATCAGAGAGGCTATTTCTAACCCTAAGCTTTTGGGTAGCTACCTGTACCCGCGGGGCTATATTGATGACGGCAACTATTCCTCATTACTAATTCAGTGACGCAGTAAGATACCGATGTCGCCGTCCAAATGACTATTGCGCCATGATGCATAATGTCGGCTATTCAACTCCGTGCCCTGTCATCGCATGAGGATGTTGGGTATCGCGCCTCTACAGCATGGTAGCAAACGCTCGGTATCGGGTTCCCCATGGGGTTTAGCGGCACAGTCACGGCGGCGGCTTATCCGTCCAGAGGCAGTTCTACGGCGCAAGAAGTGGTTTGCGTCTCGTGCGACTGTTCAAGGAGGATTGGTTGAGACTCCAGACTATGGACCTTATTCGGCTGAGCGGATATGGGCGAGTTCACACGGAATGCATATGGATTCGCCTCGAGTATAGTCTAGGCCTCTATTTGGTGAACTTTCCGTCCTGTCCCTTCGCGACCTTACAAATTTGGAAAATCCTAAGCAGTATCCGGTATATTGCGGCCGGGTTCGGTTCCGAACCGATTTTTGACCCCGACCCGGCAAATTGGATACAACGTTCCAACGTTTTAACTGTCTGATAACCATTGATAAAAAGATGATTCTTGCATCATATCTTGAAACCGTCTTTCTGCTGTCTTTGGCTCGCAATCATCACCATATTTTGAGGTTTACGCGATGAAGATGGGCAGCTTCGAGATAGTGATTGAAGGATTCGGAAGCTTCCAGGGGCTGATCACGACAACCTGTTATAGTGCTGACGCCACATGGGTTATTCCATCGATGTTATACATATCGTGGATAAACCTGGAAAAGGCGAGAAACTCAAAATGCATTGCGATTGCCACTATGGGGACGCGTCGTTGAGTTCATGCCCAAGATAACCTGGTCGGGACAAGCGTAGGACTTGAGGGATTTTGTTGAATGAGAAGGGTTGTTGGCACAGGACAAGGAACGAGGCACTAAGATCTGACAGCAGTTTCAACTCAGGCAATTGTCGAAGCAAGAAATATAGCAAGTGTTGAGATGATTGGTGAGCTATCTTGGCCCAACGTTCCACTGTCCATCCCGTATTCTATCAGTCTAACATCAGTGCTCAGTAGCTCAACTTGATATACATGCACTTAACAATTCTAATACTAACACACATATTGTATGATTCCCGGCTGTTAAAGAGAAGCGCGGATTAAATGAGGAAGCCACTTGGTAAATATTTCATCGTTGGCATGCATCGTCTGCGTTCCTGGCGCCAGTAGTTGTTGAAGTTTATCTCTGTCATACGGCAGTCATGCAATAGCTCAACCTGGTTTGAACAGCTGATGCTGTGTAACAGCTAAAACGTGGGCGCCACATCTGAGATCTCCAGCGTTACTCATCACAGCTTCGTAATGGCCAATCTAATCGACAGGTATATTGACGATTACAAAGAAATACACACCGAGGGGATTATGTTCGTAATCTCAAATGAGGTTTCCTATCAATGAGACAAGGTTGACCTCGAAGGATTATGTATGTATGTATGTAGGGGTCATGTAAGAGATCGAAACCAGAAAGAATGGACGAGGTGTCAGACGCGTTTCTTCAAATCGTCTTCGGAATGAAACATTTTCACATGCAAGTAGGGATAATCCATGTAATGATGTAAGCAATGGCCAATCATATCTCAGCTTAGAATCAAAAACACGTTAGTCAGATTTAGATCGACCTTCGCTTATGCATAAATGGCATTTAGTAAAAACGTGGGGGATGGGGGTAGTTCTCTAACTAAGTACGCAGCTACGTTAAGGTCTCCGGTGGGCGATAAGATAACCTTAATATTATGAGATCTTGAGTCCCGGGGTAGAAAAAGGGGCTTACTGTACAAGATATGTCGATAAACCTCCTGTTACCTACCTATGTACGTAAGTACGCATATCTATCCGTTTTATCTACAGTTCGTATTAGTCAATCCTATGCGGTTCGCACCGGCGGTGAAGGAAGTCCGTAATCGTAAAAAACCATGTGACCCATCCCGTCTGTAGTGTGGTGCATAGGAGGTAGCTGTGCAAGTGCATGGCATACCGGCAGCAGAGCCCGGTAAGGCTGAAAGGCTCGGATTTGCAACAAGCTAGGTAAGCCAAGTATCCGAGCCGAAACATAAAATAATGCTAACGAGCCGGTGATAATTGTAAGCTCCGCCAGGCGGTATCGGCATCCTCGGATTCCATTAAGGGGCGCGTTAACATACACGCGATGCTTGCTACCTAGCTAGATTTGGTTGCATAGCGCGCACCGTGGTCTAGATCCTATGCATGCACGTCCCGTAAGCGTGACAGATCTGCATAATTAAGCTTAAAGTACAACATTGACACTACGTTAATAACATGATCCCATGAGAAATTATGTTCAACATTGACGTGTGCAAAGTCATTGTAGACTCCCATAGAGCTGTCATGGACCCTTCAACCAAGTATATCTCGTTGGAATCTTGGAAAGTAAGAATTTTCTTGAAAAGGCGGTAAAGATAATCTTTACCATATGATGATGACTTTCCAGTGACGGGGAAACTGATGACCCGCACGCCCCAGGCAGGGTCCTCGCCACGCTAGGCATCTTACCCGTCGTCAAATTATGCTTGCAGAGCCTCGATTCGCTTGCCAGAAAATTTAATTCCCTTATCTTAAACCCGGCTGGGTTGCGCCGTTTCAGCTGTCTATTATGTCAGAATAAAATGATTCGTGTTGTTACTCACACAACCAGGGGGCCAACGCATGACTGGTTATCCACCTCTGTGCGAGGTATTCCTGTCCTCAACTCCGTGTGAAAGGCTTCGTCTATATCAGGAATAATTAGGTACTAAGTAGTCTTCAATGTCGGACTCTTAGTCAGATGTGTTTCTAGTTCATTAAAATCCCCGGAATATCTCTCCGTCGCATGCCATTGCATTCTCTATGTAGCCACCTCGAATGATACCCCAACCAAACCAATGTCTCCTCAAGTCTCTTCATCCGATAGCCAATCACGGTCTATAGAGCGCGCCGAGCCTTTGAAGCCGACCGGCCGGCTACGTTCGGCGTGTGACTCTTGTCATCGAGCCAAGATTAGGTGTTCGGGAGGGAATCCCTGCGTAACTTGCTTGGTCTCTCAAGCAAACTGCAGCTATAGCCCAGGCAATCGTCTCGGCAGACCAAAAGGAAGCAAGAATAAGCGGTTCGTGGTAAAAGAAGACACGAACAGACGAGGTGAAGCACCCGGAAGCAAGTATGCCAAAGGCACGGTTGATAGACGGGTTTCAGAACCAGGGCCACGGGGAGAGGCACAGCAACAATCGGACCCAATGCCCGTAGAGTTTGATCTTGGGCATGGATTTCACGCCGGCATAACCGAAGACTTATTCAATCCGAGCTTTTCATCTTTTTTCGACACAATTGGAGGGTCACATGTGCACACAAGTCCAGAAGGAGACTCGAATGCAACATTTACACGTGTAAGCATACATGTTGGCTTTTTATCCTCTTCTACTTGACTAATCATCGTACCATCTTTTTCTTAGATTACCAACACTGAAGATCAATCACCATATCAAGACTTGGCTTTCGGAACTCCAAGTTCTGCATGCGACAGCGGGTATGCGACGACCACCATCAGCTCATATGCGGAAGATATAGAATCGCAAAGCACGAGAAGTGTCGCCTCAGCTCGTAGACATAAACATTTAGGTATAGGACCACCTATACCTCAGGAGCCGACTCACTGTTCATGTCTCCAGCAACAGGTACAACTAGTTTATCAGCTTGGAGATCTCCAATGTTCTGACGCTGGCAACCCTACTGTAGACTCCGTCCTTCGCGGAGTCCAGTTAGCTCAGATTCCCTGGAAAGCTATCATGGAATGTAAGCGGTGTCAAAGAGAAGAAGGTCAAAAGGAGGGGTTTCTGCTATTTGCCACGAGCATTCGCATTCTGCTTTCTTTATTTCAAAAGCTAAATGCAATATCGCATAGCGACGGTACTTTCCCTGAAAGTGCCGGCGGCCAGACTTTTCCCTTCGCCCTTGATGTCGAAGTCTCAATAGGTAATTTCAAGTTGATAGGTGGAACAAAAGAAGAAGTGGTTAGAGTAGTGATCCGGAGAGCTTTACAGAGCGTTACAACTGCTCTTCTCCATCTATGGGAGCGTGTAGATAGACCAAGACCATCTCCAACTACTGATCAAAGGGGCGGGGGAGGCACGGATGCTGGTCCTGAATCATCTACCAACATTCTTACTAGAAAAGAGACGGACTTACAAGAATCGGGAAGCAGCGATTTCCCACCAAATTTCGGCGCGCATGACATAGGAGCTCTTCTCAATAGTCTATATGCCATTATGCGAGCTATAAAACAGGATTTATAAAGTCCTATATATAAATATTAAGCCTGTAATATCCATATATACCTCTTACTATACCGGCTTCATTTCACTAGTTTCTAAACAGCACCAAGTTGGCTCATTAGAACAATTTAAATAAAAGGTAGCAAAGCCGTCTCATAAGTAAGTCGTACTTGATTCCACAGCAGCGGGATTCTTGAATTTGATTCTACAGCAACTCTTTGCGAAGAAAATACAAATTTTTAACATCACTAATCTACCGAAAATTATTAAACGTATATTTATTTAATAATCATATAGAAACGCACAATTATGACGAAGCGGGTGCCAACTCAATTAGCGTATAGATCTACCTTGGTCTGAGGCAAAATGAGATGATAGATGTAAAAGATGGAACGAAAGAAGGAGAAAAAAGGAGCTCGGAATATAGAGTTCTCTACCAGGGTACCTAGATGTATTACTAAATTCCACTTACATAATCACATTTCACCGAAAACATGTGCGAGGATTTATTACATAGGTACAGGTACCTGTACCTGTTTGTCATATCGTACGAGTGTGAGAGATGACAGGTAATCCTTCGTCCCACCTACATAGATAGCAATCATTCCTGGTCGCGCTAAAATGTATGCTCCATAGGAAGCTCCCGAGAAAATATCCCGGAACTAGTGTCCTACTTTATTTCTCTCGATAGCCAAACAGTGGTTAATATATCATGACTCCCAGACTCCCGGAAATAAGTATGGCCCAGTTGAAGCCAATAAAGCTACCTTGTACATCGGAAGCGTTGGACTATCCCAGAATTAGTCGAATATTCGAGGAATCCACAGGTCGAAGAAATGCCACTTCAAGTGATCATCGTCGGCGCAGGAATTGGCGGCCTTTGTACCGCTGTCGCACTGCAGCAGGCTGGCCATTCTGTCAAGGTAAAATTGGATGATTTCTCGTCAACTCTTACCTATTCTATGGTCCACCAGAAATAATAACAGAGTACAGATACTAGAAAAGTCTGCCTTTGCTGCTGAAGTGGGAGCCGCTCTCTTGATTACGCCTAATGGAGAGCGTGTGCTGTCTCGCCTTGGATTCGATTTCAAGCGAGCCCGTGCCGATGATATGGCGTGTTTTGAGGTATTAGATGGCGTCACATTTAAGCCTCTTCACCGCGCTGAGTTAAGCAACGCGCGTGAGGAGTACAGAGCGCCTCTATACACGGTTCATCGCGTGGATCTACATAATGAGCTTCTCCGTCTAACATCGGCTCTAGACCTCCAGTTATCCTCAAGGGTGGTGGCAGCCGATGCAGAGCAGGGTTTTGTGATTTTAGAAGACGGATCGAAGCATCATGCCGACCTCATTATCGGTGCGGATGGCCTTCACTCGGTTCTGAGGGGTATTGCGCTAGGTGATCAGGATGCGGCCAAGCCAACTCCATCAGGGATGAGCGCTTTCCGCTTTATGATCCCTACATCTGAATTAAAAGATGATCCGCACTTCCAAGAGCTGCTGAAGTCCAAAGGAAGAGGCAATAGTGTCTTAGCGGACACGACCGCTCAGACAGAGCGTCATATGGTATGGTACACGTGTCGAGAGTACGTCTTCCCCCGCATTAGAGTCCCATGAAAGCAAGATACTCATGTTTCACGCAGTGGAGAAGTTCAAAATTTTGCAGGTATCCATGGGAATATTTACAAGGGTGACGAAGGTAAGCACTGGCTAAATGAGACCTACTAACAGGAGAGCTGACCAAGACATCCTAAGACACCAAGACGCTTATGCTGAGACAATTCAGTCATTATCATCCTAGTATAGTTCATATCATCAAGTAGGCATTCGACCGTTCTCGCCATCAACCCGGAAAAGTTCTCTAAAACTACATTCCATTTAGCGTCGCCCCCAACGTCACCGACTGGCCTCTTTCCTTTCACGATCCCCTTCCTACTTGGCATCGAGGAAAGGTTGTCTTAGTTGGGGATGCAGCTCATCCAGTAGGCTATATTTCCTGTTTTATTTTGTCCCCTAATACATCTGTTTTGACATCCTGACGCAAGAGATACAGATGCTTCCGTTTGGTGCGCAAGGAGCAAACCAAGCTATTGAGGACGCGGGTGCCTTGGGGGCGCTTTTCAAAGGTGGTGATGAATCTGCGGCAGATGTTCCCAGCCGTCTCGCCCTCTTTGAGCAAGTTCGAAGGCTGCGCGCATCGAGAGTCCAGTCACTTTCTAGGGTGCGCCTTGGGAAAGAAAAAGAGGTGGAAGCTAGGGTACGACAATATGCTGACCCACCAGGCTCAGGTACGTTTGACCAGAATTATTTTAGCTTCTTACTAAATGAGGCTATTTTTATGCTTAATCTTGCCCTGGTATCATATCCCACCACTAATCTTCCCGCTAGATGTACCAACTTCTTTCTTCGAGCGGCTCGCGCATGATTATACGTAAGTCTAGCTGGCGTCATCGAGTTAAATGCGGGAACTAACTCTTCTAGGTTTGACGTGTTTAAAGCGTGCAAGGAAGCACTAACTAGAGATAAACAAGGTAATTGATGGAGCTAGGATCATCTGCCAGAGGACGTAAGGAGTCAAGCTACTTTTGAATTCATGAGATAGCGTCGATGTAAATCATGGGTTTATCTATTCCTTCCTGACCTAGTATTTTGTCTTTCCACGTGGGTTTACTAATTAGGTAAACAACTAGGTAGGTTCTATCAGCGACATGCTTAAATTCGAAGTAGTAATTAAGTCCGGTTTAATACCGCCCTTTATCATGAAGTCTCACTTTGCGGTCCAATCTAACTACTAAGGAAATCAGATCATCGCAAAAGACAATTCACTCAATTATAATATCCGCCGAACACCGAGCTACGGGCCGAGGTACAAGCCCAGGTAGTGTAAGTTACAAAATAATGGCCGGGTGAATCACGATTAAGGACAATGCCAATACCTTACAGAACCAATAGAAATAGGCTCATCTAGGTCTAAAATCCCCTATAATCTAACGATTACATGATTGCATACTTTGACACGGGTAGTAAGCCTGGAATCCGGCGTCGTGTTACCTACTACTGCCCCTGCCCCCGTGTATTATCTAATGCGGAGCACCGCTCCCAAACCGCAGAGTGATTTGGTTGTGGCTTCCGCGCACAGAGCGCTTTCCGAATTAGTGGCGCGCCAGGACAACGGTAGAGCGGGCCGGGCACAGGATCGGACGATGTGGCTTTAGAGTTTGCGGGCCGATCCGGGGCGATGATCTGCTTATCTAACACGATCTGGGAAGCGTACATAGTTCCTAACCCCTAATCTCTAAGAGCTTAGCGCCATGGTTCCCTATTCTCCGACTTATGGATATGAACAATTGAAGAATAATTAAACCAACTTTAGATCCGGCATCGTTACGCGTATACTCATGCAGAACCGAGTACGTAATAAGGCCCAACTTCATCAGCATATGTCTTGGTTGTTAAGCTATCACGATTTTCGTATTTGCTTCCTTATGTACTTAGGTACCCTTTTCCTGCAATATTCATTCGTTGCAGTATCGGCATACATTCCTTCTCTAGCAGTCTAGTTGGAAGAGTGATGGCACGGAGTTTCTAAATATCCTTACAAAAAAACAGGTGGGTTGGGTCCACTTCTCGCACTTCCCAAGAAAGGTCATCGAAACGTGTGTACCGAAGTACATAAATATCTACTGGGGACCATTGCAACTGCAGGATTCTATGCACGTTGGACCAGGCCGCCGCATATGCAAATGCCGTTTTGCTCTCTTCCTAACCCTGAAGCCACACTCAAAAAGGCCTTGCCCTATTACTTCAATTGGTTCACTGCGGATACAGAGGATTTGTCACAAATCACACCGTCCGCTGGATCTGATGCACCTCATGTTGACGATCTTCAATCGCTTCTAGTAAGAATGTTAATGTACGCCCGTTTTCATGACTACGTTCATTCGATGCTGTTACTGTGTATCCCTGCCAATGATCTTCTTGAACCCTCTCCGTAGCATTCGAGAACTGTACAGGGATTCAATGAATCAGCATGGGTAGGTAGAGCCTTAACTTCCTGCAAAATTACTGATTTCGTATTATATACTTGATTCTGTTAATTACTAAGATAGGTAGGATTCTAGTTTACCAGTGAAGCCTACCTAATTACCTAGTAGTCCGGTCTTTTCCATGTTTATCCTTTCGAATTGGCGTTTTATACTGTGTTGATTACGTAGGTACGCTTACGATCTCCGGTTATCATTGGCTGTTAGTCCGGTCGATAGTCAAGGCTGTTGAACGAGACGTCTGTCAGATTTTAGTCCTTCGCATATCATAGGGCTGCCATGAAATAGAAATGCGGTGAATGCAAGGGATACTCATGTCAGCGTCTCTTCTTGTCTAATGAGTAAAATGTTGCGGCTGTTAGCTCTCGGAGCAAACGGCTTTGGTGTAATTAATGCAAATGCTATGATTCTAGGCCGGGGCGATATCATGTCAGATACTGCGCCGCACATTCACATTCAAACCCACACTAACAAACTTCCAGATGCGGCGATTGCAGGTAAATCACAAGTCCAAGAAGGGAATCCTGGTCGGTTGCGGCAGCAGCGTGGGTGGTTTGATAGGAGCCTTCACTTACCTAGATATGCCTGACTAACAGGTTAATAAGACTTCACCCGGTAGCGGCACCAGCAGATATATTCCCCGAGGTGAATTGTTTGAGTTTATTCCAACATATACAGAAAAATAATGGCCGAACATGGGATGACCTCGGTCAAGGATATGGACTGTGGTTAGCGACTAGATTAGATAGGTGAAAGCAGATAGTATGAACCAAACATGCGGGCTGATGTCTCGTCTCGATCCCTTAATCCATTAGGAAACCATGAGAAACAGTGTCCTTGTCGAAGATCGTGCAATGCCACACTTTCCGAGAAGGATCATAGACTATCTACCCAGGTAAGATTAGATTAGTTTGTGTTAGTTCACCCGTGCCGCGCCGTCCCATTGCCCTTATAAACATGCTCCCCAGATTCCGGGCAATGTCTCGAATGTCTGAGCCAACTACCTTTAACACACCAGTCATATGAATCAACTTCATGACTGAAATATAAGTAACTTATATTACGAAGGTGTATATCTTCCACGAAGAATAGACCCCTCAACGACTATTACAGCCGATTTTCTTTCTCATAACGGTACAATTTGACGTTAACTTTCGGAAAGATGCGTACAACGACCCCAAAGACGGCTGGGAACACTTTATTGCTGTTCGGCCCTCAACTTGCACGACTTGTCCCGAGTCGTCTGATAGATTTACGGAGGACAATTCTAGACAATCCCGATCTTGAGTTCCTCGTCGAGATCATAAATGAGCTGCCCTCCTTATGGACCTCTATCATTGAACCCAGCATTCCCCGCCTTGGATCTCTTACGAATGCCAAAGAAAAGCTGCAACAGGTTGCGACATTCTTCGAGAATGAGACTGAAGATGCACCCCGGTTGGCGCCGCCTTACAACTTGCTTCTCGCTCCTTTGACGGTCATCGCTCAGATTGCCGAATATATCCATCACGGTCACCAGGGCACTGTCCAGGGATTTTGCATTGGTTTCCTATCCGCTGCTGCTGTGGCAAGCGCGCGAAATAGAGCTGAACTGGAAAAGTTGACAGCTACCGCGGTTCGGCTAGCTGTAGCCATTGGAGGCATCGTTGATTTCGATGAACAGGGGCTTTCGGACGGATGTGCCACACTCGAGCATAGCTCTACATGGTCGGTCCGTTGGACATCGGCCCTTGAAAAGGAGCATTTTGAAAAGACGCTGGCATCTTTTCCTGAGGTAATTCACCGTACTCATTCACATACCTACTTACTGTCCCTAACTTACCTTCTAATCCATAGGCATATGTCTCATGCGTCACGGACGTAGACAGGGTAACAATCACAATACCAGAGAGCCACTTCGTCGGCTTCTCTAGGCAACTAGCTGATGGCGGACTGTCTGCCCAGCCAATCGGCCTATGTGGTAGATATCATAAGAATAAGCCAGACCGAGCAGAATTAGTGCAGCAGGTGAAAGCACTATGTCAGCAGAACCAAGACTTCCAGTTCCCCGCTGTCGAAGAGTTGATCTTACCCCTGAGGTCTACCTCGGATACCGAGGTCATAACGAGCGGGATGCTTCATGAAATTGCCTTGAACTGCATACTAGCTGACGTATGCAAATGGTACGACACTGTACAAGCAGCCTTGGACGCGTTGGACGGCCAACCGGTAAACGTGGTACCCATTGGTAGCAGTTCGGGAGCCATCCCTCGATCCTTGAAATCAGCGTCTGTGGCAGTAGACGAATTCCTTGGACCGTCTTCACAGACGTCGACACCCCCTTATACTACACTGCCAAACAGCAACTTGACGACCGGACAGACGACGCCGTACAGCACCGTTCCTCCCCCAGTCACAGGGACCACGCAGCCTATCGCCGTAATCGGCATGGCGTGCCGATATGCGCAAGCCGATTCTCTCGAAGAGTTCTGGTCCTTAATCAACTCGGGCAAAAACGCCACCACTCCTGTGCCTGAAAATCGATTCAAGTCTTCGGAATTATGGCGTACGCCTAAGGGACCGTTCTTCGGCAACTTTATCAAAGACCACGATGCATTTGACCACCGTTTCTTCGGCATGTCCGCCCGCGAGGCCGCGTCAATGGACCCGCAGCAGAGGCTTTTGCTCCAGGTCTCATACGAAGCCATGGAATCAGCCGGGTACGCAGGCGGGGCCGAGTTGCCCAACCGCCCTGTCGGTTGCTACGTGGGCGCGGGTTACGTTGAGTACGAGGACAACATCGCATCGGAGCATGCGACGGCTTTCTCGGCTTGTGGAGCTATTCGGGCTTTTATCAGCGGGAGGGTTAGTCATTATTTCGGCTGGACTGGACCTTCGGTCGTATTCGATACCGCGTGCTCTTCGTCGGCCGTGGCTATCCACAATGCCTGCAAAGCTCTCCAGACGAACGACTGCTCCATCGCTGTTGCGGGTGGTGTTAACATGATAACGAGTCCTACTTTCTATCAAAACTTGGCTGCCGCTTCTTTTCTCAGTCCCACCGGCTGCTCGAAGGCATTCGATGCTACTGGGGACGGATATTGCCGAGGTGAGGGTGCCGGTGTACTAGTCTTAAAGCCATTAGCACAAGCTATAGCCGACAATGATCGCATCCTCGGTACCATTGCGGGTACAGCTGTCAACCAGAACTCTAGCTGTAGTCCAATCACTGTTCCGGATTCAAACTCGCAGAGCGATCTGTATCTCCAGGCTTTGGCCGGTGGTGGCATTTCTCCTTCAGATGTCTCCTATGTGGAGGCCCATGGAACGGGTAAGTTGAAAATCTCCATGTAACTCTCAGCCCTATCGAAGATGTTGCACTTTTACCGTTCTCCTGCAAAAAAGTTCACTTGAACAAGTTGTAACAACATACTTACATGTGGCATTTTAGGAACCCCGGTAGGCGACCCCATTGAATGCGCTAGCATTCGTACTGCATTCGGTGACCCTCACCGAGCCCAGGAGCTAGTAATCGGTTCCGTCAAGGACGTAATCGGCCATACCGAGGCTGCGTCCGGTGTTGCTGGAGTTATCAAAACTCTCCTCATGCTTCAACATGGCTCTATTCCCAAGCAGCCCAACTTTACTCGCCTCAATCCCAAGATACCTGCCTTGGAGCCCGACAGATTAGCTATTGCCGATAGGACTCGCCAATGGCAAACTAGTACTAGACGAGCAGCCTTGATCAACAATTACGGTGCGGCTGGAAGCAATGCCGCCATCGTAATCCGAGAATATCGCCCGGTTTCGACGGAGCAAGTTGCTATTAGCAAATTGTCAGAAAGCACTACCGTCGAATATCCGATATTCCTATCGGCCAAGACGCCGGAAAGCTTGTGTGCGTACAGCGCCGCTCTGAAGACATTCCTAGACCGAAATGCCTCGATCACACTGGGCGACGTGGCGTATAACTTGGCGCGCAAGCAAAACAAGACTCTCGAGTATACGTCCACATGGACCACCACAAGCCTCTCTGCATTTAAGCAAGACCTAGACGCTATTACATCCGGCGCCCGTCCCTTGTCCCAAAGGAAAATGGATAAAAAGAAGACATCCGCCGTACAGTGGCCAGCGCCGGTTGTGCTTTGCTTCGGCGGCCAGACAGGTCGCAGCATCTACCTCTCGCGAGATCTTTTCAACAGCTCGTCTCTGCTGAGAGGCCATCTTGAGAACTGCGACGAGGCAAGTCGCTCTCTAGGATTACCTTCAATCTTCCCACGTATATTCGACCCTGCTCCTGTCGATGACTTAGTCTTGCTGCACGCTATGTTATTCTCCGTCCAGTATGCCAGTGCGAAGACCTGGATAGATGCCGGGTTGCAGGTCAGCGCCTTGATAGGGCATAGCTTCGGTCAGCTAACGGCTTTGGCTGTGTCTGGGAGCCTTGACTTAACCGATGGGCTTCGCCTAGTCACGAGTCGCGCTCAATTAATGCAGAAGCTCTGGGGTGCTGATCCCGGTGTCATGCTGGCAATTGAAGGAGATAAAGAGCGTCTCGATACCATCCTTCAAACTGTCGGTGAAACGAACACTGTCGACGTGGCGTGCTACAATGGTCCACGTAACATTGTTCTCGCTGGAGAAGCGGCTGCGGTAGATTCCATTGAACAGACCTGTAAAGTTTCCCCGGGGCTAAAGACGGTCAAGCTGGCCAACAGCCACGCGTATCACTCCCGTCTTGCCGATCCGATATTGGATGGCCTAGAAGACTTGGCCAGATCCCTCGTCTGGCGAAAACCGTCGATTCCGGTCGAGACATGCTCTCGCGGCCAAAGTTGGACTAGCATCGACCCTGCTAAGATCGTGGAGCACACGCGCGAAACCGTGTATTTCGGGGAGGCTGTCCAGCGGATCGCTAGTCGATACCCTACATCCATCTGGCTTGAAGCTGGATCTATGTCCCCTATCACTGGTATGATGCGCCGAGCTGTGCCCGCAAACAGAGAGGACGTCTTCCTGTCGATGGATCTAGGTCGTGGCAACCCTTGGACTAGCCTTGCCAAGGCTTCAACTGGGCTCTGGGAAGCTGGTTCTACAGCAGACTTCTGGGCTTTCCACGGCACAGATGGGGATCGGTACAAGTGGTTGGACCTACCTCCCTACCAATTTGCTAAGACGAAGCATTGGATACAATACCAACCCCATCGTCCACAATCCGCTGTGGAGACTTCAGCGCCCGTCACAGCTGGCCCACCTGAATTATTACGACGTCTTGGAGACGCCGATGGAGAGACCTTGTTCGCCGTCGATCCTTCGCATGATATTTTTGAGCTGAGCGTCAGGGGTCACGCAGTCGTGGGTCAGAGCCTGACACCGGCAGGCTTGTACTTCGAACTAGCTATCCGAGCAGCGCAAACTCTTCAGGAGGCTGGAGCGAAGAGTTCGGAAGTGCCTCATATCGAGAACATGCGCATCTTATCGCCGCTGGGACTAAAGCCGAACGGAGTCCTCCGTATCAGCTTTAAACGGGGCCCCAACAATGAAAGCGGCAGCCCGAAGTGGTCTTTCACTTTCTTCTCCACACCCGCCGACGTTGCGAATCCGCCACCTGCTTCCAAACGCACCAACCACGCCCAAGGTACCGTGACTCTCCTCGCGGCGGATGCGGCAACTTCTCGTTTCCAATTCGTCAAACGTCTGCTAGGAAGGTCGCGATACGACCAAATTGCTTCAAACCCCGGTGCAAACAGACTAGCCGGAGACGTCCTCTACAAAATCTTCGCTCGGGTCGTCAATTATGCCTCGTATTACAAGGGTGTCCGCAACACCATCGCCTATGACGGCGAGGTCGTAGGTGACGTGGTCATGCCTCCAGGCAAAGAAGCAGAGCGCCTTGGAGATAGCATCTCGGATCCTCTAGCCATTGATAACTTCTTGCAGATCGCCGGTATTCACGTGAACTGTTTGCTAGAGGGTAGCGACGACGAAGTCTCCGTGTGCAATGCTATTGGCGAAGTCCTCTGGAGTGACGCGTTCTTACAGTCGAACGGCCACGACAAGCCTTCCGCGCGAACGTGGAAGTTGTACTCAAACATGGAACCCAAGGGCAAGAACACGCTCGTCAACGATGTATTCGTGCTGGACGCCACGACTGGAGCTGTGGTTGTAGCCTTGCTAGGGGCGGAATTCACCACGGTACCTCTTGCTTCCCTACGCAGAGTCTTGTCAAAGATCAATGAGAACTCTACCATACCTGCGCCACCGAAGACTTCTTCTGTATCGCCAACGAGGAATGATCTCTTCACAAATGGGGACTCAACGCCAACCCCGAAGGCCCTGCCTAACGGAACATCGCAACAAACCCAAGCTGCCGTAGAGTCTTCACCATCGGCCGAACCGGTATCTGCTGCTGCTGCTGCTCCTTCTTCCGCTGCTTCTGAAGTTGACTTATCTGTACGAACGATGCTAAGCGAAATCTTCGGAATGACCGTTGATGAAGTGCAACTCGACTCGGATCTAGCAGATTTAGGTGTGGACTCGTTGATGATCACGGAGATTTCTGGTGAGATCCAGAAGAGATTCGACGTAACTTTATCGATCGACGATATGCAAGACTTGACAGATGTCCAATCCCTGACTAAGCTACTGGGTGGTGGTGGTGGTGGTGCGTCAGCGCCTGCTCCTACTCCCGCTGCAACATCGACACAGAACGGATCAGCTAGCACAAACGGAGCGACAAACGGCTACAAAGAAGAAGAGCCAGAAATCGAAGACGGAGGAATAGCCGCAGTTAGCAGCGAGTGGCTTTCCAGCAACCGCAGTTCGTTTGACGCTGACATCCAGAAATACGGGTTCGGCCAATTCCGTGAAACCGTCTACCCGCTGCAGTCAGAACTCGTAATCGCATACACCGTCGAAGCCCTGGCGAGCCTAGGATGCGATCTCCGGACCCTAAAAGCGGGCGACCGTCTTCCTGAACCTGTGTACGAGCACAAACACGGCAAGTTAATGGCGCAGATGTACAAAATCCTCGAGGACGGCGGCTTAATAGCGGGGAGTGGCGCCGGCGCTACGCGAACGGGCCTCTCCGCGCCCCAGGCATCGGCTAAGACCCTCCACGACGCCATCGTGCAGAAATTCCCCCAACACGCCGGGGAGCACAAGCTACTGCGCACGACGGGCGCTCGCCTAGCCGATTGCCTCAAGGGCCAGGCCGACCCCTTGGCCTTGATGTTCGGAAGTGCCGAGGCGAGACAATTGACGGAGGATGTGTACACCAACGGCCCCATGTTCCGAGCCGCGACGTCGTACCTCGCGCGTTTCTTGGTCGACGTCTGCGAGCGGTTCCAGGGCCAACGCGAGATCCGGATCCTGGAGCTCGGCGCTGGGACGGGCGGGACGACGAAGCACCTAATTGAGCAACTTAACAATAGCGCGGGCGGACAGAAAATCCGCTACACCTTCTCAGATGTGTCGAAGTCGTTGGTCGCTGCGGCCAAGAGGAAATTCGCCAAATACCCCTTCATGGAATACGGTATTGTAGACATTGAGAAAGAGCCCAGCGCAGATTTGCAACGACGGTTCGATGTGATCATTTCCACGAACTGCATCCACGCTACCCCAAGTCTCGTCCGATCGTGCACCAACATTGGAAAAATGCTGCGCAAAGATGGACAAGTTTGTCTCGTTGAGCACACCCAGAACCTCTACTGGTTCGATCTTGTCTGGGGGTTGGTGGAGGGATGGTGGCTATTTGACGACGGTCGCACACATGCTCTCGCTTCCGAATTGAGGTGGAAAAAGGACCTGGAGTCATCAGGTTTCCAGTGGGTTGACTGGTCGGACGGCGCAAGCGAGGAGGCCAAGATCCTGCGCGTTATTGTCGCGTCGCCGACAGCTCAGCTTTCATCCCCACCTATCAGCACCCCGACCCTCGAGCTAGCATCCCCTCTTGAGACAGAGGAGACAGTGGTCTTTAAGCAAGTCGGATCATTGCCACTCCACGCCGACATATTCTACCCATCGACACTGCAGACCAGCAATAAAGCACGACCTATTGGTGAGCCTCCCTCTCGGTAACTATCACTAGAGTACCTCTATACTAATTACGATGCCGTATAGCCTTGATGGTCCACGGTGGAGGCCACATAATGCTTTCTCGGAAGGATGTCCGTCCAAAGCAGACGCAAATCCTTCTAGACGCAGGATTCATACCTATTAGCATCGACTACCGTCTCTGCCCTGAGACCACCCTCATAGAAGGTCCGATGACCGATGTCCGAGATGCCTTAGGCTGGGCTCGCACCACCCTCCCATCCCTAACTCTCAAGCGACCCGACGTGCGCATTACCGGGGATCGCGTAGTCGCCGTCGGCTGGTCAACCGGCGGCACCCTCGCCCTAAGCTTAGGCTGGACCGCGCCCTCAGCCGGCCTGCAACCACCAGACGCCATCCTAGCCTTCTACTGCCCGACCGACTACGAGGACGAATGCTGGTCTCGCGAGAACAAGCCCTACGGCGACGCCGCCCTGACGACAGAAGCGTACGACCTATGGGAAGGCATTTCCGACTCCCCCATCACAGCGTACAACCCGCCGACCGGGACGCGCGCGGCGGGCGGCTGGATGGCGAAGAACGACGCGCGCTCGCGCATCGTGCTGCACATGAACTGGCACGGGCAGACGGTCCCCGTGCTCGTGCACGGGCTGAAGAAGGAGTCGGCGCAGAACAGCGTGCCGAAGCTAGCTCCGCCCACTCCCGCGCAGGTCCAGGCCATCAGCCCGCTGGCGCAGATCCGGGCGGGCGCGTACAAGACGCCGACGTTCCTGGTGCACCCTTACGAGGACGACTTGATCCCGTGGCAGCAGGCGCAGCGCACGGCGGATGAGCTGCGGCGGAGCGGGGTCGAGGCCGAACTAAGGCTTATTGGGAATGCGGCGCATCTGTTTGATATGTATCGCAGCCACGAGTCGAATGCGGAGGCGGTTGAGGCGGTTGGTGATGGGTACGCTTTTTTGGCTAGGCATGTTTGAGTTAAGTCAGTAACATTAGGTGAGATTATAGAATTGGGGTTGCTCTAGCACTTGTGCTTACCTGGGAGGATATGATGTGCAAACGATTCTAAGTTGGAAATAGAATGGTTATAAACGCGTATATAGAATTTCATATAAAGAGCGATTCTTGGACAGTAAATAGAATAGTTACCAAAACATTGTTATTTCCTTTTACTACGAACGATTTATTCCCCTAAGCTTCATAGTGCGCATTTACTTTCCTCACAAGTTGGAACGTACCGTTCTCATTATGGGACTCCGTTCGCCCAGCCAGACGTTCTTCAGGGAAACATTACTGGAATGCGAAGCTGGAAATTTCCAATCATCTCTTCACACAACTGAGTCTTGTTTGTTCTCCTCTACATCCTAGGAGCGAAGAAAAGGTGTGGAGAGAGGTGGTCCGTGGAAATTGCCAAATCAGGCAATGCGCTAGTGTATGGCCAACGTCGATTGGCCAGCCACAAAGTCCGGCGGGGGGTAGGCAGGCAGGACTTTGCAAACTTGACGGAAACAACCACTGAAGACCTGGATTCAACTCATGTTAGGTGCCTGCCGAACGGTATACGACTGCCGGCAGTCGGAAAGCAAGTGTGGTAGAGGTAAGTTCCCAAGTCCGGATACATTCAGGGGGGTACAACTAAATGCGGGCGCTCGGAACGGGGGTCACCGGCAGTAAGGTGCCTTGAAACCAATCATCCAACTGCCGTATTCCAAATTTGGCCATCCCCCTAATCTTTTGGGATAACTTGATGCTTACCCAGATGTTCTTGGGTCGTATAATTGCACCTCTTCACCTGTGCCTAGGTATCTATTTTTTAGTTATAGCCACCCATCCTTTTGCTGCCGTTCTAGTCGTTGTTATGGCTCGGTGTAACAGGTGAGCGTTCTGGTAATTATACAGACCATTGACTTAATTGCAAGCGTCTGGATGAATGCAAAATAAATAATCCAGCCCCGGGTATTTTGCCGCTGAGCGCGGCATAAGCGAATTTCAATTGACATGATGGTTGAGTATCCCGTATATATACTAGTCGATAGTAGGACTGTGTAGCTTCATGATGCTAGCCTTTCGGCATTTTCACCAACTTCGGGCCGCATCATCAACATTGTCATCGAATTCAACATCGGCACCATCACTAGTATGAAGGGATACTCCCTAGCTCTCGCTACGGCGCTTGCCGCCACCTCCCAGGCGTACCTCCGCTTCGGATGTGCGACCTTGAGCGTCCAGCGTCTCGACCCCCTCGTCGAGCCCGGTGTCATACCCTCGGCGCATCTCCACCAGATCATCGGTGGAAACGGCTTCAACGCGACGATGGACCCTACCACGGATGTCAGCGAGAGAGCCACTTGCACGACTTGTACCTTCTCCGAAGACCTTTCTAATTACTGGACCGCCGTTATGTACTTCAAGGCCCGCAACGGAACTTACAAGCGAGTGGGCCAGTACCCGAACGCCCTTTTAGGTGACTTAAAAGGCGGAATGACTGTCTACTACATCCAAGAGTCATTCAGCTCCAATGGAAACCAAAAGGTTACAGCTTTCAAGCCTGTAAGTTTACTGTCCGAGTACCCATATGATATTTGGTCGGCCTAACAATCCCAGGGTTTCCGAATGACGGTGGGAACCCCCAACAGCAAAGACGGGAGCAACCCCGGCCTTCGCTACACCTGTCTGCAGGACGTCATGACTCGGTTCCCCGAGACCGCCGAGTTCCCCAAGCAGCCTTGCCCTGCTGGGATCATGGCTATCCACCACTTCCCCGCGTTCGTGATCACCTTCGCCATCAAATCTTTCCATGCACTTGCGCTAATGACACGGGCCCTTTTAGATGCTGGGACGGCAAGAACCTCGACAGCCCCAACCACCAAGACCACATGTACAACACCAACAAAGGCGGCTTCGTCCCCGCCGGCGCGTGTCCTTCCTCGCACCCGGTTCGAACACCGCAAGTTGCCTTGGAGACGATGTGGGACACTAGGCCCTTCAACGACAAGTCGATCTGGCCTGAAGACGGCTCCCAACCCTTCGTCTGGTCTTACGAGGACAGCGTGGGATACGGCACGCACGCCGACTACGTCTTCGGCTGGAAGGGCGATGCGCTGCAGCGAGCTATGGACTCCGCACCCCTGCTAAGCAATGGCATCGCAACGCAGAGTGTGGCTCAGTCTAACCAGTGCACTATCAAGAGCACTGTCGAGGAGGATATTGACGGATGTAAGTTATCGATTGATATCGCGCTATTGCGTGGACATAGTACCGAAGGGCTGGAACTAATGAGTGATTGCATAGGGCTTACAAGTCTTCCCGGCCGACAGATGGATATGTAAAAGATCCCAATTGGTTTCCTAGGGACCGAAGCATGCCGAGCGTTGGAAAGGAATAATGGCAAATTGAAGAGTCTTGAAATCAGACAGACATCCATTCGTTCGGAATTTGAATAATATTGTCAATAACAGATTTGATCACTAAGTCCTAATCGTAAAGTTAGTATGATGTACAGAATAAAAGAAGCACAGACCGGAACCAAGACTCAACACATATAGCTCCGAGACCTCGTTGTCCCGTTCGTCAAGAAGCAGCGTGTGCACGCTGGTATTCTTTGCCTGCTCCGAGCCATCCCGGTCCTTGATATTACCAGTTACCACCAATGTAGCACGTGTTGGGATTACCCGCCATGGCCTCGCCAAACTTAGACCTCATGCTCTCCAGTGTGTTAGGGCAAGCAACCTGCACCAGCGCCGTCTTCGCTCTCTACACGCTCATCCGGGGCACATCCCCGTCCCAGCTGGCCGAAATCCCCGTCACCCCGGAAAAAGACAAGAGAGCTAGCTACAACTTGGGACACGCGACTCGTCAAGCCGGGCGTGCGCCCCTGCCGTTGTCTCCGGCAAGACGCTCGCGGACATGGGGTCGCGGCGCACGTCACCATGGACAAGAAGCTCGTGCCGCGCGGGTGCGGGGAAGTTGTAGACGAGGACGTCGATGATGATGGTATGCTTGTCGCGTACGAGTTTGAGCCGCGGCCGGAGACGCGTGATGAGTGGTGTGGTGAAGATTACGGGGAGGAGTGCGACAAGGGGCCGAGGCCTGAAGAGGGTCTGCGCCGGGACCCTGTGATGGGGAAAGTTTTCATCCGACCCATGCATTCGTGTGAAATTTTAAGTAATATTGCGCTATCGGGATATGATCTAGGTTATTTGCATACAATGTACAATATGGATGGATATAGGGGTGATAGGGGTGGTGGGGGTTATAGTGAAGAAGAGGAGGAACTGGATGTGGACGAGGATATGGAGGAAGCGTGGATACGCGGGGAGAAGAGTGAAGGGGTAGATCAATCAAAATGCGCAGCCAGTCCTTAGAAACTGAAGAACCTTTAATAGAAGATCTGGTCGCTACGAACAAACGACCCCCCCTGGATGACAAAAGGTCATGGCGGTAACACGCAAAGATATCTTAGAGATGCCAATATGGAAGCTATTTGATTCCATAATGGTGTAACATGTATTGCAAAGTAATAGGTATATAATGTAAACCTGCAAGTGTGCTTTTGACTCGCTGAATTTGCATGCTCGTATCCTTCCAGATGACCGCTCCAACCTCATACTAAAACATCTTCGGTATATTCCGCAAGAAACATAGCTTTCCTGCGCCCTCCTACTAAACCTCTCACCATTCCACGGAACTATAGTTAATGTTCGTGCTTTCGGTGCTCCAGTCCCAATCTACCTTCATCGGATCCGTGTCGCTTTTCGCATCCAATGGTTGATCCTCCAGCTCATCCACACTGATTGCCATACGGAGGGGAGAAGGGCGACCAGCAGCAAGGCCTCCGAAACTACCTCGGCCTAGCGTCGCGCGAGATACGTTCCAGTGCTTAAACTCACGAGATCTCTTCTTATGACACGTGTTCATGTCAATTGCGTTGCAACGGACACGGCTGCTAAGCTCTCTCATCTCCGTACAGCAGTCGGCGGCGATGGCGTTCACCCTCAGAGCAAAATCTCTGGGTTCCAAGGTGACTTGTTGAATCTTGAGGCTGTTTGCCTCTTCTTGTCTCCCTTTGGACACCAAGTATCTATTAAGCACTCTAACGGCGACTCGATTAAATCTACCGAGCTCGTTTTCGGGAGATTGGTCCTTGGTTTCTGCTGCTGGTGCAAGATCCTTGTCCGAGGAAGGTTCCGCCGCGGTGAGCTGTCGGGGAACCGAGAAATGCGACATCTCTTTATAGAACCTGTCTGCCTTGTTGACCAATGCTCGATGCTTCAGAGAGTACGAGTAGTGCGATTTTGACCACGGATCCCATTCCTCCACAGGCTTCGAGTGGATCGATACAACATGGTTATCTGATGGAGTAAGTCGGCGAGGATTCATTCTGGTTTTCCGGCGTAGCCAGTGCTTAAAGTCCAGCTCGTGCCAGATGTCGCGAGGGTTCGAGGTATCGCCGATCGTAGGGGAGATTTTGATTCTTAATCCCTTCTTCTTGGCGGTCTCCTTTCCTAAGGTAGTACGAAGGAGGATTCTTGCTTTCTTCAGCTTCTTCTCGGCTCTCCAGCGTCTGCGAACCTCTCGTGTTATCTTCCTGCGCCATTTTTCGAAAAAGAACTCGGAATCAGAGCTCGTGTGCGAGGAATTGGACGAAGGTATAGTTAATGGTACATGAGAAGCCAATTCTTTGGCAGCGCAATTTATGGCCGCCTTCACTGAGTCCATCTCCTCTAGAGGAAGTCTCGTGATATGAGTGACTTGAGAAGGGGATATATGGAGTTCGGTAGGAAGGAGATGCGTTTAATTGAAAAGTCGTGCCAGAAGGTGATTGATGCTAGACTACTTAGGTGTCTTGGGAATTGTAAAAGTCAGTATGTATGGATGGGTTGGGTGTTTGAAGTGAGGCGGGTGCTAATTCAAAAAGTGCCTGCTGTTTGAGAGTTCAAGAGATGAAGAAGTTGGTGACAAAATTGGGAAACAGTGAAAATAGGAGGGATTTGGAAAGGTAGGGATTTTTAATAAAAAAGAATGAACATCTACTTACCACCATTCAATGTACTGTAATGGATGACTCAATTTTCAAGTAGTAAGGACGGGCACGAGAGGTTTAGGGTATCCAAGTATTTAGGTACCTGTTAGATTAGATTTAGCGACAATCAAGTTGACGATTCCAGGCTGTTAGATACCTATAGTCCCACAATTATTTACACAGATCAGCTATTGCATGGGCCAACACCAAAGATGACTCGACCGCATCCAACGTTCAACCAAATACAGCAGGAATTAGACGTATCGGGCCGGGTAACAAAACCAGAATTTAGGCGCGCGTAGATGATTAATCTTAAGACAACGGATTAGCTTGAATACCGGGAGATTGGATGATTGATTTCGCAGTATTGCCTCATAAGGAAGAAATGAGAATGTTATGGAAAAGATAGGTATAATTTGTAGAGCTCCTTGAGGTGTACTCAGTTACTTGAGCTGCTCAGCGCGTTAAAGATTTTAGAAATTACGACCTCAGAGGTCATCAGAGGTTTAAAGTTTATACGTGCGTTACGAGGAAGGCACGATTAGATTAAAAAATTAGTGCTAAAGGCAGGCACGACATCATTTACAATGGCACCTGCCAACTACATCCATGCACACTTACCTTTATATGGTATATATAGAAGATAACCTAACGATGCATTGACAAGATGATTACCAGCGACTCCGTGTGTATATAGGCATACTATTCCATGTTCAAACATTCAGGTAGACCCGACATTGAATAGGGGTAAACGATGTAGTTATCCCACCAAGTGTGTATAGGAATGCAAATAATAGCCAAACGCGACACTAGTAAGATACAGTTTCTATATTAGCCAAGGTAAGTAAAGAGAACGACCTCGTGAATGTATGCCTAGGCCGATGATCTGTTTGCAATGATCACCTGCTCAAAATCGAACAGTGTTAACTTCCAAGAAAGACAAACCTGCTCCGCATAAGATCTTTCTTTGATGAAACAACCGGACTCTAGCGGCAAATATGGTGTAGTCACTATTCCTTTCCTTGAAAAAGAACCGGATACTTAAGTGCTTTGGGTGCTTGTTGCTATTTGGTTTGTTACATACGGGTAGAAATAAGACCTATTCAATACTATGTGATGATTGTGAGCGCACTTTTTTTTAGCCATGACTAAATTGTATAAAAAATGATTCTGCCACATTCTTGATAAAGGGGTAAAGAACACAGCTACCTAGGTAGGTGAAGAGTGTTTAAGAAGAGAAGGGTTAATCTACCTCTTAACATACACTATGAAGTACCTAGTATGGAATACATCAACTAAAACTATTTGTTAATATGTATTAATTCCTGGCCGTTTCTGTCTACGTTTAAAGTAGAGGTCTACCGGTCTTTTTATCTCTGTTGTAAGAGAATTTTCTCGTTGTAATATATTGCTTACGTAATCTCGTGATGTTACATGCGTAGTCGGGTAGATTATTCGTCCGAGGTCCCACTCCTAAGAAGCAACAGAACCATTTAAGAGCACTACGCCGCTAGTTAAGTCCGAATGCCCCAAATCGCATCTTCAAGTGGGTTTACTCAATTAATAATAAGGCGAACAAGCGTAACATCACTGACAATGGACTCCGAAAGACTTAAAGAACTGGAAACTGCTGAGGAGGAGCTGCGGGTGAGAGACGATTGCCCTTGATCGGATTTGTCAGAGTATTATTGCTAACATGGGCCGAAATAGCGGCGGCGCGAACGCGGCAAGTTGGCTCAGCGCAAATTCCGGGAACGGCAGATCAACAAGCTGTCGAAGGGCAAGAGCAATGAAGCCCGGACAAACCAGAGATTGAAAGCGGCCATAGAGAAGATCACCAAGGTGGCACGCAGCGATGATCGTCCGGAGCTGCTTCAAGCAATCCGGGAAGCAGCTGAAATAACGGGATCGGACGCATGGTGGCTAGGTGAAAACAACGACGGCAGGGATGAAGGTGAGACGGCTACGACTGAACTGTCACCGTCGTCGTCATATCCATTACCGTATGCAGGGACCCCTTTACCGATAGGAGGGGCCCAGCTGATCGGGACGACGAGTACTAATCAAGGAGTTGCCCAGGGAGCCTTCCCGCACCTCGACAGTTGCGCGGACATGAGGCAGAATAGCGAAAAGTCGACTTCTTTTGACACTGGACTGACTTTAGAACGCGTGGGCCCACGATTGGGCTACGGACTTTGGTTCAATGCTGAACGATTTGTACGGATAGATAACCCACCTCTGGATATCGTTCCGTACCTTGGTAAAGGAATGAAAACATTTGCCGGACGATTGTTCTGGAATTGCGGGGAGTATCTATTGAACCTGTGCCGGAGAGCTGAGGCCTACAGCAATACAGATCCACTGGTCGCGAGGGAAGCCAACGAGAAGATTTGGAATATGGTTCAACATTCACCGCCTCTACACAATATGCGGTATATTATAGCCATGGCGGAAGCGCGACACGAATTCCGCGACCGTGGCTACATCGAAGGGAATAATCCAGCGGGAGAAGCTGACTCGGCGGAGCTTCTACATGAGCTTGTACTGGCGGACTATAAGAAAAGGGGGGATGACACGGCCATCTGGTTATCTGCAAGTGGTGTCGAGAATGAGCTTCGAAGGTTTATGAGCGATGGACTGTGTGAACGACTCGAACGCGTGTTGGAGAATTGGGACTTGGGCAGGCAGGCGGGAGACCCTTTAGCTAAGATGATACAGTCGCTTATCCATACTTTGTCGAGTAGCTTCATTTGTTTTGGGAATGGCCCACGCTGGCGCGCTGATCGCGTGGCGGCAATGTTCAGTGGGAATGCTTAAAACGCATTTGCGTAAGAGGACGATCCATCGCGGTAGAGACAAAACTCCCAGTTGGTCGAGAAATCGAGCGGCTTCCCTCAATGACAGGATTGCGTCGAACGGGCCTCTATCTAGGTACTTAGGCACTCATAAGGCTGCCGGGAATAATACCTCAAAATAAATCAGGTTCGAGCGGCGAGGCTATCGTAGATAGACAAGTTGAATAAGCCCAGTCAAAGCCGTCGCCTGTCGGTTTTAGGGGGATCCAACGTAGATCAATGCGTATGACTTGATGTAGCGAAGTTCATGACGCTTTATTATACTCCACCGCCCAGTCTTCTTCTAATTCGCGCAAGCATTCGTATACTCTTGGACCAACCTCTTCATTGATCACGTCCTTCTCATGTCTTGTCATTTTTCTCAGTACATAATTCGAGACGGCCATTTGATCCCTAGCCACGGGCCGGCCGATCCCTACCGAGATACGTGACCATCGTGCGCTAGGGAAGTCGGACATTTTGAGAACCCGGTTGATATCCTTAATACCGTTATGCCCCCGGTGACTTGCTTTCCAGCTGCGTATCCTAACTCGACCCAGTTCCTCTTCTAGGTCATCATGAACAAGTACTAAACTTAGATCTGCCGGTTGCAACTGGTTGCGCTGCAGCATTTCTCTCCAGGTTTTCGCAAACCAAGGACCCGAAACGTTCATCTGGGTCGGGCTCTGTACCAGCGTATACTTGTCCCCCGTTGAAGCTAAGCAGGATTTCCCGCCATACCGTTCAGATGTAAATATAGATTGCGACGGATAAAGTATCTTTTGTAACGAAGCAAGTGCGAAATGGCCAGCGGAATGGAGGCATTCGTAGTATGGTGCTTGATTGCCTAGGCTGACAATCAAGAAGCGAGGACTAAATGGTTTTCCAGGCATATTTCTGGCCAGTTGACTGATTATTCTATTAAGAGAAGTGAAAATTTGAAATTTGATATTAAATGTTCAAGACGAAATTCACGATATTAATATGGTCCCACTAAAAAGAATTAAAAAAAGTAGCTGAGACGTTGTAGCTGAAACGTTGTACCTAAGTATTTTGTGGCTTAATAAGGCTGTTAAGGTTCCAACTGAAAGGTTTTGTTGTTCCAAGCTCGAAGATGGATACTTTGGTACCTACACTATCTACTCCTGACGTCGGTAGGTCGGATTTAGAACCACATGCGATTTGTGGCGCAATAGCACTCCGCTGACGTATGTGCCAATCAATGATCTAATGCTCAGCCACGAACAGACTTCCAGCGTTGGGTATGACCCAATCGTCGAACTCGAACCTACCCACCATCATAAACCTGTCAACCCATTAACCTGCTACCTGCAAATACCACTCCAGCCTGCCAATCCCTTTCCAACTCTCGACACTAAATAAACGACTCCTGTAATTATCCTCCGTTCTCTCAATTGCGACACCGCCATTTTTACACCAATTTGAATTATTAGACTTTACCGGCATTATTGAGCAGAACTAGACAACTCCGCGAAAATGTCGTGGGCAGGTATGGCGTCAATTAGGCACGAAACGCGGCGTAGCATTGCCATTTTGCTAATCGAGACTCATTTAGGATTCAAGAAGAATGTCAATCGCGCAACGACGCAGGTTATGATGAAGACGGGCCACGTCGAGAAAACGAACGATCGCGATTACGAGGTCGAGGAGAGACGATTCAAGACGATGGAGGCTGCCTCACTACGTCTTCAGAAGGAAGCAAGAGGATACCTGGATTCGATAAGGGGTTAGTTCATTCCGGCGTGACTTGGAATGCGCAGAATGAGTAGTTTGCTAAGCATTCTTCATAGCCATGACCGCTTCGCAAATGCGCATAGCCGAGACGATAGATGCCTTCTATGGTGACGCGGGAGCTAAGGACGGCGTCAGTAGGAGTTATAAACAAGCCGTGGAGGATCTGGACACCGAAACCATAAAAGCCCTCGACGGCCCATATAGAACGACCGTCTTGGAGCCCATTACCAAGTTCTGCGCATATTTCCCCGACGTTAACGAATGTAAGGATTTCATGTTCCCGGCATCTCGTTCTACCACTTACATACTATCTAGGTATCAAGAAGCGTGGCCATAAACTCCTAGATTACGACGCACTGCGGGCCAAGGTCAAGAAACTGGCCGAGAAGCCTGACAAGGATGTTACGAAGCTTCCACGCACGGAGAAGGAGATGGAAATTGCCAGGGCCGCCTACGAACAGCTCAACGAGCAACTATCCACCGAATTACCTCAACTCATCGACCTGCGGGTGCCGTATCTCGACCCTAGCTTTGAAGCGCTCGTCAAGATCCAACTCCGGTTCTGTGCCGAGGCTTACAGCAGGATGGCGCAAGTCCAACAATACCTAGACGCGGACACTAGGGAGCAGTACGCTCAAGGTGACTTGGACTCGAGAGTAGAACAGGTATTGCAAGAGATTCGGGAACTAAGCATTAGCGGGACGGTTTAAGGCGGAGTGCATTCGCGGAGTTAAAAAGGCTTTCATTAGGCGTGGGTAATTCTGGTATGGGCTGGCATTCTCACAGGTAGGCTTCGGGCGAACCACTATACGATTCATGGGTTCATGTTAGATATCGACAGGGATGAGGGTCTTGCGAATAGCAGCCGAGTACATTTGAGACTAGATTTGGTTAAGGTGCCTTGAGGGGAACACCTATTATTGTATTCCCTACCAATTTTATATGACATCCCCTTCTGAGATTGATCCCTCACTCATGTTCAACATGTTAATCAGTCACGCAAGACGTTAACGCGCATACAGTGTTCAATCATGACTCAGGGGTAAAGTGTGTAGGTCCGGCCCTTAGAGATGGTTTATTTATGTTATACTATTCTGATTCCTCAAAATGATATACAAATATTTACAGTTGCTCTCCTTTTTGATTGCTCAGCAACATCACTAATGTATACTAGAATCCTTACTTATCCAAACATACATGCTTCCCCCTTAAAGCCTCAGATAAAAGTTGAGTCAATTCATCAATGGTATGTGGAGGAATGACACATGTTATTACGTGTAAATTAAAATATACACTATATCCAGACTTGCTTTCAGTTGATATCCAGGCTTTGGCCATGCCAAACCAGATATTAATCGCAAATGACTGGCGAAACACACTAGTTAACTCAAGATACAGAACAGACAAGTTAACCCACATCTCTAGGTATTTATACCCCTTAACTCCGCAATTTACATGGTGCGAAGCCATCATGAGACATTGTACTTGATCAAAGAGCAAAACACCTCAAGGTAGCACAACTCCTAGGTATATACCAAGCAGCTCAGCATACTTTGTACATCCAAGCACCTCATAGAATTCTTTTTTTTACCGTAACCTTATATATAAAGACTTATCCAAGCTCCCTCTTAGTCCTTACGTCCACCAAAAGGCCACATCTTTCCGCTAAGTTATTTTCCCAATTCTTCCCATGTAAACACAATAGTCCAAACCCGGCTACACCTTTTACAGGCATCTCCTTTTCTTTCCTTGGCTTTAGATAGTTCATTCAACCAGCCATAAGTTTGGAGCTGACCGCACCGCACAGTAGGACGGAGCGGTAATCAGCAGATCAAGATATATGGCAGCTGCGGCTTCGCCAACGTACCGCTACTCCTCACCATTCTGCCAATTTAATATTATCTACCTGTATGCGTAGATCGCTGACGGGCGATACAACACCGCTGCCCAGGAAAACCTGTCATCAGCCCAGTGAGTCATAAAACCTTACAAGACTTCTCGTATCCAACACGACACAATGCGGGACTAAGAGATTACAAAATAGGTATGGATTGCTTTGCATTCGTATGCACACGATGCTAGGCTCAACCACGGCTGCTTAAGGGTCAGGTGGGTCCAAACAATCCGGACAAGGAGACGAACTTCTCACAATTTATAGTGAAATACTTCGTCAGAGCTCGGTGGCCGTCTAAAGAAGTAGGACTGGTAGAAATACAGTAATAGTAAGAGTTCAGAAAGGCACTAGAAAGGGGGCGGTTGACAGCCATGTGCTGTCATTTTCCCACTACAACACAAACCCGGGTCGACTCTGATGTTAGTCAGAAATTGTGGTAGACTCGGTCTGCTTGAGAGTCCTATTGCAGACCCTTTCTTAGAAGATGAGGCCTCTCAAGTTAAGGCCTCCCAGAACGATGCACACCTATCCTGCCAACAGGATACTGAAGACCCGTCTCCCGACTCGAAGATCATCAAGCGTTGGAATACGGCGAGTTATGAAGACGGAAACTCTCATCTAGTTGGTTTTTCACTGCGATGACCTGGTCCAACGTATCCTCAATGCTGAATACACTTTAGTATCTGAGGTTTTAGTAAATAGATCTCACAAATAGAATAGCAAATGCCCACGTTAGAGAATTCCCGAGTACTTAACGATATCGTGAGCTTTCTCGTTTCGTATCTCTTGAATCTCCGTGATCCTCGATTTTTACATCCTAGCATCAATACTGGAGCTAGAAACGCTGGTTTGTGAAATATATCCCTTAATCCCGACCCCCCCTCCCCTTTTCTCAATTTACCCCTATTCTGCCTCCCCAGAGAATCCACCAATAAGATGATTTCGTCTGGACCAGCGCCTCATCAATAGGATGGAGCTCGAAGTTTCAAATTTCTTGGAGGGAATGCTTCGACAAGTCCCTTTCTCTTATATGATTCTTTTCCACTTCGACATCTTGCTGACATAATGGTATTAAAGAAGGAACAAGAAATGGCAACCGAGTTCTGCAGAGTGGCCATGCATGTTCGAACACTCTCCTACGTGTCATATGAACTGAATGTCAAATCTGTTGATGAACCCGCGGTTGGTCAAACGGAACCAGTGCTGTACTGTCGACTCGACGTTACTGAAAGGGTGAACTATGAGACATAACTGACATCCCAGGCTTACACAATCACTTTCGCCTACTTAAGTAGACTTTGGGCTATAATTTGAAAAAGTTAGTAGCCTGGTCATCATTAATGAAACAACAATACACGTAACAAGTCATAGATGGAGAGTTGCGAGTTCTCTTTCTTAAGTATCGTTTTTCTCATTCGGTGCCTAGACGACGAAATTCGTTGAATACAGGACCGGAGCCGGTGAAATATCCCTCACCCCATGACCGCCCTGCCTTTCCTCGAATTGCGCAGTATGACAAGTGCAAATATGATGATCGAGTTTCCCTAACCCTCACGCCGGATCTAGTTGCAAGTATGAGACGAATTGTGTTGATGTTGGTATTTGTTTTGGTCGGAAAGGAAATGCAGAAGTGGCGAAGAAACAATTAGTATCCGAATGACTCGAGGGCCTTGACCGTCTTGCTGTCGACCTTGGCGTTCTTCTTGGCTTCCGACAATTGTCGTTGCGCCAGCTTCTTGCGTTCGTAGTACGCCGCACCCTTCGCCTTACGTCGCTCCTCCAATCTGTGATTTGTAAGTTAGCAAAGATAATTTTTTGGGGGAAATGGCATCGGCTCTCGTGTATTTCACAAAGAGCGCAATCCGCCTAAAGCATCGGTAGGTACGTACCGCTCAACGACGTCCTGGTACTTCCAGCCAACCTCGTGGCTTAGACGACCAACGGTGCAGTACTTGCGACCGGGCTGTAGTCGGAGAACACGGAGAGCCTGGGGAACAACCATCTTCTTCTGCTTGTCGTACGGGGGAGGGACACCCTCGAAGACCTTCAACCGCTCCAACGCAGCAGCACCACGGGCGGTCTTGTGGGGGATCATGCCACGGACGGCCTTGTAGAAGATTCGGCTAGGAGCGCGGAAGTGGAAGGGGCCTGGGAACTGTTAGACGACCTGCATATTACATGGCGCGAACCGGGATTGGCGCGAAATCGCTGGGGAAGGAAAACTCTTAACGTACCACCTCGGGTAGGGTTGTATCGGGTCATCTTGCGAAGGTAGGCATGGTACTTCACTGTAATTCTATATTAGCTTTTGTTCTCGGATTCAGGTTTGCCTCTGCCAATGAAATAATCCCAAGCTCTTGACTCGATCCAACTCGGTTCAAACCAATTTCCGAAGACCAACGTGATTAAGGGAGCGGGAACGGGAGCGGGTGTGATAGGTAGAACATACGCTTCGCGCGGAAGAATTCGCCGGAGATGTTGAGGGCCTCGCAGCGGACGACGACGATCTTCTGACCGCTGAGGAGCTGCTTCGCGACAATACTGGCGAGTCGACCAAGAAGGTGACCCTTGCCATCAATGACGACCTAGAGGGGAATTTGAATTAGCTAAAATTCTTTGTATTTCTCGAATTATTATCATTGACTTGGTGTGATGTCGCGAGTGGTAATGCTTATTTCGTCTTCAACCAGCCGGCCAAATCAATTCGAAATATTCCCACTCGCTACCCCCAGGGAAATCAAAGTGCTGAATGGGTTTTGTCGTCTACTTACAACAGGCTCGAAGGACGACATCTTTCTGAATCGTCACCACGGTGTTTCGCGGGTGGAAACTTGGACGGTGGATAGGATGAAGAAAGAAAAGAGAAGGAGGAATGGAATAGGCCGAGAGCGCAATGTAATATGCGTCTGTAACCTATTAGATCCTCGCTGTTGTATGTTAGTAAAGTCGCGGGTTGGTTGTTGATGGTCGCAAATATGAAAGGTTCATCACAAGATGTTGAAAATTAATCGGGAAACACATTACCTGAGAGTGTGCACAGTGGGAGAATATCACTAATCCCGATTCGGAATGGTGGGGCTAAAGCGGAAGCGAGAGGGTTTATCGCCTAGTATCACTAGGGCTCGCATAACCTAATAATTCTTTTCAATTCAGTGCCCGCCGAATGGAAGTAGCAGCTGGAGAACAGCTGGCAGCGGCCGAACGGCATCTCGGCAACGCACATATGACCTAATATTTTCATCAATGTACCTTGGTACCATCTTGCACGCACGTCCCCGGTCGTCCATGGATTCCGATTTTCAGGACTGGATTGATGGATGTCATTGCCGGATCTACGCAGGTACTTGGGTACAAACGGTTGAAACGTTGTGGAAGCATCTTGTTTATTTTCACATGATCCTGGCATTGAATTCTGCTCGTTTAATAATGGCAATGATATCTCGGTTTGGTTGTTTTTTCTTCCCTCGCAAGTTAGAATGTAGCTCTATCGAAATGACACGCCGTGCAAGCCTGCTAATGCAATCCATCGCCCAACCTCGATGTAGTATTAGAGCTAATGATCTCTGCATCCTGCCTCATTGCACTCTTCGTAATCGCTTGATTCCGTGAATATGCACTCTCGGACACGAGGGCAACGGTGGGGTGCTATGATGATTATTCGAGGGGAGAAGTTCTATACAGCAAAGATGGAAACTTGTCGTAAAACATGGTAGCATTCCGGCAACTACCTAGTAAGTAGTCAATGAGAGGAATTGACTATAACATGGATCATCTTCCCCTCGACTTCCCGGAAGAGGAGGGCTGGCGTTCGTCAAGCTGCCTTAAGATATCCTGCACGTAATTCACCAGTTCCTTTCTCTTCGCCCTGATATCCGGGTCACCTCCTGTGTTTACCTCGTCTAGCTTCAGCAATGTGTGTTGTAATACTGTCTCGCTCAACTTTCGATGTTCGTCCTCGCACTTCTTCTTATCAGTTGGCGTGTGATTTATGAATTGTCGGCAAAGAGGCAGAAGTTTCGCGTCAAAGTGAGATCTGATCGCATCCAGCTGCTCGCTGGGACCGGAAGGCACCGCAGGGGAGGGCACTCTCGATGGGTGGATGGATGGATCCGGTGATGCTCGTCTGCCTTCTTCACGTCCTGGCACTTCAAGATTCACAGAGCTTTCGGCCGGACCGGGACGTTCCTTCTTCTTCTTTCGAGCCTTGCTCTTCTTTTTCCTCGACTTCTGCTGGTCGATGGAATCTTCCGTGACAACAACTTCTTCGCTGCTACTCTCTCCGTCTTCATCGCTAATCCTTCCTTCGGGAACTACAACTAGCAGTTCGCTGTTGTTTTTCACACCATAATCTCGGATAGGGATATCCTGCTCTTTGAGATGGCGGCCTTTGTAAAGCATCTTCAAGCGTCGGCTTCGACGATCACTAAGATCCATAACCAATCCCACGCGATCACGCACATCTGACACATGCAATTTGCCATCGCCGATAGAATACGCGGGGAAGTGGACGGGATATGTGATGCCCTTGTTCTTGATTAGAAGTACGTCATCGTCGAGGGTGGCGCTAGGTGGTGCCCGTCGACCTTGGGGGTCGTAGGTTCGGGACGGTGACTGTAGCGAATCTTCAAGATCTTCGGATGTGATATAGCTAAAGTCGTCATCAGTGACATGAGGCACGCCCTGGCTATCCGACTGGGAGGCGTATGGAGATATGGCGTCTCGACTGGAACCCCAGCCAAATCGAGACATCATGCTGAGAGGTAACGCGAGAGCTGCAGCGGTACCGGCGATGGTTGAATATAGGAGAGTCGGCGATACTCCTTGCGAAACAAGGTACTCGTTGGATCCGGCTACGGCTTCGGAAAGATGGCCGACTGTTGTCTGGACGTAAGTTTGTAATGCAGGCGGTAATAAGGCAGTGATGTTCTTGATGGCACTAGCTGATGCCAAGAATGCCTGGTTCGAAGCCACTTTGAAGGGCTAGGTTGTCCCGGAGGACACCCAGCGAAGTTTCTTTATTTTAACTTGCGGAGAAGTTATAGTTGCAGATGCAGCAGCAAGTGGTACCGATACTTGCAGCGGGCAATCGCCTGAGAATTAGGTATTCGCTGTTCAACCTAGGAAATGCAGGTGATCTCGGGACGGAGCCGTGCAGAATACCTTAGGACTTTTGCACGAATTTCGGTTGGACCGTTTTCAGGTCTCCTTCACCTGCTCCTCCTGCCAAAAGCGAAGTTTGTAGCTGCGACCTCGCCCGGTACTGCGCGGTACTAGTACTATAGGTCGCTATAGGTACTACCCTATAATAACCGTGGGGACAGGCCCTAGACTCCAGAGATCTGCAAGATTTGTGTAGTGACTTTTGTCTACTTTGGACACCTTTGGACTCGTATGGATCCCTATGGACTTCCAATGAATTGTTCTGGCTCCAGCGCTTGTCGTACGTAGTGTAAGGTCTCGTTTCGACTATTCAGCGGAGCGGTTTGATGTGTTGTCACTGCAAAAATACAGTTCGGTCAAGAGCGAACCCACGATAGGTTGCCTAGGCTGTCTGGATGGTCATGCGATTCAAAAGATAGGTAGCTTAGGTTGCTTATGGATCTTCAGTCGCAAAATTGACCAATGTATTATCTTCTTATTGGGTCGGTTCTTAGGAAAGTTCCACAGCTAAGGCATCGCATCTATGATTGTGCAACTCCTCTCTTTGGACTTGGGAGTCGAATCAGTAGATACGGGAGTGCGCGATAAAGATTGAGTTATCCTCTACCAGCGCTGAAGAGATGGGATTCCGTTGCAATTGGATGGTATATGTACGGGCGACGGGAAGTACTGTATGTACCTCAGATAACGGTGGGAGAAGAGGGCATTTATTGGTGAAAGGTTAGGCAAGTTTGGTCGGAGTTAGTGAGAGGAGTGTTGAAAAAGAGACGTTTTGTCAATTGCCAATTGGTGAGCCAAGCGTAAGACAAGGCTGGCTTGGAATTAATCTTACGAAGTGGCACTAAGAAAAAGCTTACGGTCTTCAATGTCGCGCCTACCTAGTACCAGATACTAGACGATAGTAGGCTTAGCTTCATTAGGTAAGGCGGTAGCAGAATACTTGAGTAAGATTATTAGGTAAGCAGAACTCATCCCGAGGTCCCTGCTACGAAAATCGAAGGCACGAAGCAGCAGCAAAATAACGAAATAGGGAGGTACAAGTCGGTACTAGGTACCCATGTATTTCCATCCAGACTGCCCCACCTTGGCTCTTCATTATCCCACTTCGATTGAATAAACATTTCTCACGTCAAAGTAATTGCGTCATTTTTGTCCCTCACGTTTGTTCCTTACCAGACGTGCTGAATACCTAGGTACATACATGTACCCATATCTATCAGACATGTACCTCTGGCCTAATGTTTGTATGGAATAGTACTTTGCCCCTGGGTACCCAATCGTCAATTCCAATTTATATATCCCGAGGTCTCCGATTTTTCTAACATCTCGGTTCTGTGTGACCTATGATCTCAAATCATCAATCCCTAATCTGTACTAATCTGGATTTACAATTGCGTCTTCTGCCGTCATCTACATCCCGTTGTCGCAGAGTCACTTGGTACTTGGCAAAAGGGGTAACGATTACTTTTTAACTGACAAATACATCCATACCATTTGCCATATCCCATTAGATCATACCAAAACGGGTGTGACTATAAAACTTGAAATACCCCACCAGTTCAGTTTCACATCTTTGCGACAGCCATCAACAACAACTTTTATGTTTCTCATCCGCCGACTCTTCTCATCTCCCACACTATCGCAAGCCATGGCCGACGCAAAGACCAAAGCGCAGGGCATCATCGACGAGAATGCCGTTGGTAAGTTCTCACGCGATGTTTGCTTTGTCTAACCCGGTTATTTAGGTAGTGTTTGCGAACCAACTGCAGCAACTCGCTACCAACATCTGCATCACTTATCTGTTACCTACCATCTGTCATCTGCCATTCAGCATTTTCACCTACCTAGCCTCCCTATAAGATAAGAAGATAACTAACAAACTTACCCCTTCCGTAGCCGTATTCTCTAAGTCGTACTGCCCCTATTGCAGTGCCTCGAAGCGTCTTCTCGACAGCCTAGGAGCCAAGTACAAGCTAGTTGAGCTAGACGAGGTGCCGGACGGTTCCGAAATCCAGAACGCCCTCGCTGAAATATCGGGGCAGCGCACCGTTCCCAACATCTGGATCGGCAAGAAGCATATCGGCGGCAACTCTGACCTGCAGGCCAAGTCCGGCGAACTCAAGGACCTCCTCTCCGAAGCCGGCGCTCTATGACTACATGGACGCTCCTCTAAGCTTTGAACGAGTTGTGAACGGAAGAGCTGCTAGTTATGGGGAATAATTGGCTGTTACCTCAGTTGTTCTCTGAAGACTATATAATGCGCTGGTTTTAACGTCTGAAGAGACGTATCTGAACATGTCATGCGAATCGGAGAGCGAGCAAGCGATGCGGCTAGACTTCCATCGACTTTGCATGGGATAGATATATACCTAAGTTCATCGTCAATAGACTTATAAATGTGCCATAAACACATCAATTATAATTCTGAGAGTTTCTTGCTTGTGATGTGGCGGATACTGCGACGGCAGAAATACATAGGTATGCTTCAGATAGGACGTGTCCTATGACGTCCTCGAACCAATAGTGAGGATTGGACTTCGTGGCTTAAATACCTAGTTGAGAAAAGATTGCGCCCCTATTCAACAACAGTTGGCTCTTGACATACCGTCAAGCCCTCTTCAATTGCCTAGATATTGACGATATTCTTAGTTTACGGGCTCCTTGGTATTTCATGTAAGACGTTCTCTTGTTTGAGTAATGGTTTTACCCCCTTTCTTCGCTAATGATTTTCTATATCTCTGTTACCTACTCCAGTTCAACTAGGCAGATCTAGAGACAATCACTTGGAAACACAAGATTTCGGAGGCTATTCACCGTGATCATCGTGAGTTAGGAAGACGTCACGTCGACGTGTTCGCAGCATGTGACATTGCTTCACCCAACGGTTCAGATAGACCCCTCACCGGATCAAAGGCTAGGCGAATGGGAATTGGCGTTGGTAACCTAGGTATGTATTGAACGTATAATAAAGGTCCAGGAATATGGAGTTATTGCCTCCCAAGATCACTAACTAGGCAGCGATTGTAAACCGACAAAATGATCGTTTGGCTGCCATCATTGTTGCGTATTTGGCCCAGTTGATTTTCTCCAGAGCATTGGCACGCCTTTTCACATGTATCTTGCTTCCTAGGCTCCGACTGTGGCATATCACCAATCCGTACGTATCCAACCTTCCGGCACACGTGCCGAGAAATTGAGGGCCACCTGTCATGTGTCGCAGCAGCAACGGCACGGGGAGTGCGGAGTTCGTGCGTGAAGAAAGGCCCACGTAGCTTCCGGGGCTGAATCCGAATCCGAACCATAGTAACATCATAGGCCATATGGGGAGAATGATCACTTATGCGCCGCGTGATGGTGAAAGGGGCCTCCCTCCTCCGAGATCCTAGCAAGCCTGAACGACCGATGCGACTGTTGGGACTGGAGTTCGTATGATGGCGCAACATAGGGGATGGCTGCCGTGTCGACTCCTGGCGCGCTACCCGTTGTAGTCCCGCCCGTACCACTTGCTGTAACGCCTGCTCTACCAGAGTTGCTAGCGGATGCCTCAACGTGTTCGGAATGGCTCACGCGCCGCAAGGGACAGTACCACATGGCTAGGATGATTGCGATCAGGACAATTGGGACGAGAATGACACCGACGGTGCCGGCCGTTCCCAACATCCTAGTGTTCAGGTCCGTGAGATGAACCGGGCATTGAGTGTTCCGACACAGTCGACCGTGTTAGAAGTCGGTACTTGGGAAGTCGAGAATGGTCGTGGGGCGGGCATCTGGGAGGTTTGTCTAGAAATATCGCAATCGACGGAGGTAAAGAGATGTTCAGCATGATCGACTAGCCTTTATGAAGTTTCCTGGTTTCCAAAAGTCTGGTGGTTACATGTCCATCCGCTACTACGTGGCCATTTAATTTGCACTTTATACAGCCAATATGGTTCTTCTTTGTCACCATGTCTTGGTTCTGGTGTTCTTCATGGTATTTGAATCTGCCAATGTCTATTCCACAGCCCACCGATTCCGGCAGACGATGTGTGTCCTTCCTCACGATGAAACGGGGCCAAGCAACTCGGATCGAGGAGGTGAATAAGACATCGTCACATTCGGATCTTTAGCCTAGTATACCCGGCCAAGCAACATGTTCGAATCATCCGGGGCATTCTTGCATTACCGAAGAAGGCACCTGGGTGGGTAGTACGAACGAGCAAATTGGCATGATCATGATGCTCTCGCTAGATGACACAAGAGTGGATGGTATGCTGCGTAATATACACCAATGTACACTTGCTCAACGCTCGAAAATGCACATTTCACCAGTAATCGGTGACTTCGGCATATAAGCGTCATACTACCTGTGTGGCAACCGTACCCACTGGTCTCTCCACAAACTCCATGATACCTTCAACGATGTTTTTTCTTGCCGGTTCGGACGCAACCTTGCTGCCGGCTAGGTAGTTGAGCCACAGCAATCGAGACACCCGTTCATCGGCAACGCTTCCGAGCGCGCTTATACCGGTCTTGCCGTCATCAAATGTGATAGTTAGCTGCCCGGCAGCATCTCGTACTAGGAGCATTTCCCGTTTCTTTGGCACTTTTCCTCGGTTGAACAAACTTCGGAACTGCTTCATCGCTTCTCCGAATGCCTCGTCGCCGTACTCACGGCTGTCGCTTTGCGATCTCGCCGTTATTGCGCGCACAAACCCGTCTCTCAGGTGATGGAAGTCCGTATCCCTTGTAGGAACGACTCTGAATAGGGAGCGCGGCTTCACCTCCTGAAGAATTTCGTTCCACAGCTTTTCCCCCCGTTCCGGATCCAGCAGGATTTTGCGCAACTCGTCCTTCTCGCTAGGTACTAACGCCGTTGCAATGGGATTTATCTCCTTGATTAGACGTGACTGTATCGCTGCGATATCTTGCGTCGCAATATAGTATCCTACCATGTATACTTGGATACCCAAGAAACTCACCGTTCTTACGCCCAACCCGACCAAGGTGTATTCCACGCCATTAACCTTCTCCCGCCCTTCTTCAGCCCCAATCGCAAGGTCAAAGACTCGAGGAAATGTAGGAATAGTGCTATTCCCGGTCGGAACGAGTTCCGTGCCGTCTCCACTATGAATAACCGTTTTGCGCTTCGAGCCGGCTTCAGTGTTGAAGGGGTTTAATTTATCAGGCAGCCCGCTATCAAGCTTCTTGGGTGTGTAAAGCTCCTTGTAAAGCAGATATGAGAAGTATCCGGTTATAATGGTACCAGAAATTGCACCACAAAGGAGGAAAAACTGCCGTTTCGCATTATATGCAGCTGCATCTTCGCGCATACGATTGACATTGAGACCATCGAGTTCTTGTGATCGTGATCGCGATTGCGTTCGGAGAGTTCGCCATTGTTGCGGATTGGTACGTAGAAAACTTGAACGGTGGCATGGGCGTGGTGCAAGAGGCCTCAAAGCGGTTTTAGGCAAGTATCGTATTGGTTTCATCGTGGGCAATGGCGTTGAATAGACATCTGGTGGACTTTGAATGATTAATAAATGCAAGTCAGCAATTCGATCCAGAGCTAAGCACGCTAAAGAGGTACTCAGGTACGCGGTAGTAGCATGTAAGTCATCGCATCATCTGCGGGTAAATGTAAATCCCGCTTGCACTTAGTAAGCTTAACCAGACTGCGCGCACCGTAGCGGGGTGTCTCCGCAAAGGGGGACCCCTTTTCTTCCATATTCTGCTGTCAAAGTCACAATTGTTTTCTTGGTACATAAATATCCATATGTACAATTTTCAACGCATCTCAGTCTCATGAATTTTAACCTCGACGCTTTTCAAACAGGCTCTATGCTGCCCCCTGACGTCTGTACTGTTATGTCATATTGTATAACCTTTCGAATACCCCGAACTTCTTCAACGTCACTAATCTGATCCCTCGAGCAAGCGTGTTCTAACATATACTCTTGACTATTTCCACCTGTAAAGGGTTTCCGTCCCTCAACGCATGTCACACGCGTGCTCAATATTTCCCTATCGCCCCGCATTGGAGACCAGTAGCTACGACTGGAATTGTTCGAATGCTGGCTCGGCTTGAAGCCGGCTGAGATACGTCGAGGAGCCGAGGCAAATATTGATGGGAACAGGTAGTTTAGTGGTCCCTTGCACATAGGAAGGCATGCGCAGATGATGGCAACATTCTCTTCGATCACGGTCCAAGTTGAGGACACAACGTCGTAAGTAGGATCAGAACTGGTGGAAGAGAAATTGAGAGTTTGCATTCGTATGATGCTTGTTATCGTAACGCTAATTATTCAGGTCAGCCGAGTCGTGGCTCACATCCGGGCTGGGCACCTCATTCAAACTGTTGATAATGAATAATTAGGACTCACAAGATGCCTAGAGCGAACACAATAATCAGCGCCCATTTCTGTTTCGTTGGGAGATTAGACCGATAGATCGGCTGCATCGGAAGCACGAGGATTGCGATATCCGTAGCGATCGAAAAGCCGGCATTTGCATACCAGTTCTCGGTGATGCTGATACATGAGCCTGGTATCGATTTATCCCAAGCTCTCGCGATGGGGGTACACTGCCAAATCGACGATGCAGTAGTGGCCACCATGTATCCAAGAATGATCCCCAGCAAGACGTAGCATGTGATCTTAAACCATCGTTGAAGAAATATGCGAAGATATAGTAGAATGATGGATGCCTTAGTCAGATTCAACGTGAGCTTATAGAATGCTTGTGCGACGTAATAGAGCTTTGCCCATATTAGCTTGGTAGCTCTTTAGATGGGATCCTGTTATAAATGTATAGTTACCTTAAGTGTTAGTGTTTGCTCCGGCGCGGTAATCTCATAAATGTGTTGTCCGAAGCCGTGCATGCAAGCAGCAATCAAAAGACTCGAGACGATCTGAGCGAAGGTCTTAAGGAAATAAGGAGTTAGCTGCTGCAATAGTTTCGGAGAAAGCCGAATGAAACATACCCAGGAAACTATAATCGTGTAATCATCCCATCCTAAACCCGAACCAGTTTTCAGCCGAGATGAAATTCGAATGACCAAAAATATGGGGGTGAGGACAAAGAAAACAATGCAGGGAACTTCTATATCGACAACATTAGTGTCCACATTGATGTTCTCATCCATGACTTTGCGTAGTCGTGGATGATAGTGGGGTTTCCCGGAGAGTTCTCGCACTATGATCTTCGAGGTGTCTCGTAGGTACCAGTTATATATCTCGTAGTGGAATGTTCGTGCATTGTTTTATTCCGTTTAAATCGTCATATCGACAGAGAACTTCCTAAAAAAGAGGTCTTCAAGCCAAGTTCATATAGTTGCGGATACCAGTCTTACTACGACTCACCAAATGCAGGTATCAAATTCCCGAATCGGCAACCTTCGTGAACAGGCAAGTTACGCGAGGTCACGAATACCGGCGTCGCATTGAGGGTGTATGATCGTTTTCAATTGGCGAATAACAGCAGGCTTTATAACCATGACTAACTTACATAATTGCTTGCTTAACTCGAGGAACTGCCCAATACTGGACCTACCGAGTTCCCGCACCTTGGGCTAGAAAAGTCTGGTCGCCGATTCATACCCACATCTTGAAGTCATCTTGGTTGCCATCGGATCGACAGAATGTAATAGATAAGATTCCTCGCTAGTGCGGGATCTAACTATCTATGGACTAATGATGGCGCACTGGCCAAACAGGAGCCACGTGACCCCGACACAAGACCTGTTGCAACTACGCCAGAAGTGATTCTTATTTATCTGACAAGACCTCAAGATGTACTCCACAATGATCGAAGGGCCTCCTCTAGTGATGTGTCCATCGTCTCCCAGCCTCCTTTCTCTGTCATGTAACGCAGCCTTCTCCTTCTAGACATAATGAGCGAAATCCAGACCAGCGTCGATACGCATAACGGGTTAACGATGCCGAAGGCCAAGACCCAAGGATGCCAAAAACTAACCCTCAGTTTGACGACGAAAAACACCGCTAGACCCACAAAGAAGTAGGAGATGCTCAGACCAGTGCCAGCCAGCCGTATGTCGCAATCCAGCATGCCAGGGTCCTCTTCAGTAAAGACATTGAGACATTTAGGTATATGTAATATCCTTTGCACCTGGCGGCCTCGTCGTATCACAAGTTCCCGTCGTTGAACGATTTGCTTGTCGACAATACAGATAACAGCAGTTAATATGCCCTGCAGAATTAACCTCACACATATCTGTCCACAACATTCGCCGAGACACTCTTCCATTATGTGGGTGATGTCGGTGCCGTGGTGAGTGATAGTTTAGGTAGCTTTGTGACGTAGGATCAATACGAACGGCGATGTTTTGTTGATAATCAGGTCTGGAGTAATATGACTCGGAAGGTTGCCACGGAGAAATCGCCTTGGAAACAGAATCGAGAATGATTGATGTTGAGAGAGGGATGATCTTCTGGTCACACTTGAGCATGCGAGTCACAATACTAGGTAGGTAGTAAACATACTAAATATGCTTCACTAAGATAGAGTTCTGTGGCATTACTGTTCTTAGTGGTTGGCCTGCCAGCAGAAAAGCCTCGCTAAAGCACTCTTTTAGTAAACTCTATTACCTCCGATCGATATTATTAGATTTTCGACTCATTTTTGAGTTCATATATCGCATAGTAGTTTCCAATTATTATTATGGCAAGCTTTACAACTTCCAAGTTCGACACACTCGGGCTACCAACAGATGATGCTAGGTTATAATCTACCATCTTCACTTCCTTCAATGTCGTTCTGTGTGTACCGACGTACTTAACCACGTCTAAGCAAATCTATCATTTTATGTGATCGATATAGCAACGCATAATGTTCTACTAACTTATCACGACATCTTCAACTGGCAATTGGCCTCGCACATGTTTGTGACTAGGAGCCCACCCACAGAAAATGACTAATAATTAGTATTTGCTCACTGTTGAAAACCGTCTTCACAATATTGGGTTGGTAAAGGGTTACATCGGAACTATATCGCAATCTGGAAGCTCCAACTAAACGATATCTCTGCTGCAACTCTAGATGTGCCAAGATCAAAAACTTGTCTAGGCCCGTTATTTCCCGGCACTTGGAAATAATAAGGAATTGGTGGTGTGATGGGCTTCAACGGGATATGCTAGAATTCTATTACTTAGGTAGACACATACCCTAAGACACATGACATATTTTCTGAGCACTGCGTAAATGATAAGTAATATCTAGAATATGGCATTGACTTACTCTTTGCTAGAGGAATCTAGATCTTTATAAACCCCACTTATACCACCAGCACCCCCAAACTACGAACTTGAACAAGTCCTATTCAGTTTCAGGAAGGAAGAATCTCCAAATGTCCGTTTACCAACTAAGGCACTGCCCCGAATACGTGGCAGTGCTTTATACCGATACTAGGCAGGTTCTCTTCGGTTTCCGCCGCGCCGGACGTGGAGACGTACGTACATGAGAATTCGGCTACAATGTCAATGTTTGGATAACCGCCGATCCACCGGATCTAGATGCAATGAGGGGTTGTAGATCATACAGCTTGTTATTGAGGTACGGCGCAGGGCACTGGAATTTGCTGCTATCGTGATGTAGATTCTACCAGATTCAAAAATAGTATCATTTCACACCGCCGCTGAACAACACCTTGATTGAATTTTGTGTGTACAGAAAAGCATTTTGGTGCTAAACCTCACTCATAGTGTTGGCTTGAAGATCACTCATTATATGATGACCGGAAGGGGTTAGTTTTCGCATACTTGAATCACAGAGCCACAGTGTCATCATGAAACCCCTCACAATCGTATGGGCCGTTGTTATCGGTTTCATCACATTCGATCGAAATGTGGTGGCCCAAGATTCAGGGCCAATATGTGACGTACCGTCTGCCGGGGACTTGAACGGCTCGAACTTCACATACCCCTTTCCATTGAAAACTTATAAATTCACCTCTCAGCTCCAAGAAGTTGAAATGGCTTTCATGGATGTTTCACCAACAATTGAGCCCAACGGAAAGATCGCCATATGTCTACACGGAAAGAACTTTTGTGGGCCTACGTGGGAGGAGACCGCCAGACAACTTGCTGGAGTAGGCTACAGAGTTATCTTGCCTGATCAAGTCGGATTTTGCAAGTCCTCGAAGCCAAGATCATATCAATACACGCTGCAACAATTTTCCTATAACACCAAGAGTCTCCTGGACGTGCTTGGAATCGAGAATGTGACGGTGGTCGGTCACTCGTTAGGGGGAATGACGTCTATACGCTTCGGTTTGATGTTCCCCGATATCATCGATAGGTTGATATTGGTGAATCCTATCGGGCTGGAGGACTGGAAGGCCCTTGGTGTGCCTTATAAACCCGTCGATATCTTAGACGCTATCGAGTCTTCCAGTAACTACACCACAATCCGAGAATATGAGCAATCGACGTATTATGTGGGGAAATGGGACGACTCTTACGATGTATGGGTGAATATGCTGGTTGATATCTACAAAGGGAATGAGGCGGCTATGTTTGCCTTCAACCAGGCACTTGTTACCGACATGGCACTCAGCGCTCCGGTGGTTTACGAGTTTGGAATGCTAGAGCCTCGAACCCTCTTGATGATAGGTGACAAAGACAATACAGCTTTGGGTAAGCAGTGGAGCCCCCCAGATGTGCAGACAAAATTGGGTCATTACGATGTGCTAGGAAAGCAAGCAGCTGCAGCTATGCCAAATGCCGATTTGATCGAGTTCCCTGATCTAGGTCATGCGCCACAAATTCAAGAACCTGGAATCTTTCACGAAGCATTATTGGCGTGGTTATCAGATTAGAACTTTACATCATCGACTCATAGGACGAGATAGTCCGTGAATTATCTGTATATACTCTGAGTATCGCGTACATATTCTGATAAGATAGACTTCCTTCATGGCGTGCTTTCTATCTATACCTCGGCAAGAAACTACAACTGATTCTCTAACGGAGCTCTATCCTCTTTAATATCAATCTTCATAGTAATACATGTGCCCAAACCGGCCAGGCCAGCCATGAGGGATTCCATCTGCGCGCCAGTACATATCATGTTAACACAAACCTGATAGTGTGCTGACTGGTGACTCCATCCTGAGATGCTCGTTCGAGGTGTCGTGCTCGCGCTAGTGCCAAAGTGCATGCTAGGGGGTGTGTCCCTGGAACCCGCAGCAGAAGTCGTGTCCATTGCCGTCGTGGTGGAAGGGATAATCTCAGTTGTTCGGTGTAATTCATGAAAGCCCATTGGGCTGGATAGATCAATATTCGTCGGAGTTGTACCTGCTTCGAATTAGTTAGGACGCCTAAGTATATTGTAGGGAACTCAATTACCATATGACTTGTATTGGAGTCCCCCGTTCATTACCCCGGAATCCTCCATACCACATAAATAGTTCTCCCCGGACGTCATTTCAAGCAAGTCTTCATATTGTACATGGTTTTCTGTATCATTTACCCAATGATCCATAGAAATAGGTTGAGCGTCATGATGAAAATAGTCGAGGGGAGGAAGAGCACTTGGCTCAGGAAAGTCGGTCCAATCATTTGACGCCGTCACCCCCGTGTCTTGCATCTGGATGTCTATTGCGCCGTTGTCAACTCCGGTAGGGCCATTCCCAATCTCAACATGGGAAGTGTCGCTGCCGTCTTTGGGATTTCCGTTTTCCCTATTTTCCTCATCTCTATCGTCTTCTTCATTTTCCTCGTCTTCATCATCATCATCCTCTTCGTCATCAGATTCTATTAAAATGTCAACTTGCTCCGAATCCCTGCTTTGGTGTAATTGAGCTGGTGGATTCCACTTGATATCTCTCTTTGAAACTCCCATAGTAGGCTCAAAGTTGGATGAGGTCTCAACCAATTTCCTAGCACTCGTCTCCCTTTTACTTTCGTTCTCATGCTTTAGCCTCAAAGTAGAATAGCGATTCTTGAGAGCAAGTCTCGTCCTAGGAGGGACATGGGACTCCGCGATTGTCGCCCAGTTAGTGCTGTGAGTGAGGACTGCATGAAGTAAATTTGCATCCTAGGAAGCGTTAGTACCTAATTGTCAAGTGATAATATCTGAATGAGTGTGAGGAACCTCTTCTGGTGTCCAGTCGCAGTAATTAATGCCTGGATCTAGCACTTGGCTCCAATGACTCGAGCATTGGTCGGGATTTCTTGACCTTATAGCACGCGAAACCCGGCTCCAATTTGTACCGTATTTTCTGACAGCTTCAATAAGACGTTCATCTTCTTCTTCGCACCACTTTAAGGGTGATAGTTAGCAATCGTCCTAGGGAATAAACTCAGGGGGTTTCATATTTGAGAACAGCAACTCCTCAGTCAGCTTCGTTAGAAAGCGCCTGCTCCCGGAACATGCTGAAAAAGGGGGACAGAGCTCTCTATATCACATACTGGTCCTTTGGTGGTGCCATCTGCCAGGCTATTCCACCATCTACGACGACAGTCTTTATTTGAACGGCCGGGCACGGACTTAGCCAAGTCCCGCCAGAGTAAGGGGCGGCCTTGTGTGGTAGCTACTCGCAGTCAGTATCGATGGTAAATCCAGGAACATCCATCCCCAAGACATACCGTTTTCCACAGCACGACGTAGCAGGGCATCCTCCTCCGCCGTCCATCGTCGTCGAAGGCGAGCCATGTCCTCCAAATATGTTTTATACCTTGAAATGATATTCTGGAATTATAATAACTTTTCGACAATACTAATACAATATTACTATACATATAACATGAATAGGATGAAGCAGACGGATGAATAGACACAAGTATTTAAATTGGAAACGACATTAATAGATAGGTACTTTTCAACTGCAAGGATACCTAGTAGGAAGGGTGGCTCTTGGCTTGGGCCATGACAAATGGATAAATAACCTCACAGGAGATTCCATCTTGTACTGATAGTGTAGAACTCTTGAACTGTAGATGTAAAAGCCGAGTTGGTTAGATCAAATCCATATATGGCGCTAGTAGCTAGGACTACAGACTGGCAAGAAAGTACCTGGGCTGACAGGATGACGGAAGAAATTAGCCAAGGCACTGTAAGAATGAGACACTTGAACGTTACACGTTCGGGATACGCGTCAGGCTTTCTTCCACCCTTTTCAGAATATAGCCGACTGACTAGTCATCCCTTAGGTGCATGCAAGTGGCGCGGCGCCGTGCCGTCAGCTTCATTCCCGAAGCCTTATCTTGTTGTCGCCCGGGCTCGTCATGCCACGGGCTCGATATGATTAGATACGATATGTCGCATTGAGAGGTGCACTTCTAGAACACAGTCAGCGTCTTACACAGCTCAACCCCGCCTTGGAAACCTAGGTAGGAAGGAGATGGAAGGATGCTCTTAGTACAAACAAGCTCAAGGATTATCTAATAATCTAACGTGAATAGGTGAAGTTGGTTATTGTTTTTTTAACCTTAAATCAAGATTTGTAATGTCAGGAGGAAGATCCATGAATAGGTAGGTAACCTGGTAACTGACTCGTGAATGCATGAATCCCACATGGCTCTAAGGATGAACCAACGGCCGTAACTTTTATCCCGGTCTGTAACGAGTCCTTCTATAGCGGACACTCCCCACGTGGAGTACGGGATTTTAGATTTATTCACCCCCCGGTAAGTAAGACATGTATTGCTTAGCTTATACGGCCCGTCGCCGGGGACTTGTCATCCACCAAGGGCCAAGGGTCCGTTCTAGCGCCGCTCGAGCAAGATCCCCTGGTTAGCTCGGCTGTGACTTGGTGGAGCACGACGGAGTTAAAGATTAGGTATGATGTGGGGCTGACCACCTGTTGGTGATAGTGGCGGGCTCGCGTTCTAGACTCAAATTCCCCTTGATCTTATGTTTTATCGTCAAACGCCAAGCTGAATCGCCACCCTCCAACCTCGAACCGCGACCGGGCGCAACCAGAATGGAATGGCCCGAAGAACCCTATTGGAAGAGCGTATATCGGCTTTCATATACTAAAGCCATTAGCTGACTAACAATTTTGCTCGATTCAAAGTAGCGATGGACCGGCGGACGACGGACGATAGTACCTTTTCTCTTTTCCGTATATCTGAATTTATTGAGAATAATTCATTTAGTTAAAGCTTCAACTAGACCTATCAATATTTGTATATAATTATATTTATCGCATAGGGCAGAAAATCAGGCAAATCGTAATGCTGATCAACTTCACAGGTATTTAGAACAATAATAAACCAACTCAATAACTAGGTAGGTATCCTTCACCACGCGCAGTCCTAGGTCCCATTCATATCCTCTTAGATTCAATTTCCCTTCATGGACTCTATGATGCCACGAGCATTTGCGAAATCAAATTCGGCTAACGTCTCATTCCAAAGTCTCTCTGTAATCTGTTGCCCCTCCGACGTATACAATAGAGTAGGGAACCTAGAGAGAAAATTCAGGTTGGCAAATGTATATGATTTTGAGGGATGGGATATACTTACGGATGAATCTGCCAACTCATGATGAACCCGCCGTGGGAATCCTTGCCCTTGTTCACAACCGCATCCACATAGGTAGAGGCACCATGCTTCTTGTTTCTGCCAGTCAGAGACGCAAAGATGGACAACCCTATACGCTGTCCACCAGAGACATCACGTGCGAGTTCAGTACCCTTGACGAATCCTGGATCCGCCAGATTCACTATTACATCATCTGCTGATATGTAATCAACGAGTTTCCAGAGAAACAGGTGCATCAGGAGTTTAGATGAGCAGTACTGGTCGTTTGGATCCCAATACTTGGAATTATCGAACGACGGCAGAAGAGGATTCTCATCGCGGTTTGGGAACTTGGCGACGAGAGTAAGGGCCGCACTGACGATCGTAAGCCGCCCGGGTGTCCCAGGCGGAGATTTACTTTTAAGGGAGGGAAGCAGGAGGATAGCAAGTAGAGCGGTCGACAGGTAATTGATCTGGATCGTTTCTTCATGCCCAGTAGCCGCGACGGTCCCGAACTCGAGTTTGCTCACACCGGCATTGAGAATGACCATGTCAAGACGAGGTAGCTGAGTATTCACGCGACTGGCAAATTCCTGGATAGAATCGTAGGAGCTCATGTCAAGTTTCCAGACATTGATGGTTGCTTTCGGGTATTTTGCCCGAAGTTTTGCGGCGGCGGCCTCTCCTTTTGCGGTAGAACGCACAGCAAGTATCAAGGTACCGAGCTTGAATGAGAGCAGTTGAGTGGCGGCCTCAAAGCCAAGACCAGTGTTTCCTCCAGTAATGATAGCGACTTTCTCGGAGAGATTTGTGTTTGGGGGTGGGTATTGGGGCTTGGTGCGGAATTGATTTTTAAAGAATTGATTAGGAAAGAAGGGAACGGTTGAAGGCGGTAGCTCCTTTGAAGAAACCATCTTGAACGGCAGCGATGAGAGAATAATTGGAATGAAGTCACTGGAATTTGGATAGAAGTGTTGTAAGTTTGACTGATGATATTCCTTATATTTTTTATATCTACCTACTCAGCAACCGACAAAGCATTGATGTGACCTAAGAATTAACACATTTGGGATGAAGGGCTATGCAAGACATTGAAGGCCGACGGTGTTGATATTGTATGCTGAATTAGGACTAACCTCGTATCACGAGAACTATTCTTTGATGGGCAAATCCGTAGATTGAATAGCTTCGAAGCCGTCACGTCCTAGTTTTCAAATATAGACCCATCATGGGGTCGCATTCAGATTCCGATAGTATAAAAATTGCGTTGCCGTAGGTTCCAAATTAGGAACAAGCTTAAACAGAGACCCCTGAATCTAATTGGTGGAGGCCCCTTACTGCATTCCGCAAAGGGCGTATACTAAGCCCATCTCGTAGTTTGATTGGTTGTTTTTATGAAAACTTCAGTGGATACTTAAATGCCCAGCCTATAGAGAGCCGGCTGATGCACGCTATCCCCTAAATGGAATACAATATGTTGGTGCAGGCGTGCAGAGATTCGTAATGCGAAGCTATTCCTGAATCGGCAAACAATCTCACCCCCCGGAAACATAATGCGATCCGGCAAGCGACGCTCCAACCTGAACTCCTCCTCTTCTCTTCAACTCTTTCCCCATTCCCGTAAACAATATCGGCTCGACGTACCCGCGCCTATGTCTTCACTGATCCTCTAAAGAGCCTGCGGCCACGTGTTGATGATGCGAACTGCAACTTCTAAGCGCTCAGACATGGTCTAGATCTATGCACGCCGACTCAGTACCTAGGTATCCCAAGCTATCTCTTACTGATCTAATTCCGACGATATGGCTACCACACAGCTGTCAGGTGAGTAGATGCAGTCCTATTCCTCTTATTCCACTCGCACGAAACCGAGCCTCACATCACATTTGCAGGGATGCCTTTTGTGGTGTCGACTAGCTTAGACAAGCCTGACCCCAATCTGCGCAAGTTCATTAGGAAGCATGTCATGATGGGGAAGAATCGGGGGAAAACTCGGCCGACAAAGAAAAAGGAGAATAAAGTGGTGGAGTTAAGCGAAGTAGTAAACACCACGAATGGTCTAACTAAATCACCAAGCAATGCCTCTTTGATCGTAAGACGCCACCCGATCCCACCTAACGTTGGCTCGCAGCTGTCGACGGTCCACTTTGCCGACAATGTAGACCTTTCCACGGTTGCAGTCGTTTTACGGTGTAAGCTAAATTTATCTCCCGGAGGCTGTATAGAACAATTGCCTAACATGAGGCTAGTTTCTTCCATCGCGAAACAAGCTTTATTCCCATTAGAGACATGCATATCCTTTGACAAGGGTGACAAGAAGCAGTGGATTGAGCCACTAGCCTTCGATGCGGCCTACCTCCATACTATGATTTTTACAACACACGACTACTTCAATTTGCTATTGCACCGCACACCTTCTGGTGAGACGTCGCCTCATTTCTTCAAGACGATCCAGATTCTTCGTGAGAGGCTTTTGCACGAGGGAGATGGTCGTTCTAAAGTTTCAATCCTCACAGCCTCCGTGGTTTTGGCCCTCGCAGGCCATGCACTCCTTATGAACGAATACGTGTCCGCTAGACACCATATGGAGGGCCTTCGCAAGATTATTGACCTGAGAGGAGGTATAACAGCATTTAAAGGGAGCTCGAAACTTCTAATAGAAATCCTTAGGTAAGTACTGATATGAACAACTGTGGTTCTTCCCAATTTGAAAGGCTAATTATCATAGATGCGATCTCGGGATGGCCCTTTACACTGGATTAAGCCCCTTATTCTCAGACATACTCTCTTCGGAGCCTTCTCTATTGTTTCCGGAACCTTTCCCGACAAGTTCGGATTGGAAAATAGACAAACTTTGTGGGAGTATAACCCACGAACTCGTCACAACGTGGAGAGTTATGGAAGGATTTTGTTCCCTGATCAACCTCGCCGCAAAATCCAAGACCCGCATTCCAAAAGAAATGTTCCTGGACACTATGGCTTCGGTTATGTATCGTCTTCTCGATATGGAATTTGACGCCGGCTCAACGAATGAACTTATTCGCCTCGGTCTACTGGCTTTTTCTTCAAGCGTTTTTCTGCAGTGGAAGTATATGCGGATGTCGTATACTCACTTCTCCGCTCTATATAAGGATTGTCTAATGAGGGGCATTTTCTCGGACATGCCACCTCAGTTTCAGCTTTGGCTTCTCATGGTGGGGGCCGTTTCAGTGTTTACAAAGGCTGACGAGGAATGGCTGAGACCATGGCTGCGCGCTATCATGAGTTCGTGTAATATTGAACTATGGACCGATATGCAGGACATTCTAAATTCGTTCATATGGATTAGCTTGGTTCATGATGAACTTGGAAAGCAAGTATTCGACTCTGTCTCTCTGCTTACAATAACAGCATAGGACAGATCAGTTGTCTTTTAGAAGATATGCAGTCTTCGTCAAATCTTCGCAACAGCTATTACGTATGGTGACTAGTAACCAATCAACGTTCACGAGATACTTCTCAAAGAAGAAATAAGCTCCACGTAGGTAACATCTGCTCTGGAGCTGGTAGCTCTATCATGCTAGCCTATCCAAATTTAAGGTAAGCCGCAGGATTACACCCCCGTCTTTCGGATAGGGCTTAGTGTGCGCTCTTATTGGTTCTTTTGCACAAGCTACTAGAATTGACGGTACTTACGCTTGGCTATAACTTGGCAATAACTCGCAAGCGAAAAGTCATCGTGAGGCGTGTAAGGTGAAATTCCTTGTTTTGCCTAGCAGACTACGCATGTGCGTAATAACTGACAAAGCTGTTGTCTCCATTCCAATTAACCATCACAGAATGCCAAGATAACTAGAGGAACTCCCAATCTGACCCAGCATGTTGGTACTTTTCACTGATCCTGAGTGGACACAAAAACAAATTTATCGTGCGTCGACAACCCCGAGTAAATAAGCAAAGGTTTATCACGTGGTTGGACATTGTAGAAGCAGATTCTGACATCCAGAAATCAAGGTTATATTTCGCCATTCTAATAATGAGTAGAAGTTTTTGTTTTAGTCCATATCTACCATATCAACCTCCTTCGCCACACACCACGAGACATCCCTTATCTTCCCTTGTCTATTTCGGATCCTTAGTCGATAGTAGAAGATGCTGTCCGACTTCCATCTCCCCCTTAACCCCATTGACAAGGTCAATCAACCCCCTGTCCATTATCTCCAAGTCCAAGATGGCCTCATACTATGCTCAGGCCTCTGCTGGACCACCGCGTACATCCTCTATATCCGGCAAGCCTACCGCGATAAATCCTATGGCATGCCCCTTGTTTGCCTGTACGTGCCTCTTCCTTCATCTGATAACATGGGACTCACACATGACTGGGACTCGATAGGTGCGCCAACATAGCCTGGGAGTTTCTCTTCGGGGCCGCGATCCCGGAATCTGCCGCCCAGGTCGTCTCTTTCTTCCCATGGTTCGTCATCGATATTGGTATCGTGTACACGACATGGAAGTTCGGTCGCGAGCAATGGAAACATGCCCCGCTCGTGGCTCAGAATCTTGGCTGGATCTTGCTGGGTGGCATCACCGGGATGCTTGTCATGTTCTGGGCTTTTCTCAAAACATACGACAACCAGTACGAGGCCGGGTTCTACCTCGCCTGGACAGACCAGATCATAGTGAGCACCACTTCGGTGGCACAGTTGATGTCTAGGAATAACACATCTGGTCACTCTTGGGGGATCTGGTAAGTGCCTATCATTCTATCCCGTGTGATACTCTGCAGCTGACCAGGAGTACAGGTTTACTCGGTGGATTGGATCCGTTTTCGCGGAACTTATTTTTGTCTGGCGATATTTGAATTATCCCGAAAGCTATCCCGTGGCAGCTACACATATGACAATCTTCTTATTTGTTGTGACAGAGGTGGCGGATCTAACCTATCCATTTGTCTATGCGTCCCTGGAGAGAAAGGAGAAGAAAAAGTTGAAGTAATAATTAGGAGGGCGTTCTAGTGGAAGATTCACTTAAGTCAATGTAATTTGGTAGTTGAGGATTTAAAGAATTACTGTAACAATAGGTACTCAACTAGATATCCCCTGAAGCTCCGATCTTGAATAGGGGCATGCAATTGACTAAAACTGCCACTCGCACTATATCCTACTGCATACCTAATTACCAACTTACCTGCTTTCCTACCGGTAGAAGTACTAGGTAGTTTTCGATACTAATGAAATCTTCGTAATTTCTTACAATAATGTGATGAACACTTTTCAACTTCATGTAGGTAGGTACCTACCTAAGCAATTGGAGTAATATCACCGGTAATTATTTTACAAAGTGTGAGTTTACTCTTTTGAGATGAGTACCTGCTTGGTACCTAGCTGGAGACATTCATCCCAGGAACTTGGTAGCATGAGAGGATTCATTAAAACATGAAATTTCATTCCTACTCGAATACGGCAGGTGCCTAGGTACCTATTAACATAGTGTTAACACCTTTAAGTGTAATGCAACCGATTTCTTGACCTAACAAACGCAACAGGTTCGCCCATTCTATCACAATTCTTGAAACTAAAACAGACCCCTGAATAACAGAACCAAGGTAGTATACACTATCTTCTCTAGTAGACCGTCTGCTTGATATCATCGGCAAGCTTTTCGGCAAGTGTGTCTATTTTACATTAGTCTCAAATAGAAGTGTGATGTGATTACAGGCGGATACTTACAAACTTGGATCTGTGGTGCTGGCCCTGTTGAGGAAGTGTAAAGTCAGCAAACTATTCTCAACCTTGAGCATTAGTAGGAATGCTACAGAGAGACTTACCAGGTGGTAGGAAAGGGAATGCAGAAGCGTCAACGACCCTCACTATAATGCTATTAGGATATGATTTCGGTTAACAGTCTATTTAGGTTGGACACTCACAATTCTTGATCCCGAATACCCTGCCATGGCTATCAACGACAGCATCAGGATCAGAAGAGTTGCCCATCTTGCACGTGGCGAATCCATGCGAGAATGGACGGACGGTTTCAGTGAGATAGTCCAAGATCTGCTCGTCCGTCTGCACGGTTGGACCGGGGTAGAACTCCTCGCCAATCATGATCGGTGCCATGGCGGAGGATTGCAGGGTCTGGCGCACGCGCTTGAATGCAGTGAGCAGCAGATCGATGTCGGCCTGCGCAGTGAAGATGTTGGGGTTGATGAGTGGGGCGTCGCTCATGCTTGCAGAAGCGATTGATACGTTGCCCCTGGATTGCGGCGCAATAACCGATGCAAGCATGCTCCCATAGTTTCCACCGAGTACCGAGTCCTCGCCACCAATGGACGTGGTCGATACGGTTGCAGGGAGCACGTTGTATTGCAGCTCGGGCCAGTCTGCAGGGAGTGCAGATAGTTCTAGAAGGATGGGCGTTAGTCGATATTGGTTCAGATACTAGATCATAGGGTACATTGCATACGCTTAACCACCTCGGCTGAGAAGTTCGCCCGGAACTCGGCCGGAGCTTTCTCCATCCCAATGTAGTCACCCCCGTTGTTAGACAGCGGGCCAATTCCATGAGTGTTCCATTCAGTGATAGCATCGGCTAAGGCAGATCCTTCTAACGTTGATGAAGTGACTACGTCGACCTGGTAAGAAATCGGTACCGTGATGTGATCCTGCATGTTCTGGCCAACACCGGGAAGATCCTTCACAAGGGGGATATTGAACTGTTCGAGTAGCGCTTTAGGACCAACTCCCGATACCATCAGAAGCTGTGGCGACTGGAAGACTCCGGCGGAGAGAATAAGCTCCTTACTGGGACTGAGGGTGTACGTTTCCCCTTTTGAAGTTACCTCAACGCCCGAGGCCGTATCCCCGTTGAATATGATGCGTTCAGCGAACGTGCCATTCAAGATGGTGAGGTTGGGACGGCTGAGGACTGGGCGCAGATAACCAGCTTGGGCAGATGAACGGATACCGGTAGATTGAGTGATGCCAGTCATCTGCCACGAGTGTCCCAGAAGATTGCCATCAACGAAACTTTGGGCCTGAGGAAGTCCAATAGCTGCAAGTCCTTGCGCAACCCAAGTACTCCAGCTTTGGGCATATGATGGAAATGTGACATCAATTCCGCCTCCAGTTGCAGTATCATCGGCATTATAAGTAGGGGTAGCGTTGGCCAAACGCGTCTCAGCATTTGGAGGAGAGAAGTTCATGGTTTTCTTGTAGTACTGCAACATATTGTCATATGTGTAGGAGTCGTCACCTACGAGGTCGGCCCACAGCTGGTGAGTACCTTTCGAGGTATGGCCGTATGCCATAAAATTGATATCGCTACAACCACCCAGCTGCGTTCGATGTCAGTGGATAAGTTGAGCATACTCGCAAGAGAATCTACTTACTGCTTTTGCTCGATAATATGAAACAGGAATGTTACCCAACCCCTAAATAGTAATCGGTTAGTTAAAGCCCCCTTTAAAAGGCATAAAGGGGTCATACAGCTTGGGGAGTGGTTGTGAAATTCCATTCAAGATCAAGCTCAGCGCCTTCGAATTGAGGGGCATATGCGGGAACTTGAGTCATATTTCCAACAACGTCTTCCGGGAAAGTGCCGGCCTCAATAACGGCAACCTTCACATCTGAGTCCTCAGTGAGTCGGTTTGCCAGTACTAGGCCAGCAGTACCACCACCAACAATGACATAGTCAAAGCTTTGGTTGGTGCTCCGCTTGATAACAGCCGCTAGAACAGAGCTTCCTTGATTCAGGAGGCTAGTTGCTAATAGCAACGAACTCGGGCGGAGAATGTACATGATCTCAAATATGCCCGTAATTTAACGGCAAGTGCCTTCAATAATTATTAGATGAATTAAGTAAAGGAATGACTAAGAAGAGATAAAGGGGCAATTTCGATCTATATATGCCCGAAGTGGGTTGATATAGTCCCCGTTGAACTGCTTATCAACTTGTGTTGTGATAGTCGTTTAATCATTGCGAGCTGATGCTCTTATATAGTAAAGTTTCCATGCTACGCCACACTATAGACAACTTGAGGAAGCCTATGGAAGATGATGCCTTGTCTCTATCACGACTGATGGGGTTCAGATGCTGTGGTCCTTGCCTAAGCACCATTCAGCCCCAAGTTTACCTTACGTGTACGACCACGTTTTTGTAGGGATGTAGGGGCCAAAAGCATGCATTAGACTAATTTATATCCCTGTTAGGATGCTACAGTATCTACAAAGGATTACATTATTTAGATCCCAAGCCAACAGGCTATGACTAGGGGAAAGTCGAAATCAGTGTTGTAAGACGTTACCATTTACGACGGTTGGTGATCCTGCTGAGTCGAGAGGCACAACTTCAGTGGATTATAGCGGTTAATAGCTATCCTATTTTAAGCGATACTGACCTGAGCGGCTGACAGCTGAGCTCTAGACCCGGTGACCTGGGCCATATACCCTGTTTAAGGCTAGTATTCCGGACCTGCATCGATTATATTCCTGCAGCTAACCGGGGTCTTGGCAACCGTTTTGCAGCTACCAACGTCACGCGAGTTTGTGAACCCTACTATTACGGCGCTATTGTGCCTCTATTTACAAGAACTCGGGATAACAGCTCATGACTCTAACCATGTTTTGCACATTCTCTAGCTAGATGCGTAATTTATCTTAAATTAACACAATGCTGTGGTGTTTATGCTGGCGGATATAATGAAAATAGTTACAAGGCTCTATAGAAAGTTGCAGAAAAGTGTTCTGATTAATATTCTTGGCTTTGAGAATGATTTCATGTATACCGTATATAATCTTTTATCTACGAATATTTCAGCACTGAGTACTCGGCCTTCATGATGATTTTGAGAATAACGTCAGATGAGACATAGGTAGGTGTAATTCATATCTAATTATATTCAGAAGCGTACAGAGGGGGTGGTCAGTTGAGTCTTAGATCGCTATCAACTTCCGATTTTTTGAGGTTAATATCCTGACTCTCTCGGATAGATTTTACGAGTATACCATTATCAGTGTATAGTTTACTTATGCGTGTTCTTATGTAGATAGGTACCTACTTGAAAATCTATCTACCTACTCTATTTTGAGACCACTACGCATTTCGGTGTGGTGCATATTACCCCTATGACCATTTTATGTTGAGACGATGACCCTTGATGTCAGCATTGAACCACTCGATTATCTCAATGCGCTCCTGACACGTCCGAGCGCCTTCTAGCACTTCGCTGTCCACGACGGCCAGAACGGCATCATGTAGCTGTTGTTGAGCAAGATTCTTACCGATGCAAGCTCGTGAGCCAACACCGAAGGGAATCATGCTCTTCTCCATCCCAGGTCGCCGCAGACCGCGGTCTGTACCGTCATCCAGCCACCTTTCGGGGCGAAAAGCGAAAGGTTCGGGAAAAACATCTGGATCGTGGTGTAGATTGTATGCAGCGCAACCTACGATAGTGCCAGGCGGAAGCAACACGTCGCCAACGCGAAGCCCTGAAGCAGGCACGATACGAGTCATCCTCGTCGGATTAGCCATACCGAGACGTAGGCCTTCCTTGACGACGGCACGTAGAAATCGCATGTCTTGCGGCTTGTCTGAGCGCACCTCACATAGCAGCCGGCTGCGCGCCGCACCATTCTGCACCAAGTGAAACAATATCGTGGCTAACATGACTGCAGTTGAATCAGCGCCAGCGAATACCACAGCCTGAGACTGTGCTGCGGCTTCCATCCGGGAGATCCCCGCCTGCGAAATAAGTCGTTCATGGTAGAGGCCTCCATTTGGCTTCTCCGAAAGTTTCTCCCCTGTCGCTGTGCTCTCTAGAACGCGGTTGGTAAATTGGTCGAGCTTGATAAAGGAGTCGGTGACTTCATCGTTGGTGCTCAGACGTTGGGAGACTGCGTACAAGAATTGGAAGATGCGGTGGGGTAATAACGAAAAACGTGAGAATGCCACTATAGAAAAGATGAAGTGATTCGCGCTGAGTTTGTGAGACTGGCGCTCTTGTGGAGGTAAATGCGCATTTTCTTGCAGACCTCCGTACCGCTGGCCGAGAAGGTAGCCCGTGACAACGTCGATGGAGAGTCTCGCGCACATATCAATCAGGTCCGCCCCAATTCCGGCCTCCTTAGACTTTCGAAGCTGATCCACGAACTCAGCTACGCAACCACCAATGACGCCTTCAGGCCCGCTTTCAGCCCGCAGCTGCGCTGGAGAGAAGAGAGGTGCAACTGCTTTGGCGCGGACATCGCGATATTCCCTGTCGAGTGACGAGAAGATAGATACGATGGGTCCGAGATTGAAATTCTTGTATCTGTCGTCTTTGGGAAATCCGCCCCCTTTGATGTAGATATCGCCGATCGCATCGCTATCAGAGACAGAGACGGAATTTGGCGCGACTCGAAGCACTTTCGTCTTGTATTTGTTGTGATAATGTCGGAGGACCCTTGCCTCTATCCCGAGATAGCAAATGACATGTAAATACAAGGAGCTGAAGCGAGCTAGGAAGGGTCCCGGGACGCGGCTAAGAGGATGTAAGAACAGGCGGTGCAAAATAGCGACCGAGAATAGAATGACCACGGCCAATGGAATTGAAAACCACATCTTCGTCTATTCGAATGAGAAAGTCCTCTATTCTACATCTGTTGTCTCGGTGCGGCCGAATAAGTTCAAATCCGCGGCTCTAATACTTGCTTCATCGGGGTCTTCCGGTCCAGCCTTTGACACAACTATCAAGCCAGATCATTCCATTTCATGATACGCTCTCAAATTCGATTCTTTTTTGGTCAAGTGTGATGACTAGGGCTCGTATTTGGGTAACTAGAAAATCGCCCCTTTTGTATACTCGGGGTCAGGTAGGATTACTCGGGCCTTTGGTAAGCATCCACCCTCGCTTATCATAGACGTCGTTATTTACTCCCATTAGCCAATACTTAGTTAGAGCAAGCAGTGGTCAATTTGTGAAATTGCGCGACACCCATTAGTATCCTTGTCGTAGATCCGAGCATGGCATCCACTACGAATGGAGTAAATGGGCATAAGGCTTCTCAGCCTCAGAGCCTCATCCAAACCCTGAACGCCATAGGTGCTGACTCATTCAGCAATGATGGAGAAAGGATCCAGGCAGTTTTAGCAGCGTATGCTCTCGTATCTCGTCTTGAGACGCCATGGGAGTTCGTCGCGAGAACATGCATGGGCCAGGTACCACCGAACCCCTATTTGTCTTGGCGCCAAAAGCTAACATTTCAATCAGCCCGCATTGGGAGCTGCTTTGAAGGTCGCGAAGGACCTGAAGCTCTATGATAAGTGGCATGAGCTCGGAGATGGAGAAATGACCTGCGAGCAGTTGTCTGAGCTGGTGTCTTGCGACCCTGCTCTCCTATGTTAGTGCCTCACAAATGGGTCTAAACGAAGACTTAGAAGCTAATCGAGCGACCATCTAGTTCGCATTCTCCGTCATCTAGCAGCAAATCATGTCCTCCAGGAGACTTCAATCGGTGTGTTCAAGCCGACCAAGTTGTCTATATCCTTTACAGTGCCAGTATTCGGCGAATGGATCAACCATCTGTAAGTCACCCCCTGGAGAGAACGGCTCGGATGCTCTCAAACACGTGTATGCTAAATGATTACAATTAGCTACGATGCTACCACACCCTGCTTTTTCAAGATGCCAGAATTCCTAGAGCAAAATGGCTACAAAAATCCCGTGGATCCCAAGAACGGCGTCTTTCAGGCTGCCAAAGGTTGCCAGGGTGATGACATGTTCAAGTACTACAAGTCTCACCCCGTTGAGGGCGCGTCGTTTGACCATGTCATGGGAGGAGGTACCAGATAATATCCCCATAACTCGTTCTTTCAGTATATCTAACACTAAATCTAGTGATGGCGAATCAAGCCGGGTGGTTAGAAATATTCCCGCATAACACGCTCTTGGAGACAGCAGATGCGCAGTCACCGCTCGTAGTAGATGTGGGAGGCAATATTGGCCACGACATAGAGCGATTCCGCCAGGAACACCCGGAAACAGCCAGCCGACTGTACCTGGAAGATCTCCCCGATGTCATTCAGCGCTCCAAATGTCCGGATGATGTCAACAAAATAGGCTACGATTTCTTCACACCGCAACCCATCAAAGGTAAGACGCTCTATCATGCTCAGTAAGAAATAGCCCACTGACTCACTTTTTGGTCACAGGAGCGCGTGCGTATTATATGCATGGTGTGCTACATGACTGGTCCGAAGAGCCGGCGCGCAAGATCCTTGAGATGCAGAAAGAGGCTATGAAACCAGGATACAGCACACTTCTCATCCATGATCACATTGCACCTGAGTCTCTGGCCCACCCCCACACTACAGCGTATGATCTGACCATGATGGTGATGGTGGCCGGAGTAGAGAGACGAGAGGTACATTGGCGCGCCCTGCTAAAGTCTGCTGGGTATAAGCTTGTGCGTATCTGGCGGTCTCCGCTCGCCGTGCAGGGTGTCATCGAGGCTGAGCTTGATCAATAAGGCTTGCCATCATGTATTTCTCTTCATCTTAATCTTATATAGGCGCCTAAGTTAAAAGAGTTCAGAAACCTGAGAAATATAACTAAAGCCTTGATCCCACGTTGTGTTATTTTTTCAGGTTGATGTTGTGTCCTCGCCTTCCGGTACAATGCGTAACCTACCTATTTGATAACGGCAATCCATCAGTACCATCTAAGGGCTAGCTCCGAATTCATAGTGATTTATTTACTGTGGCTGAGTAGAGAGCTGCTATAGTTTTAGGGAGCTCAGCCACTGAACAAAAGCGCGCCACCCTGCGAAAATACCCCACATTACAAAGCCTTAGTCCGTAAACACTCGTGCGAAATATTCTCTTGACCACAGCATGTCAGCTTGAATTATTGCGTCACGCATCAAATTACTAACATTTCTTACTAGTAGGTCATTCTTAATTGAAAGCCTACGGAGGTCCAGGTCAAAATCTATCTCGCACATCTGTTCATGGCCTAAGGCGGTATGTACCCATAGTATGAAGCATACCTGCACTCCAGCTATGTGGTGTCTTTTTTTAGTGGCTGATCTCCTTAAGCTATAGCGATTTTCCACTAAAACTTAGCAGACAAGTCTACGTCCTAGCAGGCCTACAAGCGCTTGCAGCCAGTGGTGAAGCTACTTTTCCTCATCACCAAAGCTGTCGCAAAAGCTGCGAATAAAATGCAACCATGTCCACCAGCTAAGTCATAAGGCAAGATATTCAACAATGCTATCAATTTATCCTACAAGCTAGAGCTACTATGAACAGGGCCGTCGATATCAATTTAAACTAGTACATTTAGAAACGTGGAGTCACGTATAGCTCAGGTGTCATATACACCTGCAAGCTCAGACCCTTCTTGGTAGAGTCTTCCTTTCTCCCGAGACCGATGAAAGTGAAGATGCCGGGGTTCTCTTCTAGCTTCCTGTGGGTGCTATAAACTTCTGTCAGTTGAAATAGCCAAGAAAAATTGAACGAGTAACTTACAAGACCGTCTCTACTCGCTCTTCAACCGACTTCCCTCCGTCGTGCCATTTGTACTTGGTCAGCCACGCGTCCAATCCACGCGCAATCACCTTGTCATTAGGTGCAGCACGGGCCGGGTAAAAGTAGACCTTGGGGATCGGGTACGGCTTATCAGGCGAGAGCGAAAAGTACACAGCAGTAGGTTTTGTCTTAAAAGCAGCGCGTCGGCGTGGGTCTACTTCAATGTGCTTCCAGTCCTCAGCAGTGTAGGTGGACGGGCTTGAGAGAGTCATCAAGTCCCGAAACATCTCTTTGTCGCTTTCAAGGTCAGGAATTTTTCCACCTAGTGTATAGTAATCCCATACCTCCTCGAAGTCGTCACCGGTGTAGCGCATGTAGATCTTAAGACGGGCCTTTCCTGCCTTGACAAAATCAGTTGACAGGCCACGCGCTCCACCCGCGAGCTCAGGCTTGGCTGCAACATAATCCTCGATCATCTTGAGGGCTAACAGAATGTTAGGATGTAAGCCGATATCCGGGATCTGCCGGATTCCCAGGCTAAGAGCTTGCCAGCGGGTGAAGCCTTTGGCCTCAGCTACGAAGCACGGAGGGAAATAACTCTTAGCCATTACGGGAAGATATCCCGGGGCTAGATCTAAGATCTTAGCGTTGATATCAAAGCCCATGATTATGTTTGTTTGGTATCCTGCTGCTGCCACGAGAGCTTTTTGTTCGCTTTCGGATGCTTGAGAGTAAACGAACCATTGCGAAAGGGCGCGATGCTAATTAACGCGTAGGCAGTTAGTGGTAAATTAAATCAATAAATAAACTCAGGGCAGTCGATGGGATAATAGTAGTGAGAAATATTCAAAATCCATACCCAGTTGTCGTCGAACAAGGGAGTCCTCTTAGCTAGCGATTCGATCACATTTTCCGAAGTCTTAGTGGTTAAAGGGGCGGTCTTGTCTCCCGGGCGAAGTTGGGTAAGGTCAACTACGAAGCGCACGCCGGCGCTCTTAGTTGATTCCTTAAACTCAAAACTGTATTCGAAGGGACTACCGTCCCAGCCGACGGCGGTTCTAAGAGCATTGCTATCTGGTTTACCTCCTAATGTTGGGCAGATGGTCTCCCGGAAGAAATTGAGGAATTGGCGCTTTGCCTCGTCAGGGTAGCCGGCCTCTTGAAGCATTCTGGAGAGGTCCTGACCACTGGTACGCCACCAATAGTATGCATCTCCCTCCTCAATTGCTATGTTAGCCTCCTTCTCCTTTTCCACCAACGGAAGGACCGGGGATTGAACTGCGGCGGTCATATTTGCGGATGTTTCAACGTCGTGTAAAAAGATAGTATCGTCTTCCACGCAAACCCAAGTATGTACTTTTGTATTCTCTGGAACAAGTCAGTGACTATCAGTTTTCAGCCCAGGAGGAATTGTTGATTTTTAGAGACCTAATACCCCTTGACCTGGCTTACATAAGCCACCGTCACTACTTGAATTCGGCAAGGGGTAAACCACTAGGCATTAGCCTACACTCAGCTACCTAAAAGATCCAATCATATCCTTCACCAAGGAACTCGAAATCTTTCGCATAACGTTATTTTCGGGATTTGAGGCTGGGAACCGAGTTGTTCAATCATAAGCTTCAATTTTTGATCGGTGTTGTGAACCGGGTATTGTCATCCTCGCGTAATCCTGGCTGACCCCGAGTAACTTAGTAGTGGCTAGCTACAGCACAAATTAGAACTTCCGAGCACACGTCTGCAATCATTCAGTATTGATCGGAACTGACTGTGCTATAGGCAAGGCTCGACTTGCTTACCGTAAACGAAATGGTGGCTAATCTAGGGACGCCGAAGTCCCCACCAGCACTAGGAATACCAGATTCTGCGTATACAGTAGATGTTAGGGTTATTGATACGTAAGCTACGCTACCGACGATCAGAACTATAGGGTGAAATAACTGACGTGATGGCAGCGGGACGCTCCTCCATCTTAACCCTTCCCTCTTCTGGCAACCTCCAATTGATGGCTTCACAGGGCTTCATGCCCCAATATATTGTTTTCTGGTTTCGCATGGGAACCAGCACGTGATATTCGACCTGGGTGTCCGTACAGACTGGGAGAACTATGCACCCAAGATAGTATCGATTATCACAGCTACAACAACCGTCACACCCGGCTCGGATGTACCGTCCGTACTGGATGGAGATACAAGCGGTCTCGGAATCCGTAGCGCCGACATTGGGGCTGTCATCTGGTCTCACAATCATTTTGACCATGTCGGGGACGTGTCCCGGTTTCCACCTACCACCGACCTAATCGTCGGACCCGGCGTCCGAGGCGCCTCCTGGCCCGGTTGGCCGACGAATCCTGATGGGACTGTACTCGACAGCGACGCAGAAGGTCGCGTGGTTCGGGAGGTTTCCTTCGAAGCGGGGCTCAAGATCGGTCGCTTCGATGCCATGGACTTCTTTGGTGATGGGTCTTTCTATCTACTAGACGCGCCGGGACATGCAGTCGGTCATCTCTGTGCTCTTGCGCGAACAACAGCTGACGAGCCGACTTTCGTGTTCATGGGTGCGGATGCGTGCCACCATCCAGGCCTACTCCGACCCAGCAATTACCTACCATTGCCTTCTACAACTAGTTTGAATGGGATACTAACGGGCCCATCGCAATGTCCTGGTGAAATTCTTCAACAGTTGACCCGCCCCGATGAGCCTTTCTTCACGGTGGCACCTCGTATGTTCCCCGACCACGACGCGGCTATGGATACGGTCCGGAAAATCCAGGAACTCGACGCGGCTGATAATTGCCTTGTTTTAATTGCTCATGACTTGTCACTCCGGGATAAGATTCCATTATTCCCAGAGACCATCAATGGCTGGAAAGGAAGTCGGGTCAAGACGGAAACACGTTGGCTTTTCTGTAACGATTTCATTCCCGCTTCAGGCCATCATGAAAATGAACGTGGCATCGAAGAGAGTCTAGTCAGTCAAACGACTTTGGAATGTTAGTCAGGTAGATTTACAACTTAGTAATTACTGAACTGATAATTTAATGTGAAGTTTCAGAAGTGGTTTTTCGTTGCAGACTAGTGTGCTCTGAAGTGAAACTTTGAATTGGTTGCGATGACATAATCAAGAGATCCAATTACGTAACCAACTACGTAATACGCATAAGGAGCTTTGCGTGAAACCCCATCTCTGCTCACACAACTAGTTTTCTCAACATCAACTTCCAGAGTTAAACGTTTTGCGAAGGCATCTATTCAATTGAATACAACTGCGATCCAAGTTCCAAGCGCGCCTATAAACATAATATTATCTATAAATAACATGATATGAAAGTATTCTATCGCTAGGTACTCAAACACCCTTTCTAGAGTTTAATCTCAATATCCAGCAAGGAAATCCATAGGCCATATGAAAACATCTGCAGTCGCCTAATCTAAAACCCCCATATCCTTCAGTGGTATCATTCAATCGCTCAAATTCAAATCAACATGCTCGCACAAAAATTTATATCCTTCAGCCACGGTCCTCGCCAGAATTTCGCTGCTCTGATGCTCGGGGTACAGATCAAATAAGTGCGGCACGTTCTCCACGATCCTCAATTCTGCCTCCGTTCCCGTTGCCCGCAATGCCTGCCACGTGCGGTCGGCCTGTTGCCATGGAACTAGGTCGTCCTCGCGAGGATGGATAAGAAACGTCGGCGTGGCATAGTTTCCCATTCGAGCTTGCGCTAATGGACTGACGGCTTTGATAAGCTCAGGTGCCGGAGCTCCCGGCTCTTTTCGGTTCTTTTTGTCGAGCCCGCCAAGTATCGTATGAAGCGTGCGCCCGTGCCAATTCATGTATAACGCGAGTCGACTACGGGGATCGGTAGGTGCCAACCAACCTCCTAATGCTCGTTTTGTAGGTGGGGGATTGTAGCCGACAATGGCATGGTCGGAAATACCCGCCCAAACTTGGTCGTCTAATTCATATGATGTAGCTCCATTCATGACTCTGGACCCCGCTGGTACATTAGGTTCGGTCCAGAACGAATCCTCATAGTCAGATGGAGAGTAAAATGCCAGAATAGCCGAAGGAGGTTTAATCTGGCGCGCCACAGAGGTCCAAGCTAGAGTCATAGCAAGGTGTCCCCCGCTGGACCAACCCACAGCTACAACTCTTTCTGCGTCTATGCGAACATCGCGTCTTGAGAGCGCGAGCTTTGGGAGAACAGTACGAATCCATAACAATGCGTCGGCAGCATCGGACATAGGACCATCGGGAAGCGTCACTTCGGGACAGAGCCGGTAATCGATGCTGATAGGGAGGAAGCCGCTTTTTATAAGCGTATTTGTCTGCTTTGGCCGAATGTCGTTCCTCGACAACATGACATGGCCACCGCCGTGAATCATTAGTGCTAGGAGATTCTGTCAGTACTATATAAAGTTGCTCATAGGATATTCAGCGTTCTCACCTACAGGAAGAGTTTTCCCGGAGTCAACTAACTCGGGAGGATAGTAGATATCTGCCTGGAGTTCCAGCCCATCTACCTGCTTGAAGCCAATGGTCTCTCTTAGTGGTAACCCGCCATTGGCGAGATCAGTCTCTTTATTGCCGACAGCGTACGGGGAAGCCGTGATGACCCGTAGGATATCTGATTCAGAAGACGACGTATCGCTCCAGTCCACCCAATTAAATCCGGCGGCGTTTAAGTCCCTCTCCCACAATCGCTCACTTGCAAGGGCATGCTTGCGACCGTCGCTAAACAACCACCAGCCTTCAAGAAGGCCGAACACGAGATCGAACCAAAACAGGTTGCGTGTAAGTTCTACCAAACATAACACCCCATCTGGGCTCAGCATCTTGCGAATATTGGTTGTCGAATTTACCAAGCTCTTGGTCGCATGGATGCAGTTAGTCGAGATAATGATATCATAGGCGCCTAGGAATTGCGGGTTCGGGTCCTTTTCAATGTCGACTACGGTATACCGCATAAATGGCCATTTAGAAAACTTCCGTCGGGCTGCCGCAACAAGGGAGGATGAAAGATCAGTAAATGTGTACGAAAACTTGTACTCGGGACCTAGTCCAGCTAGTTTCTCGACGACATCTTTAGTTGTACCCCCTGTTCCAGCACCAAGCTCAAGGATTCTCAGCTCACGACCTCCTCTGAAGCGTTTGAGGACGGATGATAGGTATTGGGAAAGAAGAAGAGTTCCGGTTTTGAACATGGGTGCGTTCGTGTAGACGTCTGCAAGAAGTGCACGTGCATCTGAGTCTCCGAAGAGTAAAGCAATGGGATCGGCAGCTCCTGAGAGACAATCAGCCAGTTTATGGGCCGTTGTGTAAAGAAGCTTTGTCTCGGAGGCATGCTTCGGGAATAACTTCAGCATTTTCTCATGCAACGGAAGAGTGGGGACCATTTGAATTGGCAGCTCAGTACGACGCAACACACCATCTTCCCCTTTCTTCAAAAGGCCAGCGTCTTCCAGTATCTTATACAACTGAGGGACGACCTTGTTGTGTTTTGGATCAAACCGAATCATTGGCACCTCATCTCCAACTTTCAAGTCTGGCACCACACAACCCAGAGAAGCAAAAGCTGCTAGGACATACTGGACCACAAGCTCCGACTGCAAGGGGAAAACCTCCGTATTAAAGTCCTTAAACCCAGTGGTTTCTGCGTGCTGGTCATATGAGGGCTTTGCTCCAACGAAACAGTCGCGGCTCGTGATTGCAAGGTTCTCTCCAGTCTGCTGTCTACTGACTGCATCATGCTGACTTGCAGAATCCGATGTACTACCGACGGGCTTTTCTGTGGGATTATGCTTCACGCTAGGCTTTTCGACAAGAGCTGGAGACGTTTTGGCTTTTTCAACGGGTTGGATGAAGCGGGCAACATCAAGCACATCGATACATTCTTGGAATTGCGCCTGGGTGATGTTTACGTGAAACCGACTTTGAATTTCCACCAGAACCTCGGTGACCAATAGTGAGTCGATACCAAGGTCGTCCAATTTGGAAGAAGGCTCAACCTCGTCTACCGGGATCTCTATAATGGCGCTGAACATTTCGCGTACTTGTCGGACAATGTCGGAAGATTCGGTCGATCCTTTCGCTGGTTGCTGGTAAATGCCAAGTGATTGGGGATCCGATTTCAATGGGGATTGCGTGTGTGAGAAATATGCACGATTGGCCTCCAGCTTTTCATCCTCATATTCTGTTAGCGGGGTATAACCCTTCTGGTATTCCGAGTCCGCATCGTCACTATCACTGTCGCTAATCTGAGGGCTTTTCGCGATAACGGTGGGGATAGTGTTGGTGTTAGGGGTGCTGTTGTTATTAAGTCTGCTCAAACTTCTCGATAAAGATCTGAACGGCACGCTCCTGAAAGTCGCTCCCATGATAGCCACGACTAATTCCTTCGAGACAGCATCACAAACGAAAATATCGTTTGCTATGTTAGACTTTGATGTTGCCTCATAGCGAGTGTAAACAGTCCACGAACGAGAATGGGTTCTGTTTGCCATGAAGGAAGCGGAGAAAATAACTTCTTCAACTGCAGTACACATGAAGACTTCATCTTCCTTTCGCGGAGATAAGCAGTTAACATGGATACCCGCAACTTGAAGGAAGTTGTCCAAAGAAATCGGGTCGCAAATGCCTGCGTCCATGCCATGAGGTTGTTCTATTGGAACTGTGACTAGGCCGACTGCCTCGTTCTCTGCCGCTGACAAGCTTTGAACTCCGCGATAATAGCCTGCATACTCCACGACGTCCGAGAAGAGTTTGTACACCATTGCACCGCTCACTCCAGTCGCTGATGGTAACTTCCTAATCCGATCGGTACGAGAATTCCGAGCGAACCTTCGCAGCAGTTTCAATCGACTTTCTGCCACGGCATCATCTGCGGGAGCACAGCTTAGAATACCTCGGGCGTGTTCAGTTTCGCTGCCTTCTGATCCACTAAATATAGCGAAATCCCAGGTCTTCTGTGCAACATTTCGAAGGCGTATAAACACGGGAATTCCAGCACCCAGGCCAAGAGGCGCCGACATGGTCAACCCTTCGACATGGGGTATCGCCTTAACTGCATATGATGTATCAAGAAGAAGCGTAGCACATCTGACAGCCAATTCGACATACATAGATGCCGGGCATAGGCTTTGGCCTGTAACTGCGTGTCCTTGACCGGCCAGTTGGAAGGTAATATCCGAGGTATCTACTGAGAATAGATGCTCTCCCTTCGCACCGTTCTTCAAGATTCTCACAAGGCCGGGTGACTTGCAAGTGGTGTTCTGGTTTTCGTTACCTCCAGCTTTCGATCTGGGCTTGTACTCGATCCAGTGGCTTGTCTTATCAAACTGGTATGGGGGCAGATTTACCCTCTTGTAGCGGGAGCCTGAGGTTTGATGGAAAGCCCAATGCTGTGTTGCGGATCCGGCTTTCCATAATTGGCATGCGGCATTGGCAAGGTTGGTCGTCGCACCAATACTTCCCAAATCTATAGGCATGAAGATATCCGATCGATCAGTCTTGGGTATTATACGGCGCGCCATAGCAACAATGGGAGAAGCAGACCCTGCTTCCAGCCATATAGCAGAAGGTAGACGAGCAGCGATCCTTTCTATCGCCTCAGCGAAGTATACCGGCTGCCGAGTATGTTTAACCACCTCATCCGCGGTGAAGTGCGACCAGTTACCTCCTGCTGAACAAGTCTCCACATGAATACGAGGGGTTCGTATACTGATTGATTCCGCCAATCCCTTCAAGTCAGGTAGTATACCATCAGCAACGTAAGAATGGTAGGCATGGGTGTTTTGAAGCCGAGTTTTCTTGAAGGACGAACATTCCTCTTCGGCCCTATTGATTGATCGCGCATCTCCTGCGAGGACAAAGCTGCGAGGACCGTTATAGCAAGCGACATCCACACGATAGTCACCTGTGGCGTTTAATCGCTGCACTACAGCTTCAATATCCTCTTTGTCGCATTCTACTGACAACATCGCTCCGCAGTCCGCATTCCAGCCATCCCGTATGATGCGGGCTCTACCAGAAATGAGACGGAAGGCGTCCTCCAACGAAATTGATCCGGCGATACAAAGCGCCGTGAGCTGGCCAAAGCTGTGTCCTATCACAGTGTCCACTTCAAGCCCAGAATCAATCCAAGATTTGGCGCTCGAAATCTGTAACGACAAAAGCATGCAGTGGAGAGTGACGATATCTTCAATATCTTCCCCTTGGAAAATCCCAGGGAATATGCTTGGAAGGCCAAGCGCATGGCATACTGCATTGCATTCGTTCTATATGTTGTCAGCATTCATTCAACCACCCCTGGTCGTTTTATAGTGAATTTAACTCACCAAATGGGTTCTAAAGAGCTCGCAATTATCGTATAGGTCCTTCGAAACGGTAACGTTCCTGCCGGTCTGGCCGCCGAAGCATAACACGACCGGATACTTGTCCGTCCGCGTGACGATCCCACCGCTCGTGGTAAGATCTTTTAGACCGGATAATAAGCTCTGCTTATCCGATACCGTAAAAGCTACCCGGTTATCAAACGCCGAGTTATGACGTCGAGCCAGGTTATATGCGATACTTCCCAGTGACGCCTCAGCCTTAGGCAAGTATACCTTCAACGCATCTATGTACGATTGAAGATTACTTGTCGATTTAGCAGAAAGGAGAATTGGATAGACTGTAGAAGAAGAAGCCTGCTCTTTAACCCCTGATGTTGAATCTAAGGGAGCTTCTGAGTGCGAGCGGATTAAAATTGCAGCATTGCTACCGGCAGCTCCATAATTGTTCACTAACGCCACATGTTTTTGAGATGTCCATGGTTGTGTCGTTTTTGGCACTACGATCTTGGCCGACGGTGAGGCCTTGATGCGTGGATTGAGCGAAACGAAATTAGCCTGTTTCGGGATGGTCTTGTGCTGCATCATCAGAAGCGTTTTGATAACCGCGGCGACACCAGAAGCTGCTTCAGTATGGCCAATGGAATCCTTTACGGATCCCAAGAACAACTCGCTACTCCGCGTAGGTCCTGTGAGCGCCATACGAACACTCTCATACTCGATAGGATCTCCAACAGGGGTACCTGTTCCGTGTGCCTCGACGTAAGTAACCTCCGCAGGTTTTATCCGTGCGGTAGTAAGCACACGTTCGTACAGCGAACTCTGAGATCGGGAGTCGGGAACCGTAATAGGGCTGCAGTTAGAGCCTTGATTAACGGCCGAGGCAGCGATCACTCCCATCACTGTATCGCCATCCGCTACGGCTCGCGAAAGCGGCTTCAACACAAGGATTCCGGCGCCCTCGCCCCGACAGTATCCGCCGGCCATAGTGTCAAAGGCTCTAGAGGAACCGTTGGGGTTCAGGAAAGACGCCCCAGCGAGATTCTGGTGCAGAGTAGGGCTCGTTATAACGTTGACTCCTCCGGCCAGAGCCATGGTACATTCCCCACCAAGAAGCGCCTGTAAAGCTGCGTTAGTATTTTCTCTTCTGATATATATTTTTGGGGTGTTCAATATTCACCTTGCACGCTGTGTGTATAGCTACAGCGGATGAGGAGCAGGCCGTGTCGAAGGTAATTGAAGGCCCGGTCCATCCGAAGAAGTGGCTAATCCGGCCACTGATGAAAGCCCTCAACATCCCTGTAGCTGCAAATGCGTTCGCGTTCTCAGATTCGATATTGTCCTCATAATCAACAGACCCTACGCCAAGATAGCAGCCTACATCTGTGGCTCTTAAACTCGTTTCTTTGACGCAGTATCCCGACGATTCAAGCGCTTCATACGCAACCTGCAAGGCTAGGCGCTGTTGCGGATCCATCGACTTGGCCTCGCGGCCAGAGATGCCGAAAAACCTGTGGTCGAAAGCATCAGGTCGACGAAGGAAGTTGCCCCAATATTCGGACAACTTAGGTTCGCGACTGATATCAGCTGGGTTGAAGCGCTCAAGCGGCATCGTACTCAGTGCGGTTTTTCCGGCTTGGATGATCTCCCAGAATTCTTCCAGAGTGTCGGATTGAGGAAATCGGCATGCCATTCCCACGACAGCAATCTCTTCGAGCGGGTTCTCGTCATTGTTGTATTTGCTAGTCGAGAGAGATCGGGGAATGCAAGATTTGGTGCCTAGAGGCACGAATGTTACCTTCTCAGGAGTAAGATCGCCCAATGTCGACTTAACGGTTTGGAACCAATGAGCTCGCTTGCACAAGATCAACTGGATGGCGATCTCGTGAAGAGCGCCAGTCTTAATGATGCTGCCGTCTGCCGTGGATCTTAAGGGCAATCTCAAACTTTCAGCATTAGGAAGCCGAAGCTGGTCATTCGTCGTGCATAATTTGACAAGTTTGTCGGCGGCTTCAGTGTGTTTCGAATGATGATAGCAACCATTAAGACCAACTGGTGTGGTTGCTATCTTAGCTTCGCGCAGACGTGCGCAGAATGCTTCTTGGTTACTCTTCGGAAGGGTAACGGTAAGACTTCTATCATCTGTAATGCAGGATATATATGCCTAGTGCATCAAGTCAGCGAGCAAACCCTTAACATTCAAACAGTGCCAACGCCCGATGGGAGCAGACCACACAGAGCCGAATCGCGAGAGTACAATAAACCCATATCGAATGAACAATATAAACCAAGAAGTTTCTTACCTCGGGGATGTTATCTAAACACGTTTCTAAATAAGTTCTGTCGGCTGCTGTTTTCCAATAGACAGAGATCGCCGTGGCCCTATCTTGAGCAATATGCGAGACCTCTTCCGCATCCACAATAATGCCTATGCATGCGGCTAGTCGAATAGCATTGGATACATTCTGTTCGAAATCCGACCAATCATTTGCGGAAGAAAGAGCCGCTGCCGAAAGAAATCCGATACAAAATCCTTGAGCCGCTTCAAAGCCCAATAAACTCTCTTTCGTACCGGGGTCGTTAACAGAGCGGAGAAAATCGATGACATGAGATACGACTGTTAAAGGCGCTAGGTGGGCGTTGACAAGAGTCTCCGGGTCAAGGAGCTTTTCTCCCGTTGCGAAATCATGAAGTTCCGCGAGACGATCTGCGCCGTGGACGTCCTCAAAGCCATACTCCTGTTGTAATGAAGACCACAGTGATGAGAGTTCGAGGAGGCTCTTGACAAGGAATTGAAGGTTAGGGTTTCCTAAAAGATCGGATTGGAGGCTTGAAAGACCGTCGTGCGTCCAGTGTGTGACTTGAGGTCCGAATAGCGCCACCACGAACTCCTGCGTGTGGCTTCCGGCCGAAGCACCGAATTTAGTCATCGTCTCGTTCTTGTCCGAAAGTACGTTGAGTACTTGGATCTTGATTGCTGTGGTTGAGATGATGTTTTAATTGCAGATGCCGTCTCAGAAACTACATGGACATGAAAACTATTTACGTGACGCTATTCAATTAGGTCTATTACCTTAAGTTATGAAGAATTCAGTCTATCCTCATTGGTTAGGCACCTTGCAAGTCGTTTGAGTATAACTCGGTAACCAATCTTATGTGACGATGCATACTCGACAAGTTAACAGCCAATTACAGCTCTCGAAATGGAGAATGCTGTGCCACCTTGTCCGGAGTGGTAAGTTTACTCGGCGTCGACGTCGCTTACGTGAAGGTGAGCGGGGCTGACATGCCGTATGCTCCGTACACAATTCCAAACCCGAGTAAGGACATGGGACATTATCACTAACTTACGATTATCAAGTGGCGTATTGATGGATTGTCGTTGAGCCGCAACGAATACACGTGCAGTGAGGCCCCCGAGAGAATCTCGTCATACGATTAGGATTCGATGTCTCATCCCCGCTCCTCGCCGTGTCTACAGTTCTATGCCGTTTAAATCGACCTGTCTTGTATCGTAGGGAGCTTATAGAATATCGCAGGAGACTTAGACGCCACGGCCTTTCTACCGTGATACCAACACACTTGACCGAAGCTATGGAGAAGATTTCTCTTATCCCCATCCTCGGCGTCGCTCTGTCGCTCGTCGTCATCTTACAGCTTGGGCGAACATGGTGGCGATTGAGGCACATCCCGGGGCCATTCCCGGCGAGCATCACCAACTTCCAGCGCGTGGGTTGGGTTAAGACCAAGCGAGCACACCTTATACTCCAAGACATGCATAAGAAATATGGAGAGGTTGTGCGAATTGGGCCGAACATGGTGTCCTTCAGTAATCCTGAAATCATTCCGACCGTCTATCCAGCTAGAAGTGGCTTTCCAAAGGTATATCGCTTACTATCATACTCAAATCAAACCCGCATCTGAAGGTCGGAGCTAATTTGGGTTAAGGGAGACTTTTATGTGACCCTTCGACCTTACACGAGAGGTGGTGGTGCCTTACATGCCGTGTTCAACACCACGGAAGAAGATCTGCACAAGCAGATCAAGAGCCCGATCGCGCCGATGTTTACACCCGCCAACACGCCTTCTTTCGAGGGCCTTGTTGACGAAGTTCTGAAGTGCATCCATGAGAAGCTCGACGAGAACTTCATCGCGAACGGCGAGATTTTCAACCTAGGCCAATGGCTTCAGTACTTCGCCTTCGACGTGATGGGTACCATGACCTTTTCGAAGAGGTACGGATTTCTCGATACCGGGAAAGACGTTGGGCGGATGCTTGGTACCATCGTTGACTTTATGAGGGATGCCGCGCCTGTGAGATATCCGCCCCGAGCTCAGGTCAATTAGTCTGTTCTCTCCTAACTTCATGTAGATGACTCAAATCCCCTGGCTCGACTGGGCGCTACGCAAGAACCGAATCGGAGATTCAATCCAGCGTCTGTTCGGCAAAACAGCATCCCTCGGCATCCTCGGTTTCGTAGGAAAAGCCATTAAGGAAAGACAGGAACTCCTAGCGAAAGGAGACTTCAAAGTCAGCGATGAAGCTAGCGGGCGAAAGGACTTCTTGACTCGATTCATCGAACTCCAGCAGGGCAATCCGAAGATTCCACCTTGGTAAGACGTCTCTTCCCAAATTGGTCGCTTGTCGCAATGTAAAAAAGAAACCCTCGTTAACATGAACAGGGCTCCCACCGCATGGACGTTTTCCAACGTCATCGCAGGTTCGGATTCCGTGGGCAGCCTCATGCGCACGACCATGTTCAACCTCTTAGTGTACCCGCACACGCTAGACAAGCTGTACGAGGAGCTCCGCTCCGCAGGGCTGTCGCACCCGTACCCCAAGTGGAGCGAGGTCCGCAACCTGCCGTACCTGGATGCCTGCGTCCAGGAAGGGGCTCGCATGCACCCGCCCTTCGCGCTGCCCTTCGAGCGCGTCGTGCCCGCGGGCGGCATCACCATCCAGGGCTACTACCTGCCCGGCGGAACGGTGGTAGGCGGTAGCCCCTACGTCGTCAACCGCCACACGGAGACGTTCGGGCGGGACGCCGAGTTCTGGAGGCCGGAGAGGTGGCTCGAGAAGGATGAGAGGCATAAGCAGAAGCTCGAGCAGGGCGTCTTGACTGTGAGTTCTTCCCTACCCCCCAATCGCCATTCCTTTCGCGTTAAAAGTAAACTGACATGTCGATTTCCAAGTTCGGTGCTGGGAGACGTGTCTGCTTGGGCAAGCATGTAGGAATTCTGGAGATCAAGAAGCTGATCTCGTTTCTTGTCCTGAACTACGATGTGAGTGCTCACGATGAACATATACCTTTGCTTATGCCATTCCGTCGAGAATGCGGCTTTATACTGACAGATCCCGTAGATCCGCGTCGTGAACCCCGAGAAGTTTGAGCTTGAGAATTCGTGGTTCTTCTTCCAGAGGGGTCTCTATGCTACGATCCGGAAGAGGCCTGAAGCGGTAGCGGCAGCGGTGGAAAGTCAGCAGGTATAATAAGTTTATCAATCAAATTGGCTGCAAGGTTAATGAAGCTATTTGGGTTAGACCGTCTCGAAGTTACTCAGGTAATCTAGTTTTGAAATGAAAATATTTGGCCAATTGAATCTCACTATTGAAATGTTTGAATGTGAAGTAGGATTGAGATTTAAAGTGCACGAAGTCGCGGTGGGAAGGATTAAAAGCATTCGTTAGCGCCCGGAGATATTTTGAAGGTACCTAGGTACATACGTGGAGACCCCGCAGTTATGGATCATACAAATGATCCCGGTCGCGGGGCTTTTATTCATATCCGCATTCCTCTCATCAGGCCATCCATGGTAGAATACAAATCCTATGAGGTGCAACCAGAACCATGAGTTATGTAAGTCTTCGTCGTCACCAGAACCGCCATTCAGTACATGGATCTGAGCAATTGATCCCTCTTCACGCGGCTCAATGCAGACGATCGCATGGGGAAACTTTGGTAGTCTTTTAGCGAGGATAAAAGACAAGTACCACTTACAACACCAAATAGCACACGCAGCGAGACAGCGCAGGGTACGATGCCCAATGCATCATATCCAATCTTAAATTGGATTGCCTTGCTTCGAAGCCATAAATACACTCACGATAGACAGCTCATAAAGCATACCCTGCTTCGTTTCGAGACATACTACGTGCTTCTTTATCTCCGAAACACAAACATAGAAATATCCTATTTACTTGACACGCCCACAGCTTCACGCCTGTAACAAGGTCGAACTTACTCAAAGTCAATGAGAATTGCTGGATGAAGGACAAATTAAGACAGATATGGTATCCAAGAACATACCTATATAATATGTTTGTTTACTCTGTGAAATCTAATTTACCTAACCAAGCTCGAGACATCCACATCAATACGATATTGAACATGGAAGATAGCAACACATTACCTCAACCGTTGGATTATGAATTTAGAGACATCGAGCGGCATATTGAGAAATGTAGAGAACAATTGAAAAGAAAAGAGGATTTCCATTCTGAAATAAAATTGGTCCAGGCTCAGAAAGAGTTCCAAGATCTTATCCTAAGCAGAACTTGCGCCCTCAGGAGCACTTGGACGTAGACAACCCCCTATTTGCCGGGCCGGCTCTCGGTCAATGCGCACGCACTGTTACTGTCAGCTTACCAGCTGAAGATCCGGAGATTCCTCTTCAATGCATTTTCAAGGTACAGGTCAATTCTTCGCATTCGCTTACAAGGCTTCCGGATTCATGATTCGTTTCGATGTTTCTTCTTATCCCGATGACGTCGATTATCACACCATGATATTTCCTGATCTGGGGTTTTATATATAATTATGTTTTAAGTTTATATAAACGTTTTATTTTTAAACATTAATAATTAAATATAACGAAACTTATATTAAAAATTATATTACGATATATTTTATTTTAAATAAATTATATTAAATCGAATTTAACGTTAATTAAAAAATAAAAATAATTATAATAAATTATAATTTTTAAATTTTAATATTTATTATATTAATTTTTAATATTTCGTATTACGCGGATATAATAACGTATTAAAATTATTAATTTTTTAATAAAATTTAAGTTAATTATTTTTTATATTATTTAAATTAATTATTTTATATATTCGATATTATTTAAATTACGCCGTAAATATTAAAATTTAAGTTTTAATTTATATATTTTTTTTTTAAAATTTATTAAATATATTTAATTAAATTTAAATTTAATAAATAAAATAATTATTTTATTATATAAATTCCGTGTTTTTTTAATTATTTTTTAATAATATATAATTTATATATAAACGCGTTATTTTAAATAAAAAAATTATTAATTTTATAATTAAATAATAAATTTTTTTTAAATATTTTATAATAATTTTTAAAATTTATATTATTACGTAATAAATTTAAATTTTTTTTATATATATTAAATTTATTTTTATAATTTATTTTATTTCGAATATAAATTATTTTTTAATATATAACCGAAATATTAAAATTAATATATTTTCGGTTATTTATTAAATCGGCCCGGTATTTTTTTAATAATAATCGGATCACTTATTCGCCGAAAATACTTATCTCAGCTAGCTCAGACTAGAGTTTGAGGAATTAGCCACACCTAGCCACGCTGCGCGTGGCCCGCATGGCCCGTGCCAATGTATCTGTGG